AGGACAAAAGGACATCCCTGATATCCAATATCTCCATATAAAAGTAGCTGTTTTTCATTGCCAGATATAGCCTCAAGTCGTTCGTCTGTTCTTGATATTTGGAATATATTCGAATTTGCAATCTTACCCTCAAAGGGCCCAATTAGTGAGAGAACCACACCATATGGTTTGATGATTCCTTGATATTGGAAGCCACGGCGTTTTTTATATCCTGAATAGGCAATACGTTGATTTTTAGATGGCCGACATGTCGCCATAAAAGTCCCATCACCTCCCCCCCCCCCGAAATCTGTCTTACGAATTGGTGTCTGTCTCACTTCTTCCCGGCTCGTTGACCGCATTGTCCGTATGGAGGAAAGCTTCAAGTCGCCAAGGAACGGGAGAGACGGACGAGGGAACAGCCAAAACCTCCAGTATCAGGTCACGAGAGCAATACTGCGAAAATTTCCTGACTACCGATGATGGAGTTTGCCACTAAGAAGGCGCATTTTTATCTTGATCGAAATTGGAATTGGAATTGTCCAGGAGCTTAGCTGCGCCGGCCCTCGCGACACATAATCATGGTTGCAGACCGCGAGGCGCCGACATTGGTCGTCACAATTGTCTTCTTCGTGCTTGCTTCGGTATTTGTTGCTCTTCGGTTTGTGTCCCGCTTGGGTGTTGTGCGCAAGGTTGTTTCGCATGATTACCTGATTCTGTTGGCTTGGGTATGTCGCGCTGTCCCTCTCGCGAGTTCTCTTACTTATACTCTTGTTGCTAGGTGATTGACTTTGGCTTCGTGTTCGCCGTATGCTATGGAACTACAAAAGGTCTCGGATTACACCAGAAAGATGTCCCCTCTTCGTCGAATAGGGCCTTGAATACGAGTGAATATGTTGCGAACGTGCTCTATGTGAGTCAATGTCAACATGGATAAAAGACATTCGCTGATTTCTCCCGTATAGAATCCCGTCCTGATGTCCTTGAAAACGTCGATTCTCATATTCTACCTTTTCCTGTCAAAAACCAACAAAATCTTCCGATGGGCAATTTTCGCAACAATCTTCGTCGTCAACGCCGCCGGTGTCGCCTTGACAATGGTTAACATCTTTCAGTGCCGGCCCGTCAGCGCAGCGATCTGGTTCCCTTCTGGTGGTAATGCGAAATGTTTCAGCATAGTTACTATATACCTCTCGTCGGCACCTGTGAATATTATAACAGACATTGCGATCTTCTTTCTGCCGATCCCGATTTTAACCCAGTTACGACTTCCGCAAAAGCAAAAAATAATATTGATAATAACGTTTAGCTTCGGTTTCTTCACTGCGGTAGTCGATGTCATTCGAGTCGCATACTTGCAGAGCGCGGCAACGTCAAATGCGATACAAGAGGCGGATGGAACTGGGGACGGCGGCAACTCGAAATATCATCAAGATTTCTCATGTGAGTGAAGCATAGACCTTAGTACGCATAGATCCACTGACAATAGTAGGGTACGGAGCTTATACTTTTATGTGGTCTGCCATCGAAATCAATGTCGGTATCGTCTGTGCATGCGTGCCAAGTTTGAAGCCGTTGGCCGCACGGCTACTCCCTAGGATGATCAAGGGTTCCACAGAATCGTCCAATGCACACCCTGGAAGTGCAGCAAGACCTAATGTTGCCCGTGCCGAGACTGCTCCGTTGGCAATACCTCACATTCAGAACCCGCAGCCCACTCGTATGGGACCGAGAGCTTATACGGACCAAGGACTGGCAACCGCACCACTACCGCTCACTGCTCCATCGGAAGAGCTTATAGAGATGTCCGATTTTCTGGGTGGTCCTGGTCCCAGCCAGGATACGGAGAGCAGTGCAGCGACATATCCCTCTCCCCCTCTGAATGTGTCGACGTTCTTTGATTTTGTCAACCTCAAGAAACCCAAGAGTATGCTTGCTATGAGTAACAAGGAATCCATACCGCCGGTGGCCTTAACAACAATACTGTTTTTCCTGTGGGGAGTCGGTTACGGGTTCCTAGATATCTTGAACACTCAATTCGCGCGCATTACCGGAGTCAGTACGTGGGGTTCTTTGGGTCTTCACGCTGCGTATTATGGGGGCTATCTCGTCAGCCCTCTTGCTGTAGGACAGTTTATACTAAAAAGATGGGGGTTCAAGGCGACTTTCATTGCAGGACTAATCATTTATGCCTGTGGTGCACTTATCTTTTGGCCGTCCGCCGTCTTGAGCTCTTTCCCGCCATTCGTTATATCAAATTTCATTGTGGGATGTGGTTTTGGACTTCTCGAAACGGCAGCAAACCCGTTCATATCGCTATGCGGACCGCAGGAGAACGCCGAGATCCGTCTTAACCTTTCGCAAGCAGTACAAGCAACTGGTAGTATTCTCTCGTCCGTTCTCGCAGAGAGAGTCCTTTTCAAATCCGTCACAAGCGTAGCCCGCTTGGTCAAATTCCAATGGACGTATCTTGCCATAGCGTTCTTTGACTTGCTTCTGGCGGCAGCTTTCTACTATCTACCAGTACCCGAGGCAACGGATGAAGATCTCCAGGAACTGGCTGATCAAAGAACAGATGACGTTTCTGCACATGTTTCCGGTTTGTCTGTCATTTGGGTAACGTTCGGATTGGCAGCGTTTTCGCAATTCTGGTATGTCGCGAGTCAAGAAGTCCTGGTAACCAGCTTTACGAGCTACGTGCAGGCGCAACTTCCGAATGCAAATAGCAGTGGTCTCATACCTTATGACTATTTACTGATTGGTCGGGGTATCTTTGCACTCGGGAGATTCATCACGGCGATTACGAATCTTTTCTTCAAACCGCGGTGGATTCTGTTGGTATTGTACATTGGGCTAATTGTGTTCGCCGTTCTTGCCAAGGAACTGCACGGCATGGCCGGTGTGGTTATCGGACTTATGCTATTTTTCTTTGAGAGCGGTGTTTTCAGCATCACCTTCGCCATCTCCCTTCGCGGCATGGGAAGACATACCAAAACAGCCAGTGCCATCATGGCCACAACAATATCCGGCGGTGCATTCTATCCTTTCTTCCAGGAAATTGCACAAATCAATAACAACGGCAATGTTTCGTCTTCCTATGTGGTTTTGGCTGTGGGATATGCGGCTGCTGCTATCTTCCCGTTGTACCTGATGCTTGTCCCCCAGGCAAAGAAGCAGGTTGATCCGGTGTTGAATGATTATTTACGCCGTCGTCGACGATCGACTCTCCGCGGTCAACCATCCAGACGGAAAAAACATGATCTCGGAAATATCAACGAGAACGGCGATGGTGATAGCAACGATAGTCCCCCAAATACCAAGGGAGAACACTACTCTAATGGAGGCGTTCTGTCACGACCACGCAGTTTGATGGATGAGTCTCCATCGACTGTAGATTTTGGTGACACTGCGCGCTCTGCGTCGGGAGTGAGTGTACATGATTTAGGTTATGAGAGTAATCATGCATGATATTCAAAAGCTTTGAGACATAATGTTCAAAAGTGATTTGTGTGGTTTGTATATACCCAACTTCTCTCATTATCTTCTGACTCGTTACTCTACATGATGGAAATGGGAGGTTTCTACTGCTTACTTGCATAGCGAAGGCGTTGTTGATTTATTGATACCATATTATATATGCAAATAGTACTTAATTATTCGCCATTTGTCACCGTGCTAGCAAGCCCAATCCATTATGGTCAAAACCACGGATTCGGACTACATCAGTCCTTTCCTACGCTATCCATGGAGATTCTGACTAAGGTTATGAAGAGGCCTGGAACGGAGGACGACAAATGATTAAAAGCTACTATGGAAAAACTAACTAAGCTGACTACCTCATTACCATTCAACTCTCATCCTCATTTCCAGTGCGCCCCAACTTCCGAGTATGCACCCTCCAGCAACGACGACAAAATCTAAACATCCACCTCAGTCACAACAGCAGTCTGAGTATCAAGCGTAAACCCAAAGACCTCAATACCATCAAGACTCTTCTCCGCGCGAAGCTTGCGGACATCCTCCTTGACAGACTCCACGAGATGTTCCTCCCTCCAGAGGTTAAAGTCAATCTTGTTCACAATCTCAGCGGCAGCTGGGTTCTTTGAGATGGCGTATTCACGGATTTCCTCGTCGGTGACGTGGGTTACGCCGCAATCTGACAAATAAGCCAGTAAGTAAGTGGACAGCGGTTGGGGTCATCGAGTGTGGTTTTTGTATATACCGGTATGATGAACAACAAGCACAGTCCCCATGTTAACTAGAGCACGCAAGACGTTGATCGAGCGCACCACATCTTCTGTTACCCGGCCGCCGGCATTCCTGTAAACGGCTGCTTGCATGTCTGGGCCAAAGAAGGCTTCGGGGACACATCGGGGGTCGACACAGGTGACTACGCCAGATTACTCAGTCAGATGTGGATTGAGGGTTAGTTGATGGGATTCAACGTACGGACGATTGTCGGTTCGGCATCTTTCGATCTCATGGCGGGACGCATTTGCTCCATGGTGAATGTGCCAGGGAATGTAGATGCGTATTTCTCATTGTTCGCGAGGAACTTGGCAATTGTGTCACGGGAAGGCATGATGAGACTTGAGATTTGTGCTTATCTGGGTTTGCTTGAGCTTGGGGGCTGTGGTTTGGAAAGTACTAAGAACGGATTGAGAACTGAGAGGAGCTTGATTGAATGATTGAAGAATGAAAGAGGCATCTGAGACCCGCGAGGGACTTCCTTTTATACATGAACGATGATACCCTAAGGAGTCTTCATCTCATCGACATAAGTAGTAGACTGGCATGTATGCAATATTAGTCATTTAAATGAGTTATCAGAGCATGAAGCCTGCGGCGACCACCCGGCAAGGTCACTCCTGATTGGCCGTCTCATGAACAGTCGTCGTTATTACAAATCAAGTGGAACCTTCCATCAGCCAAAACCCTCGAATCACAACGCTCGCTTTATTCGTGGTTGTCGCACTGATGGTCAGATTGTTGGCGCGTTTCTCAATCTGATGAATTTTGGATTACTTACCAATGTATTCGGCGTCTGTGGGACGGGGTAACTATTTGGCCGTTTGCATATATGATTAGTTGTGTCGATGTTCGGCGACTATCAGGAAACCAGGTTGGATATCAAGGATGCCAATTGGGTTGGGATAGGGGGTATTCATGCGGAAATCTTCCGAAATGCACTTTCCAGATAGAGCTAGCTATAGCTTAGATGGATTTTTTATTGTGTTAAGTTCCGTGGTTGATAAGGGAGAGAGTACTACTCTGATTGTGGACTGACATCATCATGGAGTAATTGGTTCATATCAAATTGCACGTGAAAATGGTTAGATATAAACATCAACCCTCAAATTCTAATTCATCCCGTACATCCTATCTGTATCCAAGCACATTACCATCGTCGATAATCAAAGCAATCACCCAGCATGACTCAAACAAGCGATGTCGACTTCGACATATCCGTCACCAAATCCATCGTCACCCAAACCCGCGTCCCTGCAATCGACATCGACTCTGCTCTCGACGGATCTTCCGTAGTCAGAGCAAACCAAGCAGTCTCCCGCGAACACCCTGAAGGATCAAGGAAATCGGGATGGACTGAAAAATACAAGGAGTATACCGTAATGCAGCAACACATCTTGTTCTGGGATCGGGATATGGATGGACATATATGGCCACTGGATACTTATCGCGGATTTCGGGAGCTGGGATTCAATATTTTATTTTCCTGTCTGGCGGTATTGATTATTCATTTGAATTTCTCGTACCCCACGAGATTGGGATTAACGTATTTTCCGGATCCTTTTTTTCGGGTGTACGTTCGAGATATTCACAAGGCTAAGGTTGGACCGCTTTTCATTCATTCTTTTTAAAGTGAACATGCTGACTCTGATACTACAGCACGGATCTGATTCCGGAACTTACGACAACGAGGGTCGATTCGTACCACAAAACTTTGAGAATATATTCGCAAAATACGACTCAGACCGTGATGGAGCAATTACTTTGTCCGATATTACTCGCTTGATGAAGGGGCAACGAGTCGCCGCTGATCCCTTTGGCGTGAGTTTTTACCTTCTTCATGTTATAGTAGTCCTTTTACTGATGGCAGTACAGTGGGGAGCAGCATTGTTCGAATGGGGAACGACATGGCTACTACTTCAAAAAGATGGCAAAGTATACAAGGAGGATTTACGGCAACTATATGATGTATGTTTTCTATACCTTCGTTGAATGCGCAAAACAAAGCTGATATGATTGATACTAGGGATCACTCTTCTGGAGGATTCGCGAGCAACGGAAACAGCCAAAGGGATGGCAGCAAGGATATGGTCTTGGAGGTGATAGATTTGTCGGATCGCACAAGGTTTTCTAGATGATATGATTACTCAATTACTTGGGATGCGTCTTAGTATGTTACAACAGGATATACCCATGAATTAGTCCTAGTTTAGGGAATGAGCTCTGTGGGAGGTTAGCGAAGTGAGACCTTGGGCATAAAATCTCAGTTATATTCTTCGAGAAATAGATGTAATCGCAAACATTGTCCTTTATTGATTGGCAAATGACGTCAGTGGAATGCTATCTTACATGACATTTATATGATTGCATCTTGTTGGTATATGACCGCAGGGTTAGGGTTTATAAAGGCTCCAATGGGCTAGTCCTAGAATGGTTAGAGCGCTTTTCACCTTGCCACTTATTGGAAGACATCGAGCCGAACTCATTTCATTGACTGTCCATCTTTCATGCAAATGACATCTGAACTAATGATCCAGCACTATAGGTTATATCGTATGATATTACATCTTGAAGGATTTATCTAGACAGATAGAGCCGGATGAAAAATGTTGGGATGATATCTTTTGTTAGAAGCAGAATTCTACAAAGTGTCGAGCTTACTCCTTCCACTTTGCCCTACTGCTGCTTTAGCAAGAAGTGGGTAGGAAAGTGGTCTTCTTTGGACTGCTACTTGAGAACTGCATCCTCAAGAATGTTCTTCATCTTGGGCATCACATCAACATAAAACCGACATGTTAACGATGTGGCAAACTCGATTGCGTTTCATATATATGGAGAGCACATAATCACCGACACTAGTCTTATCCACAATGACAGATAGCGATGGACCGATTCTGCCGTTGCCGCCGGAAGTGGCAAAGAAAGTTCAATCATCCTTGAAGATCACTAATCTTAACGCGGTCGTCGTTGAGTTGGTCAAGAACGCATTGGATGCTGGTGCTGGCTCACTCAGTATCGTTGTAGACTACAAAAGAGGTGGCTGTATCGTGGAGGATGATGGCTATGGATTGCCGGCAGAGGAATTCATGGACGGAGCTGGGCTGTGTCGGCCCCACCGTAAGTTATTCAAGATCCGTCTTTCATGTAATTTTCTGACCATATCTAGATACCTCGAAAGCAGGAAGACAGTCGGTATACAGCTGCAGAGGACAATTTCTAGCCGCGTTGGCTACCATGTCACTCTTGACAATTAGTTCGCGGCATCGCGGTCATTCTGAAACTAATACAGTGATCTTTCACGAGTCCAAAGTCATCTCCCGCCTCGTGCCTGCTCCCACGCATCAGGAGGTACGTGGAGCACAGGGTACCAGGGTTACGGTGAACAATCTTTTTAGTAATATGCCTGTCCGCGTTAAACACAGGGCTTCGTCTCTTCGCAGAACCGAAGACGTCGACAAGGAGTGGGAGGAATTGACAAGAATGCTGGCAGCTCTAGCTTTATCGAACTCAGTTCTACAGAAATTACGCCTTTCTGACAGGGAGAAATCTCGATCCCTAAATGTTCGTATCCCGCACAAAGCGGCCGAGACGCTGCCAGGAATTCAGAACTCCGGTCTGTCCCGCCTGCACACTGTTCTTACACAGTCTGGCTTGATTTCAGGGACCAGTGTGGATGAATGGGTCAGGATTTCAGCAAGTACATTAGACGTTTCTGTCAAAGCTTACGTCGCACTATCCGCAAGCCCGACACGATTGAATCAATTCATATCGCTAGGTATCAATCCACTTTTCAATGAACATAAAAGTGCCAATGTTTTGTACGATGAAATCAACAGAGTTTTTGCAGCATCTGATTTGGGAAGTGAACAAGCCGTGTCAGAAAATCGGGAAACCAGAGGTAAAAGGGCTGTACGGGGCTCCAGAAGGTGGCCGATGTTCTACGTGCGAATTGATATTAAGAGCTCTTTGGAAAGCTTTCCAAATGCTGAGGCTACCGTCGAATCGGACCGTGCTTTACAACATATCATTGGAGTGTTGCACGCCATGTTCTATCAATTTTTGCAACAACATCACTACCGTCCTCGAAAAAGGAAACGGGGTGAGAGAGACACTCCGTCAACATCGCATTCCAATAATGTCTCCACAGTATCATCAAGAAGTCTTGTCCAGCGGAGTAGAAGTCTCCTTTCTTCGTCTTCTATGCAAGATGTACCGGTAAAGAGCTTCACTGAAGCATTTGACAGCGGTGTTAAGATTCCAACCTATTCCGATAAGGAAGGCTCTCATTACTTCAATGACTTTACGAATTGGTCAAGAGTGAAAAGTGGTAACAACAAGACTGTCAAGGAATTACTGCTATGTCGACCCAGAGATACTAGTCGCCCACAGACCGTAACGTCCACGTCGGAGTTCGACGCGACAAACTCTCTCGCGTCAGCACAAGTAGAAGAGCAAACACCTGAGCAGCTGGATCTTGCTTCCCATACGATACAAGGTGCTGCAGATGGACATATTAGATGGGTTGATCCAAGTACTAACAAGGCCATACTCGTCAATTCACGGATAAGACAATATTCTGCCGGAAGTCATGGAAGCAGCCGCCCAAACACCTCAATTGGCTTTGTTCGGCCTCGGTCAGCCATCTCTCTTCTGAGTCAGGGAAAGGAGCCCATTCGACGTTCTCAGACCGCTCCAGTACAGGGCCAATCCGCCTGGTTCGAAAATCTTGTGAACAATTGGTCCAATTCAGTCTTCTCTTGCCCAAAAAAGCCTATAATGTCAATCGAAGCCGAGAATGCGTCTGATAACTCTTCTCAATGCAATGATGCACAAAGAGGGCCAATTCAAAGCTGGAATCCAGCAGAGGCGTTAGGAGCTGATGGACACACGGGTAAGGTCTCGCGAGAGGGACTTTCTAGAGCGGCAATTATCGCTCAAGTCGACTGCAAATTCATTCTTGTAAGAATGGTACCAGCTAGAGAACATCATTCTGACGAGACATCGAATCAAATCTTGGTTCTTGTCGACCAACATGCTGCTGATGAACGGCGTCGACTGGAAGATCTACTTTCTGATATGTTCACGGTTGAAGAACAATCAGGAGTCATATCCATTCGTACGCAATCGTTCCAAACGCCTATACAATGCCCTATCCAAGACGACGAGGTATCATCGCTCGCGGCATACTCAAGGTATTTTGAGTCGTGGGGCTGTCATTATAAAATGCTGCAAGAGCTTATTCATGGAAGGAGACGACACTTAGTCGTTATCGAGGCTTTACCCCTGATAATAGCCGAAAGATGCAGATTGGAACCAAAGCTATTTATCCAACTTCTGAGGAAGGAAATATGGAGCAGAGCTGGCGAGAAGATTCCCCCGCTACGACGGTGCGTTGCTTCTACAACGGAACCTGAGAATGGACCTTTTCCCTGGCTGCGCTGGATAGCAGGTTGTCCGGAAGGGATGCTTGATCTGATCAACTCACGCGCCTGTCGAAGTTCAATCATGTTCAACGACCCTCTATCCATTGACGAATGTCAAAGTCTCATAAGTCGACTTTCTAAATGTGCATTTCCATTTCAATGTGCTCATGGTCGACCAACTATGATCCCGATTGTGGACGAGAGCCGTCATCTTGCAGGATTGTCTACTTGGTCATCGAGAAGCGAGGATGTTGAAGATAGAGATTACACTACTCCAGAAAAACAGGGAAGTTTTGTTGAAGTGTTTAAGAAGTGGGAACGCACATGATTGGTTCTGTTGGATGAAAGAGTTGGCTATAGACTTAAACGTTTGGATACTCTTTTGATAACATCATGGTTCTCAGGATACATAGCAATATCAATATTGGTATAACATTTCCAGAAAAGGCACATCGCCTTCAGAATACAATACAACCTTGCTGTAAGTATAGCCAGGATTAGCTTCTTGGTAATAAATAATATCTTCACCGTCACCCCCAGTCTGCTTCCACTTTTCAAATCCCCTCTTCACATTCCCCGCTGCCGTCACCGCATAGTCCGATTGAAACTTTGCAGGCAAAACAAAATTCGGATCTCCAGCAATCCGGGCAATTCGCGAACTACTATTTCCATGGAACATCCGGGTAGAGTCCCTTGACTTGCGCGGCCGCATATCCTCTACCAAACATGACGGCTTGAGGTGGTTTGCTGTAGTCGTGAGTGCCGGCGTTGTTGGTCTAGGTGTTTGAGATCCTCGGCACAGCAATGAGGTTTCCTAACTCGGCCTTTGCGTAGTCGAATGAGTTCATGAATTGGATAACTAATGAACCCAAGGTGAGTAATAAGATAAAGAGTAAGGGTGGAATTGTGGCTACCTTCGAAATCAGATTGGACTAGCTCTGTGACTTGAATGCCATTCTTTAGCTGCTTGCCGCATAGGATGATTGATATACGTCGTGCGAGTTCCAGTTCACTCTGATGTTTTACGCTTCAGATGTATCCATGGAATCCGACGCCAGCAGGGCCATAAATTACGTCGTAAAGGCCACAGAAAATGTCTTAAGAGCTGCCGGTGCCGTCTTATCAGTCACTAGAGTTGTTCTCACTTCTTCAGTCATATTAGCTGCTACTCCACTGCTTGGTGTAGGAGGCATCGTGATTACTCAAGGTTAGTCTACTTCTCGCCTAATCCAATCCGGAGATTTTGGCAAGGAGAACTAATTCAAGTCAAGATACCTGGAATGACCTCGCCGCCAAAACAGCATGGGACGAGAACACGCCCGAAGATAGGAGAAGGTTCATGATCTGCGCAGCATCAAAAGTTGAAGATATACTCACAGGTTGGAAATAGGTCAAAGAGAACAAAAATGGTTTTGTCTTCAATACGGTACTGCGGGGGTTTACGGTAGGTAGGTGGTCAGCCTCCCTTCCTCTCTCTGTGATGGCCCTGACTGTAACAGCACAAGAGGGTCGCTGTGACAAATCACACCAACTAAGTAGACAGATCATGTTTCCTGTCAGCAGTCCACCGACTTGATCTATCGCATGCCGGTTCTATCTGACCTATCATACCTGCCACCATGTCGGAACTCCGACTTGAAGTCCACGCACACATAAGAATGAGGTTCCCTGTACATAGGATTGTTTCTTTTCCTAAGCTTCAGTCTCTGTATGTTAGCAACAGTACCTTTGTTAATGAAGACTTGAAGACACCCAACCCTTCTGCCATATTGATAATTCCTCCTGCCTAACTATTGGATTAACTAACCTCCCATTACACTGACGCTGGGTAGATTGGCGAAATCCTTCATCTCCAGATCGAATGCGTCAACCATTGAATTGGACTCTAGCACTCCTCGAAGAAAACGACGCAATAATGAGAATAGCACCTCTTGCCTCTCCGTCCTATGAAGATACTTACAATAGTACCGTATAAGAACACCACATAGACGTCAAAGACCTGGCACGCTTCCACGTAATCGACCTTTGGACCCAACCGTCCAATCCGAGCATCTCTTTGGACAGGATGATTGGACTAGTTTGAGAGACTCGTTGGAAGCGGGTTGGAAGCGGATATTAAGAGTTTGGGGTTGGAGTGCCCTTGACATCGTAGGATTGGTGTTGGGATTGCTCAGGATCTGATTACATTGACTTGAGTCTATTAACTTAATAATTCCCCAAGACTTTAGAGGCATTGAACGTATTTAGCATCGTGCTTGGTGTGGGTGTTAGGTATGTTACTTGCAAGATTGACTCGTCTACAGCATTCCAGCATTGCTCCCGTTGCCCCAGAACCAGTTTAGGGATGGCTATCGTATAAACTTACATTATCCGGCCTAAGAATTGGGAAATCCAGCACTTTCAATCAATATTATCAATTCCAGCTAATTCACTCAATGATGGTGTACAACCTGCAAATATTCATAATAATCAACGACAATTTTTCTTTGCCTCCCCCATGGATCCCATAAGCCATCATCATGCAAACCAAAAGTATTCAGACCAAGCCAACTTTTGAAGTAAATAAAAAAAATCTTCAAAAGGGATAATAATAAATAAATATACATCAAAAAATATCAAAACAAAGTTGCCACACAGATAGCCAGTGACACTGTTAAGTCACGTAAAATGATGAAAAAAAATAGATAACACAACACGAAGGGTATGATAGGAACACAACAAAAAGACATAACGCCGGTTTAACATAAAGCTATAGCTTTTTAGACATGTCGTAAATCGTGAGTATTCTTCGGAACCAAGGGTATATAAATGATGATGATGATTGGGAATATGCACCAGTCAAAGAGTGTTTGTCTCAACTGGTTGTTACCACGGATTTGGTTTTGGAGTTGTGTGACCAAGCCAGAAAATCGAATCGATCTTTGACAACCTCTCGTGGAGGAGCATGCACAGCTGCATCTGTAGAGCTAGCTCGTGGTGCTTCTCTAGGTTCAAGTATAAGGGATCGTCGGTAATAGTTTTGGAAACTCTTTTCGCCTGCCGAACGTACGCGAACAAATTGATCTTGCATCCATGTTTGCAATTCAGGAACTTCGATAAGACGGTATGGAATTTGGAAGCGTTGAAGTTCGCTAATGATTTTGGCAGTTTTCACATGTTTGTCATAGTTGATAACTGTCATGCCACCGTCTTGGAGGTTTCTTGTGGCTGGGTTTCCGTGATCAACAAAGGTGAGATCGGTAAGATAGACTCCAACGAAAGGCAGAGTTGGTGGAGCACAGTTTTGCAAACGCTGGCGAAGAACGGCGTAATTGCGGGAAACATCAACAATTTCCTTCATCGACTCCAGCGTGGTCTTCGTCTTTTGAGAAACCAACTCCCAGGTTCGCTTCAGGCGAACAATCGTGGAGGAGTTCAATGAGCAAATGATTGCCATTAAAGAGTCATAGTTATTCAATTCGAGACACTTGTTCGCAATCTTGACCCACTGCTTGATAATAAGTGCCCTTTTCTTGGGTTCCTCCATATGGAGGATGGAATCGGCGACCAGGTTAGCTAGGTCAGTAGAAAGTGTAGACATGGCGCGGACATTAACAGCCAGTGACCCGCTCTTCTTCATCCATTCGGTCGCTAGAAGCTCTTCAGGAAGGATAGAGCAGAAGATCCTCGACTCCTTGATGGTGATTTGTCGGGCCAATTCCATTGGATCAAAGTCGAGAATGCTAATACTCGAGCCTGTATTCTTCCACTGTTTCAACAGATTCATCTGGCTCTTGCTGATGATAGGTGCCGGGAGTGGTGTCTCGGGAGACACGTATTGTGCGATCGATGTGTTTGTCTTGCCTATCGAGGAGACGAGGCGTGGAACAATAGCCCCATCTGCAGTTGAGACCTTCTCGGTCAACTCAAGTAGCCGATTACCAGCATTGGGCAAAGCTTCCATCAACTTGTTCTTCGCGAATTCAACAATAAAAGGAAGGGCCACAATATCGCAGTCGTGGCGCCAGTGAGTCTCAAGCCAACCCTTGAATATGTTATAAACTCGCAGCCGAACCGGACCAGCGGCATTTGGTGTATCAGCAATATAGTCATATCGATCTGCAAGTGCTTCTGCAAAATCCATGGGAGAGGCGAAGAGGCGGAAGGTAAGGTAAAAAGTGGAAACGAACAAAGCATCAGGAGTAGACTCATGAGCAGTAAGCTTCTCGATCAGTGCTCTCAAACTGCCACCAACGACTTGACCATCCTTGAACATCAACTCGTGCGCATATGTCTTTCCTAGAATGTTGGCCTCTGTCTCTTCATTTTCCTCGGCCAAAGTGGATCGGCTGAGGCTTTCCTTGAGAGATGGATGATCGCCAGTGCCGCCAATATCCGGGGATGTTGCTCGTGTCGATGTCTGGGAAACACCACTCATTTCTGAATCACGAATAGCGCTCTTGTATGTGAAAGAGCTTCCAGTACTTGTCGTGCCACGTGTCTCATATCGATAGAGGGGTTGTGAATCATCGTGAGCAACATGTTCGCGATATGTCGAGTCAGATGGGCTAATATCGTTCATTACGAGTGGAGTTGTGTTGATATCCACATCGAGCTTTGGACTTTGCAAACCTGTGCTGGATAGCATTGATGACGGTGTAATGCCTGTAGTTAAAGCGGGTGTAGCAGGAGTCAAATCGCGCTCGGGGATCGAAATAGGCGGTGGTAGCAAGCGACGCGAGGTGGGCTGTGGCTCGTTCTCCTGCATCTGAACATCGACGTGATTTGGCGTTTCGGGTTCGTTCTCCGCAATCGATGGCGTGTTGTGAGGGCCATCGACCTCAAAGTCGCCAATTTGTTCCAACACGGAGCGAGCCAAGAGTACACAGCTACCAGCTCCACGGACACAATCCGTAGCGGCATTTACCAGGCGCCTTCCCTCGTCGGGCATGAAGGGGACTTCATCACCGGCAGAGTTGGGTCGGAAAATATCACGAGCAGCGTAGACTAGCTCACCAATCCGGTCGTACATTGTATTCTTGGCTTCTCCTAATTCGGTGGACCGCTGAAAGTCATGCTCCCAGATCGCCTCAACGAGGTTGAGGAGCACCTGACAGGAGGCTACTGATTGCTGTGTGGTCAAGATAAGCTCTGTCGACGACCGGGATTGCAAATGAAGGCCGATAAAGGACCCTAGCACTCCTAGAAACGCGTCGTACGCTGACCCTAATCGCACTGAGGCGAGATCTCCGTTTCGCTGACCGGCTGCTGGTCCACTGTAAGAGACTCTATGGGAGACAGAGATTCGGTTCCCACGCTCTGATATCATTGATGATCGGGGGTGTGTGGAATGTCCAGAATGAACGCTGTTTTCTCCATAGTTTGAAGCTTGGCTGTGGATGGGACGACTCCAGTTCCGTTCCGTGGAGGCCGTTGCGCTGCGGTCGGAGATGGAGAAACATTCAGTAGAGGGTGTTTGAACGGGTGAGCCATAAGTGTCTTCGTTATGAGGCTCCAGTTCCAGAATAGCTCTCGTAAGACCGACATGTTCATTCCATACGTCTAGAAATCGTACACCACGAGTGACTATTTTGAAGGACTTGAGAAGCATGTCATCCAGGACCTGTTCAACGTCTTCATCCCGAGGAGCGCCATTAGCCAGTTCTTGTAAACGTTTGGCAGACTTGACCAGCGAAGAAAGATCGGCAAGTAAAGCTTTGCGATTCCGACGTAATCCATCGTATCGCTGGACTAGAGGTGATTCACGGGTTAAGCACTCTGCTTTCTCCTAGATGGGCATTAGTTGCTGTTGGATAGCCGAAGTTATCTCTCGAATCAACGTTACCAATAAATATCTAACTCCAGCAATCAGACCTCTCATCAGGTCCTGATTTCCAAAGTCATGAAGAAATGTGCCGCATCCCCCTCGGATTATATCCCAAAAGTCTGTCAAAGCCTTCAAGAGTGGACGCATAGGTAATTGATCATAGGCCTCGCAGTAGTTAGTGGGGAGCCATCCTCGGTCACCGGTCTCGAGGAGAGTGCCGTCGGCCCAGCCATTGACGTGAATCGAGTGAACTAGAATTATATCGCCTTGGTTCAGGGGGAGAGTGACTGTTGACGGCGACACGGCACCGGTCGGGTGAAATGGGTAGAATGCGCGAAGGTAATTGTGGAATATTGGACGACTATCTTCCACAGACTGGGACATGACAGCATCTTGTGAGCTGTGAGGAGTCGCTGGAGGTGTCATTCGTCCTTGTGTCCGACCAATCGTAGCGGTCGAACTGCTTGACGAGAAGTTGAGATGAGGTACTGGCGGACGCGCCTTCCCCTTGACGATGTTTAATGGGGCCACGTCGTTACTGGACTGTTCCATAATATGTCGGATATATATCTCTTCGTGCAATATCGATGTTCTCCTAACGATATAAACAGCCGGCCACTGTGGCAATAAGATTTCACTTCGATGAGGCCTCAATTGACATGGTCACTCAAACGCTATTCGTAACGCCAAATCGAACCACCACTTTCCGGTAATATTTGTCTAGATCCAGCTCTTCGTATGTGATATTCTCGTTCAACGAGGTGAGGTGAGGTAATGCTCGTTTCGTTCGTCTTGCTGTGGTTGTAGGTTAGTTTGTGTTGGTCCCGGTGACAAGATGACGACGACAAAATGATCGATTGTGGCAGTAAAATGGATTATAGGAGGAGACTGGGTTGAAGCGGGGAATGTCACAGTTCAAGGAGGGAAGTGGTAAACATGGAATGTCAACACACAGACAACCCCTTCTTCCGAAAGGGATAAACCTTTTTTTTTCGCTGGGAGTCTGTGGCACAAAGCAAATGGCTGGTTCAAAATATGGAGCAATCAAGTGAAATTCAATACATACAATCGAATCCGCCGAATAAGTCTTTTTCTCTTTTGGTGGCGTTCTGATACTATTGGTGTTCCAGCCTCATGGAGTCACACCTTCCAGGAGGACGATGGAGGTAAAAGAGTTTCGCAATGCGACTTTCCGAAGATGACGGAAGATCGATTAACTGAATGGGCGTAAATAAGAGTGATAATTGTACCTGTTAATAATAGGGGCGAAATTATTGCAAGGACTGTAATAACAACAATGCTGACCCCCCCCCCGCAGTCGACAGGGATGGCTAATATCAGACGGAATTAGGGCAGGCTAAAGACGGAAGAGACAGACACAGCCAACTCATTCAAGAGGTAGCGACTGGGACTCAACAGCAATTGATGATATATTCGCCAGGAAGGTAGTGACAAATAAAGCTGAATCGATATTGTCGATATATCACGCAAGGGTTAGAGGTAAATAAATGGGACCTTGCGGGAGGAGGCAAAAGCCTAGCGGGACGTGTCGATTTATCTTATCAATACAGAGCGTATTGACAGGTTGACAAGGAGGAGAGGAGAGGAGAGGAGAAAAGGGAAAAGATGAAGCAATAAGGAGAGACATAGAGAGGAGAGAGGAGAGAGGAAGAGGAGATGAGGATGATATTCCATCTCAGAGAACATGAGACTGCAGAAGGCAAGAGCCCTCCTGCCGTAGTCCCAAGGAAGGAAGGGCCTGGCCAGTGGGGGGAGGTGTGGTTGCCGCGCGAGCAACGGACGGATTCTACGGAGGAACAACGCTAGCTTCAGTTTTTGCTTTTTCACTTCTATTTTATCATCTATTTTATTATTTATTTTATTTTTCTCTGCTTAGCACTTAACTAGTGCTTAGTGCCTTTAGTCGAGTGGACCATCCCATTTCTTTGGACCATCAACATTTGTTAGCTCGCTGTGCTCGTGGGCCATTTGGAGATTTCCCGCAATGGACGTTGATAGGATCATTCTAGTGACCTAGTCTGTTTATGCTGAGAACTATCACATGGTACGTTATCATCCCGTTGTGCTTGGGCGGAAACTGCAAGAAGCAACATTGAGACGCGTTGTGGCTGGAGGTCAAATTCGGGGAGACCGTCCGGAAAGGCCTGTGTGTGCTGAACCCTGCAAAGTCTAGAGTCGAGGGACGTGAATAACGGCTGAAAGTGCCAGCCAGGGCCATCGCCCCTGAGGGGACTGACGGACCCTCGAGTCTGACGGGTTACAGGTCACACATATCCCTAGTCTGCTTGCCTGCTCCGTGCAAACTGGACTGTGCATACCAAGCATCGCCTAGGATGATGAATCGAGCTAGCAAGGTTAGCACTCAGCCTAGCTCGGAACTATGACTATTCAAGCAGTTCAGTCGCCGGTAGTGGGTCCGTCTCCGGTACTCCGAATGTGTGTCAAAGCCGACGTCGAGACTCTTGCCAGTCAACTTACAGCTTGCCAGTGCAGTGCCAACATACTACGTACACCAGAGCGGGTTGGGACCACAGGCGACGTGAGGGTTGATCATTACCCTATTCCAGTTCACAGCTAAACCAGCTACGGTCGTAACTTTGGGTTAGCGTCAGCTTAGCTGGGCGGTTAGTGAGACACTTATTAATATGGACCAACTCCACTGAGAGGTTTTCCTCACTGGAGAGAAAACACCAGGATACAGTAATATATACAGTTGTCGATGAATGTGTATGCGACAATCTCCATAACTATGAGAAACTACCTTACTCCGTTCGATTTGAAAGCGCACCGAAAAACCCGTCGCACGCTGCATGTTGCAGTAGCGCATTATAAAGCCATCTCCTCTGCTACATATATCGTATTCGGACGCATTACTCGCAACCACTTTCGGATGCATGTTGTTGAAAAGAGAATCGGGCAGTAATCTGCCTCGAGATCGGATACGTAGTCGAGTACATACATGTGTGGTTATATCGAAGGAAACCGCGGTTAAACAGACTAATCACGCAGCATGACGAATTAATCAAAGAAACGCGCAACCGCTGTTTTGTATAAAATACCTAAATTTCCGGATCAGGCATCAAAGCATCCACCCGCGCACCACACACAGCTTACCTTAATACCTCTTCCGATAGTTTGACTGCTGAGGCGCTGTTTTGTGAATAATCTCCACTGGGCGATCAGCAGTTCCATTAAATCGTACAAGAAAACCCACGGCAACGGATCCAGCTTTTCGGCACGAAGTCGTGAACTCGTGAACTCGTGTTTCAACTCTCGGGATGGTGCCTGGAACCATGGAACGAGCCCAAAGCTCACTTGACGATCATCGCCATCTACAAAACATTTTGAAAAGGGACCAGCCGGGGCCGTCACAGTTCACACATGGCACGGGATGAAGCATTGACCTGGTCTATGTATTAGGTAAATTAATACAATAATCTAAGTACTCGTCTCACAGGACCAGATTCTGAATCAACCTGCACTATATAGGACGTTGTACAAGATCTCAATTGTTACTGAGTGGAAACCGAAAGAATAATAGACCGATCCTTTAGCTTTGGACTTCAAGCCCAAATCGAGCCCAGTAAACTGGACGCGGTTCGTAGACCCATTTCTTCAATCAAGTAGTGGGCCATACCGGTACTCCTGGAGATTCATAAGAGGTTGAACTATGAAATGGTATCGAGTCTCGACGTCGTTCTGAATAAATAACCTAGGACTATTTTATTAACGGATCCAGACGGGAAGTGCAACAGTATCAATGTACTTATTCTGATTCCTGGGATCCGCACAAGTGATCGATATACCATGTGTTATGTAGATGAGTTTGATGACAGGCATTTCCGCGGGGGTTTTTATCTATGAACTGTAACGGTATTGAATACTGAACACGAATAGAAATGATAAAAGAATGGAAATTACCAGCGATAGATCGACATATCGGATACAAGTCAAAATGTCAAAATGTCAATACGTATTCCTACGTATCAAGTGAGACGGACCACCGATTCCGTACGGCCCCGACTCCTGAGTATTCATGAACCTTAAAAGCAATATCTTAAGCAAATTAAGTTCCTTTCTCGCCTTCACAAACGAGACCGCGTCGATGACAGACATGCCTTGTCGCTTCGTGTTTATGCAGGTCACTTGATTAAAAATTAAAAAAAATAAAAAAAGTATGTCCATGATCAATTGTGCGCGTATCCTTGCAAATAAGCATGCGGGTATACCCTAAAGGACCCGTGTTGACATGTAGGGTCTGGTACCCTGGGCCGTTTCCGGTGGTAAGCGGGAACGAATCATACAATGACATTGTATAGTTAACTACTCTTTGCGATGTCTCTCTGACTCAGCAGTCGTTATTGAACAATTCAATTCAGAATTGTACTGGCAGGTATGTACCCCTCGTCCTATTTCAAGCAAGACAATCAGGGCACAAAATTGAACGGCACACGTTGCGGGACATGTGCCTACTAACTACCGTTGTAAGCGAGGAATTAATTCAGTGCAAGTCCAGGGCAAGCTTTCCCATGCACACTTACATACTCCAGTCTCATCACGTTCTATCACTACATGTGATGTCTCTAATAATTGACTACCTCCGTACTAACGAGTCCGAAAACAAGTCAAGACTGAATAGATTCTATGCAAATGAGGGGTACATATATTGGTCAGCCCTATTTGAAATCTTCAGGCACCATCGTACACACTACTGCAACGCTACACAAGAATAGTTGAATCCCCGGTCGTTAATGTGCTGTGATGAGATGAGATTAGATGCGACGAACTATGACAGGCTAAGTAACAAGTCCTATAGGGGTACGTAGGGGGGAATTCAGGATTTCAACATTAGCCAACATTGGTATGCAATTGCATTATCACACTTGTTTCTGTGCATGTTACTCCGGGCGGAGTTATTGGACTATGCCACTAGTAGTTGAGTGACAGCGAGTCGCGCATGAATATCTAGGTATCAACGTTCAAGGCAATGACGCACGCATGAGAAACACGTCGACCTTTTGAGTCATAGTCGGATAAGATAATCAGCACTTGTCTCTTAGCTCGTTCACCAACGTGCATAGCTGAAGAACCGATAATCGTTCGAGGGGAAAAGAAAACATCAACCCAGTAAGATCCTGGCTTGTAGCATAATTGATATGCGTGCCGGAAATATACCACCAATCATAGACTCTGTTAAAAGAAAAATATTGTCACCAATCACAAAACACCTGATGCAGGTACACCCCTGCCTGTCCCATGGGCTAATGCGGGCTCCGGCACGAGGGACAGTGCGGAACCTTGGCCAGAGCGTCCAGAACGGGCAAGATCTTCTCTATTTTTGGCGGGCTTCCCTAATACAGTTAAAGAGTCCATTCTGGGCCAGCCAATCAGACTCGACCGGAATGAAGTTGAGCAAGATAATCAGCCAATAAAATCTGACGAAAACATCGAAAAGTGATTCAATTGGCTTTTGTGGCGGACGCTAATTGCATTACTATTCTTGCACTGGTCAACCTGATTGGCTTTCTCGAAGAATACTCCTGGATTTGAGCAAGCCTCGACTGTCCAGAGTTATGAATTCATCTGATAGATACGAATGAACATGTACGCTACTGCAGCCCTTTTTCTTTGATCACGCATCTTGCCGTGTCTGCATTTTGCTAGTTTGCTCTTGTTTTTCATTCATTGTTCAATTTCACATCGAGACGAGATTGAAATAGAGTGAAGCGAACAATGATACCTCGGATGATTCGGTGCGGTGACAGAAATGGCATCTCAGACGCTCTCGCCTCGACTCCCAACACTGACTAATGCATCGCTAATTTTGATAGGACTGCGATTCTTTGTACAATGAAAATTTGCATAGTAAGTTCCAACAAATCCCACGGCTCAGAGAAAAATTACTGGTGTAACTGACTCGCAACGACAACGGCATTGTTCATTTCAATAATCCTGCCAAGGCTCGCGGCACGCGGAAGTGAGCCTTGCAGCCTTAGCTTGAAGGCTAGTACGTAGCCCGTCCCTCGCTGTCGGGTTGGTGGCGGTCACGGGATTTGATGTAATGCCTCGCTTTCGCCTTCGTACTCCGGATGTAGTTCGTACATATCTCTTTCAGCTTTGATTATTCTTTGCTGTCCCATTTCATCGATCACTATCCGTCGATGGGTATGGACATGTCATATTTGGCAAATTAACGTCTTCTAAAAAACTAAAAAAAAAGACTACTGCTTCAACTCTGATACTACCTGTATACCAGTGATATGACTGATATCGGTCGATCTCATTGGCAGAAATGACTCTCTCATAATAGCATTCTGTTCTTTATTGTTGCCTGATCTGGAGCATGGAACGGACAAAGAAATGGTCCATATTATGTGGGTCTAGTTTCCGGGTTGAGTACCATGGAACTACTACGGATGGTACGGTGCGGAGTAAGTAAGCTTAGTCTTGATATACTCGATGTCGAGATAGACTATCGAAGACTATGAGCTGGTTCTTTGTTAGATTTAACATATCCAATTTCATTGAGATTCAAGGACCAAGCTATTCAGGTCTGAGACCAGGCTAGACCTGTCTCCACGAATGCTTACACATCTGCGCTTCGGATACCAGCGTAGCGATGCTACCAGATATCAATTTGATGATCATCGTGCAAGAGCAAGACTCCGGGTTATCGAGGATTTACATTGCATTATCTACACACGAGGCTCAAGGGATCTCTCTAACTGAGGGTTCAGTCTGGTCCCAAGAACCGAAAGGATCAACATCTCAAAAGATTACTGCACGTATGGGTCGATGAATACGAGATCCTGATCCCGGTACAGAAAACCGCACCGAAGAGAAACTCTGTCGGGAATTCACCACGGATACTACGCCATACTCGGTTGTACAATGATCATACAGAAGAGTGTACGCATCACGCAACACAAGTCCATCGTCATATTAGAGCTCATACGCAACGTGCCAGCTTGCAAAAGACGGTATGGCACGTGCATTTCAAAACGAACGGCATAAACCGGAAATTTTTCTTTTTCTGTTGACATGCGCCGGTTGACTGTTAATCGGATTGAAGGGGTGCAAATAAACCTCGTTAAGACGCATTCGCCACGGCTCTGAGTCTATCAGATATGACAATGGAGTAAATCACTGCTGGATTTTTATAAAATTCGTCCCAAATCCCAAGAAGGAGATTTAGCACATCTCCCCATTTCCGGATAGTGCAGGAGACTGAGCAGTTGTTACAAGTGAACAAGTCGCACGACTAAACTCACCAAGGAAACTGGAATTGTCGATTACAAATTCTGATTCCCGACAGAGTTACACACACTCCTCCCGTACCGTACCGCACTCCGTCGCCAAGTATCCACACTGCCCCGTACGCCGTATGGAGTGTGTACACTTGCTCTCAGAATCTCAGAATCTCCCTTTGAGTCTTGACGCTGAACAGTGCCACAGTGGATGTCGCTCCACATATCAAAGAAGTTACTACTGTTTTGGAGTTAGCGATTTTCTGCAGTGTTATCCGTATCGGGAACGGCGCCATCTTGTGGCCACCACTTTGCCTAGGCTTTTTAGCTTCAGCTTCAATTTAAGTTGCAGTATCCCAGTGCAAAGGCTCGGGAAGGGATCTAGCTAGTTGGCGTCCTTTTCTAATTTTTGAGTTTGAGTCTTGGGTCTGTTAGTGTTGTTATTGTGGATCTGGGATAGTTACCAAGGCACGTATGACCTGCGTTGAAGGTCACTTTGTATGCAATCCATGCATGCAGTATGACTATCTATATCCATAGTCTGCAAAGGATCTGATGTGATCTGTACCTAGGCATGATACCCTCCTGCGATCGATCAACAGGAGTTGATGGAATGTGCATAGCCATGTCTCAACTAGTCATTCCCAATCGGATTCAAACCTGGTGCTCAAAATAGTAAACGTTCTCCACCACAGTAAGGAGACGGAATAGTGGACACAACGAATGTGAGTGAGCATGTAACCAACTACGGAGTACTCCGTAAGTTACTTACCACGAACATAGTCCATGGTTACTTTCTCAACTCCGGTTGCTCTATGCTTTAACTAACTTAAGACTCTATTATCAGCGTTACGGAGGCTTGGAATCTTTATCCGGTGCCTACATACGGAGTACAGTCATACACTGAATTTTGTGTTTACACGGAGTAAGCTAACATAGGGTCTCCATTCATCTAGCACCCTTACGGCCTAGCCAGTTCCGAAAACCTCATGCTCCCCCTTAGATAACTTTCGATGGCGTTACTCCCAACCTAAACACCAATCGAGAAGGGAACAACTGAGTCAGCGACTTCACGTCAAGTTTGGGTTACGGACTTATTGCCGTAGATACATAGAGCACAATCCGTATATCCGGAGCACTATGTTCATGGTCCGTGGGGACCTAGACCTACACTGTAGTGACTGTACATACGACATCGTAAAGTGAGCTTGCTTATTTTCTTTTCTGTTAAAGTTAGGTACTTAAGTAGTTACATGGTTAGCTTGATGACTTAAAATAGTGAGAATTTTAGTAAACAGTTCAGTCGCTGAGAGGATAATACCTCGAGTCGGTCAAGGACGGAGTACGGAGTAGATATGGATCGAATACACCGAATGCGTTTCTTGCGAAGAAATCCATAGAAATTAGAACCGTTTTCGTTTCGATGGTCTAGATTCAAAACAATGGCTAACTAGTAGATGCCAAAAATGGAGACTACATATACGATAGTCGATCATATGAATAAAGAGAACAAAGAGATACCTCGGATACTCTAATTAATTAGGTAGTGAGTGATAAGGAATGATGAGGTTAGGTGGCTTGATAAGTTGGGTATACAGTTATGCAAAATGAACCCTGTCACCTTGTCTAGTAAGTACGATGCGGGACAAATGGCTGACAATATACCTCTTGGGAAAGTATAGAAGGTGTATTAATTTCACATGACTTGCATAGTAATGATATTCCCGCGTATGCATAAATTACATATTTGATATTCAACACGGATATGATATAGAATCAACTGCAGGCATAATCCATGAATGACAACCGAACAACCTCGGTTCAAATCGAGAGCTGAATTATACGTTTCCAAGGTTAGATAGATAGAAGAATGAAGCTCCAGGACCACATTAAACCCCTATTTTATGAACTTCCGATAATAACTGTTGATTAGATTCTAGAAGCTATTCGTAGATACTACATCAAATCACATCAAATGATCAAAACATCCCATCCATATCCAAATCCAAAAATTCTGGATTACCCATATGCGCCGCGTTCAATATATCATCCAAACTCGTATCCATACCCGTAGTATCAAGATCATGTTGCTCATTGCCATGATCGTTATTGTTGGCTGTTGCTGTGACTACATTGTTGAGAATCTGATCTATGGATTCGTTTGCTGCGCCTCCTAAATTGTTCGTGTTACCGTTTGCGTTACCATTGCCGAGATCCAATCCATCGCCGCCTGCAGCAGCAGCTGCTGCGGCAGCCTCCAGGTTCATATTGTCAATAATGTTTGTCACGTCGAGAGTACCCACGTGTGCTGGTGGTGTCAAAAGTGCGTTTACGCGCCGGGTCAATCTGACAATCACTTCGGCGCGAGAAGGGTCCTTTTCGGCGAGTTTGGGCACGTTCTGATGCTGTACCATCAGTGCTTGGCGGAGAGTCAACAGCAGACATCGCGGGAATACTTCCTTGGTGGTATCTACCGGATGGTAGATGGTCTGTTCTTGCGCGAAAGATTCAGGCATCGGTACACATATCAACGTTGCTGCGATATCGATTGCGAGGTCAAGACTGCCACTGGCTTCCTCGGCTTGGGCTTTGAGCTCGTCGAGTAAAACTGATAGCACATTTGATGCTGTAGATAAGCGTATGCCTGCTAGGATCAGTCGGTGCGTGTATGTGTGAGGAGACATGCTCATTTGCGCACTCGCACTCCACATGATCAAGCCTTGGAATGTGACTCTGATTACTCCACAAATACCATCGGCATGTGTGGTCCAGGAATCAAGTTCGGACCGACGGCTATTCCCGTTGCATTGGAAGGACAAGTACGGGTCAAGGATGTCAAGAAGGGATTGAATTTCGTGTTGAATATCTTGATGCGGACTTGGCTGGATATCCGAGTGGAGATCTGTGCGACCACCAGTAAGTCGTGTTCGTACATCTTTCAGTTGTTCCTCAAGGCTCCGCGCGGTGATGTTCAATACCATCTGATGGCATGCCTCTGCTTCTCCTGATATCGAATTCGGTTTAACGAGAGCATGAAGCACTTTCAAGAGCAGTAAAAGATCTGCTTCCGACGATTCCCAGATGTAGTTTCCCAGCCATTTGAGTGCAAAGACCAGTGACGGTAATAAGAACGGCTCAAGTAAATCTGACAAACCATGAATTGTCTATCTTAATTGTAGTAGTCGAGGGGACAAACTCACACTCAAACCCGCCTTTCAGGGTGTCGAATTCCAGCTTTCCCACCTCACAAGCGCCTAATGTCTGGCTGAACAAAGTAGCCACAAGTAAATAAAACTCCTGTGGACTGCATGACGACATTGTCTCTTCACTGATTCCCTCTGCAATAAAGAGCGCGGATATCCACGCGCCAACATTCTTGTTTTGCTGGGCATCGAGGCCAGCCAACTTCATACTGGTTGAACCTCGGTCGAGGAGTTTCAATACAAATGAGTTGCTGGCGGTAACACCGAGGTCATACTGACTGAGGTCGTAGCGATATTTGAATGCAAGGACAAGAAGCAATATACTGCCGAATTCGTCATACACCGGCTGACTCTCACCTATAATATGTGTTAGTCAGCCCATAAAAAGAATTAGAAAGTCATACCCTGGTCTTCATCCCATTTCCAAGAGTCTAAGAGTGTACACAAAGGCTGTAGTATGCTCTTGGGACTGCGAAACAGTAACATTGCGTCGAGGACCTGAGGGCGCCGAGATAGAGAATTGCATATACCCTTGAGCGTCACTGTCTCCTTTTGTTCGCAAAGTGAATGTATGACCTAAACCAGATTTAGCTGGTAACTTTACTCAATCAGTCTAGTTGTACTTACATCCGTTACTGCAGCGACAACAGCGCCTGCATTGCCTTCCATCAACTCAATCTCCGATATCAAACGGTCAGCAACGCCTTGATTTGAAAGGATCTGTGCCACGATATCATTCTTAACATATCTACCACCGACAGGCAGTGTCTGCATTGGGTTCTCGCCCAACAAGCGCTCAATACTAGTTTCAGGGATCAAGCGATGGAGAGCACATGCAAATAAGAATTCTTGCCGGACGTCTGACAATACCGTGTTTCCTTGCATCTCAAACATCTGAGAGAAAGATGGGAACGCATTCGGATCGACTCGGTTGAGTGCGTGGCTGATACACATCTCCATGGGTATTTGCTCTATTGAAGTAGCTGCCATGCCAGCGAGGAAAGGTGGTAGTTTATTGACCAGGAATGATCGGAATACAAACATGTTTCGGGCGGATTCATTTCGGTACATTGCATTGGATAATACGTCGAATGTTGCAGTAATCAACTCTTGGATGAGAACTTCTTGATGGCCCTGCAGTTGTCAATAGACCTTTCAAAGTATAGGTATAGGAAACGTACCCCATAACGATTAGACAAATAGCTCAGTAGCATCTCGTCATCAATGAGAGGTCGACCAACAAGCTAGAATCAAGTCAGCGCCTTTTCCACATTGACGGGCATGGACACTTACCAAGGCATTAATGTATACATAAAGACCAGCCCTGGAATCGATTACCGGACCATCTAATACAGATGCTTCAAACTGAAGGCCATTCATATTCATCCCATCCATCATCTGTATATCGAGGTCTTTGGATGCCGGACCCCCATATAATTGGTAACCCTTCTGCAAGCTGTCTAGTCGATTTCTTAGATTCAGGGATATTGTAGCTGATGTTGACAGGTATGCAGTGAGAGCTTGACCAAGGGGGATTTTGAATTCTGAACATATTAGTGGCTTTTCCATGCATAAAAACTGTACGGTCCATACCTGCTGCACTCTCCGAAGTCAGAACATCATGGCCCTTTGCGGTTGCCGATAAAGCTACCAACAGGATTCCCAGAGATTCGAATAAAGCCAATGCATCTGGCGAGCTCGTCAAGCCGCCTTCTTGATGATCCTCGCTGATATTGCCAGAATGCCAACGGACCACATCCAGAATCCATTCGGCAGTTACCATGAATATACTCTGAACATCATGCGTGCTGAAAGATAGATTAGTCGATGACAACGGCGCTATCAAATCCTGCACAATCCGGGTATCAGTCATGAGCGTTGAACGGTGTACCGCCTTTTGGTTTTGCTCCGTGGCTGATTTGTCATGATCTGAAACTGCGGTAGATTGACCCTCAATGAATGACTGTCTCCGTAGCCCATCGAGCAACGTTGAGATTCTGATCAAACCCAATTTCCGTAATGCAGTGGCATACCGTGGTATCAACGGGTCATAAGGAAATATCTCTGCAGTGATGGATTGTGAGCCAAGAAGCACGTTGACCAGAGATGCTTGCTGTAACGGTGCACGTCTTGACAATATTTTGACTAATCTGCGGAAGACATCAACCTCAATTCGACGAGACACACATTCATGGAGTAGTTTCCTCCATTGCTCTATTGGTTTCATGTTTGAGCTTAGCGTTGTCAGGCTAGTTGATATATATGATTTGCATAGAAGCAAAGCACATGCTCGCTTACTATTCGAGCTTGATCCTATTCGAGCTCTTCAATCCGGAATATATATGCTGGGGTAATATCAGGTTCATATCATATTTGATGATTGTCGCGAGTTAAAAAAGTCAAATATGTATCGTCAAGATTTCCCCAAGCGTTGCAGCCGGTGCTTAACAGATGGAAGAGCCGGAGTGGTCGCAGAATGACTCTTCTGTTTGCCCAACGTTGTTGTCGGATATCAATAAAGACGCGGTTGGATACACGTGACTAGGCAGACTGATTATGTAATATATCCGTCACTAACTAGCCTGAATAGGTTTAGTTCCATATCTTTATATTTATTCTCCAGGGTCTCTCTTCTCAATCACGAGAACAACCTTGGAGTATGGACAGTGAAAACTTGTTGAAATTCTTTCCTGGCTTGAGATCTATAGAGCCAGGTGAAAATTTGCTTACCATCGTACATCCCGCTCTGCAATGACGGTACCCCCACGAGAGAGAGCAACGAACCGTCGTGACGGCCATCCAGATCCATATATTGATTGACTCATGGGTCCATGGATCTGCAGAGACGACTGGTACATTCTCGTTAGTACTCAAAAACCCAAGAAATGGCTAGAAAGGCAGATGCCCACGTTGTCATAGAAGCAAGTATATCCATTGAACCATCAGGCTGGTAACTGGTTGATCCACGACAACAGGTTAATCCTTTACCGTGATGCTCAATTGAGAAGCAAGGTACGTACAGCCCCGTGGCTAGCTGAATAGGGTGCCAATGGTGGATCCAGACAATATGATGCTTGATGCACAGGTACGTATTAGGAACCGCACAGTGGACACACAATTCGACCGAGAGAACTCTGTCAACTGCTAACTGACTGCGCAAACCTAGTCATTTTCTATGTGAAATTCATATAAACCCATGTCTTCGTAGGTGCCAAGACTATATTTAGATCCTCCCGAATTAAACCCGAACTTCAGCCATTGATATTATTTCAAGAATGTATATATCAGTCAAGATAGAACAATATCTTGTACAATGTATTCAACCCCATACTGTGCCGTTATACCGTTACTTGATTGACATCCCACGGCAACCCTATGTTAATGTATGAAATATAGTAGAAGTGGAGGCACCCCATCCAATATAATCCGTACGGAAAGATCCATCCGCTTAACATTTGGGATTGTCACTTTACATTGTCACCATGGATAGTAACATTATAATGTTGCTTGCAAGTGGTGCCGAAAACAGGCTCATACGGGTTCAGTTTCTGTACCCGCAGAATATATACATGTATATACAAGAAGAATGAATCGATACTCCGGACTAGTGTATGTACCTCGGCATACCTACCTATGTATCAATTGCGACTGGATATACGTCCGTGATAGGTGTATAGATAAATGACATTTCCAACATCAAGAAATATACGAACCAATAGAATCTCTCGGTTGTAGGTACGAACTCAATTGTAACCTCCCGTCATGTTCATACTGGGATTTTCTCCCCTGAACAGGTTCGTGGTCGCTGTACTTTCTGACAGACCTGAAACGAAACAAAGTTGTTTCTTTACATTGGCCGATCGCATATTCCGTATAGAAATGTGGTCCCCTGGGCCATGTGGATCACGCGGGCAGGTATAAAATTATATCGAGGCTGTGTATTTCAATCACGGAATTTATTTGTACTTCTTTCCCCGTACGTAGATTGTTATTTACGTGTCTGTACTATACAGATCGTGATGTATTGAATCCCCCATTATATATGATACGTAACTCGCTTAATGCTAATCTCTATACATAGCCCACTACTCCTCTGATGGGGTAGAAAATCATGTCAATGCTGATCGTTCTCCAAGGCCAACTCCGTCGATGCAGGGCAGGTGATAAATGGAATGATTAAGGTGTTTCGTCTCTCTCGTGGTGTGTTGGTGTGTATAGTCATCAGTAATAAAGAGATTCGTAACGCATCTGCTGAGCGAGCAGCTAAGCACATTGGACTGTATAATCATGACGGCCGTAGGAGATCGTGAGTAGTTTCGTGAGAAATATAGAATAGATCTTTATCTCGACGTTCGATTCCGCGAATGTGACGACGACGAATCTTGCAATGTATCCGGGAATCGAGGCCCAACCATCCAATCCTCCATCGCTAACCATTCACTCCAACTTCGCTCGGCAGCCTCAAGTTCCGAATCAATAGGTCCTTGCAAGGGTCGTAAGAACGGCACCGTCTCCGCCGGTCCCATATCGTAATCCTTCTTTACTGCAGCCCATCCACCACTCTTGGCAGCAAAAAGGTAGTTTCGACGCTCATGTTCATGTAAAGGTCCTACACCGGCCGTCCAGTCATCTCCAAAGAATCCGTGCAGAACTCCAGGAAAGTCCATCCCCGTAGCGACTAGACGTCTAATATAAGGAATCAAAGAGATTGATGATGCTGCACTAGAAGCTAAAGAGCCCGTCATCGTTTGGTTCGCAGACGACGGAACCGACCCTGCAGCAGGGGTGCTAGAATTGAAGACTGGGAAAGACTGTTTCTGAAACGGAAGCTGGATGTTGAGAAAGGCCGACAGCGCCTGAACGGGGACGCTATGTTGTGCATAGTCGACGAAATATCTTTGACAACTTTGGTACCGCGGGTACCACTCGAAGATGTCGAAACTGGAGTCGTCGGATCCATGAGATGCTTCAGATAAGCCGGCCATGGTGGCGGGATCAAATTGATGGTCTGAACCGCTCATGCCGGCAGGTGGTTCATGCGCGTTGGTCGGTGACAATAAATCCGTACCTTTGAATGCGCTAGAGCTGCGATCATGTCAATTTGGGTTTGATGCATATTGCGTCTTATTCCTTTCGTTTAGTTCAAGTCTTTCCGGTGCTTCAACCGAATGATATACATGTAGAAACACAGCATATCAAGGTATATCCAGCACATTCTGGTTTAAAGGTCGAGTAAAACAGCAGCGGAAACAGAACAAGAAAGAAACACGAATGCATATACTGGACAATGGGGCCGTTACCTACTTGCGGATGAAAAGACTCCTTCCTCGACGGATCACCACACGAAATCTAGACCCCAGCCTGACAGTCTCAGGAGTGTCACGGCGCAATGCAGACGAAGTAGAGACGCGGCCTGCCTGTTGACGAGTTATATCAAACAACGACTCTATCCGAGATAGAGATTGCATTCAGAAAAGAAGACAGAGCATGCGGCTATGCTGAAAAAAGCCGTCTGGATGCGCGGGGGAAAGTGTCACGGCGGGCAAAGCCGCATAAGGAGGGGCGTCGTATTTAGTATTCTTCAGGCTGAAACGAAACGAGTTGACATTCAGAAGAGAGGATTGACAGGACAACTCATATACTTCCAAAAGAGTGGCATAGAATAAGAAGGGAGAGAACTACAAGAAGAGAAGATGGGACGGATCAGTCTAAAAGTAGCGATGAATGAAGCTGGGACGAATTGCAGCTCGATTATTCAACCGTTTAGACCGTACGGTAATGGAAAATACAGCCGCGACGGCGTTCGTATTGAAACACTGGTAATTTTTCTAAATCTCTTGCTTATTGCGGAGCCTGCAAGAGAAGTTAAGAAGGAAAAAGAGTAGCTGGATCTATGTGGGCCGTGCTGCCATGCCACCATTACCAGATGGATGATTCAATCTTTGCTATCTAAGTTAGCCTGGACAAAGTAGCAATTTTGTGAGTCAGTGACCGTGGAATAGAAACAGTCTTCCTCATGTCTAAAACTCGGGGATAACCCGTATCTTCGAAACAAGCACTGAGCGGCAAACTGAGGCGCACTTTTGAACACCGAGTATGGCACGAACCGAATATCTGCGTATGTAGTAGTATCAGAACATCACCAGTGGGTTCAAGGTAAAGTCAATTCCAAAACTCAGCTTGCGACTGTCCCTAAACGTTTTCAACCGAACATCATTGGGCATTGGCTCGTTTTTCGCAATTTCGGAAGTCGTCGCCTAACGACGTCGTGTGATTGCTTAGGGTATGGCCATCGCGATCTAGGGTGCGTACAGTTACGTACGCTGATAGGCATACGTACTAAGATTAAGCAGGGCAACTCGTTAGGATTGATTCCCTTTTTTTTTTCTTTCTCCATCTCCCAGCCGAACTAGCTTATTTCGCCACCGCCAACCACATCGCATAGCCGGGATATCTGTATGCTTTTTTGGGTCTTTTCGTCTTTTGGCTCTTGACTAACGGGACTCCGCCCGTCGGGGAGAATGCCTTCAATTAGTTACCGGCCTCGTAGGAGCTGTGATTGGGTTGAGGCAAAAAATAACTAACTTTTGCTTTAAGTCCCCTGCAAAACAGGACAAGTCGGATTTCGGCATGGTCTCGATCTCACCCTTTCGGTTTCTCTCCTTTTCTCCCTCGTATAGAAGACTGAGACTGCATTGCAAATGTGTTGTAGAGACGAAAATTGTGAATCTGGACGGCTTCCGGTTCGGCACGTGGCCCATGGCACGGGGTGTAAAAAACTCCTTTGAACCGTGTATCGTATTGAACATTACCGTATCGCCACTGAGATATACGGAGTATGTACGGAGTAGTATGTCCTTCAAGAGTGAAGAGACACACGCAAGGGAAACCCACCTTGTCCCATCATCCCGGGCCAGCAGGATTCGTTAGCCGATCTGATAGTTCCATTGCTTTCTGCATCTCTTAAACGAGAAGAATAGCTGCAGAACGGCTGGTTTTGTTGGTCGACTCCATGCATCTCTCTCAGCCACAGATCACAACACCCGGATCGAGGATATAACACATCGATCGTACAGAGTAGAGGCTGAAAGTCGACGAGGTCAAAGCATTATCTGATGTGGCGAGTGAGTGTCGATCTATGACCCTGGGCTGCGTGTAACAGATCAATAGTTGGATTTAGCTTGCGTGGCCTGTGTGTCTATCGCACCAGCCACAGTTCACCGCCTCATTCTGGATTTCCCAAAAATCGATCTATCTTTATGGGTTGAGCGATCCAATTGCATTCCATCTCTATCATTTAATCAGCAGGAAAAGTGCTCGGACTTGCCGAGGCCTTCTTTATTGGGCACGGGAAAAGAAAAAATAGGTCACGGGACTTGAGATATAGCATTGCGTCATACTATTCCTGATGTCCCGTTTTACGTCTTTTTCTGATTTTGTTGAGCAACAACAAAAGAAGGCTACTGAAGATACAGTCTATTGAATGATCCGCATATTACTTTAAGATCGTCTGAGTATTAACTCTGCTATTGGCTTAGCATCCGCGTGACCAGCAACCATGGCAACGTCCAAAAGCACATATTCATTGTCGTCGACAATCAAAGTCAGCTTCCCGTCCTCTTTTCCCTTGGTTGGTGGGATAAGCACTGCTAACGCAAGATATTTAGCGTTATAGCTCACCAATGGCAAAATTATGCCAAGGATCCAATTGGGGGTGTACCTGACGTCGGGAAGAGAGACCGAAACTGCCGTCAAGAATGCTTTAGAGGTGAGCTGACCGGTTTTCATCGAGTGGAACAAGAAAGCTGACATGTGCACAAGGCCGGCTATCGAGGGTAGGCGTTCTCTGCTTAGAAAATGACAATCGGCTGACGTTACAACAGAATCGATAGCGCTCAAATGTATCACAATGAAAAAGAAGTCGGACGATCTATCCTACGCTTCTTGGAGGCGGAGAAGCACAAACCCGATGGTCTGAAGCGGGAAGATATCTTCTTCACGTCGAAACTGGCTTCAAATGTGAGCTACGATGCCACGCGCCAATCCATCAAGAAATCCATCCAGGCTTCGGGATTAGGATACATTGATCTTTTTCTGATCCACTCTCCCTACGGCGGCAAGGCAAAGCGTCTCGAGTGCTGGCGTGCGCTGGAAGATGCCTATGAAGAGAATGAGGTTCGCGCAGTGGGTGTGAGCAACTACGGCGTCAAACACCTGCAAGAACTGTTAGCGACGAATCCCAAAATCTACCCGGCGGTCAACCAGATTGAAGTCCATCCGTTCAATACACGAACCGAGATAACTACGTTCTGCCAGCAGAACGGTATTGTGGTTGAGGCATATGCGCCCCTTGCTCGCGCGTATCGATTCGGTCATCCGACGATTGTTTCGCTCTCGGAGAAATATGGATGTACGCCGGCGCAGTTGATGGTTCGATGGAGTCTGCAGCATGGTTATGTGCCCTTGCCGAAGAGTGTTAACAAGGAGCGCATTGTCGCTAATGCGCGAGTCGAGGGATTCGAAATTGACTCGACTGATATGAATACATTGGATGGACTAGATGAGTATTTGGTCACAGGTACGTCCCTCATCAAGAAACAGAGCGAACGGGGCTAACTAGGACGTGAAGACTGGGATCCAGTAGATGCGCCGTGAACTGTTGTATACAGTATATATAGAGTTTAACTTGTATAGCGGCATTTATCATTGGACAAACCACAGCTATAATACCAATTCTCCAAGGAATATCACAAAGAATAAAAAGCAATGTGACCACAAAAAAAAAGAAAGTACACTGAATAATCTCATTATCAATGCATTGGCTTATCTACGGGATCCCGGTGGCGGAGAGCCTGACGTGAGTCACTGGCTGTAGTCAGCCCTAACTTAGACCGCGCCGAGCATCGGAGATTTTTTTTCTCTGCAGGTTCAACCGTGTATCAAATATTGCTTCTGACTGATTTATTTTCGAAGAATATTTACATGGATTAGGGAAGACTAATAATACATAAAAAATGAAGTCACGGCCGATCAACATGCACATTGACCACATCATCGCTCGTGTATCTGTGACTGTGGTTGGGCATTGATAAGGATGTGTGTCGTAACTTTTCAACTAGTCAAGTCAATGAGAAGCCCTAAAACGTAGAAAAATGGTTAAGGGTAGCGCTATATCCGCGTGATCGTCTTTGGTAGACCTCCGGCCGTCGGCCTGGGTGCCTTGCTTCTCGTGCGACTGACTCTGGTACGGTAGGTATGTATAGGATGAAATAATATATATAATAAGGACTCCTTCTCTTCTCTGCTCGATTCTTTTCTGTTTCTACTGCTTTATCCCAGTTTATGCCACGCACCACGTACATAGTACATACCTCAAGACATATACACACCCTGAATAGAGAATACCACCATGTCCAATTTACCATCGGAGCCTGAGTTCGAGCAGGCCTATAAAGGTACCTGTTCAATCTGCTATAGACTGCATAGTGACACAGTCTGACAATTTACAGAACTCGCGTCAACCCTCGAAAACTCATCTCTCTTTCAGAAACACCCCGAATATCGCAAGGCTCTCAAAGTCGCTTCTATCCCGGAACGGGTGATTCAGTTCCGTGTGGTTTGGGAGGATGACAAGGGCGAGGTATTTCTTCCGCGCCAAAATCTGATTACCCTACTAACGTCTTATCTAGCTTCAAGTCAACCGCGGTTACCGTGTCCAATTCAACTCCGCTCTAGGTCCATACAAGGGCGGTCTCAGATTCCACCCCAGTGTCAATTTGTCCATTCTGAAATTCCTTGGTTTTGAGCAAATCTTTAAAAATGCTTTGACTGGATGTGAGTGCTGTTTTCCGATTCAGACTAGAATTTCAAACTGACGACAGCTAGTAAATATGGGCGGTGGCAAAGGAGGTGCCGACTTTGACCCTAAGGGCAAATCGGACAATGAAATCCGGAAATTCTGCGTGGGGTTCATGACTGAGCTGTCGCGCCATATTGGCGCTGATACTGATGTCCCCGCTGGAGATATTGGTGTCTCTGGACGGGAGATTGGATATTTGTTCGGCCAGTACAAGAAGATTCGTAACCAGTGGGAAGGTGTTCTTACTGGTAAAGGGCTCTCCTGGGGAGGAAGTTTGATTCGTCCTGAAGCCACGGGATACGGCCTCGTTTATGTACGTTTCTCTTCCGACATTTTCAAGACAGGCACTGACTAGAATAGTACGTCCAACACATGATCCAACACGCCAGCAAAGGCAGGGAATCCTTTGAAGGAAAGCGAGTGGTTGTCTCTGGCTCAGGCAACGTCGCCCAATACGCAGCTTTGAAAGTTATCGAGCTAGGTGGAACAGTCCTCTCTCTATCAGACAGCCAGGGATCTTTGGTCATTGCCAACGGCACTGATGGCTTCACCCCCGAGGAAATCCATGCCATTGCTGAACTCAAAGTTGCCCGCAGACAACTGAGTTCAATCTTCTCTTCTGACTCCGCAGAAGCTAAACTGTTCAGCGCCGAAAAGTTCAAATACATTGAAAACGTTCGTCCATGGCTACACGTTGGAAACGTGGATGTTGCCTTACCATGCGCCACACAGAATGAAATCTCCGGTGAAGAAGCAAAGGGATTAATTGCCGCTGGCGTCAAATTCGTTGCTGAGGGATCAAACATGGGATCTACCCAAGAGGCTATTGATATTTTCGAAGCTGACCGAACTTCCAAGAGCAATGCTGAGAGTATATGGTACGCTCCTGGAAAGGCAGCTAACCTCGGCGGCGTAGCTGTCTCTGGTCTTGAGATGGCTCAAAACTCTGCTCGACTGAGCTGGACTCGGGAAGAGGTTGATGCTAAGCTCAAGGATATCATGAAGGCGTCGTTTGAAAATGGATTAGAGACTGCCAGGGAGTTTGTGCCGTCGTCTGGTGAGAATGAGTTGCCTTCTCTTGTGGCAGGAAGTAATATTGCGGGTTTTATGAAGGTAGCAGCCGCCATGAAGGATCAGGGAGATTGGTGGTAGTCTGGATTATTTTATGTATAAATGGTGGTTGGGTTATTTATGGTTAGATTGAATAGATTTGTCACTTTTCACCTCGTCTTGCTTTAGGTATTTACGAAATGTTATGACTGCCACGGGACATCAATTCAAGAATCAACCTTCTGTCAATCCAACTGATAACGTCTCAATATTCTGCACAAAATGACCCTTCAATGTATGGGCTCAGATAGGGGTGTCATCGATACCTCGACCATGCATTCGGGCACGCAATCTCAAACACTTTGTCTGTATGCTGTGTCAATGGCAGCAGTCGATAACCCTGGACTGTGACGTAGCCTGATATTGAACTTAAGTGTGCCAGATTCATAGCGTATGGAGAACAATTTGGCCTGGTTTGTTCCATCATGGTAAAGCAAACCCATGATCTCTGGCAGCACAAATAATGTCACAATAATAGGCATACATTCTTCGGCTTGAGACCCTATTGATAGCAAATGGCATCAATCTAATTTTTTCGTTAAGATGCTGAAAATTAGATGGCGTGTGACGGGTTATATATTTACAAGCTTTCTGCCCTCGCTTCGCTCTGGCGCCAGATGAGAACTTCAAAATTAGTGCATTATATAATCAATAAAGATCTATGTTATTTATACAGCCGATCAGATGTATATAAGTCCAAATAGGCTATATATATAATAAGTGCCATTTCTATATACTATCTAGCTAGGAGAATATATGCCTGCTTAGTATCCTGTTAGTTAGCTTGATAGCTGGCCTGCTAATTGGCTTATCAACTGGCTTGTCAATTGGTACGTCAACAGGTTTGTAAGCTGGCTCATAATCTGGCTCGTGATCTGGCACGTACGGAGATTCGTAAGCTAGCGAGTCAACTGGCTTGATTGTTAGCTTATAAATTATATATAAGATCAAGGGATCGTTATATAGATATCTATACCTTGGTTTATATAGAAGCCCGTACGTTGACTGGCTGGCTAGCTGGAGATTGGTAGTAAAAAGGGGCATAGAAATAATAACTAGGCTAATAAGTCGTTGGAACCAAAATCACGTGACAGAAGTCGAACTACGGAACGGCTCGCAAATACCACATCAAGGGCGTCCTTTTTGATGAAATGGTATTACGTTGAAGTTCCGACATAAGTTTACAAGCACGTGATAGGCAGCCTACGGCTGCTTAGTCAGAAGTACGCAAAATAAAGTCTTGGCAAGGAAGTATGGGGGTGGATCAAGATCACGTGATGCATACGTACGCCGTAATGAACATAAACTCCGTAGGTAATCGGTGACTCCCTTCAGTCAGCCATTTCTCGATTCTTCTGCATAGTGTACCTTTCTTCCCTTTGACGAACATATGATACCCCCTGTTCAGTTCAGCTTGTTACAAATCACTCTTACGCGTTTGTTTCACCTTGTCAAACAATAATCAGTCATTTTAGAAAGGCCCGTCTTACCGCCAGCGAATTCCCCCCTCTTCTCCGTCAAATAGTTACCCCCTTCCATGTGATTGTTTTGTATTTTGACTATAAATCTGTGAGATCACCACTTTATCGATCACTGAACGATGGCCATGGCAGAAACTTCAGATCCTCCTCATGGTATGTGTTTTATTTTTACGCTTCTGTCTTGATAAACAATCAACTAACAATTGCGCGGCGGGCGCGTAGTTCGACACAGTCGCCGAAAACCCTTTTCAACGTGGATGAAACGACTAACCAACCTGAAAAGCTCGTCATCTTCAGGCACACAATCTGGTAGCAGAGAAGCATCAGGAAAGGGCAATGTTCATAATAATATATTAAAAAGCGGCAACAAACGACAGAATGGTTGCGCAAAAAACAATCCGTATCCCTTGTCAGGCACCATTCGCGATATTGGGTCGCCTCGGAGTTATAATGATACTGTGTCTTATACGGAATCGACTGAGACAGATCAACATCGACTTGATCAAAGTGCGAGTCAGCATTCGTTGCAAGCTTCTGCGTCCGAGCAGAATATTCCGGGGAATAGCGCCAAATCGACTGCCCCGACTCTGTCTACGATGGGCGACACTGCGCGATCCGAGACCGGATACTCAAAGGCTGGGACTACGATGACGGGACCTGGAGGAGTGTACGGGGGTGGGGAAGGGAGTACATTCTCCTCACCAGCGCCGTCGGTGCGTTCGTTGACCACGACTTTGACTACTGTCCAGTCTGCGGCGCCGTCTGCTCACATATACGGCATCGCACAGAATAATCAGAACATCAATGGGCCCATCAGCTCTGCGCAGAATGGTCTGCAACAACAGACTCAATTTGCGCATCAATTCCCACCTTCACCTGCATCTGCTGTTCCACCGCATGTGGCTATGACGGGCCATCCGACGACATACAGTTCCGCAACAGCCAACAATATCCTGACCGATAACGCATCCATTCTCACGCTTGCATCATCCTCGAAACGTCGACGTAGAAACTCTCTCGACACCAATGCCTCCATGCGAGCTTTGGCGCCTTCTTCGGTGTTTGGCGGTAGTCGCGAGAGTCTACCCTTGAGCGTACTCAGCGCTAACGTCGGGGCCGATGCATCCAATGCATCTATTACAAATGCATCCGGTGTACTGAGCCGACAGAGTCTCGGAGGTCTAGCTAGCGCCGAACGGATTAGTGTCTACTCCGCCTCGGGGACTGTGCCACCTCTTGTCCATGGTGGTGGTGATAGGAGCAGTCTGATTGCCGCCGGCAAGCAAGGAGATAACGGTAGTATTCGAAGCGGTACACACTCACACACTCGCAACGATAGCGCAGCTGGTAGTGTCTCTGGAACGATAGGAAGTACCCTGAACAATAACACTTCCGCCGCCGCTGCGATCACACCAGGTGCAATGCCAGGTAGGATAAGTCGTCGAAGTTCTGGATGGGGTGAAATTTCAGGCGAGGGTGAAGAAGGCGGTGCTCATCAACGATGTGAAATTGATGAATCGTCAGAAAAGACGGAAGAAGCGAATCAAGAAAATAGTCTTGCAAATGGGGATCCGGAATCTTCTATTGATGAAAAGGCCAAGCAATAGCCTATCATCCAGTTCTGTTTCCAACTTCATTCAACCCGCTTATGACCACACGCATAATATCATACCTCTGTTTGTTTCCGTTACGTTATCCAACCCGACGAATGATCACTTTACCTTATGAACGAATACTTCCTTGCAATTACATGTATACTACATTCACAATTCATGCATCATCAAGAAGTATGGAGAAGTATGAAATGAAGTAGAGAATCATTATCTCATAATTGTAAACTAGCATCGCACTGGAAAAAATCAATCAACACCGCCGTCCGCTTACCATGATGAGGAATTCCTCTGGTATAATAATGATAATAGGTCAAAACAACGACCTCACATCACACATTCTCCGATGACCATTTCGAAGCAGAAATGAAAAGAGGCGAGTATCATAAGTAATAGAAAAGGTATAGACATTGAAGACATAAAGCAAGAAATGACTCATCACAAAAGCTGCGCGTGTAACTCGTAATAATAATCCCTAACCTTATGATATAAAGGCTGGACGTAAACTGCTGTAGTATTCTATCATGTTCCCTTTTTTTGGTGGTTTTTCGAATTTTTTTTTTTTGCTTTTTTTTCCCTCTACTTAAGCAGTGCCAACCCCAATCTTGGACTCGGATGATTGCTCCTTCCCCGCCTTATGACTAGCCAAGAAATTCTTAAACATATGCGCAATATCAGTCTCGCTTCGCTGTTTTCCTTCTCCAGACTCAGAGCCGTTCTTCTCAGTAATCAAGTTCTTCAACCACTGATTCTCAAGCTCTAGTTGTGAGACGCGTGCTTCCAACACAGCGTTTTTCTCGCTTGCCTCCTTGACCGATTTTTCGAGCGCTTGTTCGCGTTGCTTCTTCTTTACGCGGAAGCGGGCGCTGGCGGCTGTGTTGCGACGACGTTTGTCTTCTTCGGCTGCGGCACGGGCGGCTTCGTCGAGGGTTTTGGAGTCGTGGGATTGTTTGCGTTTTGTGCCTGCTATTTGCATTGGGGTAGACACGAAGGAGGAGATGTTTGTTGGTGAGGGGATCTCGGTCTTGGGGACGCGGGGTGGTTGTTGTTGTACTGGGCCGGTGGTCTCTTCTACTGGGTGTGGTGTATTCTGAACAGTGGGTATGGAGTGAAAGGTCGAGTTCATGTGTTGCAGGTTGTGCGATTCCTCCGAGGTGAAATTGGAGGTGTAATCGGGCATGTTGCCCAGGTCTATTATCCTCTTGTCAGACCTGATATTCCCTTTCTCCACTGAATTCACAGTCTTACCATTCAACAAATCCATATAATTCATTTCAGTGTGCTTTTCAACAGCAGCATGCTTCTCTTCATGCGCCTTGTGCTGTTCCTCCTCGGCGGGGCTGAATCCCAACGGCATGTTCATATCCCCAAAGTGACCAAAGTCCAAGAACTCGGTGTTTGTGAAGAGTGCTAGCTCGGCATCAATGTTGAAGGGCTCGGCTTCTTGCTGTTGGACGGATTGGTCGTAGGGTGATGGGATCGTGTTGAGATCCTCGAGGTATTGAGCGAAATTGGGCGCTCGGCGGCCCCCGTAACTCGACATGATGATGTGCCTTGTCTTTCCAACCTCTTTTTTAAAAGATGTTTGTTTCCTTCACAGACTGATGGTTTCGTTGATCAAACACAACATGGACGGACTCGGGTAACGACAGACGGGACCCCTCCAGCGGGTGTGACAGCAAAGCGGGAAACCCAGCAGTTGCAATTCAAACGTAACGCTCGCTGCCTCGTAGCATATATCGTGCTGTCTCTCGTAACCCCAGATCAACTATCAAGAGATTGAAATGTAGATGAGAGAGAAGTGGAGGAGAGAGTGGTGTGGGCGGAAAAAGCAAAATATCCTTCTCGTTCGTGGATTACTGATCCAGTGATCCGTAAGACGGAAAGTGGCCAGTGGGGAAGCTGGCCGGATCCTGCATGGGGATTGGCCCGTGGTCTCCCGATACTGTACGAATGTAGTAATTTGCCATGACAAAGCACGGAATCTGCTACTTGTGGGCTGTGATTGGCTGCGCGCATTTTGCGAAGCGATCTTGCCGCGGCCTACAATTATATTTCCTGACCTTTAAGGAAGTGGTATACCCTGTACTTACTTTCATTAAATTGATCATTTGCGAATGTGTAAGCATGAGCATATTAGTAGTATGATTGTATGTTTGGATTTTGTAGAGCAGCGCCTCTGGTCATATCGCATGTCATATCCAAGCCATTTTGGCCATATTCATTCCCTGATTGTCCTTGCCACTCATGACATCGCCAGTAAATCATCTCAGGCAAGGCCGCCGAACATCGGCTGTGAGCAATGCGCTAGCCCCAAAAGAGCAGGTTTTGCCCTGAGCCCTCAGGCAGCCTCTCCACGTGTGTGCCCTGCCGACTTTTATAGCAGATTGCGCAATCCTGGAGCATTTGGTCGTGACTCGGGTGTTTGGCATGCAGCGCTTACTTAGTACATGCAAGTGCCTTAGCCTTTCTTATTCTACGCGCGGGGTACTATCTATTATCGTCTAGCGAAGCAACAGATCTGCCTCGTGGTGGTATGTCTTTAGGACTAGAGGCTAGAGCAATGAAAATAAACTGCGACCTGTGCGCCATGCTGAATTCGATCTTCCCCTCCTTGATTATCAATCAACGATCTCCGTACTCCGTACTCCGTACAGAGCTTCCGATATTTTCCTTGGGGAACCTTATCAATTCCGCGGAAACTACCATATTATCATCACGTGATCTCATGTTTATCGCGTCTTGGCATCGAGCGCGTCGCGGGTTGTTTTGGGCAACCACTAGCAATCAAGACAAGACGACATCTGAAAAATAAGATGTCTCTCTCGAATACAAACGCTAGGTCTCGAAACTAGAGTTTGCAACAGCATGGCAAAAAAAAGAACACTTCGCGCTCCTACCACGTCCAGTCTGCCGAACAATCTCAGAATCCCAAGCAATACACCTTCCTTAGTGAAAGCTTTTGGCCGGTTATCGCGACAATCGCTGCTAAACCTTGTTGCGGTATGGCTCTCGCCGAAAATCGTTGAATTATATCCGCCGTTTCTCGAAAACTCGAATGATAATGACGGTCTCAACGATCAAGACGAGTCTCCGTATCCAGCGGCCAGTAGCGTGGAAGAAATCCGTGAGGCATATGAAGAGCTAAGACAAAGAAAGGGCGGGAAAAGAGAAGTCATTGATCGAGTACTAGAAGGCGACTGGCGACATGGAATTGCTCTCGGCCAGCTCGCAATGGTCGATATTCAACATCTAGAAGATCATCCACGAGCGCAAACATGGTCTGCATTTCGTCTAGGGTTGGTGGATAAGAAGCGACAGTTAGCTGAAAAGGAAGAAGACGGGGATCTTTTGGCTACTCTTCCGCGACTCCATGCTGCGACGTTCTTGTCGAATCTACAGCGGGAAATCTCGCCGTTGGTGAAGGCTCATTATCATCTGGCACGATCGAAATCATACCCATTGATCTATTTGCGATTATTCATCACCGACTCTCCATATCATCAACCCCGACAGGGGCCGGGGACGTATCTAGATGCTGCAAGAATACTATACATTGCGTTTCCCGACAGCAGTCCCTATATCTATACGTCCATGTCGGCATTGACAGGCAGCAAAACCGGCCCCTCCCAGTCTGCTGTTCTCATGAACGACCCTCGAACTCTACGAGGAATTGTTCGAGACGCACTCCCAAAAGCTCTATCAAAGCAAAACGAGCGATATACATTAGAAGCAACTTCATTAACCGCCAAAAGCCTCGAAACGATGCTTGCGCTTCGCGGGGCTGGCAGAACAAACGAGGCCAATGGCGCGTTCAGTATATTTGGTGATGCAGTTTTTGAAGGTACTCCTGTTGATCCGCGACAGCCTACTACGGTAGTTCCGCAGGACTATCAGACCGCAGGTAGCGCAAGCGAAGATAAGGAGAATGCAACAGACCAACAAGATTTAAACCGGAAAGGAATCAGTCCAAGTAATGGATCGATATCATCTCCTGCGACAAAAAGACGCAAATTAGCTGTATTATCTCGATTCGGAACTTCAGGAACTTCGTCTTCTCAAGCAACTCTCAACCGGTTAGACATTCGTCTTCTCGACCATCTAGATGATGATGATAATGATGAGACTAATGCCAATGAGGAAGGTTCAGATGATGACGACAGTACACACACCATGTCCCTCTCTTTCACAGGCAACAATGTCATCGCGGGATTTCGAAAATTGGCGGAATTGGGTGTTGTAGATCCTAATCGCATGCCTTCGTGGATGACTGGTGAGGAGGGCGTGAGTACAGCTGTAATGCGACGAGGGAGACGGGTCGGATTATCAAGGTAACTGGAATTACCAGGGCAAGACTGCTATACTTGTTTCGTCGCTTCTGCATGATATATCCTGGCCTGGGTTTGAGCAATGGTGTATGGTGTTGATATGGTTGGGTCTGTTGGTTAGTTTAATTTGGACAATATATACCCGGGCAAAAGATCCCTGAAAGTTCAGAGATAGAACATGATATATCTCAAGGTCGACACAATTGTCTATCATTGAGTTAATAGCTTGACTACTATATGTTACTGATCGTGTTCCAAAGTCACGAATGCAGCATCTTGCCCTACGAAACAGCAACATGATTGGCTCGAGCTGCAATATGCCGATAAGATTGTTTCAACACACTACTCCGCTTATGTTAATTGTGTTTTGCCTTTGTTCACTTCCAATCTCAATCTCATAGATAATTCTGCTTGTCGATATTTTTTTTATCGGGAGTTCCCAGAAAAAATAACCGATAGATCTCTCCTTATAAGTGGCGGATCGTCCCTGAACAAACAATTGCCACCTTCTCTTTCCATACCCAAACTCCGCGCGAACCACGAACGACTTTTCTACCTACAAGCAAAACCACGATCTGCTTCAACGACAAGAATAAGAAGCAGTCATACCTCCACTAATGCTTTCAAACGCATACTACAACCCCAAAAAGCGTTCTCTCGAAGATGAGCAAGACAGCAGTCCGAAAAAGCGTCGCGCTCAACTACACGCGCAGTCGCAGTCGCATTCGCCCAATGGAGTGATCGATTTGACGCGCGATTCACCTGAACCATACACAATACCACCCATATCGCCCAATAGTAAGAGTAGGAAAAAACCAACAACTCCTCGCTCAAGCCAGTCGAGTCTATACGTTGAGGAGCGGAGGAAGAGGAGGTTCAGGGCGAATCCGCCGAAAAGCTATTTGGAGAAATTGTATCGGGCGACTACACAACGGCATGTTGGTCAGCTCTGAAGGCTGGAGAGTTTAAGCTAATGCGATTACTTTCATAGGATGTTTGTGATTTCACGCAATCGGACGGAGACGGCGGACATTACGGAAGAGAACGTGGATATCGTGGGCACAACTGGGAATATTTATACGGTGACTATCACGCATGAGCCTCGGTGTACATGTCCCGATGCATTGAAGGGGAATCAGTGCAAGCATATTATCTATGTATGTCAGACTACAGTCCGATACATTTCGTTTACTGACTTGTTAGGTTCTCGTGAACGTGTTGAAAGCCCACGACGAGCTTAGATATCAATTGGCGTTTCTCTCTAGTGTAAGTTTTGTCCTCCATTCGCATTGGATATAGTCTAGACTCTAATACGAGGTACAGGAACTCCGTGAAATGTACGACAAAGCCCCTATAGAAACCGAAGAAGCGCATACCGACACCGATGCTTCGGGAAAACGCAAGCCAATCGAAGGCGATTGCCCAATCTGTTTCATGGAATTTGAACCTGACAAGGAGAAGATAGTCTGGTGTAAAAGGAGCTGTGGGAATAACATCCACAAAACCTGTTTCGATCAGTGGACTGCTACTACTCGTGATCGGGGGGTTCGTTGTGTTTTATGGTGAGTCGGTTCACTTTCTTACTCATATCTGGAGATTAGCTAATAATGTATTTTCTAGTCGAACGGAGTGGTCTACTGATCCAGGAGCCACACTGGACAGAAACTCACTTATGAGCAGAGCCGAGTACGGTGAAGATGGGTACATGAACGTTGCGAGTGCCGTTGGCCTGTCTGGACATCGCGACTATTCGACTTATCACAGGTACTGGGTTGATCGTCATCTTGGCCGGCGGCGTGGACGGTCTTCGTATTACTTTGATGATGATTAGGATGATGATTATTGATAAGCTAGTTAGTTTTCGTCTGCTTAGAATCTGGATGGGAAGGCGTTAGATGGGAGGGATGTTCGGTTTTATCCAGTAGTGATATCGGATTCACCAAGAGTATCTTGTGTAATCAATAATTTGCATTCTAATATTCCTCTCTAAGTATCTGGCATGGAGCATATCCCTAGCTGCGACGGGCGGACGTCTAAGGCTAGGCCAGGCCCCACTAATCGTTCCCCGTATTTGACTAGCTGTTGGCTAATTCGGACCTAATCATCCTTACCTTTTTGTTGCTATGAAATGCAATATTCTCTGCTCTGGTTAATAGATGTTTTGACCGATATATTATTGGTATTTGCATCCGACACAACTATCTCTAACGACCGACTAAATGGCACGGCCACGTGCTCATTCCGGAGCTGACGGGCCCAAGGAACCTCATTCAGTATCATTAAAAGGTAAGTATCGCTGATACTGCATATTCGGACTATTGACTGACTATACGCAGTTTTACGGTGAGTTCTTCTTAGGGAACTTAGATTATAGTATGGCTTTGTCTTATGTCTTCAGATTATCACGACCCTCACTATCATATCAATATCCACTACCACGGGAAGACACGAGGATATCGTCAAAGGCGTCCCTCGCCTATCCCAGCAATGACTTTGATCCTCACTTTATCCTCAGTCCCAATGTTCGTCTTGCCCCGGTTTTTCAGCTTGGGTCCGGTCTAACCTGCACAGGTTACTCTTCCCCCAGCGTTCGGATCAGCATACGTGGGAGAAACATTCGCCTGTTCCCTATGCGCCAATAATGAACTACCAGAGACAGATAGCACGAAAAAGGTCACATCCGTCCGGATCCTGGCTGAGATGCAAACACCATCTCAAGTTTTCCCTCTGGATCTGAAACCAGGCGAAGACGAACATCAAGATGAGACACTACCAAAACCGGGCAAAGGGCTAGACTATGGCCAATCATTACAAAAAATTGTTCAATTCGATCTCAAAGAAGAAGGGAATCACATCCTGGCTGTGAGCGTTAGTTATACCGAGACGTTACTAGCTGATGCCAATGCTACTACTGCGAGTAGCGGTAGAGTCAGGACGTTCCGCAAGCTGTATCAATTTATCGCGCAGCCGTGTCTGAGTGTGCGCACAAAGGCGTCTGAATTGGTGCCCGCGGAAGTGGAGAATAAATCTCTGGGACCGTATGGGAAGACGCGTCTTTTGAGGTTTGCTTTGGAAGCGCAGTTGGAGAATGTGGGGGATGGGTCGGTTGTTATTGAGGTGCGTCTATCTGGAATCAGCACGAAATGAGAGTACTAATGCAATTCAATACAGAAAACGATTTTAAATGCAAAACCGCCCTTCAAATCCCAAAGCCTCAACTGGGACATACACCATTTCCCTTCTAGCAGCACATCGGAACAACCAACAATGAATCCCCGGGATATTCTACAAGTAGCGTTCTTGGTCGAGCAAGAAGTCGGTCAACACGATGGATTGGAGAATTTGCAAAAGGAATTGAAAAGGGATGGACGAGCTATCCTAGGACAGCTTTCGATTGAGTGGAGGAGCGCGATGGGGGATAGAGGGTTTTTGACGACGGGGAATTTGATGACTAAGAAGCGGTAGATTTTTTGTTTACTGGAGGGATATTATAGATAGACTTGTCACTGACTAGGTCGGTGGTTATGCCGCGAAATATGATAATTGTCCTGTGTGTCGAAGGGTAGTACGATACCACTAGACGTATCACACCCATTATGAACTAACGACTTTGTTCCTATATAGTACAAATATACTCTTCTATGCAGCTACACATACTTGTCTATCAGAGCCATAGAAGAATGTTCACCAGAGAAGTCGAGCATATATGATTGGTTCGGCTGAGCCCGACCGACGGTCACACTGACCCGCAATTCACGGTTGCCCAAGGAACTTTAAATGATTTCTGTCCAATCAGATAGCCTGGAGGATATATCCTGAGACGCATTCAAACAGATCGAGTCTGGAATCTGCTCAGTGCGTATCTTGCATTCCATGGGTACGGAGCTCGTATATCACGATCGAAAGTTCATGGAAACCCGAGGGCTAGGGTATAAGTTAGGTATGAAACAGACCTCGGAATCCGACGGTAATAATGACGATCGTAATCGCAGATAAGTTTTAAGTTTAGTATTTTATGCTTTTCTCAAACCGTGGCTCGATCGGTGACTCAGTTTCAACCGTGATCTGAATATTCGCGCTGATCATTACTTATCAGCGCGAATTGGGGTGATTCTTGACCGACTCGATCGACGTACGGAGTACAGACAATGCGGATCCTCTGTGGCGTACACTGAATTCATGACATCGTACCCCGTAGACATGCACAATATGTCCTTGCTTGCCTGATTTTCAACGACTTTCAAGGTATACCATACCAAGAAGTTAAAGCCACCACAACAGTCAACACGAAGAACCCCACATCCCCCCGAATCGACTTCCCTTCTTTTACCCGCGGCACAATCGCACCTCCCTGAATAAGAGCACACAACAGTGCCGTCCAGGTTCTCGTCCTCGACCACAAGACCAATGTGCCAAATAGGCGGGGATTATGCGTGTAGATTTATTGTCCGGAGCACGGTCGAGTTGGTAGCGGTAATAGGCGGGTGTGTAGCGGCCGTGGACAACAGCTCTTCGACATTGGAATAAGTTTATGGGCAAATGGAGCGCATACGACAGCTTGTCGGATGTTTATCAATAATACCAAATATTAAGAACTAACTTAACAGGACTACGTAGTGTTGGGCTTGGAACTGAACTCACGTGACTATAAACGTCTAGTCTGGAACTTTGTTAGGGGCCACGTCAGCCCTAGCGCTTTGAAATAGTATGTAGCACCATACCAACATGTACCTATCCGTCAACAAAATTGAAGTGATTTCGCTTCGAAATATGCATGTACGCAGGTCGCCGAAAACGTTTCAATCTAACGACAACACTTAGTTTGACTAGTTCTCAGAATGTCTCGGCGCGAGAGTCTAGGTGTTAGCACTGCGGATCAGCGGCGAGACCTCTAAGAGACATGGCGACCTCCTGTTTTGCATCCCGATGAGAGAGACACGTCCAAGCTCGACCACAATGTACAATATGTCAATAATACCATTATTATTGTACGGAGTACGGAGTACGATAGTCAAGTGCAGACCCTTGATCAAATACCGATATCACTTGCCAATCATAATGACTTGCGAGCAACAGATCTGCAACCAAACCCCCGATCATCATACGAACGGGGCTCCGTAGGGAAGCATGCTCCGCATATCAATTTCTCAAGGCCAGTGCGTCCTCGGACATGATTTCTGCATTGGCTCTTCCTTTCGAAGACGACGAGTGTCACATCCTTCGATACGACTTGCAAGGTTCTCCCCAGTAAGCGAAAGAGACCTGACGAATCACTTGTCAATCCGATCCACACCAGCGGCGTTTGTGGCTTGGGCTCGGGGGCCCACAGGCCCGCAACACTATTCCGGGATAAGTTAGCTACTAAGCAGAGCAGTTCGTCTTGGCCCACTAGAGCTCTTTTGGGGCTAGATCCAACACTTTCTTGCTCCGCTTTTACCACAAACAGCGACTTGGGCGAGCCCTGATTGGTGGATTTGAACCACCGATCCTTCCCAGAAACGGAGCTGCGCTGTTATCTCTATCTTTCGAGACGGAGTACGACCATCGTACGTATTTTAGTACGTATCTAGACTCTCTTTGGCGTCTCTTGTTGGATATCTGCGTATTTTATCGTATCGGCTTACCGACTGGAGGTCACTAAAACAATGGTATGCATCAGGTCTCGTTCTGGGCCTGGTCCGAACAGCACAAGCGAATCAGTCACAGTATCTAAGGCTTTAAGCTGATATCACCCGTCTCAGGGACGCAGTCTGATTTTGCGGAGCTTCCCTGACACCGGGCAATCACTACGTACCCTGTCTGTACGTGCGTAAAAAGAGTGCCGGAGTCTACTTCACGCTATGTAGTCATTCTAGCGATCCGAGGATTGCAGGCGACCTTTCTCCACATCGGCCTCAGGGAGCCCATGCGGTGTACTTTCCTGTGTAGTACGATGAAAAAAAGATCGAGGCAATTAATTAAGCGACTAAGTCGTGTTCCCAATGTCATGACTCACGACTAGTATCCTGTTGATCGCATGTTGCATGACCAAAGAAGCAATCTCTGAAACAGCAAGTAAAAATAGAATATCGGTCTGGAAAATGCTGAAACAGTCTATTCTGAACAGAACGTGAGGACGGAGGAGAAAAGGGGAAAAGTTCCTGCATCTGGCGGCCACGCTACGAACTTTGAAGTGTGGGCGGGATTGTGTCCTCAGGCTGCTAATTTTCTTACGACGGACGGCAAGAGACACACCACCGCCCTCTCCGATCTTTTTCTGTCGGCCTCTCTCGTTCTGCAACCTCCTCCATATCTACGATATTTGCTGCTGACTTTCCATTATTTTTCGGAACTTTGGAACGGATCATTCGGTGGACACCGACCAGCAAAAAAAGTACTGGTTCGTCATGACCTTTTTTCCTTCTTCCATTTGTCCCAAAAAATCCCCCCCCGCAACAACTCTTTCCGGCCCACCCCCCTCCCGCCTAATGTATCTCACTGTCTTTCCTCGCTTTATTAAGCAATTCGTCGAGAGAAGCCGACTTGTGCAATGATATGTTGTCATCGACTCTGCTTGACAATTTTTCTGGGCCAGCAATTGAATCTTTCTCCGCATTAACAGCACATATCATTACAGTGACCATTATCTTGAGCTGCTATCATCGTACTGACCCACGCTCAGCTCCATATAAAAAGCTAAACGAACACCCCTCGTTGCTACGAGTTCGGAGGTTGCCAGCAACCTCCAGCATTTGTCCGACTGACAAGCAAATGAGCGCACGCCGGCGATATCGCCTTCCACCAGAAGAATGCCTTTAGCGACCAATAACGCGGTAGAATCCTCCGGCCCGCTCGCCGACTACTTTTGGATTGCTGGTGTGGACGGCAAGGAAATTGAAGATACCTACTGGAAGCTACGCAATGAATATATGTCCAACAGAGAAAGCACGCCGGGGCCTGCGGTGTCTGATACCATTGAGGAGGACGCAGAGCTGGAAGAAGATGCCGACAGCACACCGAACAATGTCGGGGGTAACGGCAGACGAAATTCGTACAACCGACTGTCGAAATTATCCAATGAAGCCCGTATGTCGATCCGATCGGTGGACTCCAAGGCCTCTGGTACAAATAGCAATCGTAGTAGTATGACGATTCGCGCGATGCCGACAACAGTGACCGAAGCATCTGAATCGAGTTTGGGTGATTTTGATTTCGACAAGGCGTTGCTCAAGTTTGCTTCGGAAAGAGAAAACTTCTTGTCCGACTTGAGTCTGAGTGCTGGCGCTATCACGCCCAATGTGAAGCCTCCTAAACCTCGTCCTAAGGTGCAGAAGATTGTCTCAGAAGACAGGCCAGTATCTTCGAATCCCTTGAAGTCAGGTATTGGCAGTGTGCGACGACATATGTCCTTTCGAGACATGAATAGTATGAAAAGACAGCCATCGGTTGCACGACAGGGTAAGTGTAACAACCTGCAGATACCAACAACATATCACAGCTGCTAACTATACTAGCCTCCATCCGTACCTCCCGACGATTGAGCAATTACAACTCCGTTATACCCGTTCCCCAGCCGATAGAGACCTCCCCGACCATGCATCCGTTGAAACGAAGATTTGAGCCGGTGCTATTGGACCGATATCCACCAAAGGGAATACCTGATGAGCAAACCCAACGCGGCACATTCCCCGACTTTGTACCCATGTTCGCTTTCCCCAATGATATCAATATCGTTTCTTCGGATCAGAAACCACGGTCAACATGGCATGGTTTTGTAATGACTGGTGGGGACGGCAGCAAACTACATGGCATGTGTATCATTTTATGGATTCCGCTAGGTCAAAAGGCAGCAGAGGCACTCGAAGAGTGTTGCGAGGAATGGCGCAAGGATAATATGACCGATGAAGAAAGAGAATTGGCGGCTAGCTTGGGTGGACGGTTGGCCGATGAACGCGCTAAACTCTCTACACTGTTAGCTCAACTCCCAAATATCCCCTCTGGATCTCCAGAAAGGGAGCGTCTCGAAGATGATATTAGTGCAGTTGAGGAAAAGATCGGACTAATGACGGATCTGCTTCGACCGGTGCGACACGGCGCAGCATCCAAGATTGAGGGTCTTACCGATGATACGGGTTTCTGGATTCCTAGGGCTTATGGTATTCTAGGCAAAAATGCTTCCATGACCTCATTCTGGAAGGAGTGGCTCAAGGCTGTGTCTGTTCCTAGAACCAATGGAGGCGTACTGAGAGTTCCGGCGAGCTCGCCTACAGTGGGTATCTGGCAACCACTGGAACGATATGTCATGAATCTTTGCACGGAAGCTTTCAGCCCTATATCATCGAAAACTCAGGTCGAGCTGTCGGTAAGAGAGTTACGGCTTTTTGCTCGGAAAGAAGCGCCGAATGAGCTTCCAGGCTCTCGTAATGTAAGTTCCTCAAGCCGATTCCTACGAAATATTTTGGCTCATCCATTTATACAGACCGATTTATACGCCCTTTTCCGTTCGCTTTCCATATCGAATATTGTTGTCCTTTTCGAGGTAAGCTTACCGAATTTTTGATACTGACTTGGTGCTAATTGAATTAGTACGCTCTATCCGAATCTCGGATCATTTTCTTATCGTCTCACACGTCTATGCTGTATTTGGCAACCAGAGCTTTGATCGACCTTTTATTCCCCTTCACATGGTCAGGAGTTTTGATTCCGGTTCTACCAGCTCGACTTATCCAGGCACTAGAAGCACCGTGCCCATATATTGTGGGAATCGAGAGGCGATACGAGAAAGTGGAACTGCCATCTGAAGACTTTGTTTTGGTTGATCTTGATGCCGATAAGATTGAAAGCGATGTGCAACCCACACCGCTACCGCGCCACCAACGCAAGAAACTGTTGTCACTCCTTCAACTAGCTGCTCCGCATCATAACAGATTCGGTGTTCGGCCTGGCCCTCCGGCCTATGCTATTGAATCGTTTCCTTTCGACTCGTTCCCAACTGAAAATCCATCCATCTTCACTCTGCGGGCGCAATCTACGCACTTGGCTCGCTACGTGAGCCTTAACTCGACGTCTTTTGGAAATGAATATACCCCAAGACCGGCGCCTGCACCAATATACAATGTCTTTTTGCACGCTCGAGACGAATACCCCAGCTCTCGTGGTCTGTCGAGAGGTAACAACGAACGTCCAACCACTAGTTCAACTTCAAAAACAGGATCTCCACCGTCTCCCAGGACTAGCTCGCCGACTTCAGGGTTCTTCCCTCCACCTCTACCTGGAACACCTGTATCCCGTAATGACTCTGGCATGGCATTGCAAGCTTCCTTGAGGGAGAAGAGATCTGGCCATTTTGATACTTCTTCTCGTAGAAGTTCTTCCTTTGGAGCGGAAAGGAGAGGCGTACCTCGGCGCCCAAGCGCACCTTTTTTGGGTCACGCTTCGAATTTGTCAGTGACGACACTCAACACCGACTATGGAAGTGGATCCACGTATGCGCCATCGGTTTATGCCACATCTACGATTGCAGCGTCTACTATTGTTCCTCAAGCTGTGGCGCAACCCGTGTTCAATACAGACAGTACCTGCTGGATTGAGGGCCATTGTCTGCAGGTCCAGCCACGTGACGACAAGGTTATCTGTTCAATCTGCGACGAGAAAGCGGATGAGAAAATTTACAGATGTACTGGATGCAAAACGCAGGTACACGGCAGGTGCACACCACTTATTTGCTTGGTGTGTCCTGCTGCATTCTATCCTGAGCAAATCCGCGCGGCGTTTGTACGTTGCTTTGCCAGTTTGCTGTATACGTACAAGAAATATCTCCAGCCAGCTTCAAAAGAGCAAAAGAAGTCCGGCTTAATATACTCTTTCAACATGGACGCTTTTCTGCGGAGCCTACCAAACGAGCATGCGGAGTATATGACTGTTCTTCAACAGACACAAGGTTTGCCTATCAACCACGTCCTATGCACTACTAGAAGACAGAGCTGACTAGTATTTTAGGCTTCAATGAATTCATCAGCGAGCGCGAAAGAACTGAACCCAACGCCAAAGATTCGAAGATTACTTTATTCGACGAGATAATTCTCTCAAAACGTAATCGTGGCCGGTCCTCTATCTTTTCTGGACGCATGACTACCGACTTTCTCTCCAACACATCAGACCATCTGTGGCGGTCAGCAGCTGCAACATCGTTCCCACCTACAAGTCGAGTTCAGAACGGTATATCGGAGGATTATTCGGAACTCATTAAGCGAGGTGAGTTCATATCCATATATCCATTATTGTGTAATTTTCTGATGTTTCTGACTCTCCGAAGCCCCCGCAAAACTTGATTACTCTTTCATGAAAGAGCCGCGTATGGTACAAGGAGTGCCGCGAGTTTCCAAGACTGCCAACAACGCTCGCAGGAAACCACTTCCGAAGCTGATGAACGGTCTTTCCATTTCTCCGCCTTAGTGTTCAATGCACGGTTCTTGTGACACGGAACCGGTTTGAGGCCACATAACGACGCGACTGTGTCTCAGACAGAATAGAAAAAGAGTGCACCAGGCTCTCAACTCGTCACGAAAAGACGTTTACCGGGCTGATTGCAGGCGTTTAACTGAATTTTACTCAGTGTCGACGAACTGTGATAGTACATACAAACCGCATCCACGTACGCATATAGTGCACGTATAGAGATGTACACATCCCAACCACCACGACCTGCTCTCACTTCAACAGAGTTAGACAGATGTACAGTTCTGTTGGGCCTTACCCCAACCTTGATTTTTTTTGACCTCGCATGACGAGCCACGAATTTTCATTTTGATCGCACCTTCTCTTCTCTCATAGAAGGTTCTCATCTTTTTTCTCCCTTTAACTTTCTGTATTTCCCAAAAGCATTACAAAATACCCAGCAAGTTGATATCTGTACGACAATAAGCAGTGGTCTTTTTAATTTTCCCTCTTGTTTTCGTGTGGCGATACATACCTTGTTCAAAATGTTTTTTTTTTCTGGTTTACTTGGTCATTACTTTTTCTACTCTTGTCTTATATAATTTGTGGACAAACAAAAGGAAAAGGCGGAGTTATTAAAGGGCGTGTCCATCAGAAATCCATTCCACGGGATCTGTCAATATGGGTTGCTATGTAGAATAGACTTACGATTTCTGTCTCAGATCATTCCTACATACAGAATCATAAGAGTACAAGCCATATGACAAAGTGTCCAGTATCGTTTTCATAAAACTTCTGCTACGATATATTCCAGAAAAGGATAAAACTATACCCAAGCAGGCAATTCCTCAATATCAAAAACGAAGTATCTGCTCTGATTGGCGGAAGAAATCATCCCGATTGGTGGGGATGGCAAAAGAGGAGCTTCCGGAGGAAAACCCGGGGAAATTCATCCTTGCATCAACTTCTCTTTTGAGAGAGAGTACGGACAACCAAACACCTGCAGCTTGCAAGCTTGCGACAAACGCACACGAGACGACTTTTTTCAATCGCCTTATGGGTTTAATCGCTCTGCCGGTTTAGTAAAACAGATTTCGACTTGAGGGATCAGCCTAAGCAATTACCGAGTTCCGAGTTTGTATCATATTATTCTTGCAAAGCCCATTATTGCTACATACTACTTTCCTTTCTCGCCGTGCGGTTCGAGAGTGAAATTATAGTCGGATTTCGGAAAATTCACCGACAAATATTGCGGGCAAAATTGCCTCCAGCGTCCGCATCTTAGTGCTACGATATACACTTGGACGATATCGAGTCAGCGCAACTATTATATTTTCATCTTCCAGCAGGGAGGTTGTCTATTAGACGCTTCTATGGGCCTTTCTTTCTAATAGCTCGAAAACGTGCGTTATCACTGTGGTGGCTGTGTTAGGACGCCCCGAAGAGTGATATGGTAGTATTGATAAGCCGAAGTACACTACTACCCTGAATTAATCCGTTGGTTACACTGTGTATGGATAAATTCGAGTCATTATCTATTGTTTGTTAGCGTTGCCTGCCGATTTTACTGATCAATTTCCATCTCGACACCTTGTGGCTGATCAGGCTAATTACGACACATCTTCCTTTAATATCAATCAACAATGGTCCAGTCGAAGACTGTTCAATACGACTAGCGTTTGATGTTATAAGCCCATGAACGATCGGAACGAAAAGAATAATGGCACTTGTTTCTTCTATCACCATAACAGAAGACCTCCGAACACCGACTTCTGGGATTACTCTGACAAGCAGCCATGAACCCACACCAGCTGCGTCACCTCCTATCAAGCGAACGGTAGTCATAGTTTATGATATCGGTCAGGAAAATATCCTTCAAGTCGTGGCAGAAGTTCTAGGCAAAGCTTGGACAACGGTCACGACACTTTTAAGGGTAGTCCTAGGTAGCGACGCCGTCGTTGTGGGTATCTTAAATCGTGATCTTGAGAAAACTGCACCAGAAATGCGGGTTGATGATTTTTCAAGACTGTTAATTGTCAATACACATTGTGTCGACGATGGGTCCTTTCCGGATGCCAGACTCTCCGAAGGCTGTCATTATGAGTTTATATACTCACAAAACCTCTTCTTTCGAAGGGATCTGACCCGATTTTTGTCGTTGATTTTGGGACAGCGACGTCCTCATGAAGATCTGGCTGTCAAGCGTCGAACGAATCTCATATCTACTACATTTCCAGATGTGCGTGCGGCGTTATCGAACCTTGATATCTTATCCGTTGGTTCTGACGCCATCGAGCTCCGTGTTGATCTTCTGGAGGAACCATTGTCCGATGGAAGCCGCAGTTCAATTCCCAGTCTCAATTACGTCGGGCAGCAAGTGATGCTATTACGACAACATACAGAACTACCTATCATTTTTACAACTCGATGCGTGCGTGAAAACGGGAAATTTCCCATGGAAGATCCAGAGCTGTTCCATAGATATCTTCGTCGCGCTATACAATGGGGTATCGAATATATAGACGTTGAATTGTGGCTTCCAGAAGAGATTCGGAAAGATCTGTCTGATCATCGCGGTAATAGTGTCCTCATGTCCGCCTTCCATGACTTTTCGGGCAAATGGAAATGGACCTCTCCAGAAGCGCAACAGGTGTTCAAGGAAGGTGCTCGTTATGCTGATATTGTCAAGATGATTGCGATGGTGAACACGATTGAAGAAAACTACGAATTAGAATATTTCCGGTCAACGATCAAGGCTAATTACTCGTATCCTTTACTATCTGCTGTCAATATGGGTCCGCAGGGCCAGCTATCACGAGCTCTCAATACAGTCTTTTCACCCATCACACACCCTCTCCTGCCCATCATTGCTGCACCCGGCCAATTGACGGCGGCTGAGATCAATCGTGCTCTACATATCATGGGCCAACTACCGAAGCGAGACATGTATGCCATTGGGTCTTTTCGGTCGACGTCACAATCAATGTTTATGGAGAAATGCTTCAACGAGCTTGGTCTACCGCATAATTTCAGCTGCATCGACCGTGGACCACGAGGCTCAATCGAGTCAGTTATTATGCAACCTAATTTTGGCGGCGCATATGTCAATCCGCCCCTCTCCAGTTCTGCTTCTTATATACCCACAAAAAGCGATGCGGCTCGTGCCATTGGCTTGATCGATACCATAGCCGTCAACGGCTCAGACGGCCAACACAAGTTCATTGGCGAAAACGCAACCTGGAAAGGTATCCGTGCAACACTAACTAGAGATTACATTCCATCTGCATACCGTAGCCGAGCTGTGATTATCTTATCTAGTTCTCAAAGTGATGCAGCAGCAGCCATCTTTGCGCTACGCAGTCTCGATGTCGGTACTATATACACAGTCGGCTTCAAAGCCTCGGGCCCACTGGCAGCAGGCCTTGAACCGTTCACATCTATTCAATCCGTGAAACTAGTCGAACAGCCCTTCGTGATTGTCTCGGCTTTACCACCAGAGAAATCTCTATTAGTACAGCCTTTGCTACGCCATTACCGAAGTAACGGCCGCGCTTCACCGCCATCTACACGTGGCAAGGTATTCTTAGATCTGACTAGTGGACAGCGTAAAGGGGATCCTTTGGGGGTAGCGACTAGCGCTGGATGGACGGCTTATGGGATTGATGATGTGAATGCTTGGACGACCGTGGAGACGATGCGGTTACTTGTTGGACAGAATGTGCCGTTTGATTTTGTGAAAATGGCCTCGGGACATGGGTTGTATTGATAGTAGAGGTTTACTCGCAAATACAGGGTTAAAGGAATGGTATTTAGTTCGCTCATGCAGAAGGGTTAGATAAGGATCTTTATCAGAAGCCCCGCATCCCCATATCTTACCCCGCACTTTGCCCCTGGAAATTTTTCCTCCCATTAGTATTTCAATGGTTCTTATTCTAGCATCAATGCAGATAATACGCTCTATACAATAGATAACTATCTCATCGAGAATCAGGTAGTGAACTTGATCAGATTTCGCGGCCCTTCAGCATCCCCAATCTTCCTTGCAGTCTCCTCACCAATCTCGTGGAAGATATCGGTCCCCCATCTCGCCGGGAAATTGAACCTCTTATGCCTCTCCAATCCTGATAGTCTAGCATAATCTTCTTCGAGAAGATATTTAACCCCTAGATTACTTGCAATCCGAGACGGTGTAACGCTTTTGGGAAGTGGCAGAGTCCCACGCTGAATTGCCCAACTAACCAACAAGACACCTGGATTTAGAGAAACTTGCTTCGCGACCTCGTGGACTACGGGATCGTCGACTGTGCGCGGTTCACCGGTTTGATTGTTTCCCAAGGGTGAGTATGCCTGGACAAGAATTCCCTTTCTTTTGCAATATTCGGTCAGATCGCGTTGTTGTAGGTATGGATGAGCCTCAATCTGATTCACAGCTGGTACTACATCGACTTTGCTAAGCAGATCTTCAAGACGGTTGATGTTGAAATTCGAGACACCGATTGCACGCACTTTGCCAGTTGAGAGGAGCTTTTCCATGGCTTTGTAGGTTGTTCCGACGTCGGTATTGGTGAGTTGGAAGATACCGTCTTTGTCAAGGGGGAAGAACTTGTCGCCGCTTTTGAATGCACTGCTCATGTAACCATTAGTTATCCAAGCCACGACATCTGCGTAGATTGTATAAGAAACAACGTACACAGGCCAATGCATAAGATACAAATCCAAATAATCCACTCCCAAATCCTTCAATGTCTGATCCAGCGCACGCTCAACATCCTCCGGCTCATGCGCGTTATTCCATAACTTGCTAGTAATGAAAATCTCTTCTCTTGGAACGCCCGATTTCCGAATCCCGTTTCCGACTTCAACCTCGTTGAGGTAGATGGCTGCGCAGTCAATGTGTCGATAGCCACTTTTCAGAGCTACTTCGACGGCTTGTTCGACTTCCAGGGGCTTGGCTTGCCAGGTACCAAAGCCCACGGAGGGGATTTTGGCACCTGTGTTGAGGGTGAAGTGCGTTGGGAGGGACATTGTATATACCTAGGTAGTGGACTAGATCCTTTTCTAAGAGGAGAAGTTATGCACTTGAGAGTTTGAACAAGCTTGATATGTTCTATTTATCAAGGGGGGGAATTTGTATGTCCGGAGAAGCGAAGGGATCGGATCTCCTACCGGAAAGATTTCCGGAAGTATGTCTACGGAGATGCTCCGATTACCAGAGGCGGATTCATGGATCTAACAAACAGAGAAAAGTGAATAATCGATCATCAGCTTTTGTCTCTACATACATCTGTAAGTTGGTGGGGGATTCATATCGGATTAGTGGTGTTGAAGTTATTACTAAAATAGGCAATTTTCGATCACTGCTCTTGGCGGGTGAGTCGAGCCCTAATCAGATCATCCTCCCAAGTCTGCTTAGAATATCCACGCAGTCTGAGCCATACAATTACCCAGACTTCGTTTTCCATCAGGGATAAGCTGATAGAATGAGGTGCAGCTATTGTCAATAGCTTTCTAGGTTGCTCAATATGTCAAACCTGCACATAGTTTTTGTAGTTCTTGTATTGTCAATCAGCAAATGATATCCATGAGCGTCTCATGCCTTCGAGTTGTTAATCAGAACTTGACGAAGTAATCAAATTGTACTAAACGGTGATGGGGAATCAATTCACTACCTAGGTATTTACACAGTAGTTCCCATTCCGTATTTGTCACCTTGTCGCCTATATCCGTCATTTGATCCTACGCGGATGTTGACGCGGATTGTCCTGACTCTTGAGACCGGGGGATCATTCGATACTCAGGTATTTGCATGACCTTGAAACAAGTGGGGATTCACAAGTTTAAGAGAGTGCCTAGTAGAACTCCACCAATGTGTCAAACTGAGACATCCACCCTTAGGACAATCTCATTCGGATCAGATAAGTTTCCTGATATGTTTTACCCGTTGTTTAATGTTTATTAGTGAACGTCAGCTAAAAGCACAGACTACTTAGTCGAGGACAATTGAAGATAAGAAGGAAAACTTAAATCAGCATGAAACTCAGGTCTCCACGGCCATCGTCGCTTAGTATTGTAGACAATTAGCTACTTTAGAAACTTACGCACACCAAGCTGCACGAGACAAAGCTTGGTCTCATGCCGGACACGCTAGTACTTAGGATCAGTATACAAGGACCTGAAGAATGCTAATGTCCTGCAATTTCTTCAAGTAGATTGACTTCCACACGGTGACAGACTTTAGATACGTCGATACCACTGACAAACAAAAACCAACGTGAATCGGATTTGAAGCTTAGGTGACGCGGCAAGGCTGTAAAGCTCCGTACTATTATAGAAGACCGTGCAAGCCTCCGAAGCCCAATTGGCAGATGCATTGACGGAAGAGGTAGGCCTGACCATACTGTTCAATTTGGTTGAATTGATAAGATTTTGTCGAAGTCTTGAGCATAGAGGTAGCCAAAAGAAATCCATATTGGGTTGAGCAATCATAAGTTCAGCTCTCTACATTAATGTAAAATGATGGGAAAAACTCATATCATCTTCCTTACCTGAGAATAGCCGGACGAATGAACCCCGATACACTACTTCCGGGGTATCAACACTAAAGAAACCATCCCAGTGCTCGGTTTCGTCTATCGAGAGATACTGTGCGCTGTCCCAGTCGTCCAAAATTGGCTTCCGAAATCGGATTCTCATCTTCGTTTTCGATGGGCCGTGATGCTAGGGGCAAGCAAAGGAGGCGAGGGTAGCCGGCACGAAACGGCCAGCGAGTGTCAACATCCTCGACGGCGATTGCCCGGTGACTTGGATATGATTATGCCATTCCCAATCTGCGTATTGGGTTAGCAGTGTAAATGATTGTATGAGATATGCTGAGCGGTAGGAACTAGGTAGGAGCAGGGATCTGTGTAATAGGAAAGTGCAACCAGGAAAGATACTCATTTGCTCAAATGGAGGGCACTGTAATATCATCATATATTAGACAACATTTCATAGAGAATAAGGACATTGGACGGTGGCCAAAGATGTTAAGGTATACAGTAGGATCTAGCTATAATGAACAGAAGGTCTCTCTGGATCATTGGAAGTTAATATATTCAGTTGCGAGTTTGATTTGGAGATGAAAGGCGCTATAATATAATATCATATTTTAAGATTAATAATTAGAGTGCTCCTCAGTTCCATACCAAACTTGGAGATATCCAGCCTAAGATCTGTATGAATATAAATTGGCCTTTATTTCATTATAATCAGGTTCTGCTGTATACCAAGGTAGTGAGACATTATCAAGAGACATGAAATAATAACATACCTACCTGTCTTGTTCATATGTCTGTACCTGAAGCAAGTATTATAGACCAAACTGTCTTCTCTTGCAGCTACCTAGTCAGATGGAATAAAAACAAGGCCTTAGCACGCTTTTCTTTATAGTATAGGGAATAGATGTTGGGTCTTATGTGTGATAAAATTCTGATATGATCTGAATGACGGAGGACATTTATTTATACATTAAATTAGCAAGTTCCATCTGCATGTCCTACATTTTATGGTAGCCTATTATCTATTGTCCAGTATATGTAGTCATTATCCATAGATTTGTTGAACTGAACTTCCAAACTTTCTCACCTGTAGGCAACAAAACCTGGATTTCTTTATTTTCCCATTTTCCTCCTAGGTTAAAGAAGCTATTTACATCATACGAGATGTTTCAGGTATGAGTCAGGTAGAGAACCCCCTTATTTGAATTTGGAACTTCATCATCATGAACAAAATACATAGCAGTTATACGATAACGCAGTGTTAGGGAAAAGAAATGATAAAATGGGTCCAAACTGTTACAATCATGATGGCCGCCACCAAGGAAAGAAAAATAAAAGAGACATTGAACAAAGCACAGTATCGGATTTCTGACAACTCTAAAGACAAGTTCATTGCATGTAATACTGTTAGGAGATTGTCTCAAGGCTAAAGGAAGACGCAAGTTGCAAGAATATCCATAGGCCCGATTTTGTTATTTATGGTTCAGACGAGCTCTGCTGCATATGGTATTATCTCCTGAGTTTCCTTCTAATGTTTCTCCTGGTTGTATTTTGATCTCTCTTTGTTCCCGCAAGAGGCATGCTTTTGAGAAGAGGGGGGATTGAAAGAACTCATCTTTGAGTCTCTTGAGGCTATCGAAGGCTACTTGATCATTCTTTGATTGTTTTCAGAAGTGAGATGCTTTGGCGGCGGCATTGACGGAAGAGGTAGCTAGGTACGCTAGGCCATAACTATGTTCAATTTGGTTGTATTGATCAAATTTGTCGGAAGCTTTGTACATAGTAGTAGCCAGGGAGATCAATCTCAGGATTGAGAAATGGCTCACAATCCATCGGAGTCGAGTAGTAATAGTAATATCAAGAGATTTGTATGGGATATTCCCCCCTGTTATTTACTTAATCGTCCCTTTCGTCGCGAGAGAGGACAGCTTCAATGTTGTTTACTAGCGTCAACATTCCAACTGTGCTCTTTGAAGTTGTACTCATCCACAAACCCAGGTAAACCATACCATCTCTCGGAACCACTAAGACAAACCCATTAGAACGGGTCCACGTCAATGTGGGAGTTGGTTCAAAGTTGAGCCTCGTAGTACCACACACAATAGACTGATTTCGGTAACCTACCATTCAGCGTTTCTATTCTTACTTTGTGAGAGGAGCGAGACACTATTAGAGGAGGTGGAAAGAGAGATCTGAGCTAGCCTAAAGCGAAGAGAAGAAGAGGATGAAGAAGAAACTCAAGTTAGCAGAACAAGTGAGATAAAATAATAAGTGAGCCCTGGCAGTCAACGAACATATCAAAATAGAAGAGACAAACGAACATAATAATTTTCGTATCACCATCTTACTAATTTCATCTCACTTGTCTTCATCTACTATCTCTCCCAGACTTTCTTCTCACCCATCTTTCCAAGATCGAACAGATATCTCGTCTCATGTACGACATGCAGATGAATATCCTTATTAAATGGTGTCACTCAACTGGAGCTTTCCGCCCTAGTAAAGCAGCCCACAGTCAGCCCACAGAGCGGCTGACGAGCAGATTGTGAAAGTTACAGAATGTCTCAACCGAATTCTAATACATTCTAAAGGTTCCGCTCGGTGAGTAATGCCCGTGGCTCGGTGAGCAGTTATCTAGGTACTTCTACACATCAAGTGCTCAACAGAGGGCCAGTGAGCACTCATTAATCACCCAACAGAGATCGGCGATCCATTTATGGCCAATCATGGGTTAGAGTGTGACAAAGTCGAACTCGACCGTCGCGTATATTTGCTACAATATATATATAGCAGACATAGTATAGATTATATAGCTCGCAGAACCATATAATACAGATCGCATTGTGCTGGATAATCAGTAACATATTCTTCACATTCTTGGACACCTACCTGTTTGTCTCACCAAGTCTCGCTTAAAAGATTGCACCTCATGACCTCGGTGGCTAGTTCACATTAGTGTCTATCCTTAAATGAGCTTTCCTAGGAAGACGTCACTGATCATTGGGTGGATAATATACAGGCCCTAGCTTCCAAGACCCGAAGATACTAGGTTCATGGATGTAGAGTTGCATTGCATGTCAAGAGCCGATAGGGACAGGCGGGTGTAATGGATTTCGGTATTTCGATCCGCAAACTCGGTTGTTGATGCTTAGTCGTAGCCAAACCCCTCGATAAAATAGACAGCGACATGTCTTTTTGATATCTAGGTAGCATCGCAACGATAGTAATGTACAAGGGTGGGACTTTCCGCGACGTTTTATCAACAACAAATTTTGCTTTACGATGTATACAAACGTGCCATGGCTTCGGGCGATCGGAACCCGCACTTTCCCAGCATTAGCTTTTTGAAGAATTTAGACAAAAAGCCTGATTTGCTGCTCTGTTTATGGACGCGCAAGGTAGCCTGTGCGAATCCTTGTTATTATGATCCGGGCTGCGGATACGCGGCGAGGGTCATCTGCCGAAAGTTAGGGTTAACCACTAGATACTCGCTGGAGCTGTCAGACAATGTGTAATCCTGTTTATATGAAGTGTTTCAAAGTAAGTGACTTAGGCAAGAAGAAACGCGACTGTTTAAATTAGTGATTGTTTGCGAGCCGGTCTACTTGAGTCGGATCGATCCGTACTCATTTCCGTCTTGTGTCTGGCCTGGACTCTTGTAATATGATCTTCTCCACCCGCAGAAGAAAAGAAGGATGTGTCGATCAGGTTCTAATGGGCAAACGTTCCGGTAGAACTCCTTCTGTTAAAAGGTTAAATAAACCTCGAGCGTAACACTAGAAGCAAAAGGAGTTCTCCTTGACGTGTCTCTTTTACCGGTTAGGCATATTTGTCAAAACTAAACACGACAAGCAACAGTACAACAGGCCTGCTGTGTAACTTGCTTGAGAAAAAGCAAAATCCTCCGCATGAAGGATCAGGGGTATGGGCCAGTCATCTGAATCTGAACTGCATCCGAGCAATTGGCCGTCGACTAGGTAGAAGCTAATGAGCAACACCAAAACTAAAGGGAAGAGACGAACAGAAGAACTCCTCCAGACTCTTTCCCCGCATTCACCCCTCGAGTAGCGCTAACCCCAACACGGAATCAACCCGGGGAGAGAGGAGAACCTTATCCGCGACCCCCGTACCTCACAAAAACAAAAACCTCAATTCTGTTCTTCTCTGCCGCTCCCATGCTTCTGAATCCTTAGGACGACTAGGTGATCCTTTGTTCACACCGCCAATATTCTATTAGCAGTGTACTTCGGCAATCTTCCGCGGCTTTATATACGCAGAAGGGCCGTGGGGGCACCCAATTGCAGCTTTCGGACAACTCTTTCTCAATTTTCGCCTACAAATTTTACCTTCAGAGTCCGAATATCCATTTTAAATCACAATTCCACGGGCATACTTGGTATCAATCTGGAGCTTGGGCTTTGCCGAATTTAATCCGCGTCAATTATAGGCGCATCCAAAGTCCACTGGTCCGCTACGTACCCTGATGTGGCGATGTCAACAACCCTCGGGTGACGGCCGCCATATGTCCTAGGTCATTGATATCGCTACAAATGTCTACAGCAACCATGTCACGCCCGCAGGTCGGTATCGATCGCCTCACTCCTCGACGGGTCACGACCGAGCCGCGTGAATCAATGAATTGTAAATCATGCCGGAAAAGAAAAGTACGTCTTTCTTCATCTGGGATGGAGTCGTAGAAGCAAATATGACTGATCAAAAAATCATCTAGATTAAATGCAATCGCGTACGTCCGAGCTGCGAGGCGTGTAAGGTTTTTCAATGTCCATGTATTTACGGTAAACCTTTCCCTATTTTATCAGTAGCCGAATTCGATTGTTACTAACGTCCCTTGTCAAGATGCTGTCCCAAAGAAACGAGGGCCAAAAACAGATGTTCTGGAAGCACTTTTGAAACGAGTGGATGGCCTCGAGAGAAGATTGCAGGAAGAAAGTACCGCCGCCAGCTCTACTGGCGAAACCTCACCATCTACCAGTAAGCGCAAAGGAAAGGAGACTTCAGCTGGACCTTCAAACTCTGCAGAGGAAACCGGATGTTCACATCAAAGTTCCCTCTCAGTTATGGAACAAAAGGATCAAGCTCAGCTGCCCTACTCGGATCGCCGCGGTTCAGATCTTTTGGCCTCAGCCTACGATAATGGTTTTGGAGACCATCCCATGAGCGGTTTGCGGCATGGCCAACAGGCAAACGTTACAAATCGCCAAGATGGTGGATTTCTTTCAGATGCCATCTTAGATACGTACTTTACTCGTCTTCATGAAAAACCGTTCTACATATTGGAGGAATCGTCAACACGCCAAAGGCATCGCATGGGCCAGTTACCGGGGCCTTTGATGATGGCAATATACGCTATAACTACTAGGTACATCTCTTCAATGGACACTATGAAACATTGAGATATGGAGTTTTACTGATTACGCTTTTAGATACTCTCAATCTTCGGAAGGGCAGGAAGGCTCAACACGGACAGGACTGGAGTATGCGTTAAATGCACGACAAGAGATAGACGTCGATAATCCAACCATCGAAGGACTTCAAACACTCTTGTTGCTATCTATGGTCTTCTTTGCTTATGGATTAGGCAAGAAGACATACATGACAATATGTATGGCAGCTTCAAGATTCTCTCTTTCTTGGCGAGCTGACTAACTTATGGCGATTAGCAAGCTGTTCCGCAATGATTCTCGCGCTTGATCTTTACCGAGAGCCTTCGTCTAAGCTCAATTTCTCGCATACCGAAAAAGAAACGAGACGACGGATATTCTGGACATGTTACATGATGGATCGGTTTGTGACGTGCGGCTCAAGGCGTCCATGTCTGATTTCAAATGATTCAGTCTTATTACGGTTACCGTCGTGGTCCTTATCCACATCATCTCACAATATTCCCGTTGAGGGAGAAATATTCAATAACGCTGGCCCCAATATTCAACTCTCGGCCGATCCCCGCAGAAGGGGCCAACCTGCAATTGTTCTACTTATTGATATCATTCGAATATTAGGAATCACGAACCGCTATCTGGCTACGGGTGGTGTGAAAGGTGATTCTCACTTTCCTTGGCACTCGATGTCGAATCTATCCAAGATTCGTCAGGAATTGGATCTATGGGCAGCTGGTGTCCAGGACATATTCGTATCAGTTGAATCGCTGTTTACGAATCCAGAAAGCACAACTCTGTTTCTGAGCAAGCTTATATACCATCTCATTCACTGCCTGATATACCGACCCTTTTTACCACTCGATTTGGCGGAACTTCGAGGGACAGGACAGCATCAGTCATGGCAAATCGAAGCGACCAATTTATGCTTCTTGCATTCGAATGCTATTGCTGAGCTTGTTGAGTTTGGAAGAAACTCTTCATTGGTCGAATGGCCCGCCTTTATCAGCCACTGTGTGTGTACTGCCGGCACCGTGCATGTCCATGGCGTATATTACAAGGGACTCGAGGGTGAAGTCTTCTCGTCTAGCGCCGACTACCTTGCCAAAGAGATGCAACAAATGTCTTGGCTGCGACATTGTTGGGCGGGTGTTCAACATCAACGGGAATTGCTACAGACAGTTTATACCTGTCATGCGGAACTTGTCAGAAACCTAGCCAACAACCCGATGCGGTATTCTCCTGTCTTCCATCTGGAGGATTTTTACGATCGTTACCTTGGAATATCGGTAGACAGCTCTCACGTTAGACTTGTCGACGAGGTTACAGACGGTGGAAACGAGAAGTAGGTGTTTCTTTGTATACTTGCCGATCTTACCAACTAATGCTCTCCCGTTAGCATGTTGCTACCGATGCCTTTCGACAATAATTCCCTTTATAACTCACAAGCGATGCCTACACCTTCGTCAAACAGCTCACACAACTTCCACAACCAGCAGTTTTCCCGCATGAGGTCCGCTTCCCATCAATCACACTTACCACAACATGTAGAACTACCCAGTTCGCAATTTGAAACTCCACATCAACCGCAATCTCAACAATTACAGTCAGCCATCTATTCATATAACTTCAATGATTCCACATCATCATACTCAAATGCACAACAAGATCAGCGACAGTTGCAGCAACACTCACAGCCGCAACAAATTCCGCGAGCACTCCCTGCATTCTCACCAACGCTAGGGCTATCACCATCCGCATTCCTCTCTGAAATCCTACCTCCTGTGACAGCTCCCACACCTACTTCAAATTTCCACTATGCATCGTTCCCCTTCGATGCTTCTCATGCAACTCCAGTCAGAACCCCATACCCAGCTGGCTACACCGCACAAACCCCAAGCGGTCACTCGCAAGCAAGTGATTCCCACGCCACTATGAGCGAGAGTGGTCCGCCTTCCGAAAAGGATCCTTTCCTTAGTCTATTGGAGCAGTTGGCGGAGAATGAACATTTGGAGGATGACGGACCAAGTGAACTTGATTTCTTGTTGGCTTCTGGTATTCATGCTCCCAATTCCATTGAGAATATCAGCACGGAAGCAGGGAGTGATGCGATGATTGCTACTGGTGGAGAGGTATCAAAACAGTCTGTAAATGGAAGATCCTAAATATGGGAGTTGACAAGTATGAAGCTTTTTCTACAAAAAGGCTATTTTCATGTATATATTTGAGTAAACACTTATTTCCTTTTCGAAAGTTCGATGAGAAACTGAGTCTGTAAATCATCTGATGTCTGTACTGATGTCAGTTCAGGATCGAGGTAGTTTTAAGCTTTAAGCTCTTTCTAGAACTTTCACGCCATGCATGTCTTGGCATGTGATTGTCCTCCCTTAAATTCAACCTCAATCTTTGAAACTGTACACTCAACTACTGGAAATTTACTTTCATGCGTTCATCAATCACTCCACTTGCAATTCTCGTATCTCTACTTCTCCTTGCTCTGACTACGACAAGCTGCTCTGTCCGCAATACTCTCGAGATATCGTGTCCGCTCGAAGACTATTACCAATCGGAGCCCAGTCAGGGTGACGATAATTCATATCGAAATCATTTTATGTTCGCAAACTACTTCCGACAAACGACCAAGTCGTTGCGTCCATCCACACTTCGATTTATTTCGTCAACCTCCTCCATGTCATCGTCATCGTCAGCGTCCGCTCCAAACATGACCCCAACAATCGCTTCCACCGAACCTCCAAATCCCGAGAACACCAATAACAGCGAAAAGAAATCCCCTCTACTCGCGTTACCATCTACATACGATTCTGCAGATAAAAAATTAGATGTTAGTGGACAAGGCTCGACTGTATCGCTAGACCATCTTGGTCCCATCGTCGTAAATCAAGATGGTACCATGAGTCGGATATCGAACTGGGAGAAAATGACCGACATTGAAAAGCAGAATACGATGAGGATTATAGGGAAGAGGAATAAGCAGCGGATGGATGCGCTCAAAGCTGCTGGTGTGGGTGTAGAGGGTGGAGATTCGTGATTTCTCGGAGGCCATTTATTCCCTCTTTTTAATTCGGTCGGTTTTCTTTTGTTATATTCATGTTTGAGGATTATGTGGACTCACTACTCAGACGTTGTAAAATAAACGATGGTCGGAAATGTTTAATGATTTGATCATAGCGATGTTGATATTCGAGAACACGAATCATGATAGCAGTCAAATATTCATACAAGAATTGTGTTCAAACCATAGTGATATGGTCTTCTGTCCTCTCTTATCGGCCATTGTTCCTCACTCCAAAGAAACATTCATTATCATCAAAGTAGAGATAATGGTACATCTCCGACGGTTCATGATGGGAGTTCTCATTAGGCTCTGGCTTCAATCCTTCGATTTGTTCATGGCCCTCGTCATCATCGGCAAGGCTCTCATCGACATGCGATGTTTCATCTATTTTCAGTTGTTAAATGGATTTGCCAAGGATGGTAGTCCACTTTTTAGACGACAAATACAGACGACAGCAGAAGTAAAATGCGTGCGTTACCTTGTTTACAAGCTGGATGTGGATGATCGAATGGTCCGTCGTTGGGAGGGCTGTTGCTTGTCATATTGTATTTATTTGATATACGAACTGCTGAATCGTCATGATATTATGTTCCGATGTTGATATGAACTCCGATTAATTAGATAGAAGAAATGGAGAAAGTCATATGAAATTTACCTCGGAAGCGGGGACATTTATGCTATACGTGTAATATTGAGTAATATTACCACAGCCGGAGAGCATTTACAGAGTAATTGTCCAAAAATACACGTATCGGATTTACGCAATATCCCGCAGGATCGGATCGGCAACATGACGACATAAGAACCCCGCGTCTCTTTTCTCTCAATAATATTTCGAACGACAAAACAAACTGCTTCAAATATAGGCATCCCACAAATATTTTGCAGAACAAACATACAGAATGCCCGATCATGTCGAAGAGCCCAAGCGCTTCGAGCCCAAAGAGCCCGTTCAGCTCGATTCTCCAAAAGACGATCCGTTCACACTGGAAGAGTTGTCGAAACACGATGGTATGCTTAGAGCTTCTTCCACATACCAGAGCTTTGCGATCCCTATACTAATGTGTTATGGTTTCCAGGAACCGACCCGAGTCGTCCTACATACGTCGCTATCAAAGGTACCATTTTTGACGTGAGCAAGAAAGACGCATATGCCCCTGGAGGACAATACCACGGTAAATACCTGCAATCTTGTTACTTTATAAAAGTATATAATACTCATATATTTGACATATAGTCTTTGCTGGCAAAGATGCCTCTCGCGCATTAGCTAAGTCGTCGTTGAAAAAGGAGGATTGCCGTCCGGAATGGGAGGATTTGGACGACAAGGAGAAGACGGTCTTGGAGGAGTGGTTTACCTTTTTCAGCAAGAGGTACAATATTGTTGGGAAAGTTGTGTCATGAACTTTCGGTTGATGTGACGACCTATGTACCGGCAGGGATAGCAGGATTGCGGCCTATATATGTTTATTATGTCTGTATTCAGGGCATTGGACGATTTGAAGAGTCTACAGTTGTACGAATCCGTTGCAAAATCCAGAAACGCCGGTATTCGATACGCATAAATGCTTTTGCTCGATGGATTGTACATGAACAATCGAATCATGACAGGAAACTAACCATCTATATACAACATAACAAATCAAGCTTTGCCCTTCCTTTGCCTTCGTTGCTGGCGTTTGCGAGCAATGATCCGATTCCTCTTAGCAATTTTATTCTTTTGATCCTCATCTTCGTCTTCATCGGCATCCACTTTTTTATCTTTCGTCTTGTCTCCCTTGTTGTTTGGGCGACCTTCGGGTCTCTTTCTCTTCATTCCTCGCTTCCCGTTGTCACCACCTTTCTCGGCTCCCTCTTCCTGCTTATTGCGTGCCCGTTCTTGGAATTCCTTTCGTCTCTTGACAACTTGGGCATTCTCAATGGCAAACTCGACAATAAGTCTCTTCTTCTTCTCAGTATCTCCATCCCTGGATTTGACTTGCACGACATGTCCATTAAGCCACCGTAATCCCATCAATGCATGTCGGTGGGTGTAGTACTCGACAAATCCATAACCGCGACTACGTCCGGCACCAGTCTTTTCTTCAATCTTGCTGCCGTCACGCCCTTCAAAGACAATCTTAGCTTGCTTGACAATACCTTTACCCTTTTCACGACGCCGTTTGTCATCGACTTTGGTTTCTTCAGAGTCGCGAGAGAGTTCGTCTGTTGACAGCGGTTGGCGACGTCCTTCTTTTGCGTCTTTGGCGAATCCGACAACAGCTTCACGAGCAAGAGCTTTAAGGTCTTTGGAAGTCACTGATCGGGGGATGTTTCGAATGGACAGTCGAGTCAGACTCAAATGTAATGTAGGATTGTTCTTGATCAAATTCTGGCGTTGCTTGAGACTGTCTTCTCTCATTTTTATTTCCGATGGTGCCAATTTCTTATACAGTGGAGAACTGGTGTTGATAGTTCCTTCATTCAACAAGAAAAGCCGGCGCCTATCCTTGTCTCTCTCCGATCGACGAGAAACACCCTCCTCTGTCAATTTATTGGCTTCCGTCTTCGAAACAGCTAAAGTAACATTCAGAACACGGTCTTCAATCGTATATTTTCCGCTAGGGTCAAGCATATCGTTCTGTAGGACCGACTGTTTGATGCTTGTAGAGTGCTTCTTAGAGTGAGCATCTTCCTTGCCAGCGTCTACTTGTCGTGGAGCACCCCGGAGACATTCGATTGCGTCTTCTGCCTTCCAGAAACAGACGAAACCGGTTCCTCGTGGACGTTCTGTTTCATAGTCCACAACGATACGTGCGTACCGCAGCGGCCCGAACTGCTTGAAATGCTCATATAAGGACTCGTCGGTGGTAGTGAAGGGCAAATTGCGAATAAAAATAGTAGAAGAGTTTCGGTCATCTTCTTCGCCTTCGTCGTCCTCATCATCCTCGTCTTCATCGTCTTCATCGAAACTTCCTTCCTCATCTCCGTCCTCTGACGCAACTCCAACAGACTCGTCTTCTTCATCTTCAGCTCCAGCCTCATCACTTTTAGCATCGTCAACCTCCATTGCATCTTCATCTTTCTTTTCCGCAGTTTGTTGTGCCTCTTCCCACACATTCTTTTCCACCGCCCAGTCGACAGCTAGAGTTCTTCCATCGATCTCCTTTCCGTTCACAGCTTCCAGCGCCTTCTCAGCGTTCTTACGTCCGCGCAGCACAACGAACCCAAAACCTGCTTGAACATTCCCCTTCTTCGGAACAACAGCATGCTTAACTTTACCGAAACTGCGAAATAGCGCAGCAAGCTGATCGGAATCTTTAATTGTCCATGGTAAATTTCGTACAATCAGTTTGGGCGGTTGAGTCTGTTCTCGTTGCTTGGTGCGCTCCGCTTTGAGTCTCGCGGCTTCCGCAGTCGGTACACTCTTGCCTTCCTTTTCATCGATTTCACGCTTACGTGGTTGCGCGACTTCAACCTTGATCTTGCGACCTTCGAACTCGACGCCATTGAACTCCTCCAATGCACGTTGAGCGTCTTCAATATCTGCAAATGTAACGAAGCCATAACCCTTTGATTGCTTGGTTTCAGGATCGATCACGACTGTCGCATGCTTAATTACGTAGGATTGAGAGAAGAATCCTGTTAATTTTTCAGTTGTTGCTGATGCTGGAAGAGATCGTACGAAGAGTTCTCTCCTCATTTGCGGTTTGGCTGGTGTTTCTTTAGATTCGCCGTTCGTCTCATTTTTTTCTAGCACAATCTCTTCGGCCGTCTGAGGTTTGAAGCTGCCATCTTCCGATAAACGGCGTCTTTTATTGCTATCGTCCGCCATGTTGATTTAAAATTGTTGTTATTGAATTGGGACGAAGATGAAAAAATAATTAGTGGCAGAAAATTATCTATTTTTTCTGATAAGACGGGACGCTAAGGGATCCGCAAGGCGGTGAGTAGCTACCCGTCTATAGAGCGTCACTTGCGATTACTTTCTTCGGTTCTTCAAATCAGGTATTCGATATTCGATTTTTGGTTTCCTTGTGTTGGGCAACATGGCGGATGCATCGAAGATGAACGTGGACACGCCCAACAGACCAAATGCGACTACAACCAAAGTACAACAGCCCAAACCCCAAGCCCTTCCAAATCGCGCCGCCCCTTCTGCCATCCTTGTCTCGTCTCGCCAGAAAGGAAACCCAATACTGAACCATGTGAAGCTAGTGCCGTGGGAATATGCGGATATACCGGCTGATTACGTCCTGGGTGCTACAACCTGCGCTCTATTCCTCTCGCTGAAGTACCATCGACTCCATCCTGAATACATCTACTCTCGTATACGACTCCTTGCTGGCAAATATAATTTACGGATCATACTGGTTATGGTAGACATCCCGAATCATGAAGAAACGTTGAAAGAATTATCCAAAACATCTATAGTCAACAACGTGACTCTGATATTATGCTGGTCAGCGCCTGAAGCAGCACATTATCTGGAACTTTTCAAGTCTTCTGAAAACGCTCAACCGACGGCTATTCGCTCGCAACAAGCGCAGTCCTATCGAGAAAGCGTCATTGAGTTCATTACTGCACCACGAAGCGTGAACAAATCCGATGCGGCGAGTTTAATGTCTACATTTGGCAGTCTGCAGGCAGCTGTGAATGCACAACCGGAACAGATCAGTGCTGTTCCTGGATGGGGGGAGAAGAAAGTGAAACAATGGTGTACCGCCGTTCGAGAGGACTTTAGAGTTGAGTCTTCCAGGAAAAAGGTTGCTCTGCCTAGAGACTTGGGTGCTGCTGTTGGAAATGGTGCGGGTACGACATCGGCAGCGGGCGATGTTGACGAAGACGTTGAAGATATTATAGATGATGAGAATGCTGAATATATTCTGCTTGCTTCAGCTCGTAAAGTCCGTGAACTGCAGATTGAGCAACAGGCACCAAGCGAAGGGCCGCCGAAGAAGAAAGATCAACAAGAAGAAGGCTTGAGTGAAGGGGTCATGGATGCGCTAGCCAAATTACGGAAACATGGTGCTTAAACAAGTGCTAAAGATCTTGGACAATTTTGGACGTCACGGAAATGGCAATATCAATATCTGCACTGCAGCAGCACTACAGCAGTTCGGTCATGAGACTTTAGTACACAAGGATGCCTAGCCAGCGACTGCCGGTCAAGCAACTTCGATGGCCCATTCAGTGGCAAGTCAGGTAGACCGCTACCGATTCTGGTAGAAATCAGAATGACAGCTTTAGCATCACATAGTGTCTGCCATCCGCTTGAACCATTCATCTCGCGGGATGCGCTTAGAGAAAGAAGCTAAGCACAACCTGAATCGCAATACGTTCTGACCGAGACATGCAATAAGAAGCTGTCGAGTGTTCATGCATGGTCATGCTTCAGTCATGGAGACTTGCAGAATATTCGACGGAGAAGTTTATGTATATATAGGTGTCCAGATAGTACGCCCTTGCCGCTACCCAGGCACATGTCATATGGTGCATAATGGGGCTAAAAACGAAGTCTGAAGAATTAGAATGCACACTATTACTCTAGAAATATTGAACATCGATGTAACTATGATCCGAAATACGGGGAATTACATACCTTACTTTTGCAGCTTTTCCAAGGTCATCTACCGCATTAGGGCTTCCATCCTTCCTCCTTTCCGTTTGAAATCCCGGCCAAAATTCAAATCAGGTATTGTCCAACTCCTACTTCACGCAAGAACTGGGTTAACAATGAAACAAATTGTACTTCTACAAGTATACCAATTACATAACCATGCTTCAAGGATTGGGGCTAAGAATCAAAACAGATCCATATTCCCGAGTAGGAAACACCCACCAATTTAGGAAGGTTACATTTACTGGGCCGATCAATACATGGGATATTCTTTGACCTATTCACATGATAGAATCTGTGTGAGCACTGCAAAGGAAGAAGACGAGGTGATTTACCACTGAAACATCAGAGCTCCACTGCATCTAGATTCCACATCATTCCAGTACTTAGTAGGAAATATTTCCGGTCTAAAAAGCTTACCTGTTACCTAATTTCATTCAAGGGCAGCTATATCTAGCCATTTACCCTTTTCGGGATTTGGTGTTTATGACGCTGACTGCCTCTAGGACTGTTTCGCTGGGGGCTTGTGGTGCGGCCGGATGGGCATGTTTCGGGTTCGTTAGTTGCCAGGATGAGGGTAGAAAGGTATAAATGAGTAGGATCTCCTCGTGTGAATGGACGATATTGAAATCGAACACCTCGACGATTCAAACGTTTCAGTCAGGAAAGAAGAAAAAGCAAAATGCATTCTTCAACTTCCACCTCCATCCTGGCTACAACAGCCCTAACCCTCCTCCTCTCCCTCCCAAACCTCATCTCAGCCTGTTCAGTCCAAGGAGACGTCACGACAACCTTCTACGGCTACCCCGATAACTCCCCGCCAGGAGCCAGTATCGCCTACACACAATGCGGTCGCTCCGTCGCTGGCGGAACAGGCACATACGACGACCCCTTAACCTTCGCCTCTGCAGAAGGAGAATTCCAAATCTGCGACGTCATCTACGCACCCTACCTCAAGAAATATCTCCGTTTCGAGGATGAATGTGACCAGTGTACTTCCGACTGGCAGAATGATGGGACTTGGCATATTGATGTTTGGACGGGTAGTAGCTCGCAGGATGGAGGGCAGAATCAGATTGATTGTGAGGATGCTCTGACTCCGGATTCGCAGAGTATTATTTTGAATCCGGATAGTGGATTGGAGGTTGATAGTAAGTTGATCTTTTCCTTTCTCTTAAGGTTGCGTAAGCTGATTATTTGCTAGCTACTCCGCTCTATGACCCGGATAGCCAAACTTGCAACACTGGGAATACTTATACTGGATACGATACTTCGGAGTACTGCTCATGAGAGATCAGTGCACTGTAATGTCTCGTTGGATGAGATGTCCCTCGAGACTGGCTTCCTGCTGGTCATTTACATTTTGTCTAGCTTCTCTAGTATTTGGTTATATCCATGAACAATAGTAATTTATACATATGAAAAGTCATCCCTAGTCTTTCCGGACGATCAAACATTCTAATATAGCTTGAAATCATCATAAGCAGTTTTCAGGGATTCTTAAGAGAGAGTCATGGTTAAGAAAACTCTAAAGCTCTGTAACTAGCGAACCTGTCACAGCTACGGTGCTAGAGAATATAGGGGAGAATGCATCGATCAGTATAGAGATACGAGAAGGGCTTGCTTCTGCACGTGCTGTACTTCTGAATCTTCTAGTGAGCTCTGGCTCTCCAAACCAGTCCCAGGGCAGCACAAGCACTGCTCTACCTGGGGAACGTTTACTGGATACCTTCAAGTCCCCAAGCTACAGAGTGCCAATGACTTGACAGTCATATCTTGAGTATTACGGTGTGAGCTCGAAACTCGTCCCCTGAGTATTGCCCCTTGATGACTTGACTACTATCAAGGAAAGGGTTATAGTTTCATATAACTGCTCATTCACAATAAGTTTTGATAACCTGAACAACATCGTAATCTAAATAAGCATAACTGAACATAAGGGTATTTGTATTTCTTTAAGAGACAAAAAAAAGCGCGCAATTTTTCAAGTGCGTAGAAAAATATCAAATCAATCATCAACTCACTCAATGCTCATACACCACAAAAAAGCAATATGTGCAATATCAAATGGGAATCATTCAATCAATCATGTGTCGGCTTGTCACAGCCAATTCTTCCAAGGAGAGCTTTACGGTCACTGTCACCTAGGATTCCGCCGTGGCCGCGTCGAGTCGGTGCTGGTGCATTGGCACGGCGCCATGAGCCCTCGGAACCAGAGGCCTTCTCAGCTGCAGCACGGCTCAAACTTTCATTGACTGATATTTCGACTTCTTCCTCCTCCTCTTCACCTCCATCCTCCTCGTCACTTCGAGAGTCCTCGGCGCTTCCCGATCGTACTGCATTGATGGCAACTCGTAAAATCATGCCGAACCAAAGTATCGAGAGCACTTGAATGGCTAGCAGGAAAGAAAGGAAAATCCACTTGATGGTGAAGTTCATACAGAACGGACCTTCTTCGCTAAGATACGGGCCGAACATATAGGTAAACCGGTTGGGGTAGCCGTTCGTGGTATACAGTTCTGCCGTCTTGCCGTCGTAGCATCCGTATGCCATCACTTCGGGAACGTACTGATAAATGGACCAGCAGAGCATCGGGTAAAGAATGTGACGAGTAACGAGCCATGTCAAAATCAGCGAGACAAATACAACGTTGCACATCTTTTCGTAGCCAAAATACTTGAGGATCTTGGCAGCCTGTTAAGACAGTTAGTCGAGGTCATTGTGTTGTGCGCGATTCCACCTACAGGTAGAAGGAAATCCACAATGTCCATCAACGACAAGACCACATTGGCGACATTATAGAAACGGTAGATATAAGCAGCACTCAACAACGAGCTTGTAAGCACATGGTGTGACAGCATATGGTAATAATCTTTCCGGCGCTCTTCGATATTAACGGTAAAGATCTGCTGAATCCAGAAAGCCAACTGAGTCAATAGATACCACTTCATCTCTCCGGTGATCTCCTGCTTAGGCCATTCCGCCCAAATAGCCTTGAAGTCGCCCCAATAACTTGAATTGCTCCAAAGATACTGTCGACCAAGTCAGCAAGAGCGCGGACAATTGGACTGCCTTCTACCTACCATTCCGTAGCTCCAATAAGTCATATCATAGCAAAACAGCCATGCTTGCTCGGCAAATCGTATAGAAGCCTTTCTTTTCATGCCAGCATGTCTACCCAACGGCGTGAATATCCAGTCAATTGCAATACCTCGAACAGCGGTAAAGGCAAAAACAGCACTTATAACAAAGTATACATCGTCCCAGCCCTGTTTATATTTACCGGACTCGCCGTGATAATAGGACATTTGAAAAAAGGGCGCTGTAAAGGATTGAACGGAGGGGTAGAGGTTGTGAGCGGCGAGCAGAGTCGAAAGTGTAGTCAATGAGATGCCTTTTAATTCGGATAGACCGGTCAGACATTTCATTCACTTATTGAGTATCATGGCAAATGATTGCCTTACCTATTTGATTCTGCACAACCCATTCCCGAAGAGTGGCATCTTTCTTCTGAAACGGCCGCGGCTGCGGTGACGGCGACGACACACAGGCATTGAGGTGCTCAATCCTGTCTGGCGGCGAATGTGACCGAGTCGAATTCTTAGCCATGGCGAATTGTGAATGCTTACTGCAGTCTTGTCATGGACCGGTTTAGAGAATTCGATGCGGGAGCTTGTTGTTGTTGTTGCAGGTTGAGAATGTCTCGGGTGCGGAGTACAGGGAATGATACTTTGGTTGGTAGGATTTATCTCAAAGTGTGGGTCAGGAACAGTCCCAAACGCAGCGGCATGCCAATCACAATGTGCTGATTATGTTGTTTCCAGGCTGTTGGTGATATCGAGGATGTTGCAAGAGATGTACGAAAGAAAAAGAGTCAGAGTTAGCTGAGTCGAAGCAGAGTGGATATCCGTCGCAACATCCTCGCAAGACTCTTGAAACACTTGGAGCATTCCCCAACGGAAGGAAGGCGCCCCTCCTTCTTTCACCGCCTTGTTCATCAGTCAACTCTCTCTTGAATAGCTTAACTACGACCAATGCACGTATCCTGACTAAGGCGCCACCAGACAGCAAATCGCAGCAGCGGAAGCTCTCACGATGTCTCGCTTAATCAGGAACTGCAAGACAAGCGGCCCATGATCGACCCCAGTAGCGACTAATCCAGGTCTGTCTAGGCGATGTGGCTCATACACCAATGACATGTCGCCGTATTCGATTCATCTCGATCCTCAATAAAGCTGTTGATCAAGATCTGGTACGATTACGGCATGTCTCATTGCGTCGGAGCTTATTGAGTCTAGGAATAGGATTTCTAGTTGTTGGACCATAATTATATCATTTTTCATGAGAATTTCCGTCTACAAAGGATGTGCATCAAAGTGAAGCACCACTTTCTAACCCAGCAGTGATCTTGTCAACAAATTCACCAGCATTGATACCCAGCTGAGCCATATCCAAACCTCGACTACGGCCCCGGCCATTCATCACTCGCGACATTGCCCGAACCACCTCTTCCTCCTCCCAAATACTACCATCTCCAGAGCTGTTCGCATCGCTCGAACCTTCCATGGCCACCGCCGCCCTCCAATACCAGTCATCACGAGCCTTGAGCGACGGATCCCGCACCACCGCATTCCGAGTCACACTCAAACTGTGTAATTTAGAATTGGCACTGTTCAACGCCGCTGTAGCAGCGGCAATAACATGATTGATCTGCTCGTTGGGCGAGGGCGGACTATAAAAGAAGCGATGGGTAGCAGAGATATAGATCAATGCGGCACAGACGACGTCAAATACGGTCAAGGATAAGAATCGGATCATATTCATGGTGGTAAAGAGACTCAACGGCGGCACCTGGCCGGCGCGAACGGCCGGGCTTGCAGCCGCGATGGGATCGTATGAACTCATGATATAGCAATCAAGACCAGCCAAACCCAATGCAGCAAATGTAAACCACGACCGCCATCGGGCCGCCTCCGTGCCCGCGAAGGGGGCTGATGTCACGACCCCGAGGGTAAGCAAATGAATCAGATGAGGGACCAGCGTGTTGAGCGGTAGGTAAAATAAAAGATACGAAAACGGGTCCTCCGGATTGCAGAACTGGCACGATAAAAGCGCCTCGGGACCGAAACGCAAGTAAATCTTCTTTTGTGCGATCGATGTCAGATTCCCTCTTAGCAGTTTATCATAGTCCGTCAACTCATTATCAGGTCTGTGTCGCGCTAAACGAGCAAAGATGATATCTGTAGGTGTATTGATTCGAGATCCGGTCTGTGTGAATATGTTCGGGGGTGGCGCGTAGGGATTCGACGGTACGCTTAGTATCAAGAATACAACGATCACTCCGAATAATAGATTCAGTGCTCGGTTTGCTTCAGTTAGTATAGGTCGAGGAGGAGGGCGATGAGCGAGTTGGACTCGGAAAGCGCGGTAGTAGTTGATGATGCGAAGTAGGAGGATAGGTCCGAAGAAGAGGAGGAGGGATTTTATGCTGTCACAGTTAGCTCTAATTCTATCATGCTAATACTGTACACATGAGGGGGATATAAGAGGACTTACTTCCCCCAGTTGAGGAGTGAAATGATCCCGTTGGCCATATTGACTCGATCATGCTACCTAGGCGGAATGCTTGTGGAAACAGAAATTGAATGAATAACACAAAAGTCTCTCTTTATATATTATTTGTCAGATCATGTCGTTCGATCCCGCAATTTCTGGTCGAAAGTTGACTCTGATGGTGTTTGTTGTTCACTTTCAGCGTCAAAGAGACTAAACAAGACTAGCCCCAAAATGAGTCGAATCACATGCGGGCCCATAACTCTACTATCGTCGCATCTTTCTACAACATCTTCGGTAGGAACGCTCGAATTTACATTTTCCATTCATTTTGCTGATAAGATTCGACCGAGAAGTATGGGTCAAAAGAGCGTGATTAGATATTGTATTATGTACAGTCATTAGCGAGCGAATGTCGGCCTTGTGAGCAAATGCGAAAGAAAGATATTCCAAAGAATACAGCGAAGGAAATAAGAAAAGAGATTTTTTCGCCCAACACCAAACACTAACCCGCTTATTTAGCTCGAAATAGCAATCTTACCTGGAAAGAAAGAACAGGAGAGGAAAAAATATCAAACAAAATTCCCACCCTGCATAGCAGGATGATGCGCAAGATCAGGCATGGTCACTTCCGGCGTCTCACCATACGGCGTAGCATGCGGAGAAGTAGTCGTCTTCTCTCTAACGGGACTTGAGATATTCACCGGAAACCGCGAGTTACGAAGTTCTTCCGCTGAGCGCGTGATGCTGACTTGACGATACGTAGGGAGGCCGTCGGCTTGGTTATTATTATGGAAACTACCGCTAGGGCTCAGTTTGAAGGATCTCTGGCTGCTTTTGGAGTCGAGTACCTTGTCGGCTACGGCGCCGTAGGAGCGGACGTGGCGGGCTGTGAGGGAATTTTCGGAGTCTGCGAAGATGAAGCTCTGATATTGACGATGAATTAGTATTGATCTATTACAATTTCCTGATATGGACTTACTGCAATGAAATTGACGATTCCCATGGTCATTGCCAGGATTCCAGCAGATGCCACGATCCTCCAGAACGGCATTCCCATATGATCCTGACTGTAGTCGTCATTGTTCAGATTTCCGAGCACCGAGACGCCCATGATGAGCATGACGAGTGACAAGGGCACAAAACTCGCGGTTTCACCTAATTGAGGCACGAAACGAGTGAAGAATTTGTCGAAGAAGGGCAATTCAGAAATGACGAGGAAGACTGTCAATGCTTGTCAGTTTCAGGTATTCGTATTTCGGGGGATATCAGTACTCACCACCCAGTATGGTGGTAAATGCATGACTGACGGCTTCAAAGAAGAAGAAATTGTTGTTGATGGAGATTTTGATGAGCATTACCACGCTTGCGGCGATGAGGTCGAGAAAGGTGATTATGTTGATTGCTCGAAGGACATTGAGAATCACGTAACCTGGACCTGCCAGGGCTTTGGAGAGGCGAGACATGACGTTGTCTTTTCTTGGCTTCTAGCCGATTTTCAAAGAGGCTGGTTGTAAAGAGTGTAGAACAGATAAAAGCGCGAGATTAATGAAGATAGGAATGAGTTGAGTCCACGATCCAGCCAGCAGAGCGAGGAAACAGATGTACCAGACAGGAAGAAATTGAAGTTGTTAAAGAAGGTAGAAAGGAGGGATTGATTTTGAAGAGAAAGAAAAGAAGATTAGGCAGGAAGTTGGGAGAAACACCTAGAGAGAGGATTATATGACGGGACGTAGCGAACAGGAGCCCTAATTCTGGAGATATTGATCTCTATAAGACATGATGTTGACCTGGGGCTTTCCCACAAACCTGATCAATTGACAATAGCCACCCAGAATAGAGAATGCAAATACCAGGCGTTTACCAGCCTATTGATGCCTGATGCCAGGTCAGCCAACAATTCCATTCACAGCATGGGGAGGTTCTTGTGAAACAATAGCAGCCTCATGGTCATTGGCAAAGAGAAACAATGAAAGCCATTCATTTGTCTGACAATGCCTATTGATGATACAGCTGTCTGTTGTAGTGGAGATCGCCGTCAAGTCAAGATCTTGAAGATGAGAATAGAATAAGATACTCGAATATGATTGGTCGCTCTAGATACCGCGATACCGTCTGAATGTGGACCGCGCATGCTATTGTTACTATTTTAACATGACCGTGTATAGATAGATTTTGACCGAATCTGGTTCTGAGTCAAAAATAGTGTACAAGTCGCGATTGAGGTCGATCTGGCGGCAGTCAAAGGGCTGGTTGAGAAGGCACAATGAGCGGGAGACATGAAACAGCGGAGGTCGAATTGGGAAGCTGAGCGGTTAGGTGTAGACTGAGTATCTAAATACATAAGCGCCAGGAGTCGGCTCTATGGGATTAAACGGTATCAGGTGCTAGATTCCACGAGACGGTATGATTCTGTCGGAATTTGAGGGTTCCGTTGTAGATTCTGTAGATGCCGTCTTGTATACAGTGCGGTTGAGCGAGGGGCTGAATCTGTAGACTGGATCAGGGCATAGATTTTGTGCCACGGTATGGATGAAACGATGGCTCGCCATATCGTGTTTTTTCTTTTCTTCCTCTCTTCACCACATGTTGGACTGAAGTGTCGATGTTAAAAGACGAACAGATTGTCTGATTGGTCGAAGCCGATAGAATCGTAGAATTCTGTGGACCCGAATCGGGAAAAGCGCGGAAGAATGGCCGATTCTTTTGCCTCAGACCGACCTTCCTCTTTGTCGTTCCTCGCCTGTTGCAACGCTCACTCATCCAAGTCCTGCTTTCTAAACGCAGCACTGCGCCTACACTTTGAGTGAAGAAAGAGAATAACCCGTCAAAATGACTCGTGGTAACCAGAGAGAAAATGCGCGCAAGAAGAACTTGGAAAAACAGGCCAAGGCCGTATGCACTCTCGTCCTGTCCTGGCGACATGACTGATCATTTTGCTAATTCTGTCTCTGATAGAAATCCAAGAACACCATGAGCGGAACTGAATATCAGCGAGAAAAGGAAAAGGCGGCAGAAATTATGCGAGAGAAGCAGCGAAAAGGTAACGATCCGATATCTCCACCAACTCTGTGAATCATTTTCTCTCTCAGCAGGAAAGACACCGCGGTGGTGCAACTTCAGAGGACAAATATGTGTGTTTGGCTTCGCAGCTTTAATTCTGACTATTTGTTTTATAGCCTTGGAGAAAAAAGCTGCTGAAGCAGCCGCCGGCGGCGGGAAAAAATGACACCCGCTACGAGGACTGGCAACTGACAGCTTTCTGGGTTCACTTCCCTTTCTCTTCTTGATCTTCGTATTGTCCGCCCAACGCACCTGCTCGATGCATCGAGATTCCCAGCATATGACGCCGTCTATTCTCCCGTCCGTCCTGAACAATCGAGTTACGCAACTCAACACGCGCTATACCAGCATGTTCGTGGCCATGTAGCCACAGCTGACGTACATGACCGAAAAAAGGAAGAGATGAAGAAAAGAGAACTGTGAGATCATAACATTCTATTCAACTTGATTTAGCTTTTGGCGTTTCCATTTAACCCTTGACTTATTGTCGTCCGGCGTTCACTTCCTCACTCCATGCATATTAGACAAATTATTGTTCGAGTTATTCTTATTGAATGAAGAATATGATATTGATATTGATTCTGAACATTAAACCAAACAGATTACCTATCCCCTCTACCTGAGATGGAAATTTGAAAATAGAATAAAACAAGCAAAAACGAAAGGGTACTGCCTCAGTACCTCACTGCATCATGTTCTGTTCCTTCTTTTCCCAGAAAGAAAACTAACGATACAGATTTCATAAACCATGAGCAACTGACGAAGGTACTTCTAGTACTGATCTTCGTGTTTCCTGATAATATGCCGAGGCTTGGAAGGCACCTATAATGCACGCTTCAACGCCCGCTTTCCAGCAGCAGCAGGGGGCGTAGCAGCACCAGGTGTAGCTGGGGCACTAGGGGTGCCAGGGGGTGTAAGAGCACTGGGAGCAGGAGCAGCAGCGATCATTGCGAGTTCACCTGTTCATAGGTTAGATTTTCCATTTAAGATGGTGGAGGAATAGAGAGAAACTCACCACCCATGCCTCCCATCATACCGAGACCAGCACCAGCAGGGAACTGTGCTGCTCCGCACAGACAAGAGCAAGAGCAAACACCACCATTCGACATGGTACCACTTCCTTGTGCGACAGACGCGGGAGTTGCAGCGGAGATTGCAGCAGCACTGCTACTTGCGGCTCCAGCTAGGGCAACACCGGAAGAAGCGGAAGAAGCGGCACCGGCAGCACCGGCAGCTCCAGAGGCGCTGGTACCGTTCTGAGCCTTAGCAGCTGACAAGAACGCAGCTTGAGACTTTGCAGCAGTAGGGTTAATACTGAACACCATTCCCTGTCCACAATGGCCGGTCTGCGCACAATACATCCAAATAGGTGTACTAGTAGTAACCTGGAACTGCAACATTGGTGGCGGGTTCATGCTACCATCAGGATTGGGCATAAACCCGGAATCAAACCCACCAACAATCTTCTCACACGGAGTCGCAAACGAGGATTGAGTGACGGTGTGGTTCTTGGCCTCGAAAATGAATTGCACTATATCGCCCACGGCGGCGTTGATGCTGCTAGGCGAGTAGACGAGACCTGCTGAACCGCCCACGGTGACGTTGTGAATTGCTCCTGCTGCCATGGCTTGGTTGTTGTAGTACTTGGTCGAACTTCCGGCACCGGCGTTGGCGGATATCACGATGATTTCGGTACCAGATCCAACGTCTACTGCCAGGCCCTGTGTAGCGTCATGGGCGTTGAGCCAGGGTTTGGCATCGCGGCGGATGGAGCTGGCTGTAGCTGTTGACAGCACGGAAGCTGCGGCCAAAAGGCATAGGGACCTGAAAGAGACCATCTTGTCGGTTTTCCTTTAAAATTATGGTATATATGTAACTCGAATTGAAGCAATGGGTATCAAAGACCGAGTGAGACAGTTATAAAGAATGGACAATCTAGAGCTCTGCTCTATAGTAATAAAGACGAAAAGAGAGGAGAGTGCAAGTATATGGAAGCACAGCTATCCAGCAATATCGAAAGAAAGGCTAAAAGGAGAAAGAAGAGAACGGTGGATTGAAGAGTTGTCGACTCCAAGAACAAAGTCCAAGAAAGCGAAGAGGAAATGGCATGAATTAAATCCACAGCATGTCCTCTGTCTTCAATGGGGACGAAAAGAGACCTTCCTCTTTTCTACCAGTCTAACACTTTCCAAAACACGTCTTTTTACATGTATAGTTTCAGCCATGTGCCCTATATCCACCTAGATAAAGTAGATGAATACAAGAAAAAGAGGCGCAGTGTCGCGTCTATTGAAATCGCACCTCCCGTTTTGGGTTATATGGACTCTCCGATATTACTATATGGTATAAAAATAATGATGAATACTAGGGCAGATATAGGCAAAATGTATGTGCGGCGTCGTGTCGGAGTTAGGGTTAAGACGGTTGTCGTCGCAGGTTGTGTCTCATCCCCTGTTCGATGCGCCACCACGTCCCCTGGACTAAGTCAGGTACACTGAGGCTTTAAGACTGGAAGTAGTTTATTTGACACTGTAGTTCCGTTTGTTTAGCCTCACTAGCTTGGCCTATTTGTCATTTTGACCCATTTCTTAAGAGTTCATAGCTCTCTACGAGGGCTAGGTTAACCTTGGATCCCCAAGTGGTCATGCCTTTTTTCGACTTTTAGTATAGATCTGCTTACAGCATCCTAATCCATCAATCTTTATCTGCGTATTACTATGTTCGTCTACTTGATACTTCGATTTGAAATTAACATATTGCCGAGCTTTGACCGATGTTGCAGACTTGTAGATCTAGTATCTACGCTGTTTCGCGCTGAGTCTGTTACACCTGAACCCTGAGTATGTATCTAGAAACGCATCGATGTGGTTTCCTCGACAATTCAAGATCTTCAATTTCCCTGCCGAGGTGCGAAGCCATCGCAAAGCTGTTTCCAAGAAGACGAGGTATACGAGAGAAACGGATTCATTCGTTAATAAGATTTCGATATTAATAATACGTATAGGGTATCACGGCAACAGAGCCCAAAAGCAAACACACAAATATGACAAATAAAACTCTCTTAAATGACTGGATCCTGTATTCACTGCTTTTGATCACCGGCATCATTATTCTGAGATACTTGATGTCGACCTTCGTACAGCCCAGTGTAGTATCCTGCATAATACCATGCCATCATCAGGTTCTTCAGGGCTGGATCTTGAACTGTCATAGGATCTCAAATTAGTAAGTTGTTGCATCTTCCAAATTCCGTAAGGGGTGATATGTGCAGTGTTATTGCTTACCCTGTCCTAGTAAGGCGTCAGGTACGCTCGGTGCTCCGCCTGTATTTGGAGGCACAAGTCCGCCAGAAGCCGAGGGCCCAGTATGGCCTTGCAACTCGTCTATTCTCGTTGTATCCTCCTAGTATTCAGATCTGTCAGTAGTCCTCTTTATGAAGTATCCAACAAATTAGACGTACCTGAATTCCTTCCTGTGCAACAGCATCTTCAACCTCATCCTCTATGTCCATAGACTCGTGAAGCTTCTCAATACCATTTGCAACAGCATCGATGCCTTCCTTTTCAGCACGATTCAAGATTTCTTCCACATTCTCGCCGCGCGCATGTATGCTATGGTAGAGCTGTACTTCAATATCAGTCACGTGAATATATATACACAAAGTAGACAGAAAAACATACATTATATTCCTCTACAGCTTCATCCCATGAGCGCACAAGCGCCGTGTCATCCCAAATCTCTTCATGAGATAGATTGGTACCTGATTTATTTTTCCTTTTGCCCATAGCGTATGTATGTATATGTTTGTTGTTGATTGCTTGAAAGTTCAATTGTGGGGAAGAAAGCTCTCTTTTCTGTCGCCGGTGGAGATGGGTCCGCCGGGGCTTGGCGTTGCATGGTTAGGAAAAAAAAAAATAAATCTTTCCGCACCGCTTCTTGACTCGACTACTATATCTTTTCTAAACGTCTACAAATCCGTTGCGATGGCTTCAGAAAAGAAGGATAAGAAGCGCAAGGGTATGCATTCCTTTCTGAAGTCGGTTATCTGTATACTAATTCAAACATCTAGCTACTTCCGCCGCCGCTGTCGCTGTTCCCGACCTTCCAAACAAGAAATCGAAAAAGGCTTCTGTCGCCGAGTCCACACCCGCTTCGACTCCCAAGTCCATTCTCAAGAAGAAGAATACTGAGGAAAAAACCAATGGTGTTTCAAAGTCGACTGTGCCAGAAACCACCGATGAACCTTCCCGAAAAATCAAGCCGCGCAAGCGTGCGAGCGACTTTTTGAGCGACGATGAAGACGACGAAGACAAAAGCGAGGAAGAGGAGACAAAATCAAAGAATAAGAAAAAACAGGCTGTGCAGAAAGTAGAGAAAAAGGAGACGAAAAAGGCAGCTCCCTCGAAGACGAAGAAAGTTGAGCCCGTCGCAGAAGAAGAGTCGTCCGAGACATCAGAGGGTAGCAATGATGACCAGTCTGAAAATGATGAGATTGATGATCAAACCGCAGAATTGATCAAGGGGTTCGAGAGCAGTGGGGACGAAGATGCGTCTGAAGATGAAGGCTTTGAAGCTGGTAAACCCGTCCCTCGAATTCCGGACTCGAAAAAGGCCAAGCGCAAGATTCAGAAGAAATTGAAGGAGAATGATCAGCCCGATGAACCTGGGGCTGTATACATTGGGTGAGTAACTACCTGAAAATGCACTCCATCACTGGTACTGACGTTGAGGTAGACGTATACCTCACGGCTTCTACGAACACCAAATGAGAGCCTACTTCTCCCAATTCGGCGACATAACTCGTCTCCGCCTCTCCCGCAACCGCGTCACAGGCCGATCCAAACACTACGCCTTCATTGAATTCGCCTCTTCAGTTGTCGCCAAAATCGTTGCGGAAACGATGAACAATTACCTCATGTACGGCCACATCCTCAAGTGCAAATACGTACCTCAAGAACAACAACATCCTGAACTCTGGAAGGGTGCAAACCGTCGATACAAACGTGTCCCCTGGAACAGGATTGAGAAGCAGCGTCTCGAACGTGGTAAGACACGCGATAAGTGGGCACAGAAGATTGAGCAAGAAGGGAAAAGACGATTGGCCAAGGCGGAAAAGTTGAAAAAATTGGGGTATGAGTTTGAGATGCCGGAGTTGAAGGCTATTGATGTGGTTCCTGTGCAGGAGAAGTTGTCTGCTCCTGAGGCTGCCACGGGAACAGCAGCTGTTGATGCTGTTGCTACTGTGGATGACAGTGCTGAGAAGGCTGTTGTTGAAGAGACACCCAAGAAGAAGGAATCCAAAAAGGAGAAATCCAAGGAGAAGGTCAAGAAAGATAAGGAGCCAGAAACAGCTGAAGTTGATGCTGCTCCGGTCAAACATATGGAGACTACTTCTACTATGCCCGAGACATCGACCAAGAAGAGCAAGTCGAAGAAGTCAAAGAAATCCGTCGGCAAGGCTTGAGGATGCCATTCCCTTTTTACGTATGTATAGATGATAAAAAGTTATCCTTCAGTTGGTCTATTCTGTAAAGCGGTTTATTTAATGCAGAAAATGGACTTGTTAAATATCTTGGTTGATTTTTTGTTCTCGGTTTTTTCAGGCTAGTGTCTCAAACATAAGTTAGGGCTTTAAACTTGGGTGACACATCAATGGGATTGTCCCCCCATTATATCCGACCCATACACCCTCTCGGCCAACAATCGAAGTTTCATAGGCATTTGCTGATCAGGATAATGTGCAAGGATATCATTCTTACTCGCTGGATGTAGAAGACTAGACCATGTATTTCCTTCGGTTTGATTCATTGCACGTTGTTCGCAGTATGTCCGTCTTTCGGCGTTCCACCATTTCGGTAGAATACTATCTTTGTTTCTGCTTGTTGATGACGAAGAAGATGATGACGATGGTGTTGGTGATGATGCTGAGTTTGTGTCGGTGTCGTGTGTAGTTGATGAGGATGGTGAGGATGAGAAATCGTTGTTCTCATCGATATCTTCTTGGTTGCTGTGTCTGGGCATGGGGCATTCAGCAAGATCTAGGAAATCGCGGAAATCCTGGAGAGCGAATTGCAGAACTTGATTGTCATTGTCGTGGTCGCTGCCAGAAGGATTGTTCATATATCGCCCTCTCAACCTCCCACAATACATCTTCTCATCCTCCACCCTCAACCGATACGCATCAACCAACTGATCCATCACTGCTTCCTCCGTCGGCAAACTCTCCAAATAACTATTCCCAACCATGATAGCGCCCACACTGCATGCCCGCTGATGTCCTCTCTTCCAGTCCGCGCGTTGACATGCCCGCGAGCAATACAGCGCCGAACGACAACGTGCGCATCGTTTGAGTTTTTGCTCGGCACGCGGGTTCAGTGGTTCCCTTTTTTTGCAGTGTGTGCATGTGCGGGCTGATTTGCTAGTCGATTTTCTTCTTGCTCCTTCTTTTACTTCTGCCCTTTCTGCTGCTTTTCGTGGAGAAATATGACTGTTGAGCCTGGCGAGCTTTTGGTTGATAAAGTCCATGTCTCCCTCAAGCAAGGCAATATCTACTGCAACCAATAGACTGACGCTGTCATGTGCTAACTATCTTCCACCGGACAGAAGTTTTTTGACTTGATAGATTGATCCGCCAGGAATGATCCGAATATAAACCCACGATATGTCAAATATCACACAACAGGCCCACTCAGACCCCCGGGCCCTCATACTGACTAAATACTAGGGAAATAGTAAATATTGACAAGGTCATGTGGCTGGCACAGATCATAACAAGGGCTGGCCATGACAAACCACGGACAAATAACATGGCCAGATCTTATGTTCTTCCCCACAATTTAATTCCCTGAAATTGTTTGGCAGAAAGACACCAGACGAGACGGGTAAAAGGATACACAGGCCGTAGGCTTGAATAGGCAGAAGTCCACATTCCTATTGGGCATGTGAGGCGCTGAATCTGAGCCCGCCGAGCGCTCAGCGGAAGAGCATAGGGAACGGGAGGACGGCACAGCGGAGTTTTGTGGAATATGCCTTAAGGGCTAAAAGCCTAAAGCTAAGCCCATGCTCACGCTATTACGTACCAGTAACTGAACATACGTTACTCATTCCTCTCGTGACGCGCTTTTGAGTCTTCTGATTGTGTAGAATTGCCAGGTTAGCCGAAGCCTAACAGCCTAACAGAGAACCGTCACAGTTGCAGGCAGACCAATGCTTTTAACTGGCTAAAGTACTGTCGTACCGACCCTTGGGTAAGCACATAGCACGTATTGAGTATATCTTGGGCAATAGCTGCATAGGTCTAGGCGCCAAAGTCCGGGGAAGTGCATCCGTCTGAAACCAAAGGAATGACAGCTCAAATAATTACGTATCAAAAGCCTCAGCATCAAGCCAGGACAGGCTTAAAATACCTCAATGGTGTCACGTATGGATGTCCGGACTCAGCCGCATTGGCCGAAAGTTATCAATCGAATTAAAGTACGGGTATGTATGACCGACAGGCTGGATGAATCCGTGGAGTACATGAGCTGAGATGTTTGTTGATCAATCACATTTAAGCCGAACAGGAAATGTCTCACGTGCTGCTCCTTGGAAGTATGCACGTGACCTGGATATGTCTGTTTGCACTGTTTACATCCGCTACCCAAATAGGAATAGCGGCCCGTCAGCCAGACTAAAACCCGAAAATCAGAAGTTTTTTGTCCTCTCATTTCTTTTCTCTCCAACTCCTCGCTCAAAGAATCGCATTCAAAGCTCACACACAAGAGTGTATACCCATACCTCTTCCCCCACAAGCTTTTGGGAAAGTCCTCGGACAACCTGCCCAATTCATTTTTATGAATTGGTTCCTGGTTCTCGTTTCAATGAGAATGATCGGTCAGGCAATGCGGAAACGCGCCGCCATAAAAGCAATTTGATAGCGGCTTACGCTCCTATTCTTCCTTTGGATCATGGTCTATGCGACGTCTTTCTTTGCAAAAAGGAAGGTGGAAACAATGGCATGGATTCGGGTTTGAAGAGAAGAGGATGTCCTTCGGGATATCAGTATTGGAGTTGCTCTTCGTCGTGGTTCGATAGTTATGCGATTGCTTGTTCGATTTGGTTCGGACAAGTAACTCAATGGGGCTCATTCTTGAGGCGAGGAGTTCCCTTTCTTTTTTTACACAAAGTCTGTAGCTTATGGGAAAGCGGTGATTTGGTCTGTCGGACTGCGAGTTATGTTGTCGCATTTCTGATGGCCAACACAGAAGCCCTGTCAAAGGGGCCGGACTTGTTGATTTGGGATATATTCTCATAGAGAACAGAGAGCTAGAGTAGTTGAGGTTCGCGTGATGATATATCATAAGAGTCAAGCACTGAAGATCCGGCCATCGTGCAAGGACCGTTGTAGACTCAACAATATCTGATGGACATTTCTTGCTTTTATACAGAATATCATTTCACATTATCTAAGCTTCAAATATCAACGTGTCATATGTAGTTCAATATGCATCATACTTTTAAAGTAGATGAATGAGCCCGATTATTCCGACTTCCCAGCTGGAATAGCCTGGGCCTGCCTCATACTCGCTTGTCCACTCTTCTGCAAAGCCGCAATCACCACATTCCCCGTCAACGAAATAGCGGTCGCACAAGCACTGCTCCATACCTGGATACTGACTGTCCCCAACGGCGCTCTCGGAAACGACAATATCCATTCAACGGGGTACGGAAACCAGCCGGGAGGGAGATCAAAGACAGGAGTTTTCGTGTAGTAGAATTGTATAAATAGTCGAGGTCCGTTCAGTGTCAGCCAGCGGGCGATTTTCACCGAGTACTGGAAGGAGGTTTTTCTTGAGCCCATTGATCGATCTTTGAGCAGCACATATCAGCTATACATGACTCGTGTAAGTATCGTAGATAGCTACTCACTCATGGCTTCATATTCCTCCATGGCTTTATCATGTCTCCTTCTCAGTTTCGCCCATTTGGCGAACTCATCCTGCGAACTGGTCGCGTTCATTTCTCGTTTGAGTTGTACGACATCGCGTTTTAATTCGCCGTGTTTACGAGCATCTTTGGAGATGGAGGATGGTAATCGTAGGTAAAGGATCCATAGCTGTTTCCCAAGTTGAAAATTAGTTTGAAAGCGTTGCAAACAGGATCACTTCGTGTTTTGATGTGTAGTAGTTACATACCAGATCGTCGACTGTACTTGCCCCAATCGTATTGACGATATATATGGCCAGTTGTATGAGGAAGATCAGTAGTAAGAAAGAAATCATCCTGAGTCGATATTGCGGTGCAACGACGGCCGCGGAGGTGGTGGTGGTTGTTGTGTGGAAGGCCGCACAATGCGGAGAGTCAACGACCACGTAATATTCCAAGAGAATTCCAGGAGCAAGCTACTAGCGACAAAGATGTATCTTAAATATCGCGGGCTTGAGCTCCATATGCGTTGGTTGTGTGAATAGTAAGGTCAAGCTCGACTAGAAGAGAATATTGAATGACGTCTGGTCTTAACGAGCGAACGGCAGGTGCTCCGAGCCGCCAAGCTGCCGCCTATCTGGCCCTATCACAACTCATCCAACATCATCCCAAAACTACACGGATTGAATGTGGTCTCAATGACTTCGGAATCCGCAGAGGAAATCTACAAATCCTTGTATGAAATATTCGCCAACAGAAAATCAGACCAAATTCTTGAAATCGAGATACTGACCCCAGATTTGGGGCCTCTCTTGCAAGATGGATTATGCATTGGGATCACCAAGGCGGCCCTCGTCAAGAGTTTTCTAGTTGCGAGGCAAAAATTGATGAAATATCTCGTTCACCGAAGTGAAAATGTTGGCTATGGAACAGCCTCTCTCAAGCAGTCGGAGGGAGTCAAAGAACTTGCTGTTGCTACTCAGATCATTCTCTTGTTTGACTGTGAGCATGTGACGGCATGCAACTGGAGGAAGCGATTCATATCTTCTTCGGTACAGGATCATTCCATTAATAAAGATATGTCGGGCTTAGAGGAGATGTTACAGAGGGAAAGAAGTCTTTTGGCTTCATTTCTGTGCTCACCATTGCATCGTCATACGAAATCGCCTACACTGTGGCAGCATCGGCTATGGATTCTAACTAAGTTATTGGATTTACAAGAACAAGCCGCTGTTAAAAGTGAAATTTGGAACGAATTCCTGCGCAAACTGATACTACAAGAGCTGGATGTAGTCTGCAAGTCGGGTCAGCTGCATCCACGAAACTACTATGCATTCAGTTACATGCGGCAACTCCATGCTTTGGTCTGTCAATACGACTCTCCGAAGGAAGAAACGTTGCTGAAAGAAGCTTCGGAGAATACTAGTCAAGCTTTACTACTCACTTTGGCTCTCGTTATGGTGGAACCTATGTTGAAATGGTGTTTGTCCAATCCTAGCGATATATCGGGGTGGGTGTATCTTTTCTATCTCCTTGACCATAATTTCATAGGGTCTTCTTTTGCGCTGAAAGATAAGATGGCCAAGGAAAGAAAGTGGGCATTGAAGCGGACTATTCACTTTGCTGTTCATATAGCTGCATGGGAGAGCGAGAGTCTCTGGACGTTTGTCGACTTGATGGTAGCACGATTTGGAGTCGATATTCTTCCAGCGGTAGACACTGATGTATCAGCCATTGGAGACAATGGAATATCAGCAGGGGCACGATGGCAGAAAACAAAACTCAATGTCTACAAGATCTACGAGACGAGAAACCTATCATGAGCTCGCATAATATTTTCATCATTGGGATACAACTGCCTAGTCAACACCACCATTCGACAGGTTTCAACCATGATATTCTAACATTTCACAAAGGTCCTATCCGTAAAGAAAGACAAGAACAAAACATGACTTTGACAACACATTTTACCATCAATCACACGCCCAGACTGATCCTCTCACCCACATGACTCTCCAACTTCAAACTCAGATAGGCAAACCGCCCATCAAAGACCCAACAAGAGGCAAGCTAGACAGCATACCCTGTGGCTTTGCCGCGGCAGCAGAGGCCGATGGACTGGCCTGCGATGGCTTAGCTGCAGTCGGGCTAGGAGCCGTCGTTGGCACGCTAGGTGTAGGACGAGATGGACCGGCGGAAATTGGGGTAGTCTTAGCAGCAGCCTGTCAGCTAGTCAATCCTCATTCACTTATCACCAAAAACTAGTGAGGTTGGGGACTACCTTTGCAGCAGCTTCAAGCGCATTCTCCATCTCACTCATATACTCCGCCTCGGAATCGCTCATGACCTGCTTGTCCTGCGTCTGGTCGGCTTTGTCATTGGCATTGCTGCCGTGATCGAATTCGGTAGCCATGCCAGGCATGCCAGCTAAACTACCGGTATTGGGCTCGGAGGATGTTGGTGCCGCATTTGCGACGAGGGCGAGGACCGCGAAGACTGCGAATAGATAATAGAAGAGGTTGAAGCGGGCCATTATGTTGTCTGAAAGATGATGAACTGAGAATAATTGGGCAAGAAAGAGTGAATGGCAAGAAGAATAAAACTTGCTGGTGAGAAGAAATTCAGAAGAGAGGAGAGTTGGATCAAGGTCCCAAAAGAGAGATTTGATCTGGGATGAGCATCGCATTCCCTTTAATACGTTCCAATCTGCCATACCTTACAATTTCTTTATTGGTGGTCTGATTTACGATTACAAGGTACAATATCCCTTTGGCAAAGACCGTGATATGTGCTATACTATGTATCTAGGTAGCTAGGGATCCTCCTGGAGTTATTGATCAACATACCTGCGTACGTAGCTTTGGTTTAAGTACATTCAGACAATAGTCAGGACGCACTCTGTCAGTTCAAGGTAGACTAGGACAATTGGCACGTATACAGTTGTAGATTTTAATCCGTCTCCAAAAGGAATGATCCTCAAGCGCTTCCTAACTTTTCCCCCCTGAGTATAAACATCAAGAAACCTGCTATCTCCGGGGAAAAGATTGTAGATATAAAGCTGAAACGGGACGAAATGACGATCAAAGCTTGAATATCCATTATGATCAAGCTTTTGATGCTTGTACACATACCACTCATACGTAGGGCTCATGCTTGTGGACCAAGGAAAGAATCATCCCTTGCATCTGGTAAGCGAAACATTCCTCCTTCCCAAGGTGCTATTGACATTCTCCCTCAAAGTCTAGAGCAACATACGAATATCTATAGATCCATAAACAAATATTCCATTCAAATTACGCTTATGTAAATAAAAATCGGAAATGTACCTCCCTCTATTGACACGTAAAGCCCCATATAAACAAAGACCAACGCAACACGAGTGAAGATGTTTTGGTCAAGTATGATACTCTAAACCCAAAATCAAAAGATAACATGCTATTGGCAATAATTTTGACCTCCTCCGTCATTGGGGTATGGACGGACGAGACTTCGAATATGCCGTTTGTATGGGATAGATTGTTGAGTATGGGGATGTTTGGAGGGCAATGGGGCAGAAGTCGATCATGCCAATTTGTGTGTGATAATATTGCGCAATGGAATGTTTCGAGTCCGGACGGGCAAACAAGGAAAGCAAAATTGAGATTATATTCTTCCTATCAGGATTAGTATCAAAACCACCATAAATAAGTAAAACCCATCTGTGAAGATCAACCTCCATCATTAAAGAGAAAGAATCAGTAAAGGATAGATATGTATGCTATAAGCGAACCCGGCCGCCGCACAGTGCAGAAATAGCGATTCGTAAAGATCGTCGGGATTAGAACAAGCATGTTTCTTCAGTCTCGGTCTAAACATTCTAAATTTGTAGATGAGACGTGAAAACTCAGCTACAAGGGTATGAAGACCTTGATATGTATATGAGATGAAGAAGAAAGGAGAAGGAGAGAAGGAGAGGGAGGAAAATTTGTTGGTAAGTCAGTTGAGTGGGTGGGGTACATTATATAATCAGATTATTTGTTAACAACTAACCTTAAAGCAGCAAGACTCTGTTCTGTGCATTTGACGGTCGGACAACTGCAAACAAACTAAAATCGAGCAAGAACCTTTTCCTGCACATCGCCCTGAGCATAATCGCTAACACTCTTACTCAAAACAGACTTGGCCTGTTCTGCCGTAAAGCCCTTGGCCGAAACAGCAGGGTTGTACCCAAGTCCTGTGACTTTGCCAACTTCTTGATCCGACACAGGGGTGGCTTCTTTGCCGTCAGCGCGTTTATAGACAGTCACTACGACAGCTCCGCCCAGACCTAGATTGTGTTGAAGGGCGGCTGAAGTGCCCATAACCAAACGGTTATTGGCCCAGCCACGCAAGTGCCAGACGAGCTCGGCGCATTGAGCGAGGCCTGTAGCTCCGAGAGGGTGACCCTTGGAAATAAGTCCTCCAGAAGGGTTGATAACCATGTGTCCGCCGTAGGTAATATCGCCTTTGCGCACCATTTCATGTGCTTTTCCAGGCTCGCAGAGTTCGAGTGCGTCAATGGTGATCATCTCGTTGGCTGAGAAACAGTCGTGTAATTCGCACACTTTGACATCCTTGACGTTCACTTTTGCCTCTGCTAGAGCTGTGCGAGCCGCATGGCGACTCATCTGGAAGCCCATCAAATCGATAGCGCTGCGGTCATATACGGAGACATCATCAGTAGCCATCGTCTGACCAGCGATCAGAATAGCCTGCGACTTCAAGTGTGGGCGAGCATCAAGGAAGGCCTGTGAGACAATGACAGCAGCAGCAGCACCGTCTGAAGTTGGGCAGCATTGAAGTTTGGTAAGCGGCTCAAAGATCATGGGGGCTTTGAGGATTTGGTCGAGTGTGTATTCATCCTGGAACTGTGAGTATGGGTTGCGCTTGGAGTGTTCATGGTTTATACGAGCGATTTCGGCAAAGTCTTCTGCCTTTGCTCCGTAGCTTCATAGTGTTAGCTTCTCATTAACTCTGAGTCGTGAAAAGGGAAGCGTACTTCTCCATATATTCCCGGCCGGCATTGCCAAACATCTGAGCTGCACCAGGTGCGTTGGTAACACCACGAGTCTCCGCCATCATCATTCCGAACAGACCAGTCGGATTCTCTCGGTCATTAAAGTACGACTGCAAACTTCCGGGACTCATCTTCTCAAAGCCCACGACAAGAACACAATCCGCTGCGCCGTGAGATACAATAGTGCGACCGAGAGCAAGACCAGATGAGCCGGTAGCACAGTTATTGTTGACATTGTAAATGGGGATCTTAGTCAGACCGAACTGGTAAAACACTCGCTGGCCACATGTGCTGTCTCCGTAGACGTAACATGCTACTCCTTGCTCGACGTCGTCGTAAGTGACGTGGGCGTCAAGCATGGCCTTGACGCCGGCCTCGAAGCCCATCTCATGATAGTCGACTTTGCCTCTGGGCTTGATGAATTTGGTCATGCCCACCCCAAGGACGTAGGCGGGTTGGCTTTGTTTACCCATGCTGCGAATTCTCTCGAGCCTCGGAATGATGGTATCTTGCAATGGAATATATCTTCTGAACTGACTGAAATATACGATATGATGAGAGTGCGGGATAGGGTTGAGGACTGTATTTATTCTATTTCCTCATAAAGTACTCCGTAGCTGTTCATTTATTGATTATTCAAGAGAAATACCCTAGCCAGTTTGGGTTTTGCGGGGAAGCTTGGACCGAGGTCCACCCCTGATATTTCAGGCATCACTTTTCTACCTCCAATAAGATACATCAATAATACTCTTGTTGTGTGAAGATCAGCAGCATGATTCGGTTTCAGCGAAAAATGCCGAGGATCCGTTTTCGAATAAGTATCTATCATTAAATGCTGTCTTGGTGACCGAGCATCCTATGTGATCACTTAAGGACTTGCTTACCTTCTGGAATTCTTATCTCATATTTGAGATGAGCGATTGAATCATTGATGTTGTGTTACAATGAAAGCTTGTTTGTTCCGATCCAATATGATCACTCGGAGTAGTCTCGACCGCCTAGAATCAGAGGAAATCAGAATAGAAACGGCCTTAAAACCACTTCAATTTATGCAGCACTGGGTGTTTTGATCGAGTAAGAGTAAAAAATCAATCCCGAGGAGCCGGAAGCCCAAACTGCATGTGTAAACGAGTCTTGCGCTTGGGCACGCGACAGATGACTGACCGATACGTGCCACAAAGGGTGACTGTAGACCTGAAGAGACCTGAAAAACACAGATAGTACGTATCTGGTTTCAGTGCACACCGAAGATGAAGTGTTACAGAATGATCGTACGATATAATTGAATCTTTATACTCAACAAGTGCCGAATATCGGGAACTCGGTCTGGCGCCTCGGGCCGATGTCATGACAGTGGACAGCTAATATGAAGCAGAGCTCACTCGGATCAGGTCGATTCGGTTTTGCATCGCATGAGGGTTCATATCCCAGCTAGATCTGCCTTTATATAGTGAACCTTCTACCCCTGGGAGAGTTCTTTTCTACACGCAAAGAACGATCCATCTCGACGACGTCATTTGTCCTCCGATACGCTTACATAATTGCACTAGTCCTCTCCGAGCGGTCGATCGCGGTGCACTCAGCTCCGATCTCTGAGGAACAACTTCCGCTTTCACGATATTTACTTCTGGTAGCATCAATTGTTGTTATTGTGGAAAGCTGATTTAACCCAATCTCACCTTCGCTACTCTCTATCGCATTCTTTGCGTGCACAGAGAGCTACGATCGAAGATCAATCCATACAACGGCAACGGCTCACCCCACACGAGGTACGCTCCATCTGCAGCCGCCACCTGCGGCGAGCTTACAACACAACTATCCCCTCCATTTGGCTAGATTTGTTCTACCTACCACTGTACCATTGCCGGTTGAACCATCGTCCGGAGACATAACCCTGGTCGTTGTGTGCGATCATTCATCACAATTCATGTTCTCAAAGTTCATTGCAATCACTGATTACTCGGATAGCCGACAAATTACCGTCTAGCTTCCGCAGCTCCACCACCTTTCAATTCCATTCTCGAGTCTCGACAACGTATTCGATTGCGTACAAGTTTACATAACTCGAACACGTCGGCGCCGTTGATCTATTCAAGCGCCGGCTTCAGAACCCTTCGTCAGTTATTCAACCAGTGCGGACTGCTAACGACAAGTGCGCCAATTGTCCTACGTCTTTGCGTCTTCTTAAGAAGGCACCAACCTTTCAAAGAATTCCCATAACGACGTGGGTTTTCGCAGCTTTCTCAAGAAACGACTGTGGGACGCCGAACGGTCATCTCGACCCCTGAGAGACCGCTTTGCGTTCCATCGGGTTCCCCAGCCCACCCATACATTTTAACCAACTCGATTACAGGAAGTGATAACGCAATCGTTTCATTCGTCTTGCCATTTGGTGTCCTTGTCGGAGAGTCATATGGCCTGAGTTCAATTGCCAGGTATGACTATGAACGACAGTTCCGGTCACGTTCGTCTTTCCTCAACCGGTTCCACTCGCGCTGCATCTGCCACCGCAATGTCGACGTCGAACCCATGGATTTTCGACACGAAGAAGCGGAATCGTATGTTGAAGAGATATCGGACTCAAGTGGCCTCTGCTACCTCGACGATTTGTGCCACATTGGCTGTGGTGCGTATCCAATGCGGATGGTCAATAACTGCCACTGGTCATTACTGACATTCATATAGACACCTCTGGAAAATTTAAAGACTCGGATGCAAACGTACGTTTGAGTCATGAATGTGTCGTTACGCTAAACACTAACTTGCATAGTCATAATTTCCGAAATCTCAAAGAATGTGCGAAATACATATGGCGTACGGAAGGATTCCGTGGTTACACTGCTGGTAGGCTCGACTTTTTTTTCTTTGGAGGTAGATGGCGCTCCTACTGACTAGTACAGGCTTTCTTCCCCCTCTTATGAGTGTCACTTTCGTACGGGTCGTCAGCTTCAGTACATATCAAACCGTGAAATATCGCATTTCTGACGAGTTTGAACGTGTTACCGGTGTCAATCCTTTGGTTTATTACAATCAAACTGGCAGTAATCCTAGTTTCTCGACGATTACTACATTCACCGTGGCTGGGATGTGCGCAGGTCTCGCTGCATCCCCATTTGCATGTGAGTGGTCGTGGAATATGCAAACAGGAAGGATGTGCTGACCAATTCTCAGGCCCCTTTGAATTAGCCAAAAATGTCGTGCAAACATCGGTATTAATGTCGTACCGATCTCAAGCCTCGCCAGATGCCGTTCGAGATCCTCGGGTACGCTCATTACCGCGCTTGGGTACTATCCAGGCTTTTAAGGAGATTATCAGTCGCCATGGTTTCCGTGGCCTATATACCGGGTATCATCTCCATGCTATCCGCGATACCATTGGAACGGGACTGTACTTTGGAATATATGAGACTGTCAAGCAGCTTATTGCCAAGGAAATGGGCAAACCAGCGCAAACTCCCTTTGGTCCTCCGATGGTGGCAGGTGCACTGTGCGGAACAATACCTTGGCTAGTTGTAAGTTTAGCTGCAATGCCGAAATTGAGTTCTCACGGCTGACGCAATCAGACTTACTCTCTCGACACACGAAAGACGCGTGCTCAGAGCATCTTACTTGGCAGAACAAAGGAAATTGGCGAAGCCTCAATAGCCGTGTCGAGATCCAGCATGTACAAGGGTCTGTCTGTTTCTCTGATGAGGACCAGTTTTCAGAACATGATCCTTTTCAGTCTCTTCGAATATACCAAGACTCAAATCAACAATCTTGAGACGTGAATGATTTCTGATCAACGAAGTCATTGAACCATCAACGAACCATTGAAATATTGAATATCAAGAGGTGGAAGACTAGGGTAACATCGATTCCATCTATTATCGTTTTCAAGAATTTTTACACAGATAAGTATGTGTATCACGATGTTTCTGTACATACACAAGACCCTATTTGGGTTCTGTATGTTTATTATATGAACTTTTGTATCATTTACTCCTTCACATGTGATGCGATCGCTTGGCCGACGCTGGAAGGTCAATTGGATTGCACTTGATTGGAAAACATCAAGCTGGAATGTAAATCCACAGAAATGAGTATGAAATTATGAATTATTGCTGTCGTCTTGACGTTCTTCTGTAGTGAGGTTCGATCAGATAAATAAGTGGAGCGACGTCATCCCGCTTTTGTCTGTTGCCAGGTCAATCCTCCATAAATAGTGGAAATACACTCACCCGAAAAAATTCATCCTTTCACTTTAGAACCTAAGCTTACTTTCGGCCTTGATCCTTTTGTTCATGATACGAAACTGTACATACCATGACATCGTGAGTTTGAAACCTTCCGTACAAAGAAACTCGTCCCTACATACTTACACAAACTCCACCTCTAGAGGCAACATCCTCCAACTGCCCTTCCGGCGCACCCTCACCGTTTCCCTCTCAGACGCAATTACGCAATACATTTCTTCCAAATATGACCAACGACCGGATATGTTCGCAGATGATCTGCTTATTCTCGATAGACTGCGCTCCGAGGCTGTGAATGTGCAGGAACCGCATGTTAGCGGAGTTAGTCGATTGGTTACTTATGCGGCGCAGCTGAAGTGGTTGGGTGGGAAGTTTCCTGTTGATGTGTGTATATCCGCTTTATTTTTGACATGGCAAATGTCTGAACGGGGTGTAGGTTGGGGTGGATTTTTCGTGGTATCCTGCTTTTGGGTTTAATACGTCTCGACCAAGTAAGTCTTTCTCAGGTCGCGTTCTCGGATGTTTTACTGATAGGAAATGATGGAAAGTCGTGCAGAATAATTTACGATTCGAACTCGCCAACGTGCTATTCAACCTTGCCGCGCTGTACTCGCAACTCGCCTACTCCCTGAATAGGACAACGTCAGACGGCCTCAAACAAGCATGCAACTACTTCTCACAAAGCGCTGGCGTTATCACCCACCTCCGAAAAGACATCATACCCGACCTCCGCGCCTCACCGCCAGAAGACATGGATGAAATGACGCTACAAAGTCTAGAAGAACTCCTCTTAGCGCAAGCGCAGGAATGTTTCTGGCAAAAAGCCGTCAAGGATGGACTCAAAGATGCCTCTATAGCGCGATTAGCGGCACAAGTGTGTGATTTTTATGCGGATGCTGGTGATTACGCGGTCAAGTCGAATGCGATCAGTACGGATTGGATACATCACATGTCTGCTAAACATCATCATTTCGCAGCTGCGGCGCAATATCGACAGTCTCTCGATTGTTTGGATAAGAGGAAATACGGTGAAGAAGTTGCGCGGCTAAGGGATAGCCTGAAATGTGTCAATGATGCTCTCAAGGAGTCTAAATGGATCAATCGGATTGTACTGGGTGATTTGAATGGGTTGAGAACTCGAGTGACGGAAGATCTCAAGCGAGCCGAAAAGGATAATGATCTTATCTATCTTATGCCGGTGCCGCCAAAATCGGAATTGAAACCTATTGACCGTGCGGTTATGGTGTCTGCGAAAGCGCCGACGCAGGTTACTGATGCTATTTCTATGCTTGGCGAGAATGGTCCGCTTGGGCAGCCGCTACTTGCCAAGTTGGTGCCGTATGCGGTTCATATTGCAGCTAGTATATACTCTGATCGACGGGATCGGCTGGTTAATGAGACGATTATTGGGGAATTGGAGTCGATGACAGATAAACTGCGAGAGTGAGTTCCGTCCGCCACTGTGAGGATTTCGTATGCTGACTATTTCTAGACTGTTGCAATCGCTCAATCTGCCAGGCTCACTACAAGCTTTGGAGAAACCGCTAGGACTACCGCCGACTCTTGTGTCTCATGCGGAAGAGCTCCGTCAACAAGATGGTCTCAATCGTCTGCATCGGTCGCTTGAAGACACGGCCCAAGTCAAGAACAACGATAAAGCATTGTACACTGAAGGTGTCGACCTGCTAGCAGCCGAAAAGGAAGAAGACGACAAGGCTCGCGCAAAGTACGGCACAGACCGGTGGACCAGAGACTCATCTGTCATCGCCGGACAAAAAGTCTACCAAACAGCGTCGGACATCAACGGCTATTTCTCTTCCGCCCAGAGCACTGATGATCTGATTCGGGGTAAATTGCGAGATACTGAAAAGATTCTCCGGATTTTGACCGGTACCAATCGGGATTTGGAGTCGTACGTTCCTAGTAGTCGTCGAGCTGCGATTACGCCAGACTTAGAGAGGGAGTCTAGTAGATTAAGGAGTTGTTTGAATGAAGTGATCAGACTTGAGAATCGGCGGAAGCGTCGGATTCAAGTATTGAAGGAGAAGGCTCGCGCGGATGATATCAGTAAGTTTGGATTGGATCCCCTAGCGAATAAGGACAAAGTTGACTTACTGACTTGATGTATAGATCCCGCTCTACTCAAAGAAACTGCTCGCCTTGAGCGAGAATTCCCCATGCAACCCATCGAAGCAAGCCAGTTTGAGAATCTGTTTGAAGATCATCTTCACCTATACGATTCAGACCTGGACATGGTCGCCCAAGAACGAAATGAACAAGTACAACTCGAAACTCAAGTCCGCGAAGCAAACAACAATTTCATCCGTGCTCGCCGGGGTGACACATCTAGTAAAGAACGCGAAAGGGCGCTACAAGAACTCGAGAACGGTTATGCAAAGTACAAGGAGCTCATTGGGAATATTGAAGTTGGAAGAAAATTTTATAATGATTTGGCCAAGATTGTCAGCCGGTTCAAAGATGATTGCAAGTCGTTTGTGCACGAACGTAGGATGGAGGCTAGTCAATTGGAAAGGTATGTCGCCTTCTTACTTTTCATTGAACACAACTAACATGAACAGTGACATCACCAATGCTGCAGCTATGGCAGCACTGAATATATCATCTCACCATCCTATCAAATCTCAACCACAACAACCACCTCAGCATCAACCTCCGGCACAACAACCCCTTACCGCACCACAACCTACAAGAGCAAATGCAGCTCTACCACCACCCGTCGCAACTACAGGTGGTATCTGGTCTCCGGAGATGGGTATAAGGTTTGGAGGACCGTTACCTGCTCCTGGGACTACGCAGCCGGGTCGACAGCGGAATACCGGGGATCCGCAAGCTGGGACTTGGGATTCTAGTAAGGGGATGAGGTTTTCGTAGTGGTTTTTGATGTTGTATATATTACACAAATAGGATATACGTGTACAGAATTATAATCGTACATATGTAGAATCTCAGTAGGGACCTGGTCTCCCGATGTGCTTGCATCACCTAAACCACCAATTAACCTAAATAATTAGTACTCATTCACAAAAAAAGGGGGAAAGAACATACCGAAGCTGTATTCCCCTTCCCCACACCCTTGAGACTATGCCACCACCCTTTAGGGATAAACAGTGCATCCCCTCGTTCGAGCAGAACATCATATCCAACCATTCCGTTGCCATCCGACTGAGTCGAAGACTCTTTAGAATGCTGCTGCCAGATAATATCCTCAAGCAATCTCCTCTCAACCCCCATCATCATCTCCTCTCCTCTAATTGACGAACTCCCACTACTCTCAAGCCTATGTTCATTCTCCACTCGGCTCCTCACATCGACGAAAACACCCCTCCCATCCCCCGGATTCAGCATCCGCGCGCGCTTCAATCCAGCTAAATGCACAAATAAATTCGGATTAGGGTCTCGATGTAATGGTGTATATGTCGGTGAAGCACCTATCCAGAGGTTTGCGGCGTATATATCGTTTCGACCTGTTTCTGTAACTAGCCGCGGAGGTGGGGAGAAGTCTTGGGAAAGTAGATTTGGGAGGTCGGATATGTAAGCTTGAGCGAGGTAGATTTGTGTTTTGGTCGCTGCTGCTGGAGTTTCGTGTTGGGCGCTTAATTGCATCCATTCTAGAAACATTGACAATGGCGCGTTTATGCGTTGGAATTGAACTTCTCCATTATCCTCTCCGTTCGAAGACGATGTTGTAGTAGTCATCTCAAGCGGAACAACTGCATCCCCAAATCGGGATAGATATTTATAATTCAATTGAAGGTGGCTATTATCGTCTTCCTTTCCCCCGGCGGTAAACCATTTCTTATACCCTGGTAAATCTTCACGCACAAATTTAGCCGCACGAATTACGACTGGTTTCTCAACCTGGAAGTAATGCTGCCGGAAATGGTTGATGTCGTTTTCGTCCGGGATGGTGTTGGGAGGTATCCATTTGATGGATGGTAGATTAGTGCTGTGATGAAAATTCCTGAAATGAGTGCTTATTCGTGAGTGAGTATCCCGGCTATGTTTGACTCTCTTGCTTGACAGTCTGTATATTCGTATTGGTCTCATTATTGAGGGGTTGCATGAGTTGATGTTCGGCGCTCGGGCTTCGGAAACCAAAAAAGATGGCTTGAAAGTTGAGGATTGTTCCCACTTCGGAAAGGTTGTCACCCCGGGGGAATGTGGGTCTGGATCGTCTTTATCTAAGCGCGATACTCCGTACTTAGGGGAGCCTGGACGAGTGCGGAGAAGCGCGCTACGTTTTACGTACTACGCATAAGGTGCTGACATGAACATAGATCCTTCAGGGGTATGGATATACGTATACTTTGTACGAACTAGATCGATTGTCTTGGACAGTATCTTCCCGTGAAGTCAGGGATTGATATCTTACAGATATCCAGGTAATATGTCATGCAATAACTGCCGAGGACAGTCTCAATTAAGCCCACAATTATGCAAGACGTGCTTCCCCGATAAATCAAGGTTGTACCGCATGTACATGAGACTGCCTAAGTTCTCCTCCTCACACAGCATATCCCGAATGCATCCTCGGTTCTGCATCAGATCACCCGGCTGTCCTCAGGAAGGATGCGGGGTCAACTCGCTGATAACCTTAGTGGCTCTTGTCAGTAACATATAAAATAACCCTAGTATCAGTAGTTCACATGAGTCGATCCTTTGTTAGCACCATTTCTATTGTCAAAACAAGCAAGAAGAAAAGATAGACATGGCCTCTATACGTACTCATAGTACATACGACAGACATGGGTATACTTACTACCCTGTCGCTATTATAGGTGCCGGGGAATCTGGAATTGCCATGGGATGTCAGCTCAAACAACAGCTGAATTTTGATCAGTTCCGCATATTTGAGAGGAGATCTGGAATAGGCGGTACCTGGTGGAGTAATAGATACCCCGGGGTTGCTTGCGATATGTTTGTCTCCCCCCCCTTTGCAGATGAAATCTTTTCGCAACAGACTGATGTGACTGACTTCCCACAGACCGGCAATCCTATATTCCTTCTCTTTCGCACAAAATCCCAAATGGACATCGATGTTCCCCTCCGGAAGGGAGATTGCAGCGTATCTCGCCGATGTGTGTGCCAAGTACGAAATCGTCGACAAGCTCCAGTTTCATACAGAGGTGACGGAAATGAGATGGTTGGAGGACGAAGAAGAGTGGGAGATATGTATAACCCATCTCGCGCCCGGAACAGGCGACTGGTCAGAGGCCGAAAGACGTGATAAAGCAGCTACCGAGGTCCCTCAAAGTGTCTATCTCGCAACTGAAAAGATACGGGCAAAGATCGTCATCAGTGCCGTCGGAGGCTTGGTAGAACCGCAGGAGATACCGAAAAACGTCCCGGGATTTGACATATTTGAAGGTGAACTCACTCACACCGCAAGGTGGGATGAGGATATCGACGTAAAGGGAAAGGATGTGGTTGTTGTTGGCACCGGGGCTAGTGCTGCTCAGGTTGTTGTCAGTTTATCGTCGAGTGACTACGGCGCCAAGTCGGTCACACAACTCCTGAGGACCGCGCCGTGGATCAAACCGGACGATGACGGTAAACAGCTGACAGACGAGACCCTACAGCAACTGTCATGGTATTTCCAGTACATACCGGGATTTCAACGAGCCTATCGATCGTTGGTCTTCTTTCTGCTTGAGCATGAGTTCTTCTTGATATTCTCAAATACAAACTATTCCAGAAAGTATCGAAAAGGAGAGGAAGAAAAATACCGTCGTTTCTTGAAAAAGACGGCTCCAGCCAAGTATTTGGATATGCTGACTCCAGACTATGATCTCGGGTGCAAGAGGCGGATCATTGGTAGCGACTGGTTGAGAAGCTTGCATCGTCCAAACGTAAATTTGACTTCTCGCCGACTCAAGAGCGTTAACGCTCATAGTGTCACACTTGGCGCGCCAACTTATCCTCGCAACGCTCAGAATAAACATGACGCCGATGAAGGTGAAGTCCAGCTTCCTGCGGATATCCTGATATTGGCAAATGGGTATCGAACAAATGAATATCTGCACCCTATTAGTATGATCGGTCGAGGCGGCCGGAGCATCCATGATGTTTGGAAAGAGAGGGGCGGTCCGCAGGCATATCTCGGAATTGCAATGGACAAATTTCCCAATTTCTTCATGCTATTCGGACCCAATACCACTACCGGCCACACCAGTGTTATCCTCGGAAGCGAAAACGCCATCTCTTACACTATGAGACTGGTCACGCCGATTCTCAAAGGTACCGTGAGTACTTGGGAAATAAAAGAAAAAGCCGAGTTGGAATGGGCCAATAAAGTCCAGGACGAATTGAAGAAAACCCCGTTCAACAACGGTAGCTGTACCAGTTGGTACACAAATGACAGAGGCTGGAACTCAACCTCATATCCGTGAGTATAGTGGACCTTTACGATATGTGAGCTTATTGCTAATTGCAATCTTGCAGCTTCTCCCAAATTGACTACGGCCTGCGATGCATGTTCCCAGTTTGGAAACACTGGGAAAGTAAGCTAACCACCGAAGGTTTGAAACAACGAAGAAGGAAGGCCTTGCGTCGTAGCATTGCACTGGTTTTAGCGGTAACAATCTACTTCTGGGGAAGAAGGAATCCGTCGGGAGTGCAGACTGTCAAAATGACTATAACTCAAGTATTTTCGAAGGTGTTGGTATCTGCAGGTCGTCTGTTGCATAGCATAGCGTCTTGACTTGCTCCTTCAAGATAGTGTAGTATGAATTAACAGTAGTAATATCGGTAATATTACTAAATATAAATGAGTTTTCAATATATAAATATGCAGAGAATCAACTCTTTGCTCTGCATGACAATAGATGTAGTTCAAGTAAGTGACTAAACGAGGAATATGAAGGAGCGCGGAAGTGGGGATTTTCCGCCCCGCATCGGAATCCCCGACCTTAATTGTAAGGCACACAGGCGAACTCACCATTCCGCACTCTCAAAAGGCGTGTACGCTCCCATCAATGCTGTCTAGATTAGGCAATACAACATAAGAAATGGCTTCCGAGTCCCCTAACCCCAACGGAAATACTCCGCAAGCCTCGGGCGTGTCATCGAATGGGGATGCCAAAAGAAAGCCGGGGCTAGACAGCGGAACGCAAACGCGCGCAAAGCGGAATCGGTATATTTCCATTGCCTGGTATGTTATAGGGGTCTCTGATACCCTAAGCCCTAATCCATCCCTCAAAGAATGCATCTAATAATTTGCATGTACAGTAACGAGTGCAAAAGGCGGAAGATTAAGTGCAATGGGCAGGTGCCTTGTCAACGATGCGGGCATCTCAATCTTGAATGTTGGTGCATCTGCTCCAACTGATATGCACTGAGCTAACCCTCTATCTACAGGCCTATATGCACCCAATTGCTGCAATGGGAACTTCAAGGACTCTGAGTGGGTACCTTGGCATTGATATCCATATGAACTGTGCTAACTGTAATCGAGTGAATTTCGGTTAATGAAAGAACAAATTAATACTCTCCAGAGCCAGGTCAATACTCTTTTTGCCAGTTTGAACGAATTGTCTACTTTCAAAACATCGCTCGACTCGGTTCCCTTTGACTCATATTCTACTGAACCCTCTCGCTCCGGGCCTATCTCAACTTCTCAAGAGCAGCCTTCGCCTGCCAGCCCGCCGCAAGCAAGACACCCTCGATTCCATGGCCCGACCAGTTCAGCTTTCAATTTTGGCGTAGCCAGAGTGAGTCTCCGTGATATGGGCCTGACTTCTACCGAGAATCCAATCCACGATGAGCTAGCTGCAGCTGCTGAGGAGTCATCGCTTCCTACTGCTTTGACACGTCTAGCAGCAATGCATCCCACTAAGGATCCTATATGGGCAATTACTCGAGAGGAGGCAGTTCGTTTGTGCAGAGTGTACGAAGAAGAGATTGGCTTAATGTATCCTTTCTTCAACATTGAAAAAGTCATTTCGCAAACAAATCTTCTTTACAACTTTCTGGAAGCAGCGACGAGGACTGGCTTCACCCAAACTCAATTACCGGGACCAGATGGCCTGCAAGATGATGACTCTCTTAATTTGAAAATGATTCTCGCTACAACATTGGTTCTTGAAGGAGGAGGTCAAAGCACGTTAGCTCGGCAGCTTTTCGAGACTGTGAAGCCACTGTTTTACGTGAAGACACTGGAACCTGCAAACATCAAGTCGATTCAGCTCTTTTCGATCATGGTATGTTTCCTATTCTTTGATGTTATGTTTTGTACTACTAATAACCTTCGTCAGGCAATGTACTATTTTCACACAGATAATGAATTGATGTGTTATCGCATTACTGGTATCAACGGCCGGGCATGTCTTGAATTAGGACTGCATCGCTGGGATGCAGTGATCAAGGCTTTTCCGAATGAAAGCGATTGGAGAGAGGTCACTGGGCTGTTCTGGGCAATATATAACCTCGATCGAAGATTCAGTTTCGGCACAGGCCTGCCTTTTTCAATTCCAGATAGTGACATCGATCCCAGCCTTCCGGAGCCTGTAAGGAACCTTCACCGTGGCCTTACCATGTTGGGTTATATTGACAAATAATAGGATGATACAAGACCATATTCCAAGAGTATGGTTGCATACGATCGGCTTAGTTCGAAAATATGGTACTCTGGTGTGGGTTATAACGACTCTGCTGACGTCAACAGAGAGGAAATTGGATTTCTTGATTATCAGGTCTGCCAATGGTACAAGAATATATCGGAACATATGAAGCTCTCGGTAGATTCACCCGGCAACGACACTTCTGGCAATCGAGGAGTGCAGAGACTGCGGGTGATACTATACCTCCGAATGAATCACCTACGCATCCTTATTTACAGACCAGTGTTGCACTCAGCATCAAGTATTATCGAGAACCAAGGACACGCTCGCACAGTAGTTGATATCGCTAGAGATACCATCCGGGTCCTGGCCAGACTCAATCAAACATCTGACATATACAGGAAGCAACAGATCACCTTCAATTGGTTTTTGGTTGCTGCACTTGCTGTTCTGTTCCTTGCTGTCTGTCATGCTCCTGGTGAATTCAGCCGCCAGGTGCGCGACGAATTCTATCTGGCGCTAGACCTCATCAACGGCTTCAGCGCTCATTCCTATATCTCCATGAGATTGTGGGATTCAATCAAAGGACTGCGCAAAATTGCGGAGAAACTCGGTGTTTTCGGGCGCAGCACTGGACCAGATGCTCGTGACCCCCATTCTAGCGCAGCTGTTGCAATGGCCGGCTTAGCCGGACATCCCATGGAAAGCATCTCAGTATATGGACCAACAATGGCGACAGTGTCTGAACTTGGGAATAGCCCTATGAACGGCCTACAGATTAGTCATGAATTGACCAATCTTTTCGAAGCTGTGGGGGCATCCAATTCCTTTGGGGCAGATAATCTCAATGGATTTATCTCGAATGACGGAGATTTGCAGAACTCTGGCGAGGGCTTAGCAGGTGTTCTTAGCAGCGATGCTGAGTTTTCGCGCATATTGAGCGGTCTGATATAATGGCACTTAAATCCGATGTATTGTATGAAGATGATGATGTATGTATCTTATGAACCATTCACTTCATCGTCAGTACCTAAAGTGGTTATCGATCACATTGAATATAATCTTATCGGCTTATCGTTATCGTATCATCTTAGCGAGACCGATTGCAATCGCGGTCACGTGACTATATTACATCTGCAGCAACTGGCCGACAGACAACCTTCTCAACCGCACACGATGCTATACGACTGGCGCGGCTATCCTGTCAACACTTTACTCGCCGATTGCGTCGCCATGTCATTACACAGTTAAAAATCTATTGGATTTTATCCTGTGCTTTTTTCATCACACTATCATCCTCGAATTGTGACACTCATCGACAGGCACGAAACCCTCTCGTTTTTCCTTTACCCCGCTATCTCAATTTCGTCCGAACCCTTGACAGTCGCAAGCACTCGTTTGCTTGCATATTCTTACCCTTCGTGCTACAGTTTCTACTTATCATCTCGTTCGTTCAGATGAACTCTTGGGTACTGCAGGAGTTATAGTGTCGGCGCGCTGGAACCAGATCTCCGAGGTGTACTAACAACCGACAACAACATAACGTACCTTGACCTTGGCGATTAGCACCGTTCAGAGTTATTGAGAATTGACTCGAAATATACGTATCCGCAAAAATACTCGCAAAGATACGATACTCGCGTCACCTTGTGTTACCTGTCGCCTAAAAGGAATTATTTAATTGGCTTCATACTCGTTAGCTCCACCCCAACCCTCGACAACGTGTCTGGAGAAACAGTCCCAAAACTGGCCGAAGGCCTTGAAAGGCTGGACCTGAGCTCGTTATCTACGTCCACCTTCTCGTCCGACTCTGGTTCTTTCAACATGTCGTCTTCCGATGGAGCCCCGGAGTCATGGATCTCATCGTTCTGCTCACTGATGGGTCATGAGTACTTCGCGGAGGTGTCAGAGGACTTTATTGAGGACGACTTCAACTTGACGGGCCTACAATCTCAGGTACCCATGTACAAAGAAGCGTTGGAGATGATTCTGGATGTTGAACCTGAGGATGATGAGGAGGAGGAGGAAGAGGAAGAGGAAGAAGAGGACGATGATGACGATGTATTGGGCGATGAGAAAACGTTAGGTTACCGGCGAGCAGGTGATCGAAGGCATATGCGGGTGGCTAGTGATCTCAGCATGATAGAGAGCTCGGCGGAGCTGCTGTACGGTTTAATTCATCAGCGATACATCACATCACGGCCTGGGATTCAGCAAATGCTTGAGAAATATGAAGTTCATCATTTTGGAGTTTGCCCCCGCGTCAATTGCTACGGATGCAAGGTTCTTCCCGTTGGTCGAACTGATACTCCTGGCCAGGAGACTGTCAAACTCTTCTGTCCTAGCTGCTACGATATCTATACGCCGCCAAACAGTCGATTTCAATCCGTAGACGGAGCATTCTTTGGTACAACATTTGGATGTTTATTTTTCATGACCTTTCCCGAGCTAGATGTTGGAGGAAATCGTGCAGAGAGCATACTGTCACCTGCTGCGCTAGCTGCCGGTAATACCTCAAAGCGATCGCGCGTCTCTTCTTTGCACAAATCAGTTTCGCTGACCATGTCACCAACTACAGAACAACCACCGACGAATCAACCCGCTCAAATAAATGGCATACTGACGTCCAATTTCGCCCCCGGTTTAGGATTCGGCAAGATTTATGAACCTCGCATTTACGGATTCCGAGTATCGGAACGTGCCAAATCCGGCCCACGAATGCAGTGGTTACGCATAAAACCCCGAGATATAAATGAACTAGATGAGTCAGCGATATACCAAGCTACGCACGGGGCTGACGAGGAGGGAGGATATGAGGAAGGTGATACGGAAATGGGATCAACAGCGGCTACTGCGTCTCAACAATCTGCAATTGGCATGAGGAGGAAAGCACCCATGAGGAAGCGTAGACATCTACCTTCTAGTACTGTGAATCAAACTTCAACTAAGAACGGGGAAGGTGGTTAAATATGTGGCGTGGCGTGGCGTTTTATATGGATGTCCTTTTTCTGTGTCTTGTAGTTCCTGTGGGGTCAGATTATGTTTTGTTACGTCTTTCTTTTCCATCTTTTCTCTTCTACTCTTGCATAAATCAAAATTCATCATAGCATGGATTATTTTCAGTTCTACATTTCCCCCCCCCCCTCTATTGTGTAGTACAAAGTATCGTTACAAGATGAGGTGTGCCCAGGTATGTCCAGCCTTAAGTTTTTCTTATCCCGTGAGTGGGTTCAGCAAGATCCCAGATAATGGGGTGATTATGGCTTGGGACGCTGCCATGAAGAAAGTTGATGGGTCTCTTTTGAACACAAACGACTGACATTGAAATCATCCCGGTCTGTCCACTGTACCAGCTTTGATATTTACTTGATACATTGTTCCAGTGCCTGGGTAGACAATAAGTGTCTACTGAGTAGCAGGAAAGCAATATCAGATCTGCGAGGCACGGAGTTGACGCACATGACCATTGTCAAGAGAGAGCATTCATGAGTAGTGGATGTCAGCATGTATTTAGTATCGCAACATCGTCGATGTAATCTCAAGTTTCTGCAATGTCCATGACCTTTGATCCACTTAGTCGCGAAGTAAGCTTTATAAAATAACAAAAGCCTCTCCATAACTATACTGATCTTAACTTGAATACTTTTATATATATATATATATATGAAAGTGGAGGGCACTCTGTGTGCTAATGCTGAAGTAATTTATGAGTTAGAGTGTCCTTCATCTCCGTATTAAGCTTACTTCTGGACATATTGATTTAGGTCTGGAGAAGCCTTCTGTTCGTTATAGCTAGGTTCTACTGTACAAGGATATGCTTTGGGATCTGTTATGAAACAACATAATTCAGCGGCAGACATCATCGTTCCCCTTTAAACTTCGTCAACTCTGACGACTTGACTTTCGTCCGTCAGTTTACCCTATCTGAAATCTTCCTGTCTTCTATTCAAGTAGTATCTACGTGCACACAGAATTTTGCTAGGAGGAAGGCACCTCATTTGAACGCGAAGCAATCAAAATGGCAAAGCAAATCAAAATACCTCTTAGTAAGCTGGTAAACTTAGAGAGTCCCACATCGAAGCAAATATTTTCTTGCTACAAGCTCTCTTCTCCTGACGAACTATACAAACACGTCCTAGCAATTTCTACACTCACAGCTTATCAAGAACTCATTTACAACAATACTCCACCATTTTGGGACAATACTGTATTAGATTGGATCGACGACCGGTTTAAAGGTACTTTCAGGTAACATATCTCTCTTCTTGTTCCCCCCACCACCCCCCCAATTGAGATTTTGCCACACTCATCATTTTCTCTTCATTCTACAGAAAGAACTACTACAATGCCGTAACATCAATTATTTGGATTCGAGATATGCTACCAAAATTCACGATTGCCATCAGTCCTGGATCGGTATACAGAAAGCCCGGTGGAAAGGTGCTAGACTTACGACAACTGCTGAGGTCCTGAGGATGAGTTTTTACGCATTAAGGTTAGTACAAGTAAGTTGGCATTTCATCGTCTATATACTTAAAACTCTTATTAGATATTACATTTGTCGATGACCTCTATTCAAGCTCTAGAAAGGAGCCGGATTTATTAATTCAACCAAAAAATCAACGTGTGCCGTCTCTCGGCGTGGAGTTTGGATGGAGGCAATCTTGGTCCCGACTTCAGCAGGATATAAACCTCTGGTTAGTTGGTGGCCAGGGACAAGTTAGAGCGGTGATTATACTTAAATAGAAGCGAGTCACAAGTACCAACGCAGTTCGAAGAGATAACGAGCTATACACATTGGATGAGAATGGAGGGCCTCGCTTACAACAAAATTTCATCACCTTCCCTGCTCCTCCTCCTGCTCAGATATATTATTTAGTAGAACCCGGCTATAACGAAAGGAAGGCCGCTCCATATCTCCACTATATCAGCTTGGATGACTTTTTAAATATGGAACTGAAGAGCATCCTATTTGTTAATACTAAACTGGATTAATATATTGAAGATACCCATTATATCTAGATTAAACTCACTTCTAGAGGCATTCACCTGGGCACTGAGAGGCCTCTGCTCGTTACAGGTTCTGCTGTACTGTAACAACTGGAAATCTTCATCGAAAGGGAGATGTGGGTCCTGGACGAGATAAAGTTTACCATGCCGCTACGGTAAGGCCCGCATATGTGGGTGTATTCAGCCGTTTTAAGGTTTGTTTCAGGTGTCACAGACAATTACTTCTATAAATACGTGTCGCACTGTTTTTAGCCGGTCAAGTACTAGCTAGCATTAAAAAATAGCGTATATTTCGGAGTTACACGTATATAAAAACATTCTGAAATTTTAAGCCTGTATAATTTAGTAAAATCACAATTTGGAGGCCACTCTTGCAACATTCCAGTCTCTTGGGCTAGCCATCTCTTGTTTTGTTAAGACTCTAGGGCCACTCTCTCCCTCTTCTAGCCCGCTCCTCTTTGTTCCAAGTTTTACAATCTTATCTTCCTTGCACCGCTAGAGATTGCCACAGGCTGTGTTTTCTCCTCTTCTATAATTGGCACTATGTCTCTTCCCATAATGGGCAGAAACTTGAATCCACGCCCACTTCCACCAGAGCATACAACTAATCCGGGTCTGTTGGAAACATAGTCAATCAAGAATGAGTCATCGATGCTGTTGGTATACCAGCATAGTTTTGTTGATGAGAACCTCAGTGGAAGGAGGCCTGGCGTGTTGATGGCAATGAATTCTAACAATTCACGTAAGTCTCCCAATTTGACATAATTCAATTACCAAAGTTACCTTTAATTGCATCAAGTAATTTTCTTGGGATGTTGCTTTCAGTCTTCTCTGTGACGTGGGCTGTCTTTGGCACCGAGATCCGTTTGCCGTCAGGTACGGTATCAAAATTTGTCCATGTGCGAACGCATTGTCAAAACTTGATCTGTTGAGCAGATATCCTTCGTTATACAGACGCCATCTGGGGAGGAACATACTTCGTAGCTCTATACCCGAATTTGACAACACCTTTCTCCTTCATCGGTAACATAGACACCTTTGCCTTCTTTCATGCCCCATGTTAAGACTGGCATATTCTCAGGTGCGTATTTTTACCCCAAATGATGCGTCGAGTTTTTGTCAATTGTAAATTGTTGCCATTGATCCCAGCGGTTGTTTCGATGTAGATTTCGGACCTCCGGTATCAATGTCGGTGTCTATCCTCCCGCAGCAACAATCACTAACACAGCACAATGCTGCCTACGATCAGCTGTTTTAACGCCGTTGACTTGGTTTCCCATATATAGTAGACTGGAGACTTTTTCTTTGACAGGATCCTGAACAAACTTGGCTCCATTCTTACAGCAGACATTCCATGCCCAATAACATGCTTTATAGGCCGCCCACGAAACCTGCAGCTGGTTCTAGGACAGAAGTATTATAACCGAGTCTCTTCTTCCCAAGAGGATCAATTTTTCTTCCCCAGCCATGAACTTCTGCTCTTTGAATATTTTGTGACGTGTTAGACACTGCATGGACAAAATACATACCCTCAGGATGATCATACTTGAATTGCATCCCCCGCAATCCTTCCTTTTCCATGTTCTCCAGCGCTTTCGGCTCAAACTCTCCATATTGCTCCACAGCACTCATCATAAGCATGTCCGATGAATACCATAACTTGTCACTAGGTTTCAGTCCTTTCGGCAAATCACTAGTGGACACGCTTTCCTCGTTCCAAGCCTTTCATATTTTACCGGCTTCGAATGCTAGGCGTTGATAGTCAATTTCTGTGCCAAGCTGAGGCGCATAATCTTATTGAGGTCAGCAGATGCACTATCCATGCCTTCAGTGGGATTGTAAAAGTGTTCGGCAACTGGTTGCATATCGAAGACTGTGATGTCGGTGTAGCTCGATTTGGAAAGCCATAGTACCCTACATTATGTCACTTCTGAATACAAAATATACATCTGAGCATATAAAGAAATGCTTATATTGATAAATCACAAACGCCAGATCCGATGATGATTTTCGAAGATTGTGACAGCTTTGGTACTGTTTGTGGTGCCATTTTAGCGATATAAGGCTCTTGTTTCCTTTCTTCTCTGTGCATTTGATTACTCGAAATTGATCATCAAGACAATCTTACATATTCTTGAATACTGTAGATTTGTTTCACTGAATCCTAACCACCATCAGAATAGGAACGTACCCATGAGCCCAGATTACGCTGATGGCATGACTGCGCGCTTTACTCCCACAAAATAATCCTCTAGCCAATAGGAATAACATCCGATAGCTAGCAATTGCCCTAACAGCGTCGTCGGCGTTGTCCGAAGAGCTAGGATTGTGTCATGAAGCGCTATGCACCTTCGGAGTTGTTGCCGAAAGTCTTTGATAAGGAAATTATAGACTCTGTGTCTCGATGATCCGATTATGCGGGGTTTATTGGAACGTTGAAATGAGTGTCCTCATCACGAGTAGTAGACATCTAGGTTCCAGGTATGGTCAATTTCGAGGCGATCGCTATGTAAGTTCTCTACCTATATGCAGCAGTAGATTTAGAAGATCTCAAACCAGCATTCAGATTGATTTTAGCTCTCATAGTGATGAAAATGGATTGAATCTCAAAGAGAACGGCTATATCATTCGCGTGGTCAAACAGGGCCTCCTTCAACATCGGAAAACCTTAGAACCGGAGCAATTTCTCTCATATCTTGTGAGCACGAAAACAGCTAAATATCTGTATAGACTAATTTCCCTGTTTCCTTGAACGAGAATATGTGGTTCTTAAAGTTACCGATGCTATGAATGTTCTGACACGGAAAAGTTACCAAGACCTAATTGAGTCTATTATCTGCCTGCCCCCCCCCACAAGGCTAGTGTAGCGAAGTATCAAATATGTTGATTTCTGTATGATGAGATGGGAATCCTTAACATCCAAGTAGGTTTAGAGCTCGCAAATCAATTCAAAGGCCTGTATACTTTCAGGCCGCAGCTGGTGGATTCCAACACGATTCAGCTAACTTAATTCTGATCTCCCCTTCAGATGCTGATGTTGAGCTGACACTAAGGTAATGATCATCCACGTATGGCCCCAATTCCATCTATATTTAGTGTCTAAGTACAGCAGGTACATACAGGGAAGGATGTATTATACTTTTACGCGATCAGATTTTCACATTTCATCGTGCTTTCTATTGTTCGTCTGTTTACGCCGAGATGCAATTCAATACTTGGGTACGACGCTCAGCCAGCTTTTACTGTTCGATGGGTTGAGATCCCAGCTTTAATAATTTTATTTGATCTGACTACTGAGGAAATACTTTCCCTGATCCCCGTTGAGCTGTGGTCGGTGTCAAACGCGCTGAACTCGGTTATGGTTTAGCGAAATTGGTTATATGGTGCAATCAGTGTACAAAAAACGCCAACTTGATGTATATAGACAGTTTCAGTCATTGAATAATACAGGAAGCTTACTCTATAACGTGTTCGTTGTTCCCGTAGTCTCCTCAAACATATATCAATACTAGAAGCACAATCTCCGCTCTTAACCTGGAACCCTCTAAGGTAATAACGCCATTTAATGCAGGTTGATCACTTTTTTCTACTAACGTGCCGTATCTCTAGCGGATAATATAAATTCTCAATGAATAGTTATATGACTCGGAGACGAAATTGCATGCTCTAGAGTCAACGGAAAGTGTTCGCTGAGCGACCCGATGGAGGAGGTTGACGTGGAGTACCTGTCTGGGTAGGTATTGGTAAGTGGCGGTGTCTGTTGGTGTCCGTCAGCTTCAAGATAAACTTGTTAGAATATTTCTTCTTCAAAAGGACACAGTGCTGTTCAGACAGAAATGAAGGTAGGGAGAGGAATTATTTACCTGCGATTGCTGGTTATATTGAGGTTGGTGAAGTGGTGCCTCTAGACCGCTGAGTGAAACGTAGTTGACGTACAGAGGGTTGAGGTCCTGCTCCTCAGAGAAAGCATTCATCTGCTTAACAGGTTGTAGGTTGGAAGCTAACGGATGTTGGCTCAAATGACCTAACGGCTGCTGAGAAGTCCCTTGCCCCGCAAATTCTCCATAGTGAGATTGCGGAATGGTCGGAAATGCATGAAGGGGTTGCGGCGATTGGTAAGAGCTGTTATGATCATATACCTCTTGATAAGAAGGATATGGTGGGTAGAAGAATGAATCAGGTGGTGATGAAGCAGGTATTTGTGGCGAGTTGAGTTGGTCGGTATAAACGCTACTGCTAACGCCGCGCTCTTCGGACATGGTGCCGTATGTCTGAGATTGTTGCAGCGGAAACGGACTATGAGATAAATTCCAGCTCTTATTCTTTGATTCTGCCGCTGACAATCTCTTTTTGCGAGTCGTGGTACTGTTGGCCTTGGGGGCCTGAGGCCTTTTAGTCGCAGACTTGGATTCTTGGGTCGTCTCTGCTTGCGACGGTTCGGGAGATGTGGAAGTTGATGCAGCTCTACGCTCAAGATCCTCTAGGCGGCGCTTTAATCTCTTGCCTATGACCTATCAGCGCAGTCTCCCATTACTCTCGGCATCGATCACTTACGGTAGTTACGCTGAGCAATTCGATTCTGAATCCGACGTCTTTCTGCTAGATCTGAAATCTTGGTCCAATCTTCATTAGGATGCGCACTGGGACTGAAAGCACTGCTTGTTCCCTGATGTAATGTGAATATCGAGGTAGCGGTCATATCTGCTGCCGGTGGCCCGGTAGTAACTATTGGGTAAGACTGGTAGCTGTATCCTTGAAGACCCGTTCGATCCATTATGGTTGTTGCGTACAAGTTGGTTGATTGATGAGAATGACTATGCGGTTCACCGGCGACGTTTGAAGAGTTTGTGGATTTCAAATGAAAAGCGAGCTCTCATCCAACAAGTGTGATGACCTCAAGCTCTCTGTAAGTATGAGGTAAGATAATAAATAGAAGCACGGCTATGAGCCTAAGTAGGACAATTTTGCGATAATGTAGGTAATGCGACAGATAAAGGATCAAGAGGGTATATTAAGTTTTGATCAACTAGCGAGGCCGTTAGATACGGAGCGTATGGCCACTACCGATTACCCAATGCTGTGTGGGCTGTTTGGGCTAGAGCCAAATAACGTTTCTTGCATTGAACATGGCTGTGTTAAGATTCACCGGCATTCAATCCCATTGTTTGCTTTTTCTCTCTTGCTTGAGTCATTTGCCTACTTGTCGGATGGTGATACATCCGCTTCGTATATGATTCTTAGCAAAATACGTTATTGTATATTTCAAATAGTGGTCTGCCATGCGTTGAATGTAACTATTTATTTACGAAGTTAAAGTTATTTGTTTCAAGGTTCTAGCTATGTAACTTAATATGCCCTGCACGTCGACAACAGATGCTAAATTACCTAACCGGCTAAAAACTCTTCAGCTACGCCAGCGCTATAGTTTCAGCTTCATCATTCACTCTTCGCTTGTTACCTTTAATACCTTGTCCAACACCAAACTAAAGTAGAGGGGCCCTGTTTAGCTGCAATTGCCACAAAAGTCCATCGTTTTGTGTATTAAGTTTTAACCTTCGAGTCTACGACGTAGTTACCTAGTACTTACTACCTAGTTGAGACGACTAAAAGTCTGAGCACGGGGATAGTTAGCCAATAACGTTAGAAACCGGACTGATCCTCTCCCAACATTACGCGTTGCACGGCCGGCGGCTTAGCGTACTTGGGGCTAGAAATGCTTTTATTCTCGCTCTATCAAGATTTACTGATACTAGTATCTGTTTTAAGCTTTCCACTAGGTATCTACTTCGTAATGGTCAATCTTTAAGCGCGCTACACAAGGCCGGCAGATGCCATAGTCTATACGCCATGACAGATAACTGACGATAGATGGCAAAATTTCCGTAGCTCCAATCTTCCGGCAGGAACTGCTGGGCACGTACTACTATGGATACCGGGATCTTTAGATTCCACTCCCTGCACTTTATCCAATCAGTATTGTGAAGGTGAGTATGCTTACAAACATGTGTAGTTAAAGCATACTTGACTAGCCAAAACTGGAGCGGTCCAGCCTGGGAAGTGATGATGCCCTGTTATAGAGTCGAGCCGACTGCCCAGACATGAGCATCACAATAGTATTACCGTAGGTATAAGATAGTACTTCGACAAAAGCATAATACGGTAACCGGAATACGGAGCACTTCACGTGGACGTATTCCGTACGTTCTTCGCTTTCTAGAAGCTAGATGAGTGGGGCGGTCCCTAAAAGACTAATTCCGAAATCCGATAAAACCGGTAAACCCTAGACCCTAACCAGACTAGCTTGCCGACGCAGAATGGGCCCATCTTGAAACATGGGGTGATAATTTCCAAAATAGGAAAAAAAATCAGTTGCAACGTGCCGATTCTGCTTTTCTATTTTTATGCTCTAAGTTATGGAGTACATGTTTCGAGTTCGTGGAACTACGTATAAGTGCGTATCACATCGCCTTGGATAGCTGTTACGCTTGTTGTTCATATCTGAACTGTTCTCCATGACAGCCACCCAGACCAATTCAGGTTGTGGTTGCATGACACAACTGCTTACGCTTATACCAATTTAGCCAATTATGTGGATCATTTGATTGAATCACTCGGTGCGTTGTCAACGCACTGTTTCATGTTTTCGGAAACACTGGTACGTACTTAACGTCTCAGCAATGAACAATACAACAAGAAGAGAGCCGGGCGAACTCATATCATCTAATCGACCAACTTTTCCGAGTACCAAGATGGAGACTGATCCCGTAAAAGGTACTGTTCCAATTGAGGGCGAAACTCATGTCGGAGGGATGGTGACACTGATTTTACGGTGAGATTATCCATAATTTTCTGTCGAGAGCCACGCTTGAATAAAAGTATGTGAGGCTGAAGAGATCCTCGTATTTAGCCTAATAGCTATGCCTTAGATGGTTAGACTCTCATGACAGAATATCATCCCGCGCTCTTCAAAAGAGAATGATGTACTCCGTAGAATGGGGGCGTCAAAAGAGTTCGTACTAGTAGTAGAACAGATTAGTTTCCTCGCGCTTTAAGTTAGCACTAGAAGTCACCCACAGGCTGACGGAGTCACGGCTGTTATGTACGCTGTAACGGAGCGTCCGTGTACCGTGAGTGCCGATGGGATTAGCACGGACTGAATCTATGGCTGTGATTGGGTTGTTCGTTCATTTGTCTCGAAAGGATTCGCGTAATCTAGGAGTGGCTGCCTAGGCACGGAACTGTTACATTGATAACGTCCACAAAACGCAATTGAACAAACTTGGCTGTTAGGCATCTCTTCTGATTTCAAGATTTGACTTCAAGCTAGAGGTATAACACTAGGGTCAACAAAGTTCAAAGTCAGACCCTTAAATTCTTCAACTCTTTCCCTCCACTATACCGGCCCCCACATACATCTAGCCATCAGTATGAACTCTGAAGGGCCGGATACCCGAGCAGAATTTGTATTTGAACTCCATTGTCGGCTGTTAAGGTAGACTATTCCGTTGCTTCCCATAGAATCAGATGAGTCAGATGCAGCCATCACATAGCTATGAGGTTGTTATCCGATTCCGCCACGGACTTGTCACGGAGTAATACATGAGCTAGATGTTTGTTAACTACAGGATTGCCCGTTGAGTCTTTCCTCGCAATTGCATAGACTACAATATGTACCTAGAAAGCTACAACAAGAGAATACTACGTATTCGATAAAGTAAGTTGCGCTCCAACTAATGCAATCTGCTTATACGAAGTATGTTCTAACTGTATTTGGCAGTAGGTCAAATACCGAGTAGAGTTTGGGGTCAACTTCAAGCGGATCTCGTATTATTTTTAGTTTAGCCGGACCTTCGCATATTCATGCTAGATTTTGGCGACAATCTTAGAAGATACTAGTTTGATAAGGGTCGGACTACTGCAGGCTCTGCAGCTACCTGAATCCTCGATCCCTGTATTTCATGGCATGCAAAATCGCGCGATATCCTACGTATCCCAGGCTGCGCCAGCTCTACAATATATTTGTAATCCTGATAAAGTTATTCAAAAGTTATTCTTTTCAGCCCTATTTCACAACCAATCATAGTGACATTTTCATCAGAATCGGCTTGATGCCGATGTGCTGCTCCGTATTTCCTTGATTCTCACTTTGGAAACATACGAACACTTAGCAGGAAATGCCAAGAAAGAGGCTACGTGGTTTCAACTTATTTTTATTCCTTTTTTTTTTTTTTTTTTTTTTTTGGCATAAAATGCTAAGTCATGGTGTCCGAGCTGGTCATTCACAGAAAAGAATCGTGTGATGTGTTGAAACTCTTATCTATCACTCATGCGGAGAGTAAGCTGTTTACCTCCGCCGTACTTAATACACTCCGTCACGGCTCACTCACTCCTTTTCACTTACCTGGAGTCAATAAGATTCTTGTTTTCGCAATTGTGTGGTACTGACTGCAAGCTGCGCCAGCCTCCAAGATCTCTGAAGATTACGTACTCTCTGAATATCAAGATACAATGATAGTACACTATGTATTCGTTGACTCGGAGATAATTCAGAACGTTGGATGAGCTTTCTGTGGTCTATTTTTTTGGTCTATTGCTGTTGATACCCTTTCATCTGCCCAAGAGGGCCTCAAACTTTGAGAGTAAAACAAACTGACAGCAACACCACAAGGGAGTCAAGTCTCCGAGCCACTATCAACGTTCTAATGCAACATTCTAATGCAAACCAACCTTAGTCTGTCACTGGTATAGGAAGCCATCGGGAAATCGGGTAGTTTCCGCAGGAGGAGAGAGATGAAGCTATCATTATCTGCATATCGTTATACTATTAGAACCTACCTAGTATAGTTATACATATCGAAGTCTAGCTATGTAAGCAAATTGCCATGGGCCCCGGCGGTGTAGTCTCAGTTAAACCATGGAAGTTTCACCTATACAAGACCAGAAGCACGAAGACGGCTTGATAACGGCCGCAGACCGGCATCAATTCCGCCTCTTCTTTCAATAGGACACTTGAATACTCTCTCACAAGGCTTGAGCTACCTACACAAACATAGTCGACGTTGGCCATCAGGACAGGAAAGAGGGATGTTACTACGTCCCTGACCTCCAGCACAGACGAGAGACAAAGAACCAATTCCCAGATGTTGACGATTACCTCGGTGTATTGCCCGACTGAGATACCCAACTGAACATAACCTCATAACTTAACTATGCACTAAGAATGGTTTATGGGCCTTGACGCAGGATGCCGACGTGAGACGAGGTGGATTTTGCCTGGCGCTAAGGGAATGTACCAAGGTATTCCAACTCTCTCTTATTTTCAATCTCGAATTCCAACTGTTTTGTTACTATACCAGGGAAACTTTGAAAATGGGTTCACAATTCTCTTTTATTCTCAAATTTTTCTTTGCCAGTTGGTTAAAGCCGTAAATTACAAACTCCAAAATGCTCCAAGTATGGTAAGTCCAATGATATATCGCAGTGAAAAATATTTACTCAACGACATAACTAAAAGGATATGTTAGCTTTGTTTTTATTAACCAAGTAGAAAGCCTCTGAAGACAAAGGAAGGAATGAAGCGACTTACCTCCAAGGATGCTTCTCCTCGCCGTACTGGATACCCTCGATCCAGTTCTTCATACGAAGAGCAATCTCACCAGCTTCCTCATTCTCCTGCAATCCACAATCCACCAATTGACCCTTATAACTAATCTTGCGAACGGGGCTAACAATAGCTGCTGTGCCAGAGCCAAAGACTTCCAATAACCGTCCCTCAGTAGCTGCCTCAGCAACCTCTGACATGCGCACTTTACGTTCAGAGACAACCCAGCCCTCGGGCACCAATCTCTCCCGCGCAAGTGCAAGAACAGTGTCTCTCGTGACACCTTCCAGAATCGTTCCGTCCAAAGGCGCAGTCAAGAGCTCCTTCAATCCAGTCTCCTTGTTTTTGATGGCCATGAAGAGGTTCATGGTACCGACTTCAGTGACGTATTCCTCCTCGCCGAAAAGCCACAAGTTCTGCTGGAAACCGCGGGAGGCGGCCTCTTGTTGAGGAACAATGCAAGGTGCATAGTTGGCACCAAGTTTCTTGTCACCAACACCGCCCGGCCAGGCACGTACTGCGTAATCAGTGGCTTCCAAAGACACAGCCTTAAATCCAGTGGGATAGTAAGGGCCGACAGGACTGGCAATCACGAATAGAAGAGCTGATCCTGGTGGTCCAACTCCGATGGTCTTCTGGGTACCAATCATCGTAGGTCTTAGATATAGGGAATATCCCTTTTCACTACACAATGCAGTTAGTGACCATCGTCCGAAATCTGCCCACGTTTGACAAAAAGTACTCACTTAGGAATGAATCGGCTCTCCAGCTTTGTAAACTCTGCAATGAGCTTGGTAAGACTGTCACCATTAAAAGTAGGAAGAGCAATGCGAGCAGACGACTTGTTGAGACGCTCCATATTCTTGTCGGGACGGAACAGACGAATCTTGCCATCCTTGTCTTTATAAGCCTTCATACCTTCGAAGCACTCAAAGGCGTAGTGGAAAACGCAGGTCGCGGGATCAAGGCTGAGGTTTTGGTAGGGGACAATGCGAGGAGTCAGCCATCCGTCGGTAGCAGTCCATTCCATTGTGAGCATATGATCTGTAGTCGGGCAATTGAGTCAGTATAAACATCTTTCATAGTATCTCCATATTCTGCTTACCCGTAAATGTCTTGCCAAACTGCAATTGACTATTCGGTGTCAAGTCCTTGGGGGTGGTGGTCTTCGTAATTTCGAGCTTGGAGGGATCGAGAGCTGGGAGCTCCGTTGACGCGGAAATAGGCTTAATGCTATATGACCTCTTCCATAGCGAGGAACTGAGCGATGATGCTGTATACCGTGTTTTGCTTGTGCGCAACAATGTGTTGCGCATCAGTTGATTTGAGAGCCTCATCTTTTCTTTCCTGTGCGGCGAAGACTTGGGGCTGAGTTGGAAAATTAGCTATGGATCAGTCAGCTTCAGACGATGGCACTGCTTCTTATTAGCAGACCAAAAAGAGCAGCTGAGCTCTTATCAGTGACTCACAATCCACAATCTCAAAGGGTCAATGACTGGGAAAACACACGGTGTGTCATAGCCAAGTGAATGGGATATTATTTTTTCCCGCCCTGTGTCACAGCTCGATGACTGGACCGAGCCGATGATCGGAGCGGCTTGTCGCGGGCCGATTCCAGCCTTTGTCAATCTATCTGTATAGCTTCACTTACAGCATAGCAAATATGATGGTAGAAGTCTAATTGATGACCTGTAACTATCTCAGAACAGTTTGAAATTAGTCCATAGGTATAATTGTGCTGTGCAGTCATTTAAGCTCTATAGGCAAACTGCAGTCAGTCGGAGTTGAAATCTCATATGCAAACACGGCAAACATGCCAAGTCTGCAGTCACTTTCCGGATACAACAAGTTGTCGCAACTCCCTCTACTCCTTTAGATATGAACGCTGTTTGAATATCTTTGAATCTCACATAAATCTCAATATGTCCAGTCAACCACCCAAGAAAGGGGGACTCTCGCTGTACGCAAATCTTCTAGATCCAGCTTCTGAGAGTTCTGCTGCCTCGGGAACAATATCCAAAGCTCCAGTTCTCTTCACGCAGAGCTCCGAGCCAGCCACAGACACAGACGACACTGCTACAGATAAGCAGCAAAAGAGTGCCGGTAGCGCATTACCCTTTCTGATTTATCCGCGATGATTGTTACGTTATGATTGCTCACATGTGTGTTGGCGCTTCCTGTCTTACGAAACTCTAGCATCTTTACGATTTCAACCCATAAAGAGACCACAGCTTCCGAATCAGAAGCCCAGAGCGAAACCTATCCCAAAACCACCGTCGACAGCCCATGCGCTTGGAAATGCGAGCTCGGCCGGCGCTTCATCTACGCGCTCGCAGGTCAAGTCGACGCTCGCCGATTGGGCCTCGACAGCCGATGATGACGATGTGAATGGCTTCTATGGACGGGAAAAACGACAACGTGGTGGTCGCAAGAAGCGGAAGAAGAATCGAGAAGGGCCTGAAACGATCACTAACTGGGATGACATCTATGACCCGTCGAGACCGAACAATTATGAGGAATACAAGAGGAGCGACGAGAAAATACGCGAAGTGAGAGAATGGAAGGACCGGTTGTATGCGCATCGTATGGCCAGACGGCGCAGCAGTGACTTTGATAGTGACAACGAATCTCCACCGCCACGGAACCGTAAGTTTTATAGCTTGTTAAATTACGATGGTCTACTAACGAGTAGCTACAGGACAATTTGCTCCCCCTTCTTATAACTTCGTACCGCCACCTAATCTCAACGATGCCTCGAAGCCCTTATCCCACGGAAGTGATGAAGACGCATACGCACAGCGTCTGCAGAAGACCACAGAGGACAATGAAGCTGAGATGGAAGATGTAGAATACCAGCCTCCACCTCCGCCAGCTGTGATACCGAATGAAGCTACGGGAGACGACGCATATGCACGTAGGCTCCAGATGAGCCAGCAACAACCGCCTCCTCCACCCCACGAACAACCCCAGGTCCCTGTGAAACCATCACTGTCAGCTTTCCAACCTGCTTCAGCTACGATATCGCGCGCACCAGTCCGGTATACATTACCCCCTGCACCAGAAGATATACCGGCGACTGAAGAGGAGCTCGAAGCTGTTATGGCCAAAGAAGAGCCAGTCCAGGATGATGGGGAAGATGCTCCTCGGTCCCTACGACCTGGACAAAAGGGCTTTGCCGAACGTCTCATGGCGAAATATGGCTGGACCAAGGGATCTGGTCTGGGTGCTTCCGGTACCGGAATTGTTAACCCGTTACAAGTCAAGGTAGAGAAGCAGAAGAAAAAGCCGGATTCTGAGGGTGGCGGGTTTGCTACGCCTGCAGGTCGCGGAAAGATCATTGCTAGCAAGAAGAAGAACGAGGAGGAAGGAAAATTTGGTCCCATGAGCGAAGTCATTGTGCTGTATGGAATGCTTGACGGTATGGATTTGGCGACTGAATTGGACAACAGCCAAAATGGTGGACTTATGCAAGAGATTGGGGAGGAATGCAATGAAAAGGTATGCGTTTATCATTGTGCAGTGGAAAACAGAGGAAGTGCTAAAATAAACTTAAGTATGGCCGTGTCGAGAGAGTCTTTATCCATCGACAAAGCAATGATCGCATCCCAGTGTTTGTCAAGTTTACTGCTCAGTTATCAGCCTTACGAGTAAGTAGAAAAACTATCTTACAGACTGACTTAATTCACTTCCGCTTTGAATGGTTGCTAATCCGTGGTTCAGGCTGTTAATGCGCTGGAGGGACGAATGTTTAATGGGAACAAGATCACTGCCAGATTCTACGACACTGAGAAGTTTGAGAATGGTATATATCAATGACCGTACCTCGCTTTCCTCATGTCTGGTCAACCTTTTCAATGTCCGATCCTAAAGCTCAGCTTGTTGGTCTTTTTAGTGTTGCCTTTACGATCTTGGAGTGTATATACGGAACCATAATCAAGCTATTGAATACCCTGTCATTTTTCTAACAATGCTATTCCCTCATTTAAAAATTTTATTCTACTCTGTCTGTAGCCAATATGAGAAATATTTGCTTCGTTTGTCTTTCGTTTTCAGACCACGTGACATCACATCATAAGTGAGTGCTGGTCGGAGCGTGGGGTAAACCTGATTGGCCCGAGCTCAACTCTCCTCCTCTACGGCGCCTCTCCGACAATTTTAACTCTTTTACATCCCTCACTCTCATACAGAACCCTCGTTCACCCTTGACTGCTGGGACGTCTACCACTCGGCTCAGCGCAGAAATTCTCAGCAATCTCTTCCAAATCAACGCCGCTTCACTCCTCAGTCCAAGTTGCGATATCGAATCTTCGCTCAGATCTTTCCCGTCAACCCGCTCCGTCAATCTACAATTTTCTTTTGGAGATCTGATTATTTGTCACTTCAACTTCACCTCGCCAGTACTGCATAGTCGTTGAGGCTTCGACTATCACTCTCTCTTTCGCGCATCAACACCGGTTCCGCTAGCTCTACACCAGAAGTTGAAAAACAAACCACTCATACTAAAATTAAGTGAACCCATCTGAAAATGAGTCTCTGTCTTAATCGCCTTACTGAGGAGAGGTAATTTCATCATTTCACTTGTCACATGACCATTTTATCTTAGTAGTTGATGTTTACATGCTTACAATGCACTGAATGCAGGAAGCAATGGCGCAAAGATCACCCCTTCGGTTTCTATGCCAAACCTAATCGAAATGCACAAGGCGTCTTAGACATGAAGAACTGGGAGTGTGGCATCCCTGGTAAATCGGGTACTTTATGGGAAGGAGGGTTATTCAAGCTTCATCTAATCTTTCCCGAAGGTTCGTCTTTCCTGGTTCTATATCTACTAGCCTCATGGGCATAACTTGAGACTATGCGCTAACTCTACTTACTTAACCTAGAATACCCCACCAAGCCTCCAAAATGTTCGTTGAGTACTCTCGCTCGTGTTGTTGCCAAATTCTTTTAATTTGGCCTGGTGCGCCCCGCTTCCTATCCTTATCCCCGTCGACAACTTTCGTCAAGACCATTTTCGTCGTCACTTATACAACCTCTTGATTATGAATACTGATGGAAATTCTTGTACAGGCAAATTCGTTCCACCTTTGTTTCATCCCAACGTCTACCCCTCCGGCACCGTTTGCCTTTCAATCTTGAACGAAGAGGAAGCATGGCGCCCCGCTATTACAATCAAAGAAATCCTTATAGGTGTACAAGATTTACTAGATGATCCCAACCCCGAGTCACCAGCGCAGGCCGATGCATACAATCTCTTCAAAAAGGATCGCGCTGCTTACGAGAAGAAAGTCCGCCAGGTTGTCCGCGAGAACCCTGCGCCATAGAAACAAACCATCATTGCAATAGCGTTGACCAAGGGCATCCTCTTTTTCACATTCAGCCTCATTTCGTTATTTTCCTCATGATATCAATCACGTTCAGTACTGGTGTTTGGAGGAGTATTTTTTGTGATATTTCAATACACTCTTCAATTTGGCATTACATGGGCATTTCCAGAGGGGACGAGGTGGCGTGCAAAACATACATTAGGAGAATTTTATGACCATCCAATCGGACATATGGCTTATTTCCAAGGTGTTCTAAGGCTCTATACTGTTTTTCTATAGTTTCAATATAACTTCATGAAAATTAGAGGGTAAGTACTCAAGTTCCCAAAGTCACAGGATCCCATTCGACACTCTTCAACCTGACCCCAAGTCCAAACAAAACCAGATCGTGAAATCTGCAGCGGTTACATAAAAGACATGTTGATCAGCCTGGTGATAAGCCATTCTCGCGGCCTCTGCACTACTCCCTCCTGATGAAGTAGATCGAACCCCCCGAGACACCAGCGGGAATGAATTGGGAAAGTATGTACGATTTGCAGTATGAAGCGTTCCGCACTGGCAATACTCTCTTATACAACATAAGGATTGTGAATTGAATTCAGTGTTAGAGGTGATGGTCAACAAGCATGTGTCCCACAGATTTAAAAGTTCAAAATATCACTGCCATCAACTGTAAGATCAACTGTAAAGCTTTCCGTTCTTCCTCCGTCTCCTCGTCCTGTTTCACCCAGTGGAGCTTGTACACCACCTTCCCCACCAGCGATATGACACTCTCGATCCTACAGCTGAGAAACACAATCTACTTGGCTTCGGGGAAAGAAAGGGAAGATAAAATTAGACTTCATCTCGATAACTGGCGCAGCAAAGCGTAATGTGGCCCTCACTAACATTCCAGTGGTAGTTCTGTGATTAATCAACGTCATAAGGAGTGAATTCAAGGCCATCAACTGGTCATTATTGAAAGGAACCTCCACAATCGTTTCATTTTCGCTAGGCTAGCGTGATGGATATCAATCCTTTAGTTTCCGGTTTCACTTCCTAATTGAAGAAATTTTAGAAAGAGTTACCTCCTGAGCCGACTCAGTAGACTGGGCTTGTGCAGTGTTAGAGGACATTTTGATGTGAAAGCTCTGCAACACGTGTATACTTTTCATAATGATAGTATTAAGAAAGAATATAGGCATAACTCCAAAGGTCCAATATTCCTTTGATTGTTGGTTTCTGGTCAATCGTCGTACATCATGCTATCTATAACTATCTACAACCTATCAGAATACAGAGTATTGACTATGCAAATACCAATGCATGTTGTCAGTGGTACAAGTATAAGTACTGCGAACAGCATACATATGAACACTTGTGAGTTATCCCTACTAAAGGAGCCGGCGCCAGACACATCGAGAGCTATTCGATATTTTGATTAAACCACATGCATTAATCGGTACCAGCAGAGACCATTCCGTACAAATAGTTCTAATTAGGTTGTAATTATCCACAGCGGATTCTGCGTATGTACTCCGACATCTAGACTATGCTTACTTGGACATCAGCCACGTGAGCATGGTCATGCAAGTTTGTCATATCGTATTCAATTGATTGTTATTTATGAAGGCGACTAAGTGAGCAGTCGTGGACATTTAGGGCGTAGAAAACCCCAAGACATGCACCCGTACATGTAGTTAGGGCTGGAATGGACGAGCCCTAACGTGAAGATAAATTGCCTTTTCTAGTAATTCCTAGGTATACAATTTTGAATCCACTGATAAACACGATAGAAGCCGAATATTCTTTAGTCTTTCAACCAAAGAGTGATAAGGAATATTATTATTATGTCAAGATACGCTGTTTCCATTATATTGTTTATCTGATGCCCAGGTGTCATATGCGTCGTTACCTTGATTACAAGGTTCCTAGTAGCTCATAACATATTTCGTAAAATGCCCATATTACAACACTACCCAGGTACTCAGAAGTAATGCAAAAGAATGACACAGCCATATAAGGACAATACTCGACTCACTAATGCTGGTTCGGGCGAAGATCATTGAAGCTGTGCATTCGAGACCCAATGAGCGCCACCCGCACATCGATACCCATTGGCTTGTTTGATCCAGCGATATCCTTGAACACAAACTCCCATTTTTCGAAGCTTTTCCTGAGTAGCTTGCTCTTTAAGCTGAGCTTCAGCTAAGGCTTGCCGCTTCTTTTCAAGCTCCCGTGCAATTTCTTCCTGCTTCCTGCGTTCCATTTCATGCAGCAACCGTGCTTGTTCATGACGCTTTTTTCCCTCTTCATCTTTCTGCTGCTTTGCTTCCTCGACTTCCCGGGCAACTCTACCCTCTTCTTTCTCTCTCCTCTGCAGTTCCCTTTGTTGTTCCTTTTCTTCCTGCATCAAACGCAAGTACTCCTTTTCTTTCGCTTCAATCATGGCTTTATCTTTCTCCAGCTGTCGCCAAATCACATCTGTGACACCGGCATCACGCCCAGAAATTAAATTTTGATGGGAGAGGTTGGATTGTACTGGTTTATTAGCCTCGACATTGGATGCAGCATCTGGTTTCGAGCTTTGGCCTGGAATGTTGATCACAGGTGAGTTCGGATATTCCGTACGTAGCGGCAGTTTCATTCCCTTGCTGCTATTGACTCCTGTTGCCTGGGAGTCCTCACGACCCTGACGCTCAGTGATCATAGATTGGAGCTCCTCAATTACTGTTTCTCTTCTCAGTATTAATTCTTCCGTACTGGCCTGCATCGTCTTCAGGGTTTTCCCAAAGATAGCCTTTGCCAATGTCCCAACGTCTCTAGCATTGGCCCAGCTCGCAGTTTTGGACAGACTCTCAAATCCCTGAGATATTTTTACCCTAAGATCGGGGTCCGAGCAATGCAAACAGGTGATATCGAACTTTGTGTTCGACTGTTTGAGGAGGTTGTTTTTCTGCTTCGATAAGAGCTCATCGAGTAGCTGGATACACTCTTTTGGTGATAGAGATTGGAACTGTAGAGACTCTGGGAACCGACTGGTAAGACCAGGATTGATGGACATGAGTCGATTTATATCTGCGTCGTATCCGGCCAGTATGATAATCAGCTTCCCGGCCCATCTAGGCTTCGTGATACAATCCACTAGCTCATCCATAGCTTCCTTAGCAAAGTGCCCCTCAGCAAGACGATATGCTTCGTCTATAAAGAGGACTTTGCCAAGACCACGTTTTAGGGCACTTTGCGTCTTTGGTCCTGTTTGCCCAATGTATTGGCCTACGAAGTCTGTTGCTGACGTCTCAACTACCTCATTCGAAGCTAGAAGTCCCATATCGTAGTAGACTTGACCCATCTTCCTAGCCGTACTTGTCTTCCCAGTTCCTATTCAGTTTTCAAATGTCAGTTGCCTTGTATCAATTTAGCCGATAGTGCCGTGAGCCTCGCTTACCTGGAGGTCCGCGAAAAATGAAGTTAAAGGGCACCTGTTCGCGAGGATCCATGTTCAGCTGTTTAAGGCTTTTGACCATCTGCTGATATCCCTCGAGCTTGGAGACAATATTTTCACATCCTATGACGCCTTCAAACATTTTTGAAACACTATTATGGCTTTTCTCCGCGCGATCAAAATTCTCATCAAAGTCGACAGCATCGAGAGTAGCATCAGAAATCCGGCTCGTAGTTTTGTTAACGGAAAGCCGTCTCTGATGATGCATTTTCGCTGTGTTAAGCAGAATATCAATCTCACCAGCGTTGCCAAAGTGAGGTCGATTCCGAGCGCGCTCCAGCATCTCCAAAACGACACGGCGAGCACGGTCAGTAATATCATATCCCTGTTCTTTCAGTTTCAGATCAAGTATCATGTTGAGCTCCTTCTCGGTAAAGTCTTCAAAGACAAAAGCCTGATCCATGGGGAAACGCCGACTGAGACCAGGGTTGACATTTTGGAACATCTGCTGCATTTGGTCCTTGTAACCCAGGAGGAGAACACATCTATCATCACCAGGTGTGCTTTGTACTTCTGCTACTATTGTATCCACAACGGCGCTTCTGTATTGGTCACTTCTAGCTCCTGTACCATCAGAAGTTCCTCCAGCGAAGAGACCATAGGCTTCATCTATGACAAGGACCTTCCCTAGTGTAGCCGCAAGAATGCCTTTTGTGTTCTTTTCGGACTCTCCGATGACGCTTCCTACGAAATCAGATGGGTTCTTCACAATGACTGTGATACTCGTCAGTAGATTAGACATTCAGAAGGTTTGTATCTTTTGCATACCTTCGCCATTGGATAGAAGCCCAACATCAACAAGGATTTGCCCATAAATTTTTGCAACCGAAGTTTTGCCTGTTCCAGGGTTTCCAAGAAACACCTTGTTAAGGCTGTACTCAGCAAGAGGCTGCTCATCTATCTCGCGACGATAGTTGTATTGAATTGTATCTATTAGAGCCTCCACAGTCTTTTTAACTTCGGCCAGCCCAATCATAGCCTGCAGCTTCTGCCATGCCTTGGATGACTTTAGTGTTTGCGAAGGATCTGGACCGATCATGTCCTCTCTGTCGAGGAAGAAATCGTCAACCCGCGCAGTGCCCTTTCGTCTTTCCCGTACCACACGCTTAGACTGTTGTTCAGAGATCCTAGTCATAGCATTTTCAACGGCTCTCGCGTTCGCGAATCCTTCACGTCCGCGGCCACGCCCAATTCGCCGAGCAACAATGCGGCAATAAAGTCCACCGGGCCCACCATCGATTTTCATCTGCTTTTTGTACGTCTTTTCAATCCACCGTTGTAGAATAAGCATCAATTCCGTATCGTTAAAGTCTTCAAACTTAAGTTCATGAGGGAAACGGCTAGGAAGTCCAGGGTTGTGGGCAAAGAACTTCTCCATGGGTCGCTGGTATCCAGCAAGAATGAAGACAATCTTTCCAGTGAGATTCTCAACTTCGGCCAGAAGAAAATCTAGAACCTGGCTACCGCCAAAGTTGTTACCTTGAACAAGTTGATAAGCTTCATCAATAAAGATAGCCCCTCCGCCGCCTTTGAGTAGCGTTTCAATAAGTTTCTGGCATTGCGATACGCCGCCATTTGAGAGTCTCGAGCCCGTAGTTTCAACGAATTTGTGTCCGGGGATGATTCCTACTTCTGCCAAAAACTTAGCGTACAGCCGAGCAACTGTCGTCTTGCCGGTCCCAGGGTTTCCGAGAAGCACGGTTCCAAATCTTTCGTTGCTCAAATCAACGTTCTGTCGAATGGAAAGGTCTACCTTCCCTTTGATGTCCAAGAATTTTGCTTTGACGGTCTCCAATCCCACCATATCCATCAAGGAGTCAATTTCTAGGCTTTGGGAGTTGAAATAAGTCTTTTGGTAATCCCACTCAACCTTGGCTTCTGATGGTATATTATTCGGCATTGTTTGTTCGGCTTTCGGCTTCTCACGGGGTCTATCCTCAGGAGTTTTGGTGTTTTTGGAGTACCCAGCATTATTCTCAGAGGTTACTGGCTCGGGAGAGCCTGATCTTCTATCCTTTAGCTCGGCACTTTTGGTGCTGACTGTATTTGTGACCGGCTGTTGGGGACTTTTCAAGCTCTCAATTTCCTCGCGATACTGGTTAAGAACTTTAGCGTACTCCGCATCAGCAAATGCATCACCTCTTAGACGTCTCAAGTGAGAGGCTTCATCCTGAAGCTCGGCAAGTTTCTGAGCGTAGGCAGTTTGTTTCCTTTGTCGTTCTGCCTCGAGCTTTTGATCACGTTCATGCTTTCGCTTCTTTATGGTATCTTCCTGGGTACAGAAGCGGCATGCACCCTTGACCATGGAACATGGCAATGACGAAGTGTGGCCGCGAGGGCAATTCCACTTGACAACTTTTTTACAAATCATCTTGGAGTGGTCGACGAGCTGGTGACACTTGGACGGGCATTCGTGGATTCCACAGCTTAACTTGACGCCACTAACGATACAAGCGAAGGTCAGTCATAAACCCAAAAAAAGGATATTTCTTTCAAATGAAATTAAAGTGACATATAGAAACATAATAGATTCAGAATTTACTCACCAAGACGCCGCGCACCCGCCGTCTGGCGTTTCTGTGTCGAAATCCTCTTTGGTCCGAAGTATGGCGGTCTTCTTTGGGTGCTGCTCACAGCGAACAGGCAACCCATCATATAGATGACCACTGGCCTTGAGTTGATCAATGAGCGGTCTCCAAAAATTTTCCCCTTTTCGACTAGAGACAAAAGTTTCTGAATTCCCCACAATGATCAGGATATTTCGGGCACGAGAAAGAAGCACATTTAGTCGTTCCCGGGCAGCCATGAATCCTATGTCGCCATTTTGATTACTTCGCGTCAACGATGCTATTACAATTTCGCTTTCTTCTCCTTGATAGTTGTCTAGTATCATTAGTTAGATACACACGTTGAACAGCGTCCATTGATATTTTGCACTTACCAATGGTTGAGAGCTTGATCGGTCGCTTAGAGTGATTTGCTCCCGCCTGTGATAGAAGACCAGCTTGCACAAGATCATAGGAATCAAGGTCGTTCAATACTGGATCATTCTGTTTGCTCAAAGTCTGCCTCAGAAGCGACAGTTGACCAAGATACGGTGTGAGGACAACCAGCTTGTCTGTTCCGTAACCCTGCTGTCCGAGATACTTCACAATCTTCAAGACGATTTCTGCCTCGAAAATGTTTTGTTTGGACTGTTTTGCTTCTTCGTCACGCCGATCAGAAATTTCCAAGAAGTTTGCTTCCGGATTCGAATGGTTGAAGAAGATTACACGGTCACACAGTCCTCGAGGCTCGGGGCGTGCTTTAGTCTTGTCGTCGTCTTCTAACCCAGGGTAGGTAAGAGAGCGTACAAGACTTGATATTTCTGGGCACATTCGATGCTGCTTTAGTAATGTCGTGTGTGGATAGTCAGCGCGAATGAGCCTCTCAAAAAGAGACACGTTGAGGTCATAACCATTCCCTTTCTCCAAGCTAAGAGCATAGTTGTTAATCTTTGGGCGGAGCTGCAAATGATCTCCAATCATTATTAAATGCTTGGTCTCTGGAGAAAGCGCTGAAATAACATGAGACTCAAGAATTTCGCCTGCCTCTTCTAGGAGGACAATCCCTGGGGAGGCGGATCGAATCTCATCAGAGTACATTGCCGCAGCCGTTGTCGTGCACCCGATTATTCGCTTTTCTTTCAGCACTTCGCGCGTCTTTTCGCCAAGGACCGCGGACAGCTTTTCCTGGCACTTATCAAAGAGTTCCATTTGCACCGCCAGAGAGGCGGCTTGTTCATTAAGTAAAGCTCGCTTCCAGGACTCAAGCTTCTCGTCTCGGACCCTCTGCTCTGCTGCCCATATGCTGCGATATTGATCTGGGATCAGTTCAGTAAAAGGATCTGGTGATTGTCCTTTAACCCAACAGTAATAAAGGTAATCTTTACTGATTTCCTTTCCCTGTTTGCCTACTATACTCATTCCATCTTCATCCTCAGGTATGGCAAAAGCTTCAAAGTACTCGGGCTCTTCAAACTCCAGATACTCCAGTATAGACAAGGCATCTGTTGCTAGTACCCGATATTTTGTAAAAGAATTATTCAATGTCTCGCGCAAATTATCTCCCTCGATCCGCAGCGCTCTCATGGTGTTCCAAGTTGACTGAGGTCTTGGTTTGGTCGTCTTTTGAGCTTTGAGGGTCAGAGGCTGAGTTCGGGGCGTCCATTTCGAACCAAGTCGAACAATTGAGGATGCATTAATGCCAATATCTAACAGGTCCTCCAAAAACTGATCCAAAGCGTGATTGGTGTAGCACATCACCAGGATTTTGTCCTTAGAATGATCATGAAAGACCTTGGCAAGTAGGGCTCCAATAAAAGACTTTCCGGTACCTATATGAAGTTATCAGCATCCAGAGCCTAAAAATAAATTGCTGCAGTTCTCGTACCTGGAGGTCCTTGGATGAGACTGACCCTTTGAGCCAATCCCGATAATAGGGACTCGAGCTGAGATTGATCCAATATAATGGGCTGGTTGGTTCGTAGGATGTCTTGAATATTCCGCCTGAATGTCTCCTTCAACTCATTGATCACATGCATAGGTGCCAGGCTTGACTCTGTCACCGGTTCACCTCTTTCATAAAGAAATAACTCTTCCGTGAGAGGGAACACAGCCCTCTCTTGTAGACATCTCAAAATTGGCTGGTAGGCAAAAGTCGGTGTTTCAACAACCAAGAATTCCACGTTGTCATAAAGCTTGAGGAAGAGTAGACATTTCCTTAGAGCCTCCTCTCCTGCAATTCGTAGCATGACTACCGGCGGAGTTGATATCAACTCGTCAATATTCCTTTCAATGGTAGCAAAAGCCACGATTTCTGTGTCCTGTAACAGGCACCCAAACGCTCGATGTCTGACAAAGTTAGGATTACTTTTTAGGAAGTTTTTCCTATCTTCTTTAGAGATGTCATTAAGCCTGTCCAGCCCTGACTTGGCAGTGACACCAACTGTGCATGGGTGAAGGTGTTGCAGATCTGCCGAAATACAAGAGATTTTTGTCAGAGACAGGCCCTTTAGGCGTAAAGCGGATCGTCGTCCCTTTTTTGTGCCTCTTGCAAACTGTATATCATCTCGCAGTCCGGACAGCATGTCCTCCCGTAAAAGTCGGAACTGGTTGTCCACATGCGCAGCGATACGCTGGTTTCCAGCTAACTGTGCGATCTCATCCACACGGCGATAGAAAGGCCTTTCGGAGCACCCCATCTCATCTGCCGTAGGTAAAATAGCAATCTGACGGAAATCAAGAAAATCATTATCATGCCGACCACCTGCTGTGTCTTCTGATGAGATGGCGGATGCAGACGACTTCATGTCTATGAGGTACTTTATCTTATGCCCCAGACTGCGTAATGAGATCGAAGGCGACGTAAAAATCGATTCATCATTTATGATGGTCTGCGCATCAGCTGTAATATCCACAGCTGATGAAGTCGGCAATGACAATAGTTCTGTTGTCAGCCAACAGAGGGCATGAGTTGCATCGTAATCCAGTCTTCGCTTGCGAAATGCCTCCACAAACGCGTTCCAGAGAGTTCGAGGTTCCAGTATTATCAGAAGAAGTTGTTCAAGAAAAATTCCATTACAAAGGATCTTGACTTCTGGATTATTCAAAAACTGGATAAACCTCGATGTATATTCGTTAATAAAAGCGGGCGTGAGATTGAATCTTAGGCCATTTCGAAGGGCACCCAGAGCATTCGAGCTGGAGACAAGTCGTTCAATAGTAACACAAGGATCCTGATCGTCCAGAATAGCTTCTATGAATCTCTTAAAGTCGCTGAGACTCTGGACTTGCTGCTTCCCACGAAGGACGGCTCCCAAGTATTTGGCCAGTCGGCCCGACCTGGTACTTGCAGACATATTGAGAGAGTAGGAAAAGCTGTAGATTTGGAGCAGAAGATATTGAAAAAGAAGAGAAAGCTTTCTTATAAAATGAGATCAATACGCTTGCCTAAAGCACAAGCGGTAGTTCCCAGATTTCGCCCAGCCTTGACATCACAGCAAAAACAAAGGTACAATGTGAGGGTAACTAAAAGCTCCACTACAACCATATAACAAAGAGCAGAAGGCAAAAGTTCTCATATGTGAAGTCGACTTAGAGGAAGAAAGATAGCGGTTCCCATATACGTAGCGCCGGGCAAACCCTTCCATTTGCCAGATACCTGCCGTAAGTTAGATTATATTCATTGGCTCTGGTGTTGTGTACGGTTGCATGAATATCTCCGCCGCCTAGGAGGGGCGCAATACATATGTAAAGTCGAGACAGAATATTAGGCTGAGCAGGTATTTATGCAGCCTATAATGCAACTGAGCCAGTTATTCCCAAACAAGACGATGTGGCGAAGTGACAGGGGTACAACACGATTCCCGGCAATCAACATCTCGTACGAAGCGCCTACCAGAATCCATGCAGGAAGGCATAATCGTAACGCCGTGAATTTGCATTGGTTCGGAACTTCCCCGATGGCAGGGCATATGGCTAAGTCCTTTCTGTATATTGTTTGTATCGATACGCGACATCCACTGGATTCGGAGGATATCAACTGGGCGTTTATTCGGTGCTGCATTAGGACACCGGCGGTGCCATTTTGATATGCATATTGCTTGAGATATCTGTCATGGCGTGAAATGAACATGTACGGTACAACTCTGCCTTGTTGATGCCTTTCTTTTCTAATCCTTAGATTGCTCGAAACAGACCATATGAGAGCCCGGGCACCGTCACATATTTATAAAAGGGCGCGCTCAGCTTATTTTCCCATATGCTGTTTTAAACCTCTTCACCATCTACTCACAGTCATCTCTAGTCTTATGTTATTGGAGTCTTGATTTCCTTTACGCCATGACCTCCCGATTGACAGTAAGTCGAGGAAGAAGCAGTGGTAGGTGGAGAAATGGCAGAGGGAGTCGGCAACCCTCAGTGCTTCCAACTCCAGCTCCACCATTGGGTGATGTCCTTGCAACAATCCAACACGATGATCTTGAAAATCACAAAACTGACGATCAGGACTGTCCTCAAATCACCAACGCGCAGTATCTGACATCCTACAATTGGCTCAATGGAGCAGATCATGAAATCCTTGTTCCAGGTGAAATAGGCCGTCCCGAAATAAATTATGTGTTGCCCAAAGCTTATCTATTCCTTTCCCTTCAGGTGAACCTCCAGCATGGACTCCTTTATCTAAGCCAACCAAGCTTCCAGCAGACTCCGGTCTTTACTATCGGGACAAGAACGCGGCACGATATCCCACATATCCACTGGAGCCAATGGTACGAGCAATAAGAATGGACAAACCAGATTTCCATCTTGAAGAGTTGGATATCGTGGGATGTAGAAGTACATTGGGCAATCTTTTGCGCTTTACACGTGGCCAAAGCAATCCGTTCAGGATGCTGGTCGAGGTCGTCGGAAACACAGTCTTTTTCATCAGAAGAGAAAATTCACCCACTGAAACTATTCCGAATGTCCAAGGATATGGACACACTTTTCCAGAATCATACACAACGTGGAGTGAAAGTGCCCGGAGATCTGAATCCCACCAGCGGCTTATTACGTATGACTTTGCGGGCATGAATTGTTTAGTGCGCTTCGAAGCGGACGGCTACTTGCCCGATTTGATCCCGGACTCTTTGAGGATCCAGAAGGAGTCCGTCTCTAACAAGAGCGAGATTGAGCCAGATGACCTCTTATCGGCTATTGAAGCATCCACAATCTCGCCCATACCATCAGTTACCACGGACACGGAGACAACCGCACTCCAGATCTCAGAAAAGGGTCGCTATGTTCCACAATGTGCAATTTTTGACTTAAAGACGCGTTCTGCAAAGAAAAGCGGCGTTGACACCTTCTCAGAAGAGGCCGCTCGGTTGTGGATCAGACAAATTCCCAACTTCATTCTCGCATACCACAAGTTTGGTACATTCGATGACATTCGGGTTCAGGACGTGCGGGACGAATTAAAGCAGTGGGAAGAATCCCATCAGCCAGAATTGGTCAAGTTTGCCACTTTGCTGAAGATGGTCGTGTCCTTCACTCGTAGTACAGAGGATGGAAAGCTTGAAATTGAACATGAAGAGAACGCGAAGGAACTGAATCTACGAAGGCCGGGTGGAGTGGTTAACGGCGTGTTGCCATCTTCTCTGATAAACACAATCTGGGGGTCCGAATAAGCCTCATGTATGTATCTAGCTTCCCCATCCCATTTTTGCACGAGATAACTTTGAAAATTTTGAGAGATGATGTATCCCATTTAAAAATTTTGTTGTAGATCGGTATTCTCGCTCAGCACTCTCTAATCCACTAGTAGGAGTTTTTCTTCCAAGGCCCGATTCAGACCGAGCCGAGGGGAAGCTAGTCGGGGAATTGACGTTGAACATAACCAGTGTTGTGCGCGGAAAAGGACTAGCTATGATCTGAATCCAAAGTGACCGAAACAGGCTTATCTATAGATCTTCTATATCAGTATACACTCAAGGACCTATATCTACATTCTTCCTTTGCAGTATGTATAAAATCGATGCACATAGAGGTCAACTCCTGGCAAAACCAACCCTCCTGACAGAGGAGCCAGGGCCAGAAGTATTGAACACTTTTCCAAGGATCCAGTCCGAGCGCCCAAGGGCTTGTCTTTGGCAAGTTCAGTATCACTGAAAAGGCACTATTGTAGCCACTACTCTTCACTCACGTCCTCCGCTTTCTCTATCCTAATGAATCCGCTTGCTACCGTTACTCCAGCCATCAGCATCGCCATAGCTGCAAACGGGATGCCCATCCATTTCCACCCCAGCTCCAAACCCACTACCAAGAGCGCACTAGCTACCGGTCCTGTTACGCTCCGCGTCATCATGCTTAGCGTGAGCGCCGCACTATAAAATGTGCTCACCTGGCTAGGCTGCACCGCTCCACCTAACAGACTCATTAACAACCCTGTTGTGCAGCTACCAAGTGCAACCAGCAGCAGCCCCGATGCCTCAACTGCCAAAACCGGCGCAAGGCCTATTACCAAAAGGCCGAATGCCGTCATAGCAATAGACACAATGGCATATCGACGGTCGCGCCTCGAGGCACTCCAACCACGTGGTTCGGCAATTGTGCGGGTTATTAAGGGAAGAAGGACGAGCACGAATAGGCCTTGTGCGCCTTGAAAGAGCGATAGTAGTACGTTACCCCGGGCATAGGAAAGGAAAAACTTCGCGTCAGAGTACTGTAGACCGATCACGGTGAAGAGCTCCCGGGCAGCGGTCTGAGGAGCAAAAATTGGAAGGAGCAATAGGGCTTGTCGGTTTGACGTCAGTACGCTGAGATAAGGAACCGACAACCGGTATATCCTGCGGGAAAAAGAATTCTTTTTGGTACTTGGTGATTCTGAGCCACGCGAAGAAGACGATGTCGTGGCTTGCGAAGAACTAGGATCAGATATCGATTTCAGGCTACTATACGTTTTGTCCCTGAAATATAACGTTTCAGGGATGAATTGCGTAAGTAGGAATGCGCCCGAGAAAAGTACGCCCTCGGCAAGTAGTAGGACAGCCCATGTATGTCCTTTCTCCATCAACGGAGCGCTGATTGCAGGCCCAAAGAAGCCTGAAATCATATCAGCTGCATGGAGATATAGGAATATTTGCGCACGCTCCGCCTGGCTTGCGGTATCTGTAACCATGACATGCACCATACTAGAAGTAACAGCGTCACCGCCGCCGATGAAGAGAAAGACTCCCGAAAGCAAAACCCAACGAATTGAAATAAATCGCCAGTAGCAAACTGCTAGCACCCATGAAAGTGCGGCAACGATCCCGGCACCACTAAGGACGAGCACACGCTTTCGCCCAATCCGCTCTGCGAGAAGACCGTATGGTACAGTGCACAGCAGGGCGGGGAAGAGAGGTACGAACTGCTGAAAGCCGCGTAGCAGCGCACGCTCCTTTTGCACAGGCTGGACCTTGCACAACTGCAGCGTCGGGGAGGTGGCATTTGAAGCCGAAGACAATGGATGTGCCTTATAATAGTCATCACAGATAACGCCTTCGAATATTTGAATAAGTGCTGCAGGCTGCAGGTTGTCGCCGAGCATCATTGTGAACGCAAATACACAAAGGAGCACGATGATATACCTTTTTCTCTTGGAAGGTATGGTGTACTGAGTTTCTGAGGGAATGGATGGACCTCTATTATTGTCATGGCTATTTTGAAGCTAGGGCGAGGACTCGGAAGTATCATGTGATCCTTCGTGACTTGGGGCGGTGACAGGGTAGGCCATGATTTCTATGATCAACAGATGATGGTTCGATAGAGTGCGTACAGGTTATGCATATGTGAATACAGTATGTTTGCTGGGAAAATTGACCATCATGATCTTTCACACTGGAGCTGCTGTAGTTGAGATAAGAGTGTCGCTTCTATTGGAATGTTGGATGGAGCAGCCTAGTTAGGGTCGTCGATAAGATAAAGTAATCTCAATGTTACTTCAAAAGAAGCTAAGACGACGCCAAACAAATTGGCTCCAGGTTTCAGTGTTTTTAACCAATGGTTATGCTCTCGCACCGGCCCGCTGTAGGACAGGGCCCTTACTTAAATAAGTGGAGAACCCATCTTTACATTTTTTAAGCCTCGTTCAACCCTTATCTTGAGATAAGACGCTGGGATGAACGAACCTCGTATTAAAATCTAGTCTCTGCGGGGTTGCTATACCCTAATTTCGTTACAGAGGTCAGAGGAACTGACTTCCAAATTATTCTCTGTCTGAAGCGGTATAGTCACCCAGCCCGCTCCAGATGAAAATAGCATATTCGGTGACGAAAGCCTAGAATATTAACCTTGGAACTTGATTGCAGTTTATAAAGCTAAATATCGGCTCTAAGTCACATATAATGTTCTCGAGGATCTTGATTTGCGGTGATAACCCCGTAACAGTCCCTAGATTGGCAGTGAACGTCAAAATACAGCAACAACATCATCCGCCATTGAATTCGAGTCCAGTGAGGAAGAAGACTGCTGTATAGGGAGCCCGAGTACGCACAAGAGCTGAATTTTATCATCTTCTACCTCCCTAGAGTCCGATGAAGGTTCTATTGAGGTCATACGTCTCCAGACACTACTTACCCACATTAAACGCCAAGTGAATGGAAAAGTGATGACAGCATCGCTGTCTTTATATGCGTTGGAATCGAACATACTTTTCAGCTTTCGCGTTTTGTGAGGAGTATAAACGGGCCTCTAGACCAGGATTCCAAAGACGGCAATATTTGCCAATCAGAGCCTTGTAGAGAACGAATCGACTCTTGTTATGGGTGGAAAGCACTCTAGATGTTCTCTCGAACATGTGGCTGAGGAAATCAATGTAATTACGAAGAAGAGAAACTGGCATCGATTCAGCGATTGCTATGGCTTTACCATATGGCGTACTCACAGACAGAGTAGGACGAAAACCTTTTGTTCTATCCTCGACAATAGCGACAGCTCTGAGCGAAGTACGGCCCGGAGTGGTTTGTTCGTATACCGTAACTTGTATACAGATCTTATGTGCTGATACATGTAGGTTGGTTCAACTTGCCATGCGGTTGGTCTGGTTGACCGGTGTTCTGCGAGCCCCAGGAGGCAGTAACCAGCTCGCTACGTCTCTTCTGTGAACCATTGTATCAGATGTTTTCGAAAAGGGAGAAAGGTATGCTTCCCGGGAGTTGATTGCAAGAGTTAAGATTATGGTGTCTGCTGACCTATAGCCACACTGTTTCGCCTAGTCTCATTGACAATCATCGCCGAACTTGTGGCATCCCCTATGGCCACATATACTCTGAGCATTGAACCGTGGATTCTATATATGTTGGATGTGGTCATCATGCTTGCTGGGGCCGCTTGTAGCATCTTCGTACCTGAAACCCTCGATGAGGCGAAAGCAAGAGAGGCGGAAACTGCCAGCGATCCTGATGATGAAAAAAAAATTGAAGAAACCTCTCAAACTTCGCTACTAAAAAGCAGCGTGTTTGGTATGACCACCTACAATCACAGCTCTTTGTCACTGAAACGAGGTGGTGGTGGTGGAGTAAATCCAGGTTCCTAATTTCCTTGGTCGCAGTCTTTGCAGACACCCTGAGCAGATGTTCTCATCTTCAATATGCATCTGTCAAGTACCAATAGAGTGTCTCTCGGATAAGAGTCCTTCACATGTCATGATACTTACTAACGGATCACCTACACAGGCAAGCTATCTCATATCACTGTGCAGTGGCATGGGTCTGAGCTTCCTACTCCTCGTGCAATTGCTATCATCTTTATTTCTTCGACAGCTGTATTTTAGCTATTTCGCGAAGGATTTAACCATTGCCCGAGTTGCCGCGATATCCGGGGTACTAGGATCTCCATGGCTCCAACCCCCACGTTACTGATCACCGGGTGTCTCGTTGTGTCTCTCTCTATCCCATTTATGATATCAATGGTCAACGTAGCTACCTCGTTCACCTCACCGGAGCACGTGGCGACCTTGCATACTGCCATGTTGATGTGCCCATCGGTGGGGTACCATCGTCGCTGGGCCATGTTCACCAAAAAGGTTGTATGGGTCTGGGATACGTATTTGCTGTTGCAGGGTTGATAGTCGCTCTCTTCCTTGTTTCTTTGTTGTTCCTGAAGAGGTCGAGTGACTATGTCCTTTACTTTCTTTTTCTTCGATTCTCCTTTCATTGACCGGAACCGTTAGTATGTGGCTGTCAAGGTCCGAGATACTCATCGTGACCAACTCAATGAAGCCAAGAGCGACTGAAACATCAAAAACACTCAGTATAGGGTTTTTAAGAATAGAAAAGATAGATTTTATGACTGAAAAAAACATATAATCCAAGGAACACAGAGTTGACCAATCAGAGACGGTGAATATCGGTGTTATCTTATCGGTATGAGTCACCCACCAGTCACAGGCCACCCTCGCTCCGATCTCGCGGGATCCGGCCAGTGCGGCCACTGTCCCGTCCAGCTACAATCTCCCTCTTTCATTTCTTTTCTTCTTGTTTTATTAAAGGCACAACTTCAGCACGGTCAATCTTTTAAGTCTTGCAATTACAATTGCCAATTAACAGACTTTCAAGATGTGTGGAATCTTCGCTTGTCACCAGTACGTCTCTGAGCTCGAATCTTTCCCCCCCCCTCTAGTTGCCCCGCGAAGATTTTATATGCCGGGAGGCGAAGGGGAAAAAAAATCATGACCTGACACATTGAAGTCGCAATTGCTGACAATAACCATCAACAGTCATCCCGATGTGCAGAAATTCAAGCCCACGGCTTTACGGATGGCAAAAGCGTAACAATTCTTTCATTTCTTCGATTTAATGGCCTGGACTAACCTGTCGTGCACGCTTTAGCATCCGTCATCGAGGCCCGGATTGGAGTGAGTCATAGAGGAAATCAGCAACTTTTTGGACAATGCGATGGATTGGACTGACATAACAACAATTCTTTAGGCGGAAATTTCATCAAGAACCAGACGAGTAAGGCTTTTTTGCAGACGTTGTTGTCGAATGCCGGTGTGCTGACTCACTATCTTTTCGCTGTAGTTCTCGTGCACGAGCGTTTGAGTATCGTTGGTGTTGGTATGATATCCCAGTTCTTGTTTCAGTCTATCGTGTCAAGTACTGATGTGCATAGACTCTGGATCCCAGCCTCTCGTCAACGATGACTCCTCTATCGCCCTTGCCGTCAATGGAGAAATCTATAACCACCGAATTCTAAGGAAATCTCTGGATTCCAAATACCACTATAAGACACATTCCGACTGTGAAGTCATTATTCCGTTGGTATGTCATCCCAGCCGTGCTACAATATGGTTATCTTCTGACTTGACCAAAGTACATGAAATATGGTGTCGACGCCCCTAAACATCTCGATGGAATGTTTTCCTGGGTTCTCTATGATGCCAATGAAGATCGTGTCATCGCTGCCCGTGACCCCATTGGCGTCACCAGTTTCTACCAGGGATGGTCTTCCAAGACTCCTGGCGCTGTTTATTTCGCTTCGGAATTGAAGAGTCTACACCCCGTGTGCGACAAAATTGTTGCATTCCCTCCAGGACACATTTATGATTCCAAAACCGACACCACGACGCGGTATTTTGAGCCCACCTGGTGGGACCCCAAGCGAGTGCCAACGACCCCTGTTGACTATAAGGCTATCCGTGAATCGTTGGAACGATCAGTCCGCAAGCGTCTCATGGCAGAGGTTCCCTATGGTGTGCTCTTGTCTGGTGGTTTGGATTCCAGCTTGGTCGCCTCGATTGCACAGCGCGAGACTCTTCGTACGAGGGCTATGCAGACTCAAGGTTCTATTGCCTCGGAAAATGGCGATGGTGAGCTTGTGGGTATTGACGATGAGAATGACCTCTCAACCGTGACTCTCCTCGCTCAACTACACTCTTTCTCAATTGGTTTGCCCGGTGCACCCGACACTGAGGCTGCTATTGAGGTTGCTAAGTTCCTTGGTACTCGGCACCACGCCTTCACATTCACCATTGAGGATGGTCTCAACGCGCTCTCTGACGTGATCTACCACCTCGAAACCTACGACGTGACCACCATCCGTGCTTCGACTCCCATGTATCTCTTGAGCAGAAAAATCAAAGCTCTTGGCGTGAAGATGGTTTTGAGTGGTGAGGGCAGTGACGAAATCTTCGGCGGCTACCTTTACTTCCACGCCGCTCCCAACAAGGAGGAGTTCCATGCCGAAACTGTCCGGAGAGTGAAGAACCTTCATCTTGCAGACTGTCTTCGTGCCAACAAGTCCACTTCCGCATGGGGTCTTGAGGCCCGCGTGCCATTCTTGGACAAGCAATTCTTAGAGACCGCCATGAATGTGGACCCACAGGAAAAGATGATCACAAAGGACCGCATTGAGAAGTACATCTTGCGAAAGGCTTTCGATACCTCTGACGAGCCAGACGTTGCACCTTACCTTCCAGACAAGATCCTCTGGCGACAAAAGGAGCAGTTCAGTGATGGTGTTGGATACGGATGGATTGATGGTCTCAAGGACAACGCCGAGCTTCATGTTACAGATGAGATGATGAAGAACCCCAAACCTGAATGGGGTGATGACATTCCCACCACTAAAGAGGCGTAAGTCTTTTCCGCCTTGAAAAATTCGAGATAATGCAGACTACTGACGTACTCTAGTTACTGGTACCGCATGATGTTTGACGAGCACTTCCCTCCTTCTTGCGCAAACACTGTTGAGCGCTGGGTGCCCACCTGGTCTAAGCAGACTGATCCTAGTGGACGGTAAGCCATTACCTCCTCATATATTCCATGCGCAGCTAATGAAGATATACAGTGCCATTTCTACACACGTTGCCAAATACAAAGACGCAGCTTAAAAATACCCAAAAAATCGTCATCGATATCAACTACAAGAAAAGCCCGCTTCATGGGGAGTAGATACCTATTTTTTGTTGGTATGGCGGACTTTTTTGATTAGAACCCCACATGTTTGATTCTTGGAGGCATTCTCATCGTTATACATACCATCTAAAGAGGTTGGGAAAAGATAGAGTTTATTTCGGCGATGTATTAGAAAATGGATTGTTAGATGTCGGCCCTGACAGCGCCTCGGTAATCACAGTTAGGGCTGTAGATCAGGTTGATGCCTGACAACGAAGGCACGAAAGACCTTCAGTCAATGACATAATGCCATGAGCAAACCGGGCCCTGATTGGCCAGGGTCCCAGACTCGGCGAGTTCTGCCGGCGCTGGCTCCCTCCGCCAATCACAGCCAGCGTGGGCTGCCCCGTGGCTCGCTCTTTCTGTCCGTTTCCCCCCAACCGGTTCCTGGCTGTTGTTCCGCGCTTTTTCCTCCCAGTCCCAACCTCATCTTCTTCTCACAACAACAACAACACACAACGCGTTGCTTCCACAAAACCAGCCTATCTCAAACCCCATCTATCAACATACACAATGGCTGCTCCTGCTGCTTTCTCCGATATCGCCAAGGCGGCCAACGATGTGAGCATCCCGAAAACTTCGCAGATGCCAGCTTGATCGTACTAATAATCTCGGGTTGTAGCTCCTCAACAAGGATTTCTACCACACCAGCCCTGGTAAGTTGGATCGGATAGCTGCGATTGAATTGATATCTATGGGTATGAGGTCTTTTGACTAACTTGAGTTTCTCTCTAGCCAGCATTGAGGTCAAGTCCAATGCTCCCAATGGCGTCACCTTCACCGTGAAGGGAAAGTCCACTCACGAAGGTCCCATCGGTGGCTCTGTAAGTTTGCCCTGTTATCCTTTCAAGCTAATGAATTGAAGCCAATTGATCATTCTTCAACAGCTCGAAGCCAAATATGTTGACAAGCCCATCGGTAATGATTCTCCTACTCAATGTTTGCTTGTTTCATCCTTGTTCCGAAAACCGGCGCAGCAACAAAGCATATTGCAACGCTATACACAATGCTAATGATTCTCAGGTCTCACCCTCACCCAGGCCTGGACCACCGCCAACGCCCTCGACACCAAGCTCGAGCTCGACAACAACATCACCAAGGGCCTCAAGGCTGAGATCCTCACCCAATACTTGCCCACCTCTCAATCCAAGGGCGCCAAGCTCAATCTCTACTTCAAGCAGCCCAATCTTCACGCTCGTGCTTTCTTCGACCTCTTGAAGGGCCCTACCGCCAACCTCGATGTCGTCCTTGGCCACGAGGGTTTCCTTGTCGGTGCTGAGGGTGGCTACGATGTGCAAAAGGCTGCTATCACCAAGTACTCCGCTGCCGTTGGTTACAGCCTTCCTCAGTACTCTGCTGCCATCACTGCCAGCAACAACCTCTCCGTCTTCTCTGCCAGCTACTACCACCGTGTGAACGCTCAGGTTGAGGCCGGTGCTAAGGCTACCTGGGACTCCAAGGCCGGCAACAACGTCGGCTTGGAAGTTGCCAGCAAATACCGTCTTGACCCCTCTTCCTTCGCCAAGGTAAGCTCACCTAGAGTATAGGCCTTTGGATTCTTAGACTATTTTGCTAATGCGCATTTGTGTTATCCAGGCCAAGATCAACGACCGCGGTATTGCCGCTCTCGCTTACAACGTTCTCCTCCGCCCTGGTGTCACTCTCGGCTTGGGTGCTTCTTTCGACACCCAGAACCTCAACCAAGCTGCCCACAAGGTCGGTGCCAGCTTCACCTTTGAGGGTTAAACATCCTCTCCCAATTTAAACAAATGAGATACCCCGGATGAAGCTATTTCGCCTTGACATTGCATTGTCCGGTTAGACTCAAAGAAAATGTCTGCATAATATAGAGTGTGTAGTTGAACAACAAATTTGTTTCTGTCCATTTTCACTTGTAATAGTGGTTTTGCGCAGACATGAAATCTTTGATTGGACCGGACGAATGCGAGGTGACAGGCGATTTGTGGTGTAATCCGGTTTTTGATGGGCGTGTGTTTTGGCATGGAAGCATGCACTTTTTTGTTTAATTGTGCTACTGACAGCTATACTTGTATATCAATAAATCAAGAGCTTTTCCTTTGTCGCTACATCAAGTTCCATAGCGGACGTATTATATAGTTATGATAAATATGCGGACTTCATAAGAGCAGTATATCATGCAGTATGTCGATCGGTAGCATAAATACAGCGATATAGTAAATAACACCCTCAATAGTATTCCATGACCAATTGATATGTCCCCTCGAGGCAGCTATTGTATCAATCACCATCCTCCCTCGATCCTAAGCCCTTACCCTGCGACGTCTTCCCCGATCTCTTTCCACCAGGACTACTTGCGGTAGCAGTATTACTACCCCTCCCCAATAACGCCCCAAAAGCAGCCGTAACAACCAATATCCCGGAAACAATAACAAACCTCAAAACAAAACTTCCCCCTTTTTCACTCTCTAATATTTCGCGCTCACGTTGCATCTGCTGCGATCGTCTTTGCTTCCGTCGCGCATCCTCGGCTGTTTGTGTCTTGTAATGTCCTCTAGCATTAAAATGCCAGACGGGATTATTATTTATGAACGATGTGGGATCTTCATTGTTATGTTGATGTTGTTTTCCCGTTCCGGCAGTACCGGTATAACTTCCCCCCGGACTCTGAGGCTTTCTCCCTCCATATCCACCATGCGCATAAAAACTAGGCGGAGGACCCCTAAACGCAGTCCGGCGTTTACTCAATCCACTCGCTGGCCTGGATCCTGCATACGTCGCACCGGCACTACTGTGACTGCCCATGGGGTGTTGCCCGGCTACACCACTGCTATGCGTCCCATGGGTAGTACCGCCGATGCCGTGGTCGAGATCGTAGCGAGCACGTTTTGTGCTGTCGCCTAGGATATGATAGGCTGATGAGATTGTCGCGAAGCGTTCGGTGGCTTTGGGGTCGCTGCGGTTGCGGTCTGGGTGGTGTTTTAGGGAGAGGGCGTAGAATTGTCTTTTTGCCTCTATCATCAGCATCAAGTTGCAGTAACATACGGGGCGATGGTACGCACTTTTTTATTTCGGCTGCAGTCGCGGTTACCGGGACATTGAGGATTTCATAATAGGTAGGCTCATGGCTACGAGCATAGTATCTTTTGGTTGCAGAAAAGTGAGCTGAAAAGATAATTGATGGTGATGGAGAAACGATATCACGGCCGCATAACTCAGGTTTGGGATTGAGTCTTGGAGTAATCACAAAAGATGATATCAGTCTAAGAATCGTCAAACGAGGCGGCATTCCTCATTGCGGGACTTTTCGCATTAACCTTGAATGTAGAAAAGCAGATGATATAAAGAGTTGAAAGTTGTATGGATGAAGTCATGGAGTGTTATCGGAGACAACTAGCGTCATCGTCCAAGTTGTAAGCGTAATTTATATTTCGTGTTGAAAATGAAAAAATACACGTATGGTAATTTACGCTGTGCGATAGGCTTGCCAAGTCTCGCCCTCAGTGGCCGATCAGTCCGGCCGATTGATATTTTATTGTTCTCCTCCCCCGCCTTCTCGATTTCAAGAGAAGCAAACCTATCACAAATATGGCTGCTCAGGCTGATGACGAGCTAAATAAGCTCAGATGTGAGTTTACATTTTTATTCTATTTGAGTTTTACTGTTTGGGTTCAGACAATTGAACTAACAGGTGACGATGTAGTGAACGGCCAAAATGGCGAGGCCAAAGAGCAAGTAAGCGCTTCTGCTGTCGATACTGCCGACAACGACGACTCAGAGGATGATGAGAAAGAAGAGGAAGGCGGAGCGGAAGTTGCTGCTACTGAAGGTGAGAAATCCGACAGGAATCAGCTCAACAAGGTCAATGGCTCACACGACGTACAAAATAGCGGCCAAAAAAAAAAAGAAGCGCAAGCCCAAGAAGAAGAAGAAAGGAGGCGCCAAAAAACAATCCTCCCCTCCTCGAGTCCCCGTATCAGAACTATTCCCCAACAATCAATACCCCGAAGGTGAAATCGTCGAGTACAAAGATGAGAATAATTACCGGACAACCAACGAAGAGAAACGATATCTCGACCGTATGAACAATGATTTCTTGCAGGAGTATCGCCAAGGAGCTGAAGTACACCGACAGGTTCGCCAATATGCGCAGAAGAATATCAAGCCCGGACAAACCTTGACTGAGATTGCGGAGGGTATTGAAGATGCCGTTCGTGCCCTTACGGGTCATCAGGGTTTGGAGGAAGGAGATAATATAAAGGGAGGAATGGGTTTTCCCTGTGGTCTCAGTATCAACCACTGTGCCGCTCATTATACGCCTAATGCAGGAAATAAGATGGTCCTGCAGCAGGGTGATGTCATGAAGGTTGATTTCGGTGCTCATATTAACGGTCGAATCGTTGATAGTGCTTTCACGATGACTTTTGATCCTGTCTATGATAATCTTTTGACTGCTGTAAAAGAAGCGACCAACACCGGTATTCGGGTATGTCCCTTATCCGAGCGTTAGGTAACTATTGGATTCTCTGTGCTAACCTCTGTCTAGGAAGCTGGTATCGATGTTCGAATGAGTGATATTGGAGCAGCCATCCAAGAGGTTATGGAGAGTTACGAGGTTGAGATCAACGGAACTACATACCCAGTCAAGGCAATCCGTAACCTGAACGGACATAACATTGATCAACATGTCATTCACGGTGGCAAGAGTGTTCCCATCGTGAAGGGCGGAGATCAAACCAAAATGGAGGAAGGTGAAGTCTTTGCTATTGAGACTTTTGGAAGCACTGGAAAGGGATATGTACGAGAAGATGTTCGTGTCACCATTACTATATTACCTGAAGCCCAGAACCATACTGACATTTTCTTAGATGGAAACATCACATTATGCCAAAGCCCAAGATGCTCCGAATGTGTCACTTCGCTTATCCTCGGCAAAGAATCTCTTGAACGTTATTAACAAGAATTTTGGCACATTGCCTTTTTGTCGTCGATACCTCGATCGACTTGGCCAGGACAAGTATCTTCTTGGAGTAAGTTCATATCGAATATCGAGTTAGAGACACCATGCTTACAGTTTCTTTTTCTAGCTGAATAATCTGGTATCTGCCGGAATTGTGCAGGATTATCCACCACTGTGTGATATTAAGGGCTCCTATACTGCTCAATATGAACATGTAAGTTGTGTATCAGTCATTGCAGCTGATAGCTTCGTTGTTAATTGTTATCCAGACAATCGTACTTCGGCCAACGGTGAAAGAAGTTATAAGTCGCGGTGACGACTATTAAAGAATCAGTCCATCTCTGGAATAGGGCTTGGTATAGGCTTGACTGTATATGGATAGGATGTACCTGTAGGAAGAAATCAAATTGACTTGATAGGAAGACCTTACTTTATTAACCCTAACCCTTGTAGTCAGGCGTTGCGCGGAAATGCAGACATCCGGTAGCCCCACGTGCAAATAGAATAATCCGACTCTGTTCCTGATCCAACATTTATCTTATCGAACATACCTTATGATTCGGAGTGTGTTTTCAACAACAACCCATTCCTTTCACATGGAGAATCAATAGTTCATCTTGTCTGTCTAGCAGTTTCTCTCTCGATCCTCTTCAATGGCATCTATTACCTCCACTTCTACTCCCACCCTCAGGGTCAACGCCACAAAGGGAGTAGAAGAGAAACAACAACCACATACCGCCAGAATACAACCACCTGAGGGATCGGCTTCTTATGATCATTTTTTCTGGACATATACCGAAGAACCCCATCGATCACGGCGTCAGGCGATTATCAAAGCTCATCCGGAGGTTTGTTTCTTATCCTTGAACTCCGTTATACGGATGCCTAGCTCGGAAGTTCAATTGCTAACGTTATGGTAATGAAAGGTTCTGAAACTATGTGGTCCCGAGCCCCTTACGAAATACGTCGTTCTCGCCGTCGTCTCGCTTCAGCTCTCATGTGCTTATTTACTCCGAGATACCTCGATGTTCTCATGGAAATTCCTCCTTACTGCATACGTGATCGGAGCCACCTCGAACCAGAATCTGTTTCTGGCCATTCATGAAATCTCACACAATCTGGCCTTCCGGTCTGCGCTCTCAAATCGACTACTGGCTATATTTGCCAATTTGCCCATTGGGTTACCGTATAGTGCTGCTTTCCGGGTTAGTTTATAATATCTTCAACTTCATTTTGGTGGATTACCACTAACCCCTTCTTCTAGCCCTATCATCTTACCCACCACAAATCCCTCGGTGTAGCAGGCCTTGACACCGATCTCCCAACGGCTTTTGAGGCGTTCCTCCTTGACTCTTTGCTGGGCAAAGCATTCTTTTGCACTTTTCAAATTTTTTTTTATGCGCTACGACCCATGTTCGTCTACAGTCCGCCATTCACATCGATCCATGTCCTGAATTTGATAACGCAACTCGCCTTTGACTACGCGCTTGTGCAATTCTGCGGCGGATCATTACAGCCTCTCTTTTACTTGTTGTGGAGCTCGTTCCTTGCGGGATCGTTGCATCCTTGTGCTGGTCATTTCATTGCGGAGCATTACTTCTTTTCCGAAATCAAGGCCGGTGGGACAGAGTCCCTTTCGGAGTTGAAAAGCAACAAAAAACCAGCCTCCAACACTAATGGAAAAAGTCCCCTCGACTCTTTACCACCTCCAGAAACATACTCCTACTACGGTCCACTCAATATCCTGACCTACAACGTCGGACTTCACAATGAACATCACGACTTCCCCGCCATACCATGGACACGTCTATCAGAACTCCATCGTATTGCTAGCGAATTCTATGAGCCTCTTCCTTGCCATCGGAGTTGGGTATGGGTTATTTGGACCTTTGTTCTTGACGAGAATGTTGGGTTGTGGTGTCGTGTTAAAAGAGCGCAAGGTGGTAGAATTGTTGGCGGTGGTGGTAGTGCACCAGCTTCCAAAAAGACGGGTCGAGGAGGGGAAGGGATTTCTGCTAATTCTATGAAAGAGGAAGAGGAAGAGGATGGGTGGAAGGAGAGTGAGATTCAAAATTGAGTTCTTAAAGCCCTTTCAAAAAGTATCAGGGAGGGTTTCGGTCTATATGCTCTTTTCCACGGAGTTTGAAATGATATTACTGTCATAGATTGTACATAGGTACTATACATATATATATATATATATGAAATGTGCAGCAGCCCTTACTTCTTCATCATTCTTTGCTACCTTGAACTAATATCATATGCTCAACTTAGGGTTTATCTGGTACCTATTACCTACGTACCGGATTTCCTTTGACGCTTCTCGACTTTCTCGTCCCGTTTTAGTGCTCACCCTTTCGCCACTTTTACTCGCTGAGTAGGACTGAGCACGCTGAGGACGCAGGTAAAGTTACAAATGTCATCTACTCCCGTAATGATGCTGGGATAGTATTCCATACTACCGGCACTCGCAATGCTATATAGTATACAGTCTGCTAATAAAAGTGCCTATCCTTGAGAACTCCAGCGAGGCGGTATTCGAGCACGGAGAGGTTTGCTGTAGAGACGTGTGCCCTTAGCAATCGGAGTAGACGGCCTGCAATTCACCCATCCCGCCTAATGGGGAGCCGCAGTGAAAGTTATTCGGTTAGGAGTGCACGGAGCGAATTCCGCTCTCGTTAGAATCAAAGAGAAAATGGAGTATCAAGAGAGTTGGGTGCGAAGCGGATGCAATGGAAGTGACATTTCGCTATGTGGTGCGTATGTAGACGGGTGCTCAGGAAAATGTAGAAGATGAACCAAGATAGCATCTACGTACCAGAGCAGAGTAGACACTAATCTCCCGCCCTTTCCAAAATTTTGGAGGATGGCTCATGTTTCTCTATCCATGCGCTTGTCGACGACCTGAGGCTCGGAATTATAATGATTAAGCCTACCTACCAAATCAACAGGCTACGTACATTTTGAATTACCATGTATGGACTCTTGCTGGGCCTACGTTTCATTCTCACGAACGAGCCGCGTCCTAAGAAGATAGCCTACCATCCAGAGAATAGAGAAAGCATTCCCAAGAAAGAGCATACCATTCGCAAGATCAGCAAACTGGTTCTTAGGTCGCCTATACATTCTAGAATTTCCTTTTCTGGGTAGGTATTTCCTTTCTTAGCTACCGCCGCTTTTGTGAGGGCGCACTCAGCGAGAGTGTATCTGCGGAAAAGTCAGCTCTGCAAATTGGACTAGCGATATAACTAACATAGTGGTTAAGCACAGACAATCCATACACCTTTCTATGCCAAATACCTTTTAACCCGGCCCCTAGTTAGATCATAGAGGCTACGAATCTTAACATTTGCTAACAGAAAATGGCTAGATAGGGGTCCCGTTTTCAAATCTCTGTGATGAAGTCTCTATGATAGCCCGGTCCGAATCTCAAAGTGTATTAAATTTCTTAGAGAAAAGGGTATCTGAGGCGACTCAATTGAGCGTATAAAGGGAAAGTAGTGTAGCAGTGCACCAGGTGATACTCAAGCCTTTGCCCTTCATTAGCGGAAACAAAAAGCTGAGCCGGAATTTCTGCATGATGAAGATTTGGATCCACAACAGGACATATTTTGTGTAGTGCTACTGCTCAATTTCCACTGATAGATTCCATATAGCTTATCTGCTTCGGGTGCTCATGTCTGAGGAACTCTTTTCCTTCATCCCAGGAGGAAAATCGTTGAGCAGGTAATTCGCCACAAAGCTTGATTTTCTTGAAAGAGAGCGAATCTCCAGGGTACTTTTCTCTGTGAAGTGCAAAGTCCAGATCTGACTCATTAATTTCCGAGAGAACTGTTGCCTCCTCTTCCGAATGACCAATACCGAGCAAATACATAAGCCTGTAGGTAGATTTCACTTCATCTAATGGTGCATATTGGCTCCGCCACTTGTCTATTTCGGATGCCGACAATGGCTCGTCTCTAAGTTCTTTAATCCAAGAATCTAAGCGATACCTCTCTTCGCCGCTAACCGAGCGGTATGGCAATGGCAAGTTACCTCTGAAGTCAAAAGTGGGCGAGATATCATCGACGGCACACTTGATTGTGTGATAGACAAGGCCAAGTTGTAGGAGGTCTTCAATCATGGTTGCAAGCCCAGTATTACCTACCAGTTCCCGCATCTCGCCAAGAGCGAAGACACAGGAATCTGTTTTGAAGTTTGTGCGCTGATATTCATGGATCGAGACAACCAGAATCGCGTTGTAATCCGACAAAAACGGCACATTTCTTGTGTCTAAGAAGCCGTGGGCGAACGGTGAGATATTACTCTCAGGGCTCAGAGTACATCTTTTGCATTTTCACAAATATGTGAGTCCTCTTCAAGAACAATAATCGACTGCTCTGAGATGCGTTTCCACGACGTATCCGTGTGCTTGGGTGGTTTTTCTGTTTTCATCTTGAAAACCTCCTCTCTCGTATATCCTAACGACATATAATACCTCACTTCAGATGTTAATAACCTTGTTTTGTCTTTTGGCTTCCACAAACTCTTTTTCAAAAATTTGGTCACAAACGACCTTACTTGACTGTATTTGACATATCCAAAGCCAAGGACATCAACTGGGGGTGTAAAGTCATCCCTTCTTCGAGTAGGAAGTGGATAAACCGTTATAACTGTGCACGAGATGGCAGACAAAAGGTTTTGCCAAGGTGAACCAGATCGGAGGCATTCAATACACTGTCGAATGACACCTCTAGTGCAACGCCTTTCACATTGTGGCAGACTATCAATACCCTTGTGCCGAACTTTAAACTTTGCATACGTCTTTAACGTGTTGAACGCTGACTTCGTGATAGCCAAGCAGGATATTTCTCTAGTAAGATCCCAAGAAGGGTTGAAATACCAACTTGCTTCCATAACGACATAAAAGTCTTCGAAATTCTCATCGGGATTGGATGATGTGACCGTACCAGTCCAAAGCGACTCAATCAGATCGAGGTCTCCTTGTGACATCAGTAAGGTATCATCAAACTGCGAGACAAAGTTGATTATTTGTCGTGAAGCCTTTGCTGTGTTGTCTTTGCTGTCTCTGCGGCCCGCAATCACTTGCAGAAAGCTTGGAAGAAGGCCCTCTGTAAGATAAAGACAGGCGAAACGACAATTTGATTTGGAGGCTGACCGGAGAGATCCCAGTTCGGTGCTGGGTATCTGAATATCAAGTAGTGCTTGGTGGTCTAACGGCTTCGAAGGCGTATTATCCTCATGGCTCTCACTCGCTGTTTCCAACCCATTGAAAACAGTACTAGGCGGTGCAGGGATCCATCTGGATACGTCTCTTCGCATCGAAGACATGGTACTATAGGCAAGACTTATCTGATCAAAAGGCTCACCCGTAACCATCGATTTAAGTTGTCTCAGGATTGCAATGCGGTAGACATCTCTAGCCCAATCCATAATGTAATCGACAATTAGCACTAATTGTAGCGCATCATCCTTAAGCAATAAAGAGCCTGCCCATAACATGGTTGTTTCCTTGGCGATAAACTATTAGCTGAACAATTTCTTTCGTAATAATTGGATGGGTTGGATTCGCCAATTGAGTTACCAGTTGACTTACATATTTCGTTGGCTCTCCGTTTCCCCCCTTCAACACAGTTCCACAATAGAGTCTCCAGGCGTCCCCGCGAGATGCAAGAAACCAAACCAATGGTTCAAAGGCTTCTTCTCCTTCAGGAACATACAACCGCAAGTCATCTTGCAGCTGCAAAAGAGTTCGTATGGGGAAGAAAGTCTGAGTTAGTATTGCCTCAAAACCACGTGAACTTGATTCAGACTTCGCTTCAAGTACTAGAAAAGGAAATAAAAGGAGGTCTGCTTGTGTTTTAAATGGCGTGGTCTTTAGGAGATTTGAAACAGTGTCATCTGGTCTTTTCTGAATATCTGGTCTCACGGGACTAGACAGCAATGAGTCAAAGCTTTGCGTATTTTGTAAACCAAAAACACGATCGGGGCCTTGTTTTGGAAGATGAGACTTGACGAGATCATCATAGATGACAAACTCATCTGCGCGATCATCAAAGAGGGGATTAGTCCCAAGGTCATAGCTATCACAGTCAGCAAAATCCTGTAAAATCTTCTCGGAGTAAACAACGAACAAGTCTTTAGGACGTTGATCAGGTGAACATTGACACGGCTGCCGCTGCCTTCTGCGCTCCTCTAGGCGCTGCCCGTACTCGTCGTTATCGTGATACCAACTAGCTTGGATTTCAGACTCCCAGACTTTGGCGCGGCAGTTCGGACTTTAGAGTGTTAGCGAAAATTGACTCGGGTGGCGTCCCTGTTATTAATATCCCCAGAGCTGCATAGATATATGTTCATGTAAAGCACGAAAACGTGTTTTAATAAGGCGCTTCGAGAGCGTAATTTGTAGAGTTGTAGAGTCTCAACTCACCAAGCAACTTCCACTGTAAACCTTCGCAACACATCATTTTCAAGGCTGAAGCGTCAACCAGCTTCATTACGCTCCTGGCCAAAAAGGCGTTCTGCACGTTTTACCAGCCATTGTGCGCGCGCTTTGGTCTGTTGCTTCCAGGGCTTTTCATCAGAAAAGACACTAACCTCTGGAATATAAGTGTCGAATCTATATTGTGTCACAGATTTGATACTCTGGAACGTCCTTCTATGGGCTTCAGGCCAGTCCTTTCCCTCTCGTCGATCCCGGATATTGAATCTTTTAGCTAGCCTTCGCAGCGACTGGAGATTATCGCCCATTGTTCCTATAATATGTCGACAATACGAGGTTTATACGTGATGCTGGGCCGCGAGCAATCAACATATAAGGTAGACGATGGATGAGATCTCACTAATTACTCGTGCGGGGATTGTAAGTAATCAACTTGCTCCGCCACGTCCATTCAAACCAAGTCTCATGTTGGCGGTTATCGTGTCATTTTCATAGGCCAGGTACGTCCAGGGTATGATGCGGCGCAGTCAAATTTTGATCCCGCCCTTGTCAAGGCATTGAAGTCACGATAGCCGGGTATTTTTGTCATCATCTAATGAGCGGCAGTCAAGTGAGGAATGTTCTGGGTAAGGGCACGAAATGATACAGGTAAAATATCTTAATGCAGGTTGCTCATGCTGATCTTGGGATATTGTGTAGTGCCTAAGTAGGAAGCGAAGGTACCAGCGATCACCCATCCGGAACGAACAGAGAAATGTTAGTATTATGCCTCACTCTATGGCATGACGTGTTACATGATCTCATTAACCAACTGTAATTTGGCGATACTAGTTCATTGCTATCTTAGAATATCGCGAGATCTACCACGAGGAAAAGGACATTTGAACAAACCTGGAGACAAGTCATTCCCCTATTTTCAGCTAATCAGAGGCCTCCAAACACTATTTCTCACTTTTCATGAAACGTCATATATGATATATCATATTGTAGATCACGGAGAATGTACTAGGGAATTGAACTCATTTCCCGTGACGAAGTACATATAAGAAAGCCATTTTGTGGTATGGAAGACAGAAGAACACAGACAACTGAATACATACAATCTTGCTAATCATTTCTTCTTTTCCCATCCTTGTAAGCTACTATTCAGGATTGGCCTGAAGTAAACCCAGCAATCCGACAACAACCAGCTTAGTGTCTCAAGCAAGCAAGCCGATGGAATACAGGCTTGAGCATGAGCATTGATACCTTGGTCTTGCTGGGGAACTGAGAGACCTGAGGGACCTCAACGAATATTGAATAATAGATGCTTTATGAGTAACTTCTGAGCACTATGATAATAGTTCTTCAATTGAAACAGAAGGATATCTTGTGGATATATCACTAGTCAAATTTGCAGAGTGTCTTGTCCGCAGCCGCACGTGTCTGCTCAGTGAGCACTCAGTGAGCAACCATTGGACACTCATGATCAATCAAGTGATGGAGTGAGTAGTTCAGTGAGCGTGAGCCGGGACTGAAATTTACTCAGTGAGGCTGACTGAGAGCGTCCTCACAAAAGCGGCGGCAGCTGAGAAGGGAAACCCCCACTTGCAAAGGAAATCTGGTATGTATAGTCACCTAGGTATACAAAGCACCCGACATCCATGAATGTGCTGGTTCAAGGGCTTTGGGATCGGTGACTCATTAAGACTGCCCTGAAGGCACTTGGACAATACCTAGGTAGCTCTATGTACCATATTTCCTTAAGTGAGTGGGCTTTTCCTTTCTCAGTTGCCGCCGCTTTTGTAGGACACTCACAGTCAGGCTCAGTGAGTAAATTTCGGTCTGGGCTGACGCTCACTGTAATACTCACTTCATCACGTGATCGATCATGAGTGTTCAACGATAGCTCACTGAGTGCTCACTGAGCAGACACTGAACGGACACTGACCGAGTACGGCTGTGGACGAGTCAGAAACACCATGCTTATACATTTAGCGAACCTAAACCCGTTTAATATACTGGCTCGGTTCAGGTATGCACTATTGGATATGTACAAACATCTTCTACCTGTGATGGACGCTCAAGGCCCAGAAACAACTTCATTTCTAAGCGTAGCAGTATCGACGAAGAAAACTAAGTGTGAAGAAGAAGAAAGAGGAAAGCTGAAGATCATATCAACCAACTTGTTTGTAGCTTAGGCCTTCCCTTCCTCTTCTCCCAAGCTTAGGATTATCATTAGAATAGGCTTATTGAGACGTCACACTACCTGCGAATAAACGTGGAGGCTGAAATCGACCATATATACACATCTCTATTGTTCAAATAGAAAAGATAGCGTCATTCGTCGAGCATAGAATTGGCACCTTTCGACTAAATACGCTAAGGAAAGTGGTTAGCAATGAGAATATAGATAGATGCATGATGAAAAGTAGTCTACCAGACTCTCAAGGTTCATTGCAACATGAGGAATCAGCTTAATGAACAAGAAGCAGCGGAGTTTTGATTGCTGAAGTTTGACATGCTGTGAATACCACAGCGACAAAAAGACTAATTCCCAGGACATGCGGTTCTTTTCGGAATATATGGACTCTAATGGGTTGGTGAGCACCGCACGAATGCAGGGTTATTTCCTTGGGCAGCCAATTTTGGATCGACTCCTCTTCCAGGCACTGCAGGGAGTGCTATCACGACGAACAGCCGGTATGGTATGTGGGGGAACAACGGTCTAGGTACTTTAGGGGTGTGATTAGCATGAACTATCAAAGGCACAGAAGTAGAGAGTATTATAGAAGTCTGCTGAATAACCCGAAACTGGTGAATTGAGGCGGCCTGGATTCGCTCAAATCCTGAGAACCGAGTCGATAGCCGCATCCTCTATGAATTCATTGACGGGATAAGAACTTACGCAGCTACTCAGGAAGCCAATACGCAAGTGACGGGTCTTCAATGATGGTAGCTGCTGGATTCGGTAAAGGAAAGGCCTCACTAGCTAGATTTCCGGGTAAAGGCTGAAATTGCGCTGAGTTCAACGCATCTAAACGGTGTTCCGGCTGGGTGTAGCCGTGACGGGTAACTGGACATAAGTAGCGTACTCTTGATTCGTCTCACTTCGCTGCGAATATTGAATCGGCTGTCTGATAGACTCTGTATTCTGTAACACTGAATCTTGATGTGTAGGAACAACTGAAGCTGGCTGTAGGTAGATACCCAAATTTCTACCTAGCTACTATAACCCAGTCTAAACACAGGCATTATCAGTCCTAATTGCTGACTGCAAGATTTGCACCACAGCTGTATGTCCATTGGTTGCTGTTCGTGCGCAAGGTGTTTGACCACGTCGGTCCTTCTGCTCCAAGTCGACACCATCGGCAGCAAGAAGCATGCGCACTACTAGTGCATGTCCATTTTCAACGCCAACGGTGATATTCCATTACCATGGCAATCTTTTGAGTCGTTATCGACTTGAACAGTACTAATCAAGAGTTGAACCACATCTGCGTGCCCATTAACCGCAGCGTGCGACAACGGGGTAAAGCCGTTGATGTCTCTTGAGTCTGGATCAACACCCTGTGCATCGAGTAACATCTGTACAACAGATTTGTGCCCGTTAGCAGCGGCATGTGAAAGTGGCGTGTAGCCCTGGATGTCTTTGGAGTCAGGGTCCACTTCAGGGCTGTAGTTCAGTATCAATTTCACTATTGAATTGTACCCCTGAGAAGCAGCTTGTGATAATGCTGTTCGACCATAGATATCTTTGATATCTGGATGAATCCTGTTAGCGGCTAGCAGTAGCTGAACTACATCCTCGTGTCCGTTAGCAGTGGCGTGTATCAGAGGTGTGCGGCCCATGTCGTCTTGTGTGTTGAGTTCCGCGCCGGCGGTGATGAGGACGCATACAACTTTCTGATGCCCATATTCAGCAGCCCAGGACAGCGCCGTACGACTGTTGATATCGACGCAATCAATATCATCTCCCTCTTCTAATAGCAGGTGGACTATTGCTTCGTGTCCATTCTCCGCAGCATAAGATAATGGAGGCCAACTGTGACTATCCTTCACATTCGCTCTATTCCCACCAGCCAACAACGATTTCAGCACCGTTTGTAGTCCGAAATAAGCAGCTATATGAACTGCTATCATACATTTGGGTACCCGCTGGCTATAACCAGCTTCCGTATTCATCCTTTTGGAGGCCATCAAGACTTGGCTGGAAGCAGCTAGCTTCTTCTCGTCGTTGAGGAAGCGTATCGCAAGATCTGCGTCTGCAGAGGATGCTAGACGCGCCTGTTCACCCCAGTTTCTTGCACTATATCTGTAAAGGGGATTTGATGTCAGCCGAGCCTCGAGACTTGCATCCGAAAGACAAATCCCTCCGTCGTCATGATCAAGATCATCACGACAGAGATATTCTATACATTTCCTAGAAATACAGCCATGAACATCTTCCTCGGGTAGCCATAGACTCCGGTTACGAATAAGGTAGTCCAATGTTAAGCGGTGGACAAAGATATGATCGTTTGCTTCATCTATATCAATCAATCCTCCGCATTTTGCTTGTATATCAGCGGCAAGGGGAGGACCACCAAATCCCATGCCCAAGGTGTGCCGGAGCTCAGTTACGCTTAGAGGTTCTGCCGCGAAGGTTATCCACGTCAATACCTTTATCGGGAGTTCCTAATAACTCGATTCTTTCTGTTGGGATTGGATCTGCTCCAATACTAGGTTATGTGCTGAATCCAGTGTGTCTTGGGATATCTGGCTGTCCACTCCCGAGGCTGAAAATCGTTGAGCCTCCTTCTTGATGACTTCTGATCCGATCGTAATGTTCTTTGAAGTGAGATTTCCCACTAGAGAATAAAGGCACAGCCGTGCAAGAAGAAACCTAATAGAAACAGAATGTTAAAAACCTTGGAACCGTGTGCATTAGGGTTACCGGACAGGGGTAGACGAACAGTCCATTAGATGCAAGTATAATATTTTCCTTGATATCTTTGCTCGGATCAATGTTACCAGAAACAAGAAGGGGAAGAAGTGTGGCGAACTTTTCGTCCAGATATCTAGTGGATAACTCCCTATATCTTCCGGCGTTGCAACAATTTCTATAACTCGAGAACGATTGAGAAGAGCTTATCCATGATTGTCCAAGGAAATCCAGATAAGGCCGTCACGAAGAGATTGACGCTAACACACTCTCCTTTTCGAAGATTATTAATCTCCCTTAGAATAGTGGCCCACCCTTTAAAGGAATCTTCGGACTTGTCCAAGCCATCCAATACAATGAAGATGCGCGTGTAGTAATTCAAGGCACCTGAGCAAAACATTTTCGCAATCTCTGTATATACAAGCTTTCCCAATCCCTTCTGCAGTAATTGGTGCCGCTTATAGAGTTCTATGACAGATTTCGGCATCGATTCGGGTTGGCAATAGCATCTAACTGGGAGGTGTGATCAACTGCGGAAAGCCACTTGAGAATATGTTTCTGTTCATTCATCGATGTTCTATCACCTATGTCAGACCCAAACAGTAGTAATTGAGAAAAAAAGTGAGGAATTTACCTGACGATACCACGGAAGAAGTGATTGCTCTCTAAATCGTGAGTTGGATTCATCTTGTTTCTTAGTAAGGAATGCTCGCAGAAGGGAAATTCAGAGGTTCGTTATTGTTAATCTCGATGGGAACGAGAGTAGTTAGGGCTCGAGACGCGGGGTCAGGTTGCATTTTGACTATCTAGGCAACAGGCTAAAAGGATGCGTTCACTTGCGTATTATCAGCCTGATAAGGACGAGTTTCTTGGTTCTCTCGGGCTGCGAAGCGGCCAAAGGATATTACGCTGCAGGGTCTGTTCATCTCGCTTATCTTCGGCAATGACATATGTTATTCATCTGCTCAGAGACCCTCGGAGTGCACTGGTGCAGTATTGCAGAACCCTGAGGCTAGTTATGTAGGTGTTTAATATAAACATTAAGAATTTTACAAGATAAGGATATGGATGTGTATTAGATATTGATAGACCGAATCCACTGATTCATTGCTAAATTCGGATGTATTGGACAAACATAGGAAAGTCGAAGAAGAATGCATTATGCATTGCGTACGCTGTATGAATCAATAAGCCATATAAAAGGAAAGCAAAACTTCCAACATGTACGTGCTGTATCAACACACGTAGAGACAAAAAACAAGGGTAGCCAGACAAGAAAAGAATCAGAGTAAAGCATAGAAGCTCTTGAAAAGAAGAGGGTAAAAGGGGGAAGAAACATGCTCCGAGATAATTATAAGCCGCAAAAGGAAAGAACGAAAAGGGGAAAAGGAAATCTTTAGAAGAAAAAGTACGCAAGTAAAAAGCTAAGTAAGCACAATGCTGCAACAATCTGAACTGGAACACCCATCTCCGCTGTCGGTTGGGCAATCTGTTGTTGTATCATATTGCCAGCTTTGGAGATAGAAGATGGCTCGGAACCGTCACTTCTCCGCTGACGGAGACCCTGTCCTTGTTCGGTGAGTTGAGCTTTCAACTTTTGAATCTGCGCTAATGCATCTGACAATTGCTCCTTGATATTATCACTGGAATCGGGTTTTGCTTCGGTTGTAGCAGCAGCTGCAGTAGATGGCGCATTTTCAAAGGCAGATAGATCTGCTTCCTTTGATGTTTCGGTTGTTTCTGGTTTGGGGGATTTTTCGAAGTTGGGTGCTGGGATAGGTGATGTGGAGTCGTCAATCTTCCTGGATGCTGTTGGCGCAGGCGTTTCGAATGCGCCACCTGGCGAGGAGTATGCGGGGGGTTCTTCTTCGGTTTGGGCCTGAAATATGAAGATTGAAGATGAGTATAGGTTTTATTGATCTTATTAAAGTTCGACATACCGATCCGTCAGGAATATCTGCAGGTAGATAGGCCACTCTGATTCTTCGTTCTTGGATTGCTGCCTTGGGTGCTTTCTCAAACTATTTCAACCATTTAAATTAGTACGACTTTCGAATCCACATACGCTGGAGTAGAGCTCACAATAGATGTGACATTGGCAAATTCTAAATCTCCGGTAATAGCAACCGACTGAACCAAGAATTTATCTTTGCACTTCGCATCAAGAGGAGGGTCCTCTTTCATCGCTTGTAGCAAGACTATAGCACGGTTAGTCGAGCCACCCAAAATATCGATCTCAAGTATATGTGTAACGGACCTTGCACTTCGACTTGTTTCCCGGGTTCTATGCGGCCAGAGTTGGGACGCACGCAGTAGCTATAAATCGTTTAGAAGTGGAAGGGACGCTATAGTAGCCCAGCATATACGTACTGTTTGGGAGCGGTTGTTTTGACCTAGAATTAATACCTCGTAGTCAGTATCACGAAGGAAGCAGCGAGGATGCAGCGCAGGACTAAGTGAAGGACTAACCTTGAATGCGATTGGATCGCTTTGCGGGTTGCGGATATGTAGCACCTCGCTAACCTCGCGATTGAAGGGTCCTGCAATAACCCGTTAATATACATCCTGCCTTGATGAAACCGATGGTCGCAGTGGGCTCTTACGGCGGAAACCGAGATCACCGGGTTCGAGATCGACGGACATGGTGTTCAACTGGAAAATTGGAGGGATCGAAAGCGATAGAACCACAACGGCTGCCTGCGAAGTTTGGGTTCAGAGCGGCGGCAAATAAAGATTCAAGCAAATAATTAATGGCAGGGCAGGTATGTGTGTAGAATTCGGAGCAGCGAGAAGAAGGTGCTGGTTGCAAGAGGCGATGTATCGTTGTGTGTATTCGTGATGATGAGCCTAGGTTGATTGCCCGGAATATGAGCATGCTGCTTAGGTAATCAGCTTGGCGCTTTTCTAACTAGGTTAACTATGGGGCAACCTCGTGATGTCATTCCATAGGGCGTAAACATACAAATATTATTTATTTCTTGTCTTCTTACGAGGATAATAGGATTGATGAATATGACTGTAAGTAGCTTGAATATTGACATTCCTTCTATCTCAAAGCAATAGCACAATATCTAGCTTCACTCTCGAAGTTGAGCGGACAATCTTACCCCTTGAAGGCCTTACACGAGCATGGTATCAAGACTCGAGAGACCACCAGAAAAAATCGTTTGCTCCGACTGAAGAATCGGATATAGCATGAGAGAAGAAGACGCCGTTTATAATGCAGATGAATTCTACGGATCTTGAAGACGAAGTTCCCTGATATCAAATACAAAGCCGGCATAATTCCTCCGCCGTTGGAATTCCAAATTTCCAGTTTTCAATAATTTAGCCTCCCTTCAAACATTTGTCAGCATTAGATGAAGAAGCAAAGATTGGGTGTGTGTAGATGCTCGTAAAAAGTTGAGTTGTGTATGTACTGGGCGGAGATCCTTGGCATTGACCGGTGATAAGATATCGCCCCGCCATACACTGAGTGGTCTACGTAGCTCTACTTCCAACTTCTACAAACAACCCTGACAAATAATCATCCTTTCGCTTCTATCGCCGCTCATTGAATTTTCCAGTTGTACAAGCTGCACTTTTATTATTCTTCGAAGTGCATATTTTACTAATCGCGATCAAATCTACCTGTCTGCGTCCCGCATACAGTATGACGGCATCCGATCTCGAGCAGCTCCTGGAGATGGGCTTTGCGAAGGAACGAGCGGAACTTGCAGTTTCAAAAACTGGTGGCCGTATGCTTATCATATGTCTTTAATTCCCTCTTTTCACGCGAGCGCATGCTAATCTCACTCTGTTCACAACAGTACAAGCCGCCCTTGAATGGCTCGAAGCGAACCAAGACAAGTCACTCGACGAAATAAAGTCAGCAACAGCAAATACAAACGAAGACGAAGGAGCACCAGCTCTAAATCCAGGAGAAGAAGCCCGGAGTTTAGTCTGCAATGAGTGTGGCAAGAAATTCAGGAGCCAAGCACAAGCCGAGTTCCATGCATCAAAAACAGAGCATACCGATTTCTCCGAGTCTACGGAAGAGGTTGCCCCGTTGACAGAAGAGGAAAGGAAGGCTAGACTTGCAGAGTTGCGGGAAAAACTAGCTGCGAAACGGGCCATACAGTCAGAGCAGGATAAGGCAGATCAAAAGAGAAACGAGGTGAGCTGTGACATGAGTTCATGCTGTTAGGACGTTATCTCATTGATTTATATAGGAAATCCGCCGGAAGCACACCAAGGAATCTCAAGATATCAAAGAAGAATTACAGAGGAAAGAACGCATCAAGGAAGCTGCACAGAAGAAGAAAGAAAAGCAAGAGGAAATAGAAGCTAAGGCACGAATTAGAGCCAAAATAGCCGCGGACAAGGAAGAACGGCGCCTGAAAGCTGAACGAGAAAAGGCCGAACGAGCAGGTCAAGCTCCTCCGCAACCCGCTGCGCCATCCTTGCCAACTACATCTGGTGCGGTAACTTCTAAGCCCGCATCGGCTTACACTGAAACCCGTTTACGACTTCAGACGAACAAGGGTAATATCTTGAAGACGTTCCCAGTGGAGACAACATTGTTTGAAGTGGTTGCAGCTCTCAGCAAGGACGATGGAATTGAAGTGCAAAACTTCACCCAGAATTTTCCTCGAAAGACTTTTGATAGGGAATATTTTGGAGAATCACTAAAAGACTTGGGACTAACGCCTAGTGCTAGTCTCGTTGCCAAGTAATGGAATGAAACTGGCTTGATATTAGGAAAGGAGATAGTTGAATCATGAATGACAACCAAGAGCAAGCAAGGTTCTGATTGTAGACCACCGATGCATAACACCCTTTGCCGTAATACCATCTACAGATCCTAAGTACAATAAGAAAGAACATCTCGTCAGCACCTGTTGTCATCGAAGTATGAAAATTACCCTAACCCTAGGTTTCATACCACGAAGTCACGTGCTCTGGCGTCAAGTATTCCGTCGCGTCTTTTTGTAATCGCGTCGTCTTGGAGCCCAGCCAACAAGTGACGACAACAACACAGCTAATGCTTCTGATTATCTCAAATATTACGTTTTAAGATGCCTGCGTAAGTTCAACGTACCAGCTGCGATCGAATGTTCAATAGTAATGAGAAAACATGAACAGAGTGGGCGATCAACACCGCGAACCGCCGAGCACAGTAACCGGTACGGCGAACCCATTCGATGAAGGACCACGGCGCATCAGCGAGTATACAGCTCGAGAGGTAGCCACTCTTCAGTCACGGCTCGACAGGCAGCTCGGTCCGGAATATATTTCAGCTCGTTCAGGACCTTCGGGACAGAAAGTTCATTATCTCGCCGCGGAGAAATGTATCAACCTTGCGAATGAGGTGTTTGGGTTTAATGGATGGTCTAGTTCAATTCAGAACATTCAAATAGATTTTGTTAGTATGATGGGCAATATGGATGAAGGCTTAAAAGACTGATCGGTGCGTTCGATAAAGGTTGATGAGAGCCCGACCACGGGAAAGATAAGCTTGGGATTATCAGTCATTGTCAGGGTCACCTTGAGAGATGGCACTTATCATGAGGTAAGACTTCCTGTCTTTAGTACTATAAAGAGCTGTTTGGTCACTGACAATGAATAGGATATCGGATATGGCCATATCGAGAATTGCAAAGGCAAAGCAGCAGCTTTCGAGAAGGCTAAGAAAGAGGGAACAACAGATGGCCTAAAACGTGCTTTACGAACATTCGGAAATGTGTTGGGTAACTGTATCTACGACAAGGAATACCTTGCCAGGGTGACCAGGCTCAAAGTTACTCCGGTATGTTCTGCCATATGTCATCAACCGCTATCTGCTAAAGGGAGTAGAGTAAATGGGATGCAGAGAACCTGCATCGTCACCCAGACTACGCCCCTGTCAAAAAAGAGCTCGTGCAAGAGAAGAAGTTGCCGGAGGACGTGGAACTTCCTCCACGACCAGTTGACTATAATAGTCGCAAAGAGACTACGTCACATGAGACCTCGACCACATTTGATGGAGACGGAGAGTTTGGAAGTTAGTATCCCTTTTCTCTCCTGCTTAATACCGGCCGATTCATGTCTAACCAATATCTAGGTGATGTTTTTGACGAGGCGGATTTTGTGGCGAACACAACTGGGAACCCCGACGAAGTCGTCTTGGACGTCGATACACCACAACCAATACAGAAACCCCAGACTAGGCCGCAACTACCCCCGGCACAGCAGAGACCACCGGGGCATCAACAACGTCCTGCTCCTCCGAATTCGGCAATGGTCACGCCTTCCAAGCCGGAAAGACAATGGGCTGGCCCCGCACCTCCAGCTAGCGCAGGATATCAAAACAACCCGAATCAAAATGCCATGGCTCAAAGAGGAGGCGTAAATGAGAATTATGCAGCATCAAACCCAGCAAACCCATTGGGAAACAGATCCAGCAAAGAGTTGCAACGAAATAATACTGCTTCTGGCATCGTCAAGACAGAACCATCAGCCAACCCATCAAATCCCACCGCCATGAACAATGACCAGAATAAAAACGGCCCAGCCGAGCCATCAGTCGGTTTCTACTCTGCGCGGGCAGTCGATATCCTACGCGATAATCCTCGAGCATCACCAATGGCACCCAAGTTCGATCCTCACGCAGAAAGCCCCTCAATCCGCAAAACAGCTGGTATAGACCATACGAAAAGCGTACCCGTCTCAAAGCCAATGCTATTCGGAACAGGACAGTCACCAGCCGGCCCAGGCGCTAATACCGGTACTGGTCCAGGCGCAGGTCGAAACTTTATTAACCCTTCAACAGACGCGCATCGACGTATCGGCGCTCCTGGGGGTAATACCGGAGGAATAGCGAGTCCCGTAAATAAGGGATTCACAACATCGTCCTTTCGACCCTTGACACGACCGGCTGTTGACAACAGGAATGTTTCGAATAATGACAGCACCACTAACAACAACAACCGTTCAACATTTACAACGGCATTGTCAACACACGACCCATCCCTGAAAAGACCACCACTAAACGACGTTACCAACGCGCCATTACCAGGCTCAATCCCCGTTTCGGGGGATATCAAACGGCCACGGTTGAGCAATGAAGGTGTACATGGAAACACAGCACAGCCGCCACAACAGCAGCAACCACAGCAATGAATTGAAGATATATAAGTATGATATAACTACAAGTACCATCTTTGCAGCTCTACGCGTCTCTCTTCCGTGTTCGAGATATTGAATTATTGATAGTATGGGTATGGCGTTTCGATTCTGATCAAATTGGTATGCCTATCTATTTGTTATGGCGAAATTGGGCGTTGAATTTGTGATGGAATGGGGTTAGGAATTACAGGAGTTATTTAGGGATTTATTACTTAGTGGTTGCGAAAATCGATGATTATTTTACCTATCTGCTCTTCTCCTTGGAAACATTTTCATCTATCATTCTCGTCGGTCTCTTCGATAGGTTCATGGTATGAACTCTGACAAGGTTTGCTCGGTTAGAGGTAATTCAATAATTCAAAAAAGTTAATCAAAATTCGCTCTATGCTGAGGAGAGTGACCAGAAAGGGAAGACAGTGAGAAGAATATAGCTTAGCCAGTGAAATGAAAGGAAAAGTCAAAGCGGAACACCTTTACCAGATAGTCTTCAGACTAGATGCAAGAGTTCCGTTGGTAGGGGCTCATCTCAACATGCGTAGCGAGACTCGAACATAGGCATTGTGCCCTTTTTAGGAGTCTGTGGAGCAGAGTCGCTCTTTGTCTTGTGCTCTGCAGCAAGTGGACGTATCTTAGGCAACGCCTTCTGCCAATAGTCAACGGACTCGTCGTTGGAGTCGTTGGTAGGCTTGCTAGGTTGAACCTTGCTCGCAATAGGCGTCTCATTGTTGGCAGTTGCCCACCTCGACGATTCCAAGCCGCCTGTCAATGGAACGGCAGGTTTGGAAAATAAAGGTTGCGGTATTGGTACAAACAGCTGAGAACGAACAGGTTTCTCCAGAGGAGAAGGTGACAGCGAAATTAGTCTTTCATGGCGCTTCGGAGATTGGCGTGACCTGCCAGATTTTTTGGCCGAAGCCGCATGGATCAGGCCTTGCAACTTCCTTCGCCGATCCTCCAACTTTATTATTTGGGCTTTGGCCAAATCGAGTTCTGCGAGCTTATCGTTAATAATTCCCAGTTCTTCGATCCAGTTGAGCGTGTTGTCTTGGAATATCGACTCAGCTATATCGGCATCATCTTCATCGCCGTCAGTGTCAAGATCCATGACATCTGGTCCTGTAACCGCCTTTGGTTGTTCTTGTTCTACTTTTTTCGGAGGGCTATCGAGGTCGAGAAGGAAACCCTCGCCTTTGGACAGCTGTGGCTGGTTTCGGAAGTCACGACTGCAGACTGGCGGCCGGGGGAGGTTTGAAGCCAAAAACGGGTTATCCCCAATTGCGACTGGCTTCTTTTTCTCCGCCGGTGGAGTACTGACAACGGGCTGCTTCATTGCAGCCACATGGGCATCTGCAACTGGCTTTGCGGTTATGGCCGGCTGTATGATTGCAGCTGAATTAGTGCTCACACCCTGCTGTGGCGCCACTGCTAACTGGATTCCTGCAACTGGTTTTGTGGTTGCAATTGGCTGTGTTGGTTCCGCTGACTTGGTAGCTGCAACCGTGGTGGTGGTTGCAGCAGGCTTGACGGTTGCAACTGGGTGCAGGGTTTCCATTGACTTCGTAGCTGCAGCTGTAGTGGTTGCAAGCAGGTTGGTTGTAGCAGTCTTGACAGTAGGGATTGATGGATTCTCTTTAGCTAATTTGACATCAGAATCTGTACCAACCTCAGGGGTTGTGTGAGGTTGAGGCGACGTATCAGGCTGAGTCGCCTTGTTCCTCACAGAGTCCAGCCATGAGCCCGGATCAGTCAGCTTGCCTTCATAAGAGGCAGTGTCTCTCGCGGGACTTCTGGAACTAAGAATAGGTCGCCGCTTTAGCTTCAAGTGTTTAATTCCTACGAAGACAACAACGATTGTTAGTTTTGTTTGAAACCAATAAGTAGGGTTACGTACCAGTGTTAAGCTTCGCAGGCCGAGGCGGACCAAGTGCTGGATCCAGGTGCTTCGGCTTTGCAACTGAGAACTTCGCGTGGCTGAGCGCCGGATCCAAATGTTTCCTCGGGCCGGTTGGCACTGGCTGATTAAAAGAGCCCGAAGTATCGAGGGCAGGATCCATATGTTTCCTGGATTCGGTAGGAGTTGGACGATTAGGGACATTTCGTGCAAAGAGGGGTCTGCAACGCATTCAATTTAGCAATATGAATAATAAGTCTCAGAGAAAAACAGAACTTACCCCTCTTTACTACGCATTTCAAAGTGCAAATGAGCACGATGACTTTGTCCATTCATCAACTCAGGTTCATCATGGAACTCCCCTTCTTCTGGCTCAACTTCTTTGTGGAAGTCTTCAAAGATATCAATCCATGATCGATTATTTGTATAAGGCTTAGGTAAACTTACTGGACCATGCATCAAGGAGAGGTCGTTTTCCCTCCTGGAGTTGGGATGTCTGGTGCGTTTGCACAGACTTACGAAGACCCTCGAGATCTTGCTGAGTATACTTCATGAATGGACCTCTCTTCTCATCCGCAGTCATAATCTCAACTCGCCTCTCCAGACCCAGGTCGGACTAAAGGAAGATGAGGAACTGATGAGATTGCTGTCTCTATGACGTGAGAGACACTTACTAACTGGCGGAGCCTGTCATCTCCTCGCCCCTGGCCCGCTGCCATTGGAAGATTGTGATTTATCTGATTGAACAAATCCCTGCTTTTTCAAAGACGTGTACTGTGGAACACGTAACGGTTATAGATGCTGTGGAATGTAGTTAGATGAAAGGGGAGAAAGAATATCCAGTCATCAAAACAAGTGAGATGAATCGAGCAAATAGGCAAGATTGTGATGAGATGAAGAGAACAAGTGAATAGCAAGAACAAGATGCTTTCTAGAGATGATCACTAAAAAAGGGAGACAGTTGTAGAGATATGAGTGTGATGGGAGAGAAAGAGGAGAGAAAGAGAAGAGAAAGGAAGAGGGAGATATTTTATAAGGGTTGGCTGGGCGCAGGACACACACAAACAAATAAAAAATAGAAACTCTGATTGGACAATGGCCTAGTGTGACAGAGGGCAAGAACTGCGCCAGACTGGGAAGGGGACGCCTTCTTGTTTTGGCAGTGACTGCTGCCGGAGAAAAAAAAAAGAATGAGATTGAGAGAATACAAGGCTAGAATAGAAACATATTTGAACAAAAAGACAAGACAACGCTAATACAGACCGACGTCAAGCGACAGTATGCAAGGATGAAGCTTGAAGCTTCTCGTGATTATATACAGTTTGGAAGAGGATCAACGCCTGGTATGTCTGGTAGAAGAGTCAGATATAAGTTCAAGAAAAATTGAAGATACAAAGAGTGACTTACATGAACTATTTCTATATAGCTCCCCCGCAAGTCTGCGCTCCGCCTTCATCTGTTGCAAACTCATGTCAGGAAAACTGTTACCTGGTCGATGGTGAATTCTCACGAGATACTCACTTCGAATCATTTTACCCACTGCCTGCAAGAGGCTGATGACCATCACCACTGTACCAAACACAATGCACGCATATGCTGGAAGTTTAGCTCTATGACTAGTATTGCTCAGTTTCACATAGCAGAGTGGTGGAAGAATATAAGCCAAAGCTGCCGCACTGGTGGCTCCGATCAGCTCGAATACAGCGCCAAGGTCGCAAGTTACCAATGACAGGAACATAGAGGTGAGGACTAGGACGGTAGTAAGATACAAATGACGGGTTGGATGGAAGGGTTCGTCGGGAAAGTAGTAGGTGGTCATGACAGAGCGGCAAACAAATGCTTCAAGGGGTAAAGTAGTGAGCATGTTGAGGCCAAAGCAGCTAGATACCGGTCAGCCCATGTCTCCCGATATCTCTGTCATTCCTCACTCACAATCGCGCTATGTTCACCATGATGTTATTGGAAGGAAAGTTGTTGAGCACATTGCCTTGAGTCTTTGATCCAAATGACAGGAAACCGGCAATGGCCATCACCAAACACATGATCATTGAAACTCCAGTAGAATAGTGTGTCACAGTTGCAAATCTATCGAGTGTTGGTTTTTTCAACGATCCGTAAATCAAGAGGCTGTTATGATCTACCACCAAATTAGAGTCATTTCTGCGCTATAGGATATGCAAAACATACGGCACACAAATGCTAGAAATCGATGGTTAGTTTTCCGTAAATAGACATGGCTGCATAATCACTCACCGAAAGATATAACTCCGACAGCCTGAAAGAACCCCGAGTTGATGACAAGATTCCCTTTCAAGTCGCCTCTTAATTCTGAGGGCACCCGAAATCCTTGGATTACGACTGTTACTACGATGATAAGCATACTGACGAGGGCCAGTGCTGAAGCTTTTGCGAGCTGCTACTGTTAGCACGCAGTGCGCATACAGGCTTGGGATTTGACAGCTCACCTTGGCAATATCTCGGTAAAGGGAGAGAGGATATGAGATACACAATATAAACAGAACGATGACAGCTCTGCGATCCGTGAGAAGCCACAGAAACGGCATGTCTCTTAACGAAGGAAATAATGCAGCAAAGACGTGAGGTATAGTATCACCCACTATGATACAAAATGCGACCATGCCCCCAAATGCAAAAGCCCATTGGGCAATAGATATAGCGATCAACCCACTTCTTCCAAAGCAATGCTGCATAGTTGCTTGGAAGGAGTCGGCGCCGCTCATTTTAGAATTGACGACAATAAGGCGAATGGTCCAGTCGACTGTAATGGTCAAGAGCACTAAAAGCACAATGCCCGTTACCAAGCCCGCTTGTCGCAGGGCATACGGCTGCCCGATGATGCCGGCTCCGATAATACTGTTGGCCATATTCATAAATGCCATACGCATCCCACTTCGAGGTCTGGCACTTTCCAGGTGGTCTTCAGGAAAGAAGTCCTCCGATGTTGCCAGCGTTACAGTTGGAGCTTCGATGCCGGTGAGCAGTGGTGCCATTTGCCCTGTGCTACTGCGCAAACGCTGCGAGCCCTCCGTCATATAATCTTCCTCATCCATCCATAAGTCATCTCCATCCTGATGTCTGGATTGAACGTGCCCGTTGGTGGCCGGTGTCTCTTCGTCCGCAACATGTTCGGAGAGGTCGAACCGAACGCGAAGTGGTGTTCGCGGCGTACGACGTTGTCCATCTGGAGCCGGCCTAGAAATTGACGATTGTCGAGGAACATGCTGTGTTGAAATGGTCGGACGCGTATGTGTTTGTGCTGGTGCTGGTTGTTCATCGGTGGATCCGGAGAGTACCACCAAGTCGTCCTCGCTGTCACCGGCGCTATCGTGGTTGTCGTCATGAAAAGAGCTGTTCGAAAGAAGGGCACGGGACTCTTCGTCGTTCGAGCCCCTTCGCTCGGAGTTCCGAGTATTGCCTACCTCATCCTTTGGCATCTCTGTCAGTATGCGAATGCTTGAAGGAAGACACTGTAGCCTGAAACCCCCAGCTCGTGTCGTTCCTGATAACGATAAAGAGATGTCACGTGTATTGACCCTAACCCTTATAACCTTGACCTACCAAGGGTCCTTGTCACCTTAATCTCATCTTGACTTGAGAAAAATCAAGTACTTTGGTCTTCTACCAGCTTTTCTAGGAAATTCCAGGTCTACTTATGCAATAAATCTGATTTACTGATGTCTAGTAAGGCCGAACTATGCTCATTTTCCTCTATATTAAGAACGTTGCGCTTTTAGGACATAGCCCTAACTGCCAGATTCGGAAGCCATAAGGTCGACTGTTGATATTGAGCAATCTTAGGAGTGTCACGTATTCTTCTACTTCCTTTTTTTTTCATATAAATTTAGTATCCTTGTATGTAGGGCTGTGTCTCATTTGCATTACTTGCTTTCCGCCACACCAAGCCTGGGCTCTTTCCTATCTCCTTCAGCTTATACATAATTCTTTTGACAAGCAACCTTATAGAACTAGCCACAAGCCTGAACAAATGCAAGTATTGCTTCAGACCATATATTCGGCTGTACAGAGTTGCACAGTCACATGTAAATTTGGAGTTATAACATCCACGGATGTGTCGACAGGTTACATTTAAGGGTTTCAAGTAGCTGTATAGGCTACTTGGATGATGGGACATAGAGCCAAAAGTTCCCGTTGCTATCTGGCATTAAAGATATAATAGCCATGAACTTGTTAAGTTGGAAGACTATTTAGGTTTGTTACTCTACTGGATATAAAGGTTTACTACGGCATTCCTGGGTTACTCGGTATAACGACGAAAGCACTGAGATGGAGAATATCAGCCAACAGTAATTGCTAAGGTTGCGTCAGCCCACTTAACCTTTATATAATACTAGGCTCTGGGAAAAGTTATTTAAGCTCTCTTCCGCAGGTAGTAATCCAGTTTGATCATTCACACAGTACGTTACAGGCTTCGATTAAACTCTAGCTCAACGTCAGTCACTGTCTAAGTCAGATGTGAATCTAAAGCACTCCTCAATCAAACGATCTTATTCACTGCGTTACCCCTGCTTTATTTGCCGTCCTACTCGCCTCTCAGCAAGTTCAGGCATTTGTGCGAAAGTGTCATGTTGGCTCGTATAAGTGTGGCCCAACCCTCTTAGGACCACCTTATTGTAAGGCAGCACTCTCCTTCTTACTTGAGGTTGTCATTCTTAGACGATATAGTAATGCGACACAGGCTAACACTACTGCTTCGAATAACTATCATCTCCAGATTACACTGACACCGAACTCCAAGCCAGTATCAGCCTCAATCCGAGTGTAGTTCCAGCAGGGCATACTTCAACCATACGGAAAAGTGTCCTCTTGTCTGGTTAGCCGCAGCTAGCGAGTGCACATAGTATTAGCCAGCATTTTCCTCCTCTAAATATCACCAATCTGAGTCCCTTATAAGTTTCATCCCACAGATCGGAGAGCTTCCAGATATGCATAGCAGATACTGTATAATTATAATATAAGGGACAATCACAAGATTGCATGGGTTCAAGATATATAGCCTGGCTGTTGAGGAAGCTTTGTTGGGCAAGTGAGCAACACCGGCTGGCTCCTTCCCTTTCCGGTAGAACACGTGCAGCTTCAAAACTGGAAGCAGCAACCGCTTTATTTTTTATCTTCAATTGATATCTTATCTCAATTGGCACCTCTATCTGCACTCTTTGCCAGTCTGATGGCTCATGTTGTTGATCTTGGTACCCAATCCTTCAATCTGGGAGGACAATGCTTAGTGTCCAGAGCCACTGCAACGTTGATTTATGATGACAATACCAATGCCACGGGGTCGAAAAGCAGAAGAGTCAGCTATCAGGATTCTTGGATTGCATTGAAGCAAGAACTCGCACTGGACCTACAGATCGAAACTTGTTCAATTCCAGCCATGTCTGTGCCCAATTTTGTCAAGCAAGCTGTCGAGACGGGGCAAGCTTCATTAGTAAGTCATTCGTGATACTACGCTATCAGTTGTCTGACAACAGAGCTCATTCCAAGTAGATTCGGGATAACCCATATCTTCGAGTGTCGAGGATATATCACGAATATCGTTGCTTAACTAATTCGGTCGCTCTTAATGTTTCCCTCGTCTTGATCAAAATACCCGATTTATCACCTCAGATCTTGCCGAAGAGGTTACCTCGCAGAGCAAAACAATGTGTAGCTGAACCTCATCCACCGCCTGGGATTGATAGGGCCACTTTATCACGCATCACGATTAGTATGAAGGGCGTTGGACAATGCGCCCCTTGGAATTTCTTTCTGACAAAACCTTCGTTGAGGCTTTCTCACCACAACCCATTCACGGGCAATCACCATGTACAAGATAATATTCCGAGTCAACAAGCTCACGTTTCGACTCTATCTTCATCTCTCCGGAAATACCCACCGCTGGCCCCTCGGCAAACTACAGATAGCGATCGCAGACATACTCAAAGTGTGTTGTCAGATGACAAGAGTGTCCAACACTCTAGAAATGTCCTATCATACCGTGAGATAGGATCACTACAACAAGATATAAATTTCCACGAGATGGTCAGATGTTCGATCCGCAGTCTTGTGAACGGGAATTCGCAGCAGTATAAAAGTCTAGTCACCAGATCGGCAATTGAGGACGGTCCAAGTCTGTCGGATATTGCTCCTCTTTTGTTCAAACCGGGCCATTATGAGGTAAGTTTTTGTTCTATTCACCTCTTAGTTGCTTGTTTGATTGTTGATTGTTGGAAACTAGAATATACGGCAGAGGGCCGGACTTATACCGATGGTGACGAGATCGATGGCGAGGATATTTAGGGCACCTCAATCCCTCGCTTCCAAGGAGAGAACTATTTCCGTGAAATCAAAACTGAGAGCTAGATATGGAAACCGTGAGAATCCCGAAAGTGCGGATATTGGACATCTGACCCGCGCAATGATCAAGTGTGTTGTCTGGACAGCGCTTCAAAGAGGGTCTTACAAAGCCGAATGGCCGAAGATGTCTACTTGCGAAGATTTGGGTACGATGCTGTTCAGCGACGATTGCATGCTTACCGAAGAGGTCGAAGAGTATGATTGCGCTGATGAGCAAATGATATATTCAACTACGAGTTCAGTCACTAACTCGGACGACATCTTGTCAAATACTGATGTTGAACCCAACTCTAGTTACTCCAGTCTTTCTTCACCAGAAAAGTTATTTCACAGGTTTTCTGATAAAGGTAGTCTTAGCGATGGGCTACACCATGACTTCACCAGTGGAGAGTCTGCGATAGACGATTCAGAGTCTGATATCATATCGCGGCCAGATACGGAAAGAGAAGACATCATTATCGGCTCCTCTTCTCTACCACCTACAGCATGTGACATGTTTACCGATTCTGAAGTGATGACGCCTTCGAGCCCGTGTTCAGAAGTGTTCAACCAAGATAATGAATGCAGAGACCAACACGACGAGGATATGATGGATGATTCATCATCCATATCCATTCTGTCTTCTTTCACTAATCAATATGCATTGGAGGAACTAAAACAGGAGACGGAGATGAAATTGGAGCATGATGAAACAGAGGACATTTTGATGAGTATTTGAAGGATATTAACGCATCTCTGACAACTACCGCAATATATAATATATACATTTATTTATAAGTTACATTAGGTACCTATATAGGCATTTATATACACAATGTTTATGAGACGATTCAATCTTAGGTAACCTTGCCTAGGTGAAGTGGACTTATTAGGTACTACGACAGCCTCATTCAAGTGAGCCATGAATATAAAGGCAGTATTGATGTGCAATATACGTGCTGATTCCAGGGTTCTACATAGACAGATAGTGGTCTAATCTGGTCTGTCTTGTGTCTATAATCAAATATAAAAAGTCTAGTTACTCGTCTCTCCCAATCCAAACATCTTGATCGAATTGTTCCAAGCCCTAAATCAAATTAGTTAGTATCTTAGAAACCTAACATAAGGAAGAGAATCAATACGTACGCTTCACAAACCTCCTCCACCGAAACGCCCTTAATCTTAGCAATAACATGCGCAACATGCGCAATAGCAACAGGCTCATTCCTCCCTTTGATCATACAGCCCTTTTGCCACTTCTCTTTCTTAACAGCCTTGGGTAAAGGCGACGCATCACTCAAATACTTCGCCGATGCATGGGAGGGTCTAATCTCGCACCAGGGGCCATCTGTCTCAATCTGTATTCTGTCAAGGGGGATATGTCTGACCACCTCCAGATTCTCTTCTGTCTTGAGACTACAACCATTCACACCAATATCGAGTCCGAGGTCAACTAGTCGCTGCATCTCCTCCATCGTGCCCGTAAAACTATGCACGAGTCCACCGCGCGGTAACCGATCAAGTCTCGATTTCAATAAACGCTCAAAATCTTCACTTGCGGCACGCGAATGTAGAAAGAGAGGTAACTGAACTTCAACTGCAAGATCTAGCTGGGCTTCAAACCATTTTAATTGTGATTCTTTGGGACTGAGAAATAAGCGGTCGTAGTCGAGACCGATTTCGCCAAAGGCGACGGTGTGCCCGGATTGTTTGGTTGCGAGGGCTAGAGTGCGGAGTTCTTCGAGGAGTTTTGAGGGGCCACCAAGATGGGTGTCGAAGTGTTTGGCTTGACAGGGATGCACGCCGACGGTGGCGTAGCAGGATCCAGCTATTTCAATATATCAATATCATGGACTGGCTATAAGATATGGTTGGACGTACGGTAATCATTTGCTATTTGAACTGCATGCTTGGATTCCTTGAGATCGGATCCAGTAACCATAAACTTAGTACAGCCAATATTCCGAGCTCGTTCAATGATATCCGCTAAATCATCTTCATGGACTTGTTTGCCGTGATAACTGCCCCTGAAAACGGGGTCACTCAAGTTGATACCAATCTGATCACAAAATTTTAGCGTCTTATGTTGCAAATACAGATTAGGTGAATCATACATCAACGTATTTCAATGTCCTGGGTTCTGTCGTCTCTCCCTCCATTTTGATGGATTTGTTCCACTTTGCGGGGATATTTGAGCTGTCTTGTTTATTCCGGAGAACTCTGCAGTTGGAGTGATACTTATAGTATTGAGATACTCCTCGCTGAACTATGCAGCCTATACAATATGTGAGTCACGCAGTGAAATTGATAGTATTCATAGCAATTGACTCTATACATACTCTTAGGCAGCAAAGTCAAAATAAGTCGAGGTCCAATCTGAGACTTTGCAGTAGCACCGGGTAACAACAGTACTCGATTGGAGAGTACAGGCATGAGCATCTCATTAAAGACAAGGCCGAATGGAGAAGCAGTCAATTAGGTCTTTGCAAGTCACGGGACGTGCCAAACAGGAATGCTGTCAGCCTGAGACTTCGCGTTGGAAGATAAGATTGAATGGTTCAGCCTCAGGCACCCGCATGGCTGAGTAATGCGCTAGCTTCTTTTGGATGCTGATTACAGATAGCTAAGACCTGATTGGTCAGCTTAACATACATTTTGAAGTTCTTCATCTTCTTGATTCTGAAGAATTGCACAGTGCCCCTTAAATCCTGCTATAAATGATTACTTATCATCAACTGACATATCTATGCAAGACTATGAAGTAGCACGATATCACGAACCCGGTGAACACTCCGTGTGCCAAGTGCAACAACATCGGAGAAAGTGCGAGGATCTCTAATCGCAACATCGGAAAACTCACCGGCCTGAAGATCTTACCCCGTATTTTACGCGACTCGTCTTTCTTGGTGTTGCTTCCACCCAGCGGGCTTCGTACAGCTGATAGATAGCCCGAGGTTACTCGCCCAGTTTAAATAGAAGCCTCATTTCGTTCTGCTTTCCCTAAAGGACCGAATTGATATCGGCGGACGAAACAGAAACTAAGATATCTTCGAGCCTCTTGTAATCAAGAGGGCAAAATGACATCAGATAAGCTCATCTCTGTCACAGAGATAGCAAGACATAACACGGCATCCGACTGCTGGCTCGTGGTCGACGGCCAGGTTTGGGATTTTACAGAATTTCATGAAGAACATCCCGGAGGATCAGCCAGTAGGTATTCTCCATAAAGTATCAGGTTGGCAGAGAGCTGATAGAGAGAAAAGTAATTCTGAAATATGCCGGCCGTGACGCCACAAAACCATACAATGAAGTTCATTCACCATCTACAATACGCAAATACCTCCATCCAGATAAACTCAAAGGCGTCCTAGACACCTCAACCATCAACGACGAATGGCTCAAGGAACCACCCGCTGAAAATACGCGTGTCATGCTTGACAATGAAAAGCCCCCGTTACATACACTCATTAACGCCCATGATTTTGAGATTGTTGCTTCCAAGACTGCAAATAAAAAGACGTGGGCGTTTTATTCTAGTGCTGCAACGGATTTGATTACTCGGGACGCGAATAAGTCTTGCTTTGATCGAATATGGTTCCGTCCGCGGATAATGAGGAATGTGCGTTCGGTGGATACGCGGACGAGTATTATGGGTGTTGAGAGTAGTTTACCCTTGTTCGTTAGTCCGGCGGCTATGGCGAAGTTGATTCATCCTGATGGTGAACGTGCTATAGCCAAAGCATGCTATGAGAAAGGTATCCTGCAGGGTGTAAGTATCCAGTCTATCTACGATATATTGGATAATCAGCTAATCTATTACAGGTGTCCAACAACTCATCATACTCTATCGAAGAATTAGCTGAGACCGCACCCAACGGCAAATTCTTCTTCCAGCTCTACGTAAGCCCTGATCGCGAAAAATCCGCTTCACTCATACGGAAAGTCTCTTCACTACCTCAATTCAAAGCCATCCATATTACCGTGGATGCCGCATGGCCCGGTAAACGAGAAGCCGATGAACGCGTCAAAGTAGACGAGAGCACTTCGGTGCCCATGTCAGACGCAAAGGCTAAAAACGATAAAAAGGGTGGTGGTATTGGTCGATTGATGGCAGGCCACATCGATCCTGCGCTGACGTGGGATGATATCGCATTTGTGAGAAGACATACACATCTACCTATATGTCTGAAGGGAATAATGTCAGCTGATGATGCGATTTTGGCAATGAAAGCTGGTGTTGATGGGATTTTGTTGAGTAATCATGGTGGCCGAAACTTGGATACTAGTCCTCCGTCGATTATCACGTTACTGGAGCTTCAGAGACGGGCTCCTGAGGTTTTTGATTGTATGGAGGTTTATGTTGATAGTGGTATTCGACGTGGGACGGATACACTCAAAGCCGTTGCTTTGGGAGCCACGGCTGTGGGCATGGGTCGTAGTATGTTGTTTGCGACAAATTATGGTCAGGAGGGTGTTGAGCATTTGATTGATAGTAAGTCTGCTTCTAATGCCCTTGTACGTTCAGGCTTGCTGATTCTGATGTCACAGTAATGCGTGATGAACTAGAGACTGCCATGAGGAATAACGGTATCACCTCGTTGGATGAGGCAAGTCCTGAACTGGTTAATACAGGAGACGTGGACCACCTGGTTCCTGCAGGACGTCTACATCAATATGCAAGGAAGGTGGCCAAGTCGCGACAAAAACTTCTTGCAGCGAAGCTGTAATGCAGATTTACCTAGTTACCGTGAGCTCCAGACTATTATAAGGTTCTTATAGAATCATGGTGAATCATTCTTGATATTTGGCAGCATATGTAGACAGCTCTCTACCTACATACCCGTGGACATAACCTAAGATTGTCCCGTACACGCATACCTATTTGTAGATTTAATACAATACTACTAGTAGGCAATGAAAATTCTCCACGAAAGAGTCGCCGAGACATACAGAAATCAACCCACTTGTGACTATCAAAACAAAGAATCTCGTCGATCATGTCTTGGCCAATAAACCTGCACAACCCTATCTAGGTAACTGTTCAATAGCTAGGGCTCGGCAATGTCAGATATAGCCCTAAAAAGAAAGTCCAAATCTTCAAAGTCCACCAACTCTTCAGATATCTGCTTCAGGAGAAGTTTTGAATTGGTGGATATTGGTAGATGCCTTGTTTAGTAGAATTTATGAGACCAATTGACACGAATTTGAATACTACTTGATACCCTAGATACGTAAGTGATAGTAGTTGAGTGCCCTCAACTGTCCAGACGTACCAGGGTATGCATGTAGCACGCTCGATTTAGGATTGTTATTATTAGTAGACAATTTATGGACTTCTTCTACATCTCTCAAATTAGCAATATTCGTCTATTCGCCCGTAACCATCATCTCAGAGACCGGCAATGACGGGAAACTCCCCTCAACTTCATACTTCACGAGCCATCATTAAACTTTGAATTCTGACTAGCATTACTCAACCAACTTGAATCAAGCCCACAAATTTCAAAGCTGAAGTCCAAGCCTCGACTCCAAGTAAGGTTAGTGGCTTGACTCCATCGAAACGGCGCGTGATCATCCCCTGCTCTCCAGAGTCCAGTAACAAAGCCCCTTGTTCACCGCTTTATTCCAGGCTTTTCTATATGGTGTTCTGTTGAATGTGTTTGGTGGTGGTTTCAGAATTATCTGGAAATTATTACATAAAACTGCATATGTAACTAACTAACTTACTCTATGCACTCATTCTGCAAGCAATCGAATTTGTTCCAAAGTGAAGCGGATCAGCCCGGCTCTGGGCCCGATCGACGCCTTGTTTTCCAGGTGTAAAGTGTCACCGTATGGAGATTACTGACTGGATCATACTTTCTGGCTGAAAATTACCATACAACCCGTACGACAGTGTAATAGATGGGCTAAATAAGGAAACGATCTTGAACTTTCTCCGCACTCTCTGTTCAACTTCATTGGATGCTATGACCAGACGCCGCTGTCCTCGTCTTTTGAATTGTCACGTTCCAAGGTTTGATTCGAAAGTCATACGATTGAACAGATTATTTGGTGATTTGAATACGTACATAGATGATTGCTCAGAAGCACTTACTGTGTCAGCCAAGAAGAAAGCAACATGGGTCTAGGGCTACTACTTTTGCAAGAATGTTCCAAGAGATAAGGAGGAGACGATTCAAGGGCGCCGGTGTGAGGATTTGCACACTTGGAAAGTCCGAGATGAGCATATTTATGATTAATATAGATGCAGGACGGAATTCTGCCATATTCTATCTATTTTCTCAGGGATAATCGACGCTTTTCCTATTTCACCTTCGGTCATTCGTTGTTTGCTGAACATTCGGTGTCCGGGGTATAGCAACTAGGCTGTTTTTGTAATTGCCGTCATGAATCATGATGCCAGATGCCTCAGGAATTGGACCTGTTGAATGTCCATATGGTATGACAGAGGTGCAAAGAGTAAGACTACGTGGTCGTAATCGGTTCTTCAGGACAATAATCCGTTTAACCGGACAATATCTGCTGCAGGAATAATTGGATGCAAATACACCCAGACAGCAGAGAGCACACTGACACCCTCCATGTTTTATGCTGGGTGGCTCAGACCACAACACTAAATGGTCGACATCATGATCGAATCGTGATAGTTGCATGCATTCCGTTGCGAGGACGCAGATGTACGTGTCGGATCGACTAAAATTATTCGCCGGCCTCATTAATGGTGTCTCTTCTAATCAGCGAGATTAGGCTGAATAATATGAACCAGCCCCGATAACACCGTGATTAACGGCCCCCCTCCCCGGGCGACTCTTGTGCAGAAATGTACCGTGTACGCCAGAGTATGTTTTGGTGAAGGATCTTGCCGGATGCGTTGCCTTAGGATCCAGGCCTAGAAGCGCCCCACTCTGATAGCTTGGGTGGAGATTCACAGCGAGCTTTCCTCCTTTGAATCCTCCCCCCCCAACAGTTTATCATTATTCATATTTACTCCGTACAGCCTGTCCTGTGTCCTATTTCTTCTCTTCATCTCCCTCTTCTCGACTTCTTCTCTGTCTGAGTACTCAAGCTTGTACATTGTTCATCCACCGGGAGATTCATCATCAACTATCGTTCATAATCATCTATCCATTCTAACCCTAATCAAGACGGTCAATTCTATCAATTAATTCATCAACTCCTCAAAATGACCGCTCCTCGCTCGACATCACTCCGTGCTCTGCGTGCTCTGTCACAACATCAAACCCCTGCTACGACCCTCTACTGCCGTCGTCGCTTGCACATCACCGGTGCCTTTTCCGCTCAACCCGTCGAGGGCACCGATAAGGCTGCTGCGTATGCTGCTCGTACTCTGGCAGACCTCAAGAATGAATGCCACCGACGGGGATTGAGGACTGGCGGTTCAAAATCTGAGGTATGATTTGTATATCGTCTTAAAATTGCATGGATACTGACTTGTTTATAGCTTGTGGACCGTCTTTCCAACAATGACGTACTATACACCCGGGCTTTCAACATTGCCAAAACCCGTATCAACGGCAGTGTTTTCGGAGGGTACACCAATACCATCCATCTCTACTCTAAGTGATACGAGAACTAATTCGTGTATAGACCTGCCGAAACCCGCTCATTCAACACCTCTCGCGCCAGCAAAGCTGTCAACGACTCCTCCACCCTAGACTTCGTCTACATGCCCAACATCGCCTCCCTCGAAGACGAATCAAACCCAGCCCAACGCATCCCCATCATCGGCAACCTCAACTTCGACTTCAGCACCTCCCCCGACCAGCATCACTCTGAATATCCACCCATGAAACCCCAAATTCACGCCATTGGCGAATCCGGTCCGGATCTCTCGGCCAGTCCCATGAGTGAAGTCGTCGATAATCATGCCGTAGATATCGATCCTTTCAAACTCACTGAGACAGTGGGTAAATCTCGTGCTGGTGAGAATGAGATGAGGGAGAGACGACTTGCTAGTCAAGGTGGGGAGAAGGGTGTGATTGGGGAGTTGTTTAGTGGGATGATTGATGATATTTGGGGTAAGGGTTCTGCTGCTAGTAGTAGTAAACGTCATTAATCGGTTGTCACCTGGATCCATTTGAGCATTGGGGTTGTATTGATTGACTGTGTGAAGTGTACTGTTTTATTATTTGTTTAATTCTACTTCTTGAATATACATATTTTCCTCATACGTTGTCTACCATTCTACCCAGGTATAATATCTGGTTCTAAAGGCTTGTAGCGAATGTAAACTTGTAGTGCATGCCCTATATACAATTGTAAATGGCAACGTCAAACAATAACATAGTAAAAGTGAATATCAAAACGTGAAGAGCATCAACGTAGCGGGATAACATGAATGTGTCGAGTAACGGAATGAGGGACATAATTGGCTAGTCAAATCCAACCCTAACGCCAAAAATATCAGGAATGACAGAATGAGATACACAGTGCATAGTTGAGAAAAGGCATGGGAACAGTATGCTATTCATACATAGCACGTCTATCCGATAACAACAGCAAGAATAATCACCGTCAATATAATCGCCAAAATAAGCAAGAGACAACACATCTTATTCCGCGCATTCTTCTGATACCGACTCGCACTCCTCAATTCAACATTCGCGCCGCGTGTATCACTTGTAACATTCTCAACATTCTCGCCAATGATATCAAGCTGACTTCCTTGCTCATGCACAATGTGAGCCACATCGCGAAACAATTCATTCAATTCGCCGACGCTTTGCTCAATGTTTCGAATCTCGGCTTCACGCTCGATAATTAGCGCTTCTTGGAAGTCGACTTCGTCCTGGTTTGCCAGGCGGGGCTGTTCGAGTTCTTGTTGTTGGAGTTGTTGTTGCTCTTGTCCTTCGACAGTATGGCCAGCTGATTGATCGCCGTCTTGGTGTAACGCGGTCCTTGAAGCGACTGCGGATGCTCGTTGTTTTTCCAGAGCGCGGCGTTGCACAGTTTGGAATTCGTCTAATGCTGCTTTGAATTCGGATGATAGTTTTTGTTGCGTCCATTTCTGCGAGGGCTATAACAATCTGTTAGGGTCTTCCAGTGCGATTAAATTATGAAGCGAACCTACATTAACATCTTCCCACGTCTGCACCTTCTTAATAGCTTCGCCTGCATCCTTGAACCCAGACCGCGTCTCTTCTAGAAGGTTATGAACCCGTTCCCGCACTCTCTCAGTATCACGCTTCGTCCCTAACAGTGCAATCTGCCGCGAGAGGTTCGATATATTCGATGTTAATGTAAACAGCTGGTTGGATAGGTTCTCGGTAAACCGCGCAAATTCGGGGTCATCCTGATACTGGGGATCGTCATCCCGCCGCCAGGTTGTCGGCTGTGCTTCTAGGGAGTTTAAGCGATCGTATGACATTGCGGATAGCGGTGGAAAGATGAGAGATATTGCACCGCCAAAGGGTTGTTTGTACGAACTCTGTTGTGACTTTGTTATTGCCTTGATATTCCTGCCTCTGATAAGAGTAACCAACCGGCTCCGCTCAGGTGACGCAGCGACCCGTACTAGACCGTTTAAAGTCTTCCTTCAACTCACGTGACCAGCTCGTTGCTGTTTTGGTTGCCAGACTCCGTCCCGCAAAAAAAGTGCTCTTCGAGTAAATAAAGCTTCACCACCCATATTCGTTTTTGAGCTCCCACCTCACCATCCAGCGCCGATTTGGCACAGCACGTCTTCGCCAGGATACGGCAGTTAATTACCGCTTACTATATTGTACTCAAATAATGCAATGACTGTTTGTCTAAGATAATCCACATCCTGCGCTCCTCAAAATGGCTGCTCCACCTAGGCCGTATAGGCGAATCTTGACCTCTGCATTGCACCGCAGATTCGTCCATGCATCGGCTCTCACGTTGTTGATGGACTATATTGTTTCTTTTGTTATTGGAACGAAAACATCATGTTAGTAACCCCGTATATCGGATGCGAACAACGTCGAAGCTAATGCGACTGTTATCTGTACAGTTCTCTGGTCATGGTTTCCTCTCGGAACATGTGGTCTGCGCGCTCTTCTTTTATTCATCTCAACACTGGCCGTCTTCTTTATTCGAGTTACGCAAATGCATGTCGGTCCTCGAACGACGGCTTCTCCTTTGGCTGCTTTGCGCGCTATATTTCCGCTACAAATCGTACAAACTCTGGGATGGTATCTATTCTCTGCCTGGTGGTTTAGTGAGGTATATCTTTGGTCAGCTCCCGAAGAGGCTGATTTGGGATGGGTAAAGATCGGCCGGTAAGTATCCCTATAATTTAACAAGTGGTACATACCATGCTGACTTGAGCAGACTTAACAGTCGACCAACATTGAACGAAAGGTCCATTTACTTACATACATATCACATGATGCTGGCAGTCGCCCAAACTGCTATTCATCTGTACTGCGACTATGATCGTCTTCCCATACCGGTTGTCAAGCGTACTTCCCAGGACGAGCGTACACATCCCGTGGAACCAGTGTTCAAGAGGTTACAATACGGAGTTGTTGCAAGTGTGATTGATGCCCTAAGAAATGGATTTATCATAACCTTGGCGAGTCCGTTTATCTACGTCATTTTTCTGCGACGATCGGCATGGAACTTTTCTCTCTATTTCGCAAAACTGTTCTGGAACTTTTCGCGGAATGCGGCAGAGCCACAGGGGGCTGTTCCTCCGGCTTTCCACTCGCTCTTCTTCCGTCAGATTATATCAGGAGGATGTCTTGTCTTCTTATGGCAGACTGCGAATTTGTTTTTCACGGTGTTCCTTACGCAAGAGCCATTGAAGCGAGGACAGCCACTTACCAACTACTCCAAGGATCCTACGGGAAGTTTGATCAATGGTCTTAAAGCGAAGAAAGATATTGTGAAGAACTTTGCTTTCTGGGAATTATGCTTCATAAGTCAGCGCTTTCCTGATCGCCGTAAGGCCATTTTCGAGGACCTTGAGCGTTCTGACGGAGGAGCCTGGAAACAAGTACTTCAAGCTTCGGTTAATACTATTGATGCTATCAATAATCGTATCAACAAATTCAAATCACCGCCCACGAAAACAAACACTAAAAGTACTGACGTCGCATATCCTCAAATCCAATCATTGCCTCAATTGACTGAAGGCCCTAAACAAGACAATATTTTCGCGCCATCGCCAAAGGGCACTGGGTTTGGACAATCTGTTGGGGCCACGGCAAAGTCCTTTGGACAGTCAAAAGATTGGACACCAATTGCAAGAGCCAAGGCCAAGGAAGCATTTACTCATGCATCAGACGCCTTACTGAGCCCAGAGCGCAAGAAGAAACTCTTGGGTGCGTCAAATGAAGTCAAATTACTTACTGGGCCAGCCGGAACATCCCAATCATTCAACTTCGCTTCGATTCCATTCGTCTCACAATTCCTACGATCACCGATAGGAAAACCCTTCAGACAAACATTCGCCCAACGTCTGCGTGGTATTGTCTTTGGCGAACCTCACGGTCAAGTCGCCTGTATTATCGACGCCATTGAAGCCACCACCCGACTCCTCATCGCTAGTTTAGCAGAAGACAGTTTCGGTCAAGTCTTCAAAGATTTACCAACCATAATCCGCCTCTACACCTCAACCATCATCACACTAGAAGATTTCGTCCACGAAGATACTGGACTAAACATTCACTGGTCCGATGTCACATTTCCATCCGCTAATAGCAGTCCTGAAGTACGCAGGAACGCCAGAACCGTCCCGGAAGTTGATATTGTGTTGCATATGCTGAGAACATCTCTCTCCGAGCTTCTCGCTTCCTTTGAGAAATACAGTCGTGACGTGGGCTTGCAAGCGAAGGACATCAGACTTGCAAAAGTAGCAGTAGGGTTGATTGATGACCATAACGATAATGATGATCCTTTCACCTCTTAGGCGAAATTTGTTGTTTTGGGGTGTTTAAAAGTTTGGTCATGCATTGTACTCTATTTATATTCATAGAATCGGCAGCAGGGAATTTACGTCATTCGTATTGTGGTTATGATAGCATATTTATTATCTTCTGAGTCAGTACTTGAGACTGATCATGGTTAGGTTTTTAGATAGCCCTGAATTTCTGTTTCGGAACTTCTCGTCGTATCAAGCAAGCATAGTAGCTTAGGGCTCTAGGGCTAGTTATTCACACTATGTCTGTACACAGATAAGGCAGGTATTTGGCCGAGATAGTTATCCACGGACTGAAATAGCCCAATAACACACTCAATCAGTTGCTTGGACGATACAACTTCATTCAGGTATGCTGTACGACTTTGGATACGACTCTGTATACAAATTAGTCCACTGATAAAGCATATCTTATAGAGGGACATACCAAGAATAGAACGATCAAACTCCTTCACATTCGTAAACCCTCCTACAGCCATGAAAATATCAAAATCCGCCAGCAGCGACTTCATAACATGCCTCACCCCTTCCTCGCCCATAATACTCAAACCCCAAACCCACAAACGACCGACAAACACAAACTTTGCACCTAGCGCCAATGCCTTGACCACATCACTCGCTCCACGGACTCCAGAATCAAACATGACATAGGTCTTATCGCCCACAGCATCGACAATGTTCTCAAGCGCATCAAGACTGGCAATTGCGCCGTCAACCTGTCTACCGGCATGATTACTTACCACGATACCATCAACGCCGTATTCAACCGCCTTCTTCGCATCAGCCACGGACTGGATCCCCTTTAACGCAAACGGGCGTCCACCAGAGATCAATTTCCATTGCTGAATTAACCAGGGTAATTTCTCCCATGACCACGCTCTACCATGCCAGATTGAATCAATCCAAATCGTGGATGCGGCGACGGGATCTTTCTCAATGTCTATTCCTTTCTCGCGACATCGCTTTTGGAAGACGGGGTCACTTAGACCTAGTCCCGCGCCGATACCGCGGTAGAATGCGTAGTTGGAGTTTGCGACATCGTCGTGTCGCCAGCCTAGTTGCCATGTATCCGTTGTGAGGATCAACACGTCAAATCCGGATTTCCAGGCTCGGTTGAGTAAGGATAGAGTCAATTCATCGTCGTGAGGCATGTATAGTTGAAAAAATCGTGGACCGTTCCCATTGGCCGCTCCTACTTTTTCGATCGGTGTACTACCAGCCGTTGAGAGACAGTACGGCAGGTTCAGTTCACCGGCAACTTTTGCAACTGGTACTTCGGCTGCTTGATTGTAGATTGCGTTGATACCGATGGGAGCAAATCCAATGGGTGCAGAGACCTTGTGGCCCCATATTTCGGTAGTTGTGTCGCGGAGATTGGTGTCGACTAACATGCGAGGGACGATGCAATGCCGGTGGAAAGCCTGACGATTGACAGAGTGAGTTGTTGAGAGGCCTGCATTGGAAGCTGCATAGTACCTATCTCTGTATCAGCATTGATTTCTGTTGGGACCCGGTGTATGTACCATCCTCCTAAACTTAGCTTCTCTTTGGCTTTTTCCTCTAGGGCCTTGGGGTCTATATGAAGCTCGTATTAGCTCGTATCTCTATAACATATTCCAATGTACTTAAACAGCTTACGCGTATTGAAAGGAGGCGTTTCTCCATCATTGGCTCTCCAGAATTGCTCTCTTTGATACAAAGCCCATTGCGGCGTTGAGCGTTTCTCGATGTTTGGATTGAATGGGTCACTCATTGTGAATATATGCCTAGGTAAATGTTCTTTGTTATTGAATAACAGAAAAACTCATCATCGTGTTTGAAGTTGTTCAGTCTTTATAGAAGTTCTCCAAAGCATGACTTCACTTTGACGCGGTTCCATATCTGGATTTCCTGTTTTGATCGAGAATAGCCTTAACTTCATGCCCTAACTCTCCCACCTAAGTACCTTGACATGTCGTCTTCACTTGAAAATAGTGCTTCTATCTTGTACATTTATGGTATAAACGCCAGAGAGCATGTCTAGCCAGATAATTCTCCTTCACAAAGCTTAGTGGTTATATAGTGACGTCATAATCGAGCATCCTACCGTCCACGCTCAACAAGCTTCAATTGCCACAAAATACAAGCTTAAAATCTTTCTCTCCCTCGGCTAAGCATCTCTGATTCATCTCCAGTTTTCGTCCAGAAGCTAGAGTATCTGACTCATCCATAGCTAAGCTACGAAATCAGTGAGTTAGGGCTAGGATGTTTATCCGAACTTCGGATAATCCCGGCGATAAGCTAATCCGCAAAGCCTCATTTTTTCTTTTGTTCGCGAATCAAAATTGCTCATCAAACAATGTTGAGAACCGCCAACAACTTGCAGAATTATATAAAAAAGAGGTGATACGTGTATAGATTTTTGATTGCAATTGGAACTGTTCAACACGGAATTGCAGCAATGTTGGCACCGGCTCGCAGGATAGCTCTCTCCAGCTACAAGGCTGCTGCGCCCCGCACGGCCATCACGGCTCGATGCATCAAGCCCGCAACCACCCATGTAGCCAAGCGTCACTTCCATAAGACCCCGGAAACTGCTTTCTACAAGGCCTTATGGCAGTCAATGCGAGTCAAGATACCTTGGGTGGATGCTTTGGCCCAGAGTCGTAAACAATCAAAAGCCGGGGAACCCATTACGTTTCAGGATGAGGAGCTTGCAAAGCCGGACCTTACGCCAAAGAGAATGTCTGATAGCTACTTTGCTGCTGTTCGTTAATCCTTGTTCAGGTTATTGTGGCTTTGCACTAATCGATATGTTAGACAATTCCTCTTGCTGAAGACAAATGGCTTTTGGACGAATATCTGAATGCCTCTGGACGTATTCGGTGAGTATCACTCTGTTTATCGCCTAGCCAACATACGGCTAATGATTTTAGACTTGGTACACTTTTTATGGATTTGGATGCTCTAGCCGGCGTAGTAGCCTACAAGCATACAGGTGATACAGTAGCAACTGTCACCGCTGCAGTGGATCGAATCACGCTACTCAATCCCTTGAAAGAGATTTGCAATCTTCAACTTAGTGGGCAGGTTACCTACGCGACAGGCAGATCAAGCATGGAAATCTCTTTACAGGTCGCCAAGGCACCTGCTGAAGGCGAGAAAGTGAAAGATGAGGATGTTCTGATTACATGTGCTTTTACCATGGTATCATTGGATCCGAAGACGAAAAAGTAATTACCTTCCTTTGCCCTAAGAAATGGTTCTCTTTACTGACCGTCCACAGGCCCGTTGCTGTGGCACCACTCTTGATTGAAACGGAAGAAGAACAACGTCTTTTCCAGAAGGGTGAAGAGAACTACAACGCAAAGAAGGCTTTGAGGAAGAGGAGTTCTTATGAACAACCACCTGATCAAGAAGAGAGTAATATGATTCATTCTATGTGGACGACGCAACGACCATACAAGGGTGAGCTATCTAAATACTCGTTTCCATTCATTCTGACAACTTGCTAACTTAGAAAACAGTCCCCGGAACGGCTATTCAACACTCACCACGCATTCAAAACATGGACCGGACAGTCCTAAGATCAGCCATGATCATGCAACCTGAAGACCGAAACAGACACAACTTCATGATCTTCGGTGGTTTCCTTCTGCAACAAACATTCGAACTCGCCTTCTGCTGCGCCGCTTCTTTCTCCCATACGCGCCCAAGTTTCGTATCCCTTGATCCCAGCACATTCGAGAACCCCGTCCCCGTCGGAAGTGTACTCTACCTAAAAGCAACAGTAGCATACACGGAACCTCTCGTGCGAACCGTCAATGGAGAAGAATCCAGTAAACGGACCCCTTACACCAAAGTGCATGTCCGTGTAGACTCAAAGGTGCGAGATGTCGAGCATGCAACTAAGAACCCAACTGGCGTCTTCCATTATACATTCTTGGTCCCCAATGAAGTTCAGGTTATGCCTACTAAATACGCTGAGTATATGTTGTGGCTTGATGCGCGTCGTCGCGCACACGATCTTGATCCGATTATTGCTTCGAGGTTTACGGAGGATGAGACTTCGGCTCGTATGGACGGCGTTACTGAATAGAGTGTTGTTTTCTATGGGAAGTTGGCGCATACTGGTTACTACATATAGAATTTTTGACTTTGTCCATCTAGTTCAATATTTGTATCTAATTTTTGTTTCGCCTAAGCAGATGGGTTAGGAGATATCCAAATCTTAATGCAGGAGTGCTTTTACTTCGAAATCATAGTAATTCATCTTTTGACATCAGCACAGATCTTTTAAATAGAACAGATTGTAAATAAGTTCAATCATGCTCAGGAGCTGCCTCTTCACGTGACCGTACTGTTGGAAATTCTATGGCCGTGCGGGGAGAACATTGAGGCTTTTCCACGTCTTCTTACATTACACGAATTTTCAATATTACCAGTTTTCCTATTCATCAACCATTATAGTAGCATGAATACATCCCAAACCTCGCTCAGAGTCACTCCCAAAATTTGTACGAACTTGTAAGCGGTATATGTGGGATATGTCTCTTCAGAACGTCTGGCATCTTCGCCGAGTGGCTGATACCGCCTCAAAAGCATGCATGGTTTGCTACAAGCCATCGACAAGTGTGCTGATAACGCCTGATAATAAAGTAAGATACAAACAAAGATAAAACAGTAACATTTGCTAACTTGGTTGAAGGACTTCTTCTACATATGCCCAGCCCATCTCAAGGACCGTGGTTTCTGTTCTCCCATCGTGGATGCAGAGCAAGATGCCAAGAAGAAGAGAGATGAAGAACTAGCCCGAGAAATTGAGAAGGTGACCAAAGAGTATGAAGAGAAGCAGAAGAGGAAAAAAGAGAAAGAAAAAGAAAAAGACAAGGAAAAGAACAGTAAGGACGATGATAAAGATAAGAAAGAGGAGAAGAGCAAGAAAAAGGAAGACGAGAAGGATGAAGATGTAGAAAAGGAGAAGAATGATAAGGTATGTCTGGATTCAAGTCATGATATAGGCAGAGCCTGGAGCTAATCGAGCCAGATCAATGACCTCCGAAAAGCAGCAGAGACGAAACAGAGTGATAATAACTCTCCTCGAATATTCGAATTGCACAAGTGAGTTAGAAAATTGATTTCCTAGGTTGAATATAATTGGAACACTAACGGTGTGCTACGTTCTTGTTTAGGAACTTCTATCAAATGCGCATCAATCGCTTGCGGAATATAGAATTGGCAAAGAGGAATGCTGAGCGCCTTAGAGATCCGACTTCGTTCCCATCTGTTCCCAAGGGTGATTTATGAGCTGTTAGAATGTGGTAATTGATAATAAGTGGATTTTGGAGCAAGACTTTTATTCTTTACTAAAAGTTCTTGGGGCTATATGCATGAGCCATACGATATAGTGCAGTCTGGCCTGGATTGATGAACAGTGATACCTGAAGTTGTTTTAGAAAATCTCGTAGAAAATGCCATATCTACTTAGATACTCTCCATGGTAATAGGTCACCGGGCCTGGCAAACATTGCCCAGGTGGCTACGTACATACGTCCTGTAGCGTACGGTATGGGAACCGTATGTATTGTTAATGCTGCTCCTCCTCTTCCTCTAGAATATTGACACAGTTACGTACATTTACCTGTCCAGTATGGACTACATGGTCTTATGATTTTGGTATCACATCCAACCCAATGATTATTAAACACTATAGTCAAATGCCCACATGTAGGTGAGTCCCTTATCAAGCTTATGGAGCTTAAGTGCAGCAATACAGGATTATGTTACGTTCATTGATCAGGTCATCTGATTGACCATGATATTGAGTTTCGGTCGGATTCAAACCTCGTTTGCCTTCACTTGAGCAGTTTGGGTTGGTTGTAGATCATTGATTGAAATAGCAAGATATCTTTCAAAACGTGGTTATTAGACTAGGCCAATCTCACTACACAATGATGATTGGTGCTATTTCGGACAAACGACGTAGGCGAAAATTCTCTCTCAATAGACATAAAACCCTATTGCGCTAGTATAGACTTATGTACGCACTGTCTATGTACTGTGGTTCTTAATAAGTCCGTACTATCAAGGGTATGTTGGGCTAATACACGCCCAAATGTAGGGCTGACAGGCTATATACTATATCTGAGGCTAACCAGAAAGCTTAAACATGGAAATCTCCTCACGGATTATTTAGACTTCCCAGATCTGACTTGGTTATTGCTGATTTTCTGATCAGTGATCAATATGCAGGGCCGCTAGGCCGTGGCATGAACGTCTATACGTAAGACATTTACGTAGATTCCAGAAATGAATACCAGGTTAATGCATATACGTACTTAGATACACAATTCCACATTAAAAAGAACACGGACTCAAAATCTCTCGGAGACTTTGATGATCATTACACACTAGGATGATTTCAATGGCCCGAATTCCTGGGGCTCAATCCCCTGTAGTAGTTGACTAATTCCTGATTAGTATGTAATTTTGAAGCAACCTACGCAGCTAAACAGCTAGAGACCCTGGCCAGTGCGTGCTTCATTATTGATGATGCGAAAATCGACAGCACTCAGGGGATAGATTTGTTGGTATTTTATATGGCTATCAGTTGTTCCAAATTACGGTATACTCCTAGATTTTACGCAGTAGTTATTGTTCAATTCAATATATACATACAATAATACATCAATTAATCTCAATACTATCCAGGGCTTCATTATTTGTTTCAGTTATCAAATACTCAGGTACCCGACCTAAATATCAAGTAGTTCATCCGGACGGAGCCCAGAATTTGTACTCTGCACCAAGCTGATACCCGTTGTAGATGTTAGTACAACATGTATACTTATTATATGATAATATACCTACTTAGGCTCTTTTGAAACTCCTTGGATTTGGATTAGACGACGCATGTGCTGTTACCTTGCGGAAATGCAGGGCGATGATTCGGCTGTGAGCAAGCAACACAAGTTGCCGCATTTGGGGATTATCGAAAATTACCATTTTTGGAAAGACATGTCAAAACCCTAATCGGACCTCTGATTTTCAGCAACGCAGCGAAAGTTATGGCACTTCATTTTATGTGCCATAATTAGCGGACTGTAATTTATTGTGGTTTCTTGGGGATATCCTAGTATTTCGTTTTCTGTATCTCTTGAAGAATTTCGTGGACTGGATTATTTCGATGAGAGACCTCGCGACTTCACCTACGGAATGCATTCTCAGACTGCCATGTCCGAAAACAATACGCTCTTTTTACTTAGGTGGCCAATGAATAGTTCCAAGATTGAGTTAGGTATACCATCATCAGATGGATTCTGAGTCACTAATACGAAGCGCGCTGAGACTACTCCCATCAGACCTCACTGCAGGGCCTCCAACGAGCGGACTGTGGCAAAGTCCTCTGACTCAAAGAAGCCCGAATCTAGCATAGAGTCACAATGAAACTCGATTTCGACGTCATTCGCCATTGGCTATCATTCATTATGACAACTACCCCAGTCCTCGTCGTTGAATTCTATTGGTTTTGTGGATACCCCTTTTCCAGATAGAATAGAAATTATCAAAAAAAAGGTTACCATTGCCTTTATAGGATTTTAAGACGCCCAGCGACATAAACCCAAATTTGGAAAAATACCTGGCTGCCAGCATACTTTGCAGTTTAGGGGTGTGGGCAACGCTGTATCCCAAGTCAAAACAAAGGCCGATGTGAGGATCTGCAAGCACCTAAGCATGACGTGGTATAATCCCTCACACCATCACACACGATGCAAAATAAGCATACCGCATTTTCAAACGTTCCCTTGGTTCCGAATCGATTGGACTCAATGCTGTCCCATACGAAATAAAGCTTGCTCAAACCACTTTTCGCGAAGTTTCGGTTGGTCAGGGACAGTACCTTGAACGCTTGATCTTTCAGAGTCAAAGAAAGCGTCTCCCTTGTCGACAATCCAGTTTATATCATGGTAGCGTATTACACCATGGTCCTCTGGTAAATCATTGTATGTTGCATCGCTACACAAAGTCGGGACAGCATCGTTCGGAAACTCTTGACTGGATACGCACCATTTGAGGATCGTCTCCGCTGATTCTCCTTTTTGCCTAAGTTCATTATAGATTCTCCATAGTTTTACTAGTTCATTAGTTTCATTGCACCTGTCGAAGTCGTAGGTACACCGCATTCTGAAATCTATGGGGATCAAGCCAAGTTCCCAAGCTTCATCAAACAGGAGGCCAAGCACATCAGGCGTCAGGGGGCCATTGTCTGGTTTCCGAGCTCCATCGTTCTTGTTCGATGCACTGTATATGGGTCCGAGGTGATTGAATCGAGTATCGAGGTTTGAGATTCAAGTTTGTGAAAGCTGAAAGTTCAGAAAGAGAAGTCGTAGAGATTGCTTGTTGGATATTCAAGATCTACACAGAGGTCCCATTTGGCTTTCTTATAGGTTTGTGCCAAGCTCATTGACTCAATATGACTCCTTTCAATTATGACTCTCCGTGTGTCAAGTATGTCATATTTGAAGGAACAAAGATGAGTTGGTTGAGTAAGGCCGGGTTTCATTGTCATCCTATGTTGAAGATCGCCGATTGTGACTCTCCGCAAGTCAAGGTTACTTTATATATTTGATGGGTTGACGGAAGTGTTAGTAATGTGAGTTTATGAGGTCAAGTGTATTTGTTTCTCTACTGAAATCTGATGATTGTACATTTTGTGAGTCAAATATGCTGTCAACTTTGGGGAGATGTAGAGAGCATTAATGCTCGGGTTCGGAGAAGATTTGCATTGTTATCTCATGATGACTACTTCTATCAACTCCTTGTGAGTCAATAGTTTATAATAGAAGGAAATACTCACTGCTGGTGAGTCGTTATTCATTGTCATCCTATGCTGAACTTCAGCCGCGATGCCTCGTGAGTCGGGGTACCGGCATTCTTCGCAAGAATTTTCGTTTCTTCTTCGATGTGGACGAAGAGAGCCGAGAACTTTAAACGATTTGGCGGCTCCATCAAATAGTGGTCTTCGACAAAGTCAATGTCGAAGATGTCTACGACCTTAAGTTCGATGTACACCTAGTAACACCGAAGACAAGTGGGAGAGATAAAGGGCATGGAGGGTTATCGAAAAATTATTTAAATTGACCTTCCAGCAAAGGCCAATGTGGGATCTAGTAAGGCATTCTGAGAATAACTGATTGAGGCGAAAAATGTTGTTGTGGTGCGCTATCGAATGGTGTGAGGATCCGATGGAGCTACATAATATCATACAGGTTCAGGGGGGAAGGGACTTGTGGGCTGGTTTTCGTGGTAGGAGACACACCTATCTAGTCGGGCTCATGCTTGCCTACAATCTATTTGATCTCTTTCTTTCTCTCTTCAATAGATTCCATGCATCTGCTTTTTCATGCACTAATAATTTATCAATCACTTCATGAACTGATTCCCTATGCCCCAATTTCCTTATTTTTTAGTTTCCTATTTTGATACCCCATGCTCTGATTTCATGTGCTCAACTTCCTATGTACCTAATACCAGATTGAATGTGCCTTTTATCTTTACAGACCAGTCAAGGTGCGAACAGCAACGCCAGGAGGTGCTTATGTAGTTGAACAACCATGTGCAAGTAATGCCTGGGAGGAAGATTGTACACGGAAAAGATATCCCACCAAATAAAACGTAGAGACCCTACAACATCGAAATAGGAGGGGAGACATTTAGATATTTAATCTTCTCAGACACATACACTGCCTTTGAGATCAATGGCAGGTCCTAAGTCTTGCCTGAGATGATCCTTGGCTCCAAAATCAAAATGTGTGCATATATACATTAGGATAAAGGCATAAGATCAGACCTAGTAATTCAATCATTATTTTATTTTTCAAGCCCTGACCATGATCGTGTAACCACATCGAAAAGTCGAAGATATAACGACGTAGCACCTACTCCCAATGAGTAGTACCCCAATCCAGTATCGATGTCAATTAACTGTGGGACTAAAACGGCCAGTATATACAGGACCCATATAGATCCATGTGAGGCGCGCCTCGTTCTCGATCGTAACTAAGAAAAAGTGGAAACCTTTGAAAGAAAAAGGTCCGAAAATGATATGGGCCCAAATGGAGGCTACTAGCACGATGTTCTCAGAAGTATTTAGAGTTAATTGTTGTGCATTAGAAGGAAAATTTAGTGGGCTTCCTCAAGGCAGCGGTGAGCATCCTATCTGTCAGTCCATATTCCCAAACGGCATACGGAGCCTCGTGAAATACCGAGTACAGAAATTTGTGCTGACCTGATTGACGTAGCCCTATTATCTCAGCCATCTACAGCCTGATCTACCTAGAAGAGGCAATGTGTCACTGAATCATGTAATTCCTTATGTGATTCGAATATATGGTGACCTCCGACTCCGTACTAAATCAAGTTTTTCATCTTACGGCTGGTTAAATGACCCTTGTTGAGATTCCTTTCCGCCCGTCATGATCCAGGTCGGTGGATATCTCACTGGTTAGGGCTAGAGCTCCGGATCAAGGGGACAATGACACAGGCCCGTAGGGCTAGTTAAGGACAGGGTCTAAATCTAGAGGACGCCACGGAACGGTGGTTTAGCCCTAACGGTTCCGGTCCTTCGTCAAGGTGCTGTTAACTGTTGATTAGTAAAGTACTACGTACCTAGGTCTCTTGAAGACGGAGGAACACATGGCGCATGGCATGATATCGGTTTGACATGTACCGGTACTATGACATGACACTCAGAATAACCGGAGCACGTGCTACATATGTAGACAGGATGACGTTAACTAAATTTTGTTCATGCGGACAATTACTGACAGTGTCTACAGCGTTTTTACCTTTCTGGATATACATCTGAACTCAATGAGATCGACCTGTTCCTGCCCCAGGCTTGCCTAGGTGTCAATGAGAAGCACTCACTTGAAGTTGTTGTAGTACTTAAGAGGGAAAACTAAGAGACAAATAACTTGGCGTGCCATGCTGTATGGTTTACTAATGGAGAGCATAGTTATACGATCCACATATAGTCAGCTTTACTACTACGTAGCTAGAAGTCTCTATCATACAATGCTATTGTGGGCTTTATTCTAGAATCCGAAACATGCTCAATGAAGCAACTGACAGAGGTCTCCAAGGTTGCACATGATATAACGCTCTAAGTTCTGATATCTAGATCGTTTAAATACATGAGTTCATTTCCATCCCATAACGTCTGTTTTCAATACATACAAGCGTTTTCCCTCTTAGCCTTGTATGTTCTAGTTTTGACTGGGCTAGATACGTAACAATATTCCCAACCATAAGCACTAAGCGTAAACACCTCTAGAGGATAAAAATTACGATTCGGAAACACCTAGAACCGTGGCCGAAGCTCCAGCCCGGAACCGAAACCTGAACAGCAAACGATTTTGCTGGGAACATTAGTCGAATTCACAGTCATAAGTACTTACGAGGGACATACTAATTTCCGACATCTTTGACAAATCTATCTCCTTCGACGGATGCATTGGATCCTATGCATATACTCGGCTAAAATTAACCAGCTTGGAAGAGTCCGTCACCGAATACGGTAACTGGCAAAATACCTACATTAGCCCTAACTAGTTCACAATTTGCCTACCTTCGAGACAATTTCAGTTATTCTCAGCTCCGCATGAGGCTATATACATCATAATAGCACCTATCAATATACTAACCTAGTTAAACAATTTGTAACGCCGCACGAAGCACACTGTTCCCCTCAGTTACGTCTCAGTAATCAGAAAATAACTCGATGATCGTCCTTGACTGTAAATGGAAACTCTTATCGAAGTCATTACTACTTTGGAACTAGTTTGCTGTAGGGCTCGTTTAAATCAAGGCTAAAGGACAGTGCGTATATACGGAGAACTCCGTGCAGTATGTAGTTAATAACATGCGTACGTGTATGTATATGCTAATTTACGGGTCTAGGTGTAGAGCCCACTAAGACGTAGATGGACTTTCAGCTGCAGGGCATTCTCAGTTCGGACGAAAGGTCGATCATTATGCTTACGTACTTGACTACTTGCATAGCTTTAGCTAATGTGGAATATTCAAGTGTACGGGTATCAATCCATTGTATTATTCACTCGTATGCAATAACAGCAGGACGAATCCCAACTAGAGATTGTTCCTCGGACTCTGATCGTTACTGTCGTGGGCAATTCCACGCATATGAGGTGGTAGTCGAATACCCATGGCTCCTAACCTATTATTAATACTGTTATAGTTGTTTTTGGTGCTAGTGCTGCTCAATGCGGACACAGAACCAGAACTATCCGTGACTTTCCTTTCGGTAACATCAACTCTAGCACGAGCAACCCCAATTGCCGGCACCACCCATTTGCCGCAGCTGCAACGCAATCCTTGCCAGGCGAATTTGCCTACGTTAGCTTCACACTTGGGGTTTGGACATGTTAGTCGACCTGATAGTGGAGCATCGCCGGTAGCTGTACCCGCCAACCCGTCGGCGGCAGACGATGAACGAGAAGTTTGGGAGGAGTCTTGAGCAGGGAATAAGCAGGGTCGCATCCATGTTAATGGATGAAGGAATATATGGGCGCAGTCCACCCCTTCCGTGGATTGCTTGGAGGGGGTCTTGCTGTCTTTATCATGAGGGTTGATGAAGGGTGTCGTAGCAAGGATGCGTCTGTTCTTATTAGCAATGAAATAGCTAAGCGCAATCCAAACATATAGGAGATGTATTGCGTACCGGCATTTACGACATCGAATCTCAGTCAGCTTCCCCCCCTCAGCCCCGTCACTATCAGGCTGCAACTCATCCTCAAATCGCACTACATCAATCTCCGGCGCCTTACCACATGCGGCACTAAGCTCAATCTGCCGGTGTGATTGCCAGCGCAGATATGCAGGGTCATTGGTGACATCATCCGGACAACCCATCTCATAATAAAGCCATAATTGCTTCATGAAATCTTCATTCGGTTCTGCTATTGCGCGAGTCTTGCGAACCAATTCTAGGGCTGACTCAGGGTCGAGGTTCTTTGGTTGTCGATGTAATAGATATGCAATACATATAGCTGCAGATCGGGATTTTCCCATGGCACTGTATGAGTGGTCAGTACATAGACTGTATGGATGTAGACGAGCAGCCAATCAGATCGACGAGGATCATGCCAGCCATTAATATAAATCGCGGTATCATTGGTATTAGCCACAGGCATAAGGATCCACACCATCCATAGCTTAGTGAGCTCGCTATATATTAGGGTCTTGCTTGTTGCAGGGGTACGAACGGACGCCTTGGAGAAGAGGGGCAAGAACAGCACAGTACGTACCAGTGAACTAAAACACCACCACCTGCATCCAGCCCTGCTTGAATAAATGCATTCGCGGTGGCAAAATATTGCAAAAGATCTTCATCGTCTACATCGTCGACTTCAATTTTGAGATGTTGAAACCCTTCTGTCAGGTTCTCATCCGGATGCATACGCAGTACCGAGACCACGTGCGTAATATTCGCTTTTTGTAATGCAGCTTTATTTCTGAGGGAGATCACACTGTTTGTAATCCAGGGCCAGGAGTGGAGAAGTGGTTAGCAAAATATTCAAAAGGCGTCCATCCATCATGTCAGGTTGGCGATCATAGTGGGACACGGCAAACCCGGCACCTCGCGAAAAGTTCAAAAGCAAAGACAGGAAAAAGCAAAATACTAACCCGCCGATGTAAAGGTTGTGTCCCTCAATCTGATTCAAAGTCATACTGCCTAGTCGGATTGAGAGCGATGATATGTATGATGGAAGGCAGTAGTGTAACGTGCGTCAGTGGTACTCAGCAACGGCTATACAGCTTCGACTTGGCCTGATTAGGATCAAGCCTCAAGACACACTCTTCCCGATGTGAATTCGGTATCCTGACGCAGTTGTGTGAGATGCTGCGTTTTTGATAATCAAAAATAAGAATTTCTACGACACGGATACCGGTCTAACTTCTTTTGATTATAGTCTGTGGAGACTAGTATTGGAACAGTATAGGCTATCCGCCCAGTCTAACCGCATTTGTGTACTTACCCATTGCGGAGTAGCGCGGATAGTAGTCTGTTCTTCCGTCTTCGTAGGGCAGACTCTTACTCCTTCCTGTACGAGTAATATAAACCTAGTGTGTCCTCGTCCCTGGGAATAACCAAGTGAATATTAACCGGGATATCCGATATGATATTACGTCGTAGATACTAGGTACCATGTAAGCAACTACAAGTAACTATGTACAAGTATGTAATTGAGTGAGATTGGATTGCTGATGCTGCAAGCACTCGGATAGTTCTGAGTTAATCGTTGTGTATCAGTGTCGGCAATTATTTTAGCCAGAAGTCTTGAGACTCCTCTTAAGACCATGTCCCACCCAACAAATCCCAAGAGTAATTGGAAAAACGGTCAACAAAAAGAAATAATAACGGCATTGACGTCAAATGACAAACAGTGAGTTGTTCACTCCTTAGTTGGAAATCGAATCAATCGATAGTGTATGTATGTGTCTCGGGATTTGCATGCTCCCAACTACACGTTGCAGCATACGTAATTTTTTGCTTCTGTTCAATTTCATGCTTGAATGCATTTGAGTTGACATGATTGAATGGTTCAGGGAGATAAGTACGGCCGCTAACGCGATCCAAGCGAGAGTCAAAATTTCACCTGTTCGTGGTAACGACTATCTATCTGGCTTGTAAGTAAACTTTATAGCCTGATATGTATCCAATGACAAATGTTCGGGTGGACAATTTTCCTCAGTCATGTCCACCTTGTATTGTATGGTGGTTTGGATTCCATCCACACTGTCTTGAATCATGCTTTGAAATGATTCCGCCGTGACGGAAATACCGCGGATGAAGCAGAAAATCGTGCACGGCGCACACGCCCCCTCAAGCCTTTGGGTTTGATGGTAAAACTGGGGTGATATGCAAAGCCAAATGCCGATATGTAATGTTTAAATTCCAGGTCTTTATTAGGGCGAGTTACGTATACCCTCAGACAATTCATTTCCGATTCTTGATTACTCGTTCATCATGGTCGAAGCCATACGTACGACGATGTACGAGGTAGTCATGCGACATACGAGGGTTCCAATTATTAGCTGTTAGTTAGCTCTACGTAGTAAGCTGACGGACTTTCGGAATTCGGGAGTACGTGGTCAAGACGGCGAAGAGGTGGAAATTCCTTCTTTGGGGCTAGATGGTCGTGCGCTGGTTCCATATTAGGACATAAGCAGTTAGACTGTTAGATGTTGGTCCACTTCGCCTCTTAAGGCTGACGGGCGGGCGGGCCACGGGGTTAGAATAACACTAAGCCTAAACAACATAAGCGTGTATACACAGTATGATTACCGTACGTAATCTATTTTACTTGTCTACAAACCCAAGTCCCTTAAATCTGACAGTTGTGTCCTTGTATGAGTGATTTATTCGGGCAGTTAATTAGCACAGACGTATCTCCGTGCATAATAAAAGGATTCAGTTACAGGGTCGTATCCCGTAAGTATGTATCGATAAGAGATCAAAACGTCAGCTACTATGTATATGTACATCGTCTCGTCTTGAGTCTGACCTTGACGGACACAGATCTTCATAAACGATCTAATTCGTTCATTTATGTCCAATGGTCAATAGCTACATAAATCTCTGTGGAGATGCTTCTCGTGGTCCGTACTTGTACGGATACATTTTTCCGAAGCGTATTGTCCGTACTGTAACACAGATACGTATCGAGTTAGTTAATATGGACAATCTCGGTATCAATCACACCGAACCAAATACTTGCTCACATACTTAATCTCTGTTAATTAACAACCCCAGCGCAAAGACTTACCGTCTCATCAGCAGGTATATTATTGTTGATTGCTGCCGATTTCGCTTTTCCGACCGCTTCCCTCCAAACATCGCGTCTAGTTTCATACAGTCTAAGAAAATTAAGACATGGTGCAAAACTTAAAAATCTCCGACGCGGAAATAATTGCCTAGCATGTTTTTCTGACTTTTTAGATTTGATTCAGATGGATTCAAGACATAACAAATAATTATTATAACTGGGGTAAATCCATAATCCAGTGCGTAGGTTAATCGATCAGTCAGCAATGAGGTCAGCCGAATCAGCCCTGAAAGGATAATGGCCTAGAAAAAGATAGAGTTGGTTACACACGATTAGAAACGTGCGTTGGTAGTGATGGCGACCTTTGGAACTATACACATGTACGTAATTATGTATTTCCCGGATAGGAAGCTCTCTAAGTTAACTTTTCAGAGATTCTTTTAAGTTAACTTAATTCATGATGTTTTCAATCTGTCTCATGATCGAGTACGTAGTTCTAAGTTTGTTGATACCTCTACTTAACGTAGTGTCAGATGGTCTCTTGTTTCAATCTAATCTCCGGCTGCGTGATCCGTGGGCTGCCTGATTAAAATGCGGCGTAGGGCAGGCGTATGCGCACCCTAATTCCTTATGTACGACGTTAGGTGGTCACAATGCTAGCGGTAAATCCATCGTGCCAATCTTGGTCCACTGAAATGAGTAGATCTCAGTCGACTGGATTTGGGCATTGATCACCAAGATGTTCTGACCTGAAAGCCTTCAAAGTTCAATGTGGCAAGTGAGAGACCGTGTGGCGCAGGGTCTCCATTGATTACAGAATCGGTATTACATAGCTGACTAGTTACCGTGTCTTACCAATACATAATCAACTGAGTCAATAAGTTACCGTAACAATGTACAGAATAAGTACGTACTACAGAAGAAGGATCTTGTCTATTGAACTCTAACGTCGCCAGACTGGGGAAAATTTCCTATTTAGTACCATCAACTACCCCATAATTCTTCATAGGCTTCTGGAAGTACTTTTAATTTGCTACATGAATCGGCTCATATAATTTGGGCCGACCACTAGTTAAGAGTGATGTCTTCACCGCTTGAACAAATTGTCTAAATATTTAGCAATAATTTACTTGCTGATTATTTGCTGCGAGTGGTTAATTAACAAGTGGGATGAGCACAATATGATTGGTTGCTAGGATGACACTAACCTGACCTGGTAGGTAGTTGATTCGGCCTCGATAAACGGACGGCACCACCTGTTGAAGACAAGACAACTCCTCACCATCTGTCTCAATTATGGATATCTGGTTTGTTTATGCTCAGAAAACACAAATAGAAATAATATTGATGAAATTCATTCGCTGCCAACCCTCGTATATCCAAGGCGAGTCATTCATGGACCGCCAATTGCTCTGATACGAGGCGCAAGCTTTTCTTATCTGTTTCGTCTCATTCCTCGCTTGCGACGTTTCATTTTATGGCAGATGCAGGGTTTATTTTCGATCATAGCTCATACATTAGGAAAAAGGAAACCTTGGACACACACTTTATGATCACGTCTATGCGCACAAAAGGCCGACCATTGATCAGCACAAGGCTGCCGGTGCCAAGATAACCCCCCAGGTCTAACCCGATAGAGGCGATATGGGAACGATTGGTAGAATGGCTAGGTGACGGAGTCTGCCCTACGACAGAGCTGTTGAACTGAACTGTCCGAGTCAGAGTACCTAAACGGGTCAACGCTACAATACGATACGGTACGATACGATACGAATACATAAGGCGTCGTCCCGCCCTCCTTTCCGGTGGCTAGTCTAAGACAGCTGAAAGTCACCATTAATAATAAATTAAGCTTAGATTCGTACAGAGTACGACGTGCTGACTACGTACTCTTTCAGTACTCGGAGATAACCTCGGCCGATGCTGAAGGTGAGAAACGGAGACAACGAGGCTAGGAATTCCAGTCAATACAGATATACCAATCAGATGCAGTCACTGACAGTAGTAAACTGTACCGCGCCAGCCACGCCTTACCATAGGAACAAAAGGCAAAAACCCATAGATTGGTACTGGGACTGGACTTTGACAGAGCGTGGACCCGGGGACCCACGGCGTCGAGCTCATAGCGTGGGATTGTGTGACGGGCTAACTTCTGCCCTAGCGAGCCAAAGTCGATTTTATCTTGAACACTGGCCTGGCATATCGTGGTACATAGACTGTGTATAAAGATGTAATTACAGTCAACGGTTAACGACTCACACTCAATTCGTAGCCCAGCAAGTTAAGAGATCTCTTCCAACGGCTCCCGATTAAAGTCGACGAGAGTTGCGTGCTGTGCCACCAAGATCCACTGACTGGCCCTCTTCCAGTGGGGAGCGGCCTTTAGGAATCAACAGAATAATACAATACCCTCAGCTTCCCCTGATTCGCCAACAAATACTTGGAAGAGGCAAAGGTTGAAACCATCGAAGCGCTGTGACTGCAGGGTATGTAGCCTTCGAGCTTCCGCATACATACTAAGCATATGTAGTAGTTGCAAAAAAGGAGGGGTGATGATGCATGTGCAGGGTGTGAGAGAAAAAGGCCGAAGAGGAAAATAAAAAGCATGCCCTAAAAGTACGGAACGACGGCTCCTGCCATGCTCCATACATACCATACAGCTATACTGGATACGGTTAGAATGTGTATAATTGTTAACGGTCAGGATTCGGTGCCCTACAGCCTTGTGTTCTTTGTATAACCATTGTTTGGCACTGTGGCATAGATATATTCGAATGACCTGTAATTGGATTGATCATCATAGTATTGATGTATCGATTGAACGTCTTCAGATCTTTTGCACATATCATGTCCATACGTACATGGAGATGTACTTACTGTATTATTAATATTACGCAATATTACCAAATACTCCTAGTGCGTAACTGCGTAGTAATTCAGGGTAAAGTTACCTATTTACACGGCCAGTTACCCAGCCCCACCGCAACGACAGCCGGGGTTTGCGATGATTTGACTCTGCATCTGCAGTGTGTCTACTAAACGTATATTATTAGTAGCTGGTGCTGCATCTGCTACGCGCTAGCTAGGGTTCTTGCTTTCTCAAGTTACTTGGTCAAGTGGTAACTTAGTGAGCTAACTTGTTACTATCACTCGCCCCTCCCTCTCTCCTTATTGCATTACTAGTGGCATTAATTGATATAAGCCCTATGTCCTTCTTGACCATTGCTCTCTCTCCACTGGATACATAATTTCATCTTTTCCTTCCTCTCCCGTTATACACAATGGCTGCTATATTATCGTCTATTATTATAACTGGGTACTAACCTCCTGTGGATGTACACCTCCCATGGCTTTCGCTCTCTCACTGTTGTATTGGATATGGTCACCACCATTTACTGCCAATCATCTATTTTGAGCCATTACCGCATCCTGCATCGCTCCTACCCCGTTTGATCTCTTTTTATTATCTGTCGCGGCACCGTCCTCGCAGGCGCCTTCCTTCAGTTTTACTTCTTGCGCCGTTTCTTCCCTCGGCATCTTTCTCAACCTCAACTTCTTCCAATTTTCTCTCACAACGACTCGATTGATCAGAAGTTTCATAGGAATGGTTTTGAGAAGGAATCAATTTGCGAAGGGAACAACCAACAATTGATCATATATCGTCTGAGACGTCTGCCATTGACCGACCCCGAGCTGATCTTCATTCTGCATGCGCCGCCCTATTCAACCCTAACTGCAACTTTTTATCCGGTCTCCGCAGACCATAAACTACTCGGCATTTGAATAGGGTATAGAACCAGTGATATATATATTTCTGCGCATTTATATATTTTTTTTTCCACCGAGTCTACCGTCTTGTTTATATGACGCTTGTGCTTCTTCATTCATTGGCGTTGACTGACTTCCGTTGATACTCATCACTCCCTATTTGTACCAGGTGCGAGCAACATTCACTTTGGTCAAGTTATGGTTAGATAACTTGCGCTCGACACTCTGCTCGTGATATCCTCTCGTCAAATTTACTACAAATTGTGCTGGGAAAGACTGCCAAAGTTGCGTGGGCCAAAATCGAAAGGAAAGTACACTGAGGTTGTTTGTATTCTCGAACCGACGGTGTGGTGAGCGTTCCTTGCGGACTCGAATATGGACTTCTCCCGGTTCTCACCTCACGAGGAAAATCCACCGACACAATCGTATTCGTCACGCGGTCCAATGCGCATCCCCACGAAAACAATCGAGGACTTTGCTCCTCCTCCGCTACCTCCGCCGCAACGTATCAATGATCTCGAAAATGGTCATGACGCGGGTTGGCTTCATGCCAACGGGATGGGTCGTCCTGATATGACTAAGCTCGCCCCTATCAACCCAAGCTCGAGCTTATTTGGTGGTCATCGCGCCCCAGAGCCTATTCCACGCATTGAGCGCATGTCATTAGATGATTCGGCTGGTCGATCATCTAGCTTCTCCCACACCAAGATTGAGCTTCCGAGACGAGAGACCTCAAGCTTCCAGAGTTCTTATGCAACACATTTCTCAGAGCCCATGTAAGTCAAGCCTTGCTCGTTCTATTTCTAGCCAGCAAATCACCGTGGGCGATAGCTAATTTACTTGCAGCTTACAAGGCGAACAAAACTTCTCCCGAAAATGTGTAATGAGCTCTTCGGACAATTACGATCGACATCTCCTGTCAAAAATCGGAAAACCTCATTCCCCACCTCGTACCTCGAGCATACTCGGCAATGATTTCAGATCAGGCAGCCTGGGAACTAGTTTCCAACCATCTTCGCTATATGACTCGTCGTACAGCCTCGGCAATTATGCTGTATCACCGGGTGGTCTTTCGCCGAGATCAAAGGCTTCTTGGAAAGATACTTCAGATTATCGGAGCCCTAGCGTCGAAAGCAATGCGCCATCTACAAGCATTGATTACGATAGCCGCAGACGCACCGGCGCTTTGACTCCTCAATCAGAAGATACTTTTTCTTTTTTCCCGCGACCTGGTCGACCATATCAAGAGCAGAGCGTATTCCCTGATGTCGAATGCGAAGACGACAACCATATGTCTCATAGTGATTACTTGTCCGGGCAGCATGGAATGAAGCGAAGAGCGTCATCTCCGCCACGTGAACCTATTCTACACAAGGCACCAAGCAACGGTGATCTTGCGTCACGACGAACGAGCGCACACCACTTCACAAATCATGTTTCTCCCACTTCACGTCATTTACCGAGTCATAACTCGATATCGTCTCTGTCCTCCGCTAGCTGGCGGACATCCACATCTTTTAGCTCTTCGGCTGGACTGTCAGCTGGTACAAGTGCATCTTCGTATGATCGTATGTCTACTGGAGGTCAATCTCCCAAATCAGACGGAGATCACTATCATGATAAAGCAGTCGTAAACCAACCCAGCCCCAACGGGTCAGTCGGTGGATTCTCTACTTTAAAAACACCATACTATAATGGGGATTCCAAACCCACCGTGTCGAACCGAAAGATCTCGTTCCAATCGGGCATTAGCGGACCGAGGGGCGGCAATTCCAAGTTGGGCGGACTATACATCTGCGACTGCTGTCCGAAAAAACCCAAGAAGTTTGAGACTCAGGAGGAACTCCGGTAAGTCACAAACAGCACTTATTGTATTAACTTGTACTAACCAGCAGTAGGACTCACGAATTGGAAAAACAATATACATGCCAATACTGCAGCAATCGATTTAAGAATAAGAATGAAGCAGAACGACATCAGAATTCGCTACATCTGCGACGTCATTCGTGGTCTTGTGCGGCACTTGCAAACTTCCAGGCAGCATTCCATCCGTCAACATCACCAGTGACGCAAACAAGCGCAGGCCCTACTCACGACACATGTGGCTATTGTGGCGAGGAGTTCCCCAACAACCCCGAACCAGACTGGGATCAACGTTTTGAGCATTTGACTACCATGCACAAATTCGGTGAATGCAACAACGTGAAGAAGTTCTTCCGAGCAGATCATTTCCGACAACATCTCAAGCATAGCCATGCAGGGACACCGGGGAAGTGGACTAACATTCTCGAAAATGCATGTATGAAGGAGGAACCTCAAGCAGAATCGAGGCTCGGAAGTATCAGTGAGAAGGGCTGTAAGAGATCTGAATTAGGAGATGCACCATTGACATCAAGCACAATCGATGAAGTCATGGACGAGTCCTAGAATCTTGATCATCTCGTATTTCGATATCTTCACCGCCACTGTACGTACCCGGTTACACTTGAATGCCTACGACTGCTTATACGACACGATTTCTTTCATCTGGAACGAATAACGGCCTCCCTCTCTGTTTATATTACAACTATTTGAACCTGCGAGTTTATACCGAGACTTGATCATTTCTCAAGCGAAATTCATTTGAAGCGAAGAACAGCCGACGGATGTTTGCAAAGATGCATCACAACGACTTTAATGCATGGAAAGTCTTTACACGACGAAACGAAAAAAGCGCAGAATCAAAAAATTTTTTTTCTGGAAGTTTACATAACGGCCATCATTCAAGTTTTTTGCATGTACACGGGGATATCAAAACAAAAATTGAATACAAAAAAGTGACTTTTTTTGGTCTGGTGTGAGACGGGTTGGCTTTGTATTTATACATGGTTATAAAGTATCTCACTTAGTACTTTGGTATAGGTGGCCATCAGATTACTACAAATTTACGAGGTTATGAAGGACATTACCTGCTCTACTATAGATCATTGGTACTTAGTAAATATGGCTTGATCAGGATGGGTGTACTGCATCCATTGTCTATAACTACCTAAGACTAACTATGTATATGTATCTAGAAAAGGATCAAAAGATGTAAAATATAAAATCCATTCATCAGCAGATCCTAAATAACCGATGAATCAGATAAATATGTACTACCGACAAATTCTCGCTTTTTGTGCTGAAATCAATATCAAACGGACAGATAGAAGTGTGTGTGCAGCGAGATTAAAGAATATAGTACAGCTCTCGTAAAAATTGGAAAGAGATGAATAATCAGACATGAGAGAGAAGATTAAATGATTAGGCAGGTGACAGAGATGCTTTTCTGTCGCAAATGTGAGAAAAAAGAACAAAACAACAATGCTGTTGTGGGTATCCGAACGAATGAAAAGAAGCAAAACAAAAATAGAACAAAGAGTCTCTCGCAAATCAGAGGTTGGACAGGAAATACAAGCCTAAGAAGATCACCGAAGTCGTAAGTTTGACCAGCGAAGGAAGTGAGAAAGAGGCGGCAGCACCAGTATATGCACCCGTGTGAGTGGCACTAGCTGTCTGTGTGGTGGTGTTGGCTGGAGATGTGGTAGTACCGGCATTCCCTGAGCTGGCAGCAGCAGAGACGGGCGAAGCAGTACTGATGGTAGCCGCTGTACCATTTCGAGCAGCAAAGCCAATACGATTTTGGTCAAAATCAAAGACCGAGTACACATTCTTCATGAAGACGTCCCCGAGAAGCCAGTCATCAGGTCCAAATGTTTGGACCGCAATGATATTTGAAAAGCATGTCGTACCACCGTTCTCTGTTGTACTGCCGATATAGTCTTTGGGCGAAACACTATAGGTCACACCAGAAAAAGTGAATTGCACAGTTGTGTTTGTGGAGCATGGAAAAGTGTATTCCTGGCCTGACAAAGCAGATCCTGGGATCAAGGCGTGAAGCGCGCTGGCATCGGCTGGTGGAAGAAAGATATATGACGTTCCGGTATCAATGATAGCAGACTTGCCAGTCACATTGAGACGAGTGCCAGCAACAACAGCGTCACCCAATGGAATCTCCCACCGGTCTGTGGTTGATATGACAGAGGTATATGTGATGTCACCCTCGAACTTCGAAGCGTCAACCCCGCCAAATGTGACTTCACCGTCCTTCGCACCATCCTCGTTTCGCTGCAAACTGATTCCGACAATGTTCGACGGAAGGAGTTTTGCATTGTCGATGGCCTCCATTGCTGTGGATGTCCCCGTTGTGCTCGATTTCGAGCGACCCAGCCCGAGAATACCGTCCATGGGATAATCGACAAAATCCTTTGATGCATTATTGACCAGTCCAAAAGTGAGTTGGAAGCTGAAATTGGCGAGTTTGACCGTGTCGGAGCTCAGCAAGCCTGACACTGTTCCAGATCCGTAACCGACACTGAACGTATTCCCCGATGTCTGCAACGTTGTCGAGTCATTCTGGCCAAAGGTGTTGTGCATTTCACAGGCGGGGACTGTGCAGTTGGTGCCGAATACCCAGCTGTTTGTACCGCCAGTATCGAACAGTATCCACATGGACTGATTGTTTGACCCGAAATCCATCTCAAAGAAGTAGGAGAAGTCATTTCCGTCCTCGTTAACGGTCGCGCTGTTCGGGCCAGTAGCAGGGTTTCCATGGACAATTGTATACTTGTTCTCGCGTTTATTCTATAAACTGTTAGCATCACGGCTTCTGAAGCTAGGAATCAAGATATATACCACAGTCGACCGCTTTTTCAGCGGAAGAGTCAGTAACTCGTCATGTGTGGCATCGTCCCCGCTGCTAGAACTCCCTCGCAAGTGAAATGGATAGAACCGTTCGACCAGTCTGCTGGTTAATGACGGAACCGCAGTCGAAGGGCGGATGTATGGATAGAATGCGTTGACGCCGATTGACAGAACAGCTGCAGGGAGTACATATCGAGAAAAAAGCATGATCCTAGACGAGGATCTCGAATATTGCGGTGGTCGTCGAACAATTCATTGATGACAGCAGTTGATTAATATGACATGCAATTCAATTGATCGGATGATTATGACAATGACGATGCGAAGATTAGTGATTATGCTGATCAAGGAACAAACACGCAAAAAAATCAGAACAGAAGAAATGCAGAAAAACACAAGTCAATGAGATAGAAGAATATTAAAGGTATACAGTGAATGAGGTTGGGGAAGGGGACCAAAAGAGGGACTGCTGACAGAAGGAAAGAGCGAATTAATGAAGGGAATAATATGATATGGATGGAGCAAGGAAAGAGCGACCCAGGAGGGAGCCCTCCAGTGGAAGGTGGTACCCTGCGCAGAGCTTAGCGGGGAAGCACCTTCCCTAGGCGCGCTGACTCGCATAAGGATCCGGCCAATCACGTTGTGCGCTGTCATCGGCTGGCCTGGAGATCGGTCCCGAAGAGGTTTAGCGCCATAGGAACCAGACGGGCGTGCTGCCCCTGACCTATCTTATTTCTCTCAACTATCTACAAGGTACACAGGACGACTTGTTCTGTATACACTCACAGCATCGATCATTAGATTCAGTTTCCTATCGTCAGTCATATACGATTATCAAGGTCCTTGCTTTATTCAACTCGAATAATACTGTGGGTAGTCACATCCCTTATGGTGTGGATCCAAGATAAGACGACAAACTGACAAAGCCCGGAGAGGTCAAGGTGTCTAGCCCGCGCAGGGGCCACATTTCTCAGGAACAGTGTGCCTTAGCGCCTGAGGCCTGCAGCACTGCCAAGTTTTTGCTAGCTTATCACGGCTGACTTTTGTACCAAGCATTCGATGGCGACGTTAACGTTACCTCCATGGCTGATGACTATGCTACATTCTGCACTGTCGAGTTAGAGTGGCTGTGTGGAATAGCCAACACATTATCTGCAATCGAGTTGGATGACAAGTCATTGCGGATAGATCTATCATGTCCTATATCGCGATGTGGATCTGATACAGCTCGAGCGGCATTGCAGCGCTTCTCCTTACGGAGTCGAACACATGGGCAGGTAATCATGAAAGAACAAAGCACCCACAGGACATCTACATGTATACGTCTTTGGAGAAGGGAGTGTCGGTGAACTCAGCCTCGGTCCTCGTGCTAAAGACGTGACTGGCGCGTGGGACGAATTGGGATGGCGGTGTTAGGGATATAGTCGAGGATGAAGATGACACTGCCCTGCCCTACTATGGTGTTAATGGTGCCGATGGTACCTTTTTAGGCCTGGGAACAGAAGACCTAGTAGTTGCGGTAGGAGTGGTAGATTTGAGACGTCTTGGTATATCCGAGATAGGCTCAGAACGTCGTTTGCGTGAGTATGTAGTCTTTACCTTTGTTTGAGGCATGTTTTTAATTTTAATGCTTTTGAAACAAGTGAGCAGAGTGTTGATGAAAGAAACAAGTTTGCTGCACCGTTGCTGTTGCTAGCTAATGGAAACAAATTATTTGCCCTGGCTGCCGTGCAAATTACCGACTAATCAACCGAATTTCATGCTTCATAGAATGGATTTGCTGGATACTAATAGTTTCCAGAGATAAGAACCTTGGAAAGATATCTATTTATTATTCTCGGTTACGCCAGTCAAAGATGGTAGAGTATTGAGAGTGAGGTTAACTTGTCGAGAAACTCCAGGACCAGTAATCATACATAGATATCTTTTAATATACAAGGCTGTATAAACATTTAAATGCAATGCTATGCAATATCCCATCATAATCAAACAATGCTCTATGCCAAACCCCAAAACCTATTGAACCTCATACGCCATCCCTCATAACTATTCAGTTTAGGCCGTACGTCAAGATAGAAGCTCAATTTCCCAGGCCCCGTAGCACCCATAATCCCTCCAGAAGACTCTTGCGGATTAAGAGGTGCACTCTTCCCCTGATAAAAATCAATCACGTATTCCACTCTCTCTCCACCACAACGCTCAACTACCCAATCATGCCGATCAAACGGTAATTGATACCCCATCAACCCATTAAGTCGAGCACGCGGAGAGACAAACTGTGATTCCGTCCCCAACCCGCGAAAAGCGTATAATCTCGGTCCGCCGCATTTACTACTCCCCGGATCGGAAGATGGGGAACTCTTTTCCCATTTCAATATCTCTTGCCAGGCCTTTTCGTTCACGGCATTGTGAATGGGTATTATGGATGCGACGGAGGTTGCTAATTCTTTGGCTGATTGTGTAGAGCCTGGTACATTGCTTTTGCGTACTAGCGCATCGAAGAATTGTCGTTCGGAAGGGTATATCCAGTTTCCAGTTGCGGCGTCATGGCCTGTTTCAGACTCGGCGTTGGAAGGTGTGGCGTGGGACGCAGTTGAGGATACTGCATATGGTGAGGGGGTCTGTCGATTGTCTGAAGTAGATGTATTCGGACCATCGAATGCTCGAGGAATGCTGCTCACTTCGCGATCGTTGGATAATTGTCGCTGGAGCTTGGATTTATCTTCATTCGTCGTTGCGCCATTGTTGCTGCTTACTGCGGAAGGGGGAAGTGGATGAGGAGGCCCACCGGCAGAGCCTCCTTGATGTTGTTGCAACCATATTTCTCTCGTCTTGTGGTCAACTGGGCATTTGGACTCTTCCGTCGATGTAGAAGGTGCCGGAGCTTGGGTACTGGCATTTGCACCCATCTTGTCGTACCAGGTAGTATGAGTGTATATTGCACGGAAACAAAGACTCTAGGAAACTCCCACGCTCTCCAGACGCTTCAGCCCGACTTCCTAAGCTTGTTTCTATGTCAATGGACGATTGATTCTATTGGTAATCGTAGTCGGAGTCCGGGAGAAAGCTAACAAAAAGCGGCTTGATGCTTACCGCCTAACCAAAATTGGAAAGCCCGCGTTTTTGGCCGAACTTTTAGAGAGACCCCTCAGCTCAGGACAACGAATATATGCCCAAGCTCCCTCAATTAGGGGGGAATCCTTTTTGACTTCATTCACTCGAAGGAAACGTTTCTGCAAATTTATTTCGCACCTTAAAATACGGTCTATTTTCACCATGACTGACAGCAATGTGTTCCGAGCTACTACGACTGCCCCAGTAAACATTGCGGTCATTAAGTAAGATTCCCCGAAGCGCTACCTTTTTACAAGACAACATTGAGCGAGAAGATGGACTGATAAATAACCACTCCAGATACTGGGGAAAGCGCGATGCGACGTTGAACCTACCCACAAATTCTTCTCTCTCTGTCACCCTCTCTCAACGCTCTCTTCGCACCGTAACCACGGCATCATGCTCTCCCAACTACCCCGCCACTGAAGGTGATACACTCACCCTCAACGGTAAACCCGAAAATATCCAAGCCTCCAAGCGAACACTCGCCTGTCTCTCAAGTCTGCGCGCACTACGCAAGGAACTCGAATCTGCAGACCCATCTCTCCCAAAGCTTTCCTCATACCCACTCCGCGTCGTATCAGAGAACAATTTTCCAACGGCCGCTGGTCTAGCAAGTTCTGCTGCAGGATTTGCTGCGCTCGTTCGCGCCATTGCAGATTTGTATGAGCTCCCTCAATCACCGACTGAGCTCAGTCGTATCGCCAGACAAGGCTCGGGTTCTGCCTGCCGTTCCTTGCAAGGCGGATACGTCGCCTGGCGAGCCGGTGTTAAGGAAGATGGAAGCGATAGTCTCGCCGAAGAAATCGCGCCAGCGTCTCACTGGCCCGAAATGAGAGCTCTCATCTTGGTAGTCAGTGCCGAGAAGAAGGACGTGCCCAGTACAACCGGTATGCAGACCACTGTCTCTACCTCGCCTCTCTTCGCGACTCGCGCAGAACACATTGTGCCCCGCCGAATGACCGGTATGGAAGAAGCCATTACCAAGCGGGACTTTGCTGCTTTCGCTGATTTGACTATGCGAGATTCGAACAATTTCCATGCTGTTTGTTTGGATTCTGAACCACCCATTTTCTATTTGAATGATGTGTCGCGCGCTGCTATTCGGTTGGTAAATGATATCAATCGACTAGCCGGTAAGACCGTTGCTGCTTATACCTTTGACGCCGGTCCGAATGCTGTTATTTACTACCTTGACGAAGTCTCTGAGCTCGTCGGGGGAACGTTCAAGACTATCTTGGGTGGTGAATTGGAAGGGTGGGAAGGTCCATTCGGAGATAGACTCAAGGGTGTATCTGCCGGAGTTGATTTGAATAGTTTGGATTCAAGGGCTATTGAGGTCTTGAAGACTGGGATTAGTCGTGTTATTCTTACTGGAGTTGGTGAAGGTCCTCAAAAGATTGATACTCATCTGGTCAGTGAGAAGGGTGATATCTTGAGCTTGGAGAAGTAGGAGTAGTTCGTTTTGTGCATCATGCTTATTTCTTTTGTTGCGCGTTTCCTTCTCAGACGTAAATACTTACATAGATACTCTTTACCAGATGAGCGTCAAAAACAAATCTTATGAATCAGACACGATTTGAATCCATGCCAGGCTCATTCACTGCGTAAATAACTTTTAGTCGTCATCTAATTAATTATCTAATCAGCATTAGGAACCAATCAGCCCAAAAGAGCCAATTTCTTAAACTCCTTCATAACTGGCGCAACACGTTTCTGCCCAGCATAAATACTCTCCAAGAAAACAGCATCACCACCCGCGGCCGAATACGTCTGTTCTCCTGCTCCCTGATCAGTAGCGTCCTCCGTCTGTTTTTGCTGCTGATCTTCTTTTTCCTGGTCAAAAATTTCCTTTATAGCAGACGAACACAATCCCAACACCTCCTGAAGCGCCTTCTCAACCGCAACTGCGCGCTCCCTCATTCCTCGACGCAGGAGTCCCTTGATCAACGAATTAATCTCGTCAAATGTACTATTGACCCGCTCAATAAGTCGTCGAACACTATTCACCAGATACTCTTCCTCATAGACAGTTCCCTTCCGTCCAGCGGCTCGTTTCCGTTCCTCACGGCGGCGGGTCTTTGACGTTCGGCGCGACATGTTCGTTCCGCCCGTGTAGCGAGTAAACATTGTTCGACCAGCGGCAGTTGAGGCGTCTGTTGGTGCGAGCGAGACGTTATCCGGGATATCAACTCCTCCAGCTGCTGCTGCTTCTGGATCTCCGCCGAAGAATGCCAATGGGTCTGTTAGTCGCTTTTCGCGCAATTCGCCGATTCGTGGTACTTGTGCGTTTAGTTGGGCTTTGCAATCGGCTAAGAAGTCGGTTGTTGAACCCATCGCCTCTGCAAGGCCGTTGTCGACGAGTTCCGGAATGCGATCCTGAAGGCCATTAATTGCTAGGATGCGTGTTGCGTCTGCGAATCGGGAGGCACGGCAGAAGAGTGTTGCTGCTGCGGGATAGTTTTTCAAGTGATCTGCTTGGATCTGTGCTGCTGAGAGATAGTCCTTGTCTTCTTCCACAAGTGTTGTAATTAGATTGTTGGCGTGAGTTTCAAGCTCTGTTTGCGATAAAGGTACCATTAAAGCGCAATAAAGGGATTCGCGCCAACTGTGGGCAATCTGATACGATTTGTATGCTTCGTCGTAAATACCAAGGGACTCATAGGCTGAGATAGCGTTAGTATAGGTTGTATATAAGGTAACAGATAGATCAGATTTCTTACCAATGGCAGCTTCCTGATAATTGCTCTGTTCGTACAAGTAGTCGGCATACAGGCGAGTCATTTCCCGCAACTGCTCTGCCTGATACTTGTAGAGATCAAGCGCTTCTCGGTAAAGGCTGTGCTTGACGGCGTATTGCTTCAATTCATCAAATGCCTCTAGAGCATGGAGGTGTTTCAGAGCTTTCGCTGATCGACCTAAGTAATTGTCGATCTCGTATTGTCGACGAAGCTCAGGTAGAGTTTGGAGTTTCCGTAAGAAAGGAAGGTATTCTCTCGGATCCTATTCATTATCAGCAAACTCTAATAGTGCCTATAACATGACCAAAGATTGGAGCCTACCATTTGCGCTTGCTGAGCAACAAGAAGAGTCAGCTCTAGGTCATACAGCCCCAGAGTATTCTTGTAGAGATGATGGGCATCAGTTAAGAAACACATATGCTCTATAGCTTCTTCAGCTTGTGCCGGACTCCGCACTATCTTGTGTTAGTTGCAAAGATATTCGCTGGTAATGCGACGAAACAAACCTCTTAAATCAGCGACCAGCTGTAAACCAGCGTCAAGATCTGGTGGAAACTTGCACACATGAGCTGTAACCAGGTTTTGCAGATTCGTGTCCATTTTGCTCTTGAGGGCCACTAAAAACGCATCGCAAATTCGGTTGATCTTGCTATCCTTTAACGGTTTCAAAGTGCCATTAGCTGTTGGCTTGACTGCAGATTTTGCTGCGGTATCAGCTTCGGCTTTTGAAAGTTTCAGCGTATCCTTGTACAGAGTCTGGGAGACATCTTCTTCTCTATGAGGAAGTCAGCAGTTTGGTCAAACAGAAGGTAGACACGATCATACTTTAGACGCGACAGGAATTCATCAATGTAATCGGCTCTCTTGATCTGCGTAATGAAAAGAGGAACATTCTCCATAAATTGTTGAGGAGCATAATCATGGAGAATGTTCATATCGACCATCTGACTTCGGCAAGCGAGATATGCCAAGCGGTAATCTTTCGCATCAATGAAGCTTCTTATACCCGCCAAAACCAGGGCTCGGGGGTATATCGTCTCCAGGTTTCCTCGAGGCATCTGTAATGTTACGGCGAAGTTTGAAGGCGTCACTGTTACTATTCGTCCACCGCGCTCAATGCTTCGGCATCGCTCGTCCGTTTCGGGTGTATCAGCAGGTACTTCCATGTCTGCAAATCAAGTTTAGTATTCTTCTTGCAACCATGCTAGGCTTTCCTTGATTGACATACCTTCGACGTTTGTGATATGGACGAACTTCAAGAGATGTTGTGTGGTAGTAAAGATTATGTGGGCGGGTGTGAGTATAAAAGAAGTACAATTTTTTGCCAACAGACGTCGATTGGCATACAATGCTCCCGTTCGCGTCATGGAGACGAGGATATCCTGTTACCGTTAGCTAGGTCATACTCCGAGCTTTCAAAGATGAAGAAGTACCTGATCGTCAGAAATATACGTGCTAGCTGCCCACTGAGCTTCGACTGCAGGAGCCGCATCGAAAGATGAGATGTGCAAATTATTCGCAGATAGAATACCTTGAAGGTATGTTGTGCCTTGTGCTTTCAACGAAGACTTTGAAATCCAGAGCTTATCATACCTAATGTTCGGGAAGATACTTTGAATCTGCTCATCTGCGGCAATCACATATGACACGGAGCTCTCACGAGTATCCAGCTTCGTCCTTTCAATTCGACGGGTTGGAGCTCCGTCATGAATGAGAATGAAAATTTCGCTATCGTTAAGGAAAGCGATCTGTCTTGGTCGAGAGTTGGCTGTCTGGGGAAGAGGATGACTAGACTCCAATAACGGCGAAGGGACTGATCGAGTTTTCAACGGCCATGAAAATATCGAGAAGTTATCTGTGGTAAGTACTGCAATCCTAGCTCCCGAATGACTGAATGCGACATCCACGATATTGGAGTCGACGTTTATTTCACAATGAGACATTGGTGGTGGGACGCCAGCGAGTCTCAGGGGAGTCAATTTCAATATTCCTAGTTCATAACAGTTAGGATAGTTACATAACAGAGCTCCTATGTGACTTACTTCCATCTATGACACCAACTGCTCCATAGTCATCTGGACTTGTAGTTGAGCCATGAGCCACATCGAAAACCCATTCGCTATCCATCAAGAGGTCTGGTCCTATTGTCAGCGTGCTTTAGTTCATGAAAATTTCCTGACTTACTGGAAGAAACTGCAATGAGCCGTAAAGACTTCTCTTGATGCCAGCGAACGAACTTCTTGCTCTCGCCGTGAAGTAATATCTCCTGTTTCAGATAGTAATGGTAATTACCCATAGTCCAGAGCTGAATACGATCTTTAAAGTACACAGCCAGAACCGTGGAATCGATGTTCCAGCTCAGATAAATATCCGAGCCCCAAGTCTGTCGTTCTTCCTCCGATAGCCTCAGCGTAAACTGGCCGTGACGCAAGCCGTTGCGCTCAAAGAAGACCACATCTATACGATCATCAAGACGTTGAATACCAGCAATCAAGTTTCCTGACGGTCTCCAGCTTAACGCTCCTTCGAGTCCATCTACCGGCTCGCTAACACTATCGAGAGTTCCCTCTCGAGAGTATACTCTGGTCACTCGTCGAACACCGCTTTCCACACTATTAACGGCAACAAAAGTCCCGTCCCCACGCCACGAGATTGTGGTTCGAGAATCATCAAAGGTGCTGAACTTGCCTTCATCAACCTTTTCAGGCATGGTGGGATCCCTTAATGCTTTGGCTCTTTTGCCTTGAAATTGTGTCTCTTTCTTGCCCCATCCAACAGAGACATGCCGTGACAGTTTGAGATCGTCTGGAGAGAACGTAATTTCTGCGACATTCTCAAATTCGCGAGTCATATAAAGTAGCGTGTTTGCTCTTGTCGTAATTGCTAAAAGCTCTTCATCTGGCGACCAAGCTGCAGCTGATATACCGACATCAACTGAGCCCAAGATTTCAATCTTGTCTTCCCCAGGCTGAGGATCCTCACGAACAATGATGATATCGCCTCCCTGAAGAACAAGGATTGCAGTCAAGTTATCTGCAAAGTACTGCAACGATAAAACTTGATCATAAGGCAAGTCAGGTAGAGGGCTTGGGGCATCCCATGATGCGATCGTCTCAAAGTCTTCCTGGCTGGCTGGAGATGTATAAACTACATCGTGTCGTTTTCTCCGCAACTCGATGACCTGATTTCCTTCCTCTGGGCCAAATGTGCAAATAATGGAATCTGACGCAGTGTCCCAAGCAGTCGCAGTCAAAGGAAGCTTGGTCTGTAGCTCGACTTCGACGAGGCGCACGTTCTTGAGATTGCGCATCTTGTATTATTTGCCCCTCCTCCTCATTGATCAGAACCACGTAATTCTTATGACCCTCTGGATTTTATATCATTTGCTTATCTCCGATAATTTATTCAGTTGGAACTATGTGTCGTAGCGTTGATTAGTCGCAACTGTCATATCGCATAAAAAATTATTTGAGTTGTCCCGCAAAATTAGTCTTCCGAGATCCATCGCTAAATATCAACCAATGACTTCATTCACATTTCCGATTGCAACCGCCTAATCATACGACTACGACCGACCAAAGGAAAAGGATAAATGTGAACTTGTAAAAACAATTGGAGCAGTTTGACGAAAAGAGGTCTTGAAGATTCTCTAGTTTTATACAAATGAAATCTTGAATCTGACGTATTGTAACAATTCCTTTCCTTAAAACTCAACCCAACTAAGTAATCGGCTCGGCGCGCATCGTTTAAGGACGGGTCTTGTAGGTTTGCCAGACTGTAGCAATCAATTAGCGAACAGAGGAAGACAATGACGAGCTCCAAACAGTTAGGAACCTACGAGCAATGGCGAATGGAGCACCGAATCCGGTGACTAGAGAAGCACACAACGCATACACATTAGCCCACTTTGCTGCAGTAAATCTGACGCTGCAGGTTAAAATGGCACAACGTACCCATAAATGCCCAGTATCGGAAGAAGAAGTACTTGGTCTTGGGGTTGAAAGGAATATTGGAGCGAGGGCCCTCAGCGTAGTGGTAAGGACTGGCAAGCTGGGTACGGGTGGTAGAGAAAGCTCGGCGAGCGACGATGGAGTTGGCCAATCTGGCCCGGGCAGCGGAGGCGGCAATCATCTTGAAGCAATTAGATAGAATGCAATTAGCAGGGTATCGTTTCGAATGCATACCTTGATCTGCAGGGTGGTGGAGGAGAGATTGGGAGCTGGATGTCGTCAAGAGAGTCAATAAGAGGGAATTAGCCGTCAGAGCAGATCAGCTCACCCGTGTTCCCGCAAGTCACATGATGCCACTCACGTGACTGTTACTAACTAGCGAATCAGGAAACGGCCCGCGCTCCTTCCCCAATTGGGAATCGCAAATTTCTAGTTCGCGCAACTTTTGTTTCTTCGACAAGGTCTGTTGTCAGCCATCTTTATGTGTACTTCCTTTCGTTTCAAGAGAGGAGTTAATCGTCAAGATGGATGACTTATTCGATGTCTTCGAAGACAAGCCAGGAGCTTACGTCTCAGACGACGAGGCCGCAAAGCCTCGACCAAAGAAAGACAAAAGCAAAAAGCGGCAAGCAAATGGAGATGTGAAGGCCAAGCAACAAGACTCACAACCCAAGGACGACGAAGTGTTGCCAGATGCCCCAGCCGCTACCACAACGACGAATGGCGTATATCATTTAGGCGAAGAGAATGGTCAGCCTGAAGCGAAGCGTCAACGCCTTCAAGATGTGCCAGCCGCAGTCGTCGCTGATTCCTTCGAAACGGAGCAAGAACGTGAGGTAGCTGCCTCGGCTGGTCTGCAGTCCACCCAAGATACAGGTGCCGTTGTACTCTCACATCAGGTCCGCCATCAAGTTGCACTTCCACCAAATTATCCGTACGTTCCTATTTCGCAACATGTACCTCCCGAGGAACCTGCTAGGACTTGGCCGTTCACCCTCGATCCTTTCCAGCAGACCGCTGTCCACTCAATTCAGAGAGAAGAAAGCGTCTTGGTTTCGGCTCATACAAGTGCCGGAAAGACGGTTGTGGCAGAATATGCTATCGCGCAAAGCTTGAAGAAGAACCAAAGAGTTATATACACTAGTCCTATCAAGGCTTTGAGTAATCAGAAGTACAGAGAGTTCGCGGCAGAGTTCGGTGACGTTGGATTGATGACTGGTGATGTTACAATCAATCCGACAGCAACTTGTCTCGTCATGACTACGGAGATTTTGAGATCCATGCTTTACCGTGGTTCTGAAATCATGCGAGAAGTGGGATGGGTCGTTTTTGACGAAATTCACTACATGCGTGATGCGAGTAAGTTACTTCTGCTCTTCTAATCATAGGCGTTGCTAATCTTTCTCGTTCAAATCAGCTCGCGGTGTCGTTTGGGAGGAGACTATTATTCTACTTCCCGACAAGGTTCGATACGTGTTCTTGTCCGCAACAATTCCCAACGCCATGCAGTTCGCAGAATGGATTGTCTACCTCCATAAACAACCATGCCACGTCGTTTACACCGATTTCCGACCCACACCATTGCAACATTACTTCTTCCCAGCTGGGGCAGACGGAATCCACTTGGTGGTCGACGAGAAGGGTGTTTTCCGGGAAGACAACTTCCAGAAAGCAATGAGCTCTATTGCTGAGAATAAAGGTGATGATCCGGCAAATGCTCTCGCGAATCGCAAGGGTAAAGGAAAAGACAAGAAGTTCAACAAGGGCGGCAAGAAAGATCAGTCCGATATCTTCAAGATCGTCAAAATGATCATGCTCAGAAGCTACAACCCTGTGATTGTGTTCAGCTTCAGCAAGCGTGAATGTGAAGCCAATGCTTTAGCGATGAGTAAATTGGCCTTTAACGACGACTCCGAGAAAGAAATGGTTTCGAAAGTTTTCAATAGCGCCATTGAGATGCTCTCTGAAGAGGACCGCAAGCTTAAACAGATTCAGAACCTTCTACCATTGTTGCGACGTGGAATCGGTATCCATCACGGAGGTCTACTTCCCATTCTGAAAGAGACTATCGAAATCTTGTTCCAAGAAGGTCTTCTTAAGGTGCTCTTCGCAACAGAGACGTTCTCTATTGGGCTAAACATGCCTGCCAAAACAGTTGTCTTCACAAGTGTACGGAAGTTCGACGGTATTGATACCCGCTGGGTTACACCATCCGAATTCATTCAAATGTCTGGACGAGCTGGTCGAAGAGGTCTGGATGAACGTGGTATTGTGATCATGATGGTTGGTGAGGAAATGGAGCCCGCCGTTGCCAAGGAAATTGTGCGTGGTGAACAGGACCGACTCAACTCTGCTTTCCATTTGGGCTATAACATGATTCTGAACCTGATGAGAGTCGAGGGTATTTCCCCCGATTATATGCTCGAAAAGTGCTTCTACCAATTCCAGAATACTGCTAGCGTCGCAGGTCTAGAGAAAGGTAAGTAATAGCACCCCGGGATGTGCACCAAAATACTGACAACATTAGAACTTGCGGAGCTTGAGACCAAGCGAGTCAACATGAACATTCCAGACGAGGCGACAATCCAGGATTATTATGAACTACGAAAGCAGCTCTCAAAGTATACTGATGACATGCAAGAAGTCATCAGCCACCCCGATTACTGCTTGCCTTTCTTACAACCGGGACGTCTCGTGCATATCAAACATCAAGGCAATGACTTCGGCTGGGGTGCAGTTGTCAATTACAAACAGCGGAGATCAAAGGATCCCAAGGAAATCCTCAGCGCTCAAGAGTCCTACATTGTAGATGTATTATTGGAGGTTGCCGAAGGCTCTGCAACGGGTACCCGCACTCACACCGGTCTACCTCCTGGCGTCCGGCCACCCAAAGAGGGCGAAAAGAGCCATATGCAGGTAGTGCCCGTGCTTTTGCGCTGCCTACAATCTATATCTCACGTCCGTATCTTCCTTCCCAAGGAGGTGCAAACGGTGGATTCGCGGGCTAGCGTCAAGCGTTCTCTTGAAGAAATAAAAAAACGATTCCCGGATGGGTTGGCTCTTCTAGATCCGATTGAGAACATGAACATCAAGGACATTTCCTTTAAGAAACTCATGAGAGTAAGTGCTTTGATCCAAATTCGGTCGTGTGGATGGTTGCTAATAACACGTTATAGAAAGTCGAAGTGCTTGAATCACGGCTTCTGGCCAATCCTCTGCATAATTCGCCCCGGTTACCAGAGTTGTACGATCAATACTCGGAGAAAGTCGAATTGGGCGTTCAAATCAAGGCAATCAAGAAGAAGATCTCCGACGCCATGTCGATCATACAGCTAGACGAATTAAAATGCCGGAAACGTGTCCTTCGGCGACTCGATTTCATCAACAAAGAAGAGGTCGTCCAACTCAAAGCTCGAGTAGCATGTGAGATCAGCACCGGTGACGAACTGATGCTGAGTGAGCTGCTGTTTAACAGTTTTTTCAACACTCTTACACCTGAACAATGCGCTGCTGTCTTGAGCTGCTTTGTCTTTGAGGAAAAGGCCAAGGATACGCCTGAACTGACTCGGGAAGAGCTAATCAAGCCTCTCAAAGAAATCCAGGCTCAAGCCCGAGTCATTGCCAAGATCTCTATGGAATCAAAGCTAGCGATTAACGAGGAAGAATACGTACAAAGCTTCCACTGGGAACTTATGGATGTGATTTACGAGTGGGCTCACGGCATGTCATTCGCAGGTATCTGCCAGATGACGGACGTCTACGAAGGTAGTTTGATCCGAGTTTTCCGTCGGCTGGAGGAACTGCTACGACAGATGGGAGAGGCCGCCAAGGTCATGGGCAACGAGGAGCTTGAACAGAAGTTTGAGACATCTCTCACCAAGGTACGCAGAGATATTGTTGCAGCTCAATCTCTCTACTTGTAATGACTGCGTATCATTGGGTCATTTATTTCTTATTTCCCGCATGGCATTGGCGTTTTGGAGGGTTTCCGGCTTGGCCATCAAAAGTTCACCAGATTATTCCACAATGTATAGAACTTCAAGTAATGTAGGAACGAGGAATAAATGTGTATATCTAGGAAGATACAACCTCAGGATAACAGGAAATAGACTGATTCCCAGCCAGTATGCAGAACGATATAGCTGACCCCTCATATAAACTTACAGAAACGTGCCTGGGATACAGCAATGTGTGTAATTACAATACGACGCATGGTCCTCATGCGGTTTTGCAAACGGGTTTAGCTGCGCTTTTGGTTACCCCGTCTACGATCAGCCTGGTCAGGCAGGAGCACTAGTACCGTAATGCCAATACGCCCTTAGTCAGCTAGATCTCCGATGACATAAAACACAATACCAGGACATTACCAAAATTACAGTAGGCAAAACCTCCCACAACCGCCGCAGCCCAACCAAAGCTCTGCCCATCGTAATTTACAGTACCCGCCCTATACGCTAAGCTCAGTAACCTAAACCACCACCGCCAATTTCCAGCTTAAACTCAGCAAACTGACCTGGCCATTCCAAACCTCGCTTTCCTAAACTTTACAACCCCATCCTCGTCAAACTTCTCACATCCCAACCTCACCTACTCATTTCTCTTTTCTTGATACCCGTCTGGCTCAAGTATAAACTTCAGAGTGCCAATTTCTCTTCTTTGTGATCTTTTTCTCTCGCAGTCGATACAGCCTGTTGATTTTCCTATCGCCTCCCTTCTGTTGCCTCTGCCCACAAGACACCTTGGAAGCAGTTATCGAACAACACATATACAATCATTTATCGCGAAGACATCTATATCCATCTCGATCGTCAAAGAGTGGTCGAGTTTATCAGGCAGCCACCTACTTCGCATCATCATGAACAGTTTGGTGGCTACGCCTCCTGTTCCTCCACACTTTTACGAACATTCTCGCTTCTCTCCTTCACGTTCCAGTAAGAACACTTTTGACAATTTCTGGCATCAATTATATTAACTGGCAATAGTGTCTACACCAGCACAGCAGAGTAGCAACCGAAAACGCAAGGCCGAAGACGATGGCAACGATGTCGATATCCGCATGTCCGCTTCTCCTACCAACTCTCCAGCTTTTACTCCACGTCCTTTGCCGAATCGCCAGATGAAACGTTCCCGTCCAAATGTATCCGGTCGGCCTTTATCATTACCCAGACTTCTCGAGACGTTAGATACGGATGCTTTACGGTCGGTGCTACAGGCAGTCTGCCAGCGTCACCCAGAGCTAGGTGACGAGGTCGTTCACACTGCTCCACGCCCGAGCGTGTCGTCAACGCTGCAAGTACTTCGAAATTATCAGTCGACTTTACAAACATCGATTCCCTTGGGAAGCGGCGAGTACCTTTCCGACTATGCATATAACCGAGTGAAGCAACACCTTTTCAACTTACTCGATGCTCTCAGCGATTTCACACCACATTTCCTGCCTCCCAACGAATCACAGACATCGGTTTCCCTTACTTATCTTGACGGGGCAACGGATATTATACATAGTTTGCCGAAATGGCAGACACCACGACATAACATCGGCCGTGACTCAGCCTACGAGGAAATTTGCAAGGCTTGGGTACTGGTTATTCGTGAAGCCGCCAAACGTGGCGGAGGTATACAACTACAATACGGAGGCTGGGATCAGAAACTAGCGAAACACAACGAGACTTCCGGTGGCAAATTGCAAGACGCAATCAATGAGCTACAGAACAGCCTGGGTTGGATGGGTTCATCTGCGTTGCCGGGTGTTGGTGCAGCCGGTACACAAGGAGGTGATCAAACCTCCATCCGCGAACAGCTCCTATCTGGAACATATGGTATGGGCATGCCTCTGAAAGTTGGACCCTGGTAGACAACAGAACATAGTTCATCATGATCTGGATCTTTTCTTTCTTTCTTTGCTGTCGATACGCTTTCGATATTACGGCCTACAAACTTTTATTACGACACGACACATAATGATACCTGCATCAGTCCTAGAGAGTTCGTGAAACCCACCGGCGTTACCAGTTTTAAAGCTCTTCTTGATATTTGATTCCGGAGTTGAAGTGAGATGGATTTGGATAGGGTTGATAAAGCTATAAAGCGGAGGCAAACTTAACAAGGTTTGCTATCATTTGTCTTATCAACAGATACTTCTTCATATTTCTTATATTTGCTCCAAAAGACATACTACATTCCTGTCCCTTTTCTTTTTTCCCCTCGACATTCTCATTCTTTCACTTGCTTGATTCCTTTGCTTTTTACTTCCTACCTAACAGTTAAGGAGTTATTGGCTACGAGTGTCTTTTTCTTTTTCTTTGTTTACAAATCGATTCATCATGCACATCATCCATATATCACTACATGTCATTCATTGTCGGCATTTCTGCCAGTATTATAAGCGGGCATTTTATTCGTCTCGCTGTTATCGACTAGGAAGAATATATTATAAATAGGTCCAACTTTTTATTTTTTTTTATGAGTAATAGTTTACCGGTATATACAAGAGTAGAAAATGTATGATGAGCCTTGACATCAGCTTGGTTGCCTGCAGATTCTACCAACCTTTATATGCGCAGTTTTACCTGCTTCTACCTAGTATTCTCCCTCCTCTTTTCAGCATCTTCGATAACAGCAAGGATCCTAATAGTTGACCAACATCACGTTTAACTTTCTAGGGAAAGCCAGGAAACCCTCTCATGAAACTTAGAGGTTGAATACTAACATATGAGATTTTGAGCAGTTCGACGCGCCATCATCAACAGTTACACAGCAGACAGTAACCGAATCGATCTATCAGGGACACCATACTTAGAGGATCCTACAAAGGACCCTGAAATAGAAGCTACCTCAACACCCCAAGTGCGGTTTGTTCTCAACCGGCCGGGCTATGTACTACCTCATAAGAGAAATACCTGACCCATATTTCCCAAGGTCACCTTGATGATGACGGGACGGAAACAAAAATCCCATATGAAACGCATGTTTCTACGAATTGCAAAATGTGATATACCGAGGGATAACCAGCTCAAAAGCAAGCATTTACGCGCTAACGAGGGCGCTGTGAGTTGCAATGAATGGCTTGTGGGAATGGCTCATCCTGATGAGACTAGCTACCTCGTATCACCTGAAGGTAAGGAAGCTATTGAAAACAAGACAATGAGAGAAATGGAGGGCCCTACGAATCAGCACTAGCTAAGCACCATATTCGATTCTGGTTCTTTGTTGGCTTGGGCCAAAATGGGAAGTGGTATATTGGGCTGTCACTTTCCCTTAAAAATGATGGGTGATTATGATGATGATGATAATGGTGAGGTAGGATGCTTGATTTGAGTGATTAAATTGCACCTCTTCATTGGTGGACGAATCGAACCCGTAACAGGCTGAGGCCTTAATGATGATTGGAAGTATCTCACCTATATAGGGAAGTACTAGATCCGACTAAAAGGCATAAAGAAGGTTAAGAGATCTGTTAAGAATGGAATGATTTCAAAGCAACAGATCTCATACCAGCATTGAATAAACTCTGACTTCCTATAACACGAACCTACACACTTGTCTACTCAGCTCGTCAGAGGGAATCCATGGATGCCCTCCAAGTCTGACCAAATGAAATCTTTAGGACTCCTTGAAAATCATTTCTGGTATATTGCATCTATAAGGAAGACCTATAGGTTTCTAAGTCTGGTGAGGAAGAGGTCTGGATATTTATTACGATATATACATGTATTACCGTGCTAGCTTAATGAAGTTAGTAGCTCCTATAACCATTAACAAAATTAACATAAAATACGGTATTATCAGTACCATATTTCACATAGCCCTAATAACCCGATCTAGACATCCTAACAATCTCTTCTGATGACACCCATCAGAAAGTAATGCTCGAAAAAATCTAGTCAGTCTTCCTGTTCACTAGGTTTTTGTCCATAAACAAAATGCACCAATGTATAAATATGGCATGATCGATCCTTGAGTATCTTTCGCACTTCTCCCAACAACGCCTCTACTTCTTCCTTGGGCCATTTCAGAACATTTGTATACAGACGTAGACTGTACGACGTCACGCCCTCAAACATGTGGAGTTGTTGATAACGGCCTAGTTCTTTGAGCTTCGGGTCTTTTGGCCATGTGTTGAACGGTAGCTGCAATCCCGATACGTTAGATAGAAAATAAAAATATGGAGTGATTAAAAGGGGAGGGATAATAACCGGAAACACAACACCCTGCACATTCTGAAATCCAGCATTTCTCATCTTATCCGACCACGTCCTAACAGTCCTCATATTCTTCCCAAATGTGCGCGCAGCTCGATGTAAATTCTCAGACCACCTCACCCACGCAGCAGCCTTTTGTCGCGAGTCATCATCACAGAAACAATTCAATTCGATAGTTTGGAATTCCGCCCATCCACCAGGTTTGAGGTTTTTGTAGCATTGCGTAAAGAGGCGGTCAAAGTCTTGGACCATGCCTTCCATTTCGCGGCCGTGGATGAAGTCGAATTTGGTAGAGTAGGCCCATTCGCTTTCGTAGTCGTCTACTTCGAAGCAGAGGTTTGGTGGGACCCTTTTCATTATTAGTCAATACCCTTTAACCTTTAACAGTCAGTTTGTCTTACCATGAGGGTTGTATAGGACTGAGGTCATTGCCTGCTTCATGATTAGTGGTGGCTATGCTGGGGAGGCATAAATCCTACCTAGGACAGAAGCATTCGGATGTTCACTACAATGATTAGTACAACAAAAGCCGTCATCAGTATATTCAGACACATACTCTGCAAAATCAATTGCCCAAATTCCTACCTAAATTAGTATTCAGGATCTCGAAGCGTTTGGCTCAAACATACCAGTTCCAGTACCGAGATCAAGCACCCGTTGCGGATCATGTATTGGAGAAAGATACAGTTTACCGCCGGTGAGCATTAGATAAATATGATGAGCGAGATCCATTCGAGCTTGTTCATTTTCGTCGTTTGGCTATGCACATTATCGTCAAGAGATGCTGGGTAAAAGCTTAAAAAAACCTACCAAGACATGTTGCCCTTCTCTGAAGGCATGATATCTTCGACCATTCTAAAGAATTAGATATTCGAACGGACCTTCGTAGCAGATTTCATACCTCATATCTAGAAAAAAAAATTCAATATCAGTGTAATGACAATAATATTAATGGGTCTGGGCCTACTTGTAATTTCTCACGCTTGTCGAAATAGACGACGTATAGCTTTCATCTCCAATACTATTTCATATGTGTTAGTTCCTCATCTGATATGATACAACTACCTAGGTATATTTTAACATACGAGCCATGAAATGCAGAATCCGAGTCACTTGAATTGCGATCCTACTCCCATTGATCATCAGTACATTCATCTTCTTCATGCATTGGGGTCGGGTAATAATATTCTGACGTACATCAGCCTCGATATTCCCTTGAAGGTTCGACGGTTGAGGGTTCTCAGGAACAAGAACCGTAGGTAAAGGTGAAGCCTCCATATTTGAATAAGTGGCAGGAGTATTCCAGTCAGAGGAAGATGGAGCTTGAGCACGGTCGATTCAATCCATCAATTATATATTCTTTATGTGCTAATTAGCTTTTCACTTTACCAAAGTGCATACTTAGGTATAGAGTTGCAAGGTAAAAAATAAGGTCTGCTCCGTCCTCCCACCAACTCGGTCAACATGTAGGGAACAGTTCATATGCAACATGAACATGTAACAAGCAATCGGGGAGTTCTTTCAGTCCCACCTTTTCAGAGATGTATAATCTCGCCGGAAGAACAGGTAGGACGACACTGGTCGATGATGCTCTCAAAGAGAACGAGGACGAATAGTCAAGCTGCAAAAAGAAAAGAGGAATGGAGGTCGAGAATTAAATTGGGCGCTTGGGAAGATCCTACGGAATTGGTTGATGGTTAAAGATTGCGTCTGTAGCCCTAACTGCTATGCTCTTACCTAAGACTTCTCATAACAAATCGACGACATATTTAATTAACTAATATAAATGCGTACGTATATACAATTTTTCTGTCATTATGTGTCGATCTAGACAGCGTTACCTACATACCGGGTCGTGCTACGTATGTCATGTATGTCAAATATCATGCAGGCGATATAAACAGCCAACCATCTTGCTTAATGCCTCGGAATACTGTATGGTCACTGGGATCACCACTGTCAGGAATTGTTTTACGTGTTCCAATGCATGACCTGACGCAAAGTAGGGGGGAAAAAAAAGAAAAAGTATGTGCGAATTTTGCTGGTCCACAGAGTTGCAAAGGCACCTAGCCGTACGGAGATCAAGTTTTCACCAGTTAAATGTATATTTTTTTGTTTCTTAAACAGTGGTTTAGAAAAGCTTGAAATTTAGCTTTCTTTACTTAGCTAGGTTTGTTGTAGGTATTGCTTGAATGAAAGAGCAGCATCTAAATGCTTGTGGCCGAAATGTGTAAAGATACTAAACAGACAGCACACAACTGACTTCTATGTATGCCTGAGAGCCAGGCTAAAAAAGAACAGACCGGTTGTACGCACTAAAAATATTTCATCTTTCAATGCTGTAAGCTGTACCGAGGTTCATCTCTCGTGGCGTGAAAGTGGAGAGAAACAGACTCAAAAATTCGTACTTTGACATGCGTGGCACGCTAAAAAGACGACAGCTCCTCCATACCTTGTATCAGAATGCTTTAGTTAATGCAGGGATAATGAAGAAATCAGAGCCTCTATTGCTTGATCGCACGGAGGTCAGTGACCGGTTCTTATTTTTGGGTTTGTCCCGTGCTTTTCTTTTTTCACATCACGTTTCTTTGTCTTCGTATAGGATCTCGGGCTCATATAGAAGATAAGAGCTTGCTGTCTATATAAGTGAAGGTCTAGCTCGATAAATATATCTGTTAGAAGAGAATAGAGAGATCTGCGTAGTACACTTCTTTTTCAATGTTGAATATCTTAACCAATCCGGAAAGGTTTGATACCCTACTCTGACCGACATTTCCGAAACGACTCTCGTATATGAAAACGATAGAACGATGATGTACAACTCAGTCAATGCAGTGCACCAGCTTAGTCGTCAAGTCCAATTGAGACTCGTCTATCACTCTATCTAAATAGGTTTCGATGATGTACTACTCAGATTGTTAGGTTTCGGATGATACCGGCCTGCCAAAATTGACCAATAATCAAAACCCTGAAATAGAAAGTTCATTGGATGATAGAACAATGTAGAGCACGCAAAAAAGTAGATAGTTGCAGTTGAAACCACGTAAAAGTCTCAAAATTTGGATTGAAGCCCGGTGAGATGGATAAGTTAAGCAGAGGTCAAAGCGACCTATATAAACATATCATATGTGCATATATGTACGAAGACTGACAATAATCAAGCAAAAACACTGCTTAGAATGGGATTCATTATAGGAATGTGGATTATAATGGACTGCATGAACTGGGGTATCCCTTCCTGGACACGTAGTGATGATCTAGCCCTAACACTAGGGTTCCCCTTCCATTATTATTGCGAGTGTACGGCAAACTTTCAAGAGGATCAATAAACTTGTCATTATCTATGCAAGATAATGCATACATCCAACGCAAATATCAGGAATTCTGATCTTTGAGAGTCTTTTGATCAGCCCTGCGTCAACTTCTAGTTATGTCATTCGGAATGAAATCGTTGGACCTGTGGCCAACCCATGGATCAATAATAATATAGCAAACTCAATGTACTCTTCAGCTAGAAAAATCGCTGCGCATTCGATCACCCGTCCAAAATCAAGGCGGAACGCCGCAAGCATGAAGACTAAATGATTGCCTTCCTGGCTATTCTCAAAAACCAAGTTGCATCAGCCCACCCTCCTTTGTCGCCGGCTCTCTCTACCGGACCTGTAGCCTCATCGCGATCAACAACACCATCCGAGTCATCATCAATAGACTCACCTTTGACTATTGTTGCAGAAGCCGGCTCAAACGCAACAATAGCATGACGGCTAGACTCTTCCGCAGACGCAGGAGCTGGTGATGTGGAAACTTCTTCTTCTATACCAAACAATGTCCAGCTAACAAATTGGTCAACCCATGTTCCAAGACCGAATCCTCGCTCACGGGTCAGCCGCTGAAACTCCCTCTCGTCCATTTCATCGTCCGACTCGGATTCCGAATCATAGAATGATGAGCCGGATAGATTATCCTCGTAGTCATCGTCGTAATCCTCAAGATTACGACCATTAATAGAAGCAATTTCAGCACGGATACGTGCATCCACAAAGTCCGGAAGCGTTGCATGATAGCTTCCCATGCTAGATTTGCGCGAATGCCTAGATGCACCACCACTCTCTACATCCATTGACGTCATGCCGAAATCTGCACGACTGGCATATCTACTATGCTCGCGGGACCTCGATGGTCGTCGCGATAGTGCTGCGGGCGTTGACACAGCGGATGACCGTGCAGATCGAAAAGGTGTGCTCCTCCCACGTCGATGATGTCGGGTTATCCGAATCACATCCGGCTCTGCTTCAGCCACCAAGCTAGTAGAACTCTCCCTTTTGACTAGCCAACTCTGCCCCTTCTCTTCCCTGGTTGATGAAGTGAGCGCAAGGCCCGCTCGGAGCAGCCATTCCGAATCTTGAGATTTTCTTCTTCCCGTAGACGACGAAGAGCCAGGTGTGTGTGATCCGGACTTTGATGCACCGGTCTGAGCCTGTTGATGATGTATTCCTCTTCGAGCGCCTAGACTCCGGAGATCCGTGTCACTGAGTGTGTGATTGGAGCTCTTACTGCGCCTATGGTGTCGCGTTCGAGAACTGGCGCGTGAATGGGATAGAATCGGTGGAGTGTTGGGAACTGATGAACTAGAAAGATATGAGGTGGACTGTCCATGGGCGGATTGGAAGTAGTCATCTTGTTCCGGTAAATCGTCGATTGGGAATCGCGGTGTAAGTGGTGCTAGCGAGATGTGGTTTAGAGCTGGATGTGAGCGTCTGGACCTGAAAGGGCTATGGGAGGATGGTCGATAGCTCTATACATAGGATCTGTTAGTACTGCACATCACGAGGGTAGATGCCACTTACCTCCATAATATAATCAAACAGCGACCCCCCAGATTTCTCTAATTATATACTGTATCGATAATAGAGCCAGATTTGAGAGAATTGTCTGGGGAAAGAAGCGTTGATGTAGTTGACGAGGTCTAAGCGGGAGCGAATCACATGCCAATGCGGAGTCGGTCCAAGTCGGGTGTTTAACTATTGATCAGCCAACATCACCTCATCATCTCCAATGTTTCATGATGTGCAACGATACATTCGACATGCGATTATCAGGACAAATCTTGGAGAAGTAAGACTAGATTGTCATATCAACATTGGCATTGTCTGACCAACTATCGCCTATCGCCTGCTTATGACGTATTATTCTACAGGATGTCACCAACAACGCAATCTCTAAATCAGCTACAACACATAAACTGCTTGAGCCTCTGATTCTTGCGGTGATTCCATGCACTATGCCACTTCATATTTGCTGGTGTCCACAAATTCTGCAAGACATCATAATCCATAAAGCAGGAGCAGGCCGAGAATGGCCCATCTCGAGCTGTCCTAACAACATTCGCACGCACGTTTTCTTCTCTCAAATGATTGCCCTGCCTCATTGCCATCCCATGCCCATTGCAAGACATTGTGTTCCTTGACTCTTTGGAATTCAATAAGGTAGTAGGACATGCCAAGGATTTGCCGTCCTCGCTCCATCAGATCACGGGGAGACGTGAATCAGTAAATGAGGTTGCCGTGGGGGTGTTTCAAGTCAAAGTCTTCTTCAGGAAGGCCGTGAAATTGGAGTTTGCGAGCGCCTTCAGCCATTTTGACAACTATTCTGGCAGCATATGAGTGTTCACCGACAAATTCCGTCAAGGATTCCGAGGCTGTAGCAGGCAAGTAAATTTTATGCTGCAAGATCGTTGACTGTTCCCGTGATCTGCTCCCGGTGAGCAGGCACAGCTTCTGTAACAAGCTAGAGATACGGTGTCTTTGTTCTCCCATCAAGTAGCGTTTGAATGATGGTCTGCGCAATCCAAGCGGGGGCATCTGTAAGTCCGCGGGCATTCGCAAGGACAGCCACTCCGCTTCGAGAATCTGGGAAGAGATATACGGCAGAAATGGCTCCAGGGACCTTACCCTGATGGTAGATGATGAGCCGTGAACCTGTATCCGATAGTAGGCATGCTTTTCATAATCTGGGGTGTTAGACCTATGAACCCCAGCTTGCTTGGTAGCTGGGTTTGGATCCAACCCAAACCAAGTGTACGTTCATTGAGTGATTCGCGTTGAGGGGGGAAGAACGTATGACCGGTCAATATTGTGGACAGCTGCCTCAGAGGCGACTGTGTTTCTTCTGCATCCGTGGCGCCATTCATCTTTTGTGCTGCATCATTCAATATCTCTCGATAGAAAGTGAGAAGATCGTCGATAGAGCTCCATATGCTGCCTGATGCAATCAAATGCGATCTTTCGAAATATAATGGCCACGTATTCGCAACCGCCGACCAATCCTCTGTAACAAACTATTTCTTGGCCGCGTACGGACGCTGCCGTCGATCAAATTCGACCCCAGTCTGTTCCAAACCAAGCGGCTGATTGATATACCTTTCAAATAGATTGCTATAGCTCTTGCTCGTAGCGCGACTCATCGCTTGACTGGCCAAGCCGTAGCCAAGATCATTATATTGCATACATACTTGACCGGAATGGCCCTACCTGTGGAGGACTGGCATACGCAGCTACGAGTTCCGTATTACTCAAAAGAGGCTGCACATGGAAATAAAGCGAGTCTCCTCCCGCGATTCCAGTCCAATGCGACAAGAGACCAGTGACATTAGTGAGATTCTCGACTTCTGGATGCCCGCTAGGAAACTCTAATAGGACGTCACGGATCAGCGAGTCCCAGTCTACGACTCCTTTAGCAACGAGGCTACCGTAGATGGTAGCCGTGAATGCCTTGGATAGAGATCTAATGGGATCAATCGTATCACTTGTTGCAGGCAGTTTCTGCTCAAGGTCTCGGTATCCGATCGAACGACGGAAAATGATCTCATTTTCATGGAAAACTCCAATCGAAACTCCGGTAACACCAGATATGTCCACTATCTGTGTTTATAACGGAGTGAGTGCGGTAAGGGCTGCTGTGAGGTTTCGCGTTGCGCCTCCCAGTGAGAAACTAGGTTGTTCATTGTTATACCCTGTCGTTTGTAGGGATGGTCAGTTGAAGGTACTCCTGAAATGAATGACAGAAAACCAACAAGAGAATGTTCTCCTTAGATTGTTGCCAAAAGCCATGTCCAGCGTATATGACGGATAAACGAAGCTGCGAGCCTCAACACGCAAATCAATGCCGTCTACGAGAATACCACCTCCTGCAGTGTAAACCTTACGGTGTTGGAGCGAACTCAAGCTTTTCATAAGCCCTTTTGTGCCTCTATGTTGTTGTTCAGATGGAGCAGAATCGAGATTGGGTGACGTGGTGATGAGAGCAACGGTTAGCAGCATCCATATGGCACCTGGTTATGGTACACCCAAATTTCCACATGCACCATCGTCTTGCATAGATCGGATATGGACTGTCGTTCGTCTTATGTCTCGACGTTCGCTTCAAGGCTGGCAAGATCAGATTGCAGTCAATACAAGCACGGGTACTCGTCGAAATCTACTACATGATGTAATTATCCGCAGAGTTTGCAACAGTCGGCAGGGCGTTCTCTGCTCATCTTGCTTCTGACAGTCAATAATGCTGGTTACTGGGCATGTCTAATCGGAGTGGGCGTATTCGGCTTTAGTCATCCATGTGAATAGCTCCTGATTGGACTGAGTTGGGAATGCGATGGACTAGTCTATAGAGTACGGTTTCGGATGTAGCACATGTCGTACTCAAACTTTTATCGTAGAGATGTAACTACTCAATCTTTCCCTTGTTAACGACAAATCCCTCCAGTGCTGAGATAGCAGCCCACAGCCGATTCTCGGCTTCAGGGAACACCAATGAGCGATGGCTGTAGAAAACCTCATCGCTGACCTCTTCTGGGTGACGAGGAAGACAATGCATAAACTTCCAATTTTTCTTTGCGCCTCCTCGCTTCGCAAGCTCAGATGTAATTTGGAAACCCTCAAAGGCCTTCATTCGCTTGACAGCTTCCTCCTCTTGACCCATAGATACCCATGTATCCGTGACTAGGATATCGGCATCCTTGACGGCTTCTTCGGGAACATTCGTCTGGATAAGCTGTCCTGGTGACTTTACTCCTGCTCCCGCCTGCTTGATGATCTCAACCATAGTAGACGGTATCTCGTACCCCTTTGGCGTAGCCACAGCGAGATCAACACCCATCTTAGCGGCCGCAATAGCCATGTCAAACAAGACATTATTTGCATCCCCAACCCAAGCAATCTTCAATCCTTCCATGCCCAAACTACTCAATCCCGTAGTGGAACGTGGAGTGAAATTCTCATGAATGGTCAAAAAATCGGCAATAGTCTGCAATGGATGAAATGAGTCGCACAAAGCATTGATAACGGGAACTGTAGAATGCTTCGCCAAATCCGCCACATCCTGATGTTTATTAACCCGAGCAACAATGCAAGACACCATTGACGACACTACGAGGGCTGTATCGTATAACGACTCATTGACCCCCAATTGGATATCATCTTTGCCCAAAAACATGGGCTGACCACCCAATTGAGCTACAGCACCTTCAGTCGAGACTCGGGTTCGGGTGCTTCGTTTACTAAACATCATTGCTACCGTCTTGCCGGATAATGCGCCTAGCAGATTGCGTGGCACAGAGCCGCTCTTGATGGTCTTTTTGTGTGAGGAGGCATTGCGAACAAGGGCTGTGAATTCGGCGGGAGTGAGGTCCGCAATTGAGAGGAAATGTCGAGGAGCAAATGGTGAAACTGGTGGTGTGGTGGCTGTGGCCGAGCTGTATGTTCGTCGTAGTATAGAGCTTCGTGGTTTGGCTTGGGTGAATCTAGGTGCGAGTCCAGAACGGACTGCCCCAACGTTGAGACTGGAAGCCATAATGACGAGTGTAGCACCAAAGTACAGTAAGAGAGAAACGTGGAGCAATCAATTGATTGAGTAGAAGCTGACAATGAAAGGAAACGAGAAGTCAATGGCAAGAAGAAGTTAATAAAGAAATGTTCACGATAAGTAGTCATCGTCCTGAGTCACCGGTGTCGCTCGCTTACCTAACCCATTAGACTAAGCTGTGATTGGTTGGAACTAGGAATATCTCCTAAACCCAAAACGTCATCCCCGGATTATGTCTTCATGGTTTCAATCTCCAAGAGGTAGGATATTTGACCGAGTCTATCCGTTAGTAAAGCATTGATTAATCGAATATAAATCACTGAATGGGAAAGAGATAGAGCTTTTCTCTATGTATCATGAAGCTCTCGTGTGACAGATAAATCACGTGACTTTTATCCCGATATGGTCTAGCTCCGATCGAGTGTCTTGAAGTTGTTTCGCAGTGCAAACAGCAACTCCAATCTACATCACTATCTCACCATCATATTAGTTCATGAATATATATCGGTCTGGGGGGTGATATTCTGCGGTTATGCGTTGAACGCTGTTACAATCTGTCAGGGCATCATTGAATGCCGAAATCATCTTCATGATGGCTGACGACAGTACAGCCCCGCTCTTGAGCAGGGCCTCCACGGATTCACGAGACACCTCATATTCACACAAGCAGCACCAGCAGCAACGACCAGATTCACCATCCTTCCAACTAAGCTCCGAATCAACACCCCTCCTTCGACATGAAGATGCATATGGGATATCCTATGGTACAGAAAACCGAAGACGTTCATCAGCATCGGTGTCCTCTAACCCGCTATGGCCTATTGAAGATCCTAGCAAGCGTCCACGATATCGTCAATGGCCTATCGTTATTGCGATAACAACTCTACTGGCCGCTGTTATTCTGACGCTGGTGTTTGGGTTTGCGGCTCCATCTGCAGTCAAGCAATATGCACAAGAAGCGGCGGTCTTCAAACCTCAGAGGATCTCCTTGGACTCGGCGACATCCGAAGGCATATCCATAAGGGTTCAAGGGGAGTTTTCTCTCGACGGTTCGCGGGTGAGACAACCTCTCGTACGAGGTACCGGCAGGTTTGCAACATGGATTGCCAAGGAGGTCGAGACTGGTAAAACGGAAGTCGATGTCTATTTACCTGAATATGATAATGCCCTTCTTGGCCGTGCTTTCCTTCCAGCTATCAAGGTGGATATTAGAGAGGGTCATTCAAACAGTATCGACATCGTAGCAGGCTTGCAGTCAGGTGATGTGGCCGGTATTCGCCAGGTTGCGGATGATTGGATGAATGGTCGGCTTGCCCGACTCCGTGTACAAGGTACAGCGGACGTGAATATAAGATCAGGGATACTAAAGTTCGGTAGCCAGGCTATAACTGCTGACTTAGCCCTTACTGGTAAATCTTCGTCACCCTCGATCACCAGTTTCGTTTATTGACCAGACTATAGAAAAGGATATCCCTGCCCTACCATCTTTCAGCATAGACAAACTTAATGTGCATGAAAATCCATGGAACCCCAAAGACCCTGGAATCGCTGTGGAAGTTGCAGTTAGCATCTCGAACGATTATGCCTTATCTGTGGTTATACCTCCTTTGGGGTTTGACATTCTTCTTCCGAACTGTATACCGACCGATCCGCATATTCTGGTCGCTAAGGTGACTACGGAGACAGTCAACGTACAGCCAGCGGCTCCTGCAATCGTTGATGTTAGCGGTCTTGTTCGGCGACTACCATCGGAATTGACGAGGGTCTGTCCAGGAAAGAAAGATTCACCTCTTGATTTGATCATTTCGGCTTATCTCAAAGAACATAAGACCGTTATCTACGTACGAGGCGGTAATCCTCCTTCGGCATCGACACCCGGGTGGATGGTAGATCTGCTCAAGAGTGTTACTATTCCAGTACCCGTGACCGGCCACGATTTCGGTCAACTTATCAAGAACTTTTCCATGACGGACGTCCATTTCTCTCTGCCAGACCCCGTTGCAGAACCAAATTCACCCGAGGCCCAACCGAAAATTTCTGCAATGGTCAAAGTCATGGTTGAATTGCCAGAGGAAATGAACTTTGACGTGGACATTCCCCACGTACGAGCGAACGTTGGCGTCTATTATGAAGACGATAAATTTGGTATCCTTGACCTGAGCGAATGGCAGCCTTCCAATGCATCCCGAATTGATGACCCGGATAGCACTCGTCCGCTGTTATTGGTCAGCTTTGAAATCAAAGACGGCCCTCTACAAGTCACCGACAACGATGTTTTCTCTCAAGTCGTACAGTCAATACTATTCGGCAACGATCCAGTTGAGCTAGATTTGCAGGCGCTCGTGGATGGAGAAATAGCTACAACGTTGGGCCAGTTCATTATACATGATATCCCAGCTCAAGGGAGCATAAATGTCAAACGTGGGCTGTTCTCCTAGGCTATCAAACTACACGAAAATCCAAAGACACTAATGATTGGTTCTTTTTGTGCTCAATAGCGCCGTTCGGAAGCCGCCCCATTGGAAGCTTGATAAAACCGAGAGTTGAATCATTTGAGATATTACATACGACACAATCGACAATCTCTTTGCAAGCTACGGTTAATTTCAGCAATCCTACGCCGTATTCTGCAAGTATACCCTATATTGATTGCTTGATGCTATATAACGGAACCGCTCTGGCACATGTGACGGGGCGGTCTTTGTCGGTCGTGCCGGGGGATAATATTGGAGTTGTTTTCGAGGCTTTATGGAGTCCATTGGCTGCCGGTGCTGATATTGGTGTCATTGCAGGTCGGGAGCTTCTTTCGAACTACATCTCTGGTAATCCGTCACCTCTTTCGTGTTCATGGACTTACTACTAACCATGCTTCTATAGGCCTGAATACCACAGTCACACTACAAGCCCATGAAGGTTCTCTGCCTGGATTGCCCGATCTTGGGAAGGCATTATCAGGGATCTCAGTGAACGTCAGCGTTCCGAAGTTGGGGACACCTGGAGATGGTCAGGGTGATGATGATGACGATGAAGGCAGTCCACACTTCATCAAGGATGCAACAGTATGATCTCCTTTTAGTTTTCCCCACTTATCTGGAATATTTTATCTAACGTTGCTCATATAGTTGCATCTATGGTCCTCCACGGCCGTCTTCACACTCACATCTCCTCTCCGCCATTCAACCCTATATATCGACAAAATAGACGCAACAGCATTTTACAACCATACCGAACCTATCGGACGAATAGACTATGAGTTGCCCTTTGCAGTTCCTCCCGGCGATTCAGAGACACCTAGACTCCCTGTTGCTCTTGATCTTGGCGGTGTTGGATATGATGCCGTTCGGAGAGCATTGGGGGGTACATTGATGATGGATGCAAAGGCCAAAGTTGGCGTTACGTTGAGCGAGTATTCGACCACTGTGTTTTATCAGGGTAGAGGAATTGGTGCGAAGGTTCGCATTTAGCATTTTTACGCTTAGCGGTTTGCTATACTTTTGTCCTCTATTTTGCTGTTTTACAACACTGTACATAATGGGAGTAGGGCGCTCTTGTCTACTCCGTTTTGGTAACCTGGGAAAGACGCGTTCATATGACAACTAGAAATATTTTTTCTCCACTAGATACAATGAGAAAAACTCAATTACTATTGAAATACCCTCCGGAAGAATACACTCAACCCATACTCCTGATACAAGCGACTCACGGAATAATCTTAACCAGGAGGCAAAGTGCTGGCATCGACAACGTCAGCGGCTTCCTTCTCGACTTCTTCAGTAACTTCAGTAAGCGGTGAGCGAGTCAAGGCCATCAATCCGGTTCTGGTTGATTCCAAGATACCGAAAGGACCGACGAGTTTGAGGAAGGAGTCGATACGGGATGGTTTGGCGGATCTGTTACGGTTAGTTCTAAAGAATATCAAAAAGAGACAATGGGAGAGAGGAATACGTACACCTCGACAATACAGTTATTCGTACTAATATCCAAAACCTTACCACCAAATTGGTGCGTAAGACGAGTAATAGCATCAAGATGCTCATGCTTATGTCTCAGAGCTTGCGAAGCGGGGATGTTTCGAGGATGGAAATGGGAATCCTCAATCGTAACACCAGCTTCACCATTCTCTGCGCCCGCGGCATCATCAGATGTCATTTCACGATGGTGCTTGAGCAATTCCTCAAATGCTTCGGGACCCAAAGTGCTGATTTTGGCGAGCAAGAGTTCACGCTGCACGAGAGGTGCTTCAGTGTAATCCAACACAGCCCAGACGGGGACCAAATCGTCCAGTTGGCGACGAGCTTGTTCAACGACTCCGTCCAATCCGCGAAGCACGATGGTCATGCGTGAGAGATCTGCGACCTCGGTGTTGCAGACAACAAGAGAGTCGATGTTGAACCCACGAGCGGCCAGAATACCAGAGACACGGGACAGGACACCAGGTTCGTTTTGAACGAGGCAGTTCAAGATATGCCGTTTGGGCGGGTTTGTGGACGGCAGCGGTGTCTCATATAGGATTGATGATACGGCTGCTGGAGCATCCCATTGAGGTGCATTGTCGGAAACGGGGAGTTTCAGAGGCGAGCGACGGTGCATGGCCTTGTAGGCCAATGCAGACGTAGAGCTACTAGTTGACCGTCTTCCATTGCGAGCAAAGAATGATGTGGCCGATGATTTTGCGGCGGAGGTGGTTGTCGAGGCTGATATCGCAGGTGCAGCAGCCACTGGCTTGGCCAGGGCACGGCGAAAAGCCATTGTGAAGTCTTTGCCAAATAGCTTCTCTCAGCGAAGAGATGAGAGAAGACAGAAAAAGATCAAATTGCTGATCTCGATCTCAACTGATAATTGAGACGAGTAGTTTTTGAAGATGGAGAAGGGAAAAAGAAGCTATCGCGGGAAAGAGTCATAACTTTGCTTGGTCTTCCGACTTCGGATCGCGGTACGTATTACTCGTACTGGCGGCGTATAGATTTCCGCTAATACTCCGCATTTTCTCTCCATACAATTTTGAATACGTGCCTGAGAACAGCCGACTCCATGGATTATATCTCATACGTACCTAAACTACTTTTTGGACTTAACTTCTACAGTAATCGCTATGTACAATGGTATGGTCAGCTCTTACATAGGTCGGTTATCGACAATGTGCAAAATTCGGTATTGATATCAGGTCGTAATTACAATACCGACTACGGGGAGGCCATCAGTAAGTCCGGTGACGAATCATATTGATTCACTAACTAATGCATCAGCTTCAGATCTTTGGAGGTCTTCAGATATGCTAGGGCTCTGTGCGAATGTATGTTTCAAGACTTATTTTATTATCTGGCGTTGAATGCAGTCTGGCAGAAGTGTAACCAAACTGACCAATCCAATCCATAGAAATTTCAAATGCAAGTTCGAATTGCGCTATGCCGTTTTAGTCTAGGCTTTCTTCTCACCCACGTAAAAGTTTCAACCTCTTCAAGTCTGGCCTTTTGCGACTCCATCGCCTTCGTCTAAATACCACTTTATTCATATTTTCCTGGAATCAGTAAGCCTTGGACACCGGTATAGCATGGCAGACGATGAACGCCGCGCAAAGCGATCTCGCTTTGATCAAACCGAACCTGAACCCCGTCGACAATCCCGTTTCGATCGCCGTTCACGATCTCCCGCCTCTCGTCACCCTGATTCGACTCGTCAGCGTAGTCCGTTGAGTAGAGAACCTCGCAGTCCAGGCGCTGAAGGTTCTGCTAGATCTTCGGCAGCACCAGATCCTACGGCGGCAGCAGGTGAGGAAATGCTATCCCTTTTGTTTGATTGTGTCGTGGGACTTGACTGACAGGTTGATGTATAGCTGCTGCCGCTGCTAAGATTAACGCGCAGTTACAGGCTAAGAAAGGAATCCAGCATGTTGACGTACCTCCTATCCGTTCGGTGAGATCTACACAGTCCCAACCGTCTAGCTGTCATCTAACTCTTCTATAGAGTGGAAGCCCCGCTGCTAAAACAGGCGTATCCGCCGACGGTGCTACCAAGCTCGATAACGATGTATACATTGCCGATGGAGATTATATCAAAGATATCGATGTGAATGGCCTGCGTAACCGCTATGCTCTCACCAGAGGCTCCACGCAGAGAATGGTAAATAAGCTCCTGTTATCATCTTGCTGATACTCCCAGAAATCCCCTTGGGCATAGCTCATTCATACATACTTTGCTCCAAGTTCACATATTACTGGCTACATTTGCTTGGATCTCGAAGCTTACCCAATTTAATTGTAGCATTTCCTTGCCCCTCTTTTGCATCTGCTGACCTCGGCTGCGTGATTATAGATTAAAGAAGAAACTGGCGCTGGTACGCGTTTACCCCCAAACAAATATGTTTTTTATATTTCAAAAATTGGATGTTTCAGACACATGCTTATTGGAATGATCAAGATGTCACGACCCGCGGTAGTTATTATCCGGATAGGTCTATGGCCACCCCGTCGGTAAGTTCAATGCACCCTTGTAACTATCCGGAATATTTTGATACTGACAGATTGTTCCGTGTTAGAACCCTCCTCTTTACCTCCACGTTACGAGCACCACCAGAGAAGGCCTCGATAAAGCCGTTGCAAAGATTGAGGAGCTCATGAAACAGGAATTGCCCAATTTGGTAGACGAACGCCGATTCCGTCGCCGGGAACAGCCTGAAGTGGAACGTGATGAATTTGGACGGGTATGTTACTATCAAACGTGAGATAATGCCTTGAATATACGATACTTATACCTGAATTAGAGGAAATGGCCCGAGGAACGCATTCCTATCGACCTCGAGCCAATCCCCGGCTTTAACTTGCGAGCCCAGGTTGTCGGTCAGGGCGGAGCATACGTGAAGCATATTCAACAAAAGACCGGCTGCAAAGTCCAGATCAAGGGACGTGGCTCCGGTTTTCGAGAGCATGGCACCGACCGGGAGAGCGACGAGCCTATGTATTTGCATGTTGCGTATGTGCTTGATTCCTTATTGTCACGTACTAGATATGTTGCGGAGCTAACTTTATAATCAGCGGCCCTGATCCCAATCAGGTGCAAGTTGCCAAAGAACTTTGTGAAGACTTGCTATCAAATGTCCGTGAGCAGTATCAACGGTTCAAGGAAAACCCTCCTCAACATGGATATGGCGGTTATGGTCAGCGCGGTGATCGTCACTATGGTGGAGGACACGGCGGTGGTGGCTACGGTGGTGGTTACGGCGGAGGTGGTTATCAACAGCATAACCAGCATCATCAACAGTCACCATCTGCTACTGCCTCAATGAGCCCTACGGGAGCAGCCACCCCAGCAGAAAGCACTGCCGGGACCACCAACACTGCTGATTACGCTGCTCAATATTCTCAATATTATAATGGCCAGGACCCATACGCAGCTTACGGAGGCTACCAGAACTACGTTGCTTATTACCAATACTACCAACAATGGGCCCAGCAACAGCAACAAGGAGGAGCTCCAGGGGCTCCTGGGGCACCAGACGCTACCGGTGCAGCACCTCCACCTCCCCCAGCTTCTGAAGTCCCACCACCACCACCTCCTGGAGCTGGATCAGGTTCACCTCCGCCGCCACCTCCCCCAGGTGGTGGAAGTTACAATGCTGTAGGCAATATTTAAATTCTCCTCTTGATATCATCTCACTAACGCAAGGTTCAACAGGTTCCACCCCCTCCAGGCTTGTAATCTTGTTTCAATGCCATCATCAGGAGCAATTTTCATACACAATGCGATATAACGTTTGTCCAGTAGCTTTTGTTCGTTTTTCATTACCAAGCCGGTCTCGAAAATGGATGTTTTCTTTAATTAATACCATTTCGCTTCGAGAGTGCGTGATGCACGGATACCAAACCATATAATACTCATTTTAAAACTAGTCTCGCGACAGGACTAGCCAATGTCAACTGACCTTCACCTCTCTGAAGTCATAACCACCCGAACTCCCATCAAAAAGTAGCCTGACCAAGATTCGACAAAAAGTTATTATCATTAAACGGCACATTCCCGGCACCAAAGTCAGTCGTATCAAGAGCCTGTTGCGCAACAGCCGGCAACTCCTCCCAAGAAATCAACGGCTGTAATCCACCCACAGTCGTCGTAAGTCCACAGGAATGATCAAGAGGCCATATACTCTCGTACTTGATCAGGGGTTGTGTTCCGGATAGAGTATATCCATCCGTAGAGCAGTCCCATTTACCGTGTGCAGAGGGACAGACAGCCAGAATGTTGCTGGCGCTGGTTGAAGTGCCCGAGGCGAGCCAGACGATGACTCCTTCCCAGTCGTGCCGGTGGCCGAGACCATCTGATGGCTCGTCCTTGGGCATGTACCACGAGTACATCACGGCGTAGTTGCCGTTGTAACTGGCGGCGCGACTGTATACTTGGCCGGTGCTGCTAGAGCATTGGCCGTCACTTGCGCCTGTAGGCTTGAGACCGGCACTAACAACGTTAGTAATGTATCTATGTATTTATAGAAAGCTATGTTCGAAACTCACTTGGTATTTCCTTCTGCATCAACGGCCGGAAACGGGACACATCCATTCACCACTTTGAGATAGGGCTTGTAAGCCAAATAGACCTCGCCAGTAATACCGCTAGGCACGGTTTGTGGAAATCCAACAACCTTATCACTATCGATCGTTCCTCGAGCGACAAGAGTAGATGTCTCTAGAAGAGGGGATGCGGATGCTACGGACGCGGCCAAAAGGGCCAAAGAAGTACGTCGAAAGAGTGCAACCATGTCTGTTATTTGCTTGGAATATGAACTGTGCTGCCTTTTTTTTTTTTTTTTTTTTTGCAAAACTTGTGTTGGATAGACGGTCTTATATAGACAGTATAATAGTTATTGCACACAGCAGTATGTCCAGGTGCTTGCCCCTTATGCCCTAAATATGAGTAGTAAACATGCGCTAGCAGTGCTTAATGAGCCATCGTCTGCATAATGCAGTAATTAAGAGCTAGTTAAATAATTTAAAGAAACATTTAGATTGAATATTGTCTATAATTATCCAATCGCACAAGGTTGCTAGCGCACACTCTCGGACGAGGTAACAGACGGATGCATAGATAGATTTGTTTAAACAAGCTGGATTCTTCATGTTTCATTGAGCGCGATGAATAGTCAATATCCTCGTTGAAACGTGCAGATATGAAGACAGCTAGGGTGCCGGTGCGACTGCTCACTTGAGAAATCATCGCCGAGGGATTGATTTGGCCCGCTTTGCTGATGTTAATTCATGCAGATATAGGTCTTGTTTCATTCAGACTAGCCGGAAGCAAAAGAACGTCCATTGACAACCATCGCTACGTAATATGTATTTTCACTACTCCATGGGCAGCTTGAGGGACCATCGGAGCCAATGGGAATCGAATCACACTGTAGGTAGTATTGAGAACGTTGCAGGATCGTACGTCCTTCGGTGACAACAATATCATTTCAAGAACGCGCCTGTCTTATTGCGACTGGAGCTTTTCACGATGGATTCCACACAGAACCAGGACCGCTGGAACATATAAAGCAATAGCTAGAGGGCGGGTTATGATCAACTTTTACCTTATAGACCAACACATTACCTACGATTTAGCCCCTTTGCAGGACTGCTCTAGCCCTAGCCCTAGCCCTACCTGAGCGTGTACAAGTCTCGAGATCATTCCAGGAGTGGTAGGGAATAGTTCCACGTGGAGAAATCACATCTTGGAGTAAGGAATGTACGTAATCCCCATCTTTTCTTTTTCTCAACTCATGCTCTATATTTTTGAAATGGAGTGTCAGTATGGTGTAGATTGGCGAGCTATAATTCACGGAACAGCGAGGCTACACCCCAGAGCCATCTTCTCAGCAGTACTGTAGAATTGGTCCGGACCTTCCTCCTCCAGTCCTCAGTCAGATGTATATAGTAAAAGATTGATCAGATTGACCCGTGCCGAAGGGCATACTGCAAAGTCATGCATTACCTTTATGTCAAAACGACTTGGCAATTAATACTGAAGATATCTCCATCCGATGCCGAGGATATCTGATGTCATTTCAAGAATTGGATTTCAGCGCTGGTACAGATTATTTCCTTCGTGAGGTTCCGATCGACAGTCTTATGAGAGGCGATGAAGGTCTAGCGTTTTGGCACGCTACATGAATGATGAAGCAACCCGCAAGGCGATAGAGTTAATACAACCTGGTCTCTTAGCTGACCTTGCTTCATTGGTCAGAGATACCCGTATACATCGTATTGGATATATAGACCTTGAATGATGATGGGCTTCAGCGCGTGAGAAATAGTCCGTATTGGCCTCAAACTTGGCCCCGCCATTTGTTCGAGCCGAGCATTATCGGAACCCGTACTATTCAAACCTGAGATAGTCTTCCGAAAAGAAAAGAGAATAAAAACGTGAAAGTCTTTTTTAGGGAAGTAAGACTGATATCTCATGAAATCTCGGGATCTTGCACGCCGTTCTTCCGGTGGTCCGTGCGCGATACAAGATTGTACGTCAAGAACCATCGCCGGTACAGCTGGCCTTCGCATTAGCACCCACGAATCGCAGTCGAGGATAACAGGGATGGTAGAGTAACCATGTCTTCGTCTATCCCATAGCCTCTACATCCTATAAGGCTCGTCTCCGTATATCAAGCCACCACAGCCAGCACCTCCGATGTTTGTACCCTATACTGGACCGTCCAACCAGCGCAACCCCAAGGCACGAAGGGCTGCCAATGCATTCAAGGCAGCGAGAGGGGCATCTCGTGCGAAAGGTGGCCATGGCACCTTGCAGTGGGTGCAGGTTCCAGACTCCAGCTCGGAGGACAGCTCTGAGAGTTCAACGAACGAGACACCCAGTTCGTTAGTCATCCGAGCGTCGAAATCCTCGTCTTCCAGAGCGGCAGAACCAGCCCCGCTACCAAAATTCGTGCTGGGAGGGCAAAAGTTCTACCCATACCATGGAATGGGAGGAAAGGGTCCTCTCACTACGACAGCTTTGAGCCGCTGTGTGTATCACCCGTTCCTCATTCAAAGCCGTTCTGCTCCTTATCTAGGGTCAATTTGCTGACTGCACACTTTCCTTCAACGCAGATTTTGATATCCTCCTTCCTGACGATTGTAAGGCGCAAGGCATCGATGTCTCCAGAGGGGCAGCATATGGAGGCGGCCTCCTAAAGTGGATAGCACAACATGACGGAGTACTGCATGGGCTTACTGCTTTTGCTCTCTGTAGTTTGGAGACTGTAGGCAAGACAGATGCAATCTACCAAGCAATTCTCCATCATCGCCACAAAATCCTGGAAGACGTCCACCGGCGGCTTGAGCGCAGACAAGTGGATGATGTGTTGATACAAGCAATATGTCTGTTAATACCGGTGGACGACTATCTGGGATATGTGGAATATGGCCCTGTTCATAGAAGCGGACTTTCCAATATAGTCAAGATTCGTGGTGGTTTTAGGCAAGTCGGGAATTCCGACATGGCATTTGGAAATCTACTGCAAACGAGCATGCTGGTCGTAATGAGCATGATTGACTTCCATGTGCAGACCAGAATTGCACCCATGTTTCTCCCGGACGAGAGACCAATGGCCTCTATAAGTTTGTCCTCGGAAATGCAGAAGAGAATCTTTGCACTCCCATCCGGGTTTCAGACCCTTGTTCATGCAGGGATTCTGTCGACGAATGTCTTGGTGATAGTGGAGAGTTATGAGGCCTGGCTGTTACAGGTGAAAGATGTCGAACTCAAAGATAGAGCCACCTGGCGACCACAACTTTTATCAGAACTCAATAATGTCGAAAAGTGCGTTGTCGTGACGCTTGTATGCTTAGCAGACGATATCAGTTCGCTGGGATTCCATGCTGCAGCGCCTATTTTCCGAAAACCCAAGCAGCGCTCTGAGGCCCTTACTGACGTCCCTGAACTCTGGGCTGACCCAGCACTCGTTGACTGTGTGATTTGGATGTCCACCGTCATATCTACCCCGCGCAACAGCCGAAGCATTGATCCCGATTTCAGAAAGGAAGTACTGAAAAGATCCATTCGCGGTAGAGATTTTGCTTTAGACTGGGAACAGATTCAGCGCAAACTCCGTCGATTCTTTTATGCTGAGGAACGCGCTGGTGACTGGGAGAAAGCCTGGAACCTAGCATTAGGTGAACCGTGGCTGTTTGAGTAGTTTACTCCATGGTGCGATGCTGCAGTGCCGCTGGATCGGTCAAGATGGACACTCATGAGTAGACTGAAACCCGGATATGTGTTGAATCCAATTTCTTGTGATGTTTTGCGTCGTGTGTTAGCCTCATTTCGCTGCTTGTCAGCCTTTCTGCGTGCCTCTATCGGGAGGCCGGCGTGAACCAATTGCGTTGGCTTCGAGAATAAATTTGGAAATATATAAACAAATAAAATTTAATAAAGTGTAAAAGACTGGGGAAAAGCTATGTAGAAGATAAGAGGTTGTTGCGTGCCCAAGGCAGTGAAATGGCGGTAGGTGGAGGAAATGTTACGGAGAAGCATAGAAGCTACCATGGATGTAACACAACAGGTAGATTAGTTTAGGAGGAAAGGGTCCATTAGTTAAGAAGCAGTAGTTCCGGCGTCTTCCACATTCATAAGGTAAACATCTAGCTACATTGACAGTTCCTTTGCCAACCCATGTCTTACAGTAGCCAGTCCCGATTGGGAAGGATGTTCTCCAGATGTGGTTAGGGCTAAATAGTGGAGAGTGCGGCCACCCGAGCGAGGGTTGTCACCGGAGGCCCAAGGGTTGAATAATTCTGATGATTCATGATTGTCAATCAGCCCCATATATGGGAACTCTGGTACGCTATAGGTATCCCAGTATTCCTCATGGAGAGCTATGGAGGAGATTTGCAGACGTTGAGATCGCTTCTCTTTACCGATAACCAGAGGACTCAAGGAGTTTCTCTATATCACCAGCAACATACGCCGACTATTTACACCAGGATCATGAACCGGATGTTTGTTCCGAGCAGGAATTTGATTTAACCAGTAAATTTCATCGGAAAATTCCCCAGACATGTTCATTCCTTACACTGTACCGTCCTCTGAGAAAGACCGCAACACTCGTCGCATGATCAACACGCATGTAGCTGCAAATGCCAGTGTCAAGCGTCGGTCCTGCAAGAAGGCAATCAATGATGGGTCTCAAGAATCAACTGAATTCACGAAAGGTCTCAATTGGTTCCATATTCAGAGCCATCCTACTACAACCCCCAGTCACAACCAGCAACAAGAATCTGCGACTGATGAGGAGAAAACTCTCGAACACACAGCTTCCGACCTTGTAGTGGCTCGTGAGTTCTGTTGTCCCTCATTCTCTGGTGGTAGATTCTACCCTATCAAGGATCAGGGCAGTGATTCACGCGGACAGCTTTTTCTGAATGCCCTCAGTTACTGTGAGTACGTCCGGCCCTGATATCTGGATTTCATGCATTCCATCTGTTCCTTGTGGGCCCTTGACTAATCGGATCCGTACCCCAGATTTCGACGTTCTTCTTCCATACGACTCAAAAGTTGCTGGGCTGAATAATGCAGAAAGATATGGTTACGCAGCAAAGTTGCTTGACCGCGTACTTCAATATAAAGAAGTGCTCCATAGCCGGGCGGCATTTAGTCTGTGTATCCTGCACCACAATAATGGCAGTAGACTCGTGCACCAGGCAATCCTGTCCCATCGTCAGCATACACTCAAAGCCTTGCGTCAGAAACTCTCTAGCCAGCAAGTAGATGATGCGCTGCTTGACAGCCTTTGCACAATGATTTCCGTTGACGAATACCTCGGGTTTAGCGAGTATCGTGCGGTGCACTTGAAAGGTCTTCAAGATATCATGCAAGTTCGCAAAACGCGCAATGCAAACCAACAATTAACCCTAAGCCCGGCTCCCATGCCTACAGCAGAAGAGTCAGCTATTACCATGGTGGTGAATATGAACAGGTTGATGGTAGAATTCCATCTACAAATGAACGTCGGCTTTTATCGGAAGATGGCTACAATCCCGACACCAACACCAGAGACACTCGCTCGGTTCTCGGATCCAGCACTGGAGATGAGGGCGATGAATCTTCCACCCGGTTTCAGAGACCTAATTTGCTCTGCTCTTCTTACGGCGAATATACTTAACCTGCTCGATGACTTTGCAGCTTGGTTCTTCAAGGGGATGGGCACGGAAGCCGCATATCGGGAAACCTGGCGGTACTCCTATTTTGAACCGGCCAATGGGCTTGAAAACTGCATTAGCACTGCCCTAGTATGCTTAGCTGATGACCTAAGTGCCCTTGGCTCACACCCGTGCGCAGTTATTTCCGGCAGGCGAACCAACGTGCAGAGATGCTGATGTCGTACTCCGAGCTGTGGAGTATGCCCTGTCTCAGAAACCTTGTTATCTGATGTCCACTGTCATCTCAGTCCGCGGGAGAAAACACTCGTGGCTGAGAAACGCAGATGGCACTGCTGAGGAGATCAATAGGACATACAGACTTCTACCAATCGGTTGATCAGGTTGAAGCAGTGCTGCAAAGTTTCTTCTATGACCACAGTCGCGCCGACGCCTGGCGACATACTTGGCAGAAGAGCTTTGGCTTTGTAATTAGCTTTTCTCTTCTCTGCCTTGATTATCTTGTGCTTTCAGGTGGTCTCCAGGATTGGCGCTTGGGCTCTTACCCCTGAAAGTGATTGGCATGTTTATACGAGTATCTCAGACTAGGCGATATAGATTGCAATTGTTTATTTTCGAGATACCAAGCAAAGCGACTTTGTCAATTCATCGCATCTGATATTCATATCTCATTAATTAAGCGAACAACAAGGGCCGACTGAAAGCGATCCCATAATCTGGATTGTATAACGGGTATAAAGGAGCTATCCTCCACGAAACGTATCGCCGGATATGTTTGCGACAACCATACTGTTTTTGACAATTTCACAGGCAATTTCATCCATGATTCGAAAACTAATTAATGTTCCGCTGCAGAATCACATTGGTAACCCCAAAAGGTAGTCGGCGTTGTTTTGGATATCGTTCGAATGGTCACTGTATCTCACTCGCCAAGCAGGCGTACCACCCACATAATTATTATCATTGAAGAGTAGATAAGGCATATCCAGAAGACCAATCGGCGACATTTCCGGACGCAGAGGATTATTCATTTCAAAAAGAGGATACGACTCGCCGACTGGTATAGAAGGAATAGATTTCGCGTGTCCACCGTAGGCCGCTATTGAAGCTTCGTCGATACCGCTGTTGGGAGTAAGTAGTTCCAAGCTGTCTTGCGGTGATTTCGAGTTCGTGGGCCATTCCCTTAGGACATCGGAGTTCATGGATGTGGCGCAAGTGTTGAGGTAGAGATTGCGGAGGAGGAATAGCTTCTGCTCCAGGTCTGCTACCTTCTTGTTTAGCATTGTTATTTGGTCTTCTTTCCGGGACCGGTATGCTCGTTGTGCAAGTCGTAATTGATCTTTTCGCCGCTATTGAGGTTTTGTTAGTAAGTTGGACAGAGAGTCTACGTCAATTGCAGACCACCCTCGTACCTCTTTAAGGTCTGCCTCACGACGATCGTCACGAATCAATCTGGGTCGACCACGTTTTCTGGACTTGCACACTGGTTTTGTGGCCCCAGCTTCGGGAGGTGAGTCGAATTTTTGGCTTCCGTTCTCTGTAGATGTTGGGCTGGCAATTTCTAAGCTTTCCACTGCTTCATCTAGTAGAGATGGATAGTCGTAAGCTGAATCCGATCCCCATGACGGAAATGGTAATTCTTTCGAGGTGTCTTCACATGCCATCTTCGACTGCTTGTGTGCCAGTAAAAGCAGACTTATTAGTATTCTTCAAGGAGTCTTGCAGGAGAGAGCAATGTTTTTTTTTTTTTTTCAAAAGAAAAAAGGAGAGTTCCAGATTGCTAAGCAGATGTTGCATGCAGCTCTATATAGTGTGATACATGGCCCAATCGCCAAGTAGACTGTAAGGTAAGTATCCGTAGGTGAGATAACGTTGCTGGCATTCCGACTCTAAATTCTGACGGAGACTGTCACGATGGTGCAATATAGTTGGTTAATAACTGGGGAACCGGCGAATACTCTATCTTAAGATGGTAGGAAAAAAAGTTTCTGGTGAGTTTCAGTGAATCTTGTTGGAAATTTCTTGTAGTCCATTTTCCTTTTTTGATTTAGCGCACATGCCACGAGGGATATTTTTGCTTGCTAAGAAGCTTTCTGCCGCTGTCGGACACGTCTGATGGTATTTAGAACTGCCGATAGATTGGCCGATTATGATAACTACCTGGTTGCTAACTAATCAGTATTTCTTCCTCAATATATAGAGCGCGATTGAAATTGGGGATCACGAAAGGACCTCCCAATTAGGAAACTTACCTTCTCTAACAGGAATAGCGTGCGGCTTCAGCTTAAGTTCCGTGACTTCGGGCCCAGACCCCGAACTTAGCCCTAATTCAGAGATCCGACTTCCTTTTTTGGAAAGGTCATTAGACACTTGACATGCTGACAAAGTGAGTCTATCCTGAACCCGAGACGTCCTGCATGAGCACTTTCTGTTTACTCTGCCATTTAGGGAAGTTCTCTTTCCTCATTGACACTAGCTGCTGCGGTTAAACGGTTTCAGACTTTCAAGTGGCTGGATCGCATCGCCAGACCAACGCTTAAAGTTGGGCTGTGGCGGAGGATCTCGTATGAGATCATGCTCTGCGAGCTAGATTCCGCACATACTGCCGCAGGGCTGGAAATGCTTGGCACCGGTGAATAAAATCTGGCTCTGACAAGTTGACGGTCTTCTCGGCTTGGAGACCCTAGGGTAGAGGATGACAGCAATCAGTGACCTCTGCCCATGGACAACACGCACTTCGTCCCGGTCCTACAGAGGCACACTATTAGCGACGGATGGATCATACCTAAGTAACAGTCCTCTGAATCCAAAGTGGATCACTTCATGTTGGACCTATGTTGGATTCAGGGGCGCCGAGCTGGATCATGGGACATTGATTGTTCCAACCTCATCATGTATGCAACAATTTCCGATAGAATGATAGTACGTAGGTTATGTACATAGGTTATGTACATGTAAAAGCATCAATTGATCTCACAAATATCGAACTTTCACTAACAGGGTATCCATATTTATATTATTGAAGTACGTAACCTTAGAACAACAAACCCCAGATTCGTTGTATGTATCCACCGCTTCTGGGATCCAAACAATGGCAAAAATTGGTTGCCAGTATTTGAGGTAGGTGGAGATTGATCACGCAGCGTCGCTCTTAGAAGACACTGAAGCGCAAGCAACTAATTGTCCCTCAGGCGCTGCACAACGGGCTTCCCGGTGCAGCAGATCGGCCAAGCTCTGGACTCCCAAGTCGAAATACGGGTTATGGTTTTCTAACCGTAAACGTTCAGGGTCCGTGAGAGAAAGCAGTGACTGCAAGGTGCTCAGCAGGGTATCGGATGAGTAATACCCCAGAAGACCAGAATTCTTTAGAACATCAAGGCATAGTTCACGGATGGACTGTATCCGTTGCTCGAGTCCCGCAACTTTGTCGTTCAAGAGTACGGCTCGCTGTTCTTGACGTACACGGTAACGTCTTTGTGCGAGGCGATTTTGTCGTTTCCGTCTCTAATTTGTAATAGATCAGTTCCGGTATGGTATTGTTTGCCGTACAAAGTAAACTCTACCTCAGTCAGGCCCTCAGTAGGCCTTTGAACACCGACACAATCGTACTCCAGCTGTGGAGGAAACTCTGATGGCCAAGATCGATGTGCTATATGAGTATAGACTGTAGCTCCATACTCATACAAAGGTGGTTGTGGGATATAGATGAAGTGCTCAAGAGCCGGGTTTGATACTCCCGTAGACATATCAAGATATTTTGGCGGCGGATCTGTTTGCACCTGAGATATGACTGCGTCGTTCCCCATATTTAGTTTAGGGAGACTCAAAGGTGTATCAGGCATTGATTGTATCTCTACTGTGGGTGGCTTCTGTTGGATAGACGATGGAATGTCCGTTGATTTGCAGATCTACGAACTGGACATCAGATGAAGCTAAATGTGGGCGTATATATTCATTCCATTACTGTCTTTAACACAATCAGATAGATTATTTGAACAACAGGTTAAAAATCACCTATTGGATGCCACAATTTTTCATTTACTAATCCCTATTAACTAGGTGAAAGTTTACTTTGCTGATATTTCTCTATTTAGTATTTGATTACCATAATCCCAGGGCAGACATTCTTATGTACAAACTTTTTAAAGATCGGCCGAGAGTGTCCTATCAGAGGGACTGGAATTATGCCGGGATGACGGATTATGTTGAATATTGATTACTTATCAATTCATATTCCTGTCCAAGTTTCTCTCATTAATATTCTCCTACCACCCATATTCTATCGAAGCGCAGAACATTCGCTGCCAACTGACAACTATGCCAGCCCCTGAGGAACTCGGCGTTGAGCTTTCTATAGCGTCCACCCTGGGATATGACGATACTGAAAGAGCTTTAGAAGAAAACTCGCCAGCTAAGAGTAACTCGTTAAGGACGACTGTTACAGCTCAAGACTGGATTGGGCCTAACGATCCAGAGAACCCTCAGAATTGGTCAACGCCGAAGAAGATATACCATGTACTAGTCCCTACCATTTTCGCATTTGTGGTGTATGTAAGAAAATTTATTCTCCTGGTATCTTTCAAACCTACCTGGGGAGCTAACGCGTGTCATTTATGATTACACAGTTCTCTAGGAACATCAATCATTTCGCCAGCGATTGACTCAATGGCCGATGCACTGCACGCCAGCAGCGAAGTAGCCCTACTCAGCTTCTCATCCTATGTCCTAGGACTCGCCTTTGGTCCGCTTCTGGGTTCTCCTATGAGTGAAGCCTTTGGTAGGCGAGCCGTGTATCTACTATCAATTCCGATCTCACTACTATTTACCCTCGGCGTCGGATTCGCCCAAAACATAGAAACAGTCATCATCACAAGGTTCTTTGCCGGTGCTTTTGGAGGACCTGTTTTGGCAATTGGTGCCGGGACAAATGCAGACTTATTCATTCAAGAGCAGAGGTCAACCATGACAGCTGTTTTTTCTCTGGCACCGTTCTGCGCTACAGGTATCGGTCCAGTCATCGGCGCATATGTGAATGCCTACAAAGACTGGAGATGGGTAGAATGGACACTCATTTTCTTTCTTGTCGCATCTTATTTCTTCGCCCTTTTCGAGGAGGAAACGTACAAGAAGACCATTTTACAACGACGAGCAAAGAAGCTTAATATCGCTCCTCCGCCCACGGTCTCCGGTATCGCGAGCCTTCGACATACCGTTACCGTCGTTCTCCTGAAACCTATCCATATGCTTTTTACTGAACCGATCGTGACATCCTTCAGTGTCTATATCTCATTCAATTTTTCCGTCCTCTTTTCTTTCCTTGCTGCTGTTCCACTTGTTTTCCGAAATGTTTACGGATTCACTCCTGAGCACCAAAACTTGACCTTCATTGGTATCTTTTTCGGATGCGTCCTTGCTCTTCCTACACAGCTGGCGTTAGATCAAGGTTTGTATCAGAAACGTCAGCGTAAGTCATTTACCGAAGGTTCAGGGGCGATTGCGATAGCACCAGAGCACCGCCTTTATGGCGCAATGCTTGGTAGTATTGGTCTTCCAGTTGGCATTTTCTGGTTTGCATGGTCATCAAGGAGCGATATACATTGGATCGTTCCTATTATTGCCTTGGTACCTTTTGCATGGGGTAATCTGTTAGTCTTTATCTCGGCTGTGCTGTATACAGTCGATGTGTACCAAGCAGTTAATGGTGCGTCTGCGGTTGCTGCGAACGGACTGCTACGGTACATTATGGCTGCAGCTTTCCCGCTGTTTACGATTCAGATGTATGAAGGTCTTGGTCATGAGTGGGCGAGCAGTCTGCTCGGATTTGCGACTTTGGCGTTGCTGCCAGTGCCGTGGGCTTTATACCGTTGGGGTCCAATGATCAGGCGCCGGAGCAGCTATGATACTATTAAGGCATGATTTTTGGAAGTATACATGGTGACACTCGATGATAATTATCAAAATAGAGCCTTAATATGGGATTAACAAAAGAGATATAGAAATAAAACAAGAAATTCCTCTGACTACTTTGAGCGCGGGATAAGTACTGCTAAGTACAGTAATGACTTATATTAGATGTGACTGCGTTTCTCGAAACACCTACGTGAAACAGCTAATAGAGTACAATAACCATAACGGCAAGTGACAAATAATTTCTGGTCTTTACAGATTCCCCAAGCACATTCCTTGACAGGGCGCTCTTAGACTAGGTTGGGCGTATCTGCGATTCTGTCATAAAGAAAATTGGCTGAATGAGAGAGAAACAGGAAAGAAGTGAGTTATCTCACCGGTAAACCAGCTTCTGAGCTGAGACCTTTCGATCATATAGCAATTGAATTCCTTCGGCCACACTCTCAAGACCCTTAGGTAGAACTTCGAACGGATGGGGCTTGAGCTTCTCCTCGGCCAGGAGGCGACTAATATACCGGTAAAAGACATAGGCAAACTCGTGATCCTCTGCTGCTTGAGTTTCATCTCGATACTTGTGGGGAGTACCGTATGCGCTAGAGACAAAAGTCCTTGTGAACTTGATCCCCTCCGGCCAATTCCAAGAATCACGATTAGGGATTGCAGAATCATCACTAGGAGGGTCGACCATGTCGATTTGACCACCTCTTGACGCCTGGAGCACTGCTACAATATTCTCATAGCTGCGATTGTACGAGACTGCATCGAAAGCGTGGTGCAATTTCCGCCCCTCGAGAGCTGCTTGGATAGCTTCCACCACATTCCCATTTCGATAATCGATGATATGATCCGCCGCATTGAGGGACTTCACAAAGTCTATTCCATTCCCTGCGACTGTAATAATTGGCGATAAACCACTGAACTTTGCAAACTTCAGAGCATAGGCGCCAACAGCAGAAGCACCACCGTAGATAAGAATGGGAGTCTCTGTCTTTGCAGGATTCCATGGCAGAGGAAGGCTCAGGTTCTGGTAGAGTGCAAGGGCAGCTGTCATGCTCGCTAGAGGCAGAGTTGCTCCAGCCTCAAAGGACGTGTTTGCAGGGAGCCGGAAAGTCGTAGATGCCGGGGCAATCGCATACTGGGCATAGGATCCATGAGGCTGGAACATGCGATGAAAGGCAGCAACACGGTCCCCAGGAGCGAATTCCCAGACTGAGCTTCCGACTGACTCGACAATACCCGAGATATCATCGCCTTGGTTGATACCACGGCCTTCTTCATGGTTGCGAAAGGCCTGATCATTGCTCCCATTAGCATATGTATTTCCTACTATCAATTTTGCTATGGAAGCCGCTTCCAATGCTTACTTTCCAATCTTTTGGATTAGAGTCCGTAGCAATGACTTTTATCAGTACTTCATTTGCGCCAGGCTTCCTGTTCAACATGTCTGCTTAGCAGTGCCATGAGCTAGAAGTATGAAATAACCTACGGGATAGGAGCAATGCTCCGGGTTGCTTTGATAGGGCCGGGTTTCCCACTGATAGTGTATTCAATCATGTTGGTGGTCATTCTGGGTTGCTCAGGAACGAATTTTTCAAACCGAAATTTCTGCAAAAGATTTTGAGGATATCGTCTCATCCAGTCAATGTTCTTCGCGTGTAATTGTCTTGCTGTTTGGCCATGTTTGTTGAGCCCTATATATATCCGGATATCTCATAAGGAACCTCTTCAAGGATTACAAATCAACGCTCCTGAACCTGCTAACAGTATGACCATTGATCCTCTAGACATACCTAAGATAACTTATTAATGAATGCGATAGATGATTAAGACACGTATTGATGATTGATTCCCCAGACATTCCTAACATAGCTAGCTATTTCCTAATTTCCTAACTAGGGAATGCTGAGTAATCATAGAAATGGTCGTCATTGTTTTTGTTGGAAAGTCCGCGAATAACCGCTGAGGCTTGCATCTTCATACGGAGTTGGGAAGATTCTCCCCGGCCAACTATAATGATAAGGTAGTATAGGGCTGGGACATCATTAGCTGATCCATCTGTATCCCAGCTTATACATACATATGCTCTTTTCTATCGGTCGAAGGGGACTGCCCCCAGTACCACCCTATGTGATGTAGATTGATTGACGTATTTGGCCACTGGAAAATGAACAATAGTCCGATGATTGGCACAGCCTTCCACTGTTGTTCAAGATATCTCAATCGTGTCATGCAACCTAGACACGATTGCCTTCCCTATAAAACCTATGATTTCCGGAATTGATGGATATCACAAGGATCCCCGCCACTTCATTGTTGTTGTTGTATCCGTCATCGCCGAACAAAATAAGTCATCCAATAATACATAAAAGTATGCATATCAGCCGAGTATGCACCCATGGCTTCTAATTCTGCAGAGGCCTTTAGCATCTCTGTCTTCTTTTGTGTGATCTCTGCCGTGCCGTATTTGCACACATCGCATGCAAAGTCGCATGGAGATGACGATGTCTGATTTGATCGTGTAGTCTGACTCGACATCAGAATTTCCAACTCGAGGTCGCCTGAGAACTCCCGGATAATTTCGTGTCTGCATCGGTCAGTTGACTCACAGAATGCTATCACTTTGTTGAAGCTTTCGAGACGCGCCTCAAGGGAGCGTTTTTTTGCACCCGCCGTTTGAGGAGCGAAGCGATTACTGGTTCGTTCGGGTCGGCCGTCAGCCTTGACTCGTTCAAGAACTCGATCGCGTTCATTGCGATTATAGTATATGATTGAGACAGCTGCACGTCCGTCCCTTCCCGCACGGCCGGACTCCTGGACCAATCCTTCGAAGCTCCGTGGAGGTGCCCAATGAATCACAAAGCGAACATGAGGATTATCAATTCCCATGCCAAATGCGTTTGTAGCGACGACGATTGAAAAGTACGGACAGGGGCCAGTTAGCTGAGTTGAAGGCGGGGTTTTAGATGCCCACATTTTCTGGATTCGCTTGCGGTCACTGGCCGGAAGACCGGCATGGTAAGCCACTGCGCGGATGTTCCTACCAGATTTGTTGAGTATACGAGCAAGTACATCTGCAACTGACCGCAAGGGTACATAAATAATGCCAGATATTGGCGGAAGTTTAGGCCTTGGCTCATTGGATTCACCGTTGGCGTCCGGATTCATACGAGCCTCACGTCGTTTCCGTACAGTGTCTAACCATGTGAGCAGATCGTGTACTCGTTCTTCATCAGCTGAGGTGCAATCATCGTCGATCTCTTCCACATATTTGACTTCGTAATGAATGTTGGGCCGAGCAGAAGGGGTATGAAACCACTTCAGAGAGTCTTTATCAAGGCCAAGCAACTTCACAATATCATTACGCACTTTTGGCGTAGCCGTTGCCGTAAGTGCCGTTATAGGAACAAGCGGGTTCTTAAAAGTCTCCCTAAACCACGACAGCTCTTTATATGCCGGTCGAAAATCATGGCCCCATTCACTGATACAATGTGCTTCATCAATTGCCACACGAGTGAGTTCTCCCTGAGCGTGTATTCTCTTGAGGTTGCGTCGAAATGTTTCCGTGCAGCAGAATTCGGGCGTGACATAAAGCAAGCGGATCTTGGGATGCCCGGATAGGATGTCCTCGATAATCGCTTTCCTTTCGGATAATGGTGTGGTGCCATTGATTGTTGCAACAGGGATCCCGTAGGCTTCGAGTGCGGCAACTTGGTCAACCTAGAACTACTTCGTTAGGGTCTTGTAATCTCAACTGTGCTTTTTGTTCCTACCATCAGCGAAAGGAGTGGTGATACTACTAGAGTCACTGCTTTTGATTAGCATTCATCAAAACTGCCCAGGAAGGGAAACGTACCACCATGGCTGACAACAGCGGGTAGTTGAAAGCAAAGACTCTTTCCAAAGGATGTAGCAGCTTGTAAGAAGACATCGTGGCCATCGATCACCGCTGAGATGACCTCGCGTTGAAGAGGCCTAGTAAGTCAGTTTTATGATCGTCCGAGGATAATGGTTCTACAAACCGAAAAGAAGTCTTCCCAAAGACGCGTCGTAACGTGAAGTCAATATCAACCCATAAATGATTATGATCATTTACCATATCTGCATGATGCGTTGTGGTATGAGGGGCATTTCGTATGGGTTGTCTCACTGTTCGTGTTGTTAGAGCTCGCAACTGCTGAAGATTATGGAACTGTTGTTGATGGATGATCTGGTAGCACGCATCGTGAAGTCGGTGCACTGCAAGTCACGGTGTCATGTGATATCCCGGCAAAGAGTCATTTATGTCCTTTCTGGTGTTCTTTTATTGATTGATTGCTTTCCTATAACAAATAAGACAGAAAGTCTGTCAACCTATTAAAAATACACTGTGATATACATGAGCTCTATGAGAATATACATTGATGAATGGCTGGATTATCCATTCCCAGACCTTGCGTGTAAGAAATACCAGTGGGTGGTACTTTCCGGCAACTATGATCCTCCTTTTGCCAATGCTGCTTTTCTCTTGTAAATCCTTACTATCTGCCGCCGTAACTCTTTTCTCACGCCTCGTACGTCGACAAGCCGTCTCTTCACAGGTTGCCACATACTTTCAATGTCCGAGTACACGCGAAATAAAGTTCTAACTCCACAGTGGGAGCCAAAGGCTTTCAAAATCACGACATTGAGCTCTCGACTAAGAAACATAGCGTTGTAAATCCTTCGTCGCTTTTTCTTATCATAAATCCAGTGCTGGTGGAGCTGACGGAGGCGGCCATTTTTCGTAAGCTGGTCAAACAGTGCCATAAGAAACTCATTTCCGTGTTTCTTGTCTTCGCCGACTGTGTTCTCTTTAGTTATCTTAGAGCCCGTTTGGATTTGTCCATCTATCGACGCTTGAGAATAACTTTGTGATCCTTGTTGAGGTGGTCGGAGAGACTTTAATGGGTTTTCCCAGTTTACTGGCTTTAAAGGCAGTCTCGAATTCTCGAAGTGGTCCAACTGTGTGTAGGAATCATATAGAACACTTTTGAATGCTTTCCAAAGCTCCAACAGTCTCACTTCTGTCCATCCTTTGGCTGACGAATGAAGAGCGAACCCACGAAAAAGGAAGTAGTAAACGATAACATTCGGTGGGTTTTCGAAGACTTTCTCCATGTCGCTCAGTAGCCGACGAATAGCCATCAAATCCCCCGTATGAAGGCAATGGAAGCGGAGCATGATGGAGAATGTTCTGGAGTCGGGTAGGAAGGGGATATGTAATTGTCTTCCATGCTCACATTTCTCTTTTGTCCTCACTGCCAGGTAGGCCTCGAAAACCTTAGTAAGGGTATTATTTCTCGATCTCCAAGCATGGAAATCGGCAGACATCGACGGAACATAAACGGGAGTCATATCGCTGCCAGTAGTTCTCGCGTGATCCTGCATCATGCGAGAATAAATCTGTTCGGCCGTGTCAAAATCTCCCGCGTTGAGTAAAGATGAGATCAAACAATTGATAACAGTCGTATTAACAACTTTGCCCGATGAAACAAGTTCCTGAAAAGCTTTGCGTATCCCTTCCGTATCGCCTCTTTTCCCGTACGAATAAAGAATGGATAAATAGCCTTGTAGTGAAAGTTGCAATTTTCGGTTTTTCATCTCCTGTATCAAGCGATCACCCACGCCAAAATGACCAGAAAGCGAAGCGATTCTGAAAAGCAGCTCAAACACCACGTTATCTGCCTTAAGGTCATATATAGTCTCCATTCGATGCCAGATAGCGATGGCATCCATCAAGTCCCGTTTGTTAAGTTTCGGTTCCTTGTGCGACGTGAAATAAATGGCTGACGTGCACAGAGATCTGGATAGCTTGAATCCGGCGTCAATCATGTCTTTAAAAAGCGTTAAAAAGTAGCGAGCATTACACCGACGTCGGTCTGGTGGGTGTGCAAAGCGATACAGGAGCCTGCTCCTCTGTTTGAATGAAAGGAGCTTCAACCCTGGTGATGGTAGACGTTTGTATAAACCGAAAACATACTGATTAGACTTGGAACTGCTCCGAACGGCAGACATGAATGACTGGATAGCACTGGCAGCTGTAGGTTCCTTTAATCTGTGTCCAATGTGGTTTTTTGGCCACTTTGGTTTTACCCGTCCATTGTGGTGTGTCATCCATTTCTCGTGGTATTTGAACGTGAACGGATGTTCCACCTGCCTTCTGCGATCACACCGATACGCTGAAGTAATGACTGTGTGTCGGGTTTTGCTTATATGTGCAGACGCGTTATGAGGGGAAGACTCTATTGATTCCTTCATTTGACGCATCGTCCTGCGATCATCAGATCCTAGAATCATGGGTTCGGGGGCCCGTTCTGTACTCGCCGAAACCTTGTTGTTCACACGGATTGACGAGAAAGGACCGACAGGACGGGGATCGCGATCGTCAATTTCGCTTTTGGCTGCATATGTGCTTAATGGCTGCGATTGGATGTGTGCGGCACGGGGATTGAATGAGTGGGTTGGAAGCCCAATGCTTGGGTGGCTGGGGCTCTGCTTATTGTTGCTATAGTTTGCAGATGTTCCAAATGCGCGATATCTGATGGAACTGAACTGGTTATGGACGGGATAGGCTCGCTGCTTGGGGGCGTGATCAGGACAGAATCCCGCAAGCACCAGTGACTGTATGAAAACATCTGCAACTGCAGCAACGGCAGGCCGTCGCTGTACTATGCGTCCATATTTATTCCGACCATGACGGTTGAGCTCTCGCTGGCTGTGCATTGGGATTTCCTTCCCATTCGCGATGGCAGTCCGCCAGGGTGTTGGCTCTGCAGATATACTAAAAACCGGCATCGGTAAGCGGACATTGCGACTTCAACGTAACGACACACATAAAAGCATTAGTTTGGATAGAGTAAACAGTAGAAAACGATGGTGTTGAAGTAATTGTATGTTGATAGAAGCTGCGGTTCTGTACAGCGAAATGAAAATAATTGTCAAGATGGACTGTCCGGCGGAGCTGCAGTGGAGCCAATCGGAGCCTTCCTTCCGCGACCATCTTTTTCTGCAATCCGCCAGGAACGCCAAATCATTCCCCCCATCACAATCGTCCTTACAGGGTACCAGGCATTCGTCAACGACGATATCATCTTTCAATACCTTGAAAGTTATTATCGACAAATGATTTAGATTATTTCCCCCCGTCAGTTCGAATCATCATCACGTTCGCTCGCCGTTCGATAACGCCTGACAAGACAGTATGGGGAAGTATAATCTAACCGCACTCCGAGTTCGACAGACTGCTTTGCGCCAGAGGGCAAACGGGAAAATTGACAAACTGCCGGAATGGGTCGATATTGTCGGTGATATTCCCCCAGCGCAGGTCGTTGTTCGTCATCAACCCATTCAGCATGAGTATCTCCGCCAGCGAGTTAGGACAGTGCCCGGCACTTCGAAGCTGGAGGTCTATTTTGAGAGCATAAACCAGCGACGGACCAACCGCAACAAGAAACCCAGCAAACTTTTTCAGCCTCTAAAGATCAAATATGAAGAAGATCAACTTCGAAAGGAATTCTTCCGCGACCATCCATGGGAGCTGGCAAGACCACGAATCGTACTCGAGAAAAGCGGAAAGGATTTTGAGAACTACGACTGGAGTCGAATACAACAACCGGGGAAGAGACTGGATGGTGAAAGGTAAGCGTCATCACCTGATTGAATGGCATTGTATACGCGTGGATAGCTGGTGTAGTTGCTGATCCTTACTTGGTTATAATAGCGTGGTACAACGACAACTATGGCTTCTCAATAACGTACCCGACATGACAAAGACAGCTGCATATGATATTGCTCGTCGAGAATTTTACCGCCTTCGTCTGCGACAGGAAATTGAACAAAGGGTGGCGGCAGAAGAGGCCGAGGCAACGGGCGCCGTGTTTGGACCTCGCATGTTGGACATCTCAATGGAACTTGAAGGAAAAGTCTATGAAGACTGGAAGGTGTGGGCAAAGACTCAAGCCCAGATTATGGACCAGAAAACAGCAGCATTTGTTGGCGCCCCGGAAGTCGCGATCCCTCCAGATGATAGTAAAGTGAGCGTCATGGAGGCTGAGGTTGAGGTGGAAGCCGTGGCGTAATCATCACGCATTATACATGAACTGTACTTTATTCAACTATATCTTTTTAGTTAACCGGTTGTACTCTGTATGATAGGAGATCGCTGTTCTTCCCTTTATTTTGTATAATCGAGATTGCCTACTGTAGAAATATACTCTGAACTCACCCATGCTTTTTGTTGGTTTTTACTATTAGCCTTTTCTCACCTTTTTCTCACGAGAATTATAAACCTATATCAGATCTATCAACATTAAGCATATCATACGATCAGGCATCACGGGCTGGACCAATCGGCAGAACTTCATGCCTGAAAAATTAGGCTTAGCCGCCGTTTCAGTGTGCTCTGTTCCTGCGCTTGTCGATTTCGGGCCTCTCAGCTTCACCCATTCCAGACCCACCAGTGTGACGACTGCAAGAATACTGTTACTCACAATTGATGATTGCTTGAGACGCCCAACTACCGGCTCGAATCGAAATCACCTCCAACCTTGTGCGGCTTCGGAGTTCCAGTATCGTCCACTTCTATTTGCGAGACACACCACGCCGTGCCGGAACGCCGGACAGTGCGGGCGATCTCCTTGCCTGGGAGGTTAATCGCTACAAAGGGATTGATCAAACACGAACTCTACAGCCGTGTCCGCTTATAACGCAGAACATTATCACTGTGGACGTCTTACGAGAATCCTATTCGACTGTAATAGTCGTGCAACGTGGGCTGGTGCTGCTTCCATATTTCTCGCCATCCCTGACGTGAAGTTGCCCTTTACTCCTCTCTCTCCACTCGATCCTCCCTTGCACCGAGATCTCGTTCGCGTCCGTCTATTTTTCCACGACCGAAAGAGGAAAGCAAATCCCACGCCACATCTAGACTGTATCTCGCGATAGGAGCACGTTTTTCGGTTCTTTGTTTGCCGAACTTCCTCGTCCGAACAGCTTGGTGAAACCGTCCAAAGAATGTCGAGATAGTGCTGAGAACACGCCTTTGCGTCCTGGTCATCGAATTATGCGTGTTTTTAGGTGTGAATAAGTTTGAGAAGTCTTGATTCACTTGAGCGCAATTTATTCAACCCTCAAGCAAAAGACGTCTGCAGGGTGCACCGGCATGTTGCGTGTTGAAGATACCGTCAAACTCTCTCACCCTCTCCGGAGCCAGACGAGCATGGAGGATGACATGACAATTGCAACTACCACACCTGGATCGAGCTTTTCGTCCGCTAGCTCAACCCAGAGCGCCCCCTCGAGTATCGATGACGAACCGGAATATATCAAACAGAAGGCGAAGGCTGCAAGAGAAGCAAACTCCGAGGTTCGCAAAGCGACACTCAAACAATTGACACCAGAAGAGACTATTGAGTTGACTCGACAAGCAGTCGAAAATGGTATCCAAGATACGAAGCGATCATTAGCTGGGAGCGAAGCAGTGAGTGATGTGGTGCGGCCGAAATTGACCATCGATCTCGGCCATTCATGTATTGGACAAATTCCTGAGGGTGTTGTTGACATCATTAAGGATGAAGTTGAAAGGTATGTGTTAGGAAGAGAATCCCTTCACTATTATTAGGGGTCATTTGGCCTTTCGTTAACATGAGCAGACTTTCTTTGTCAAACAACCAGCTACTCCATATTCCGTACCGCTTTGCAGAATGTGCCCACCTTCGATATCTCAACATACGCGCAAACAATTTCCGAGAGTTCCCAAAAGGGGTATGTTATTATGATCTAGAGTGTTGGCCGTTCATTGCTAATTTCTGATATTGCACAGATATATAAATTACCTCTGCTAGAAATCTTAGATCTCAGTCGCAACAAAATCAGCAGAATTCCCGATGAAGTGCGAAAACTTACATCTCTACGCGTCTTTTCTATCATGCAAAATCGCTTGGACGATCTTCCCTCAGGTGTTGCGGATATGAACAAATTACAGATCCTGAAAGTGTCGGGAAACTTTCTTAAATATCCTCTAAGGAGAGTTTTGGAGAATAAGGAGAGCGAAGTAGCTCCGCTGCCAATGTCGACGAATGAGAAGGAAGCATTGGTCACCGCAGAGTTGAAGCGCTTTCTAAAGACCAGACGACAAAGCACAACGCCCGAGCCAGAAAGTGGTAGCGAAGCTAGTGAGCCAATGCCCACTCTTGACACACCTAAACCTGTCAAGCGTGGAGGTAATAGCCGATTTCCTGTTATACCTAGTACTAGCGATGGCTCGTCAGACCCTCGATCGCCGAATCTTTCGAGACCACCACCCATCCCTATGAGATCACACCAACGGCTGGCGTCGGGCCAGTCATCTTTTCAGCCGGGGTTTTCAAGGCCCGCCATTGCGCCTGTTCCTGGAGCTAACGAGAGAAACCGCAGCAACAGTGAAGGCATCATACCCCTCTCGACGCGAAACAAGCGAATGGGTCTCATCTCCAGAAGAACAGATCTTGGCACACTAGAAGAAATGAGACCATATCGTAATAGCCACTTGCGAGGTCTCAGCCATGGCTCTCTTCTGAGAACCAACTCATCCAGCGGACGAAATGGTAGCGCCTCCTCCAGTCCCGGAAGTCCTCACGGTGAACGCAGGCGAGCACGCGATGGCCCATCTCGACGCATGTCGAGTCTACCGGAACATAAGGAGGAAACGGCGCTTACTCCGATTGTGACAGGAGCCAAAGGAATCTTGTTCTCATTGTTCCAGATCCATTCTCATATGTCCACTCTGATCAATGTAATCAAGGGTGACGATGCGCGACGGCACAGTCTAGAAATCGTTTTTTATAATGCGTCAACGCACGTGGAACAACTCAACGAAGCGTTAGAGACTATCGTCGACATGGATCCAGATAATAGAGACTTCTCAAGACTCTCAAGCGACGTCAAGCGTGAATGTGTGACTTGTCTAATGGCATACACGCATGTAGGAGCGCAGCTTCGTCAAGGGGCTCGGAGGATTGTTGAGCAAGGCGATCCCCGGTATGTTCGCTCACTTATGTTAGTGATATATGGCAGTCTCCTGGAATTGCGCAATGCTTGCATAAGTCTTGGAGCATCATCGTTAGCCACCCGAAAAGAGCGTAAGACCTTACGCAACAAGCCGGCCGATCTTGGAGGTGAACAAGTACAGATTTTGTCCGACGGTCTGCCGGCGGTTGCAGTCACTCCGACAAGAGAATCAACTCAGCCAACGCGCCGATTCCGAAGCGATACTATGATTCAACATCCCCAAAGCGGCCCTATATCTTCAACACCTAATATGGGGTGGCAGATCACGACAGCCTCCCCCAGTGCGACAACACCGAGTTCAACAACGATGATGTTCGGAAGTCGAAGTCGATCCAACAGTCGGGCAGCTACAGCACTGAGTTCGACCGCTGTATCGTCTCTGGCAACACCTCGTTCTGGCGAAGCTTTCCCACCTATTCCTAACATGCCAGGTACCAGAATCAATCCTGTCACGGGACTAGACGAGTTTGTTGAAGAGCAGATCTTCGAGAAGATTTTCAAGCAACTCACAGCAGCGTACAATGCTGCTCTCCATGCTTTACCTTCTGCCAGGCATCAATTCTCCCGGTGTCTTGAGATTGCTGAGACGACAAGGGAGCCGGAGGAAATTCGTATAATGTGGAACAACCTCATTCGCCGATGCAATGCTTGCTTTGAGAGCTCAGAAGCATTAGGACAAAAGCTGTTAACAATGAAAGTCAAGGAACCCGGAGGTGGAGCCAGAAATCAAAAGGACTTTTGGCAATTATGCAAGGTGTTTATGCAGTCATTTGTCGACTTGGTTACCGATATGCGCGAAGTGAGAAACATGCAACTCCTGCCACCGGACATTGTCACGATCCTACGTCCTGTACAAAAGGCCAGCAGAGAAGCAGGACGATTAATCGAGACATCGCCATGGTCCTATTTCGCAGATGTGCCCGCCGCCCCTCATATCCCCTATGTTTATGGCCCTCCCTTACAAACAAGCCAACATCATCCATCCTCATCAGCACCGGCACCGTATCTCAGTTCGAGTAGCAGACTCCCCGGCGCATCACCGCAATCTTCAGCTATGCCTGCGACTCCTCTGAGTGCAGCATTGGGACCTGCCGTTCAAGCGACGATACCATCTACTCCTGCCAGTGCTTATAGTGATCGATTCTTTGCTGGAGATGTCTTTCAGCGAGCAGATACGTTGTTGTCGATGCAGAATCAGGCTCCGTACCTATATCGCCGGTGATATTACAGTCTTATTTCTGCCATGACCGCGAAGTATATTCGCTTCCCTCTGCTGGGTTAGAAGCGAACATTTACATATACAATCGCCCAATGTTATATATAGGAGATATCTGCACACCCTCATTTATCCATTCATCGTCCACCCAACCCGTCAAGCGTTGATCACATGACTGGTCGAATGGACCTGGACCACATCAATCTATCAAACATCTATCCGATCCAAAATGAAAAGTCTATGTATTTCACGAGCACTATCATCCGGAGTCTCTTTTTCCTGCTTCAGGTCTCTACCTATCTGGCATGTTAAATCATCCCATTGTGAGATGTTCTTTTTTTTTCTTCTTTTTTTTGGGTTTGCATTTTGAGCGTTGTCATTGATCTCTACGTTTCCTTTTGAAAGTTCTGGTTGATCAAAATTTCCTGTCGTGTATTTCCAGCATGGAGTTCTTGTATGTGTGGATATATATCGATTTCAAAATACCTTCAGACAGATACAGAAATACTGAGATGGTTCGCACAGTCTGACAGGCAGCTGGTCCAAGTTTAGATGCGTATCACGGCGTCAACTTAGGCAATCCATGCCTGGGAGAACACGTAGTAAGATATGCAGATAATCTGCATTTCATCGGCTGAAGCACCGTCAGAAAAAAATTTTCTTCTCTTTTTCCAGGCACATGTCCACGGGATTGAGTTGTTGTCACTGTTGTTAACAAAGTGAGGCGACCAAGCTCAGACGTGGCAGGCGGAGTACGACTGGTCCAGAAGGGGCAGCCTCCATCCTCGCCTTCGCACTGAACACGTGCCACCAAATGGCAAACACTAGTGAATTGTGATTCTCACTGTATGTACCTCATTGTAGACTGTTGATGGCATAGGTTAATAACACGTGAATACTTGGATAGAATTCAAGCATTGTTTCCTCTCTGCAGAGCTGACAATTTGAGGATTGTTTTCCTCCAGGCTAGCCGCTGACCCACCAGCGGCGAGTTGACTTGGCGTCCCGGGTTAGCAACTTAGCAATGATGGCGACGTTTAGTTCGTCTACCAAGAGACTAAGACTCAATCCCGGCGGCTTGTTGGGCCTAGTCCGTTCGATTGGTCGCCGCGACTATTGGCGCGAGGCGGCTTGCCATACCTTAAGCCCCAACTAATCCATGTCTATGGTGCTGCTCACTGCTCGCCTACCACTTAGTCGTACTAGAACTACGTACGTAGTACAAACTCGAGTCTCGAACGGAAGTATATAATCGTACTTGGTTGTCTTCATGCAGACCAGGTTGTTCCTGGAGTGTGAAGACAGCCTCACTTGCCGCTTCACCTATGAGACATGTCCCTTGTTGTCTCACAGAGCTTGCATTCCATGTCGCGGTCCATCAGCATTTACTCGACAGGTCGTCGCCACTCATATGGACCCCAAGACCATTATTCAAAGTATATATTTCAGTGCGTGACTTGGGAACTTTCTCTAGAAGCATAGCTAGAGCACACACCGCATTCCATATGGCACGCCAATACTACTTCCAATGCCCGTAGTCACAAATTTCTAGGGATTCTGACCGCTAGATAAACGAGTGGCGCATCCAATGATAAGATTCGCCGTCAGAGAGTACTTCCCATATTCACAGCCAATGGGCAAGTCTTACTTTCGATGACATTAGTTCATAAAAAAATGGACAAATATTGGAGGCGCAAGCGGTAAGTGCGGCGAACGGGAACGATTGTATACGACCCAGCCCGTCGGAATCCGGAAGTTCTTATCGCTCCCCCGAGCCCCTTTCACCTCTGAGCGCGTAGACTGGACCCCAAGAGTTACGGAGTACTTATCTCAGTAAACTCAGACGCTTATTCGCTACAGGCCGGCATTCTGCCGGGCGATGAGCACGGCGAAAAGCGGCGGCTGAGAACAAGTTTCCGCGATTTGTTAGGACGAGGTCAGTAAAATAACATATATATTTTGACTTTATCGCGTACGCTCTCATTCACAACAATAATAATCAAAATTCTGCTTCACCGGAGGTCTAGAGAAACCAATGGGCTCTTAATTGAACTACTTTGTGTACAATTTAAAGATAAGCTCGTAGAGTAGTCGTAGTTCTAAACCATAGCAATGTTTTCAAGCGAGGTCAGTCGACATAACAAGCGGCTATTACCAGCTCAAAAGGGCACTCTCGTGTAATTCGGCACGTCAACTGGCGGCGTACGAGGGTTTGATTATTGATATAGAATAACAATATGAATAGTTAACTATAACTAATAATAATGGCGGTAACTTGTCCTCACACTCTCCTGCGGAGAATTCGCGAAGCGAATGGATTAGCCAATCAGGAAGCTTGCTGCAGGCGGAACGCCTCTGATTGGTCCATTTGCTCAGCGGATATTCTTCGCGCGAGAGTCTGAGTATGCCGAGATAAAAGAGTACAAAATATACTCCGCTCCTTCTCATCCGCGATTGTCACGCAACATATAATTGAAATCCCAAGGCGATACTGTTTTGTAGCACGTGAGGGCGTACCGGCGATCAGTCAGGAAGAAAACATCGGTAGAGCGAGCGATGCTGAAAGCGGATCCAGCGACACAACCGCAAGCGTCGATCTCACAATCCAAGACCAAGCCTCACTTCTAAAGTTCTTGCCAATGCCGACCCTTCTTTGGCATCTTTCCTCCTTGTTTCGACCACTGAAGATTGAGTGAGTGAGTCAAGTCTGTTCCTAGCTTCTGACACTAGCACAAAACAAGGGCCGCCTAATCGGACAACAAGGACATGAATTCTTCATGTGTACAACTCCTGTTCGTGGTTAACGGCTGGGTACCTCCACCCTGACTGGGGCCGAAGTGAGTCTGTAGATGCGAGGCCACGAAGTCGGAAGCACAAGAAGATCAATATTGAGATGGAACAGCTATTCAGAGTAAAAAAGACAGAAATGCAGAACTAACAACGGGGGAGGGAAGACACTGCCAGAAATGTACAAGGGGACGAAAAAAAAAAAGAAAAAAAAGAAAAAGGGAAGCTACGACCAAGCAAGACGGCTCTTTCCCTGCGTGCCCTTTGGTCCTCTCCCTTCTTCCATAGATTCCCCCATCCTTAGCTAACTCAACTACGAACAACTTCTTCTTCTCTCTCCTATCTACACAAAAGACAGTCATCCTTGGATAGAAGTGTCGCTTCAATTCTTTCGCTTCTCTATTTTTAAATCCATCCATACTGTGCTCTCCCTTCTTCCTTTCTTCTCCACATACCCAACTGTGACGTCGTCCGAACTCTACCGTTCGCCTCTGGAGTTAGTCAACCCAAAAACCACCTTCTGTTCGCGGCGCCCCTTCGTTCGCAGCAATTCCCTCCAACGGCGCTTGCCATTTGCCTGCTTCTCATCATTAAGTATTAATCTCGGGGCCTGCGGGCCGACTCTTTCTCTACATGGCGTATTCTTGACGCTCGCTCATTCTTCCTCGCGCTGGCACTTGCTGCGTTCTGTATGCGGTAACAGCTGGCTCAAGCTATATCGGACTCTCAGGGTAATTACCTTAGTTTTTTGACTCTGTTTAAGTTTCTGTCCTTCACTTGTACTTACACCAACTCAAGTAAATTAAGTTCGCATTGTACTGGTCCAGCCGGAACTCTCTCATCCAGCTGTCGAAGCATAGTCTCCTCCGCGCATCATGGACCTTCAGAAGCCGAAAAAGTCGCGACCAGACACCCATGACCAGGATGACAGTTCCGACTACCGGGTGAATGGGTACGGGCCAGCAGGAGTTATGGACAACGACGACACTGATCCTCGACAAGAGCTTGAGCATGAAGTCACTGTCAAAATGGACACCAAGCGTGATATGTCCAATCCTTCAAGCCTACAGCCCCTCGTGCAACCACCCAGGCTTATGAAGCTCTCGCTCAGACGTCGGGTCTCACGCATTACGGCTGCGCGAATACCAAAAGGCATCCCATTGGACTCTCGTCAAAAGACGCGACTACGATACGCCGATATGGTACCACCAGTCACCAAAGAAACACTCAGTGAGCTTGATCTTGAACGCATAATGCAGAACATACAACTTCGCGTGGACGCAAACTTCGAGTCTGGATTACATTTTTTGCTCGATCTCAACGGAGAGAAGGGCAGGCAGAAGAAGATCATGACAGATGAATACTGGGAAGCCCTGTCGATTGAGATCATGATGTACACGTACATTAACATGAACCGTCCTCGTACGAGCGAGATTGACATGGTCCATGTACCGGATATGATGGCATTGATGAAGGACACCGATCTCTTCCAACCGCGATTGCCTATCATGTTCGAGACTCTGCACGGCATCCTTATGACCCTTGTGCCTGAAAAGGATCATCCCAGCGTTTCACAGAACCTTGACATCTCGCACTTGATGCAGCAGGTACACAAGGGTGTTCTCGACCTTGTCAGCCTCTCAAAGTGGCTTGCAGAGCTTTTGAAGATGCATTGCGCTCCTATGAGGGACCATCTCGCCGATGAAATGGCCGCGGAAATCGGCATGGGATCAACGCAGGCGGATGTAGGCATGCTGGTTAGTGGGCTGCGAAAACTATTCAGTATGCTTGAGATGATGAAATTGGTGAGTGGGTGGGAAACTGGTGGGCGTTGTATCCGCATTTTACCATTTTACTTACAGTGAAAACCACAGGATGTTGCGAACCATCAATTAGGCGCATTTCAAATCATCTTGATCGAGAACACAATTCCTTTCCTCCATGACTACTTCTCGCGACGTATCATCTCACGCGAATTCAAAGTTGACGAAACAAAAGCATGGTATCAAGGCCTGCAGCAACGAATACCACATTCACTGAAGGAAGGCGTGAATCAATCATTCTATCCATTGTCAGTCTTACTGTACGGATTGAGTGAGCATATCTTGCAGCCGGATGAACAAGTGAAACTCCCTGAGCCCTTCGACTTCGATACGGCCCGTCTGTGGCGACTTCGGTCTGAGGTTCAGAAAATCATCCATGTGCATGTTTGCTGGTCCATACTCGAGTCGTTGCTTCAAAGTCTTGACTCGAAGCGCTCATATAGCTCTCAAATGCATGCGTCATTCGTGATGCGTGTAGCAGCGCTTTTGGAAAAGGACAATGACTCAAAGTCAGAGCCTTCTAGTCTAGGATCCCGTCTACCGAACGATTCATCTATTGCAATGGAAATGGCGCGCACTATATGTGCTGTCATCGGTCAAATGGATGATGTATCGGACGATATTCTGAAACAGGTTGAGGATGCCATTAGAAAGTCATTCGCAGATGACTCTACACAATTGCAACTGGTTCGAAACTGTGTGCATCGACAGTTATTACAGGCTACCTGTGAAGTTGCGCAGCGATATGTCAACATGACGCCGCTTGAAATCTGCGAATCGCAGCGACAACATGCATATCTGCAATCCTCGTCTTTGGATTTCAGCTTCATCGCAACAAAACTCGCTCACATCGGGGTCTTGCACTGGCGAGTATGGGCTCCTCTAGTTTACGTTTCACAACCGCCCATTGTTTATGAACTCAGTGCCGAGCCATGAACATCGTTAATTCGTTGTCTTGTCTTGTTTTTACTTTTGTTTCTCCTTTTACCCTTTTTTACCTTTTTTTCCGTCGTCTGCTCTTAGCGCTATCGTTATGCATCATTGTCGGATTGCGAAGGCGTTTCAGTGACTATACTTACTCTTGATTATGCATTTTACCGCGCTGGTTAGGTTTGGCGTTGAATCATCTCGGGAGATTAGAGGACAAACAAGGTCGGTCTGCAAGGGCAGGGGAATGGGAACATATTGAGCCGGATTTTTTTTATCATGTATATTATTACTTTTAGCGAAAGCACATATTCATGACATACATCTTTAATGCTGACCTCGAGAACTTGCTACGACAGGGACATGTGGTTATGAAATTGGCTACGCGCCGTAGTATCTTTGGTTACAACAAATTCCATAGTCGAATCTGATAGGAGTTGTCTTTCTCATAGCCCATATTCGTTAATAGGGTATAACCCACTTTTTAGCTTGACTTTATATATGTATATGATAAGAACTACTGATGGAACACATCAAATTGATCGAGAAAGCCTTACTCCTGACAGTCATGGCTATATGTAATCATGGTCTATAGAATATCAAGATATCCTACTACATCTCATCCACCCTCCATCAACTCTCCGTTGAAATGTTAAAGTACTCGCTGCGATCGAGTGATCCAGAAGAATAATACTCACATCCTTCCAGCAACGAAACTCCTCTATTCTCGGAACAGCCAAATCATGCTGACTAGGAGGATCGAGATCTTGTAGTACTTCCTCCGCGAAGGTCGACTCAATCAATAGATATAAAAAGTTCCTGCTTTTTTCTTGATCACCTCCGCGGCAATGTTAGCCACCGCTTTGCGATTTCGCCCGGGCCGATTGAAAGATCGGCTGAGGCAACGCGAGATTCTTTCGATTATACCGTATAGAAAGATGCCCAGGGGCGTTTTTGAAAGCCAAAATGATCGCAAGAGGGATATTGGGTTAGGAAAACCACCGACACGAACCTGTTCTAGGAGAGTGACAGGGCATCCTCGAGTTCAGCCAGTTCTGAGATATGAGATAGAACCCCCAACTTTATGACCTGACTGATGAAGCTATCTCACACAAGTCAGAAACGAAGCCTAAGTGCTCTTAGAAAGTAATGGAAGTTGTTAAGGCTGGCAGAAAAGTAGTTGCCAGGTGTGTTAAGAGCAAAGCCTACACACTTAGACCGAACTACTTATCAGTCTGGACAGACACAGCGCACCACTTTCTAAGTATAAAGGCATAGGGTGGGAACTGAGCTAGGTTAGTAGGAACCAACTATACGAGTATTATGCCAGGCGGGTATTACAAGTATTGGCTTCTGCAAGACATGGTCGGCTGCTAGAGACTTCTAATAGCAACGGGAAATTACTTGATTATGGCAATGAAGTAGCGTGCCGTAGCGCGCTATGAAGATGACCAGAGGGTGACTACGAAGAACATGTTCCTAGCTCGTACCTAGGCCATGGCTATCTAACTGGTGTCTATGCTTCTAACTCGTACTTGGACCACAGCAGCATGGTATCGCCGGCACTTGTACTAATATTTTATTGGTATCTATGTTTTAAACTCGTACAGACCGCTGTTGTGTGGGATCGCCGATAAATTCGTTTTAGGAGGCCCACGGAGATCTTATAAGGGCTCAAGAGGACGGATGCGCATGTTGGTCGGCTTAGAAGAGGAGTGCATTGTGCCTGACTCGTACTCAGGTCCCTGGGATATATGTCCTAGCGCGGTGTCGCCCCTAATGCAATTGCTTTGCGGCTGGTCTAAGGTGCAAACTCCAAAGATGTTGATAGCAGCAGATCTTTTGGCCGGGGGATCTGCCAATAGGAATGGGTAAAATCACCACCGAAGCGAGAAGGCAAGGTGAAGGAGGATGGTATTGGTATCGACCAGACTTGTTAAGGCTCTGCCACAGGCGACCGCGAGCCACCCAACTCCTATTGTCTCTGGCGCCTTTTTTCTTGGTGGGAAGTCACGTTCAGACTCAGATCGATGGCAATCAGATCTGAACGCTGTCCAGGCTGACTTCACCGGTCAAAACCTTTGGCACAACTTCTGCTAAACTTGTTAATCAAGCACTGATTTTCCATGGAGTCGATGGCGACTAAATTCTTACAAATTTTGGACGATCAAGACTGCTTTGGTCGCTCCGCTCTCTTTTATGTCCTCGAATGCCAAGGCCAGCCGTGATGTTTTTCAATGGCACCTAGAAAACGGGGCAAACCTATCAGTTTCTGTGAACGGGCGTTTCCCACAATGGGACGGACTTACCTGTCTTCATGCTACTATCGCTTCTTTTCAGCCTCGACATCCAATATCAAAATCCGAACTGTTCCTGTTGACTTGGCGGAGATTTTAGCCTATGTGTCCTGAATCCAGAAGGATCGACGTGGCTTCCTAGATCTTGCTGCAATTAGAATGGTAGGAGACGAAATCCGTCTTCAGCAATTTCCAGGATCTCCTGGTCCACTGGTTCACTGAAAAGCCCCGTTGGGATAGGATCGGTATCACTGTATGGCACCGGATCATCAAGGACGAAAAATAATTGCTTGATTTCTTCATGAAAGTCAGATCCATCGATAAAAGGTACCGTGCGGCTGCTGTCTGCAGATGCGAAGATAGTACCGATGGAATATACTGATCTTTGTCACGAGCACGAGGCAATCCGGTGAATTTTTGGCGAGCTGCAAATTGTGATGCGTCGTGTGGCGCCTCAAGACCGGGTGCGATGTATTTGAAACGGTGGGTTTTGATTCTAGATAGAAACGAACGAATGAAGCAGTTCTTTGGAACAGATGCCGTATCCTGCTCTGCATCGGTGAAGAGAGGCTTGTCTGGATTGACGGCAAGTAAGTATTCTGAGGACATTTTCGCCTCGATGTGGCTGACAGACGATCCATGGCAGCTACAGCGCTGTCAGCCTGGGCAGGACTGTAAGGTTGCCATGCCCACGACCTGAGTTGGGACCCGACTTTAAAACCATGTACGCTCGTAAAACCTTCCGCCGTTCTCGTCGGGAGGTAGACCGAGGACTACTTTGCCGATACGAATCAGGCGTATCCAGTGAGTTAGGATCGTCTCAAGAGGTATTCATAGGTCTTCATGGTCGTTGACGGGCATAATGCTCTCCAAGTTCTCAATAGAAAATGGGAGTACCACGCGGTGATATTGTTGATCGTAAACGAGGCCTACACTGTGAGAGTCGAAGTCTAACACGACGCCATAGATCAAAACAGACCGTTCCATGTCTTCTAGATGTCCTTGGCAAAAGGTATTCATCAGAGGCTGTCACCTCCAGACCACCAACCCAGTAAAAAAATGCCTTTCTCGAAATTAGACGGAATAATAACGTCTAGATACGAAAGTATGGCTGGATGCAGATGGTTACGAGGGACACCTGACTTTCCTCCATATCCGTCGAGATATTTTGTCCGGCTCAATAACTCACCTAGCTCATGTGGCCATTTTTTGTGATGAGCCATCCAACCATAGGCTACCAAATAATTGTGTATTCTCGCGCAACGCTCATAGTATAAAGGCCCATTGGTGCGTGCAGGGATTTTATGGAGAGACCAAAGTATCCTCAATGTCAAGCAACTGATCCGTTGCGATGTTGAACATGGTGGCTACCGTCGAGTTTGGCATGCGGCTGAGATCTTCCAGGTCCCTGTTCCCAAGAGTCATAAATTGTTAGGATCGCCGTCGCGATTTCAGCAGTCACCATTGTATTCAGCAAGCAGTTGCGCAGCAGACTGAGGGGTACAGAGTACAGCTTTTGGCAGCTAGACTGTATATCTAGTATTATCTACCCTTCTCTAGTGCTAATTCACGCTTTCTGACTAAGGTAGTAATAATTTTCTGTTCCAGAATAAACTAACACTTGAAGGCAATCGCTAGGTGCCTTTAGACTCAAGCCATCATGTCCCGCTAAGTAGGCTAGTTTTTCTTTGGTCTTTCGAAAAGATCATTACTACTCCGAGTAGTCTGAATGATGCTTGGATACTTTGTATGGATAGAATCTCAAAAAGAAAAATAGAAAGAATTTTTTGATGACTTTGAAACAGAGTTACGGAAAATGGAAAAAGGATCGTTCTGTAGATCCGCCGGACCCACTCGGCCATGATTGAGATCCTTAAGTTTACCTAGCTACAGAGTAAACAGCTCACTTAATCAGTTTGGATCGCTAACTTACTATCAAGGATCAATAACAGTTGTGTCGAGGGTGCCTAAGGATTTAGACAGCTTTGTTGCTCGGGAACTGAGTGCTTGATCGTATGGATACTTTGAAAAGCTGAATGTGAGATCATCAGTTTCACTTGACATGTTAAATGGCAGCTTGGATTACATCCCAATGTTCTTCCCCTTGACTTTTTTTTGCTACTCAGCAACATGGCACCAGGAATACTTATACCGGCCATAGCGGCGCCAACAATGAAAGTCTGCGTGGTGACACTGTTATATGCGAGCAGAACGCCGGGTAGGTTTGCCGAGTCAACGACTTGCTTAATTCCTATGGCTCCAGCACCTAAAACAACCGCCGGATTGACTCCTGAAGCATACTCGACGATATACTGGACGAGTTTGTTGGAAAAGACATTTTCGTCAACCGACACAAAGAGTGCACCACCAAGAACCTGCATAAATACTATGAGGGTGGTGCCTGTAAGGACGTCTGAAATGTCGAGCACGACCTGTACGGCAACGAGAGGCTGTTGGACGCCAAAACCAAAACCAATGCCAAAGCCGGCCAGGATCTGGTAACCGGTCCAAACCGGATGTGGCGTGTCTGGATGAAAAGTGCTCACTAGGCCGTAACTGATAGGGGTAATTATGGAGGCGAGCAGCATGAAGGGCGTGTAGTATCCGATCGTGGTAATGGCAACACCTGAGAGGATGGGTGCAACCACATTACTGATCAACAAAATTAAATTCATGACGCCTGAATTGACCACATTAACAGCCTGGAACCAAATAGGCAGATAGTAGTCACTGCTCAGAAATGCTGCGCCCAGGCAAACGGTGAAAATGGCGACAGACCAAACGGAGCGCTTTGAGGAAGATATGCGGAGAGACCGTTACAAAATCCTGCTGCCAGTACTGTACAAACATTAAGACGATGAGAAGCCAGCCAAATAAACAGAAGAGTAGAATGACCAGTCAGATATTCTAGGCATAGGTAGTGCCATTCCACTGCATAACCAGCAACAGGCAGATGATTGCGGGCATGAAGACGAGATTACCGAGAGGATCGAAGCGCCATAAGCATTTAGACCAAGGCTCAGACTAAATCTTGAGTTGGGGAGTTGGGAAAAAAGATCGTAATCACGAACAAGGTAATGGCGCCAATGGCAAGTTGATGAAGAAGCACCAGCGCCAGGTGACCTTATCAGTGAAAGTGCTGCCAAGCAAAGGGCCTGCCACCGACGCTGTGCCGTACATACTGCCAATAAAGCCGCTATACATCGGACGACGTTCAAAAGGCACTGAGTGTGCCATGATAATAAGTGCGGCCGAAAAGATGGCTACCGAGCCCATACCTACCGCCGTGCGGCTGATAATCAATGTCAGGCTGTTTGGACAACACCACAAATTAGACTGCCCATTCCGAAGAGCGCAATTGAGGCTAAAAACACTGATTTAATGCTGAAGAAGCTATAAACCTTGTCAGACAGCAGCTGCAATGATGCAGTCGTCGGCATGTACACCGTAGAGGAATTAGCCTGGTTTATTTCGGCTTTCACAAAATAGGGTGTTATTAGCATACCATTACCGTTCCAGTCAACATTGTCCAGACTATTGAACTGATCTGTGATCTTGGGGATGGCTGTCGCGATGATAGAGTTGTCTGGAAGAAACATTGAAGTATTGGTCAGAGACAATATATGGAAGAGAGATGTTTAACAAGAGCCATAAGAAATACACTCAAGCATAGGACTAGTATAATCAAGAATAACTTTACGCCTGAAGGATATTCGATACCATCGTAGCGTTTCTGGAGAGTGTTGACTGGTGAGGATCCTATCTTCTCACGTGGGTGTCATCAATAGGGACTGGCTAGGATGTGAGAACTTTGTCGGCAGACTCTTCTCCATGTAGTCCAACTGGCCCATGTTGCCGGTACGGTCAATATCTTGTGAAGTTTGGGTTCAGTAACACTAGGCGTAAGCTGTGGGCACTGGCAAAATATATAGGAATTAATCTAGAGCAATATGCTCTTAAAAAAGTCTCTTGATTCAATGCTGCCAATATCAACTTTTCACACATAACATGTCATATCATCTTGTTGCGAGCAGCAGCAACTTGGTGTCAGAAAGAGGAGACGGTGATCTCTGACCCATTATAACTCCTGTACACAGTGCAGATTTTCTGAAATTTTGCGTGTAATCTTTTAGAGGCTCCGTTGTTGCGCTGAAACAAGGATGTTAGAGCATAGGCCAAACAAATGATGCCGTAGGAGAAGAAAGCTCCCAGAGAATCGGAATTTCGAAAATCAAATTCGTAACTCTAGTTTCTTTGTTATCCCTGCTCATCGTTGCCGCAATTTACATGCAATCTATTTCGTCTGGCTAGCCCTGAGTTTTAGCCCTAGCCCTAACACGTGATTTAGAAATATTGTCGGAACTAAAACGTAATACCATTTCACCAAAAAGGTCGAACCGTTCCGTAGTTCGACTTCTGTATTCTGCTAGTCACGTGATTTTATTTCCAACAAATATTCCTCGATTAAGCAATTCGACCACCGAGTATGTTTCAGCATTTCAAATATCCTTCTCTTCGTGCATAATTGCAATAAAACCATGTCCTAGTTTGAAAACCAATGAGACTTGTGTCAGATCCATGTAACATGAAAACCATAATCTTGTAAATGTTTGTCATGCGAAAAAAGCTGACTACTACTGGGGGGCACGGATTTCCCAAAGAGTTGAAGTTACAAATCTGAAATCAAGCCTGAGTTAACAAACGCAGAAATAGAACTACTAAATAGCTGTATCTTGGTTTATACTGCTCCCATTGCATGGTATACTCCTCAAAGACATCAAATTCCGTTTCGTACGGGCTCAGAGATTGCGGTATCCAAACATTGCGCCACTCTCCATCATATTTGGATGTGTACAGAGTCTTGCAATATTCCCAGTAGTGGTGATACCAGCCAGCATTATCCCAATCAATCAAGACGGGGACGCGGGGGAGTTGTTAAAGAAATTATAATGTTACCATGGTGCAGGTCTCCATGGGTTAGCGTAATTGTTCTAGTGTTTGGTAAATATTGTCGATAAGGGACTGTACATTTTTGAGAATCGGGCAGCCAGCATTGAGGAAATGCGGAAAGCCAATCGTTAAAGTCTTTGACAGTCTTGAATGGGCCTTCTGATGGCATACCTTCGAGAACGTAATCATGTAAACGTTGACGAGCTATTGATCCTAGAACAGCTATCAGTACACGATTGCGGATATTGACTTCCCATTTTGCATGATGTTCATACTAATAAAAGTATCTTTAGGGTCCTGTTCAACTTGCTGAAGCGATGAGATGATATCGCGAAGCTGATGACAGATCGATGATTTATCTGTATTACTCAGATAGTCCCATCGATTATGCAGCGGCTCTCCGTGAATCAGCTCCAATGTGTAGGCTCCCTCTACTCTCCAGTCGTACATTTCCGGATACGAACTTTACCGGGAAGAACTTTCGGAAGCACAGGCATACACGCAGCCTCTTCAACTAGCAAGTGAGGACCAAACTTCACAATGAAATTGAGATTTTCGAATTTAATCGGTGTAAATTGAGGCGTAGCCCCAAGTCTTCTGAACAAGCGATGACCACTTGTGGACTGAGCAAGCGCTTCTCACCGGAATCATGTTTGAAAAAGGAAGAATCGAGGAAGTCCATCTCTGTCTTCGTTACATCAGGGAGCCATGATGTATCATTTCGAAGTTTGTCTGCATTTTGATCGATAAGATGCACTGAATTTTATGTTGTCCCGAGTTTAGAAAGCTTTCAATGACATCGTGTTTGAGTGGATAAAGTAGTAGTGGGGAGATATTCCAAACTGGGTGACTAGCACGAACCCCTGAGTTGACTTTAGGGTTAGGGTTGTCCCTGCCCTTGGCATCAGTAAGTGTCTGGAGCGCTACTTCATTAATCCAACAATTGAATTTTACATATATTATAACAGTAATAAGTAACAATCATACCATTTACCAGTACAAGACATAATCATCGTTTATCAACCACCACGGACTGAGAAACAGCCACACTTTTCATTATACCCATGCCGGTTCCCATGTGGCCGTCAGCATCTATTGAATCGGGTAGACTCCGAGAAGCATCAATATTGGATATCAATGTCCTCTCATCAGAACAAAACCCTGACCCATCTTCATGATCTTCGTGATCTTTTCTAGTGGTATCGTTTCTAGACCGCCGGATTTTGCTGAACTGGAATCCTTGGCTGTTCGACGCATTGGAACTCTTGGGGATTTGGCTGACGAGAATGTTCAATGCTGGAAGACAAGCGCATATCAAGGCAACCGCACCTTCAGCATTTCTATACAGACCAGTTTTTAATCAGCATAATGCTATACAAGATTGGGGAGTAAAGGAGGACTAAAGAAAAGACTTACCCGGTCAGCACAACCCGAGTGAAGACCATTGTCTGATCTGAGGACTGTCCGTCCTGCACAATCATAACCAACCGATACAAACTAAACCCGGTCGCAAGCCCACCGGCACTCAAAAGCCCAACAACCTTCAATTTTTTCTCCAACGGCATATGAAGAGACCACGTTAATGGCAGCGGGAGGATGAGAATTGCAAGATCCGTTACAACACTCATGACGGAGTCGGCAAGGATGACCCTTCCTTGATCCAGACATGAGCCACCCCTGTCTGTGCCATACCAGTAGGAAGAGATGGGATTGCAAATACGGATTTTGATGATGAAGGCTGGAATGTAGTATGCTAACACAATTCCCAGGATGATGTTTATGGCTAACACCCATTTCCGATATGGTTTGAAGACCCGCGCCAGGAGGGTCAGTAAAGCGACTTTGACGAATAATGCCATGGGAGCATAGAAGAGCGTTGCAATGTATGAGATCTAGATCGGAGCGCCTTGGTTAATGGTTTGAAAAGAGGTGATAACGTGAAATGGCAGGATACGTACCCTCATGAATTCCACCATTTCCGACTTAGAAATCTCCCACTGATAGTTTCCTCCGCCATGTCTGGACACTTTGAGCCATTGCAATCGTTAGCAGAAGATCTCGGAATGAATACAAGGCAGAAAACATACGAAAAATTGCAGTTATACAATATCCTAGGAAAAGGATCTTCGACAGTATGTAAGTTTCATTATCACACCGACATCAGCATTTGAAATAGGCAAACATACCCATGCAATAAAACCAAAATCTTGAATACCAGGTTAGCCAAAGAAATGTGAAAAGCACAGAAGGAATGGCCCACATTCATCAAGACCTAAGTGTTGTCCGAAGCGAAGTCTGACATGAAGACGAAGCACAATCAGGACCGAGCAGACTGGTATACAAAGACATTGTGTAACAAGAAGCACGGTATTCAAAGCGTCCTTTGGATGGACAAAGTCAGGAATTTCGCCGTGGGGACTTGCGAGAGCGGGTTGGTCGGAATCTGTCATTGTAATTATTCGCGATGTCTCTCGTTTCTTCCTTGTGGATAACAGATGCCTCCAGGGCTGGGTCCATATATACCATGTCGAGATGAGACTGAAGGAAGAAAAGCCTTGATCTTCAACTAACCGACTCAAAATCTTTCAGCTTTGGCAGCTTTACGAGTTATCCGAGGCATGGTGATACTGGTGCACACGACGTACCCGAGAAATCGGTCGATCGACCTCTTTTCTCGCATCCTCTTTGATGAGCTAACTCATTTTCTACTAATTTCTAGGAAGATCTTCTGTCAAACTATGACTATTAGAGATACTACGCACTGATATATTTTTTAGTGCCTCACGCGGACCACTTGGCACTGCAAGCTAGCGGATGCAAAACTTCTTGCTGCGACAGGAGGCGTTTACAAATGACATGCACAACACGTGCGTTTCTATCCAAATCTCCTCCAGACGGTCGGATCAGAGTAAAACACGAATGAGAAATGAAACTAATTCGGTAGCAGGGCTCGGTTATGTGGTGGGTAGGGTGAGATGTCAAACCCTAGCATTTTGACTACTGATTAGGGTATGACGGAGCATCCACTTTTGAGAGGCAGAGTTCCACTTGCGAAACGTATCTCTCACTTCTATCCTTTTTCTTGTCTCCAGTCTGCACATATTAATATATTCTATGGATCTTCGGGTCTTAATAGCGCGAGTGATAGTCTTAATAGTGGTTTTATAATGTGTGAATTACCTTAGTAGTTAACAAACATAGTTTAGTTTGATAAGTTAGATTATGAGGTGATTACTAAAACGCTAAAAATGAGAAAAGAAACAGAATTCCGATCATCATCGAGGATTAAATAGTTCAAATTATGTTGCACGGAGTAGAAAATCAAAGAAAGAGCAACTTTACAGACTTTTAGTGAGAGAGAAGGAAAATGCACGACAGACTTCAGTCCAAATTGTTCCAGCCCCTTGTGATCGCCAATGGCAAAATCAAACTGAACCACCGAGTGGTTCTCGCTCCGTTGACTAGGAATAGAGGGGTACCGCTGAATTCTGTCAGTGCTCCTGAAAATCCGAATCGTATCTGGTATCCGGGAGATCTTATGGTTGAGTACTATCGGCAACGGACCACGAAGGGCGGATTATTGATTTCAGAGGGCGTCCCGCCTTCATTGGAGGTAAAAATTTCTTTTTTGGACTACGTAGCAATGAATGAGGGACATTCTCCTACTTCGGTTTATTTGTTCTGACTGATGTATGTTTCGTATAGAGCAATGGCATGCCTGGAGTACCCGGCCTCTTCACGGAAGAACAAGCGGAAGGCTGGCGAAAGGTAATCGATGCTGTGCACGAGAAAGGTGGTGTCATTTATTGCCAACTTTGGCATGCAGGAAGAGCCACCATTCCCCAGATGACCGGATCCCCTCCGGTATCAGCATCGGCGAGTGTCTGGGACTCTCCTGACGAATGCTACTCTCACATCCCAGTGGGTGAGACAAAGCCTGTTCGATATGCTGACCACCCACCTATTGAGTTATCCAAGGAGCACATAAAGAAAACAATCGGAGACTATTGCCGCGCCGCGCAAACAGCCGTCAGAATCGGCTTTGATGGCGTTGAGATTCACGCTGGCAATGGTTATCTTCCCGAGCAGTTCCTGAGCTCGAATATCAACAAGAGAACCGATGAATATGGTGGTTCGCCGGAAAAGAGATGTCGATTTGTTCTCGAATTGATGGACGAGATTGCTAAGGCAATCGGGGAAGAGAATCTCGCTATTCGTCTTTCACCGTTTGGACTCTTCAATCAGGCTCGTAGTGAGCAGCGAGTGGAGACTTGGACATATCTTTGCAAGTCTTTGAAGCAGACACACCCATCCTTGTCTTATGTTAGCTTTATCGAACCGGTGAGGGCACATACCTTGATAAAACGAACAGACCTTGGGATATTATACTAAAGCTCTTCAGCGCTACGAACAAATCTTCAGCTACAAAGAAAAGGACAAATTCCTTCAGAGCTGGGGTCTTTCTGACGTCTCACTTGACGGATTCCGTCAAATATTTGGCGACACGCCATTCTTCTCCGCGGGCGGGTGGGACGACACCAACTCCTGGGGTGTGATCGAATCTGGCAAATATGATGCCTTACTATATGGTCGCTACTTCATTAGCAACCCGGATCTAGTAACCCGATTACAGAAAGGCATACCACTCGCACCGTATGACCGCAATCGATTTTACGGGCCGTTTGAAGATGACAATGCTATTGGGTATACGGACTATCCGGGTGCCGAGGAAACGGCCCGTTCAAGTACCTAGGATTTGATGCTATCAATAAATTGACATGGCATTATGGCTCTGACTGCTGTGCGATTTTTCGTCTTCGATGTTTTAGTTTGTTGTACTTCGGTATTGATGCTCTTCATGATGGTAGCGCCGTTCACTTATCGAACACACATGTCATAGACCAATAGCATCAAGTTCTTGGAAGAACACAACGAGGAGAGGATATTTGCGCTAATTACAGTACCGAAGAATGATTTGATATAAGAGGGTAGTTGAAAGTATTACTTGATAGATATCGGCTAAAAGACTGAAAAGCTGTCAGCCCTAGCCCTTGCTCTAATTGTAGTCCGTATTGAGATCTCGGGCTGTATTAGAAACTAACAGTCGCGATTTCTCGTAAGTTCTAAAAGGAGAAGAGAAATAGCAAATTACGTCATCTACCTTGGGTAATAATGACTTTCGTGCATCTTTATCAAATCAGTCTTGTCCCCTCTATGCATAGGTGCTGGAAGGACGATGTTAGATAACCCTAATAGTCCGTACAAGCGCAGGGTCTACTTGCTTGATCGATGTGGCTGGATTTAGGTACTTACGGTCTGGTCGCCGTTGTTCAGGCCACCGAAACATTCCCCTATTTTTGCAAGAGACGCTAGGGATGAATCAAAAATCCAACTCATCTCCACGCATTGGCAGGTATCAAAAACCCTCTCGTCATAAGATCTCCGTCTTTTATTTTCCGCCTCTCCTTATCATTGTCATTGTGGAATAGACTCTGCAAATTCTCACTTCGAGTCATCCTTTGCCTCTTTTTCCTTTCCCGCTCTTCTTTCAAAACGTGGCTGTCAACAGGGCTGTCGAGGCGTTCTCTATACCTTTCTATCAGCCACAAATACAATTGAGGCTTAAATGTCCCTGACTAGCCCTGAAATGTGCTAGCCCCAGATCCACCCGTCCATGTCCCCATCCGTCCCAGACAACATCGGACAATCCAATATCATAACCAACAAGAGAAAAGCAAAGCACCAATGCGTCTCGCACTTCCAAACTTATCGAAATTACCGTCAACAGGAGTAGAAACATATCTCACATCTCTTAAAGCAACCCAACTGAAAAACCTCGCCCGAGAAACAGGCATCCCATCCTCAGGACGCAAGGATGAATTGCGCCACAGAATCAGCGAAGAACTCTTGACGAGTATTCTTCTTCATGAGAACAAGAACCATAGCACGTCTGAACATAAGAGCAAGACGAAAGAGAGAAAGAAAAGTGGAAAGGAGTTGAGTATATTAAGTATTGATATGGGAATACAAAATCTTGCGTTTGCGCATTTGATTGTTCGGCCGTTGGGGGAGCATGCACCGGGGACAGGGGCTGGAGTCGATAGAGGATTGATAATGCTGAATGCGTGGCATCGCATCAATGTTCAGGAATTAAGATCTTGTGCTCCTGCGACTCAAACAACGGACACAGAAATAAGTTTACAATCTCTCCTCCCCGCCTCAGCATTTCGCACATTTACCACGAAAAAACAAAGCAAGACCACAAGACAACCATTGGCAGGAAATGATGAAATTGAAGAGGAATCAATCCCTCAAACTGAGACAACAACAAATAAAAACTTTGAACCCGACTCACTCTCCTACAACGCTTACGTGTTACTTTCATCTCTCCTCCAGGCCTACAAACCAACTCATATCCTCATCGAACGGCAACGATTTCGCTCAGGCGGCCAGTCGGCCGTTTTGGAATGGAGTTTGCGCGTAGGCGTGTTTGAGGGTATGTTGCATGCTGTGTTGTGTACAATGCGGGAGGTCTCTAGACTTCTCCACGATACTCACAGTGACATTTATGGTTTAGACGGGGTCGTGGATGGGTTAAAGGTTTATGCCATCAGTCCAGCGAGGATAAAGCAATTCTGGGATGAAGGGAAATCAGAATCTCTTCTTGACAATGAGGAAGAAGGCAGAAAGGGGAAAGGTCAGAATCAGCGGGGTGTGAAGACATTCAAAATGGATATTGTGGGTGATTTGCTTTCTGCTTCGACGAAAACAGGGAAGAGTCTTTCGTGCTGGGATCTTGCTGTCAATACGGACAAGGGCGAGAAGGGTCTTGGTGTCAGTGATGTGGTAGATGCATACCTCAGACGCTGGGATCCGCAAGCCGTGGACTCACAGCCTACAGGCCTGAAAGGAAGGAAGAAAAGCATGTCAGCTACTACCGAGAAAGCACACAAAATTGACAAGATGGATGATCTTGCGGATTGTTTGTTGCAGGGAGTAACCTGGTTGGAGTGGCAGGCTAGACGGGCCAGGATTGTGCGTGGAGAGTTCTTGATTCATAATTGAAACAGCTTGTATGCACTACGTGCGTACTAAAATGGATATATACTGCTGAATAGAACAATAATCTACAATGAATTCAAACTCCATCTATGTGCTAATCCTATTCCAATGCATCAATATTCAGGCTCATCTGTGTCGCTCGAGATGATACAGGCTAGCTGTTGATGTATGTGAAAGAATAATGTATTTCCGAGAATAGAATCTCACTGGCTAGCAGTAAGACAGATGAAAAGTGCATGTAACGAACACAATTCAAGAAGATGGTTTGAAAATCGAAGGAAAAAGGGCCATCACCCAGTGTTGCCCTTGTCATATATCTGAACAGGTGATGGAACGAAATGGTTAAAGATTGAAGCACATACACATGCTAACGCAGCGTAACATTAGTCGTAACCCGGAAACGACTGAAAAATAGACACGGCGGCGAAAATATGATTGAACAAATACCGGTACAGTATCGTGAACTCATATGCGTCTAGAAATAGCCGGTGGGGCGGGGACGGTCAGTGTGCAGTGGGACAGTCTTAGTCAAGAATCCAGAGGATGTCACTTGGCCCTGCCCTGGAACGTTGGTCGGGTAGGGTGCGACGGAAGTATTGCCGTGACCACCATTGGGGCCGCTTGGCGATGGGGGAACCTTGAGAGTAGTAGTCTCAGTAGGTTGCGTGGGAGCAGTTGTAGCGGTTTTACTTGGGGCAGAAGATCCAGTCTCAGAGATCACCTGAGTATTGAGACCACCTGTGGCATCGGGAATGGCGGTCTAGATAAACAGATTAGACCTATCAGGAAAGAATAGTGAGCATATTCTAAACTTACCACGGTGACGGTTTCCTTCTCGGTGACGGTAACGGTGGCCTGACCACTGCAACCCTGGCCGCCATTGCCATTGCCATTGCCAGAAGCGCCGGGACCAGAGCCTGCGGCAGTAGATGTAGCGGCCAAGACAGTGACAGTCGAAGTGGAGGTAGAAGTGCTGAAGACAGTGGTTGTAGCTTCGCTGGATGAACCAACAACTTGATTGTTACCACCAGGGGCCTATAACTCTGTTAGTCTCAGTTGTCTCCGAGAATCAAGGGAACATACCGCAGTGGCAGTCACGTAAAGCGTGTCAGTCTGAGTGCGATGGATGGTAGTGGTCACGACCTGGGTTGAAGTACCCGTTCCCAGTGTGTAAGTCAAGGTCAGGTCCGTCTCAGTAGCAGACGCAGAAGAGACAACAGCGGAAACAGGCGCTGTGCTGAGAGGAATAGGGTACACGGTGACGGTGGGTGCAGAAACAGTCGTGGTCAAAGAACGCTTGGGGTGCAAGAGTCCGTATTCATGGTGGCGAGCCTCGCTCACAGCAGTCAAGACAGCGATGGCAGCCAACGAAATCTTGGTGAAGAACATGGTGAAGTCTTGTATGGTTGAATTGATGCTGAAGATGGAGGTCTGTCTTCTTCTGAGCTGAACGATTTGCGTAGGTTGAGAGGCTTCGAACTCGTCAAAGTCGAATGGTGTTGGATAGATGGTAAATGAAAGAACGCGAAGTCAATTCGCTTGAAGAGCTCTTGAAGGAATGAAAGAGCAACAACAGAGATGGTTCAAAGAATGTAAGAAGCTCTACCCAGAGAGTGCAAATGAGTGAAGAAGCGAGTCCTGATGGCCTTGATAAAAGAGAGGAGAAGAAGAAAAGGAAGAGAAGAGAAGAGAACGAAATTAAGGAAAGAGTCCAGCCCGGCAATTTTAGAGTTGGGCCAAGTGGAAAGAGCACGGTGCGTGGGGTCCTTCCCTTGTGGCAGCTTTGCGGTACGGCGTAATTACAGGGCTACGCTGATGTCAGCATGCCGTGATTGGTTGATAGAGATATCAAACCCGATGGACGTGCGCAAACTATCTCTGATTGGAGGACAGCCAGATGTGTGCCTGACTAGTGGGTGGGTCTTGCGTTTGAGATCAATGAAGGTGTAATCTAATACGGCGCCGTACCAATGCCCTATTCCGTCGTTGAAATTGCTAGGATCTTTGCTTATTGCCATGTCACCTTACTGAGTACTCGTACTAGTAGCACTGCAACGGACAGAGGCACTCTGGATGATCCCATATCTGCTGATATTACCTACCTCCGGACGAATCAATCCTCACTGTCTGTCCGCTGTCCTCTGTGCTCCGACTCGTGCTCCGTATCCTCTTAACTCTGTCAGACGCTCAACTCAACGATAAGCACATCATTGCCTGGCGTCGGACAAATCAGACTGCGCCATTCAAATGGGCGTTCCTGATTTGTCAGGCTCCGAGACAGCCTGTTCGATTAGCGCACGCCCGAGACAAGCCATCGGTACGAAGCCCCCACTTGGCCTGGTCCTGTCACTTTGATTTCATTTACATACTACGTAGGATGATCTTCATGGCCATATATGCTCCAAATTGAATACGCGCTATAAAGATCCAGGGTACGACGGCCTCGCTCTATTAATGATATTTAATTTGATCAAAGCCACACAGGGCTTGCCAATGTCCGCTAGCAGCTGTGGCACAGTACACGTTCATAAGAATATCCGGCCAGTCCGAAAAAGACCAATTTATTTTATTACAGAATTTATTGAGGAGATGGCTCTAGACAAAAGAGAATAAAACGTCAATATGTTTATATTAAATATCCACGTCTGTGTATTCCATCATCATATCAGCTCTCTAATTACCAGGAGATCAATCGTTTCATTGTTGGTTTGATCAGATGCTCATCAAAGCTCCGTACCAAGCATGAAACAGCAGCACCTGTCTAATCCAAACGATCAAGCAGATCGATAGAAACATTTTAATCTATCTTCGACGTCAAGGAAGGGCCTAAAGCAGTTATTTGTTTATTAATGTTTCTCTAGAAACGTTTAACGTACGATATGTCCAGAGGGAGACTGTGCGGTGACCCACGTGCCTTATCGGCACAGATAAGCTGAGATCGAGACTGGTTGTCCAATCAGAAAATGCCGATACTCTGTGGCTGACCATAACGCTCGGCCCGCCATCCGACGTACTTCCATCACCATCATCTTTTAGCCTTCTCAGTTCGGCACCAACATGGCAAACAATTCACTGAACCTTCTTCGCTCGCGATACGCATCCTCACTAAAAGAATTCATATCCTCACCACGAACATTCGAAGTCCTAGACCGCGTCCCCACCGAATCCCACGAACGACGACCAGCCCAAAACGCGCATTCCTTATTCATCCTAGACTCCTCCTTCAACCCTCCCACGGCAGCACATTTGGAAATCGCATCGACCGCACTGGAAGGATCCCCTCAATCATCAAGATTGTTATTACTGCTTGCGACACAAAATGCCGATAAACCATCCAAACCGGCTTCATTCGAGGATCGGCTGGTCATGATGAACCTCTTCGCACAGGAACTCCGAACTCATCTCCAATCATCCTTGCCATCCATCCCCGCCGCGGATTTACCGGAGGTCGATATCGGGGTGACTAAAAAGCCGTATTTTGTAGACAAGGCAGCTGCGATAGAACAATCTGGGGAGTACCCTGAGAATCTGGAACAGGTCCATTTGACGGGATACGATACTTTGATCCGTATCTTGAATCCCAAATACTATCCACCTACACATACTTTACAACCACTAGAGCCGTTTTTGTCGCGGCATAGGTTGAGGGTTACGACGCGGCCGGATGATGAATGGGGGGATCGTAAGGAGCAGGAAGAGTATTTGCGGCATCTTGCTCAAGGCGGGCGAGAGCGAGAAGGCGGGAAAAGGGAATGGGCGGAACGGATTCAGTTGGTCCCTGGTCGAAAGATCGGCGAGGTTCCCGTCAGCTCTACGAAAGCTCGGAATGCTGCTCAGAATAAAGATGCGCTGCTTCATTCTTTGGTGCCAGCCGCTGTGAGCTCTTATATCATGTCACAGGATTTATATCAGGCCGAATGACATGTAGACGATTGTATATTATGAAAGTATAGAACTTTGCAGATGCATAGTCTCGAGCTAAGGTATGTTTTGTGATGTGTATATCGTACATATGGCCATCCTCTGATGGCCACTTCATTTCGCCAAGTCCCCCAATGGCTCAAACCAAACGCCGTAGTCGAAAGTATCATTTCCCTTATTGTACAATGCAATCGTCCTCGTCCTCTAATCTTCCTCTTCCTCCTGTGTACCCAATGTATACGTCAAACCCCCAGCCACCAGATTCGTCAACGCCAAACCCATAGATGCACCACGAATAATTCCTCGGGGACCCCATTTCTTCATAAACGCCTGCTTGCGTCGACTAGCAAGTAGAAGATATAAACCGGACCAGGCGGCGCTGATACCCGCCGAGTCTTTTTTGAATCCGTTCACGTTCGTGTAGGATGTAAATAGGAGTACAGGGACGAAGCTCATCGGTAGCAATTGGAATGGCCGCATGTGTTGCGCGGTGATGAGGGTTGCTAAAAGTGTGGGCGGTAGAGGGTTTTCTGTGTAAATTAGATTAGTTAGTCAATTTGCTTTTACATAGACATGCAATTGAGAATCAGGTGAAGTCAAAATTGTCTTGGTGCGGACAATAAGTGGAATAGGAAGATATTACGCACCTCCCCAGCTTCGAGCAATCTCGTACACAGACTTCTTAGCCTGTTCTGTCCCGTCTGAATTCGCCATTGTGTCCGTAGGTCTTTCTCCAAGAATACTTTATAAGAACTGGCAATTATGATAATTCGTAAAATGGTCAATATCGCAACAGAAATATGAAATGCTTAATTGTAAGCTGTAAAGATATCGCCAATCAACTTATATGCGAAAGCTCCGTCAAGCCGGAAGTGGAACCAAGCGGCGAGTCAACTTCGAAGACCACGTACAATTTAGGACCACTCTTTCTTTCCCAGAAATCTAGAACAACAACACACAACACCATCGCTTGAGGCAACTGAGATTCTCCGCTAATAACCATCATCCAGTCATTCATTCTCTGTTTATTAATATCGTTTACGAGGTTGTCGATACGTTTCGGCGGGGCAAATCGTCGATTTCATTCTCCAACGACCACGGCTCTCCCTTTGCAGATTTGTTGACGTCGCTGCACGATCCACGAGATAAACCACATTTGGGCGGCTATTCTGACTTAATCCCTGAGGCAATCTTCCATCTGACTGAGACGAGTTTTGAGACTGGGATATTACCCACCCAGAAATGCCTTCAGCAACCGCCTCTGGAGCCGACAGCTCCAGTGGATCAGCAAGGTCGCGCGAACACAACTCGGGAAATCAAGACCGTAAATATACCCCCGAACAAAAAGCAGCAGTTCTCAGAGTACGAAGATGTTCTCCGACGGCATTTTACGAAATCCTGGCGGTCGAAAAGACGGCGACGGATGGAGAGATTAAGAAGGCTTATCGCAAGTTGAGTTTGCTTACCCATCCGGATAAGAATGGTTATGAGGGGGCCGATGAGGCTTTTAAGAGTGTGTAAATCATTTTCTAATGGAAAATGTCTTACTCTTACTAATTGATATGATGATAGTGGTTTCCCGTGCTTTTCAGATACTTTCCGATGCCGATAAAAAATCGAGATATGATAAGTTTGGCGGTGATCCTGATAATAGATTTTCGGCATCTGGTGCTGGTGCTGGTGCCGGGCCATCTGGTGCGGGCACGCCATTTAGCGGATTTGGTGGTGGATTTCCGCAAGGTCGACCTGGCGGAGCCATGTTTGAGGAAGAGATATCGCCAGAGGAATTGTTCAATCGGTTTTTCGGTGGTGGTGGATTCGGGCCTATGGGCGGCGGCGGATTTGGTCCGTTTGGTATCCAGACCAACTTGATGATTGACATGACTGTATACTAACTAGCAACTATAGGTGGCCCTCAATTTGTCTTCAATATGGGTGGTGGTCCCGGATTCAGAGTTCACCAATTCGGCGGCCCGGGTGTTCGCAGAAGACCACGTGAAGCTAACGCCCACACTCAACCTGCATCCCCCGGCTGGGCTTCATTGACTCAACTCCTCCCACTTATTCTCTTGTTTGTCTTTCCGCTCCTCTCCTCTCTATTCTCGGGAGGATCAACAACTCCCACCGGCCCAAGCTATCGATTCGACGGACCAGTCTCCCCTCATACCATGCACCGCATCACACCGTCTCTCAAACTAGATTATTACATCAATCCGCGCGATGTGGATGACTTCAGCACGCGGAAATTTAGAGATTTAGACGTCCGGGTCGAAGATGAATATGTCAATAAAATCCGCTATGAATGTGAGGAGGAAGTACAGGAACGGGAACGCAGGATGCAAGCAGCTCAAGGGTGGCTATTCCCGGACGTCGAAAAAATGAAGGAAGCAAGAGCCATGGAATTAAAAGCCTGTCGTCGGTTCGATGATTTAAAGAAGAGAAGAAGATTCTAATATTCCTAATATTGTATTTCTCTCTTCTCTTTCTTTTTTTTTCTGTCTTATTTGAAACAGCTGGTGGTTCTATCATATTCTTTATCCTTTTTTTCTCTCAGTCAATACTGAAACCTTTTGGCACTCAGTCTTCTCTTCTATGGAGTGACTCATGATCGGACTAGTATCATGGGATGTTTGGTTTGTGCTCTCTAACCCTTGTATGAGCATGTGTTTATGATTTACGTATGTGCCATTACATAGCGATTCAGACACTTCTGACATAATGTCCTATAAACAGTATTTATAATTAATCTATCGGTTTTCATTCTTTCCTCAGACTAATTATCCTAGTATCAGTTCATGTAAGTAAACTTGTGAATAGAATCAGTGGAGCCAAACCCTGCCCTGACCCACCCGGCAAGCTCAGCTTAGTAAAGTCAGCGAGTGCGGGCAACCTTCACTTAGATTCCATCATTTCTATGGAGTTTGCCTGCATGCTGTCATTAATCATTCCGCCAACACAACAATTACTCAAGCGCGACCTCGCCTGCTGGACTCGACTACACTGGTTTCATCGGGTCATATCATCGCAATATAGACCTTTACTTTTCTCCAGCTATTTCTCTTTATTGCTTACTATCAGATTACCTTTACTATTTCTTGAGGGAGCCTAAGCTCACTGACTCCGAAGATGTCGGAATCGATGTCAGATGCTGATAAGGTAAGTTTTCTCGAATGTCTTCTTTCAAGTCTTACAACTCACGCTTGTCGCCATTTAGATTCGCAATAAGAGGTTAGCAAAATTGGGAGGACCATCAACATCAACAACGTCATCAACTTCTTCACCGATAGAGTCGAGCTCCCCACAACGACCATCGCCGGATTTGTCATCGCAACAACAACAACTTTCACAACCAGAGATATCGCAAGACCAAAGCGATGCTAGATCGAGCGAGTCTGTACAAGGCAAGAGGATAAAGATTACACCATCCTCAGCAACTCCCAATGTTCCGTCGCCATCGGCGTCGCCAGCGCCACCTAAACAGCGCGCTGCCCCCAAAGCGGAGGAGTCCCTCGAGACATTTGAAGATAGGACATTACGCGCATTATTCAACATCACTCTGGACGAGAACCAGCAGAAGAATATACACGGCAACAAATTGACTTTCTTACCTGGAGTACTTGGCGAACTCAAGGATGAAGGATCCGAAATTAGATTATCTACCGGTGTCTTGGATCAGGCGATTTTGGAAGCTGCGTCGAACACGGGTCGAGATACACCCTTGGATTATCTGTTACCGTGTTGGAAGCGTGTGCGACGATTAATCAAAGGGTTTCGGAAGTCGTCCGACAATGACCCTAGATTTGCAGTGATCAGTGAGGCCAAACGACTGTGCATAAGTTATTGTGTTTTTGCAGTGACTATGCCGGAGATGTTTGGGTTGGTCTCGCTTTTTACCTTGAGTGGCTTGGTTTTTAACTGATGCTGACAAGAGCTTTTCTGAATAGTCAAACGCCAACCGGTCGCTCACCTTTAATTCCAAACCTCCTTCTTGATGCGGAAGATGATCGCGGCGTGGATCTTGACTTTCTTTCTGAAGTGGTGAAGCTGTTTGAAGAACAGGATGATTTGAAGCCGACGATTGTTTCGACGGTGGAACAGATGAGTCAGGAACTCTCTGCGAAGACTATGAATGATGATTATAAGCCATATGTGACGGTTTGTATTCCACCTTATTTCCTGCGGATCTTGTGCTAACATTTTGCCAGGCTTTGAGGAACCTCGTTCATAATGCTGTTATCGGAGCTACCATAGCCGAGTCTCCGCGATTCCTGGACGTTGCAGATGCTGCGTCCTTTGAGGTGAATACACTACTTGGACCTTGGTTTCGTTTGTCGCCGCTTCAAGCACCTGTTACGACTACTTATTTCTCCAGTCCCAAGACACGGGATCAGGGATTTATTTTGAACTCGCAGCGATCTCTTCGAATGACTCAGCAATTGCTCAGCTCTGATCTTTTAGACATCATCAATCATTTAATTCGTGCGTCGAAAGAGGCTAGAGAGAAGGTACTTGATTGGTTTGCGGCGGCCATCAACTTGAATCACAAGCGGAGAGCCATACAGGTTGATCCCAAAACGGTGTCATCCGATGGATTCATGTTCAATATCACTACTTGTCTAGACCAGCTCTGTGAGCCGTTTATGGATGCAGCGTTTACCAAGGTATGCGCTCTCATATATTCTGACTGTGCGCGTATGCTAATTAAACAGATCGATCGTATCGATGCGCACTATCTTCATCGTAATCCTCGTGTTCAGATGCGTGATGAAACCAAGATCAATGCGGACCAGCGTACATCTGACGAGTTTTATGCCCAAAAAGTGGACGGCACCTCCAACTTCATTTCCGAAATTTTCTTTCTTACCGTCGCAGCGCATCATTATGGCAGCGAATCACTGACTTCCAAGCTGGAACAACTGGAAAAGGATCTCCGCCATATGGAAACGCAGATCAATAAGTTTGAGCTAGAGCGACACAAGTGGATCCACAATCCTATTCAATTGAGGACATTTGAAGAGGCTCTTAAGAAGTACAAAGACCGGCTTGACCTTGGATTTTCTCTCAAGTACAGTCTTCAAGGCGTACTATTCGATACTTTATGGCAGACTCGGTCTATGCAGTTCATGAGATATGTCATCGTATGGATTCTCCGTCTCGTTTCTGGAACGGACTTTCCCAAACAGAAACTTACGTTGCCTCTACCCGAAGAACCTCGAGAAATTTTCAAGTGTCTTCCCGAGTATTTCATTGACGATATCGTGAGCAATTTCAAGTTCATAATGTGGTCTATGCCGCAGATTATCACCACGGCGCAAGGTGACGAGCTTGTGATGCTGTGCATCGCATTCCTTGAAAGCTCGCAATACATCAAAAACCCATATCTCAAAGCTGGTCTTATCTCTATACTATTTCGAGGAACTTGGCCTCGACCTGGAGGAGCTAGAGGTATTCTTGTGGATTTGCTCAATTCATTGCCCTTTGCAAATGAGTATCTCCTTCACGCTGTGATGAAATTCTACATTGAAGTTGAACATACCGGAACTCATACACAGTTTTTTGACAAGTTCAATATTCGATATGAGATTTTCCAAATCATCAAGTGCATCTGGGGAAATCCTGCTTATCGGAACCAACTCTCCGACCAAGCGAATGAGAATCTTGACTTCTTTGTCCGGTTCGTTAATCTTCTTCTGAATGACGTGACATTCGTTCTTGATGAAGCATTCACTGCATTTATCACAATCCACGATACGCAAGAGCTCCTGAACCGAGAGGGAAATACCATGGAGCAGGCAGTACGCCAAGAAAAAGAAGAAGCCTTATCTGCGGCTCAACGTCAAGCCAAATCCTACATGCAACTCACCAACGAAACGGTGGCTATGCTGAAACTCTTCACGGAAGCACTAGCAGATTCATTCACCATGCCTGAAATCGTACAGCGATTAGCAGACATGTTGGACTACAACCTGGATGCGATGGTGGGGCCGAAGAGCTCCAATCTGCATGTTGGAAATTTGCAGGAATACGGATTCAATCCTCGAGGACTTCTGAGTGAAATCATCGATGTGTATATTAACTTGATGAACAAGGAGAATTTCATTGTTGCGGTGGCTCGCGATGGACGATCGTATAAGCCGCAGAATTTCGAGAAAGCGGCTGAAATCATCCGCAAGCGCGGATTAAAGTCAGAAGAGGAGCTAGCTAAATTGATCGAATTGTCGAAACGGATCAAACAAGCCAAGGAGGCGGATGAGCAGGCCGAAGAAGATTTGGGAGAGATTCCGGATGAATTTCTTGGTATGTCACTTGCCTTTCTATGCATAGGTGATACATTTACTGACAATATGGAAGATCCCCTTATTTACACCCTCATGGAAGACCCGGTCATCCTACCCAATTCAAAAGTCACGATTGATCGCGCCACGATTCGGTCGCACTTGCTGAGCGATCCACATGATCCCTTCAACCGAGCGCCGTTGAAAATTGAGGATGTTATACCCAGTAAGTCCCCCACACCCCCACAACCCCTGTAGAGAAGCAAAGTGTCATTCTCTAACCTATTTGCTAGATACGGACCTGAAAAAGCAAATCGCGGATTTCAAAGAGGAACGCAAAGCTGCAAAGTTACAGTCACTGAAACAGGATGTTATGGATACATCGGCGTGATGATTTTACATTGCATTTTTTGATGAATTAGTTTACATATGTATTAGCATTTTCATCATTGAATTGTTTTGCACATGAGTGCGAGATGAAGCACTTGGTATCCAACGTTCCAGATATGACTCTTGAATTGCGTTGGATGTTATAGAGAGATATCTAGGTTTTCATGAATGGTGTATAGATCTAGATACTGTTATACCTACAGTCTAGTACCTAGGTGACTATACGTACCAGATTTCCTTTGCCGAATGGGGGTTTCCTTTGGTGGCTCCTGAACAAGCTTTCTCCATACAAAACCTACAAATCACAAAATTAAGGAATCGACTCACTATAGAGCATGCCAATAAGCTCAATTTCATCAAAAGTCGCGCGTTGAATAACATTATGTCTAACCAACTAAGTACCGAGGTCGCGGTACTCGAAATTGAGGCTGAGAATGACTTTATAGATACCCGGAAGATTAGTCAATCTGTAATGGATTCGGAATACGGCAATAGAGGGGGAAATATTGAAGAATCTCAGGTTAGCGACGTCGCCAGGCCGTTTATTTTGATCTGATAGTAATTTGGAATGCAGAAAATCAGGGTTCTTTGGAATTTCCATATGTATGCCAAGACGCACTAAATTTATATGGCAATTTTTATTTTCCAAAAACCAACAAATTTCAAAATTTCATTTCAATACGTTGAAATTTCGAAATTGAAATATTTTTTTCCCAACCCTACTCCGTACAATACAGGGGTGTTAGAAATCATATCACGTGATTTTAACACAGTACGAGCAGATACGGAACATCTGCACTGGAATACAAACCATTACCAGAAAGCCCCAAAAAGGGGGATCCTCTTTTTGGTGAAGTTGTAATTTAGTTCCGACACAGGGATGTGTCGGATTGCTGGGTTAACTTCAGGCCAATCCTGAATAGTAGTTACAAGGATGGGAAAAAGAAGTGACTAGCAAGATTTGTGTGTACTGAGTTGTCTCTGTCTCTGTCTATCCCTCAGGTCTTTTTAAAGCAGGGTGTTTATAAACATCTTTGGCGGGGTGATTTGTGAGCTATCATGAGGGGTAAACATTGGGCTGAAATCTAGGTGCCCAGATATATGCCCTAAGGTGCCTTTTAGACCTGTAAGATCGAACATCGGATCTCTCTGCCTCGTTTGTAATCCGGATTATCTGACAGGATGTGGGGGCCGGGCATATATATATATACAGTGGGGGTGCAGTAGTGTTGACACCCCCCTTCTTACCGCCCACGTTTATTGCCTGCAAAACTTACACCAAGGGTGCCAACACTACTGGAAAGGCACTGTACATGCGGTCCCTATCTATCTGTATTAGGAATCAAGATAGCTTCATATTGTCAGGCTCATTAGGCCGCTTCGTGCTCGTGCCTTGCTACCGTCTATGCTTCATAATACGGACCATAGCAAAACCAACAATAATCATTGCGTATAGTTTAGGTAGAGACAGTCTAGGAAACGCTTTCTTACTTTGCAAGCATTAAATTCCTTTGAAATTCTCTGGAATGATTACTTTACCTATTTGTCACGTATAACATGTAAGAGTAGCACTATTACATTTTATGTATTCAGGTTCAACAGATTATTTACTGTTGGTTTAACTACGTCCTGATAACACGAAGCACAGGATTGCGCAGTAAGGCTATTCCAAAGAGCCCATGAGCCTGATAATATTGATGTTATTCGAATATTATGACGGGTTCCTAAAGGGGATATCCCCAGTGTGCTGGGTAGGTGAAACGGAATAACTAATATTCCGGTGTTGATACTCAACACCTGGGGATTCCCGTACACACAATTACATTTTGTTTACATCAAGGCTAGGAATGGATTAGACTAATTAGCTACGTGACGGACAAATCTAAATATTGTTTAATATATAAATTGGGGGAATTGGGCTCTTCCAAGTTCCTAACCCTCATTCCCAAATATCTCTCTGATTATTTCACTTGATATTCCTTCTTGCCCCTTATCTACTGGAGAGCTCTGCTTATACTCTCTTTTCGTGGTTTGTTCTCATGATTCATCTTTTCGCGCAAATCGAAAGAGACCTTGCCGGGATTATAATGCCTTGAATAATAGCATATTTTCTAAGTCTTCCATGGTACGAAGAAGTAGATCCTCCTGGTTCTTCCTCCCCTAAATCTCTACCTTCTGATATGCCTACTCCATCTAATAAATCTATGCCTGCATCTCACAAAAATATATCCTCTGACAAATTAAGTCTGGTGCTGTTTGAATTAGCTTCACAAGGATTGAAGTCTCCTCAATAGAATGTGGATAATTTCTCAATTAGACCAAGAGTGATTTTAACAAGACTCCAACAAAAAACAAAAGAAGAGATCACGTACCAGCTGGACTGTAGATCATTTTAATGCTATAGGCCTTGAGACTACATGGTGTCCCAAAGGCGGCCGTCATAGAAATGATAGACTACTTTTATGTAAACGATGCAATTTGTTTAACCAATTTAACTACACACCTTTACAAAGAACACCATATTGAACAGAATATGATTACATCTCTAGCTGGGCCTCTTGATATGTTCATAGAACTAGCTAAGTCTAGACTTAATCCTATGCAGGCTCTTCTTCGCTGGGTAATTAAAACACAGCAGCCTTTTATAGTTGTTGAACATCCTACATAGAAAGAACTTCTTATGAGCCTAAATGCTAGCTGCTCTACCAAAACTGCAGATACTCTTTGAAATTGAGTTCAGAGTGAGTATTCGATTTAGAGGAACCAGTTAGAGCAAGAATTAGCTAATACCTGCCAATCGATTTTACTTTCACGCCGCTGCGAGATGTCGCAACACAAACAAGGGTATATCCCAAATTCTTGTCACTATTATGGCTGGTAAACGCCGAACCGCATGTTGGTGACATAATCATCACTTCTGGACTTGGCCGTGTCTGGGAAAAAGTGCTACAATAAGGACTTTCTAAGAAAATCAAGGTTATCAGTCAGGGGGGGGGGGGGGCGCCTTAGTGACCGCATTGTTATTACGCTGTCAGCCAGAGAAGTGGTAGTGGACTATTTACAAGAGTACTGCAAGATTTATGTCTAGGCTTTCAGCAATAGCCTGCTAGACATTCCAATATTAAAGAAAGCTAACCAGGCGGTTGTTATCGTGGGAAATGAAAATGAACAAAGCAAGACGATGGATGAAGTCTTAGAATAGGCTTTTGAGGACACAGATTTCAAGCCTCAACAGGTAGTTTTACCTTCTAATGCTCCTCTATGTCTTGATGTAACCTAACTACTAGTAATAAGTTTGACACAACAAGCGGTTCATTGCCGACGTTTTCACTCGTGGCCGGCTAAAGTAAATATCCCTAGACATATAGAATAGTGCTTTTTTTCTATACTAATAACTGAGCTGATAAACTCAGTTGCCAAATAGCTGCCCACACGCCAGTAAGCTTCACATAGAATAGGGCCATTATTATATATATCCTGCATAGCCATTATAAGTAACTCTACAGATATTCTATCTGTCGCATTAATAATATTAATATTTTACTGATGGATACTAACTCTTCTATAAGGATCTGACCCTGATCATTTCTCTTATGAGGTGCGGAGGCCCCATGGCTCATGGAGTTTGGGGCGTATTCCTCCGTACAATATATCTACATGCCAAAAGTCCTATGGATATCAAGTCTAATCACTTAGATGGTTAAATCAATGTTCTACTTATTAACTCTATTGTAAATACTAGAACGTCTATTATAGAATTTGTATAGCCCATTCGCAATCTTCATACCACTATTTATATTGTGGTTATTGCTAGTTTTATTTAAGCTCGGTGTACTTCTGGTAGCCATAGAACTAACCAGAAAAACACCTGGTAAGTGAAGTCTTCAATTCTAATATCAAAAGGGACATGCGGTATCGACCAGGATAGTGTCAGATAACCCAGATATCTGGTGAGGCAGAAGATAAGCTATTCGATCTCTCGAGCGTCAAGCAGTCACCTCAGGGCTCAATATAGCCCTCAATGTTTACCCCTTATGATAGCTCACAAATCACCCCGCCAAGAATGGATATAAAAACCCGGCTTTGGAACCTGATGTATTCGAAAACAGACAGACAAACAACTCAATAGATACAATATTAATAGTCACTTCTTTTCTCATCTTAGTAAACCACTATTCAAAGATTGGCCTGGAATAAACCCACCAATCTGACAGATAGTTGACGACGCCGAATTGTTAATAAACTAGAGGAGAATGTGGATGCTAAGGGTTATAAGTAGTAGTAGAGATATCAGCTGTATGCTTTCCTTTGGGGAATGATGATTCTTGATAGAGCTTTCTCAACGTTTTTGTTTTCTCTCTCTGCCTGTTTTCCTAGCTAAGAGAAAACTATCTAAGGGATAAGGTCTCCTGTTCCATGCTCATAAATATTGGCCCGAAGGTCATATGATCTTTACATGAATCGTCCATGTGTTTATTTGTATTAAGGTTACCGTATATTGGCAGTATTATGATGTATTTATCTTGAACAGCCACAAAGATTACGGTGTGGCTGTGTCAAATATCATAATATATGCACAAGTGAACACAAAAGTGTTACATTATTGAATATGAAAATTAACTACAAGTCTCTGTAAAATCTTGTAGGACTCATTATAACTGTTCCAGTCTTATGGAAGCTGTGAGTGGTTGGGGTCACTGAAGAAACAAACCTGTGGAGTTTGATCACAGGTAGGCGTAATTAATACTCCATACTCTGTACACACTTCATACAATACTTCTATTGGAGAGCAGAATTCGTTCTGTGCACCCCCTAACCGAATAGCTTTAATTGCGGCTCCCCATTTCTCTACAACAAACCTGTCCCGCGCTCGAATACCGCAATGCTGGAGTTCTCAAGCATAGATGCTCTTATTAGTATACTGTATACTATAGCATTGCGTGTGCCTATGGTATGGAATGCTACCCCAGCATCACTACGGGAGTAGATAACATTATAGCTTTACCTGCTCTCTCAGTGAGGATGCACACATGTCTTTTAGATTGTGGGACAGCACCTCAGACTTTGGGACTTATATATTGGATATAAAATGAAGAAGAATAATAAATTAGACTAAACACTGTATGATACAGGTTATATATTGTTATAACTGTGATGGAATATTAATAAGGAACAGATGGCACATTGTTGTAAGACAAAGCATACTGTTAATTTTGGGTAAAGTATGTCTCTAAAGGGAAATTTCATTGGCGTCGGTTGATCTAGTTGAAAGGTATCAACTTTTTAGAAGCAAGGTCGTCATAGGGGTCAAGTAGCTCATTGGCCTACATAGTAGTGAGTGAACCAGAGTGCTCAGTTCTACTCAGTGAAGCGGCGAGGGGGTGAGCGCTAAACCGGAAGGGGGAAGTCGCGGAACGTCAAAGGAAATCTGGTACGTAGGTAGTGATGGAGAGATGTCTGGGTCACAATTCCCAGATTAGTACGCAATATTCACCCAAAATCCTCCCTCCAGCCGAGAACACCCAGTAGAAAGAAACATTCTTCTCGTCCAGCTAGAATCGTTCCCTTGACAGGACTAATACGATGAAGCCATATAAACCAGATTGACCATCTGCCTATCTGCTTATCTGCCTACGAGCATTTGGTAGAGAAGGGAACTGGCCCCTGCACTACTAAGTTTTTACAACTTTTGCCTGTTGATTTTTGGGTTTCGGGTCATGAGGTAGAATCCCGCTGGATACTTTTGTTTTTTTTTTTTCTCACTCTACAGTATATGGTTTTAGTGATATGTTTTGATATCACGGGCAGTAGGTACATACGGTTCGAATGTGAAGATGGCAACAGATACCTAGGTAACATGAGTTACACTACCTAGTTGGGGCATGTGCTTTCTATAGTCTATCCCTAAGGACATAACTTGTAAATACAGACGGCTGCCTAAGGCTGTATCTGTCTAGGGGTAAAACTGATGTAGTTGATACATAGCCAGCCCTAATTCATGGATATCCCAGGGAATCCGAGGAATACTGAGCTTGCCGGTAAATTGCTCAACCCTACAAATATGCATAGATATTTCCGGTCAAGCATTTATCTCTAATAGTTCAATTAACTATCGCTGAAAATCAATAATGAGAGAGTTAGGATATCCTTTATCAGTCAAGACTCAAGAGCGATGTTGTGAAACAATCAGCCAATCGGGAGCAGCCGATAGAGCCCCAGCTAAGATCGGCAGATCTTTCTGACGCGGTGATCACGCTGACGTTTCGTCCTACTCGAACAAAATCATTACTGATTTTACTACTTCCTTAATAGATATTGGATAATCTTTGACTCGACTACACAACTACTCCCTCTCCAAGTCTCAGACCTGAGCAGCCTATCTCTTCTCTCTTTGTTCAGCAACTTGATCACAATGAACAGTCTCCTCGCGTTCGCGAGGTCTTTTCTTTCCCCCCTCAACCGTGGACTTATACATGGCAAACTTCGACTCTTCCAAATGGTTTCCAGCCGTAAGTCTTGGACCAATTACTTTCAGACATATACTGAGATGGTATACAGGCAACAGTAGTTCAATGGCTCTTAAACTACCATCCAGCAGGGAAATTCTCCCTGCCAAACTCCGTACTCAATCTCAATGGCCGCTTTGCCTGGTGTGTCATGGAGGTGGTTGGTCCCATCAATATGATTTACATACTCTCGACACTTCCGGCACAGGTCAATTTTTCGTTCACAGATTTACCTCTGTGGAATAAACTTGCTGCCGCGCTTTATGTGATTCATTACTTCAATCGATCTATCATGAACCCCCTCTTTGTTGCGCCTAGTATCTCGCCCGTCAGGCTGGAAGTATTCCTGCTGGCTTTTATTTTCAATTGGTTCAATTCTTCGTGTATTGCTGGGTGGATTGCGGGATATGATCTCACTCAGAGACTTGGATATACGCCTTTACCGGCGTCATCGACGATACTTCACCAGTGTCTTCCCTATATCGGCTTGGCAACTTTTGCATATGGGATGATTGGTAATATCCGTGCCGAAAGGACACTATGGTCCCTTCGCCGAGAGGAAGCGCAGCGTCGCGCATCCAAAAAATTAGACAGCAAAGATGGAGAGTGTGAGAAAAACATCTACCACAAAGTCTACGTTATTCCTCCCGCAAAAGGGCTATTCCGATGGGTTCTCTACCCCCACTATGCCCTCGAATGGCTTGAATGGCTCGGTTTCGTATTAGTCGGGACAGCTGTATACCCTGCTCATGCATTTTTGCCCGCGATATCAAATCCAGGTTTGCCAGCACCGTCAGTCGCTCCTGCGCCGTGGTTGAGACCATTTGCTATGCTTGCTGAGCACTTCCGTCTTCCGTTCCCAGGGCCAGCACTTGTGTTTGTGTTGAATAATGTTTTCACTATGTTGCCTCAGGCACGACGTGGGTGGAGATGGTATAATACCAACTTTGGAAAGGATGCTGTTGCCGGTCGGAGTGCAGTGATCCCAGGGGTCCCGTTTCTATAAAAGAATTACTCTTTTCAGGCGGATTGGACTGACTGTATTTATAACTGTATACTAGGATATATAGAAAGAACGACATATGGATCATCTCGGGCTGTTCCTTCCACGAGGAACGGGCAGGTGTCTACTTCCAAACCAACCTCAACCACGACTTCGCTTCTATTCTTCACATCACAACACAGCATAGCTAATTAGCAATTGCATGTCTTTGGCTTACATTATATCGCGTTTTTCATACATTTGATCCTGAAGCACGTTCCCGTCAATTTTGGAACACTGCGGCGTATACCATCAAAATGGCCTTTCTCAAGGGCCGTCTCCGTCGAAAGTCGAGCGAGCGATCGCGAGCAACCAGTATTGATGTGGCAACGAAGAATCACAAGTCCGAATCTAGTCCATCAATATGCGCCTCGGTAGCGGATACTGGGAATCTGGAATCGATCAATATCGAAGTCGAGCAGTTGTTCCAACAGGCAACGGATACTGATACTGATCATCCAGGACGCTCAAAGACCGAACCGTCTGTTTTTCTTAAAATCATGAAACGCAAAGGATCTCCTACGAAACCAACCGGTTTAAAAGAGGGACTAAGGAGATCTTTCTCTCATCGAGAACGTCCGCAGCCGTCGACGGAATCAAAATCCAGCGATAGAGTACAGAATAGTTCGCCGGACTTTGTTAGTGAGATGGGATACGATAGTGATGCTCTCTTCATACCTAGCCCGCGGTTCTCTGAGCAAAGTTGGGATTCTGCGCATCCTTGCAGTCCCATACAGATGGAACGAACTATGACCTCGTTAAACCAAGTATTGGCGAATGATCTGAGATCACAGCCAAACTTACACCAAGATAACGAAACTATTGCCTTGCCGGTCATTGAGCCCCCCAAGCTTAATGACCTCTCGATTTTGAAACGGAGAAGGAAGATTGAATTTGGTGATGAGCAGAGCAGTCGCTCATATACTCTTCGATTATCGAGCATCACTCCTAGTGATGAGAGCGGGAGGTCGGAAAGTTCTATCGCGGCTATTGAGAACCGTCGAAAGAAGAGTCGGTTCAACGAACTATTTCATCTCGGCCTGAAAGATGATATTTCGTCTCAACAACCTAGGAAAGTGAGCATTGGATGGATGTCAGGCGGCAAGCGCTGTGGTTATGGATATTCTTTTGTCGAAAAGGAGGAGGCTACCAACGCCTCCTGCACTGCAGACGTACCGCCAGATGACTCATCTGAAAGTTTATCATCTGGAACTGAGGACTGGCAATCAACCAGGGACGTAGTCATATCTGATGACAGTCAAGATAATGATGAGGGTAGCGAGTCAAAGGTCGAAATTTCTTCTCAAGTGAAAGACGAAGAATCAGCCCCCAAGCCCGAGAGAATCTCGTCCCCTTCTCAGCGCTTACGGTGGACAATCTTTCCAAGCCATACAAAGGCTGAAAGAAACCTATCCATGAATCTTGACAATGGAATTATTGTTCGTGATTTCTGCCCTAAAGCTTCACCAGACAGACCTCAGCTAGAACAAAATGGAGAGGAAAAGAAGCATCATCTGATCTCTCACGCCATCCGTCAAGGCTTCCACGACACCTTTCTCTGGGTGATTGGTCTCCGCAAACGCGAAATAGCAAGATACCACGCCGGCCTTGAAGTACATGCAGCCCGGTCTCATGAGTGCATGGATCCACCCTTCGAGACAACGGTACCTTACTGGGATAATGTCCCAAAGGAGGAACTGGGCGATTATCACATTGAAGCTTGGAGAGCGGCAAAAAGGCGAGAAAAGAAGAGATCTGGCGGAAAATTGGGAAAGTTCAGGGTTTCCATGGGTCATAGTGCTGACGCTGCTGCGAAGGAAGCACGCAAAAGGCCGACATCCTCCTGCTCCTCGTCCAAGAAAGTATGTGAATCACCTCTTTCGGGTCCTGAGACTGGTAGGAGGTATCTTGGTAGAAGGCACAGTGCGAAGTTTTGATGCATGAAACGAGAAAGGTGGCTGAATTATGTGTAGACAGGTTGGGAGTGTTGGGATACAGAGAGATATTGAGGTTTTCGCCTAGGTAGATTAGCCAAGCATGTGAATACCTAATCATAAGATAGTACATACTTTAGGGCCTTGGTATAAATATATTCTAGTATGGGATATCGTACAATTCTTGAATTCATATAACTATCTAGGAATGCACCTAAATGCAAAACCTCGAATGAAGATGAGGTCACATTACTTCCGCTGCCTTTTGGAACTCTTGTCACTCTGAGCACTCAAAACACTAGCCGATCGTTTATGTGACAACGATCCTTTAGTTTCGGGAGCCGTCTCGGTAGTATTATTCGTACCATCTTTTCGCTGCTCTATTGGTGCTCCCTCTTCTTGATTCCGGGGCTGATCATCCACAGCCTCCAGTTTGATTTGTTTCTCTGCTTGTTCAGTGCTGCCTCCATTCGTTGCTGATGTATTTGCAGCATTAGGATTCGCTTCTCGCTCTTTCCTCAGTCGTTCTTCTCTAGCAGCCTCCAAAACCCGAATTTCACTGTCCACCTTTTCAGCCACTTTGCGCGCATCAAGTAGGGTATTAACTTGATGGATGAGTTTCTCAAATTCCTTGCATACTTTCTCAGTAGGCATAAGTAGGCGTAAAGGAATATCCAGTTCCGTAAGCGCAGCGGCAAGTTTTTGTGTTTGAATGTTTGATTTCGCTTGTGTGAGTTTTGTGGCTTTGTCGTTGCGGAAGTGGACGCCTGGCGGGACGCGATCGTGGTGTTGAACACCGTATTTTTGTTCTTCTTCTTTGGTGAGTGTTCGGACGGTCGGTTGGGATGGGGTTGCTGCGGCCGAGGCGGCGGCTGCCGATCCTCTCTTGTTCGATGGACCGGCTGTGGGTGTATCGATTTGACCGTCGCGGGCACCACTTGGTAGAGTTTGGGAGGGCGTTTGACCGGCTGGGCTGGGTACACCGTCCGGCCCGAGTATAGAGCGGCGTTTCTTGCTTTTATCGGCTTGTAACAATGTTGACAGGAGCTGCGACAGGCCTTGGCTGGATTGATACATGGTCGTGTTGCTGACATGATAAGGAACGTCAAGTCTGGCGTACAGTTCCCTGCGCTCTGCTATAAAGTTTTGCTCGTTTGTGACGATTCGTTTGAGTTCCTCTAGTAATATTCCTTCTTCGCGGACTTCATCAGCGGTGCGATTAAGTTGCAATGCAGCCAGTTCCTTTCGAACTCTTTCACGTTCTGGGTCGAATTTCATCATCTTTTCATGCAGCGCGAACTCGGCTTCAGACATCTCCGAGGGCGGATGCTCGAGAGCAAGCATATTCGCCGCAACTGTATAATAACGAGCCTTCATCTGCTCCATGGTCCGGACACTTTTTGCTGTAACAAGTGCCGTCGCATTCGCTTCAGTGTTCTCGGAGATTTCGGGTTGAAAGTCGTATCGATCGGCGATAATAACCCATCTTAGATCATACTCTTCCACCAAATTCATGAGATAATCCGTCTCCTCGCGCGACCAATCATCGCTCTGTAGGTGTCGTTGGTATTGATCGTCGGTATATCGTTTGGGAACTTGGGCCTTGACGTTATATTTCGCGAACATATATGGTTGAGTGGATTGTTGTGCGCCATCAGTCGCATGCTCATCAACATCCATTGCCGTATCGTCTAAAGGTTTGAGAGTCTTGTTCGTGTCAGTCCGTCGTTGCCAATGTCGAAGGACCAATCCATCCCTACGCGCTTCGTTTGTGAACTCAGTCATTCGCCTAGTCATTCACGTTAGAAATCAAATACGATCATCTCTTAATGAGCAATCATACCATGGCGCCGCTCTCCGATTTGATTTCTTCAACTTGTATTTGTTCTCCGTGAGTGAAATGGGAGGCGCCTTTTCGCCGAGGAGCGCGTAGAGTTCACGAGTGATACCCTCTTTTAGACGTCAGCGAGTGAGCTTCAAAAATAAGAAGAAAGGAAAATCTCACCTGGCCTCTTCTCCACGACCTTCTGCTTCTTATGCGGTCTAGGTTGCCCATCCGCGGGCAAATCGAGCATGTCGCGAACATCCGCTGCAGCCATGATGGCGGGATATCCAGACTCGACACCGGTGGATCAAGGTTACGAGATGAAAAAAAGTATGAGTGTTATAAGTGATGATGATTAATTTCCGGGAGCTGACTGATTATCGCGATGTAATAGTAACCCCGGACAAATCGATTGTTGAAGATAAATGATTGAACGCAAGTTGAAATTCGAGATTCGGATTAAAAACACGAAAACCCTACTATGATTGGCCATATGGTAGGCGGTGAAGGCGTTCCGCCCAGGCTGGCAGAAAGGGAAGTCCCAGGGTTATTTAACCTACTTAAGACAGCGCAGAAAGACAACTCCTGGATCAACAAAACATCATCTGATTCCCCTATCGCGAGATCCTTCCAACTTCATCCGGTTTCATTCGTCGGAAAGCTATTGGAAGTCTAACTTAAGCATGATTTCTTACGAATCGTGACCGGCTATTCGAACCCAGCCTGAAGCACCAGGAAGGGTTGCAGGTGAGGGTTCGAATCTGTGGTTTATTTCTCCGTCATATACGTTCATTCTACTTCTATTTTGAAAAGAGGACTCGAGGTTGAAAAGTTATGCACGGCTTTTCTAGGTATGTTATCAAAAGAAATTGTCTACTGATTGTTGAGAATGAAAGAAGTCTTCAATCGAACATCAATCGAACATTTAGTTCTAGCTCACTGCATACCATGGGAAATGGACATGTTGGAGCAACATTGGAAAAGTCCACATGTATTGGTCAAAACTAAGTTGCTAACTATTTATAGAGTGTCCAAACTCATTCACATGTAGGGCAAAGTCGTTGACCAAGAACCCAACATCCAGACTGAATCATGTGCTGCAATCTTAAAGACCCTTTGTGGTACTAGCCATTACTGTGCGGTCGATGCTAATCCCTTGGTGCTTTTCAAGGGCTTCAGTTGCGCTTAGGCGATGGGCAAAGAGGCTCTGTTCAATCTGGAAGGCACAAAGACCGGGTCCTGGACAAGCCCGATTCCTTGTGACAGTGACGAAACTCTAAAGGCACAGTGGAATGATCTGGAGGTGAGGTGTGCAGACCAGCAGTGCCAGCGAACCAGTTCTGATGGCCCTAATAGCCCCGTTGTGGTGATCTGTTATAATGGCGAAACCTCACGTCTAGCTACATCCCTAATGTGCGGTCAGGGAATAGAAGCGTACAGTATTGCAGGAGGAGCGCACACAATAGCAGCAGCTTCTTAGGATAGTTTGATCACAGATGACTGATAATACTGTTTTGATAATTTAATTCAATGATTGTTTGCATTGAACAACGAGCGCAAAACAGTTGGAGTTGTTCAAAGAATTCAGAGTTGTCAAGCATGACTTTCAGAAGGATGCTCACTATCATATTAGCATACAGCAGTAATAGCAGTAATCATCCCAATACAAGTCATAACCAGCATATTTTCTTCTGTATATAGTCACTCGAAGACGTCGAGAATCAACAGGAGCTATAGTTAATCTAAACCAAAAAGAGAAATTGATGCGCTAACTTCTTCTGACATACCAACAGTTTGACCTGATTGGCCAGACAGCAGGCGGTAAAACTGTTGCGGCCAACTTGACAGAAAGAGGAGCTTTCCCCTTTTGTTCTATCAATAATATTGGCAACATCACAGAGATCTGCTTCCTGTTGCATTGCTCTATTTCCGTTCGTTGCTTCTAGGTCATATTGCATAGCCGCAATGTCGGCCACAAGGACTAGCCCATCATGGCTGTTGACACTCTTCACTGTCTTCACCGTGTTGTCTGCACAAGCACGCGCACTCCATGTATACATGGAAGGCCAGCAACGGAAGTGCTTCTTTGAAGAATTGCCCAAAGATACATTGGTTGTTGGTAAGTCTCGAAACATTCAGCATATAGGGCTTTTATGGCGATTAACAACGAATGAGTGTAGGAACATACAAGGCCGAAATCTTGAACAGAGAGTCCAATATCTGGGTCCAAGACTCCTCACTCCAAGTACTCATCACAGTCGAAGAAACCTTTGATAATGATCACCGAGTCGTCTCTCAGCGCACGCCGAGCAACGGACGCTTCACATTCACTGCTGCGGATGCTGGACAACACCGAATCTGCTTCACTCCGGACTCGCAGAGTCAAGGTTGGCTTTCCAGTGCGCCCACTGTGAAATTGGCTTTGGACGTCGCTATTGGTGCTACCAGCAAGATTGAAACCGAGGACTCCGGGAAGATTTCGGATATTACACAAAGAGTGAAGGATCTCAATAGTCGGTTGGAGGATATTCGTCGTGAACAAGTATTCCAACGGGTAGGTTTATTTCACTTCTGTATATCTCGGGTGGCACAGGGAACAGCAAGCTAATAATCTCTGGGACTTTTACAGGAACGAGAAGCTGAGTTCCGTGATCAATCCGAAGCTACCAACTCCCGTGTCGTTCGTTGGACTTTGATACAATTAGCCGTCCTTTCTATTACATGCGCGTGGCAATTGTCGCATCTCCGATCCTTCTTCATCAAACAGAAATTGACTTGAGCAAGTGATTATGAATGTATAAGCGAAGAAATTTGTTTGTCGGCATGCTGGTGTATGGTGCGGGATTTTTGTTGAACTCAAGACATATGTGTTCAATTTGCGAGATTTTACGCCTACTTATGTTTTCTATACAATGCTCATCCTCTATGTGTAGAGGAGCTAAGTAATGGGCTTTGGAGGCATGAATTGTAATGATAGCAAGAAAATTGGTTTGTTATGCGGCATTATTTTAGGGTTAGTTCTATCAGAGCGCATTTCCTTTACTATTTCAAGGCACTATGCTCTTCTATTTATTCATAACGCTTAAATACTTCAAGCTGTGAAGTGCAATGGCCTGTTCTATTAACACATCAAGGGCCAGTATGAGAACCTGCAGGATACATGCCTACTTGGGGAGGTAGTTGGTCAGGATTATCTTACAGAATCACTCTTATGTACGAGAGCCACCAAGCTCAACTGACATACTACTCATAGGTCATTCATAGACATCTCAACATTAACGTCTATATATACCATATAATCAATCTGAATAGCCCCGGACTTGGAGTCCCCAAACCAACGGGAAGTATCTCCCTAGGTTTCAAGCGTACAGGGTGACTGTTCTTCATTTTGGGACGCGGCGTTGCAACACTACACCCTTTGCTCGACGGACCTTTAGCACTACACTGAGCACATGCACTTCCCGGATGTTTCACTTGCATCTTACCTCTATCACTACATACCCAACACTCCAGACCGTCATGTTGGCACCATGTGCATCTTTTATCGCCGAGGAGTCGAACTCCAAGCTCAGTTTCCATTATACGGCCAATATGAGAAGATGCAGCCTCGATTCTGGCATCCCCTTGACCTTCTACCCAATAATTGTACCACCATTTACCGACCGCGATAGGATTGTATGGCATATTATCCTTTTTCACCCGTAGTGGACCGTCGCCATGGAATACGTGGCTGGTCAGCTACCTGTGATCTGAGATAGGCTATCTCCAAGGGAGAAATTAGAGGTGGTCTGGGAAAGAATGTCAGTGGTCTGGCTATTCATCAACCTTGGAGGAGATGCGTGGGATAAAGCACTCACATGGAGATCTGGCGAACAGACGTAGTTTGTGATATTGAAGTTGGCGCCGGAGATGATGCTGGTGCACCTTTAAAATTTAATATATGATCGTCAGCGGCGGTAGCAGCGTCATCTATCATATCACTTTTAAGGTAGAATAAGTCGTCATTGGCCTGTTGCTGCTGTGGCTGTGGTGACGAATCGATGTCACCCACATGCTCGAGAAGCGTGTTGTAGAGTTGCTAATCTAGAAGCTCTTGGTCAATTTGCTCTTGAGCTATAGATTACATGCTCCTCCCCCGTTCACCCTCACCCTCATTCCGTCGCTGAAAATTGTGAATGACTACATTAGATCTGGGATTGTGGCCTTCCAGGCTCAATGTCACTGCGCGGATTTATTACGCCAAAAAAGAATCGTCGGGACAAACAAATCTTGCAATAGCAGAATATGGTATTGAACGGTGTTAGCACGTCGTGGGCATGAACGGATCATCCGTTTCTGGGGTGCAAATTAAGAATTTCTTTCATTGCTAGACTCACTGCTTGAGGTTGCTAGGCCGGAATACTTCACTTGTTATGTGTATCCCAAGATTGTGTTCAATTGACTCGAGGAGAAAAGAAAGACAGGCGAAACAAATTTTCTCCAGTGGCTAAGCATCATAAAATTGCATCGCGGCGGGCTGCAAACAAATGCAAACTTTGGTGCCGATATCGACCTTAACGACCAAATTCCTGATTCGCTAGAAAGTGCAATGGTGTCCGTGGCATATTGCGAATTCATATTCGTTTGGGGAGCTGTAAGATGGATAGGATATTGGCGCATACAATGGAGTATCAGTGAGATGCCCTGGAGATCATAACTAGGAAGTACGTTCGTTATTTGCTAAAATGAAATATCTGACATAAGTGAGGCTGTAGTCCACCGTATTTTATGTCGATTACTGTTTTAGGCAATAACGAAGCCATTTCTTTGCCCTGATTCTCTATCATCTCCTTCCAGTCTGTGAGGTAAGTCGAGACCTTTGACCCCAAGTGCTTTAATATTGTATCTTATGATCGAATCTGGAGTTGAATTTATCTTTCTTGTCTCCTTCGGCAGCATTGAAGTGCTTGTCGGGATACAGCCATTACTGTAAGCGAGAATTGATAACAATGCATCAGACTGACTATCAATTGATAGAGCTTCCGACTCGATGATGATCAATGTCAAGCATAACACCATCCCTGCAAAGTCGTTTTACTTGATATCAAGGAATATCCAGAGCTCCTTTGTTGAACGGGTAATTGAGAAAATCTCAACCCATGCATACCAAGGAAGGATGATACCATCCGGGTTTCACTATCGAGTGATATAGAATCCCAAATACAATGCATAGACCAGCGTATACTAAAGGCTATGCGGTCTGCATGATTTGGGACACTATCTCTTCGCTTACTGTGAACCTGAAAAGATCTGCCATATAGGAGAATAGATAACCCGTAATCATACGATGTCAGTTGTACCTGATAGACTATCTCTCTGTACTCTGTACGACATCCAGTACATTGGCTAGAAGTTTAACAGATTATGTGGAAAGAGAAGTTGACGATATATGAAACGACTGGCCCTGCAAGATGGTAGTACGAATGTCTAGGATCTATACATCGATATCAGATAAAGGTCTTTTCTGACAGCACCTAAATACATAGACATGATGTCCTCAGTACGTAGCTCTAAGAAAAAGGAATTCCTAAGTATGAAACAATGTAGATCTCATCACGTAGACATGCTGACGTACCCTGAACCCTATTCCAAGCCCTAAGTCATCCAACAGTCCAATGTCTGGTATGTTCTACAACAACACTCGGACTCACAACAAAGAAACCATTATCTGGTAGAGGGCTTCTTTCATCCAAGGTTGAACAATATGTCACACATGCAAAAATCCACTTAGTAGGGCTACAGCCTTTCTCCGTCGACCATGAAAAGCTTTCTTTCGAAAAAGTCTAGAATTCGCGTACAATCGGTACCTTTTCTCATCGTTTCTCCACAGGTTCCAGGGTTCTGTTAATAAACAAATGTCGCACAGACAAATCGGCTTCTGCAATATCATTCTGCGAGTGGTGTAATGTTTTGCATGGCGATTGGAAGCCACTGACATGACGGCAACGCAACACAGTTTTGAGGGAAATAAAAATAGACTTGACTTTGTTATCTGCATGCGTACCGCACAGACATTGGAAGTTTGGTTGAAAAGGTAGATACATGTCCTATTCCCTCTCACGATCTCGACGGCCGAAGTCGAAGGGTTCATAGTCAAACTCCATAATTCTTCATCACAAGCAAGCTAAGAGAGCAGAACAATCGCTCCACTCGAGAGTCGTAATTCACGTCCAATAGCTAGTCCCTCCGGAACCCATGAATTCTCCGTATGTTGCTTAACAATTTTTCGAATCTAGATCATTGTCTTTGTTGATCGTGGGGCTGTCTGCCTTGACTCTTGAGCTGGGACCACACCGGAATGGCTGTTACGTACTATATTTGTAGAGTTGGGTAAACGCACCAACGGGCTATAGCCGCTATACATACAAAGTACATCGATATACCTGATTGAGTACGTATAATAGGATACACATATTGAAGCCTTGAAAAATCGCATCACGTGTATTCTCTCTCTCCAGCGTACATTGATAACTGGGCGGATGGTCCGATTGCGGGTGGACCATGTCTCTAGCGACATTCCGGACGGCTCTGATTAGCCGGATCTATAACAATAGCATTTCATCCGGCCGACATCGCTTGTCTAAAATCTCCTCAGATCTTCGTGCGCGAAGAAGCTAGGACTTACTTACTGAAATGGGAAAGACCTCGTTTGACCTCACTATCTGTCACTGTTATGACGGATATAATGTCAATCAAACTACGGACAACTCGAATGGGTAGGAAATGACGATTTTCAGAGTTCGTCCGAACAACAGTTCGTCGAGGGACCTAACCGAAGCAAATATTACATACTTCTGCAGCATGGTATAGTCTTAGGCATAACAGGAGACTGGGATTCTCTTCCGTACGGACACCGAGGAACAAACCACAGGCCTAACATGAGAAAACAAAACGAAACCGAAGAGCATAAAGCTGCATAACAAACACACCCGTTTTTAACAGGCTTAATAGGCCATCCAATGAACCGCGATCATATTGAAAAATTTTCTTATGCATGAAAGAACAAGGATCGAAGGCCTAGAACATGAGGCAAACACCAGAGTAAGCACGGGACTGCTTATTTGGGAATAGCGAGGGATTGACATGTTTAGATGTTTAGGGCTTACTTAGGGCTTACTTAGGTAGGCCTGTAGGATCAATCAAGTCTTTTGGCGGCTGCCATTTTTCGATTTTGTTTTGAACCGCACGGATGTCTCTTTAGCCATGACAGCGGTTATGATGTCAGGCTTGTAGATACGAGGATAGCACTGTTCTCAACAGTGAAGACGATAGTGGGCACTGGGTAGGAGACTCAGGAAGCCAAGCAAAGTAAGCTTACGTTGTCAGTCCACAACACAGGAAATGGCCCATTTCTGTTCTATGACTGTCCAATAATAGTACAAGTGTCAGCGATTCAGTGTTGACTTAATTCCGTCCCCTGTTGCAATTCCGTATGCAGTCAATATATTTCTCGTATTGGATACGTACTCTATTTCCGAACGGAAAGAGTCGCATTGATTTATGAGATGTGTGCTCCGTACTCCGTACGCCATAGATGCACTTAATCATCGTCGCAAAGCCCGGATGTCAATGTACTATGTAGGGTCGACCCTATCCCACATGCGTCATAGTACGTGCGAATAAGCGAATAACGACAGTGACAGGGAACGGCGTACCTGCATCAAATCCCGGTACATTCATCTTGGCTCGGTGCTTAGTTTACTTACCGATACCCGCGATCGAATAGCTTCGTGTGCTTGTTGCGGGAAGCTGACTTGTCCACTTCACCGTTTGTATTCACCGAAAGGAATGCATCAATAATTAATACGAGAACGAGAAGCGACAGAAGAAAATGGCAGTGTTCGCTGGCATTTGCAACGTCATAGCCTCTTGTCTTTTTTCGGGTTAGGCTAAGAATTTCGATCTAAGCTCGAATTACATCATCCAAAATTGGCCAATTAGGGCTATTTTGCCCGTGACCGTAGAACAGATGGCATACTGCAACTGGCTCTTATCTCTTACTGCCCGATGTTTGGAAACCACCCAAATGTCGGCTGGAATGGAAAGGTGCATTTCAAACACCTTCAAATCCCACGACGAAAAGGGCAGGTAGAAGCTTGGTCGTTGTTCGGTTGCTCGCAGCACACCTTCCCAATGCCAGTGGTTGGAGACATCCTCACTGTTATTGTGCAATACTACGCGATAACGGAAACCCCCGCGAGGAGGACAAGGATCAGGGGAGTTTGTGAGGCAGGGATATAGCTGTCGGATACCGTGTCCGGCATGGTAGTGCTGTAGTTGCCATGTTTTTCTCTACCTACCGTGTCAGACATCGTTGTTAGTCAAAAGCAGGGAAGGGATAGACATGATCAGTTTACAGCGGTTGTTTGGCAGTTTGCTGATCTGTAAGGCTGCAAGGCACACTTTCCCAGTGAAGGCTATACTATGTATTGCCATACAGGCGGGTAACGATTGGCAGAATGTGATCGGTCGAGATTGGCTAGAAAATGTATTGTGGCGTCTGGCTGACTTTTAGCATATGACACCGAATGTGACCAGCCAGATCGATCTGGGCTTTTTTGATCAGTAGTACTACGGAGGTACGGTCATACAGGTAAATAATGTTAGCGTCCCACAGAGCGACCTTTCCCTAAAACAGTATAAATCATTCAAACTAGATAAATACACGCTCGGAATCCCTATATCCACCATCTGTTTCAATAAAGGACATAGAAGCAGATGAGGAAGATGTATAGACTAGTGCGTGTTTATAATCAATAGGTGGATTCGAATTATTTCCACGGCCCACCTTACTAGCATTATTTATCTGTATGACCATACAGAGTAGTAATATCAGTAAGTAACACGGGCTAACATGTAATTTTTCTATCAATATGTAGCACTCTCTCACTCACTCACTCACTCTCTCTCTCTCTCTCTCTCTCTCTCTCTCTCTCTCTCTCTCTCTCTGTGTGTGTGTGTGTGTGTGTCTCGGTCAAATAGATTTGTGAGGTCAAGCTGGCCTGGGAATTTGCCTGTTTCTATCGGCGTCTGGAAGCACGTCGACCATGGTCGCAATCCGCCAGCAGTGGGTCTGCCTCAGGCAGTACTAACTTAGTAAGATCCCCGGCCCGGTATTCTGGGACTGGACAGGTCAATCGAGATGTCCTTCCTTTTCGGTAATAAATTGATAATATTGCAAATAGTAAGCGTTGAATATACAGCGAGATCTCAATATTTGTCCGGGTGTCCATTTTGAGTAGAAAGACGCAATAAAGGATGTCGGCATATACCAACTGCCAAATTATGGATGTAAATTATGCGAAACAAAAAGAACGCGATTTGTTGTTTGTTCGCCTTTGTGCATGATTTGCTCCACCAACCGCCAGTTGAAGCCAATCAGAATAGACTCCAGCAGTATCCCGCGCGCCCACTTTCCTTTATCCCCCGCCCAATGAGAAGCATCCATTTTTCAACCCAAGGAAGGAACTCCATGGCCCACACAGAAGAAGCCCAAGGAAGGCGCGCCCTCAGTTTTGGGTAAGAGGAGGCAAACGAAAATTGCTTGTACGTAGTGACATACACACACACACACAACTTCTTTCTTCTTCAATATTCCTCCTCCTACATACTTTGCAACACTATTTCCATCCTCATCTACCATCTCCTTCAACACAACGACTTGAGAGAAAACTTTTCCTGCGCTCGGTGGATACTGCGTTAACGGCTCCGTCATATTCTGGTGCAGATCTTGGCCCCAATCATTGCTAGCCAACAACTCTGAGTGCTCGAAGAAAACAAGCTTGGAGCAGAGCTTGCTCGATCTGTGACCAGCCGATTTAGCTTGATCTTAATTTATTATTATTATTATTGTCCAGTCCACCACTGGCTGGCCACGCTTTCGTGTCTTCTACGATATCCTCCAGTCGCGCGACACACAAAACAAGTACCTCCTGCAGCCTGACGTGGTGCTCTTCTCTCCCTCAAAGTACCATTATTGACTGCTTGTGCCTCGTGACTCGCGTCGTGGTCTTGCTTCATTCGAACGGGACTCAACAACACTGTGCACCGCTGCGAAAGAAGTGCCTGAGTCACTGTCAAATCCCCGAATTACGTCTGCTTCCGCGGTAAGAATTAGCTTTCTTCTCGTGTGAATCCAGTGTGACACCTGAGGAACCCTTGGCTTGACCGCACTCAACGCTCGTGGTTCGGTGCCTGACACGACACGACAGTATCTGTCAATTGGCCAAATACTGTTGTTCAGTTGTATTGCTGTACACAAGATTGGCCACTTGTCTCTTAAAACATACGTTCACCGCCGCTCATTCGCAGTTTACAGTCAGACGACAAGTACACTATGGTCAGAGAGTTCAAGATTTAAGAATCGAGAGAAGCCACCTGGAGACAGATCACCCTGGTCATATTCACCGCATAAAAAACAAGCTTTTTACAAAATGGCTACAGATAGAGGACGAAAAGGACGTCCGCATCCCCTACAAACACCTACAGCCCCGGCTTCGGTTTACACAGATTCGTCTGCTGCCGTCTCGCCAGCCCTATCTTCATTCTCTTCCTCCTCACGATTGCAGAATAAGGTGTTCTCGAGCTCCGTCTCTTCTTTATTACCATCTCCTAGCATGGGTATCACGATGGAACGCACAGGCTCACTGCCAATACAGCTGGCCGATGTCAAAGAAGAGCAAAACAGGGATATTGAAGACGATTATTTCGGTAAGTACCTGATTACTTGATCCAAATGCTCGCAGCAACCTGGCTGACAGATTTAGGCTTCGACCAAGTCATGTTCGAGCCTTATGAAATGACTAGCGACGTCTACGACTTAAATGACAACCCTACATACTATTCTGAGACCGAATCGCCCAAAAGACTGCGCTCAGAAAGTTTATCATCAAGAGGCTTGTCGCGATTTGGATCCGGAATTCAGTCCATGTCGTCTCGCTGGGCATCAATGGCGCGATCATCCGAGGGGACTTATGTTACCGATATTCTAGATGACGAGTTGCGATCACGAGCCAATTCAGCTGCCTCGTCGACATCTCAGATCACTTCCCTCTCCCAAGATGCGCTACCGATGGCTAGGAACTCTCAAGATCAAGCGCGCCACAGCGGGCACAGCTTAGGAGCGATATCCATTGAAAAAGCCAGCAGCGTGGCTTTCGACGAGGAAGACGAAGTCGGTGCCAAGGCAAGCACACCATTGCTTCCGCCTGTCTGGACTGAATACCCATTTACGACGCCCAGCTCTGAAGTCGCGTCCCCGTTACAGTCGCCTTCTGTCGCAGACGTCTTTGATGAGGATACTGTGCCGGCAATGACAAGTTCACGTACATCGATACACCGATCACCCCCATTGTCTTCGAAACCTTCTGTGGCATCCTTGACAACGAGAACTCGAGGTATGACCTTACGGACGACAATATCTGGTGAAGGAGCACCACCTTTGGTATTGACCGAGGGGGACGACGAATGGTCTTTCAAGCTTGGACACGCCAACTTTACCATTCATCCAGAGCCATATATTCCTGAAACCTCGGATGCCACAACATTTCGCCAGTTCCGGGATGATTGGGACCTGGCGCGCACCAATTACGCCAAGCATCTCGTCCGTACCGGGGAGCACTACGGAGAAACCTCGATGATCTATAAGTTCACCAAGGAGAAGTGGGAAGCCATTGAAGAAGAGTGGAAGGAGAACTTGGAAACTATCGTTACCAACGATGTCAAGTTCGGCGCTATCCTTGGGTTGACCAAGTCCAACATGAGTCCCGCGGAGACCATCAAGATTCCTCGTCTACATGACAACGAAAAGTTCCCCGAGTTGGGCGACGAGGAGATTGTTGGACCCATGTCAGTTGCGCCTGCTATTCACTCCGCCATCCGGTGCAAGTCTCCCAAGCGACGAAACGTGTTTCGCTTCTTGCATGGACTTGTCAGCCGTCCTGCACCGGGGATCACCGCGACGCGTGCCTAACCACCGTCTCCTACATGTTACGACCAAAGAAAGAAACCATATAACGACCGTTATGACTATTTGTTAGAATATTAAAAAAAGCCAGATGATTTTACGACCTTGCGATGCCGATATCATTCGGAATTTTCGATCATTATACCACATTCCTTTTATTTGATTCCCAGCGCGTTTCGATCACGCAGCGTTACGTTCCTTAAGCCACATTCATTACAGCGAATATGCTTTCACTTCATGCATCCAGTCCCGACTGCTGCGACTGGCATCCTTTTATTCAATTCTCCTGTGTAATATTACTATTACCACCTTTTTTCACCTTTGGCTATGAGCCATAATACCCATACCATCTGGCTATCCGGGGAAGTTTCCACGACTCGCCCGACATGATACTGTGTTATAGATTTGGTGTCTATCGAGACATTACATGATGATTTAATCATCTCCATGTACTATTGGCTTGATATCTTCTCGGGGATAGTTTTGCCAAATCATGTATGTTACATCAAATGTCTAGGCAGCCCTAGACTGGAAAATAAAAATTCGAAAATCTTTCCGAATACTTTTAACATTCATGCCGTAGTAGTTTTACTCTTGCAAGCTGCTAACTGACCATCGGTTTATGGTGAAGCTCGAGAACTTTAAACCCAAACCACTCTCCTTGTCCTCTTCCCAAACCCATTTGGTAGAAGACAGTAATTATATAGAAATCAAATCCAAAACTGGCCCCAAATCCTTTTCGACTCCTCATCGCCTTCAAACCGAAAATCGACTCGAGTTATATCCTCAAACCCTTCGGCGAGGGTGGGTTCTTCGAATCTCCGTGCAAAATCTGCGAATGCCATGCCTGGAAGAAGGGTGCGAGATTCTGGATTCTATTTCCCCAAAAAGAATCGAGGTTAGTATTGGCTATGATATATGAATGCTAGGAGGGTAATGAGGGACAGACTAATGAAGGATTTGAAGCTCGAACGGCATCGTTATGACGACAAAGGTGTGGAGGAGAGGTGAAATAGATGCAGCGGATGGGGATACTGAATTCTTTTGCGAGGTCGATCCAGTATTTTCTTGTTTCGATGTTGGCATTTGTGTTGTCTTTTCCCCCGGGTCTGTCAGTACTAATTTGATGGGGAAAGGTGGGATGTCTTACCAACGGCCACTGAGTGGCCTGCACTTAGATGATCTGTTGCGACTTTGATACACTTCTGGCGCTGTTTATTTAGTTAGTAGGTTATTCCCAAAGAAAGGAAAAGTGGCGCACTGTTTTGAGGAAATCTTGGTTCACGCGCTCATACCCCAAGGGCTTGAGGTATTTCCAGTAGAATGTTGATTTGCCGGCGCCAGGACTGCCGCAGAATATGACTAGTTCAAGGGGATGTTGTTTGGAAAAGGTGGATATCACTGGCTAAGTCAGATCATCTGAACATAATATGGCATAAGGTTGACATACTTACCAGGTGCATCAGGGTCGACATCAATATACGCCAAAGGATCAAATTCTCTAATAACTTGCTCCGGACTAGCATCAAGGAAGAATTCCTCCGGCGTGTGAAACTTGATAGACACATTAGCAGCAAAGTCCCTATCAACCGGTCAGTTAAAACACCACAACAATAAACAACAACGCAGCGACGAGATACCGATCAACACAAGAATGATCCCCCGGCCGACCAGCAGCATCTCCCACAAAAAAAGACTCCTCCAAATCCAATCTATCGTCAACATCCAAATCATAATCGTCCAAAAACTCCTTCCACATACCCGTCCTTGGTTTTCGGTATTCATCGTACTGTGTAGCTGCGTATATGCTTAGGGGTAGATCGAGCTGTCGCATAACGGCCAGAACTTTTTCTTTGAAATTCGTCAAGCTTTTCGATTCTGATCGGCCGCCTTTGAGTTCGGTTTGGAGGCTGATCTTCTTTTGGTTTGATAGGATGATGATTTGGTATCTGTCAAGACGGACATCTAGTTACTGTATATTTTTGGCATGGGAAATACGCACCCATCGGCATTTAGTTGTTTTAGTTTCCCTGGGACCTTGTTGTTCCACCACTTCCAGTCCGATGCGTCTCGCGCGAATCGATTTCCGGAGGCTGTGGCTATCAATGTCGAGTCCTGGGGGATCAGCACCACTGCCGCAGACGACAGATAACAGCACCTACAAGATCGAATGCGGCAACTTTCCGTCTCTTTCCTGGCTGTGTTTGTGCATTGTCTTCTGGTCCTGAAGTATACTTCCCGGCGATGAGGCTTTTGTTGGTAATCCTCCATGATATCTTCTCTGGTTTCTTTTCGGAGATCGGGGTGAAGAACGAAGCGACGGCGGTTTCTATAGCGTTAAATTCAAAAACGTTAGTAGTCTACTTCAAAAGCCTTGGGTATGCAAATGATACTCACTGGTAGTTGTCGATTCGACTTTGCGTCGGAGTGGAGGCGGAGACACTCCGCCTGAAGAACTCAACCTCTTCATCCCAAGACTGAATGTAGTTCTAGCTTGAAAACTCCAGTTCTGTGTAATCATCCAAGTGCAATGCGATAAATAGATTAGGGAAGGACAACGTCACAGGAAGTGGTATAACATGAGTCGATAGGTAATGGTAAAGTTATCCAAGAGCGGCGCCGGAAGACGCGCCCACGCGTTAATGACTCCGCGAAGTCACATGTCCGATTTCTCAATAGCTCTCATTCTGTCACCTTCAGATCGGTTCTACTACAGATATGAGTATGAAGCAGCTAGTTAAAAACATAGATGAGTTTCTAAATTTGACTAACTTTTATTGGGTATCATGTACAAAAACAAGCGAGAAAATGAACTTTTATCCGTTATTTTACCCTCGTATCCAGAGACAAACGATCTGCCTGTTCGAGCTTAACGGCAGTTCTAAGCTGATCTCTGAGTCCATAGAGACGCTGAGTAGCTGACTCAGAACTTACGCCGTCCTGGACAGTGATCGATGCCTGTAGTAGATAACTCCCACTGCGGTCCAATAGAGTCAAATCTTTCAGTGGCGGTAATGTCGTTCGTGGTGTTTGCGCGGTTTGCGAGTCTTCTGGATAATTGAGGACTCGATGCAAGAAGAGAGTTGTATCGTTGTATATGAACACATCGCCTTCGACCACATACTCATTAACGAATCTAGGCCATGTCAGCTAGGAATCATAACTTGACTTAGTCAGATCTAGACATACGTATACCCCCACGTCTCCATTACCTTCACAATATCCCCTTGCGGAAGAGCAGCATTAGCAATAAGCCTTGAAGTGACCCCCGAGCGAATCCCAGCTTCAGGAATATCCCTCCACTCCATCCGCCAAAACTGCGACTCATGATCATAATCATCTGCCGAAGCGCCGAAATCAGTCCGATTAACCACCCCAACAACTCGAACATAATACGTAGATCCATTCAGCATTTTAAATAGTCTCTGAATCTCTGCACCTTGGACATCTTGACTGCCTCCCCCTAGCCGTGTGTTGATGCGGGTTGCTTTGCGATTGGCTTTGAAGAGTAGACATCGCTCTAGGCGATGGCGTGGCTGCATGGCTGTGAGGCCGGACAGTTGTTGGAGGAGTTCATGGTGTTGTTGGACTGGGACTGGGGCGAAGAGGAGGAATTCATGCATCTTTTATCGCTTCTCTGTCTTGGGGAGATGGCAGTTCTTGATATGTTGGTTGTGTGTGTGTCTGTTGATTTGCTTATCGGTGTTGAAGTGGGTCCCAGTTTATTGCTATGCTTGTTGGCCAATGAGAATGGGCTTAGCCATTACTAATAGAACATCATCTCTAGAACTTCGATTCGACACCATCCTAAATCATGCAGCTGATGAAGAATAATGTCTGACTTGATCCTTAGTGTTCGCACCTGTCAGCATTGTGGTACCAGACATGCACTGGTGGATGCATATCTGCCAGCCTGAATCAGCCCAAATACGCCTACTTAAGAGCCTAATTTCTGGCACAGCGATCTAGTTGCTAGTTTTCGATGGCACAATCTTCTAAACTACAGCAATATGACGGCCCCGTCTCGGCTTTGCTCAAGATACATTTTTGCAGTTGATAGCTGCATTGCTAGTCCCGCTGAATAAGTCACTGACGTGACTGAGAGAATGTCTATCATCTCCCGGAGACGAAATCCTGGACGAGATCTTTCGAAAGACTCGATGTGGCTTCTTAACCCTGTCTTAATCTCTTTTGCATAAGAAAAGGTGGTCTCTTAATTGATACGCCGAGCGCTACGGTGCTCCAGTCGTACATACGGGCCGGTGAGGAGACTGAGATACCACCCTTGTCTATCGAAGTGAATCGACAAAGCCACGACGAGCACAGCCCGATACAAAACATTATTGAAAAGACTCAAAAATGCCTCGTCAGCTTTAGTTACTTGTAGGTATATTAAGAGTCCTACGACGAAAGATTCCGTTCACTCGTCAACGCAAAATACATTCTGAAAATTCTCTTTTTACAGTCACTTTACGCAAGAACTTGCAGAAATATCTTCAGAATGGCTTCTCTACACTCTCATAGGAAAGATGCTGTCCAAGCCATTCAGGAGATCACCGGCTACACATTCAATGATCAATCTCTTCTTTCAGAAGCTGTTGAAGCAGCAGATTTTAGAAACAAAGACGGGAACAAGGATCTTGCTCTTCCGGGCGGCGCAATCCTGAAAGTCTTCATCATCATGGAAGGTCGTCAGAGACACCAAAACAGAAGTATGGGATGAATTGCCTCCATGCTCTTTTGTCAAAGATTAATTACATCTTTTTGACTCTGTCTCTAGAAGAAAATTTCATATGCCCTAGAAACCATTGCTTCAAACGCTAATCTGGCCAAGAAGGCGGTTGAACTCGGTCTTAAGGACTACATTCAAAACAACCCGGCTCAGGGAAATCTCATCTCCCAGGGACCTTTGGCTACCGCAATGGAGGCCATTATTGGAGCTATCTATATCGACAGTGATCGCGACTACTCTGTTCTTTCAGAAGTCATCACTCGCATGGGACTAGGATGGCCCCGATAGTCCATTCCATCGATTACTGAAATCATATTGCCTGACATTTGCTTCAGCATTCCGTAACCTTTTCGGTGGAGATGCAGGGGCTACTCTGGAGAAGTACTAGAGAATTTCGCGGGAGGAATATATTGCATTCATGTACAGAGTATTGGGTGACATGCTCGGCAATACGGAAACTGTACCTTGTGCACAGCTTATGATAAATATTGTTCATTTAGCCTTTAGACCGCTGATTAATTGATCTTTTGCAACCCGACTGGCCCATATATTAGTTTTATTCAAATCCCGGACATAGGGCATTCTGCATGTGAGCATGCACGGCTCATATGTATAGGCCTTGAACCTGGAATCCTCTGCCCGAATTAACATTCCTAAACGTTGTCGTAACAGTAGGGTTTCCATGCCATATTCAGTAAAACAACATCTGATCTGGTGCCGAATTAGACGATGGGATAGCTCAAACGTAGCGTGCTCACTTGTAGATTGACGAGTAGGGGAAGGCAATCCCGAAACGCTAGATGAGTTGGTCAGGTTATAACTTATGGATCTGCAACATGTGCATGGCTCTTGGCCTGTTGTACTTGTCCGCGGCGGTCATGGTAGGTATTCCGTGGGGTCCAAGACTGCCATTTCCCCGCACGAGTAGACTTTTCCGGCGGCTCTGGTGGTTTTCGGGTTTAAGCTTGAAGACGGCTTCGTTCGCCAATCGTACTCGCCGGCGCATGTGGTTGATGATTTGGTGGTGATAAGGACAGCATTAAGTCCGCCCTCTGCGTCCACCATCTGCAGCAGTCAAGAGTCGAGAAAGAAACGAAGAAAAAGAAAAGAAAGAAAGAAAGAAAAGGAAAAGAAAAGATAAGCAATACCAGATCACATGATTGGGGATGTCGTGGGGAAGGAGGGCATCGTCGTTCGTGACTGCCTAACTGGGAGCTCCCGGTGTGCAGGCGTTCCTTCCCCCGAGTCACGCAACTGCTTTAACTCCGCATTGATTGATAATTATTTGATTTCTCTCCTCCTCAACTTCTTTGACTTCTTCACTCTTCGTTCACTATCAACTACATTTATGCTTCAACTATAATCGAATCTACACTGCTAGTCAGATCAGTCTATTACCAGACGTCTTATCTTATCGGATCTCCTCCCGAGCTCACTCACTACACAACCACGCTAATCCGGCACCGAGCGGGCTATTCCGGAACCGAGAACAACCAACAACCACGATAACCAATTCTTCAACCTCTATCCATTGCTTGTTCAACCATTAGGCGCGTCAATTTCAGTCTCGTTGCGTTTCCAATCAAAAATCTAGAAGAAGGAGAAGCTGCGAAAATGCGTACCACAGCAGTTTTGAAGAATGCTGCTCGCACTCCTTTGATCAAGTTCTTGGGAAAGCGCACCACGCCAGGTAAGACGAAATTTCGCCCGCTTCGGGCTCCCTCCGTGACCTGTTACTGGCATTATGACCTTCATTGATGGACAACGTCAAAAGCTAACCTGAAGTCAATTGAATATAGCTTCCATTGACCATACCCCGCATGCTCACCCTGCTTCTCCCACTCAGACTCTACCCGACTCATTCGCTTCGTACCGAGCCAAAGCCCAACAACACGGTCCTCTAAACACTCCCGGCCGCGCCTCATCTCAGTCGTACGGCGCAATTGGCGGCACCCCCGGTGCCACTTTGGGACCTGTTGAGCCTCGCAAGGGCGAATTCTTCGATCGCCAGGAATTGCCTTCTCGCTTCCATCGGCTACCTTGGAGCGAGTTGGAAATTGAGGCCATTGAGACTGGCGGCGCCAGTCTTTACAACTAGAGTGATTGGCACTCAACCCTTAAAAGTTGGATACCTGTGACGATACAGGTCCTTTATATGCAGCATGATTTGGCGTGAGACGAGCAGATTTGGCATTATTCTTATAAAGTTCATTGGATGAGAGAGGGGGGTGGAGAGATGATGAAGACGGGCACGGCTTCGCAAGAATAACTCAAGATATTTGATACTCGTGTGTCCTGGGCGTCGTTGTATCCTTGCGAAGCAGGCAATGCTATCCCGCTCTTGCAGTCAACGCAGTCACACAAATCCGCTCGTCTTCTCGACTCATCATTTCCAGCAATATGGTCTAGCAGATTCAACATTGACCAATTGCGCCGAGAGAACGATTGACCGATGAATGTCACACTCCATCTTTCATGTGATCTGGACCTCGGGAAGACCACCCCTGCATTTTTCACATTCTTATTGAATTGCGTACTTTCACCACTCCATATCATTCAGTTGCTTGGCGTGCCGGTGTTCGCCTGTCTTTTACTTGTTGGGCGATTATTAGTTATACCATGTACATAGCCTATTTCCTTCTGTCGGTCGTTTCTGAGAGAACGATTTGAATCACAAATAAGTATTCATTATATCTTCTTTATTCAACACGTACATCTGATACTCATGATCATGCCAACGAGCAATAGTATCGACACGAGAGACGTCTCATACAAGTTATTCCTTCTCCGGGACCCGTTCGTTCGTCGAGCACCGAACTACGACATACCCAGATAATAGCAACTTACTCCTCGTAGGAAGGCTTACGTACTTCCCAAGATCGTTACTCATTAAGCTTGAACTATTTCGTCCATATTCAAACCGGCGAGTATCTAATAGGTCCTACTTTACGGGAACCGGGGTACTAGGTATCAGACTGGAAGTATGAAGGAACCATGAATAGAATAATTTGCATGCATCTGATCGATTGGAGCAAAAATCTGTTGACATCGCATGTATGCATTGATGCAAAATTGGACGATTGTTACATAACGGAAAAAAAAGGCTATACAATGCAAGATTTCTTCGGAAAATAGACCGAGTAAAGATAACCATGATGATGATGCTGAGACCTTTCTAATCATAAACGCCGATAATTTTCAAGACCCAAACCCAAAAAAAAGAAAAACGAAAATCCAACACGCTTCGCCATGTCATATCGTATACGCTGATTTTGAATCAAAGTGCCTCCGTCAAAAACAATAAAAAATGGATAAATCCGACAAGATCTTAAAGTCGCGCACCTTGCAAATGCAGACAGTCATCCACCCTCAATGCAGCACATAGTGTGACTTGAACCGCCTAGAATCAACGCTATGATGGGGAAGGGCTTCATCTCAGCCCAACTGCAAAAATCCAATCGAAATTCATAAAAAATGCAATAATATTACCAATTCGTCAATTCGTCATGTTCATTTCGGATCCCCATGTCCGAAAGAAGTATGTCAAGCTCGTGCCTGAATTCTGTCATGATCTGGTTGTCTTCTCCGTCATTTTGAAGGTCTTTGCATTGGACCACATCCGACACGCAGAGATTCATTCCTCCCATCTGCCATCACGACTTGAGCTGCCTGGCCGCTTCTTAAAACCCAGTTTTGCTCCCATCTTTTTCCATGTGGTGTCAGACCGATTCCTCGGACTATAGTTATGCGCACTCCCGGGAGGTGTCGTGGGTGGGGTCATTGGATCAATTCCAGTTGGGCTAGACGACAGAGAATCATCTGTAAATACAGGAGATCCGGAGTCCCCGCTGGAGCTGTAGCCTGATAAATGGCTGCCAGTCTTGACCAACGCAGCAACCCGAGCGGATGATGACATGCGGTGGTGATATGTAGAATCGTCTCTGGATACACCTGGGGAGGACCTTTGGGAACGGGATGCAGCCCGTCGAAGTCGGTGTGGGCGATCTTCAATGTATGGAGATTCCATTTTAGAAGGAATCTGCGGTCCGAAAGTCTGGCTGTTCACGAAGTGAATGAATATCGATTCCTCCATCAGATCATGCATAATCCGTACGGCAGGATCTAATAGCTCCGGTGGCGGAGCCATCATGGGATTAGCGTTCGCGAGTAAAGGATCCCGCGCTGCAGATGATAGATTGATCTCACGGGGTGCACCTGGAGCAATATAAGCAGATATTAACCGCCGCCATAGCGTGATCAGTTGTTGCGTCTGGGGTGCGTCAGCGGGAACCATGCTCTGGCCAAGCATGCGAGCAACGGATCGGTATGAATCTCTATATCGCTTTGCTTCCATGGTAAACTCTAACGTCTCCAAACAATGATTTTGAGAAAGATATGCCATAAACGCTGAAAGTGTGTAAGGGTAAGGAGCAGTATTGGACAGAACTTCATCAAGCGTAGGGCGAGCTGGTGGGAAACTCCCAGCGGGGATGTGTAGGCTCAATGGCCTAGAACCCATTGCCCGTCGTTTGATAGACTTTAAATCTAGAGACTGTGTAGGTGGTGAAAACTTTGGAGTCGGGTCGGGTGTGAGACTTCTCAATGAATGCGGCATATGGTAGATGCTTCTCGCAATCATTGCGTATATACGCGTCGGTATCCGGCCTCTCACACTATAATCCCCTATTCTCCCCTTCTCCTCCCAATACCGACGTCGTGATAAAGTCGCAGTTAGATTTAGACTCGCATCTAGTGATTAACTTTCCAACTTGTCTATCTTCATTGATCTTTAAGGAGGGTGAAGTATCGATAGTCAATCTCCCAAGTATGATCTGTGACTTGACTTTTCAGCAAAACATTTGCTCACAAGTTGGTGAAGGACAGTAGTGCAACAAAGATGCGGGCAGTGGATCCTGAAAGTCGAGAAAATTAGCCAAGGTTCCAACAACACAACGCTTATATGAAAATCAAAGTTAAAGAGAATTGCATAAAAACACATTGTGTAAATCCGAATGCAATGGGAGAACATGACTGGTCCAATGCACCTGAGAGGATCAGACTTGACTGAAAACGCTCGAAAAGGGGGGGAGACAGGGATCCAATCCAATGTAGAAGAATGGTTGGTGGTGGGATAGCCTTTCTATGCTGCCAAGTGTTTGGTCTCATATTTTTAGAGCAAACGACAATAGCCATAACGTGTTTAGCGATCAGACTAAACCGATTCCTGTAGTGCACGTTGCAGATTCATCAGCAATCAGAAGCCACAACGATAGCTCTGATAGTGGTGTGGAGCCCAGGATCGGCGGTCGAGGAAGCCTTCTTTTTGAGTCTGCAAGTAATATGACGGAGTGCTGTGGAATCACTGGAAGTTTATTGTGGCCGATCTGCTCTTCCTTCATGTTCTTTCCCCGCTCGGCTCTTTGAGGCGTCTTCAAGGTATTACCATAAATATGCGAGATACCCAATGCACACACACGACCTTTACAGGCCCATCGGTGGTCGCTTTCTAGGTTCTGGAAATACGCGGAATTGCATGAGGGGCTGTACAGTGGGGAAGACGGTGGCACCAGTGTACGTAGTTGTAGTCGAGTTGCTAATCGACAGTGAACAACATGATGCTTCGCACACACTTCCGAATGATGAATGCAGGTGAGTTGGCTTCTTCAGGAACGGCCTCATTAAAGGGTTGGGTAAGATTCTCAGCGGATATGTCGATGGTGTCGCCAGATACTCAATCGCCAAACCCACAGTGGCACATTTCAAGATTACGCGCGGGCGAATCCGGATGATGGAGGCTGTCAACTAGATGCAAATCCCAGTCTGGGCGTGGGTCGTATGTGCACTCTCAATCCTTCCCACTGGTCGGCTTCTCATGCAGTGTTTGCTCCTATTCATGCGGGCAAGACGTAAAAGGTAATAGCAACGTGCTGTGTCTGCTGTGTCTGCTGTGTCGCACTGGAGTGAAGCCAATAAATAGAAGCCAATCCCAAACAGGCATATTGTGCGATAAAGTTGCGTAACAGGTTGCAAAAAATACTGAGGAAGAAACAATCGAAGGAAAATAGAAGAAAACTAATGTACGCTTACCTCAGGTTATTGATGCACTGCGACAGGGAAGACAGGCTTTGCGAGCGGAAACTGCTGGGTCTTGTTGCGATGAGCAGCCGAGCAAGCAAGGGGGTGGTCGGCAGAAAACAACACTGTTGTTTAAGACGTGCTAATGCACTTTCAATGCGACTAGTGGCAGGTTGTCACGCTTTATAATAGATATCGGAGTAGATGCGACAAGTCCGACTGAGAGAATTCTTCTGAGTCGTTGGGAATTTTCGAAAAGACGATGGTGATATATTCTGGTGTGGCGAAGGACGAATGTACTCCGGCAAGTCAAGACGGTAGAAACTTCAAGCTCTGTTACACCAAGACCGATTGCTTCTTCGTGCTGCCTTTTCTTTTCTTTTTGTCGTATGCAGAGAAACAGAAAATAAGGGAATGAAGCTTGTAGGAAGAAGAGAAGAGAAGTAGAAAGTCGAGGTGGCTACCGTTCCAGGTTGGTGCGGCAAGAGGAAGGTTGCTCAAAAGAGGCAACTGCGATCCCGCCAAGTCGTCGTCGAACAAGCAAAAATCGAATATTCCTCGTCCTGGGATGCAAACAGATGCAGAGAAATATGTATGTATATGTAGTAGGTATATAATAGTCAATCAGGCACTTGTCCGTGTGGCGATTGATCGGAGCTGCAAGTTGTGGATGGCTGTACCGCTGCGATCAGACGTGTCTGGAACGCAAAAACGACGTACGAGTAATGTTTGTTCAAATAGTTGTGGAATTAACCACACGAGCGTTGGCTACAATGTAAATGGCCTGCAGCAGTATTGTTTTCCGTTGTCCGGATATCCGTGAGCCTTGCGGTCCTTCGAGCAAATACTTTGCAAGGTGACACACCAAGGGTCCTGTCTGGGCTGATGGCGGCACTATGCAGAGATCAAAATGTTATATATCAGAGCGAGATATGAAGCCGTGGAACGAAACTAAGAATAAAAGAGGCTTGCAGTTCAACAGGTGACTATCATGGATGTAGGATAGTCTAGTTACTCCAGATTTTCTTAGGACCTGCTAGCTTTAGCAAAGTCGCTCGTGTTTGCCAAGTTGCTCCGATGCTTTCGGTGTAGTTTGGAGTTAAATCTGTCATTTGACTTCTACTTAAAAGCCTAACTTAAGTTACATAACTAGCACGCGCCTATCCACATTTCGATCTCCAACAAAGACGACAGAGTCAGACAACAACTCAGCAACAAACAGGCCTGGCCGGGGCCGTATGGGGGCCTATGGTGTACCAAGGCCCACTAGGACGGGACAATCTAGGATTTTCAAAGGAAGCGGCCCAGCGTTCGCTTTTGAGTAATGTCCACGAAGAGAAGGTAGCACGCCCCGAGTCCACAACCACGACTAGTAGGTTAATTCCTTCTGTCAGACTGTCCCTTAGGACTAAAGTTGCTATGGGAAGATGGATCTGCCGTACGGATCGCTGCTTATCTTACATAGTATTACAACTTACAACTTTACAAGGAATATACCATTTCATCGCTGAGTCTACACGAGATTCACCGATGATTACGGATATTTGGCGCTAATCCATCTATGGAAGCAGAGCCCACATATTCTCGTATTTAAGCCAATGAATGTACTGATTGTGTGACTTTTACTGCATCTTACGTCAGTGGCGGCTGAGCAAGGGTGTACGAAAATCTTTCCAGAAGGCGGAAGAAGCACTTTCCGCTCTACGTAGAAGACGGAAAGAAATTTCGCCCGTCGGAAAATCTACATGAATCAGCGGGAGAAGGAGCCTAATGAGAGATGAGCCAATCGAGGCTTGTATATTTAGTGGGACTATACAAAAGAACCAATGGAACAGGTGGACCGTGACCGGTCCCTGGGCTGTTACAATTACGCGTAATTTTTGACCTCAGCCAATGAACGCCTAGTATTTCCGTCTTTTGTCTTCATTAATTACGGACTTGGGCCATCTTGGACGGATTCTGAAGACTGTTTCAGTGTTTCCAACTCGACCGTGGGGGCTGTCCAGTCTAGCCCATGGCCTTCCAGGATGAGCATCCCGGAGTACAGCACGCTTTTCAGAGCTCATCAGTCTGGCTCATCTGGGATCAAGCAATTCTGATCAGACTTTAGACCCAAATTTGTGCTGTTTAGTGTGGACACGTACTATGAAGTAATCATGACTAGCGCTTAGCATCCTTCCAATCTGATAGAGACCGGTTATCCGATAACGCTGCCTTAACCGTTAGCCTGACCGCGCGCCTTTTTGTTGGTCTAAATATTTTGTCTTTTTGATCAAGTTAATACGTAAACATCAGATCTTAATAATTTGTTGATATACAGAGCACATCGTTTGCGCGTCTTTATGCTTTGCCCCCCATGGAGCTTAAATACGGTCGGCCTATTTATAACAATACAGATTAGTCAAAGTATCCAGAGAATCCCGAAGCTGCATCTCCTTCGTCGTTTCCTTTTCTTATTTTTCGCCACAATCAGATATCGTGAATGAACTTTGGATCCTGTGGTGAAGAGAGAGAAGAATTTTCCTTTTTTTTCCTTCTTCATTTGCAGAAAACTAATGCATTTCGGTCCAAAACGGAGCACTTGAGCATCATAGCGGAGGCAAAAGGCCAAGGTTAGAAGCGGATGGGTCTTTTCGATAGGATTTTCTAGCGTATGTTGGAATTTTTCTAGAAGCCTGCCTTATCTATCTTAGTGTCTAAGCCCGATCCACCTCTATTCACATACTAAGCCTAATGTGGATTTAGCCCTAATTGCTGATTCTCGTGGGATGATTGTGAGCTGACTCGTCCCTTCTACGTACTATCTCGCTTATCTCCTGCGCCGCATTTCAAAAGCCTGACATTTGTCAGTACGCTAGAAGGTATACAAGCCGAGTAACTATGCTTTGATTCATTGTTAGGAATAAGTTTCCGAATTGTTCCTGATCAGATGAAAGCTTTCATTGTCATCAATGATCATTCTATGAGTCTTAAATCATGTTGTCCTTTTTCCCGGAAAGAATGGATCGACCGACCTCTTCTCGAATCCACAGTTAGTGGACTCCATATATACGTAACATACGTACAACGTACGTATGTGATCCGTAAATATCGGTGACAAAAGTTAAAACTTGTCACACGCCATCATCATGGTTTACTGGGCACGTTGTTTCCTGACTCAGTGACTCACCAGAGTCAAAGTCAGCCCTAAAAGTAAAAATCAACGGTCAAACTCAAGAACAAAGACAAGAATTAACCCTTCCAAACGCCGGTGCCGTTGTCGTCGTAGCCTGTTGGCCAGCGTCAGAAATGCGAGTCGCTTGTAGTTGCCATGGATGGAGAGCCATGGTTGCCTCGGCACGAGTTGGCGTGGAAAGTTTTTCAGTAAAGAATAATCGTCTCTACGGCTCCCGAATACATATCCAATCGGGTTGACCACGTGCCTATGCCTAGTCATGAAAAACGTGTAGATGGTGATACCATCCCAGCTTCAGTCGTCTTCTAGAAGATTCAGCTTCCCCAGTGTCTTTCAGCTCTGCAATCAATCCAAGACTAGTTGGGTATTTATTTCCGAGTGCAATTAAGCGCTAAGCGTGTTCTCATACCGCCCACAAAACCACACTGGAAGCGTTGGGTATAAACCACCAATGCCCTATCGGCATCCGTAACTAATTGGTAACAAAGTACGACAATTAACATCTGGCTCGGTTACTAGCATAGTAGCAACTATGTACGTAGTCTAACCGAGTAACAAAACGCCAATTAGACTCGAAGTCCTTAACCCTAGAATGTGTCGTGGCTCGTGGGTCGCTTATCTCAACTTAGCTAAGGACTGAGGTAGAACCAACAGTCATTTATTTGATTGGCTACAAAGAGACGCTTTGGAAAGACCGCTGCTCCAAAACTTCAGCTGTTGCTTACATACCATAGCTAGTGGTGTCGCGTTGGTGGTCAAAACTTGGCAGGCGACCGTTAGGGAGTGCTCTTCCGAGGCTACTCCAGGTTCGCTTCTAGTATATAACAGATACTCGATGTAGCCAATGACTGGATATCTACCAGTATACAGCTTGTCAGCTTCAGTTGAAATGCTCACGGCATCGATGTCTGTTGGTATGGGGTTGAGAAGTCGAGAACGAGATATATAGAGGAGGCAAGGAGAATCGCCATAGGATTCCAAGGTTCCCAATTCCAAGGGTTGTAATTGAAAATTCAAACTCGTTCATATACAGTAGACAACACATCAAGATACGGACTCAAAAATGACCGAATTCCAATTCATACGTCTTTCGACAAAACCCACAGCACAGGTTCCCTACAGTTTTCAACCATCAGTATCCACAGCCAAGCCGGCATTGGTAGTCTTTCTGAATGGACTCGGACTCCCCACAAGTGTCCGGATTGCAGACCATTTCCCAATTGAGAGAACTGCGCAACAACACCAATATCCCCGCTATTTTAACCTATGACCGCTTCGGTTAGGGTCAAATCACAGATCGCGACCCAAAGGATGAAGGAGCTTCATACCCAATGCACGGTCATGGTTGTACACGACTTGCACCAATTAATCAGCCAGCTCATCGCCGAAAAAATGGGCATCTCAGACAACAACGTGACTTTAGTCCTAGTCGCAAGCTCAATTGGATGTGCGCTGGCCCGGCTTTATGCACAAAAGGATCCTGGCACCGCGGCTGGGTTACTATTTCTTGATAGCGTCCTTGCCAATTCGGACTGTGTTTCGATCTTTCCAGACCCAGATACCGAAGGATTTGATCCTGCTGTCTTACCTGCGGGGATCACTCACGAGATGCTATGCCAGTCAAGAGAAGCTACACACGACGCACCTTCCATCCTGAGGTCGGTAGCAAGGAGGGTCTGAGCCGAAAGAACTTGCGACAACTACTTCCCTCCAGCGATGGACCCATCATGCAGGGGCCGGAGAATGAGCATGGGCCCTATGTAAGGTTGGTCACGAGTTTGAGACCCTTGTAGAGGATTCCGCTAAGACGGGCCATCCCAAGTTACTGACAATGACATAAGTTAACCCTTGTTGCCATCAATATAACGGACGATTGACCAGGATTACGCAGTTGGAGAGGAGTATGGGGCCGTTGCTTGCGCCAACTTCGGGACATTTTTTGCAAAGGATAATCCTGCGTTTGTGGCCTCAAGAGTTGAATGAAATTCTGTCCCAAGTTCTGTAATCTGATACTCACTACTGACCGGATCTATTAGTTGGTGTTGATGAAGTGTACTTACTGCACTACTAAGAAGCGTCCAACTATCTTAATGTCGATACAGAGTACTTAGCTTTTTACTCCTTTATGGAAGAAACGTCTGGTCAAATAAACTCAAGATAGCAATCATTCAAGACGAAATCATTGCTCTATCCTTGTCGTGTCAACGTTGCACCAGTTCGTATTTTATGGAATAGGATGAAATAAACAAGACCAGGAGCCAAAGACATAACAATAAAAGCAACTAAAGCTTATACTCTATGGTACTTAATGCATATGCAATCACGGCACAGCTCAACTAACAGGACCCCAACCTCAACGTCTCAGGGTCCAAAGCTAACCGAGTTGTCTCTAGATTCACTACACTTCCCTACAAGCGTGAGATGAGTTGTCTTTTTAGTACGGTCCAGTTTGGCTATCCACTAGACTAAAGCGGCTCCGCCTATGGATGAGAATCATAATCACAATCACATATGCACTTGCATATCAAATCTGCATTGACTACCTGGCCGAACAACTGTCTGCGGAGACTAGTACGTTTAGACGATAATGGCCAACCAGGGAAGCATAGATCCAAGTGAATCTAGCGACTGAAACTTTACTTCCACCTTAGATCACACCAAATACATATGTTTTGGTATTGAGCTATTGAGAGAATCTACAGATCCATGATGGGTAATGAGAACGTCCAGATCCAGAGCATGATAAGTACGCCAGTGTCTTCCAAGGTTATCTATAAGCTCATCCAGTGAGCCTTTAAGCACAATCAGATAGATAATCACGTTGTCTAACCTACTTGCTTTCAAATTCCATATAGAACTGCGTCAAGCACAAGTGTTTTGGCTGCTAGCCGGCGAGCATACATGGACCTACTCGCTTATACTCCTTGAACTTGATACATATCCTTGAGTGCAAACAAAGGATCTGAACAGAATGGACATAGAAATCAAATCATACGATGCCCTTTCCCTATCATTAATAACAACTATAAAGTTACCTAGATAAAGTATTTTGTCTCGAGGTATACCTAACCCTAACAACGTTTCAGCTACCTGAAGGGGTCTGCTCTCAAGCAAAATATTTAGCCCTATTTGTGTCAGTTCTAATGACGACCGCCTTCAGCAATTTGCCTATGAACCCATAAAAATATCGTCCTACCAAGGTTACTATGTTGTATGTAGTGCTGTTGAGTGCGATCTTGAGTGCACTTTCTGCCGTGTTGAGTAATCATTTACTTAGTTGCTCCAGAGACATTTCCGCTGTGAGTGAAAAGTAGACACTACAATTCTCTGAAAATACTGTGACCACTTACATATATATCGCTCCAAGTGTTTCATATATTCCTTGAGGCATATACTAGGGCTGTTGCGAATACGAATATTCGCAGTAATCAGCAATATTCGTTATTCGCATTCGCAATATATCACGTGCAACAATTAGGTGACACACAAAGGAGATCAAACAGCTGAAGATAGCTTCGTCTCTTACTCTTCTTCCCTTCCCTTTCTTATGCTTGGTATTTGCGCTATATAGTACCAATATGATCAATCCTGCTTCATATCGACAGGCTCTTGGCATCTCACAGTCTTCTCGTTGAAAATACCTCTATTATTTTCCCTTCCATAGATTTGCCTATAGATCTCGATCTTTTCCGCTGGTGATGCAGACTCGTAGAAATCGTCCGAACTATCTCGCTCTAAACGATGGCTATCGGAGCGATGGACCTCCTGAAGACTTGACATCTAGGCTATCTAGGAGTCCAACAGCCCAAGATCCAGGAATAGGCCCATCATTTCCATCTCAAACTCCTGATCCGACTCCATCAGCAGTCAGTGCTCGACTCGATTCTTGTATTGAATTTCTAGATGATGAAGTTTTGCCTACAGACTCAGCATCTCAGCTTCCAACTAATACTGCAAGTTCCCAAATTTCGCATGTGAATCCACAAAAAAATGAATGGTTATGGGGTTATTTTCATACGAGAGAGTTCCCTAATGCATGGATTGAGAATAGAAACAAAAAAAGACGGCTTATGGACCGAGAAATATATTGTAGTATTATTAGCAAAGACACTGGGAAGCAATGCGACTGGTTTATAACAGACTCAAAAAGACAGACCTCTACTACCAATTTGAGGCTGCATTTGAAGGAGAAGCATGGAATTCTACTACCTGGTATCTATTAGCCAGTTATTGTTACACCAAAGTCTACTATCCTTGGACTCTGGGGCAGTATAGGCATACTCACAGTTCAAGAATTTCTTGAAAGGAATCTTCGTTGCTGGGTTGTTAGTAGCAAGCAGCCCTTTACAGTCATTGAATTACCAGCCTTATAGCAAATATTTAAGAATATACTAGGAGTTTTACTTCCATTTACCTCTCATCATACACCTCGACAGCGTCTTTTGGAAGACTTTAACTTACAACGTGTCAAACTAAAAGGAGAGCTTGCAGCGACGTGCAAAACAATCGCTCTATCCCTTGATGTCTGGATAAGCAAGAATTACCTCCTAATCCTTGGTATTATGGCCACTGGCTCACAGAAGAATTTAAATATTGAGAGAAAGTCCTGGGGTTCACAGAGCTCCATGGACCACATAGTGGTGAGAACTTGGCTGCAGCTGTTGAAGCTTTACTTATTGAACTGAATCTTGAGCATAAATTGCTTTCAATCACTAGCGACAATGCTAGCAACAATGAGCGGATGGTCTTACAATTATTCCAAAACTTGCAGAAGAAGTTAGGAGCCAGTCCTTTATTTTGTGGTCTAGGAAGTTATGTGTGGTGTTTAGTGCATATTATTAACCTTATTGTAAAAGATATCTTTTCTGCTCTCAAGTCTGGCAGTACAGAAGAAGCTACTTCTTTCTGTGATACCCTTGATGAAGGAAGATATCACTCATACTATACACCTAAGCTACTTGTAAAAGTTTGTATCCTAGCTCTCTGGATCCATAGAAGTCCTCAACAGAGGCAGACATGGAACAGCAGTTGTAAGCGCATGAATCTGTCTAATAAATTCATTGAGTATGATGTTGATACACGATGGAATTCTACTTTCAGAATGCTAAGCGACGCTTTGAAGGTAAGCTACTAGCTTCACACACTCGCGTAATATGGAACTAATACTTCAAAGTCAAGGACCCAGCTCGAGAAATTCATTCACTATGAGACAGATTTCCCTCCCTTCTCACAGAAAGATTGGACTCAACTCTCCTAAATTCACAGTATTCTCTCCAAGTTCAATGAGTTTACCTTGTTTGTCTCGGAAAGAAAACCACAGATTAGTCTCACAGTTCCAATATACTATGAGCTCTACGATTTGCTGCATGATGCTGCTGAGCGCAAAGAAGATTTTGCAGATATTGATGAGGATGTTGCAAGTGCTGTCAGAGAAAGTATCAAGAAGTATATGAAATACTATACTTTCATGGATATCTCCGACACGTATTATACTGCCCTAATCCTAGATCCTCGTGTAAAGGGGGATCTCCTCCTATACGAATTGGACGACGAGGACACTGGCAGGAAGATTCTCCAAGCCCTCCGTGGCAACCTTCATGAAAAATATCCTGACACTACAAATTAGCGTACTATGGTGGAACCCGCAGATCACAGCCATAAGAAGCAGAAAGTGGACAGCCAGATGTTGCGAAGGCTACAGCCTTAGGACAAGCCTCAATCTTCTGATATTGATAGGTATTTCGACGATATCCGGGTTGATGCCATTGACATGGAAGATCTGAATTGGCTATTTGAATGGTGGAGAGTCCATAGGAAGGATTATCCTTGGATGGCTGCTGCTGCTAGAGATTACTTAGCAATCCCAGCCTCTGAAGTATCAGTTGAGAGGTTATTCAACTCAGGAAGAGACGTACTTAGTGTATGGAGATACTCTATGAAGAGAGAAACTATGAGGATGCTAATGCTGTTGGATGATGTATATCGTTAAGCAGTAGATGATTATTAATCAACTCAGAACAGATATAGCTTAATCTTGCGTTACTCTGTAGTAGAACTTTTAAGGGAGAGCCAAAAAAATAATTTGCGAATTGCGAATATTCGCAAAATTTCAGCGAATAAATTATTCGCTATCCAAATCCGTTACGAATAATATTCGCAAGATTTATTCGCAGACATGACTTTTGCGAATAATTATTCGCAACAGCCCTAGCATATACTCACGAACAATAATAGTGAAAGGAGCACCGTCTTCGATTTTATATTGGCCCCGGTTAAGCTGCGAGTGCTGGAAATGAGGATATGCCTGAGGTAGCTTTTGAAGGGGCCCCGGGACCATTGCGCAGTTTAGATACCCATCAATGATAACGAAGGTCTGTAACGAGGTATAGAAAGTGAAGTTTGTACCTTGGATAACCGATATTTTCACAACCTCCAGTAAAAGGGATGGCTGTCCGCGGAGTTGTGAGTGGTATCCATTTTACACGGATTGGTACTGTCTTGATAGCTACAAAAGTTTCTTGAAGACATTGTATTGTTCATTCCAAGATGACTTTTCGTTCTACCAAAGAGTTGTGGTGCTGCCTGGGCGATCTGAGACGCCGATGATTGGTGATAGTATCAGGAACATCTGATATCTCAACTTATAGACAAGGGAGCTTTCAAAGTTATGAAATCCAAATTATTTTACAAGACCTTACCACCATTGAGCCAAGGCAATACCAAGTTTCTAAAGTACTCAGCTTCTAGCCCTAAGCGTAAATATTTAGCTACGCCACATGGCAGAGGAACAAAACCCGAGCTTTGACTCAAATCACTCAGCTATGAGCCCCAAGATACGTACAAAATCATTGTGGGTAGAGATTATCTGAAGAAAGTGGAGTTAGTATTAGAACTTATTCGATACTGAATTTTGAGATCACTAATCATGTCAGAACGCTCATAGAGTTTATGGGATTTAAGCACCCCTTGATCACATATGATCACGTTTCAAAGAGGCCATACGTAAAAGCTTGAGGTTCTCCAAGCATACAAAGATGCTGTGTTCTTCATCTAACCCTTAAGAGCTCTAGCTCTACATTCTAAATTGTACATTTTCATAACGAGGACCTGATGTAGAGAAACAACACTCGCCCCATACGAAAAACCAAACACTTGATTCCAGAACTCCAAAATGATCATCAAAACACTTCTCCTCTTTAGTTCCCTGGCCATCCACGTCCGATCCAACCCTATCACCGAGCCCGAACCAGAAGGGACCTCCCTTGAATCTCGCAATCAAGCCGTCTGACTCAACACTTACCGAGTAAGCTCCTGTGACCACAGCTACGAATTACAACCAACCTCCGGCTGGCTTCAGTCCGGGCAATGCAAAAATCTCGATTCGTTTACATACCGTGCAAGACTTGGTAATAATCACCTCGGATGGCCTCTTAGTTATACCCTGAAGTTCTGGCAGAGGGCCGATTGCCAGGGTCATGCAACAGTCACTCGTATACAGGATACGGCGATACATGAATTAGAAAACGGTTTTTTTGGGGATTATGAATGTATTTCTACTGCGGATAAGGATGGGAAGTTTTATCTTGGTAATGGGGTTGCGAGCGTCCAGTTGATTTGTTAGTGTTTACTCGCCCTCAAACCCTATGGATGGTTGGTGTTTGGTTTCTTTATTACTACTTGTTGCTTGTCGTGTTTGTTCTTTTACATCCATTCTTCGTCTTTTGCATCTGTGTACCATTATAGCCTCCTTGTTTCCCGTGTTTTGTGATATGGATTGGAACTCTACGATTCTGGATTAAGCCTGTAACTGCTAATTTGTTTGAAGATATGCTAATTCCTCTGACTCAAATTAGATTCTCTATATCATCTACCTACGTTCATGCGCGCAGAAGGAAGATCAATTCAGATAGATAAGTCCATATCAAACAAGAACGAGTCCAGCCTGGAGCCACCACAGTCCGTCTCGAGAAATGAGGCGATTAACTGAAAGCGCTCATCAATACCTCTCAGTCGATCAGGCAGGCTTAGGGAATTGGGGACAAAAGGTTCATGATCCGAACGTGAAACGAACTGAGACGTATGTGATGGCTGACGAGATGATTTCATCTCTCCGTGATACCGCGCTTCGGTGCCTTTAGTCTATCTCAAACTCTACTTCCCAAATTTCTTCCGCAAAACTCCTTAAGTTCATCGATAGTGAAAATAATTATCTTGTTCAATCCCCCTGACGGTGGCCAAAGAACTAGGTCTTCAAATGTGATTACCAGGGGTTCTCCGTTGGTAGTTTGCGCAACTCTTTCGCCATTCTGGGATACAACATTTTCGATATACTCTGCGTGGAGGGTTAGTGCCATCCGGGAGCTATTGGCAAATTGTCATCTGTTTGACCTCTGGATTGATCGCAATTGTAATAACGGACTTGACATCGCCAGCTGACTGTGTAATCCACCAATTGACATCTGATTCCAGCTTCTGGTCCTAAAGACCCAGCTTTTATGACCAGGCTCGGCTAATGGTTGTTTCGACCATGTGATCGGTTTTTTGTTTTGTAGCTTTCGCCTGCTCTTTTCATCCCACCGTCACGTTGCACATGAGCACCTCCGAAGGGTCTGACAGACTCGTCTGCGCCATCCATATCTCGGAGCTTAAAGTGAAGCAGATTATCGAAATTTCGGTGAGCAGACCCATGAGTTCGTGACTCCATTTTGACTAGGATAAGCTGACAAGTAATTGAGTACGCCTCGAAATCGATTAAACTGTCAACAGGGTCAAGAAAGTCTCGGCTGAAGGCTCACTCGTTCAAAATAAGGTATTCACTTCTTGATCTAGGATTCGAAGTGAAAAGATCGAGCTCCTCATCGAGCACAGAGAGAGAGTGCCCCCTACTTTGGTACTCATACTGCCTGTATCCGCATTGAGTCCAAACAGAAGGCGGTAGTTGCCGTTGTTATCAAATGCCATTGCTACTGCTTCTTCAGCTGAAAAAGGAGAATAATTGATGATATTGGTTTCGTATCCTCATAAAATCCTCAATTGTCTATAATACACCTGGGTATAACCACTATGGCTGTAAAGATCATTATTACACAATCCTTTCCAAGGTTTACCACGAGTAATCATTCGATGAATCAAGATTCAAGTGAGCTTAAAAGTCTGTTCTACAATTATAATTCAATGACTTATTGAGACTAATAATCATATTTTCAGAGATGGGATTTTCGGTTCTATATACCTAGTTGCAATCTCCGAGGCCATCAGGGTTACTATTGGAGTGATCCCTCCAAACTCACAGCACCCATAGCGTCAATATGCTATATCCGCCGACGCAGAACAACTTCCGTGCTTGATCTTGGGTAGATGAATGTCCGCCAACTAACCCAGCGAGATGCCTCAGGATTGGAGAGTTGAATATCATACTCGGTAATGAAAATCTCGACCACTGTTCTCATGATTGCAGCGGCATAGTATCTACCGGGACTTTTTCATTCCCATTATTATTGAAACACTGTAATGGAAAGAAAAAAGAAACTCACCAGGCCATACGTCCAGTCCCCCAGACTTGCCAATCGATCACATCTGTAAGCCGAGAACCTTTTCCAGACCCCACCATGCGCATTTCCGGATCTGATCCTAAAGAAGATGGCATATTCTTCAGAGCATTAAGACGTTCGGTATCCACAAATCGAAAACCATCGAACTTGAGCGGATCAGGGTAATTGGCTGAATCGCGCATCATCGCTCGGAGTGGCGTGCATATCCAGTCTCCGACTTGGATTTTGTGTCCATCTGGGAGCTCAAAGGGTTGCAGTGCTTGGCGACGGGTGCTCACTGTATAATTGAAATGTCAATGATATATAAAAATGTATATAAATGTTGATATACTTGACTCGACAGGCGTAGTACGCATTGACTCCTTGATAAAACTATCAAGCAGATCCATTGCTCCAGGCTCTGCACATTCGGCTCGTAGAGGCTCAATATATTCTGGGTGTAGACAAAGATCGTGTATGGCGAAACAGATCGTCTGTTTGTGTCAATATATCGGAACTTATCCTTCACAAATCCAGTTTATATTTACCGTAGAAAGCACATGGACAGACCCAAACCAAAGCGCCATTAATTCATGAACAATACGCTGAGCAGACCAGGGTTTTTGCTTTGGAGAGCATTCCATTACCCATTGAATGCAGTCTTTCTGTAATGAACATTAGACTTGGTCAGTATTCAGAATATATTGTAGTATGAGCATGGAAATACATGTGTTCTGATTTCATGGCCGAATCTCTTCATATCTCTCTCACGAAGCCGTTCTTCGGTGACGGCAACCAAATTGTCGTTTATCACGAGATGAGCCTTGAATTTATTTGCGAGGAAAGTACCAATTTTCCTATAGCTCGTGTTAGTCACGATTTAGAACATGGATAAGTCCAGCTCACGGTGCCATAAAGCACGGCAATAAGCGCATTATCTCAGCGACTAGAAGAGTTTTTTCAATGAAATCTACGGCTGATTTCATAAACTCTTGGTTTTGAGCTATCTGCTTTTAAGTATATGTTTGTTTCGGGTATAGGAAAGAAACATACCTAGTTCTTCTCCAAAGAATGCCAGTGCGTTGGAATATGCAACAACCGAGATGATCATCGAGTATAACGGAGCAAGGTGGCCCCCTATAGCAGAAAATTAGCACAGACGCCTCAAGCTGGAGAGACGAAGATAGAACCATCAATCTCAGGACAAGACTGCAACATCTGATCAAATTTGGTCACCATAGCTCGACGGATATCAGGCAAAATGTCCGGAACGTGATTGGTAAGGAGGGTCCGCAGAGCCCTAACTAACGGCGTGCCTTCGAGACCACGTTGATCAAACCAGTTAAAATTGTGCATTGTATACTTGGGTTGAAGCATCTATTTTGAAAAAAATCAGAAGATGACATTTTCTTTTTCATTAAATTTGTCAGGCAACTGACCTGCTTCGCCGCTGCTTGAAGTGACAAAACAGAGTCAGGGGCAGCGTCGATTGCTTTGATATGTTCAGCTGACGAGACGAAGAGATAGCGAGCGTCTGGGGCAAGTATTTCAAAAGGTGCGCCTTTAGTCTAATAGTTCTCTGTTAGTGCGTCTCGTTTGCTTATTTGGGGAGGGGGGGTATGTGTAGGTTACCTTGTCGTATCCCTCCTGAATTATGCTAGGACCCTTGAATAGAAACAGCCACGCCTTGCCTCGTCTTTTGAGAAAATCGAATGGATAGCACAAGAGTGAGATAGTTTTTGAGCGCATCTTCTTATTAAAAAGGGCATACAGAGCCATGACGGAACTGCAGACCAAGATAAATGTCAATGGATCGGCTGGTATTATGAGCGAAAGCATAGTGACTACGTGACAGTGAATTATCAATCTATTTATTTTTCAATTCACTTCGTGATAGCTAGATTCTAGATAAGATCAACAATTGTTTCCTTTTTATATCCCATATTGATATCCTTTCCATATCTTTACGGCGTCCAATTCCAAAACTTGTTGATACCAACAAGCCTGTCTTCAAAGCCTCAACCCAGTCAAGTTGGAAATAGTACAATATCCGGCCCCTTGTGTTAGAGCTCAGACTTGACACTGTGTTTGGTCGCCGTTTTATCCATCTTATCAATCGCTATTGGTATCTATACGGACAATGAATCACCAATATATAATAAGATGTCGATGAGGGCAATTTACCCAAAGCAGAATCTGATAAGATCTGATAAACAGGCCGGAATATAATGAATACTCTTGCAGATAGCCCCCAACCTATTAATCCCGAAACATAGACTCGGAAAATATCCTATAAATATCATTGATGTGACACCTGGTATGTTGAGTGACAAACCCCGAGTCGAGGTTCAGCAATGAACCATGATAAGTAACCATATCCGTCTTTTCACTTTTCAGCTGAATGTGTACTCTAACTACGTAACACCTAGGTATTGCCCTACTATGGTTCGTTGGTAGTTGTAATTGCAATCCAATGCATACAGGTAACACATTTATGATTCACATATGTATGGGAGATGCCCTTCAAAATGATGGGCTGAATCGTTTTCCTCTTCAGGCGCTAGCTCTACAACAAGCTAGATTTTTGTCTTATTTCATAAAATAGTGAATGGTATTTCTCTGGATAGATCTAAATAAGAATATCTTATAGAAAATAAAAAGATTAAACATCAAATAATCTGCCTTCACTATGGCTGATTTGTCAAACGTGGCCCTTGCACCCAACCCTAATGGCAGTCCTCCCAATTTCGTTAATCCACCGTCCCTAGAGAGTACAGTTCTCGCAGTTGGGGTTGTTTTTATTGCTATCAGTGGAACTTTGATTCTAATACGCTTGGCTACGAATTATAAATATACGGGAAAGCTAACTATCGACGACTGTGAGGGCCTTTCAAATATACCTAGGTAACATCAGGATACTGAAATGCCTACAGACCTCTGTGTTTTTGGAGAAATAGCGAGTATTGGATATTGGGTTGTAGTGTATAGTTGTGAGTTGTTGATTTCCTTCGTGGTGATGATTTCTGACAGCCAATCGAATACTAGTCACGAGAGACGGCGCAGGGAGGCATACCTGGGATGTTCCTGCCAGTATAGTAACCAAATCATTCATCAAGGTAAAATGCCTAAGCAGTTTAAGAAAGACGGTGTCATTGACCTCAAGAAGAGACAATTTGTCCAGCAAATGCTCATTGCTCCAACATTATGGGCAACCAAAGCATCGGTTCTGGCACTTTATCTACGAAACTTCCGAATTATCCAATGGATGCGCGTCTCTTGCTGGATTCTTCTTGTCGTTCTGTTCTTATTCTATGGATCTAACATTGCCATTGCTGCAGTTTACTGCATTCCTAGAAACGGAGAGGCATGGGACAGTACTGCATTCGAGAGATGTGCTAGCCCCATCACATCAACCGTTGTCATTGGAGTTTTTGCTGTGGTTGCTGACCTGATCATCTTTATGATGCCTTTACCTATCATATTTCGACTGCGACTTACTCAGCAAAAGAAGATTGGGCTGGGGATTGTGTTTTCCGTAGGGTTGCTGTAAGCTTTTCTTATGGAGGTGGCATCACTGAAAGCTAACTCATTTGAATACTGATATAGAACGGTGATCACCAGCATTGTTTCACTAGTCTTCCGAGTCCGCGTGTTTCTCGGACACGATCCCATATGGGCTGGCATTACCCTCGCAATCACAACGTGAGTTGAAGTATATCATATTGACATTGACCCGTAGTAACGATTCATGGGACCCCTAGATTTGCTGAAATTTTCGGAACCATCATAGTTAGCTGCGCACCAGGCTTGTACTCCTTCTGGTTGAAATATGTCATGCAAAGTCGATTTTATTTGAAAGTTCAATCAAGTATTTCATAACTGGAATCACGGCCAAACCTCGTCTTGTATTTGCGGGTGAGAGCTTACTTATCTGCAGTCCATCGGCCACTTCAGATAAAGGAACTAATTTCATTCGATTGGAAATAATAGGAGATTTAAGCCAGAACTGGTAGAAGTACAAGAACAAGCTTGGCCACGTGATTTGATGTGTTCTTTATTGTAACGAGACAGTAACTTCCTTCCCCAACCACCACTACTAACCACTTAATCACTTCAGCGCTTTCGACTCCCAACTTATACTGCGACTTACTTACATCGATCGAATATTCTAACCAGAAATAATGTTTGAAAACTTCAACTTATTCCATGTGCCATCCCTCTTCGTTGCCACTGCCGTTACCTTTGGCGGCTTGATACCCTTCTTCAACGCCGAATACGCCATCGTTGAATTCGGTCTCCCACAACGCATCGCTAATTCCAAGCCAGCTCAGTCGGTGATGATACTGAGTTCTGCACGCGGCACCGCCATCGGTATCGCTCTTTTTACTTTCTATTTTCAAGGGAAACTGGTCGAGTTCGACACCGTTCTGACCATTTTGGGTGCTTACGTCGGCCTGGTAGACGGCTATGTCTGCCTGCGAGAGGATGTGCCTAACAAGGCTGTTTTCCGTACAGCTTCAGGCCTGGCAATTGCTGCATGGGGCTGGTTCAGCATGACGAGTGCTGCCTGAGTGATCTGTGCTACTTGTTTCTCTCTTCTCTGTTTCTCTCTTCTCTGTTTCAAACTCTGCCATCAGCCAAAGTTGTATGATTGCGGTGATCAATATGTGTGTGACTGTGCAATATAACAGTCACCTGGCGGCAGTGGCGGTCAGCTGATGAGCAGAAGGGGTAATCATGATTGACATGTCGTTGTTCCTATTAGGCAGCCTTTCCTGCACAGTTATTCGCCGAGACTCGATATGCATTCATTATTTTAAATAATGCCTATGGTATCTCTAGATACAAGCCGGAAGCGTTACAGGGGGAAGACAAGAGATTGCATTGTGTAACTACCGATAGCGCAAGACTTGACGGTGTTCACAACCCCCTGTGTAACAAATTCTCAATTATTGCCGGATCCCTCCTTCGTTAAAACACAAGAATACATAGAAGTATGACATTCTTGTATCGAGTATTGTTGACTTGACAAAAAAGGATATGGAAATCCATTTTCTAGTTGAATCAGAAGCAGAAATCATGGCCCAGCCATACAAAGATGGAGGAGGAGAAGATACCCCCCAACACACTCAAGAAGATGTACGCGATTTCCACCTACCCTGGCGAGTTCGGTGTGTCTTTATTATCCTCTGTCTCTTATCCTTCATGTCCGCCATCGACGCAACCATCGTGACCACGTCTTTACAAACCGTCACCCAAGAAATCGGCGGCCAAAAGCAATATGTCTGGATAGTAAACGCCTTTATGTTTGCCACTACTGTCCCACAGCCCTTTTACGGACAGATCGCGAACATATTTGGCCGCCGTCATCCGATGATAGTTGCCATTTCACTTTTCGCTCTGGGCAGCGGTATATCTGGCGGTGCGACGAGCGCTGGGATGCTCATTGCTGGACGCACGATTCAGGGGCTCGGAGCAGCAGGCCTGTATGTCTTGTCGGATATCATCATTTGCGATTTGGTGCCGCCTCGACATCGAGGTCCTTATTTGAGTGCTGTGCTATCAACCGCTGCTATCGGAACGACCATTGGGCCGATTATTGGTGGTGCACTGGCTGAGGCTCATTGGCGATGGATTTTCTGGATCAATCTGCCTGTATCAGCTGTGGGGCTACTGGAAATTATATTCCTCCTCAGAGTCAAACATGAGAACACCAGCCGGATTTGGAGACATGCCGTCTCGCGAGTCGACATTCTGGGCAACCTGATTTTCATACCTTCTATGTTTGCAATTTTCTTTGGTCTGATCATGGGAGGGGAGCAATATCCCTGGAATTCCTGGCACATCATCATCCCCTTGGTTCTGGGAGTTCTAGGATGTGTCATCTTTGCTCTTCATCAAGCATCGTCGATTTGCAAAGAACCTAGCACGCCGCCACGACTCTTCAAACATAGCACCTCTGCAGCGGGTTACATCATCATCTTTCTAGCCGCCGTAATTCTCCAAGCCATTTCGTATTTCTTGCCAACCTACTTTCAGGCTGTCAAGGGCACCTCGCCGCTTATGTCCGGAGTCGACTTTTTGCCGTTTGCACTTGCCATTATCCCGTTTGGTGGCATAACGGGGTGGTTCATGTCCAAAACAGGGTTGTATATCCCCATCCACTGGATGGGCTTCATTCTCACCGCTACAGGAGCTGGTCTCCTCTCAACACTCAACCAGGCATCCAGCCGGGGCGCTTGGATCGGCTACCAAATCCTTGTATCTGGCGGAACTGGCATGATCTTTACAGCCACTTTACCATCTACATTGGCTCCGCTGTCAGAGTCTGACGTTGCCGTTGCAACAGGGACATATTCATTTATCCGCTCATTCGGCTTGGTTTGGGGAGCCACGGTGGCATCGGTTGTATTCAACAGTCAAATAGACGCCCATCTCGGTTTAATCGCTGCGACGGATAGCGGTAACCCTCAGACGATAAGGGATGCATTGGCTTACGGGAAGGCATACTCATACGCGAGTGGTGGGTTTATTACTTCTTTGCCTGATGAAACACAACATCAGGTTGTTGACGTCTATGTCAAGGCATTGCGCGTTGTTTGGTTGGTTGTCACCGCTGTGGCATGTCTCGGCTTCGTTTGCGTGATTTTCGAAAAGCCTGTCGAGCTTCGAAAGGAGCATGATACTCAATATGGGCTGGTAGAGGATACGAAATATACAAACAAAGAAGGCATTATTGTCAATTCTTCTATTGATATCAATACGGTGGAACAGGGTTTGAGCGCTGCAAAGGGTGGGCAAGAATGATTGTTCTGGCACTGTTTCAGCAGGGGATAGTAAAGAATTTACCAAATTTTCACTGAGAAACTTGACGAATTTTATAACGGCAGGCTGAGGACTGTTTACCATACAGGTGGCACGCTGAGTATCTAGCGTTGCACATATCATTTATATACTAGGTATAAAAGATCAACATTCAAAGATTCATATCAAACATAAGAGATCCACGGCGGGAACACTCATCGTGCTCGGCTCATCTACATTGAAATCAAACCGATCCGGCATTTGCAGCCCTTCTCGCGCATAATTAGAAGACAGATATCGCACCACTGGCGCACCATCTCGCCACAACCACAAGTATTTTGTCTCCTTCTGCCACAATTCAAGCTCTGACCGCATCTCCTTGACGCTCCGAGCATACGCTGGATCAGCAGCCAAATTATGTATCTCTAAAGGATCATTTTCCAGGGTCAAACAATTCTTCCGATGGTCGACAGATGTAGTCCTTTAGGTTTCGCAGCCCAATCATGGCTGGTGAAGATGAATCTGCCGAGTTGCGCTTCCCTTCGAACGATAATGGCGCGTACAGATCCATAGAAGAAGGAAAGTCCAGTTTCCAGCAGATGTCTCGATGGTATTTATAGCTTTAATTACGCATATGTCTAGTGAGCCAATAATTTGTAATCTCATGGAAGGAGTGCGAACCAAATACGCGATCCCAACCTGGCTGTAAGGCAGTACTTGCGAGAATAGGGAGGATAGATCTTTCCTGGTGCTGCAGCCAGACCTTCATATCCGGCCCAGTCAAGAAACGTGGGCAAGATATCGGTATATGGTATCAAATTGTGATTAACCGAGCCTTTCACGTCAGCACTGGGTACTCGTACCTAGAAAGGCAGCCGTACACAAGCATCAAACAGCGTTGTCTTTGAGCTCACGAATGGTGGGCCATTGTCGCTGAGAAACAAGACAAGCGTGTTGTCCGCTAACTGTGCCCTTTCTAATGCGTCGAGAATCAAACCAACTCCATGGTCCATACGATGAATAGCTCGGTAGTATTCAGCTAGTTTCTGACGAACCGGTGGTATATCGCTCAGAAAGGACGGCACCACAACCTCATCAGGACTGAGAATGCGATCTTTCAGTCAGGGGTCGTGTTTGCCCTCCACATTGTCAAAACATCCTCGTTTTTGCAATTGGCGATGAGGTCCACGAATCCGATAGTGAGGATGAATTGTTTCTCTTCTTTCTTAGCTTCCTCGGAGAAAGATTCTGCCCTGTCAGCTATCCAGCCACGTCTCTGGTTTCGCTCTCTTCTCGGATTTGCCAGGGGTATACGCTATCAGGACTTACAGCACCTCTCCCAGGATTCCAGTCTTGTACCCAAGCTGATTGAAAAACAGGGGTGCAGTCTCGACATTTGAAAACGTTTGGAAGCTATTGGGTACATGAGTCAGACCATAGCTTCCGGTCATGTGTGTCTGCAATGCTGTATGGATCACAGTGCGACTCCCACTACAGGACGCCGTACTGGCAAATGCCATGTCAAACTGAACCCCGGAAGCTGCCAAAGCATCGAGATTGGGGGTAGTTTGGACCGGGCAGCCATAGCAGCCGATCTGCTCGCGGCCCAGATCATCTGCGATCAATAATAGGATTTTTTTTCATTCATCTTTCTTGACACACCAAATCAGTTTACTCAATAAGTCATATTTGAGGTATGAACCGTTCCAAGGGGAAAATGTCGTGATTGAAAAGGCTCTCGGAATTCCGCCAGCCCTAAAACCCGAATCTTGTCGGCACCCGCTCGGCATCCGCACTCGTGGCGAGATGGGGAAAGGTATATATAGCTTCATTACCTCCACTGTTCACCATGTTCCCACGCTTCCAAGGTCAGGAGCAAATGCAGCAGATACGTTGGGCCTAAACCATCTTTCTCTGAGGCAAAGCTTCAGTGTGAGGCTCGCCCTCGCGGTGCTGTTGATTGCCCAGTTCAGCTTTGGATTCGACCAACAGGGCTATTCGTCCACTCAGGCCATGGCTTCTTTCAAGAATCAGTTTGGCTCGTACAATGCAAAGATGAAGAAATATACTTTGGATACAGTATGAGTGTCGTCCTTCAATAGCTGCATATTCTTGGGGCAGGCCGCAGGTAGGACAACAAATGAATAATGCTCCATCCGAATACTGATAGAGAACTTATATAGGAGTGATTATGGGGAATTTTATCAGTAGAAGATACGGCGGACGCATGTGCATGTTCTGCATGAGTATTCGGGCAATCATCTGTGCAACCATCCCCCATCACCCCGAGGACGTCCGACCAGATTTTGGTTGGTCGTGTGCCAAGCTGTGAGTCAAACCCCCATGAGTGACATTTGAGTTGAAGTTTGACAGTATTGGCATTCCAACAGACATCTACATCGGCATGGAGCTATCGGTAGTTTCTATCTTCCAATCCGAGATCGTCCCTTCTCATGCCTGCGGTTTTGTTGTCGGGACCTACCAAAGCAGTTCATATGTAAGTAGCACTCATTCCCATTATGTATTCTCCATGAATTAGTGAAGGAGCTAACCATCTTTTGAATTCAATTCGGGGGATTGGTTATCAACCTGATCTGCCTTGGAACCGGGTACCTTGACAGAGAGAAAAGCGTACATGATCCCATATGGATTGTTCTATCTCGTCCCAACACCAGTTGTGACACTTATTTGGTTCATCCCTGAGGTAAGGAGACCATTCTGACATCTGCACATGAAAGTATATTGATATGTTCCGCAGTCTCCTCGCTGGCTAATTATAAAGAATCGCCGTGAAGAATCCCTAGAAAGTCTCCACAACCTTCGACACGGCAAATTCGGTGAGGATGAAATCCAAAATGAATACAAATGATTATTGCCGGAATTGAACATGAACAGGAAAATAGTTCCTTTCTTGATATCTTCCGCGGATCGAACCTGAGACGTACTCTGGTCGTATGCGGTACTAATTTCTTCCTCCAATCCACTGGTCAAATAAGTACTTCTCTTTATGGAGCTCTGTTCGTCTCGGACCTTGGGACGGTCAGTCCATTCATCGTAACCGTTATAATTGCTATTTCAAATCTAACTGCATCGGGAATTGCGATGATTCTTACGGATCGAATTGGTCGAAGGTGAGCCTGCTATATCCTCAATAGAGTAGCAGTTAAGCTGACACCAGATAGGGCTCTCATCTTGATTGGTGCCTCTATCCAGGTTACCTCGCAAATGACCATGGGCAGTTTAGGTAATGCCAACCCATTCACTAAAAGCGAGAAGGCTGGCGTGGTCGCGATGATGGTTACCCGCCTTTGGATACAGTGTTGGTTGGGCAGCAGGTGCACATATTCTCAGTGTAGAATTTCCCAGCAATCAGGCTCGAGATATGACTTGTCGAACTGCTTCGGTCCTCAACATTGCCGTGTAGTATGCTCTCCTCTCCCCCATGTCGAGCATCCTCTAATCATTTAACTCTGAATACTATAGATTCGCCATCTCGTTTTCCCTCCCCTACCCACTTAACATTCCATACGCCAACCTTCATTCAAAAGTCGGCTTTTATATTTGCATCCATTGCATTTGTCTCGATTGGTATACGTACTTCATTCCAAATGTTGCTGGGTGGTCATTGGAGGAAGTCAACGAGCTGTTTGAGAGCGACACCCCATTGCGGAAGTCTTCAAAAGTTAAACTTCGGAGTGAAGGAGACCATTCTGAGGATTAATAAGCATGAGATTCAAATATTATAATCTCTCCATGACTACTTGAAGTACTTGATATAACTGTTAGTCATTCCTGGGATGACGATCACGTGCTTCTATAGCCCTAAGTACTTAGGACAGCTGTACCAGCGACAGATAAATGGAAAGATTCGGCCCCAATCTCGCACATATACAAGCACGTAGCCTCCCGAGGTCAGATAGTCTGACTGCAGGATTTATCATCTGTTTTGTGGTTCTGTGTTTCCCAATTCGTGATATATAGTCACCGACAGTATACACACGGATGTACTACTAGTAGTCTTGATATCAACACGCGAAGAGAATCGAACCTAAACCAGCATAAGAATCACGCATAAATACCTGAAGACTATCAATCTCAACAGCTATGCAATCATACATAAATACCTCTGTTGCCGACAATAAATTCTACGAGTAGATGTACTTCAAGGTTGCACAGCTCGATATCTGAAGAGTTAATATGCCATGCAATGAGTCCAGTTCGGAAACCGAAAAGACGCCACTGCTACCCGGCAGGTTTGCGATACATGTAGCTCATCTTCTCTATTGCACCTGTCAACGCCTTCTTGGTCTTAATCACTTGATGCTTATTGACTAGATCAATTCCATATATATATTGTACTCAGCCGGACCAACCGTAACCATCCACTATCGACTAGTTTCAGACATTCATAACTCTACCTAATCTGGAATATCACAGATACGTCAACTATTTCCAGCTCCTTCTTCTCCAGCCTGGTGTATTCTGACACCTCACACACAGGCAGGTGACCATCTCGCATCCTCACGACCTCCACACTGGTCATCATACAATATACGTACGTATACCCCGTCCTTGCTGCACCCCCTAATACCCCGTTTGATCAAATACATATCCATCCTGCATCGAACATCTATTCTTCTTCCATTCAACTCCCGCTATTCGTATTTCGGCAGGCCAATTGAGAACTTGACCGGCCTCAAATCCAGAATTCGGAAGTATTTCACCACGGCTAGGAGTCTAGGGCCTGCCAATGTTAGCTGGTATTGCGCGTTTGGTTGACAGGCACTTCCACTGTAGCTGCCCAGTGTCGTTGACAAGGGATGGGAGGCTGATGAGCATATCTGCAGGCATGCATTTCTGTGTATGTTATCCAGTATCTACGTATCTACACAGTTACCTGAAGGCAACAAGATTTCATTTCAAGAATATTCCAGCCAATCCCTAGATTCATGTAGATAATCTGCATAAGCGTAAAACTACATTCTTGATACTGATGTATTCAACCTACGTACTTGTGTATACGCAGGTGATGAATCTGGCCATGGCCCATGCCCTAATTCCGTAAACTAGGTTGTCGATACCCATGTATGTAAGAAGAACGCATAGATGTTGGACTAACCTTGATGTCTGAGGAATTAATACATCTCCACAGCATTGGGCCCAGAACCGATCAGTCTATTAGACGAAATCATGAGAGCATCTCAGACGGTTGACTCTGCCTGTATAGAACTGCGTGGACTTTGAGCATAGTAGGTATGTATATACTGTACCTAGAATATCTGGCCAGGTACATGATTTGGAGGTACCTATGCTCATAAAGCTACAAATACTCATCCTACAAACCGAACTAAGGATAAAAAAATATGAACCTTTATTTCCCATATTATTATATAATCTGCACTTTTTATAACAGGCTTTCCTTGTTTTCTTTCTCCTCTGGTGGTACAAAATCCCCACTCAATCAACTCAGTGACACACAAGTAACAAAAGACAAAAAAAAAAAAAAGACACTCTTCTTCTATCATTAAAAAGGGTGGGAGGTAGTAAAAGGATGCCTGTCACACCGCTCGGGTTCGAGAAACATATGTAGAGGGAAAAAGAGGGGGAAGAAAAGTATATTCTGAGGGAGGAAAACAGTCAAGGCAAAGAGAAATGAAAAACGCTCCGATGTTCGCCGGCCCAGGAATGTATAGCACATTAAATGAGTGATATCAAAGACAGGAAACAATTCAAAAGAGGCTCAACAATGCCATTCGAAAACCACAGAAGAGAGCCCAATATTAGATCATGGGCACCTTCTTATACGGCATCCCAAAGATGCAAAAGTGCAGACTTAAAAATGGAAACAAGGATTAGGCAACAAGAGACGAAGAAAATGCAAAAACAAGACGCAATTCCATCATGGCCGTGCCGTCGTAAAGAGAGCGTTGCTTTGATAATATCAAACCCGTTGAAACCGATTGCAAGGATGTCGAAAAAACAGTAGATGACAGGAATCATTCTGTGTTTTGCACATACTGTATTATAAGGCCCGAGATCTTATGCTGAAAGTAAAAGCAAAAGACTTCAACATGAGCCAAGTCATAGAATTGTGAAGGCTTTCATGGATGATTCAAGTCACAACAACTGATGAGCATGACCAGCTAATCTCAACCTGTTAATCGATTAGCGACGTGATGCAACATCAATCAAGACTTCCGACCCGTACCACAGCACAACGCTCTCATGGCCTTTTGCATGAATGTTGGTTCTGGTTCATTCGCCCCCTGGAGACCTGACATTTGTTGTGCGCTCGTTGTTCCTTGATTCGGTGTGGCGATACGACCGGGGAGATTGGCGTTGGAGTTCTGGAATTGAGCCTGAGTGGACGCTGTTGGTGTCGAGATTTCTTGGCCTAGAGCGCTCTGTCTCTTTCCCTGAAGACCGCCTGAGGCGCTTTGTCGGTCGCGTGTCTTGCCAGCTCCTGGCTTTGCTGGAGACGGAGGAGGGGGCTGCGCGGCGTTTAAACGATCAGCAGTGATACCAGGCCTTGATGGCTGACGGGCTTGCGTGCTGTGGAGATCACGAGCAGAGGTGTTTTGCATTTGGGCAGTGCCATGGGGGTGATGCTGTGATGCGTAAGGTTTGTATTCCCATCCTCTTCCGTTGTTCAATTTCATCCAATCGTATTCGCCATCCTCAACTTCTCCTGTATTTTTAAGAGCTTGTGTGAAGAGATCACGAAGGTAGTCGTAGTCGGGAGTGTCTTCGAAACCGAGGTTGCGAACGTAGGTAAGGTATTTATTGAATTCCTCTGCGAATGATTAGCAGAAAACAAACTACGAGACATATGAACAAAAGCATACCTGGATAGCCTTCACACAAATCCTTTACAGCAGTGGTCTGCTTCTTCTCACCAATCTTCTCGTACTTCTGCTTATTTGTCGCAGCCTTCAATCCCTGCCAGGGAAGACCTCCCCTCAAGAAGTACATAAAGACATGACCAAGTGCCTCCAAATCATCTCGTCGGGATTGTTCGCGCCCTAAATGGGTGTTGATACTCATATAACGAGCAGTACCTGACAATGACTTCCTCTCGCGATAGGGAATGTGTTGCTTAGTCTTTGGGTCACGGTATTGTTTAGCCATGCCGAAATCAACAACGTGGATAACATTAGCTGCTTTAGTTCCGGGACGTCCAATAAGGAAGTTATCGGGTTTGATATCTCGGTAGATCAAGTTCTTTTCATGTATAGTTTGAACGCGGGAGAGCTAAGCAGTGTTAACCGTGATCAAAACTGACCATCTGAATGACGTACCATCTGCTTGGCAACCATGACAACGGTCTTGATAGAGAATCGGCGATTGCAATGGTCAAAAAGATCCTCAAGACTGGGTCCTAGAAGATCAATCACCAAGATATTGTGAAGACCTTCCTGCCCGAAATAGTAAACATTGGGTATACCGGCTGGATTCATTAGCAGATTTCAAAGTAATAGCAGAATGGACCGAACATACGGCACCCGACAAGTATTTTGTATGTTCGATATTCATCGCGAAGCTGAGGAGCATCACTTTTGCGAGGTTCCTGGAATCCTCGTCAGTAGGCGGAACGTGTTTCCGATTGATGAAACATCTCAACATACAAACTTAATAGCGACTTGTTGGCTGTTCAACAAGTTTGTACCCTCAAAAATCACACCAAACGAACCCTCACCAATTTTCTTTCCTACTCGGTAATGTACTCCCACGACGTTGGACGAGGAGGATGCCATTGTAAACCGGGACGGGGCCAGAGGCGATTGACTGTCAGATTTCGGAAGGTCGGTAGAACGCTAGCAGGTAAACTGTAGCACACGGGGAGAAGAATCAGTCGACACAATTCAAGACAAAGATATAGACCTCGACGGTATCATGAGGCTCAAACCTACCAAGGTAGGGATGGTGCTATAGTCACGGTTTACAGTATCATCAAGCAATCGCAGCAACAGTAGATGCAATTGAACTAAATCCGCATCGGAATAGACAAGGTATATGACATGTGCTCGCGAAGTTGATCTGTTGCAGGTCGAAACAGCAACACGGACAGGTATTGGATGGAGATGACACGCGTGTGACAACTGGTTGGACGACGATAGGGGGACCACGACCGGAGAAACGGCGGCGACAACGGCAACAGCAGCAGTAGCAGCACTGGCTGAGCGAAAGGCGGACGAACCGCGCTGTGAAGCGGTCGGAGTGGGCGAGACAGAGGGTGAGAAAAGGTCGGTGATGGACAAAAGAAGAGGAAGAAGGAGAAGGAAGAGAAGAGGAGCGGATGGAGTTGGTCGAGCAGAGAGTAAAGGGAGTCGAGTCAGAGAAGTTCCAGCGGGTAGTTAAACTGGTTAGCGCAGCTTGGCAGGGCGGTCAGCTTGATTTACTCATCCACACCTTGTTGGAGTCAACAATAACTAACTTACAGAACAGGATCTCTATCGAGAACTCGAGAGTCGAGACACGCAGAGAAGAAAGAGAAAGAGAGAAAAGATGTAAGGAAGAAGGGAGAACTGCCATAGGTCAAGGGGGTGTGGTTAGGCTGTGGCTGCGTTCACAGCTAGTCTGAGACTGCTCTAGCCGTTGGGAATAATTAACTACTGCACCCTTCGCGTCTACTTGCTACGTTAGTGCGTCTAGTTATTGAGATGCGATCGAATCGTGGTGCCTTGAAGGTAGATGGCTTTGTCATTTGCTGAGTTTCTCTGAGCCTCTGATTGTCAAACTTAACACAGGACAGCTTCGTCTTGATGGAAGTATCTTTCCGAAGCAGGCTTATTTGCTGTGTTGGTGTCCATCACGTGAGTGTATGGAACTTGTTGTGAAATACCAATACGCTGTGGCTTGATAAATTACATACTCGTCTCAAAACACGGTCTTGGCGTCTGTACGCAATCTATGCTCTTCTTCCTGTTTGTCAAGATCAGATAAACTAACCCTCTCTGAAACGATTACATGTTCACGAAACGAATATCTTGTGGAAAGATAGTAAGAAACACCTACCCGAGGTTGACACGTACAGTGTGTTAGTTAGTATGGAGTTCTTTTGTAACTTCTCGGTATGTTAATCTAAACTGACCGCTTGATTCATCACGGACCATGGTTCTCCTTTGTTAACGGTCTACTCCGTAGTTAATCCACATGGATGCTAAGTAAGCATTTGTAAGTTTTCCGCATTACACACAAACAAGCAGGCATCCCGAATGGGTATGGCATCGTTAATGCTCTACTACTACTATCTAGGATAGGTTCCTCAAACTATTTAGGTGAGATAGATTGCTATGCTCCATTGCATTGCAAAATGAGCTTAGTTCATACCAAGACTGAGGCACTCATGAATTGTTGTGCATGACTCCCAATTCCGTACGATACAACCTCACAATTCCTTCTCATCAACATCTTCCGCTTCACTACCCAACTCTTGCTTGACGAGATCCTGATCACCGTCCTCATCCTCATCGTCCTCCTCTCCATCTTCGTCTTCGTCCTCGTCATCATCCTCCTCACTACTAGACCCACTCCCATCACTATCACCTTCACTACCAGGATCGTAATCTTCCTCCTCCTCATCTTCCTGATCCTCCAATTCGCGCTGCGCCTTTTGTAATTCGCTTTCCTCCTCCTCCTCCTCCTCCCCCCCCCTAGCTGCACCCGTAGCTTCAGTACCATTCTGCTCTCCGTCGACGGCAGCCTTGCCGCCATTCACATTGTACTTCTTTGCCCGTCTGGCTTCGGCAAGACTTGCGTCCTGGAGTTGATGGTTCTTGATATATGCGTCAATCCCGGCATAATCGGCCTGATCGATCATGGAGAATTCGAATTCCTGAGGTTCTTGGGTTTCGTCTACTCGCGTGCTGATGTTGAGGTTGAATGTGCGTTGTAGAACGGAGGTGTATGATACAGACTCGATATTGTCGAAGGAGAAGAATACTAGCGGCTTTTTGAATCCGAATAGTATTCCCGTAGAAAGGAAGAATAGGTAACCTTGTATACCAGTTAGCGAGCACATTCCTCTTCATCTCTGAGAAAGAAGAAATACCATCTTTACTACCCCTATGCGCTTTGACGTGATACGCCTTTTCGCCCTTACGGTGCGCTTCCGGTGTAGCGCTCACAAACTCCCGATCATCAGGGCGGATGACTTTCGTATGTCCAACAGTATCGTTCAACCAACGTCTCAAAAGCACTTCTCCGTTCTCATCGCTTTCTACACGTTGTCCGGCACCCGTAAAAGCGGCTTTCGCAGGACCATCGGCGATCGTGAATACCATCTGATCTGGAACCGAAGCGTTCTCAAGTACCGGCGTGACGCCATCTCCATATTTCGGGATAATGCAAAAATTCGTCTGACGTTGTGCTTTTTCCGGAACGGGGAGGCATAGTATATGCTCTATCGAGAGTGTGTAAGCACAAGCTTTGATTCATACTGTAGAGCATTTGGACACTCACGAATATTTTTCACCGGGATACCAAACTCAATCTCCTTGGAAGTTTGATTCCTCGCACGAAGATAGCCGCCTGCAGCTGTCATCTCCAGCGTCAATTTCTTCCTCTGAGGGACTGCAAAGGATACATCCTGTACGTAGAATTGTAGCGGACTATCGGCCTTGAGATCATGGAGGATACCAGTAGATGAAATCGCACCGCCAGCACCGGTATTTCCTTCCAACTTGCGTTTCTTGACCGCCGGTTCGTCTGAGATGGATTGACTACGCTGCTGCTGCGATTGCGATTGCAGCAATCTGTATGTGTATTGTGCGATATCTTGGAATAGCGCTCCGTGTTGAGGTGAGGCACCTGACGAAAAGAAAGAGATTAGTTGCTGCTTGATGCGAAGAATAAGGGTTATGCACTCACTAATCGCATCGTAAACACGTTTCCTCAACGACGAATCCGTCGCAAAAGCATTATCGATAATTGCATAGTTCACGTGTGTCGGAGGAAGTTGTTGATTTACCGTTGATTCTATAACCGGTAACGTTGAAGCATTTCTTGACGAGTTAATTGCCGCAAAAGCCATGATGAATCTTTTGCAAATGTGATTGTCATGGAATCGTATGTTACTATTTGGAGGAGTGAGAAAGTTAGGTGCTCGGGTGTTTGATATGATTTATTTACTCTAACTCTGGGGTTAATTGACAGCTAAGGTTCTATCCTTGGCGGCAAGCATACAACGACTACACAGCACAAAGGAGTCCAATCGAGAGATCAAAGCGGTATAAATACATGCTATTCCTTTAGAATATGTAAATAATAAAACAAGTACTCATTTTCTAAAATACATGGGATTGAAAGAAAAAACTATTTCAGTGCCCGTTCCGGCTGTCCCTTCCCAGCACCATTCTTACTGATGAACTGGGCAATAAAGTCTGAAGTAGCCTTGTCCATGATGTAATTTCCATTCTCATCCTTCTTTGACTGTCTGGTCGCAGCTTTCTGTTCCGCAAGCTTGGCCTTATATTCTCCGACGGGGGTCAACAACGTCCTCGACTTGAGGAACTCGGCACGGAGATCCTCTAGTTTGCGAGCTTCGACCCAGGCAGGATCATGTCGTGTTCGGTACTTGGAGTATTTGTTCCTTAATTCATCCATGACAGAGCTCTGGAATGGCGCCGTGTTGAGCGATGGTGTCCATGTCTCGTATTCCACTTCCTTGCGAGAAGTGTCTCCGTCTTCGTCGGTCGTCTGGTCGATCTTGTTCTCCTCCGGCCAAGGGATGCGTATATTCTCTCCACTGATATATCTAGTATGTCGAGGCGTGCTAGCGTTTGAACGAGTGAGGAACGGACCGGAACCGTGGACATGTTTAGCGACCACTTCGTATTGCCGACCATTGTCCTCAAGGGTACAAACTAAACGGACGTCATCGACTGAGATTGGTAGAGAATCCGTCGTAATCGGTGCACTGTTCTCGTCTTTCAAGTATGAGGGGACCCGGTAATCTGCCTACGTAGAACCGGGGGATTAGTTTTTGTGCTATTGCAAATTTGAGCATCAGACAACTTCAGCGTACCTGATTAAGATCACGACAGCGGAGACTCTCATTTTCAGAGTCAACCGTGGAAACCTCACATATCTTGCCCTGATCAGGACCTTTCAGAAGAACGACCCGATCGCCCGGGGCAATATTGATAAACGGTCTACGTAAATGTTTCGGAATTCGAGGTAAAAAAGTTCCTTGTGCATCGACAGCACCATAGGTGCTAGCCTCCAGACCTGAGTCTCTGCGCGGAGCAAGAGGACCCTTGTACCAATCTTCATGTCGTGTTTTTGCGGCTTGTTTTTGTGCATCAAGTTGTGCTTGTTGATATTGTTCACGTTCTCGAAGGTATCTCACGACATCGATACGTTCTTGTTTCTCCTTGATGATTCGCGCCTTGCGAGCCGCTTGATTGCGCGCAAGGGTTGTGCGTTGAATTACCTTTTGCATTGTGCCGGTAATTCTGAAGTGGTCAACAGGGCATCATGCAATTGGTGTTGTCCTTGGTGCTGGTGCTGTTGAGTTCAATCATGGAGAGCACCGGCAGAAATTTGGCTATTAGTCACGTGATGCCGCTTCAAAAATCTACTCCGTCTAGGGGCACTTTTACCGTCAAGTCTACTCAATTGATGACTACGCAGAGAACGAAGTAAGAATATCTTAATAATGCCCGATTCAACTCAGAGACTGGACAATCCAACAATTCCATTCCTGCTCGACTGCTTCATAGTCAACTGAGAACCGCTTGATTGGCCAGCCATATTCAATTCTCTGATTGGCTCGGGTTATCGTGATAAGAACCGTGCTCACCTGCACCGCCACACTTGCTGGAGCGTAAACAACTCCTTCTTTCGTCAACCAGAGAGATGTTGTCCAGTGTTGACGGTCTATTCTGGAGATGTACTCTGTAGACTTCACAGTTATGATAACGTCGAAGTCGAGGCTACGTCTGATCCCGGTGACACGTACGCACTACGTAGTCGTCCTACAGGGACTACGACCCACTACAGTAGGTCTCTCTGCGCCATGTTTGGCCAGGAGATTTAGTCGGTCTTGAATAGGTAATAGGAAGACTGTATATTCCCTTACCACAGTTGTGGTTTGTTTTGTATGTACGTATCAATAATCGGTAATCTACCAGGGATACAATACTGCAGTCAGTGCATATTCTTGGTGCTTGGGTTGAGCCATGAAAAGGAAAGAATTCGGACAACTATTATTGCAATCGTATTTTTAGAACCCCTTTCTCATCAAAAAGTTGGAGAGAGAAGAAAAAGAAAATAGAAATAGCATTTGCTCAGCCACAACCCAGGGGTTACGTCTTGTAAACGATGGTGGAAGAGTAAATACGGTACGAGTACACAGTCGTATCAATTTTGGCAAAGCCACACATACACAAATTTACATACCATAACAGAGATCAGCCACAGATGGTAAACAAAATACAGGTACCGACATTAGGGCTGAAGGCATCCTAACTGAGCTGCTCTTCTGATTGGCTCTTACATATCATTTCCTGGCTGGCCTGTATGAGACCTGTAACGTATCGTTGCCAATCCCTCATCAATAAGGAATAGGCCTGACCCCTAATACGCGTAATACAATACGTGACTGGATGCTTAGCCTCCCATACCAATCCAACTCTTACTTGCCTAGTCTGACTCCCCCAATCTCCATCCTCTCCTCTCGCAGTTGAAAACAGAGATCATCATCATCATCCACCTTCCATCCATCTAACAACACACTCTCAATCTACTATTTCTTCACCTATCTCCTGTGTGTGTCAGGCATCTAATTTTGACTTATTACTCGCCCTTTCTACAGCTGACTCTGATTTGTACGTGCCAACCCTTTTTCCCGTGGTCGCTAGTGATAAAGCTGTCGACAACAGCACATCCGTTATTCCCTCTATCTGTCACACGTCAACAACCGACACAGCTCAGCCTAGCAACCTGATCTTTGTCTACCTTTTCTTCTCCTTTTTTATTTTGAACACTTTCTGCTCGGCTGGATACTGATCGTTTGTATTCTGATAACTACAGAAACATGGCTGAGATCCGTCGCAAGCTCGTTATCGTTGGTGACGGTGCTTGTGGTAAGACTTGTCTCTTGATGTAAGTTCTGTCTCTGCCTCCATGGAGCCAGCCTCATCGGCCTCCCCAAATGGCAATACTAACATTAAACTTGATAGTGTCTTCTCCAAGGGAACTTTCCCAGAGGTTAGCAATCATCAACCCCCTCTCCTTCCGGTCATCGAGACCACGTGCCCGTCAGCCTCGTCGTGTTGCAACCGACGTACTCAAAGCTTGTTTACTCTGACACACTTTTGTATAGGTTTACGTTCCCACCGTCTTTGAGAACTACGTTGCCGATGTTGAAGTCGACGGAAGGCACGTTGAATTAGCTCTTTGGGATACTGCTGGTCAGGAGGATTACGATCGTCTCCGTCCCTTGTCCTACCCCGACTCCCACGTCATCTTGATCTGCTTCGCTGTTGACTCTCCCGATTCTCTGGATAACGTTCAGGAGAAGGTTTGTTTTTCTGACTAGAATAGTGTGTAAATGGATTATGCTGACTAGTGTCGATAGTGGATTTCCGAGGTCCTTCACTTCTGCCAAGGACTCCCCATCATCCTCGTTGGATGCAAGGTCGACCTTCGTAATGACCAGAAGACCATTGATGAGTTGAACAAGACCTCCCAGAGACCTGTCACCTCTGAACAGGTACGATAAATAAGATCCGTTCTAACTTACAACAACTAACATGATACACTTTAAAGGGCGAGGAAGTCCGAAAGAAGATTGGTGCTTACAAATATCTCGAGTGCTCTGCTCGTACCGGCCAGGGCGTCAAAGAGGTCTTCGAGACTGCCACTCGAGCAGCTCTCTTAACCAAGTCTCACAAGCCCAAGAAGCCTTGCAGTATTATGTAATCTAGCTACATTTTTCTTTCAAATGTTCAAGGTTTCCAGCGACGACGAACAAGACTGCTCAACGGGACTTTCTTCTTTCCTACTCGACACACAATATCCCCTCACTCCCAAATCGGAAATTTCGGTTTTTCTTTTTCCTTGAGGTTCCTTGCTTCCGATGATGGTCTAATGTGATTTTTCCGTCTGCATGTACTACCCTGAGATTTCTGTGGATAGGTTCTTGAATTGAATTCCAAGCGGGCACGATCCTCATGGGAATTCACATAGATTCAAGCTTTTGGTTCTGGTCATTCAAACAAGAAAGAAAGCCCACTGCTGCTTTCTTATTTCTTGGCTTTGATCTCCCTATGCCGAAAGGTGGTTTTCCTTCAAACCTTTTTTTTCCCTCTCTTTGTCTTGTCTTGTTCCGTCTCGTTTCGTCTTTTTAATTATGCTTTAGTGTTGTCTTTATTTGTCGTTGTCCCTTATATTCTTTCTCTTGATATTGATTTGCAGAATCTAAGGATGGCGTTTTCTTTTTTTCACTTTCCTTTCTCTTTTTCCTCTCTATATTCTTTAACTCAATTAGAATACTGTCTAAACGAAACCGAATCCAGTAAGAAAAAAAGAAAAAAGTATGAACCATTGTTTTCTCTAATTTCATGGTTTTAAGAGCATTGTTTTTCGAGATTGCCGAAAATCTACAGCTTGGTCGTTTACTGGATAATACCGAGAGTAGTATCATGCCCATATTCATATCGTATACTGACTATATGTAGCGTAAATAGAAATAGATCTATATCTCTCATGATCTCGAAACGAGTCTATCGATTCAAACTCAATAAACTCTCAATATATCGATGAGCATCAAACCCCAGTCCCTCCGTAAGTTTTCCCGAGCCCAATGAGACATCATTCCCACCACCTCCAGTCGCTGCAGCACCAGAAGATGATGCACCGCTCAGATCACGAAGAAATCTGATCCCACTGCTACTCTCGTGGGAATGTCGGGCACCGCTCCCACCAGAAGATGAAGATAGAGCGTCGGACGCTTTCCTGATCAAGAAAGCTTCCTTTGACGGATTGAGATGTTGCTGAATCCTATCTGCGGCTGTGGCTTGACCTTGCTGCTGCTGCTGCTGAGGTGGTGGTAGTTGTTTGGAGGCTGATGGTTCGTCACGAATCCGAACCCAGATTAGCCACCAGCCTCGACTTGTTTTGCAGGTTCGTTCCATTTCTAGCGGACGGCTTCGAGTTTCGATGTATGTGCTGAGGAATTGGCTATGGACATTCAGAGCTTCAAGGCGGGACCATTGCGGTTGTCGGTCAGATGATCCCAGTAACGAAGACGGAGAAGAAGAAGTATGGTTCACGCCTGGTTCGGGGATATTAGGGATAGATGATCGAACAGTCAGATTGCTGGGGTCGTAGACAAGATCGTGAATCGGGCTACTGATTGCGGAAGATGCGCGTTTCTTTTCGCCGGCGTCGCAGTCTGCGAAGTAGATTCTGCGGGCGACGTTGAGCGGGGATGTGGATGATAGGAGAGGTCGTTGTAAGGGGCCGAGTTGGTGGTGGATGCTGCGGTAGAAGGAGGGGAGGGTGAGAGATGGTGTTCGTAGATCGAATAGGAATGTGAACATGAATGGTTGGCGCTGTACTGTCAGAACTGGACTCTTATTTATATTGAAGTACTTACTACGTAGACCAGGACTTGAAGTTTTTTATGGACTTCCTCCTTAAATGTATCTGTTGACATCCTGTTAGTTTAGTCTCGTCGTAGGTGAAACAACATACCTTGACCGTTGTTATACGACGCCGACTCGACTGCCTCTACCTGTACAGTTCTTAATAGCGTACGCCTGTTGTTATCTTCCTGGTTCTGTGGAAGAAAGAAGACACTCTCATCGGGATTGTCATCGTCAGAGACTTCTTCCTCGAGGTCGTCTCTGAGACCGATGATGAACTTTCCTTGAGAAGCATCTCCGTCATTTTTCCTGGTAACATGTAAGTCTCCAAGTTATATGAAAACGGTATCCTGACATCACTTACTTTGGTTTGTTATCTTGAGAGCCGCCATTTTCGGTGCCGCCCTTTGCTGACCCTGTGGCCTCACTTGAAGCATTGGGTGAGATACCAGGAATTTTCCATACTGAACCATATCCCAGTGTGAGGTATTTCATGACCATTTCAGCACTGATTCCGCTATCTTCTGGCGTCTGATCGCCACTAGTTGTGTTCTGGACAGGCGGAGGAGTGCCGACAACCAACGGCAGCGGAATGCCTGGCGATTTCCTACCACTTTGTGACTCTGTTTTCGAGTTCGTTTTCTTTGGCCCAGTCGGTTGAGTTGGTGTAAGGGTAGTCGTTGCCTTTGGTTTAGGTCTTCTTCGCCTTCGTGACCGGCCAGAACTAGGGTTCTCATCAACCCCATATGCAGCTTCGCCGTATCTATAAATCCATTCCATCCAGTGGGATATACGCACCAAAGAACGTCTCGAGATAGCACCAACTCCCGAGAATATAACACCATCTGACGGGCGCGGAGTCTGATCCGATCCTAGCCAGACACGTAGTTCAGCCTGTTCTTTACCAGAAGTCCCCTTTACCGGTGATGTTGGCGGTTGAGTCGGTGCATCTCCGAAGCGAGAGACGACAAGATCAACGAGACCATTTGTTCGCGAGACAAAATCTTCAAGAACTTCTCTTTCCCCACTACCCCATTCCTCTTCACCTACACCAATACCGAGCTCTCCGCCTACAGCTAATTTGACGCCATTGAACAGGTCTACGGCTGGGTTGCCGTTGAGAAGTACGAGCCAGTGACGGACAAATCTGTTCCAGAAACGACCGAGCAATTTGCAGAAGGGTTCTCTTCCAACTCGTCCATAGAGGCTTTCTAGGGAATCGCTATGATGTAACAGGAATATCGAATGCGCTCGTCGAAGTTGTTGGATTAAGGACTGAGGTGGATATATTTCTCGTGAAGAGTACTCGATTGATGTAGAGGTTTCTGAAGATGCATTGGCGGCACTGGGGGATGATATTCGAGTGAAATCTATTGACTGTATCCAATCAGTGAGCTTTGAACATCATACAGTCCCAAAATCACTCACAGCTAATATCCACCAGTCGCTTTCGAGTTCATCCAGAACAATCCGTGACTTCTCAGTCTCAACGCTATCAACAGGACGACCATTGGAGAAATTTCTGCACCCATATAACAACCATTAGCCAGTTCACTTTTGCCTTCCGAGGCATCATTCCTAGGCACACAAGCCTACTTTGCAAAATTTACCATGCCCTGCGCCAGGCCAATTTTGCGCAATCTCTCGTTTGTCTCGTCCTTGTTATTGTGTTGCTCTGAGGAAGAGTCATTTGACGAAGCATTTCCGCCGTTCGATGATCGACTAGCTGCAGAATAGTAAAACACAATTTGGTCCTGGAGCGTTTCGTCTGTTGTTCCCAAGGAGGGGTTGTAGATGGTGAGGAACCCGAGTTGCGCGGGAATCACAGAGAGAGTTTCGTTGTCGTTCATATCATATTCGGGTGCGCACACGACCGCCGTCGACTATATTAACCATAAATCGGTTATATTTTCAGTCGAAGAGGTGGTTGTCGGTGTTGTCGTTGCGCAACGTCATTTTTGGGATTGAATGCGGAGAGCTCAAGACTTTCGGCAGTTCCGCAGTTTAGCTTCCGCGCGTCGAGATCAGCTCGCGTGTCCCTGAGGGCTTCTTGTCGTGGTCACAAGCTTTTTATATCAGACTAGAAATGTCGTCTTACAGATATTCTGCTATATATATTCTGCGCAATCAATTACAATGCAGCCGCACGATCGGACGTCGATGGTACTCGGACAAGTCGATTGATCCCCTTCGCATACTGTTCTGTGGCTCCGACGAATTCAGTGTTGCTTCTTTAGAAGCTCTCCGCGCCGAACAGTTACGATCTCCGCAGTTGATAAAGTCGATTGACGTTGTATGTCGACCGGGGAAGAGGGTTGGTCGGGGCTTGAAACAGATTCGCGAAGGTAGCAATCGCTTTGAGGAGTATTACAGGACAGAATGCTGACTGGTGATAGTTCCGATCAAAACGACTGCATCGAAGCTTGACCTGAGAATACACGAACTAGATACCTTCAAAGGATGGACTGTAAGTTGGGAATTCATCCTAACGGAATTAGACTTACTAATATGAACAGCCTGATGGGCCAATTGACCTGATTATCGCTGTGTCTTTCGGCCTGTTCGTTCCCTCTCGATTACTTACAGCCGCAAAGTACGGAGGCGTCAATGTCCATCCTTCATTACTCCCAGAGTAAGTCTCCCGTTGAATATATCTGGCTGCTCTTTTTAACATTTTCAAATATTTCAGCCTTCGAGGTCCAGCACCTATACATCATACCCTCCTCTCCGGACGAAGGACAACGGGAATAACACTTCAAACCCTCCACCACAAACATTTTGATCACGGAATTATACTAGACCAAACCCCTGCACCAGGCATCCCCGTCCCCAATCTAGAGTATTGCACGGTACCTGAACTATTGGGATTTCTCGCACCGAAGGGCGCAGAAATGCTGATCAACGGAATCCGCAATCGTGTATTCGTGCCTCCATTGAAGGAAGTCAACTCTCAGGTCAATAAACTCAATTCCAAAAGTCCTATACACGCCGCAAAGGTAACACCGGAAGATCGCCATATAAAATGGAAAGAATGGACTTGGACTGATATCAACCGTCGGCAACGAGTCTTGAGTTCCCTGTGGAACAAAGCACTCATTCCAGCCCAAAAACCGTCTGCAGATGATCCAAAGAACTTCCAGTGGAAGAGAGTCATCTTCGACGAAATTGAGGGAATTTCGCAGGATAGTGTTCCCAAAAGTCAATGGCTTTCATTGCTGCCAGGGGTACCATTTATCCCCAAACCAACTGAAAGCAACTCCCGCGACAGCGCATTATACGTCTATACTGCAGATGGCAAACTATTACGTCTAAACAAATTAAAGGTCGAAGGGGGGAAGTTCAATAATGCGCTTATTGCTGCTCAAAAGGCTCATATGTTCTCCCCGAAGAGTTTTCGTGCTACGGATGCTGAGTTTAGCTTGTTTTATAATCCTTTGTGTTGAAAGTTGAGATACCCTTGCATTATATCTATATGCACACTTGTTATGAGTTGTTTATAGATATATGCAGAGCATTGTAACCTAGTGTATATGTTTGAATGTACACATTTTATATTGGCCGGTCGTTGGTTGCTCAGATGATAGCAAAACCCCCGTCTATCACATTTCAACCGTCAGTTTGCCTTTCTTCGAACAGGTGGACAAAATGAGACTCACCAACAGCCAAAGATTGGCCGGTTATGGAAGCATTCTTTGCGAGGCTGATGTATAGATCTGCTGTATCATCCAATTCGGCCTGTTGTCCTCGGGTTAGTGAACACAATCTTTCCGTGTTCACAACAAAAACCAGGATACTAACCACTCGTTTTAGAGCTGTTTGATTGATATGATTTTCCACATATTCTTCCGAGAATTGGCTGCCCTGTTATTGATACCGTGTCAGTCGATCGATATGCCTCGCAACACTTCCACACTTCCTCGGTGTCTAAATCCTTACCCATTCAGTAAGCAACAACCCAGGACAGACTGCATTAACGCGAACTTTGTGTCCTTGTGATTTAGCGAGACATTTCGTCAGGTGCAGGGCTGCAATAGTGGTGTTAGTTGAGGCATCTCTTCTAATAACCTTCAGAGAAACGTGAGAGCATTACATGCTGCTTTTGTGACTGAATATGCCATGCTACTTCCACTAGGCATCAATCCCTGCGTAGACAGTCAGCGCTATGAGTCAGTAATAGGAGCATTGAGTGTCTCTTACTGCTATAGAAGCCGTGATTATGAACACGCCTCCATCGGGGTTGGCATTGAATGTGGGCAAAGCTTCTCGAAATACGTGCATGTGGCCCTTGACATTGACCGACCAGCACTATTCATGGGGCTGTGTCAAAAACGTTTGCTTTATTTGGTAGTATAACACACCTTATCCCATTCACTCTCATCCAATGCATCGAGGTCGGCGAATTTGGCGAATTTAGTCCAGCCCTAAAACCGCCCAAATCAAGTCAACAATGGGCGGCAATGGGAGAGGGAGAGACTCACAGCATTCGAAATCACAACATCGAGACCACCCAATACTTCAATAGCCGTCTTAACGACCCTAACGCAGTCTTCTTTTACACCCAAATCCTAGTACGCCGTCAGCCATTCCTATCACGCCAAACGAGAAATCTATCGGACGTACTCCCTGAATAACAGTAGTCTTAACCGCATATTGCGAAGTAATCTTCGACTCCGTCTCCTTTGCTCGTGCCTCATTTGAGACATAATTGATCGCTACATTTGCGCCTTCTGATGCAAATTTCTCCGCAATCAGAGCCCCCAGACCGCTGTTGATTGCAAGATTGTGAGTTAGAGTTTCTGTCGGAAATATCGCTTTATATATATGAGGGGAAGCTCGGGGAAGGTAACCTGGAAAACTTACCGGGAGCCTGCTGTGACAAGCACGTTTCTGTTTTTGAGTGAGTAGCCCATCTTAATTGCTGTTATAGAGGTATATTGTGAGCAGAGGTGACTTTTGGGTTTATTTTCAACGACTCTTGGTGAAGGAGACTCAATTTAAGGTCTGCTATGTTCATGTGGCAGGCGTCGGACCGTCCGCCGATTCCATTAGGGCTATGCGACGAGACTGTCGATTCTAGTGACATGATTTGTAATACATTGAGGATCTTGGTACGTTTTAAGCTTACTAAATTTATATTCACTTAATTGGCAATTTGAATTCTACTTCTGATATTGGATTAGGGTGTCTAACAAGCACGCAGGGTTCCGGCCATCATAGCAGATGTCGACATGGGCGAATATATACTGGAGTACGTGTCCAAATCTAGGCTCTAAAAGAGTGCTTGAATATGTCCAGTTCTCATACTCCGCATGAGTTTGCAAGCAGTCCGGAGTAGGTTCAGGGTATAAATCTCCGTTTAAATCTCCGTTTAAATCCCCGTGTCCCCCGCCATACGAATAAATTCCCGTACAGCCTTAGCAAAGTTACATGCGACTCTTCTTATAAGTATATCCGTCGTGAAATTCCGTTCTTCATTATTATGTCTATTCAATAATTGTCCCAACAAACTCAGCCTTTCTCATCCCTTGCCATGCCTGTTTCCCTTCAAGATTCGGCCATTGCACCAAGAAACGATCTACAAAAGGGAGTAAAATCTTTCCTGACAAACTAAGCGTCGTGACTCGAGCCCAGGACTCAATGAAGATAGTGCGAAGTGCATATGTAGTCGCGAGTTGTCTTCGATGTCGTCGCTTGGGTTTGAGTAGCAGTAATGTACGAAGCGCAGTCCAAACCTCAGCAGTTTGCGCCTAGACTACGCAGACTGCTGTGCGGGACGTGGTAGTATAATCTGATATATGATGTGCAGCTGCGATCGCTGCGTCGTGATCTGGTGTACGCGAGACTGCAGACAGCCCAAAACATGATCGTAGAAAACGGGCCGTGATGTAAGACTGATGAACTCGACGAGCCCGAGGCACTGTAATAATCTCGTATCCATGATTGTTGTTATTACCATCCGAACTTCTGTGAAGAGTGGCTTCGAATTCCGCTGCTTTCGAGGCACTAACCCGTCGCCGGATGTGACTATATACGTCCGAAAAGTGTAGATATTGGATCTAGCGGCATTCGACGTAGCATTGATAGCATTTCTGCTGTATGGCCGCCGCTGCCGAGTACGATCAGGACATGGGTTGGAGTGCCTTTGCGGCGAGTTTTGGGGACGGGAGAATGTTGCGAAGTTGAGAGTAGTATATGGAGGCACTGGAGTGTTTTTTTCATAAGGGTTAGTAATAAATTGGGGAATCCTGGGGATTCTGATCCTTACAACTAGCAGACCCAAGGCAATAATGAACAGAGAGAGGACCGCGAGAGCGGCGAAAGTCAATGCTGGCATTGCGGTATAGTGTTTGGTGTTGAGCGTGGGTATCGTGGTGATGGTTGATGCAGCCGAGTAGTCGCGGCTGCGACAAGCCGTTCAGTGCATTATGATTTCGATTGCATCAAGCAGATCTCGGGCTGAACGTTGAAAACTTGCAAGCTTTACACACAAGTTGGAGCTCCGCTGCACATACCCCAAAATACGCTATGCCTGATTTGGATAGGTAAGATAAACAAGTCTCAGTCTTTTCAGGGGTATGAACGACGTTGACGATGCTACAGTTTACAGAAATTTGGCAACCCAGGGTATCTTTTGGAAAGCTCTGGGACACTTTGTAGATCCATCAATCCGGCTCGTGATTCTTATCTCATAAAAGACTAACATAAGCTGAGTACATCACTATAACACTATCTATACCACGCGGCATAAGAATATTCCACCTTGGAAGTCGTGGCCATCAGAACAACCACGAAATATAGCGTCTATAAAACTTAGTTGCCATGCTCTTTTCCCGCAACTCATCTTGCCTCTGAGCCTCTGCCCATTCCTTCTCGTGTAACTCCACCTCTGCCAATCCAGAATACAGATCTGCCTCCGAGGCCGGAACACTCTTCGTCTTGTGCACGACTTTATAGTATACAAAGGCGAACAAAAAGACCGGAAAAGCGATATATCCAACGATGAAATTCTTGTAATCAAAGTTTCCAGTCGACTTAGTATGAATAAAGACTTTGAAGTTCTTCGTAAGCGCAACCAGCACACAGAATGCAAGTGCAAACCACGATCCCCAAGTGCCCAGAGGTGCTTTATAATGAAGACTTTGAGCAGGAATGTCTTGTGTTTTGCATGCTTGGACGAATTTGATATGACTAAGAATAATGCAGCACCAGACAATCAGTCCAAAGACGGTGAGGCAGTTGACGAAGTAGCCAAAGACTTCTTTGGAGTCGCTGGAGACGTTCATGAAGGCAAGTAATGCTAAAACGGCAAAGGCGGCCAGTGCGGGAACAGGCACGCCGCGTCTGTCGGTCTTTGCGAGAAAGCGAGGAGCTTTACCTTCATGTGCTAGACCGTAGAGTGTTCGGCTGGAGATGTAGAGGTCGGAGACACTGGCGGAGAACACGAAGATCAAGATGCAAGCGTTCAAGATTCCGGGTAAGACTTTGATACCCGCCAACACTATGGCAACAACAAACGGCGATGCAGCAGCCGAGGTGGACTGCTTAGTGGCGAATGCGAGTTCCTTTGAGTTGTATGGAACCAACATACCAACGAAGAAGACACTGAGGACGTAAAGGAATATAATGCGATAAAAGATCAGTCGAGCAGCACGCGGAATTGACTCTCGTGGATTTTGTGCCTCTCCGACAGTGACACCGATGAATTCAGTGGACAAATACGCAAAAGCAGCTGTACCCATAGTATTCCAGACTCCCAAAAACCGGCCCAGTGCACCATCCGCGTCAAACTCCTTGAATGCGCCCGGTTTGTGCCAGTATCGGAACCCCTTCGCATCATGATCCGGTCCTCCTCCACAAGCAAGAATCAAAGAGAGCAATATAACCCCAACAAGAGTCAGTACTTTTGCACTTGAGAGCCAGAATTCGAATTCGCCGAAGAATCTGATGCCAAAGTAGTTGATTAGAATGATTACGACGTAGAATATAGCGATAAAAACACCGGGGTTGAGCTTGTCGGCTGGGACCCAGTATTGGAGGACCAGAGCAATGGCTGTGAGCTGATTCGGGGTCGATATCGAGTACTTGAGCCAGTAACTATGGTTCCATTTTTGATTAGGTATGAAGTGAAGCTGCCACAAGGGCGTGCGGGATGACTTACGACCAGCCTAGAGCAAACCCCAACGCAGGATCCACGAACCGAGAAGCGTATCCGGTAAAGCCTTCGGGAATTGGCAGGTAAGTGCCCATCTCGCACAACCCCGTCAACATGATCCAGACAACAAATCCAACCACGCTGTAGCAGATCAAGATGGGAGCTGGTCCCGCACTAGCGAGAGCAGATCCGGTACCGATAATCAAGCCGGAGCCGAGAGCACCACCAAGAGCTGTTTATTATATTCCATCAGGTCATGGTCTTCGTTTTTAGAAGCAGTAAAACATACCAATCATAGCAGTGTGACGCGACTTGAGACCTCTATGCAGAGAGGTCTTTTCATCTATCACGACTTCACCCCCATTTTTAGAGACGTTCGCTTCAAGGTATGGGGTCTCCCTGTAGCTGTCTGCAGGGACCGTCACTGCATCAGCAGGAGGCATTTTGTTGTCGCCCATGTTTAGTTGCTTCAATGCCTTGGACTCGAGTAAACAATTGACGAGACATATGATGGGCAAAGCCACCGCATTTGTGCTCTGCAATTCACATTATCGCCAAGAAGATACGGAAGAGTCGTCTGGAGTTCTCTTCATTTGTTGCCTTTGTTGTAGCCGTCAGACAGAAGTTCCGATGGGATGCGGCTGATCGCTGCGGCTTGATAAGGAGAACACCAGCTTGCCATTGGCCGATGCTCTATCCGCAAGACTCTGTAGGGTTACTTCCACGAACTTGGCAGACCCTATAAACAACTGTGATATACATCTAATCGTTCTTGGGTTGCATGCATTTGGCGGGAAACTCGCACTTTGTCTCTATCAACAGCACGGAAGTATACAACCGTACATTAGGTACATGGATCTTCATTCAGCGCTCGATCTGAAAGGCAGAGAGCTACATGATACCTTGCAAGCAACTGGGCGTACAGCCATATCTCATGTTGAGTTTCCAACGTCAGTTGTTGAAGGCGCGGAGTTAGTTCTATAGGGCTTGAGAATCGACCTACGAATAGATCGGTGCCAATCGAAAGGCTAGATACATACATCCATGGATATTCGATCCCCTCAGCGAGGGTATCGCCTTCAAAGGTACTTGACTCGTTCAGCCACATTTGAAAGACAAGGAAGCCATGGTTCAGTTATCATGGATGCACACGGCATTCGAAAACGTGGGCATGAATGCTGATCACTTGAAGCCATAGTTGAGAATGATTACGCTCAGTGGCATATGCCTATTCTTCTCTTGCCTGATCATGGGAAAGATCTATTATAACGAGGAAAAATCACTGCCAGGTATCCATGCGTAGAGGACATCAACCAAGTACCTCGACTGTTTCACGCACGTTGCTTCATTTCGGCTATCAGACGCTGGATGTTCTAACAGGTAGAATTGTTGGGCAAACACCGAAGAAGGTAATTCATCATTCGCAGATATGGCCTTATGCCAGTTGGTAACTGAAGACAGGTCGTGCTGAGTCAGTGTCTTTGGAGTCCGAGACTTTCTACAGTCTTGACGAACGTTAGACCTGGTTCGGTGATGGAGCAATGCAAGCAGTTGCACAGTAGAATGAGTTGAACGTCTGGCAGGTGATATTGTTAGCAGTGTGTATCATTAATGATGGTTCCTGGCCTAAATAGACAGAATTGGAACAAGGTCGAAGTTGGGGTTTGCAGCAGGCCTGTTTGGTGTAAATAGGAAATACATCAAGACAATAATACTATAAGTGTCTGCACATTAGAGAGTGACAATAGCGAGTTGAGAAAGTTTAAGGTAGATAGAGGGTGGTCCGTGCGCTCGGCGTTTACCTGATTCATTTTGCGCATCTCCGATGTCAACACAGACTCTCTCCTTCATCTTTTCTCCCACTTCTGCTTCAAAATATAAAATGAAATGGCGCCCTTGTTCCAAAGGCGGTTGCGCTGCTTCTATTGCGGTCAGCGGTCTGCATCCAAGAAAACAATAGGCTTGCGAGAATGGCGTTGTGAGCATTGCGAAGCCGGAAACTATCTCGATGAGGTATGCACTGTCACTTTTTTTTGGTATTGCAGAGATATTGTGAAGACTAATGTGGCGGCATGCAGAATGGAGAAATTACAGATCCACCGATTACAGTGACGGACAATCCCGCTATCTTGAACAATACCTATCAGTCGCCGTTTGAGTCCGCAGGCTTCGATCAGACGGGCCTCTTTTGCAGGAAATGCATTCGAAATCAACATATGCTGGTGTCGGCGCTTGCCGCTTATCTTCCGGACACTGATGATCCTTTATACTTTGCGTACGAACAACAACTACCTTATTATCGCCAAAAGATGGAGGACAACTATCCCCAAGTATGTGAGAAATGTGAACAGAAAGTGAACGAGCGTATTCGGCAAACGGGCTACGAGGCTAAAGCTGATCATTTGAGGAGGACAATGGAACGCAGCAAGATGAGTCGCGCGGCGCAAAAGGCTCGAAGAAGGAATTGGAGGAGTATGCTTACTATGGCAGGTGCTTTGGGTTATTGGACGAGCGTTGCTGGTCAGCTGCTGTCGGACTTGATTGGAACATGTGCCCTGTGGGATAGTATTGCTGGAGGGCGCTGGCCTGTGGTAATGACATTCTTGTCATTTGTGCAGGAATTGGTGTCGTATATTGGCTATTCCTCTCAGGACCTTGCTGGAATCGCATTGGTAATGGGTGCGCTTTCGATATGGTGGAATCCCAAGATTCATCACAAAGTTGAGGGACTAAATGGCCGGATTTTGAGATTGAATCAATACTACGAGTGCCAATTGATTGTTATGGTGGCCAGGTTCGCGGTGTGGGCGTGGTTGAAGGACTCAAGCAATATGGAGCCCTCTCTTCCTTCAGCCGTGCACGCATTCATGATATTATTTATGAGCGTGGTGAGTGCCGATCCAAGCATTACACGTCTATTTACTGACACCGCAACAGGCAACGATATTCTCTCAGCGACTCGTCCATTATGATACGCGACCTCTTGTTTTATGGTCCAATATTACTCCTGTGGTTTCTCCCCAACGGCAGAAAATCGTACCGCAGACAGTACGGACGACCAAGCCGCAGAATAACTTTTTTCAACAAGATATGTTTCAAAGCTTCCCTTTAGAGAAGCTAGGCAACCCCCGAGATAGTCCTACATCAAACGCGGCGCGCTTGGCCACACCTCCCCTGGAGCCAGAAGACTCGATGGATTGGACACCTTCTGTAGCGCAAGAAATCCGCCCTAGGTTCGTTACCTCGAAGCCAGAGGTCGCTCCAGAACCGATACCACACAAGTCAATATTTCAAGGTGCTCTCCCTGCAGCACCACGACCTCCTGCTTGGCAGCTGCGGAACCCTATAATAACTCAGAAGCCACCAGTAGTGCCGGTGACAAATGTATTTCAAACTCGGCCAACCTCTCAACATATTATTGGAAACGAACACAATGATACTTCTCGCACACCTGATGCCTTCTTTGCACCTCCTAAGTTCTTTGCGCCATCGGATTATCATGCTACAACTGGTTTGGAAAGCCTGTTCGATCAAACATTCACAATCAGGTCTCCCGAGGACGAGATGGATGAAGCTACCACATCGCCGTCAAAGGTCAAGGAAGTACGCAAAGAACATCCTCCGCCAACCCTGTTATATTCCTCGATTCGACTATTTCTTCTTTCTCTTAGCATACTTGCGTGGTCTATTGATTGGTTTAGGCTAGTTCCTATTCCTCACGACGCTGTTTTGATGGGAGGCTTGATCCTGAACATTCTATTTACAGGGTTCGGTCTACTGGCATCATTAAATCAACCATTCATAGCCATTCCAAGAGTCGTCTACTCACTGTTCAAATTTGTGATGAACGTTGTTCTCGCTCTCTGCCTCAGCTACAATTTTTCCATTACTTTCTACCAAGGGGGAAACCTGGAGTTATGTGTGACGTCTTTGACGGCTTTGTTGGCTGTGGAAGAAGCTTTGGCATTATTTTCAACCATGCCGAAGAGTCGGATTCGGAAACAGACGCAGACGGCTAGAAAAGAAGCAGACACTAAGAATCGTCCTCCACCAACACCACATCACACAGCTGAGGATCAGTTCAATCTCGATAACCAATACTCTTCACCGCCTCAAATCTCGCCCACATTATCGTACATATCCCATCACCCCGCGAGTGTCTATTCACAGACTTCCTCTTTCTCCCAATCCCAACCATCTTCACTTGGTTACGGGCTTTACCAAAGGGACATGCGCCGCAATCACCTCTACGACGATGGCTCCGACGCCTCAGAAATCTCAGGTGGAGACTCCGACGCTGAAACAACAATCAGCTCTTACACCAATAAATCAATTCGAAACATGAATCCATTCGAATCCGACGACAGAAGCTATCGCACTCCACGAGCGCCAGGCCTCGGCTCTGGACTGCAAGGTTTGAGTCTAGATGACAGTCCAGTTTCGAAACGGGTCACTAGAAGTCAAACCACGCGGAGGACAGGCATGGAATTTGAGCGAAGCCGTCCGTCTAGGAGACTGAGGTGATCCTCATGCAAGAATTGCAGGTTTTATGAAGTATTGATGATTACATGAAAATGAGGCGTACATGGGTTGATTTCTTGGACAACATATATGGCTTATACTGTTTATTATTTAGCATTTGTTGCTGTTGCATACTGGCCTGGTCTTTGTATATAGCAGGCCTTACCTAGATAGTGAATGATAACAACCTTATACACTATTCTTCGTGAGCATTCCGTTTGACTGTTGTTTATAAGGTAATATGGCTTGCTAAGGGTTAGTACTTAATATACCAACTTTTATGACAGTACTCAAGAACTGAGGAATTGAATCGAAACATTGATTAACGAGATCTATATAACACTCTAATTAACTATTTCGACGTCTCCGGCTTTATAGGAAGACCTTTTGGCAACGGCGGCAACAGACTCCTCGACGCTTCTCGCGCCTTTTGTGCCAACAACGCATCCATAACCACAAGAGCAGCCATGGCTTCCACAATCGGCACAGCTCTTGGCACAACGCACGGATCATGACGACCTTTAGCCTCTAGAATACCCTCTTCAAGGGCATATGTTGTCGTAGTCTGGGCCTGACCGATTGTTGCGGGGGGCTTGAAAGCAGTGCGGAAGTAGATCGTGGCTCCGTTAGAGATTCCGCCTTGGATACCGCCCGAGTTATTTGAGCTTGTAGTCAGTCTTGACTTATTAGCAATTCCGGCGCCGGGTTTGTTCTCGGATACCTCGGGTGCGGCCACAAAGGGGTCATTGTGAATTGATCCGGGGACTTCGCAGCCGCCGAAACCAGAGCCGATCTCGAAACCCTTCGTAGCAGGTATGCTCATCATAGCGTGGCCGAGTTTGGCCTCTAGCTTGTCGAAAGCAGGTTCACCGAGGCCAATGGGGACATTCCTGATCACGCACATAACTGTCCCTCCGATACTGTCGTGGTTGTCGCGGAAAGTCTCAATGACCTTGGTCATGCGTTCGGACGCCTCTGTACTGGGGCATCGAACAGGTGCGAACTTATCTACCGTTTCACGGTCGATTGTCTCAATCAATTTCAAGAATTCAGGATTCGTGGAGTAAGACGGGTGCTCGGCTGAAGGAGGGAAAAGATGCTCGTTTCCGACTGAGGAGACGAATGAGACGATCTCGACGTTGTGAGCTAGCTTTAGATACTTTTCCGCAATCGCACCCGCGGCAACTCGTCCTGATATATAGTCAGTCTCTCCCCCTAGGTACAGAATAGTAGTGAGTCGTACCAATTGTCTCACGCGCACTGCTGCGACCTCCACCGCTGCTGGCTTTGACTCCATATTTCTCAAGGTAGGTATAATCCGCGTGACTTGGGCGAGGGTAGAGATCCATTGTACTTCCGCCGTAATCCTTGGGTCTCTGATCCTCATTGCGCACAATCATCGCAATCGGTGTGCCGAGGGTATAACCGCATTCAGTGCCGGATTGAATCTCTACTCTGTCCTTTTCGTTGCGGGGTGTGGTAAGCGCGCTCTGTCCGGGACGTCGTCGGGTCATTTGAGGTTGGATATCGTCCTCTGTTAGGGCCATGCCGGGAGGACATCCATCGACAATGCAGCCCACTGAGCGGCAGTGGGACTCGCCGTAGCTATTCTGGTTGTTAGTTGTAGTGCTGGTTGTCAGGTTCATGAAACTCACGTTGTCACCCGGAAATAGTCACCCCACGTCGACATATTGCAGATGAATCAATTGAGCGTATCTGAGCTTTGTGTCTCTTAGCAATCGCAATGTCAATCTCGGAGGATCAATAAGAAGTAGCGACGGCAAAGACAACGAACATGCCACTGAAAAAAAAAAAAAGGTTCACAACGAATCAACATATGATCAGCGAAGTCGGCCTGACTCATTTTTGGGGTCCGCGGGGGATACTGCGCTTTCCTTGAAGGAGACTAGCGCACCGATGACGCCTATAGCCAAATGTCCATCTTGGTCCGAAAAGTGACCTCTTCTATCAACAAATTCATATTTACAAGAAGCATCCATGCTGCTTCCAGTACGGCACTCATCATGCGTGCTATCCATCCAGTTCCGCGCACATAGTCGATTTGCGACAACCCGAACAATAACCACCCTCGCCTCCTCCGCGTTCGCCGAAATCATTTCCCGGAGCTCATCAAAACATCAGATTTACCAATCCATCTCATCGGACCCGTTTGTCAACCTCTCAATTGAGCAGTATTTGCTGCAGAAGACTCCGGAGGACTCCAATGTTTTGTTTCTATATGTCAATCGGCCTTGTGTCGTGGTCGGTCGCAATCAGAACCCTTGGCTTGAGACGAATTTGAAAGCTTTGCAAAAGCACGATACGGATATACCACGATCTGGAAGCTCGGTGCGTAATGTGCTCTATGTGCGACGACATTCCGGTGGAGGCTCAGTATTTCACGACGAAGGAAATCTGAATTACAGCGTAATCTGTCCCCGAGATGTCTTCACCCGTGACCGACACGCGGAGATGGTGGCACGCGCACTCCAGAAAATCGGCGCAGTCAATGCAATGGTTAACGAACGACACGATATCGTCTTGGCTCAACAACCTAAAGAATTTGCAAAACAGAAGGACGCGACGGGAATCGAAGACCCGTTTGAAGAATCTACTCCGCAAGCTTTGAAAGTATCCGGATCGGCCTTTAAGCTTACCCGAAATCGAGCATTGCACCACGGGACATGTCTACTCGATTCTCCGAATATAAATAATCTAGGCGCTTTTCTCAGATCCCCAGCTAGACCGTATATCCATGCCAAAGGTGTCAGCAGTGTGCGGTCGCCAGTGGGAAATGTGTCAGCTGGACTGGTTAGTTCCGCGGAACCGTTTTCGATGCAGCGCACAATACTTAGTATAATGGATGAATTCTCGCGGCTTTATGGGAGTGGACATGAAGTCCGGGATTGCGCAAGTCGGTTGAATATGACTAAGAGTGAGTTTAATGCAGGCGATGATTGGGTTGCGGGGGCCGTAGGAGAGGTACAACTCCATGAAATACCGGAGATTCAAAACACGTTTGAGATGATGAAGGTACTTACTACAAGCTCCAATTATTTGCTGCGTACTAATGATATATAGTCAACCGACTTCAAATTCCTCCAAACACCGGAATTCACCTTCTCCACCTTTACAACAGAGGAGGATCCCAGGCTTCGGCCTCCTCTACCAAGTTTCCTACCTCCTTTGGTACGTTCTCACTTTCTTAAAATCGAAGAGTACCTAGATACTAACGAAATCAGACAAGAATATCCATCCGCGCCAAAAAGGGCATCATACTAGAAGCATCCATAAGCACCTCCAACGACGAAGCCATAGCTCAAAAACAAGCCCTCCACAGTTCCGAGATATTAGCAGACAGAACACTCCACGAAATAGATGCTCAAGCATGGAGACAGATTATTGATTCGATCGTGGGTATAGATTATGACGGCCAACAACAACAACAACAACCTATGGAAGAAGTGGTTGATCATTTAACGGAATTTCTTTGTGAGAAGTTTGGTGTATGATACATGGGAGATTCTGTACATTATGTAAAATATAAACAATTTTTAATTAATGTAAGTTATAGAATAATTTTAGATTAAGGAGAAATCCACATGACTTCGTTCAAGATCAGTCACGTGTTACAATTAACCCTACATATCCTCTATCAAACTGAGTGATTGAAACGAGTTTATCCCTCCTTTATATAAAGAAATACAATGGTTTGTGAACATCTGACTAAGCAGCTGTATCACATGCATACAGGCTAGGCAATATCTAATTAGCTGGAGCTCTCCCAAGTTTGTATATACAGTGGGATGAAAAAAGTGTTGGCACCCCCCAATATCGGTAACACCCGCACAAGGGCGTCAACACTTTTTTCGTGGTACTGTATTTACATTTATACGGAGTACTTGATCTTGAAAACTCCCTCTGTCTCTCGAGCGAAGCGAGAGAAGGACAGCTTGTAGTCGATGTTATAATTCATATTTCTGACCCAATTTACTAGTTACAAAGACATCATGTAGAAACGAAGGTAATCAGAAACAAGAATATATCCGCTAACAAAACATCTCTGCTTTCAAGGTTTCCATAAGAGAAACCAAAGGGTTGAAGGAATCAGCTTCACGAAGTGCGACAAAAAGAAAAGAATATATACAGTGAAACAGAAAACCCCCAAAAAAATATCATGAACGCCAGCGGAGATCGAGCCAGAGTCGGCAGTCGATTTTGTCTCCATATACCCAAAAGCCCTCCATACATATATCCATCAGTCGTTCGTTCTGTTCATCGTTCATCACTCATATTCATGTTGCCAATCAATAGTCACAGACCAGCAAAAAGGAAGAGGAAAAAAACTCATCTCTCTTCCTCAGACGTTCTAGAAACCACATCCGAAACATCATCCCCAATAACCCTATCCCCAGCCCCAGCATTAACAACCCTCAATCTCTCCTTTGGAATCGTATATGTAATCTGCACAAGTCTGCCTTCAGCAGCGAGTTCGACGTCCCAGTCATCCTCGTCGGTGTGGATACTACTACCACCACCACCACCACTGTGATGGTCGTCATCTGGACCAGGAGGGACGGTAAGATGACCGTTTTCATGATCATTATCGTCAGCATCGGTCGTGTGATGAGTTCGACGCGGTGAGGATGTTGATTGTGATATCCCGCTATGTCGAGAGGAGCCTTCAACAGCCCAATCGCGCGGACCTTGTTGTCGTCGTTGATGGTGCGCTACCACCGACGCGCTGGATGCTCGTCTCGATATCTGCAGGGAGAGGTTATCGTCATCGTCAAAATCGACAGGTGAAGTGATTTCAAACATTGCCGGTGACGCTTGGTGCTCCTCTGCAAGAGAGCTGTTGCCGTAACCTGATAGGACGACTTTGCGCGCATTCGAAAGGGTTTTGCGGATACTTCCCATCCATGTTAGGGAATTATTGTTATTGCTGTTGTTGGATCTGTTTTCACGGTCGGAGAGTCGTGATGGGGATTCCGGTGGTGTTGACCATTCAGGTGCCGATCCGAGTAAGGTGTCTCCTTCTAGGGGACTTCGTCGGTGATGACTGGCTGATGTAGATAATGAGTCTACTGTGCCTGAGCGCTCAAAGGGCCATCTCATACCAGTACTTTCATTGGCTGAACGCCCTGTATGCAAGGACGGCTTTTCTGGGGAAGAGCGGCCGCTGCCACTATCGTCATGGTTTGAGTTCGAGGGTTCCAGTGTTGGAATAGGCGGCTGGAACAGGTGAATCGATCTTCGTTGGGATCCAAAGTTCGATCTCTGAATAGACAATTCTGATATCCCGGATCTAGATGATTCTGATAAATCGGAATGCGTTCTCTCGGTCTTATCAGGCGACGACTTGCGCGAATGTACAGACGCACCATCAGCCTCCTGCGGCCGAAGTGAGTTCTCATGGAACGCAACTAAATATGCACGAGTAGGCGACGGTGGATCAATAAAAGGATCAGACATTCGATTATTGGCACTCTCCGAACTCCCACTTTCTGGCCTTCTGTCAAAAACTTCCTCAGGCGGTGTCTCAAACTCCTCACGTTCATCAATCGGATGAATCGTTCCAGCTCCATACCCCGTTCTACTATCCTCATACCTACCCGCTGATTGTACCCGCTGCGGTCGACCAGATAGACTTCTCCGAAGACCCCTCGATGGACTAGGTACATCGTGTAGCAAGCCATTTCTTTCCGCTTCTGTCGTATTGCCATCTGGGGCTGGCACAGCACTATATTGATGACTTGGCCCAGAAAAGTAAACGTTCTCCAGAATCGAATTTCGTAGCGCAGAGTCGCTGGGACTTCGATAACTTGACTCCACTCCGGGTTCGCCCCATATATTTGAACGTTCTGCTCCGAGGGCCAGTTTTCGAAGTTCCTGGTCCCTTCGTCGACGATGACTCCATCGTTTTCTGGACCAATAGATGTATCCAAGGCAAATAAGTGCGAGTACTGCGACGGATACACCTATACCAAGTCCTGCTTTCTCTCCGGAGGATGAAAGTGCGCCGCCATGAGAGCTTTTATCCGTGTTCGAAGGGACTGGCGCCGTGTACGATGGCATCCATGAATTCGAAGTCAGATTGTACAGGTAAATCTGCGAACTGGACTCGAGTCCTGCTGAAGACGATCGTTTTGACGTGCTTGACGCTGGTATGATATACCCCCCCAAAATCATCATAACATCTCCAGGAAGCATCGTCGTTGCATGCCCGAACATACCAGATCCAGATCCAGGTCCTGAACCAGTGGGCACTGGGGTCGACCATGTCCATTCGCCTGAACCACCATAATCCTCGCTAACTTCAAGAATGGCGAGCTGCGGATCAGCTGGTGTACTGGTGTCACCCACCCATCCGCCAAAGACGATAATCTTGCTTCCATCTGAAGACATGACCGCGCTATGGCCGGATCTAGGCTCAATCTGAGCTGTATCCCGAAATACAAGATCGGTTCTGCCAGAGCCGAGATTGGCGCCTATAGAGATATAGGACCAACTAGCCTGAGGAAGAGAGAATAGAGCTAAAGTAGACATGTTCAAAAAGGCTGTCTCTGTGTGACCGCCAATGAAAAGGAAACTTTCTTGTTGCACAATTCTACCTCCTGAAGTAGTCGAACTTGTCTTTTGAAGGGGTGTAACGGTATACCCGGCTTCTGCAATGGGCGAATTTGAGGATTCAGTCTGTTGCACGATGTAGTTGAAATTTGAGGAGGTATTCGGTACAGTCAAGGCAGTCATTATATTGGAATAATTCGCATTTGACGTCCAGTCCGGCTGATTCTCGCTGGAAAACGGACACATTCCCCCAAAGGTATAATATTCAGGGGATGTATCATTTGATGAATTGAACGCAAACCCGCCCGCGAGATATCCAGGACCCGTGAGATTCGTACTTGCACCATTTACTTCCACTGATGACCATGTTCCGTTACCTGTGGAACTGTTGTGGGCTGGTTGAAAAGACCATAATCGTGGTACGGCATATTGTGATGCGTGGCAATTGCCTGTAAATACCGTTATGGATCCATTTGAGTTAAGCATAGGGACATATGCCTCGCTATCTGAAGCAAAATAGACGTCATCGTAAAGAACCGTGTACTGAGGACTGGCAGAATTGATAGTTGTCAAGTTGAGAGACAGAAGCTGAACTGCTTTCTGATCGCTCGTGGGTTGTAGGACATAGACAAGGTCGCTGTCATTCGACCCCTGTGCCGGAGCAAAAACATGTGTCGGAAAGTAAGGGATAGTTCCTTGAGCCATCATCACAGGCCACATGGTGCTCAAGAACAAAGCATAACTGAGAAAACTGCCTGGAGGCATTTTGAGCAACGCTATGCCACGTAGCGCAAATTCCTTGCGTTTTTGACGTTGACGTTGGTACGTAAGGGACCTAGATGCCCCCAGAGGGGTTCCATACAAAATTGCACGGTCTTGATGTGTTGAGAATCACCGCTGACATATGGAAGTTCACATTCAGTATATCATGACATTCAGACATCAACAAGAAGTTCAATGCCCTTGTTAAGCATGAAGGAAGTGCGGTCGTCCGTCTGGGATGTCAGTTATCGAGGAAATAGGTCCCGAGTCGAGGCGGGGCAGGACAGTAAACATGGACGGTCTAGATGGGTGGGTTTGCCATGGTGATGATTGACAGGTAATTCGTGGGAGGGGAGTAAAAGTACGCGTTCATTCAACTTCATTTTCAGTCTGAAGCTGTGCTTATTGGATCGATCTCTGTGAGAGCATGATCTCGGTAAACATCGCCGTTGGCACGGCAACGCGGATAACATCGAAACATATGTCCGTATTGATTCCATTAATTCTGACCTACTCGAAGTAACGTCGAGTTGCTACAGTATGCACTGATGAGAGTCTATTGAAGCTATTCCAGAGTGATAGGGTCGAAAGACCAGATTTGGGAAGAGAACACTGGACCATCTTTGTCGCAATGAATCTCCGACATTCCGTCGTTACAGTGTAAGATTCATCCACGTCTGTCTGTAAGTCTAGCGCACGCCTACAGTAAGTAACGCTCATTACATTACTCTCAACAGCATTTACACAGCAGTAGTCGAGACAATAATGCATCCGTCCGTACATATACGGTCAATTCAATCCTTTGCATACTGCATACGGGTCGTACGACATCACGCATTGTACGACACATCATCCTTGCAGGACAAGCTTCAACCTAGACTCGCCATATTCACCAAATTAGAGAACATAGTCTCTTAAGCAGACTCAAAATCTAGCTCTCTCAAATACATCACTCAAGCAATCAACAAATGAAAAATTTTCACCTTTAAAGTCTCTAATTGAGTTCGTGACAAATGCAAAAGGTACCCTGCAGGTCGATGCACGTTGTCAGCACTTGTAGATACTAGAAATGCACTCCATACATTAAACTTTTGAGTACACACCAGTGACACGACGACAACGTACCAGTGTCCACTTTGCTTGCCTATGTAAGTGATCCTTCTGTGTTCGTTGAGTATGCAAGGGCCGGAAGTGCTGGCAAATAAGACGACTAATTGACACAAGCTCTCACTCTCAAACGGTTTAAGAATTCGACTCGATTGACATGGCTAATCTGGGAAGAAAAAAAAAAGGAAAAGAATTCAGAACAGCGAGATGAGTTACACTGCTTACGGCTAGGCGCGTGGTCTTTGCATTCTGCGCTGATTATTCGGTCTTTCTTGAGCGTATAGTCGGGCATATGGCAGTACTCGGGCTCTTTATCGGTTGGTCTTATTGTCACCATATATCTCTTATCAGTCAGTATACGGTGCGGTGTATGACTTCATTTCAGTCTTTTGTGTTTAATATAGGAATAGTATCGTACAACTCGTGCTTGTATCAATCCTTGGTTTAAGAAAAACGAACCCTGCATTAATGCGCAAGTTAGAAGCAAACCAGCCGACAATCGATGATCCTCGCCTCCAGCAAACCGTTGATTCTTTAGTTTCTGGCTTTCGGTGGCTCAGTTCTTTATCTTCGGAATCCGACGGTTGAACTAGCCTTCAGTTTTCAAGGTTGTTGACCACGACATGAGTGCGTTATCTAATTATCGACATGTGAAGGGTGCTATAAGTTTTAAAGGATACGTATGTATTGTATTACCTTTCAAGGTATTATTGACGTTTTTGCCGGCGTTTCCGACATGCTGCAGATTCCGCTTTATCGATATCGCGGAGGACTCTTAGACTCTCAGACTCAGGACTCAACAAAGGTCTGTATGTCATACAGACACGTTAAGAACAGTATACGTATACCCATGCATATCATCAAAGCGTTTGCCAGGCAATATCAAGTCTGAAAAGTGACGGCAGATGCTGCAAGGAGTTCTCAAAGAGGCTAGACTCAATCGTTCAATTTCCGACGCTGAGTCGCTGGCAGTAGGTAAGTGAAATAGCTACTAATCAGTCATTCGACCGCTGGCAAGGAACAGTAATTGTATACGCCAACTTCAAACTTGACTGTGCGGCCTTGCTTGGTGTTGTTTCTACGTAGTAATCCAGTCCCCGACTCCTTGATATTTACTCAGTTAAGTGAGGGGATTCTTAGCTAGGCGATCAAGATACTAGTCCACTAGATACAGAGTCCTAAGTAACCTTGAGTCTACCTACAAGAATACCTGAACACCTCGCTTCCTGTGCCTCCCTTCAAAGTTCCAACCTCCCATGTATCAGATTACGATAAGGTGTACCGTGCAAGCGGGACAAAGCGGGCCGTAAGCCGCCTCTCTCCCATCTCCGTCAATCTTATTTCCCTGGTCGCGAGACCAGATTCCGTAGATAAACCACATCATGTCTTGGTTTGTTCTCGAAGCTTGAGATGGACTAGCTATTGGAGATAATCATCAATTATTGGCTATGCATGTCGCCGGTGGGTTTGAGGCTGTTACTGTTTGCTCTCTGTCGGACCATATCTGAAATTGAGATCTTACATACCATTCGAGTTAAGGGTAGCTCTTACATGTATATGTCTCTATCCTGCCCTGTCCATGCGCTTTCTGATCGTATAGAGAGTCAACAACTTGTTCAAGGTCCGATACCTGCGAACTGACAAGTCAAAATCAAAGGTCAAAGCCCAATGTGGCACATTTGTCAGTCAAATTTTAGGATTCGATAGCCCCCTACGTAGAGCTGAAGCAGAGCTCCAAAGTCAAACGTATTCAGCTTTGTGGTTGTACGAGTCAGGACTAGTTGACTGTTTGAGTTTTTGGTACGTACGTCCATGGATGCTTTCAAGGTTGCTGGGATGGTGGTTTCATGAGGATAGGTATCCGGGATGGTCAAAAATCTGACGCTAGGGTTTGTGGACCATAGTCGATCGGGAGACTGTGGCAATCATGTTGTAGGATCGATATACTTTTCACTCAGACGTGATCACCAGTTCAGTATATCCAGACTTATGTATATATATATATATATGTACATCACGACTGTGGACGATTTGCCTCCCGTCTTGAACGTCATGACATACTACTATGTAGTATGTACATAGTACAGTCGAGGAGAAGAGACTTTACCTACGTAATTTATACTTGATCTTATTGGATCAGCATCAAGCTAGATATGCAAACAAAGAGGACCGTCCACGGCGCCACCAATACAAGACCCCACTTCGTCCAATCAAACCCTCGCTGATCACTGGTCCGTGAGCTGTGCAGGTGGAGTCAAAATGGAGGCAACTGGAGCCGACACGGACAAATTAAATCTTCCAATTAAGACCCACAGGGGAAATTCAAGATCTCCTGATTGGTTCGCATGACGGGTCGTATCAACTGGCCTGAGTCCTTGTACGGAGTCAAGACACGAATAGAGCACTTGTAGTGATGAGTTGAAAAGCAACCTCAGTTTCTGTCAATCTCGCTTGCTTGCGGCTTTAGAATCAATTAACAAAAGCAACAAAAAGAAAAGAAAAGAAAAGAAAAGAAAACAACTGAATGCTGATCATTAATATGCTCGCGACAGGCAATTCGTTAGAAAGTGTATTCATTTCTTCATCGGCGATGATATCAGCAAATCTTATCAAGGTAAGCTGCATTCCTGCCTGCCTAAATTCCAGTCAGGCTGTTAAAGTACATAGTAAAGTAATCCTGCCAGTCATACACCGTAATCATATACGCACAGCTAATGCGTCTAGCCATCGAATCGTATCCAATCTTCGATCACTGCTAGAACTTCGGCTGACCTGCCTCTAACCTTCGTAAGGGGAGTAAGACTCACGGACCACTTTGGCTACCCGAGCCTAAACCAGTCCAGTGATTCCAGTCTGACTGAGCAGGGACAGCGCTTGACCTTGGCGAATTAAACGAGCAAGCTCAACCATATACGTAAATAGGAAGCGGACCATGCCTGATTCTCCGGAGAAGATTGCGTTGAGTTGTTCACTCCGCTGGCACTAGTTATTAGTTAATATAATATATCGATGCTACATACCTCGTTGGGGTTGGTGATTATCTAGCTGCATCTACGAGTCTTCCACGTCGTATCACAGGCTATCCCCTTTGTGGCCTAGGGAGACTCTAATTGACTGGAGCTTTTCCTTGTTGGGATTACTGTTGTATTACCGTAACCGCTGATACAGGACCCCTACCATCACTGTGCTTGCCGTGGTAAGTTAGGATCGCTCAGGGATATTAACTTATTAAGTGCTAGGATCCCGGTAGTTGGCTATATTAAGTCTGTGGACGACAGCGCCTGATCCAGCAGCCCAGAACTCTACGGCAGGAAAAAGCCAAGAATGAGCACCTGCACATGGCATGGACAAGCCAAAGCATCACTGCCTCGACTATCGTTCTATCGTTTTCTCTGATACTCATACCATCACTACGGAGTACGTACTACCCATATAACAGACTGGAGAAACCGGTTCAGTTGCCTGTGCTGACCCCACCTGTCAGTCTGGCCAATCACGAGACACACACCCTACCCACACGAAGTCACTGCCCAGTTTAACCTGACTTAACTCTTACCACACGACACCTCTCCTCAACACCTATATACTCGCTGTCGTCTGTTCATACAAACTGCGAGAAACAATAATCGTCTTTGCTTGCCTTCCGATCCATCCCACCGCGTCTCCGGGAGTTTCCCGACAACCTGCGCCGAGCCGACCGGATCAACGTCACCTGGTAGTCCCCTTCCCGAAATTCGTCCGCTCGCTCGTTCCCTCGATGTCAATTTCGAATATCTTGCGCTCAGAGGAATGAGGCCATCCTGTCCAGTGGACGTAGGGAGTTTTCTTCGATTCAACTGCGAGTCTCTCTGTATCTGCATCGACGACGCCGACACCGCCGCCACCGCTCTTCCCGCCGAGAGAGAAGAGGAGGAGGATGTGCTCACTGTGTATAAAAGATAATTGGTAGCGTCCTTGAAAACCATGGGGCAGTTTGAACGGCGATCATCCCACGCTGGTCTGGAGGATGTGGAGCGTACATCAGAAACCCATGATCAAGACCGGTTTCTGACCGGTCTTGAGCAGCAGCCTGCTCAGAGTCAGCATCCTCGCCGGGGCGAACCGACCGAGACCAGACATACTGGATTGAATGGTCCGACTACTTCATCGACTTCGGAGTCGAGTTTATCCTTTGCAAACAGGATGCGGGCATCCAAACAGGGTCTGAAACATTCCGGCTCAAGGGGCGACTCTCACCACCCGATGCATTTCATGCCGCAATCATCCAATAACTCGAGAGCGTCTTCTGCGAAGACCTCGTCGAGTTCGCTACACACCATGAGCGAGGATACCGTCGCTGATCCTCGACCGGAGCCTTCCAGTGGCGGTCTTTCTCGTTCCTCTCTAGTCAGAAGACTATCACAACAACTCGAATTATCCTTTGGCCAATCTCTCGTCCCAAAGACTCAACCTGTGAATACGACCACCGATTTCCCTGTTTATCCCGATCAGTCATATGCAGTGTTACAATCGCAAATTCACCCGCCTCCCTATCAGCCCTTCCTTCGAGGGCGCAGTTCATATCCATCACCAACCGAAAATATAAGACCATACGACCATGCTTTTACTACTGCCGGCGCCCGGACAGTTGGTAATACCCCTGTTTCTACTCCGGGATTGTTTGCAGGCCGTAGTGCCCGTACATCTCCTTCAGTGGGATCTGACGACGAGGGTTATACATTCAGTCCGTATCTTCATCCGACACATCTACAACCCCCCAAAGAGTGAGTAGTTACCTTAAAATTTGTGGCGCGCCGACTGACGGTTATAATAGAACGCATACCGCCGAAGTTGAACGTGATCTTCAGACAGGAAATAAACTTATAAATGACTACGAAGTGTTAGAAGAGCTTGGCAGAGGCGAACATGGAAAAGTCAAATTGGGCCGTCACCTGCGCACAAAACAACCAGTCGCAATCAAAATCGTTCAACGTTATTCTAAGCGTCGACGTCTAGGCAAACTCGGCAATCCGGAGGACAAGGTTAAGAAAGAAGTCGCTATTCTCAAGAAAGCCCGACACCCTAATGTGGTCAGTCTTTTGGAGGTTATTGACGACCCGAACCGCCAAAAAGTGTATATTGTGTTGGAGTATGTTGAGAACGGAGAGATCAAGTGGCGAAAGAAGGGCGTCCGAGAAATTGTGCAGATGGACAAGAGACGTATCGAGCGAGAGAAGAATGGCTTTCCAGATTCACCCTTTTTCGAAGAAGAAGGTCAACAAGTCGTTCGTTCCCTTATGAACCAACGAAGACGCAGAGAACTCGCTCGTGAAAGGCATCGTGCTCAAGCACAAAATAACCATCGACATTTGATTCCTGCCTGGAGCTTGGAACATGGTGGAGAATCAGATGACGAGTCCAACCCGGAACTGGCATTGGCACGGTCTATTAGCCAGAATCTTACCCAACACCAAGATCGTATGGACGGCGTAGACCACCATGGATCTCCAAGCCAATCATACAACAGCTCAGCATCCGAATTTGATCGTCATATGCGGGAGTCAGTTTTAGCCGCCGTCGAGGGTAGCATGTACGGTGCTTATTCCGACTATCCACTCGAAAGACGATATAGTACAGCATCTAGCTTGTTCGGCTATTCTTCGTCAGAAGCTGATCACTTTTCGGATGATGACGATCTTTCTTATGTACCGTGTCTTACCATTGAAGAAGCTCGCAACGCTTTCCGAGACGCAGTGCTCGGGTTGGAATATCTACACTACCAGGGTATCATTCACCGCGACATCAAACCGGCAAATCTTCTTGTGACAGCCAAAGGACAAGTGAAGATTTCCGACTTTGGTGTATCTTATCTTGGTCGGCCGATCAGAGACGAAGACGAAGAGCAAATAAGCGAGACCGATGCTGCAGAGCTGGACGACGCTCGTGGGGAGCTATCCAAGACTGTTGGCACTCCGGCTTTTTATGCACCAGAGCTTTGTTACAGTGGTGACGATTACGTCGATGCCAGTGGCAAGGGTCCTAAAATTACTGGTGCCATCGATATTTGGTCTTTAGGAGTAACTCTATACGGCATGATCTTTGGGCGACTACCCTTCGTCTCGGACGATGAGTACAGCCTGTTTCAATCCATCGGCAAGAACGATCTCTTCATCCCTAAGAAGCGACTCAAGCCGGTCGAGGTCGACAGCAGCAAAATTAGTGCCGATCCGCGCCACGGTGTGATGAACAGCAATAAACGACTGGAGGATGAATTTGTCTACGAGGACATCGATCCCATGCTAGATGATCTCTTACGGCGTCTGCTTACCAAGGATCCCCAGAACCGGATCACTATCAAAGGCATCAAAACTCATGCATGGGTATTGCAAGACTTGAAAGAAGATCCTGCCGACTGGGTACAGAAAACCGATCCGCAGAGCAAAGGTAACCGGATTGAAGTATCAAAAGAAGAAGTCACTAGTGCAGTCAGCAAAGTCCCATTTGTCGACCGTGTCAAATCGTTGGCCAAGTGGCTCAATCCTCGCCGCGAAGGTCGAAGCCATCCCAAACGGCCGTCCAGTGCAACTGGATCCTCTGTTGAATCTACATCTTCAAGAGACTCTAGTGGTGCATCAGGTGGTCGCCGAGCTAGCTTACGAGGGGATGAGGATATTCTACGTCCGCATCGAGCTGTACGAGAGGAGCACCCACTTTCTCAAAGCGTAACTGCTAGCCCAGATAATACCCCGGGACGTCCTTCCTATTTCGATCAAGCACCTGCCAGCGATGTGGCTGAGGAAACTCCTCGAGGTCATGTCACCGAACGCTTGTCATCGATCATGTCGACCACGGCGTCGACCAAGACAGTGAGGCCAATGCCGTCAACCAGAAGCTTCACGCCGCCAGTAACTGTTGAGGCCGAGGCCGTGACGGAACAGCATGCTGTGTCAACACCCAACATCGCTGGCATTTTTACAGGAGCAACTCATCGAGTAGACAAGGTAACACATAGTGACGATTATCATCATCATCCACAGTCTATAGATGTCGCCGCGTGTGAGACGGATGGTCATGCTGAACCTAGTTTAGCATGGAGCAATGCATCCGCTACTGGACAGGTTGAAGTCCCGATTGCAACGACATGGGAGCAACACGATCGACCTCATAGCCAGGGGAATGACTTTGCGGGAAGTCCTTCCTCGGCTGGACATCGCCGCAATCGGTCAGAACAAGTTCCACCAGAGGTCGTCGATCATCAATCCTTTCACCACGCCAAAGCAGCATTGTTACGCCAAGCGGCAGACCACACCCAGCCCGATGAAAAGCGAGACACCGATGATGCTACGCCTGTTGAGAATAATGAACGTTCTATCGAGCCAAGTCCGACAACATCCACACATCACTTGCCCTCTGATGGAGGGTTAATTACCTCACCGCCGTCCGCAGCGACCATCTCAACAACGTCGGTTGACGAGTGTGCAAGCGAAATGTCGCAGAGTGTGTCGCACCCAAGCTTACCGTCTATTATATCAGGCGCCTCGTCTCTCTCCGGCGATGGTCTCCATACACATATTGAAGAACGGGAGAAGGAACTCGATGCCACCCCTTATGTGTCTCCTATCCTTCGAACGGGCGACACGATTACGCCGCGGAACATCAAAGCGCAACGCTCTGCTACTGAAGAGGGTTATGATTATGACTGTGATGATGAAGATGTCGAGTCGGAGGATGAAGGCATTGTCTTTGGCAGGAAGAAACCTTCTACATGAGGCTAATACTCTACGATCTGCTCCTCGACCGTCTCGCTTATAAATATTTCCGTCCAATTCGACAATGTCGAAACGACTAATGTGAAAATGATCAAGGCAGAACAGATTGTTTTGCCTGTTACGTATCCATCAACGAATGAATCCCGATGGACATATTGATATGTACAGTACCGCCGGCACCGGCCCTATTCAAATGATCTATTTCTCCTACCGTTCTCCTTCGATGCAAAGGAAGGAGACCAGAAGACAAGACCGTACGAAACACGGTTCAACTGTTGAATCGTCCGAATACGATCATGCTTTTGATTTATGTTATCCAATGGTGTTATTTAATCCTGGGCACAATTCGTTTTCGGGTCAGACACGCAAAAATCAAAAACGGAGGGGTGGATCTGCTATATAGACGTGGGGTGTGAAAGAATCGTTTCCCGATTTCCCCCATTGTCATACATGCATTGCTGGCGTTGTTTTTTTTTTCTTCTCTTCTGCCGTTTTTCATTCATACACCGATTACCTTACTTTATTTCTGTTTGTTCTCACTCTGTTTCGTGTATATATTTGTTCAAAGAATGCGCTACATCGCAACTATTTTCGAACGTCGATTCATCCTTTTACATCCTTTTCTTCTTGATTTTTATTACGTGTAAAGACCTGTGGTGGTCTACTGAACATGGTTCGGCTTCTTGTTTTTTTTTTTTTTTTTTTGGCCGGCTACTCATCCGACGTATATTTCTTCAAGGAGGTAGCAATACATGAACTCTTATCAACATATTATTTCCCATCGGACTCCCGTTTAGGTATGTAGCTGAAAAGGTTCCAAGGTCGAGCAATTCTTCAGGGTACTCCGTATGGATATATCTAGGCAGCAGAATTATGATCATGATCCTGCTGTCGAATGCATGTTTCATGATCGCCCGGTCTAGGGATTCTGAATCTGACTAGGGGCTTGTAGCAGGTGTGGCTGAGCTGTTGCAAAAATAGATGGCTACATGTCATTGTCTGTCGTATCTGTCGGTGATGAGATAGATGGTGGATGAATCGGGGAAGCTTTTGCTCATTGAGGTGGAAGTCCTGGTTGGTTGGTCGAGGGGATTAGGGGTTAGTGCGCTGAGATTGATGGTGGGATGGTGATGGATTGTATATAGCGTAAGTGACTGTTCAAGCAGAATATTCGTATTGCAGTATAGAGATAGGTAAAGAATACATTGAATTGATTGATGTCTTTGTAGAAAAGCTGAATAGTTATAGACAGTGATTGGCTAGAAAGACGACCAATCACATGCCGAACGCATTATTTGCCTGATATGTTAGGCACCAAGTCAGTCCACTCTTTCTCGAGTTGGATGACTATTCACCTCAGAAGTTCTCCTGCAACACTTCAGTGCACGAGATTGACTGCCAGTCCACTATTTGTCTTCTGTCAATATTCCTGAACACTGTGAACACTGAACTACGCTAGTACGGCTGATCCCCGCCAATACTCGGGAGCTCTATATAATGTGGGCAGCCTAAGGCTGATTGCAAGGCGTTCTCGTATGCCCAGTCCAATCTTTCCCTTTTCGTTCTGACGATTCCAACTTCTGACACGATCTTTGACAAATACCCCAGTCAAAGGAAGAAGCTTGTCATCACAGCTGTTCTTACCTACTTGAGGAACTCACGTCCTCGACTTTCTCGCGCAGCCACAACTTTCTCTTGTGGTTTCCCTCGTGTTCTCGGCTTTTGCCCCTCACACTTTCGGTTTTGGGTAGGGGAACATTCGAACGGTCACCGCGCTTCTTTATTCTTATACACACACACACATATATATATATATTCATGCGCCATAGACGGAGCACAGCCTTGACATTTCCTTCCTCGCTCCGTATCTCTGTTTTTCTGACCAACTCAATTGAGCCATGGAGAACCATGGCCAATATGCCAATCGCGGTCGCTCTCCGTCCGCGAGTGTGCATAGCCGCAACGTCAGCCCATCACCACATCACTCCCCATACCACAATCCAAATGCCGCGGGACTCATGCTGAATTCTTCTTCGTTAATGACGACGACTACAACTACATCATACCCATCCTCCTCCCTCGCGCCTGACTCGGATAATCCCGATCTCTACAACGCCTTCTTATCGCATACGAGCACCTCCGCTGATAATACCAACAACCTCGTCGCGCAAAACGAGCAGTTCTCTTCTTCATTCGCGGCGAGTTTTGCGGATCAGTTGGACCAGTCGTCAACGCATCAGGAGGGGAATTATTCAAGTCTGCTCAATCCGAATCCGAATGAGTATGATTTTTCGCAGTATGGGGTGGCCGCGGGTGACAATAATGCGGGCATTCAATCGGCCTTTGATTCGTCGTATTTGTTGGATCAGCAGCAGCAACAACAACAACAACAGCATAATACGCAAAACGCTCAGTTGATGGGTCAAGGGGATATGAGTCAGATGGGATCGCCTAATAATTTATTATCGCCTGAACAGCATCACTCCTCTCCTGGTCAGAGTCATACTTCACCGCCCATCTCGTCCGGTCCTTTCTACTCTCCCAGACACTCTCGGAGTGCCTCCCTAGATCCCATGAGTGCAGCGTACATGTCTAATCATAACCAGCCGCAAGATTGGCAGAATATGCTGGAGAATCACGCCTTTCAGAGTCATCGACGTGCCCCCTCGGAACACTCTGAAGTCTCGTCCGTGTCCCATTCGCCTTATACCGGTCATCATGAGTCATTCGATGCTTTGGATGGTGCGTCACCGTCCCTAGGAGCTCAGAATGATCCTGTGCTGTATGACAATACCTTGGCAATGGATAGTTTTACGCTTTCGGAGCAGCAGCAACAACAGCAGGGATTGAGTCCTCATCACAGCCCATACGTCGCGCCGCAGGTACTGCCTCAAGACGTTAATAGCGATGCGTTTTTGTTAAGCGGGCAACAGAATATGACTCAGTTCCCTACTCTATCTCATGACATATATACAGGACAGCCGGGTGATGCAATGCTTGCCGGTATGCAAGCGCCAGACATGTCGGGTGTTGATTTGAATCAGGTGAACAACATGGTTCCGCCTCCGTCAATCAATGTGGAATTCGCTCCTCCGTCTAGAGTGCCTAGCTTTGGTCCGAATGGGGAGAATGACTTTGACGCATTGTCTCCACCATCTCGTAGGTTTATTACATTCTGACTTGGTTTCCTTAAACTAATGCCGTTTATCAGGAGGATCCCGTGGACGAAGTAAATCGGATCCGTTTGGACGACCTCCGTCAGTTGGTCGACCTCACTCGCAGTCCGTATCGTCGACAAGCAGTTTAGATCCTGCAGTAGGTTCATCTCCGCGATCTCTTTCTCCGTTCGGCCCCATGGGAGGGTCACGTAGCAATCCAGGCTCGCGGGGCGTGTCGCCGGCATCCAGATCGGCTATACGTAGACAGTCTACATCTTCTATAGAACGCAAGGTCATTCTTGATCTTGCTGACCCTCAGCGACCAGGTGCTACACCTGGCGAGTCAAAGAGGACTCAGAAACATCCTGCCACGTTCCAGTGCAACCTTTGTCCTAAGAGGTTTACACGTGCATATAATCTACGATCTCATCTTCGAACCCACACAGATGAACGACCCTTTGTTTGTACCGTATGCGGTAAAGCGTTTGCTCGACAACACGATCGAAAGCGCCACGAAGGATTGCATTCAGGAGAGAAGAAATTCGTATGTCGCGGCGATCTCGCTTCTGGTGGTCAATGGGGCTGTGGCCGACGATTCGCTCGAGCCGATGCTCTGGGTCGTCATTTTCGCTCAGAAGCTGGGCGTGCATGTATCAAGGCGTTGCTGGACGAAGAAGCCATCGAACGCAGTCGAGCGTTTATGGAACAACAGCATCAACAACAGCAACAACATCTACAACACGTCCCGCAGCCGATGATGATTCCGGGTCTTGATAACGGGCAGGGCGCGTTTACCCTGCCAGCTGCACTGCTAGCCCAATATCCTGCTCTACAAACTCTCCAATGGGACCAAATCGCAACAACATCCGGGAACGATGATGTCAGTGATATAAGTGCTCGAAATAGTTTTGACGCAAGCTCAGGCGGAGAGTTTGGATTCGACGACGACGATTTGAGTATAAGTAGCTTTACAGCCGCGTCGAATCAAGGCGCGATATACGGTGGTGGTGGTGGTAGTGGAAGTCATCCTGGCTCGTCGCCGAATTTTGGGCTAGATGCCACCACAGATCCGAATTATACGGGCCAGGAATGGAGTTGATAAATACCCTTTTGCTCTTTCTTGTTTATACTTTTCCCAACCTTTCTGCTTTCATTCTCTTTGACTGTCGTTACACTTTATAGAGCGGGTTTGTGGCGTCTTTTGCTTCTTCCTGCTTTGCGACTTATCATTTCCTTTTTCTACTTGAAGCAGGGAGAGAGATAAAATCGGCAGGATAGGGAATACTAGGTGACTTGGGTGTTATTGCTTCATCTTTATCATCTATTTTGCTAAAGGCATATGGGTTATACGAAATTGGGATAGTTCTTACATCTACGGAATACCCTGACAGTTGCTGATTTATTAGAACCTGAGTTTGCATCTGGTTGAATACATGAATACAATATGGCTTATCCGAATAAAAACTAAGCTACACAATATAAAAGATACTTCTCGATGGACAGAAGACTACTTCTTCCTTAAAAGAACCAACTTCTCAATCTCCACAACCCACTTCCTCGCAAACTCCTCTTCCGTAAACCTCAACGCCGACCTCCTCGCCCTCGACCTCATAGCAATCTTCTCTCCCTTCGGCAACGCCAACGCATCCTCAAATGCAGCCGCAAACTCCTTCTCTGTCGAAGCCCGAAACCCCGTTTCTCCTTCCCCATTTAAATTGATGACAATATCTTCCCTGGGACCACCAGAGTCGTGGACTACACTTATCAGTCCTGCGGCTTGGTATTCGACTACACCGATGCCGAAATGTTCATTCCACATTGCATTTGTGCCGATGGAGCATGTGCATAGGTATGAGAGGATGGTAGGCCAGCTCGCGTCGCAGATGAAGGTTGTCTGGTCGCGGATGTGGAGTTCATGTGCTAATAGGCGGAGGTGGTAGATGTGAGTTTCGTCGGGGCTAGAGTGGCGGACTGATCCTATCAGGATCAATTTTGGTGTTTTTTCTGCGGTTGACTTTTCACGGTGCTTGTTGAGAAATCGAGCGAATGCGCGCAGAATCAAAGCGTGGTTTTTTTCCGGCCGGAATTGAGCTATGTATAAGATATTGGGTTCCCGGCTTGATTCGGTGGAATCATTCACTTCGATGGAAGAGTGTAATTCCTTAACTGCTGTTGGCGGAAATACGACGGTCGCATCTTTATGTGCTACTAGTCGTTTGCGTGACGGGCCCCAAAGGGAGTTTATATGTGCCGATGTCCAGGAGGAGTTGGTCATGACCACGTCAACTTTACTACCCACCCAACCATACAACCGGGCAAAGAGATGCCAATATCGTCTTTTAGCGGTGCCTTTCCATCCGGAACCGGCGCCGGAATTGAGGCCCTTGATACCCGTGTCGTCGTCAAGGGAGGTTAGCATATCTGTCGAGATGGTGGGGTAGTGCACGTATGCTCCCGTTGGTACCGAGGGGAAAAGGTATTTGCATAATGCGATTGTGAACGCGTAGCCCATGGTGTCGATATATATATCTGGGACGAGAAGGTTGAAGGCGTCAAAGGCTACGACTAGGGATCCTAGGGATTGGCCTAGAAGTGTGAAATGGGGGTACATGCTGCTGAGGACGTATTTTCGGGTGGAGAGGTATAATAGGACCACAGTTGGTGCATGTAGTTTGATATTGAACCGGGTCTGTTGGTCAGTCTAAGATGGCTTCAAGATGTAATGCACACTGACCTCGACCCGTTCTAGAATTGCTGCTTTGGTGACTTCATGGTCACCAGTGTAGATTGCACATACGGCCTATCGGTGTGTTAGTGAGTAATCTAGTAGATCGAATGAACGCACATACCTTCGGCCAACGTTCCTGCGTGGCTTTTACGGCAGCCCAAAGGACACGCTCACCACCTCCTCCGGCGTTACTAGAAATAATTTAGCAAATTAAAATACTTTATTGAGGGAACTGACTTACCAGAACGGATGAAAGAACCCAATTATACCCTCCCAATCCTCGCCCAACGGTTGCCCATTCCCAGCTACACTCGGCACAGTACCATCTACTTTCTCCCAATCATCATCTTCCGGACCAGCTGAAGCTGACGCTGATGATATGGTAGACTGTTTAGCCACATAATGCTCTTCTTCTATGCGCACTTGGGACAGAATCAGTTCTCGGCGTCCATTAGTCTTGTTCTCGAGAGACCAGCCGATGCTGCGGAGAACAAGTTTCAAGATATATCCCACTACGGCAGGAATCAGGAAGAAAGTGACCACTGGGACCAGAAGTGTGATTATAAGAGTGGTGCTGAGAAAGGCCATGTTTGTTCGTCGCCTATGAGTGACGGAGCTGATCCCGGATTGACTCGAGATTTAATGGTCGAGTTTAGTCCATGTTGTCAACAATTTGCAAGTTAATAGACGTAGCTCTGAAGAAATATTCGGAAGAAAATGGCTATTCAGCTTAATATTGAACAGTGTATAGCCAGATCAGTTGTTCAGAACATCCAAGTGACCAGGACACATTACCAGAAGCATTGCTTTATCGGCGGCACGTGATGGCAATCGCAGCAAATAAAGCAAACACCTTTCCCCATGAGGCTCCACCGACTTCCGGAGCTAAGGAAACTCCCCGATCTTTACTTCATCAAACTCACTTGAAGTCTTCCTCTTGTTGTGTCCATATTTCAAAGACACACCTGGCCGAGTGACTGCCTGCTTCGGCAGCTGCAGATATATCCATTGGTCGATGAACAGCTGATTAACAGCCGTCGATATGCGGCCGCCTCTTACACCTCGATGGTTCCAACTCCGACGACCAGTGACCTCTTCAATCCTCTTCCATCGAATCCGTCACTTTCATGCAACTCGACCGGCTCCACTCGTCGCAGAATCCGTCACGCTTGCCAGCGATTTCCTTCATGGCGTCCACGGAGTCACAGGACTACCATGGGCAGCCTCAATACCCCTAGCAGCCGTTTGTGTGCGAATGGTTGTAGCTTTCCCACTCCTCGTTTGGTCTCGCGTAACCAATCGTAAAATGGCGGACATCGCACCACTACTATTATGTCTCCGAAATCATTACCAACAGGCTGTCAAGGCCCAGGCCATGGAGAACAAGTTATACATGCGACCCAGAGAAGCCGAGAGGCAATTACGAGCCCATCTCAAGGAAAGAACTGCTCTTCTCTACAAGGAATGGGGGATATCTCGAACTCTGGGTTTTCTGCCCTTGCTGCAGCTTCCCGTTTGGCTGGCTCTTATGGAAGGTGTTAGGAATATGTGTGGGTTTCCGATGGGAATTCTACAATGGTTCATTTGGCTTCCAGGGAATAGTGGCCAGAGCATGAATCTACCAGGCGTTGAACCGGCTTTGGCGAATGGGGGTGCATTCTGGTTTCCGGACCTGCTAGCTGGAGATACAACTGGTATTTTACCTCTCGCCCTCACTCTGTCCATCATGGCAAATGTGCGACTCGGGTTCACTACAAAGACTTTTGCCGAGTTATCTGATTATAAAACCCCGGAAATGACTCGTCACCTATTCTTGAAGGTTGTGAAAGAATTTTTAACATTCATGTCGGTATATATTGGCTTCACAGCTTACATGACAGGGATGCCTGCGGGGATGATGCTGTATTGGATCGCTAGTACGAATACGGCAACATTGCAATCAAAGTTTCTCGACTTCTTGTTTGCTAGCAAACGCCTACAGATTTTGCCTCAAATGCACGTTCGTGTTTTGAAGCCGGGGGAGAAACCGCCGCCAATCAAGTCTCTCGAATGATTTAGAGCAGGATACCTATACCATATACTGTCGTCTCATTGCCACACTGTACGATAAAATGGGTCTGGAGAGAGATTTCGGGTAAGACCATACCAACGTACGACCATTTCTGAAACATTACTTCTGCGGACTTTGACTGAGGAATGAGGTTTATTGGACAGGCGCAAACAGCTATGGGAATACTCGAATCATCAAAATTAAATCATGTACAACACTATGCAGCATAGAACACCAGACGACTACCCATTCACAGCAGAAGTTAAAGAAGAACCGCCCAACGCCATCAGTCAAAAGACAGTACTTGATGGTTGCAACAATTTCGCCTGATTTCGCATCTAGACAGTGGAAATACCTAGTAGGGAGAAATAAAATACATAATGAACTATGATCCCGCTGAAGTGTATCAAATCATAGTCTTGGTTTGGCCGACTCGGCCGACGCAGTAGCCTCTTTGTTTATGGTGACACTACCATCGTCGATGCTTTCACCAAAGAAGATGACTTCAACAGTGATATCATCCCTTGAAACAATTAGTAAAAACTAAATAGACATAAGACAGGAAGAAACTTACCGATAACGTCGTGAATATGGACTAGGTAACGTCAACAAAGCCGAAACCATATCTCTATCCTTTCCTCCCATGGCATTCCGCACCAAATGAGTAGCAGCATTCTTATCTTCAACAACAAATCGCTCAGCAGCGCCAGAAATCTCGTACTGTTGTTGACGAATTGGCGGTCGTTGACCCGCTGTTTTAGTCTCTGTGGCCTTTTCCACCGGTAGCTGTTTGGGCTCAGAGCCGAATAGACCCTGCAACCAAGAACGTTTTCCATCATCGGCGAAACGCTGAGTTTCTAGCCACTGGCCTACGAGTCCAACGACTTCCTCGTTGGTGAGCATCTCCCACAATCCGTCGGTCGCTAATACGACAAAGTCGCCGTTCTTGGGATCGATCTTCGTTCGTGTAATGACGGGTTCTGCGGTGACATATGGCGGCGTCTTGAGCATGGGGTGAGGTGTGCGACCGAAGAAACGGCTCTTGATTTTCTCTTGTGTTTCCCTCTTCCATTTATAGAAAGCATCGCCGAAAGAACGGCTAGGCTCAAGTTGTCCCAGAATTCGCCCGTTTCGTACAACGTACTGCTCGCCAGGATGTTCTTTTCGTAGGCGCTCAATCTCGGAGGGTGTTCCACCGGTTTGATCCTCTGATAGAGCGGTTGCAACCCATTTTCCGCTGGGTCCGCGGCGTCCAAGAACAGCCCGTGAATCCCCGGCGCATGCAATGCGCAAGTCTTGAGTCTGAGAATCGTAGAAAGCGAGCAATGCACAGGATCCAGACAGAGCAGGTGCTAGAATTTCCGCAGCGACTAGGCGAGAGTTTGATTTCATAACCTTGTCGACACTTTCGTAGACAATATCATTATCCAAACGAACAAATCCTTGTTTAATTGCTTGATCTATGGCCTCTGGTGAAGGAGTTTTGACGGAGGGATCTGTAGCGGCGGCCTTGTATGTAGAGTTAAGCTCACGAGCGACGTAAGAAATGAGGACGTTTCGTAACTTGGCAGATGTCGTCCAGCCACTGTAATCACATTAGAAGGTCAACATGTACGTAGACTGAGAAACGTACGAATGCCCATCGAACACTCCCCAGAACATCCAGTCACTTTTGGGAGATCCATCTTGCGTTCCAGAAGTAGCCTGCGGAACCTCAACAATCTTCTCAGCGTGGTCATCTTCAATAGGTGAGTTACTTGGAACTTGTGTGATATCATATCGAACAACACCTTGTCCGCGACTGACAATGTAAGATTCATCGTTCTTACGAAGCTTTTGCGTGGCTTGCTCTGGGGTCAACATCTCCAGCACCCTCCTATCTGAATCGTCCGATTGTTTAGCAAGAGGCTGATCGCCAGACAGAACCGCAGTGTAAAACTGATCGTTCTCAACCAACAGAGCCCGACGAGTAGTCGTCGAAGTTTCTCCGGTTGCTGTCTCTGCTGTTGTGTCCGCTAGTCCCCGTGTTTGAAGGTTTGTGGTGCCATTCAGAAATGTTGACTGTTGTTGTGTTCCCTTGTACGCGTACCAAGCACCGGAGGCGACAAGAGTCGAAAGAAAAGCGAGGGAGAAGTTTCGGACGTGCATGGAGGCATGAAGTGAAGCTGGTATGTACGGTGTGTGTCTCTTGTGGAGAGCGAGTGCCTGTCCACTAGAGAAGTAGGCACGGGATGCTGGTCTACCGCCGGCTCTCCATGCTGTGGTGTAGCGAACAGTCCGGAAGGCCTGTAGACCTTGAGAAACAGCGCGACGCATTGAAGAAAATTTTATGTTGGGTTGATGGTTGCCATCTGGTAGTTGTTTCTCGATTGTGAGCGGTCCTACGGTAATAACAAAGGGGCCACGTGATCACGACCGTATCAATCGGGCTCCCGATTGGTGCGATGTCGTCATGTTCAGTTTTGGCGATGATTCATTCTCGACTTGAAAGCCTCAAACTTTTCTTTATTTGGATTGATAGTTGTATGAAAAAGGCATTCTTTCGCCTAGGAAGATTCAAAACTAACAATATTGTTCTTCCAGATTTCCTTCATTGTCATTCGGAATGATTACATGCCCCACTATAAGGCTTCTTGGTTTGCGATGACACACATTCAGTTGAACATTTGAGCCCCGAAACTTTCCATGAATTGCCGAAAATGTCTTCCAGAGCATTACGAAAATTGCAAAAGCAGCGCGAACTAGAGGCACAACTCCAGGTCCCTGAGGATCAGGAGTCTGATGAAGAAGTCACGCCTGCCCCTTCAAAAAAGAAATTAAATGCATTCGACTTGCTGAATGCGGCCGAAGAAGATGATGAAGATGGCCAAGATTCAGAAGCTGAGATAGAATCGAACGAGACACATACCCCTCAAGTCAAAGCTCCGCCTGCGACTGCAGAAGTAGGGTCAGCCAAAAAGAACAAGAAGAAGAAAAAGAAGAAGTCGACACAAACTGCACCGCAGAAGCTGGCTTCCGAACCGGAAAAACCAGCTACAGAGGAAGAACTTGATGATATTGATCGAGCTCTCAGGGAGTTGGCAGTGAAGAATGGCACTGATGCCGTTTTGGGCGAGAATCAGCACATGCTTTCCAGCGCGAGGGAAGGCTCATTCGCCAAATCACCCTCGGAACTGCTTGCCATCGATCCAAAGTCTCTTAATGCGATCAACGAGATGCGGAAACTTTTCGGAAATGTCGTTCTTGAGTCATTTGATGATCAGGATACTGGATCTGGAAGACGAAGGGAACGGCAACGGGAGATGATTGACCTGGGGAAAGCGTTGAGTGGCCGATATAGTCCGGCAAGCAGAGGACAGAGTCTTGCCGGTGTAAAAATGCGGAAAAACATACTTATGCATGGAAAAGACGAGTGGCCGAGAACCACGAGTGGTGGGTTAGGAATGGAGCTCGTGCAGAAACTACCGGATGGTAGTAGTCAATATCGACTTGTGCACAACAAGGTATATAAAGACGTACAACTACAGTTTGACATGTGTGTTGAATCTATGGATCCTCAACGATTAATCCATCTGCTACAATACAATCGTATGTCTTTTATCTTGAAACATAGTGTGTCATAATACTGACAAGATTCAGCATATCACATCTCGACATTACTTCAAGTCTCCGAAATAGCGAAACACCAAGGTGATCATGCCGTGTCAGCTGATCTTCTGGAAAGATCGTTGTTCAACATAGGGCGTGCAGCTCACTCCTCATTCAATACCCAGCTCCAAGAAGGAAAGGCAAGACTGGATTTTATGCTCACGGAGAACCGAGAGTTATGGCTCACAGTATGGAGATATATTGCAAACCTTGGCATGAAAGGAACATGGCGAACAGCATACGAATGGGCTAAACTCGTCCTGAGTCTTGACATTAATGACCCTTACTGTATGAGGCTGCTCATTGACCATTTGGCACTGCGGGGCCGACAGTACGAGCATTTTATCTCTCTTTGCACCGAGACCGTTTTCAAGGAAGACTGGGAGTCATATCCCAATATCCAGTGTTCACTATCCTTGGCATACCTACGATTGAATAAGCCCAAAGAGGCTCGTCAGCAACTGCGGGCGGCCATGTCGTGCTATCCATGGATCTTCAACCGATTGGCCCAGGAGTTGGATGTGCAGCCTATTCCCAAAAGAATATGGGGAAAGATGCCTTCGGCACAGTCTCACGAATTACTCGCCGAACTTTATATATCTCGCGCAAAGGATCTGTGGAATACACCAGAAGTCCTTGCGCTCCTTGTGGAAATAGCAGAGACTTTGTCTGGAGATGTCGTTTCTATTGAACCACCAGAAATCACATTGGACATAGCACGCCACGTCGTACTTTCCGATATTCCAAGTGTCACAACTCATCTTCCGACTCGATTCACTACCGGCAGAATTTCCGCTTCTGACCCGCTGCCTCCATATGACTCCGAGGCTTACCGACAACAGACAAACCCAGTTCCTTCGTATATTTCCCAAATCCCAGAAGCCGCCCAACCGCAGTGGTTGAGAAATCTCCTTGGCCGTGTGAATCCAGAAGGATTCGAGCATGCAGATGATGATGACGACCACAGCGAAGAGGGCGAAGATAATAATCCAGAATTGGGTCCACCATATGTACTCGGAGGCTCGGACGAAGATGATGACCTTGCAAACGCCTTTCCTCCACCACCCGAAAGTGATCAAGGGGAAATTAGACGTTGGCTTTTGGGTATTGGTATCCCACCTCTTCAAGCATTCGTGCGTCAACACGGTATAGATCCTGGAAACTGGGACGATGTTGAATCTACTCCGGTGAGAAACTATGTCGATGCTTTAATAAGGGTTTATCCCTTTGAGGATAGGGAAGAATTGCTCTATGGACCAATTCAAAATATACTGGGTGAGATGGTGGTGGATCTGCTGGAATGGCAAGGGCAAATGCGTCCGGAATATTGGGAGCATCCAAGCAATTGAAGTGTCGCCACATGTGGAACATATTAGAGTCCCATGTTTCATGACAGAGAAAATATCCATGTTCGAAGTTTCAGGAGTGGTCGCAAGTCCTCTATCTCCAGTAGACAGTTTCAACCAATCAGAGACTCCAGAAAGTAATAATGTCGTGCAGTTAGACTTTTTTCTGCCGCCCCGCATAAGCGCGCGGTGTATCGTTACATCCTTTCCATCATCCATTTGTTTTCCTAGACGAAAATCTCAACTTTCAGTTTTAAGAAGAGATTTCGCCTCCTAATACGGATACTTTACTTATGTGGCAGATAAATCTCACTCTATTTGACAGTCAGACTCCAACTCTACACTCTCAGCCGTTTCAGACGGCAGAGAGTACATTTCGGCCAATTCCGCGGCTATGACATCTACAATGTCAAACTTCATATCTTCCCTGGCGGAAGATCTGTCACAAAATGTTCCCTTGACTTTCCGTGAAGCTGCATCCGGTGTATTAGGATCAGTATCCTTGACTTGTTGGATTTTCCTTTTAGTATGAACTCTCCTATTCAACCATTCAAATCTCAGTACGAGGCTGAAGCTGAGGTCATGTATTAACACTGCTGTCATGATGAAAAGGTCCCACAACTCATCGAAAACTACCGATTTGGCAGCGCAGAAGGCCTATCAATGGCCTTCCTTTTCGTCTGGTTCGTGGGCGACGTCACAAACCTCATCGGTGGTCTCTGGGCACAACTCGTCCCCGTCGTTCTCGCGATAGCAGTATACTTTTGCATCGCAGACGGTGTTCTAATCTCCCAATGCCTGTACTACAACATGCGTAACGCGCGCCGCGAACAACGCCGTAATAGCGTTGAATCAACCCTCGACAGTCCCACGCCAACCACGCCACTACTCGGTCGACGATTCAGCGACGAATTGAGTATACCCGGATCCGGGCGACGACGGAGATCGTCGGCATCGCAGAGGGATCTTCAGCAGCGTCGAGCTAGTCACCCAGACAGCACATTGGCGAAGATTGTCGAGGAGAGTGAGTCTGGCGCGAAGGCTTGGTTGAAGAATGTTTTGAGTGTTGTTGCGATTGCGGTTATTGGTGCGGGTGGTTGGGCTATTGCGTGGCAGATGGGGGTTTGGAAGCCTACTCCTGCGAATCATGACGGGGAGGGGGCTCCTATAGCACCTGGTGCACAAATTTTGGGGTATTTTAGTGCGATTTGTTATCTCGGGTATGTTTTGTCCTTGTATTTGGGGTGATGTAATCGCTGACAGAGGGTCTTACAGAGCTCGTTTACCGCAGATATACAAGAACTACTCCGAAAAGTCATGCGAGGGTCTCTCGTTGCTCTTCTTTGTTCTATCTCTTATGGGCAATCTCACCTACGGAGCCGGAGTAAGTCTTTCACGTCCGATTTACCTGACCCTATACTAACACATCCTCCAGATCCTCGCTCACTCGACAGAGAAAGAGTACGTTCTAAAAAATTTGCCCTGGCTGATCGGCTCTCTGGGCACGATGGTGGAAGACATCACTATTTTCATACAATTCCGCATCTATGCACGACCAACCCTTGACTCGTGATTGTTGATATTGTAATAGCAAACATTTCTTATATATGTTTCAAGAGAAGTAAAAGAGTAGTCTGAACACTGGCGAAAAGCGGGAATAGGGTTCGGCGTTTGGTGATTTACATAGCGAATTGCTTTCTTCGTGTATTGATTGGATCTTAGGTAGAACAAGACATTCGATATTACTATTGTTTGGCGCGTTTAAGCTGGCGCGACTATGATATCATGGAAGTCATGACAGTAAACCACTTAATTGGTTGGTGAATTGAGATTAGAGCAAGTGGGATCATAGGAATGAGACTCCATACTTTCCTCATACATTATTCTATGCTGATGGACATCCCATACTTCCAAGGTTTCTGATCTAATCTGACTGACTACGTAGTCGAATGAACATTTGCAGAATTTTTTTGTTCTTTCATTTGTGGAATTCAATCTTTGCCATTACCACCGTAAATATGACCACCATGATGACAACGAGCAAAGCTTTGACAAGACAAAACAACAGGGAAGAATGCCATCTTTTTTATGCGCCATCATGCAGTTCATAGTGATCAAGAAGGGCATCATGTTTCTCGTATAGAAAAGAAAAAAAGACTTCCCCATCATTTGACAAAGAATTTTGTTTTTTCTGCCCCCGAATATAATTCATCCATCATCCATATTTCATTAGAATAACGGATTTATCGAGTACATAGGACGAGAGAAGTGATATGAGATAGGAATAATTGTTTTGCGGAATTGTAGAGAGAAATAGGAGGATAAATGACCGGGGGGAATCGAATCAATGGCGTAAAGAAACAGTTGAGAAGACCGTTTAGTCGAAAAGACCGAATCCCATGTCCTCGTCGGACTCTTCCTTCTCTGTAAATCAGAGTCAGTATTCCACATTCTCCTAACATTGCTTATAATGCTAATTGTAGAGGGGGAAAGCGTACCCTCTTCCTTCTCTTCCTTCTTCTCCTCAGCAGCGGCGTCACCACCGGCAGCAGCACCACCAGCAGCGGGGGCGGCAGCGGCAGCACCACCGCCAGAGCCGACGTTGGTCAAGAGTTCCTTGACATCCTTGCCCTCGAGAGCGCGAGCGAAGAGCTGGGCCCAGATAGGCTCAACTTCAGGGACGTTGGCGGTCTTGATGAGAGTGTTGAGCTTGTCGGCCTGTTGAGAAACAGTTAGTCTGTCTGCATTCAAGAAACCCAAGTCCTTTTTTTTTCCATGTTTCCATATTTCGCTCCTTCTATTTGCTTGCGTGTGCGCACAATTGTGCCTTGGTTCTGTACTCCCATCCCGCACAGGCACAGTACAGTCCACCTCTTTCTGCTCAGATTCAAGACATGGGTTGGGTTGGGCAACATACGGTGATCTCGACGCCGTCGTCGGCAAGGATCAAGGCCGCGTAGGAAACAGCAAGCTCGGCGGTAGACATGGTGGTCGGTTTGGTGGACGAGAATAGTTGAAGTTATCTCGAGGAGTTGCCGTGGAATGGATTGACACGGAAAGAAAAGAAGAAGAGAGTAACAAGACGAGACTTTGATGCTAGCCCGAGCCGGAGATCGCAGAGAATGGCCCAGTGTGTGCCGCGCAAAAGCCCTCGCTTCTGTCGCACTAACCTCAGTACGGTTAGGCTGGTTGATATGATGACTCAGCAGTCAGCCCCGCGCTAGTCCTGAATGGGCGGGTTGCTTTCTACTGGAAAATCACAGCTAATTCTGATAAAGTCTTGGTTCTATCGCCTGCTAAATACTTATGAAAGTTCATTCTCTTCGCTTGTAGGTATACCGAGCTAATTCTAGGCACAAAGCCCGGTGATGCAATCATAGTTACTAGGTACATAAACGCATACTGAGACCAAACTTTTTCTGACTCTGCTGATAAAAATACACGGCTACAAAACATATCCAGATCCATTGAAGAATTCCATCAAAGAATCTGAAAATCATAGCATGTCTACTAGTACTATGTATGTAGTAGAAAGTTGCTAGTCATCTCCACATCCGGCGGCTTAGTATCTCTCGGAACTCTCCCCCACTCGATTATCCTCCGTTATCGACCTAGGACTAGACCCGAGCATCACCATCACCTGTTGACACTATCTACAATTCTGATCTGTCACTCTACTGAACAAATCTTACCCCTGTTTCCTCCTCAAACCTTACAGGAACCAGAATCACGAATGCGCTGAGCTCCTCTTCGAACTAAATATACTTATCCGTCCTTTCGTCATGGATTCCCCGGCTGTACCGGTCCCCCTCGATCCACGAGAACAGCCAATCCTCGAACGACTCCTGCGCACTCGAGACGCACTCTTATTATTGAAGCAAGATAAATCGTCTTATATCAAATCTCGGGATGTTCTTCCGCTATACGAAGAAGTGATCGGTCAGGTTGAGGGCTTGAATGCTGTGCGGAAGAACCAAGATCGTGACCGCCGAGTACCTCATAGTAGACGTCAGCAACCACCGAGCGGGCTTTGTTGTTTTCGAAGGAAACCATGAATATCAGAAGCTGACTTGTGGTGGTGCTTTTATAGTTGACTATGTACTCGACGATTGCTTTCAACTCATTTCCCTCCTCTTCCTCACAGTTGGCCGAAACAATGAGGCTCCCGCGACGTAAGTTACTCCATATTGGACAGCTTGCACGAGAGAGGTTTGAAGCTAAATTTTGGCAACAGATACTCCCTATCAACTACGGTTCTGGTATATTGACGCATTCCTTCCCGCTCCCCGCATCAAATACTAACATCAAACTCAGCGCTTGCTCCACCATCTCGAAGAAGCAGGATTCTATAGCGCCAAAGATCTAGAATCAATATCCCAGACCCTAGATAGCATGCGTGAAACCCTCGGACGTGGCAAAGATACCCATTCTCCTCATCTTCTAGAACTTTTAGAGAGCCGATTGGTGGAATGTCAAAAAATCTTTGATAAATTGCGCAAGGGTCTTGAGCATCTTTCGCCCGAGCTTGTGAAATATCATGAAACTTTGGTCTCGATTTTGCGGTCTACGTCTGCCGCCAATACTCGTTCAAAGGTACAAACTGCCAGCCCGGAGATTGCGAATAATTGCTTACACTGGTGGTTTAGTTCTCGTCATCCGAAATCCTTGACTTGCAAGAAGGATTGAAGGAAATTCAGAATAGTACGAAGGATGGCAACTTTGTTGGATCCGATGGGCAGATTCTAGAGGGACAAGAGAATGTCAAGCGTCTTTGGGAACGGTGCTGGAGATGGACAGAGATTGTCCTTGAACGGTAGGCTCTGCATTCTTGTCTCTCATGTCAAAGCTAACGTCCCTGTAGAAAAGGTCGTATTGACGAACGTTTCCAAGAACAGTATGATCGACTTTTCGAGATTAGGAATCAGCTAGAACGACTTTCCATGACGCAGGCATGGTCACTTCGCGAGACGGATCTCTTCCAATACCAGCGCAAGCTTGATCGTATCGATGAGGCTCGCGTTAACGGCAACTTTTTGGATGCTAATAACCAGCCTGCTGATCTGCATACTCAACGAGTAGGTCCAACCTTCGTCTTGAGTCCTTTCACTTACTAATGGTCAAGCAGACGCTGCTTTATTTGATCCGCCGTAGCTATGCTTATATCTATGCACTTCTCATTGCTTCGGAGCCAGTCTCCGAAGCCCTCTTACCAATCTATAACCAACTACAAACCCTACGCCGATGTCTACTTGAAGTCAAGGACTCTGGCGGTGTCTCCAATGCCCGCGAACTTTATCCATACAGCATGAAGGTACTTCACCTCTCTCATACCTCGAACCGAACAGAAGAAAACTGACATGTATAATATCAAGCTAAACTCAATCGATAACATGCGCATCGACGGAAAATTCTACATAGGAAACGATATCCCCGAAGGCCAAGGAAGCGTAAACGCTTTATTAGCAGAATGTTATGAACTCGCGTACGAATTACGAGCAGCCGTTGACGAAGATAAAGAGGATCGAGAAGAATCATAAATCTTCTCTTTGAGTTAATAGTTGATATGCCGTGGACGAAGAAGAGAAAACACATTGTATGATAATGATAACTTTCCTTTTTTGCATGAAGATGTAATCTTTCATGGCTTCAGATGAGAATAAGGTTGCTCGACTGTCTATTTTGCCTGGCTTCTCCCCAATAACAACGATCTCAACCGCAAGTGTATATCCAAGGCTATTAGATTGGGATCAAACCCAAATAAAGTCACTACAGGTAGAATAAATTTTCTCCGCTCACTAAGAAATAAAAGAAGAACAACCACAGCAGTCATCACAGACGTCAGCTAGAAAGAGCAAGAACAACAACGATAAAGAGTTTCCCCTCTTGCTCAAGAAAAAAGGGGGTCCAATCTAGTGACTCCCACTGCAACAACGCGAAGCAGGGGTTCAGACGGTGAATTTATGGCCGATGTTTCCAGCTGAGAAGGGGGTTGCCGGAACGATCTATCCATTGCTTGGTACTGTGTAATCGATCAATCGCAAAATTTGGGCCTCCATTTGAGAGTGCTCAAGCAATATTCACTACGACATCAGTGACTGACAGTTCCGGAACACATCTCCATTTTTCCGAATCAAACAGCTCAGTCTCCTCTGGTAGTGCATCCTCCAGCGAGTTCCTCACTTCGGACGGTCCCAACCACTCCTTTGGTAACATGAGCCGTTCACAATGATCTTGACGCTCTCTCTCCGGTCCCTTTCTCCGAGTGAAAGCATCCGCTAGGGTGTTTTCTTTCCCGGTCGATGTTTGATGATGGAATGGTATTGGTGCAGGAGCTCACACCATCGAGCTTGCCTGTCATGAGTCGTTTAGCAGTTATGAAATATTGTAGGGCAATATGGTTAGATAGAATCTTGAATTGTTCCTGTCGTTGCAGTCCAATTAGCTCCACACGCCACTTCTTCAACGAGTCCACGATTGCCAAAAACTCTTTGTTATGGATGTCATAATTATGCTCTGCGGCCGTCATGCTTCGTGAGTAATACGCGACGGGATGTCACTGCCCATCTTCCTGCAACTGTGAGGGCACAGCTGCTACTATTCCATCTGGCGCATCGGCCTCCAAACCGGTAGGTAGTCCTGGGCGGTAATGACACGAGACAGGTGCACTGACCAGACGTTTCTTCAGTTCTTCAAAAGCTTCTTGGCACTCCTTAGTCCAGTCGAACAGCACGTTCTGGCGAGTCAGTCGGTTTAACGATTTCACGATTTTGGTATGGTTTTGTATGAACTTCCGGTAGAATCCACAGAATCCTAAAAACGACCTCACAACCGAATACGGTAGTGGACACAGTCCAGTTGATGATAATCTCAACTTTTCCCTGATCAACCTTGATGCCATCAGGAGCTAGGATAAAACCAAGAAACTTTGTTTCGGTCACATGGAACTCGCATTTATGGAGGGCTGCCTGTAATCCTGTGCTTCTAAGTCGTTTGAGCACCCTTTGGACATGGATCTCGTGCTCCAACTCATTCTCACTGTAAATGAGAAGGCCATCGATGAAGGCTATAAGGAATTGGTCAAGGTCGTCTATAAAAAGATCATGTACTAATCTCTGGAGCGTTGCATGCCCGTTTGGATTGACAAATGGCTTAATCTTATACTTATATGTGCCATAGCGACATCTGAATGTAGTCAGATCTTTAGAATCAGTGTGCATTCTGATGCGGTGGAAGCATTGACGGATGTCCAATTTGGTAAATATCCGAGCCCGACTCAATCGCTTAAAAATCTCCTCGATTAGTGGGAAGGGATAACGGTCCTTCTTAGTCAATTTATTTAACTTCCGATAGTCCACACAGAAGCGGAGTCCACCTCCAGGCTTCTCTGCCATAATCATTGGTGAAGTGAATGGTGCATTGCTCGACTCAATAAACCCTTTGTTAAGGTTGTCAATAATGCACTCTCGAGCGGCTTCCAGCTCCTCCAGTGACATTCGATACAAGGGCTGGTAGCTAAGCTTATTTGGCTTCTTCAGTTCGAATTTGTGATCATAGGGTTGATGCGGGGGGAAGCTTGTCGGATTCCTTTTTTGAGAAAACATCGACGTACTCTTTGAGGTAAGGTAAAGGCAACTATTCCTGTATTTCTTCCAGTTCTAGCTCCTTTTCGCTCATCTTCTTGCGGCTAATGACCTTGTCGATCTCTTATAGACTGGTAAGGAAGATGATGTTCTTCTTTTCTTGGACTAAGCGGTGAAATCCCACTCCTCCTAACATGGCGATATTGATCTTGACTGACTTCTTTTTGCTCGGCCTTTTGCGGCTCTGGGCTGGGACAGGAGGCTCCCCTGAAGGATCCTTATATGACTCTTGTGGTAGCTTCGGCTATACTCTGTTGGGATTTTGCTCTCCGATTTTTCAAATGCTCGATCCCGTCGCTCCATATTTCTCTGATGCGCAGGATTGACGGCCCTATCCCTCTGCAGTATCTCTCGTGGCACAGGAACATAGTCCATAGTCATGATTGATCTTTTAATGAGATGTCCTTCGGCCAATGCAACATTTTCCTAGCGCAATCCGGTAGTACGCCGTACTTTGCAAACCACATCCTTCCTCAAATAATGGCATGCTTTCCCATATCTATAATGAGGAACGGAGCATCCGACCGTCGTCTCCCATCCACGATTAGATGAAGACAATGGCGTGCGTGATCGGTGAAGCTTCCTTCCTATCGTATCCTCTTATAGCACAATCCAGTTCCATCCGGTGTGTCCTTACTTGAAGGAATTCGCTTAATAATATGGCGAAGTGGATATCCATAAACGCTAATCCGTTTGCTCCAGTGTCAGTAAGTGCTTTGGCAGAAATTGAGTGTGTATTCTTGGCTACTTGGACGGATATAGTGAGACTATCCTTCTCTCGTCCAATCAACTGACTAAGATCAATACCACACAAACTGACTTCGATCGAGTCTAGGTGGGAGGCTTTCCCTAGGCTGAGGCGTATGCTGCTTCATCTACCTTCTCTAGTTCCTTCAATTCGGTCGAACGGTTAGGGGTATTCGGACAATCCTTTCCAATGTGACCAAGCATCTTGCATTTGAAGCACTTGCCTTCCTTTATTAGCAAGGCACGAGCCTTTTTGGTGAGACGGTTGCCGCTATGGTATTGCGAGTTATTATTCAAAGGACTAGCAGCGGTTGTTATGGGTATCGAGGCACGAGTCGATAGTAACGGGGTTGTTCCATGTGGATTGGCCGCACGGCCCTTCACACGATCCTCGTTCAAGGATATCTGCTCGAGACGGTTTGCTGTAAGGCTGCATGCTTTAACGAAGTCGGGCCATCCTTTCTCTCGGTTATTGCGTTTGGCGATCATTGCCCTCTGCATCTCAAAGCTGAGCTTTTGGTACAATTCTTCTTTCTATCAATCATAATCAAGTTCAGCTTCTTGAGCAAGGCAGGAGGAATCGGATAAAAAGCCCTGGAATCCAGTGTCCTTTTTCATCTGAAGGCTGCGGAACTTAATCTTCGCTTTATTGACTTGGTTGGGTCTAGGAAATTATCCTTGAGGGATTCAAACATGTCTTCAACGTCTCCACATAGATGAGGATGACTAGGTCAGAGTCGCGGAATCAAGTGCTCTGCAGCCCTTCCTTCACACATGCACTTCACAAAAGCAATACGATCTTCTAGGTCAGGAAAGTGGTCCACGTTGGTCTTCATAGACTAACACATGTCGATCAGCCACGATTCAAAAATTAGGTCTTTGTCGTTAGACAATTTCTTAAGATCTGGCAACTCTCCCTCATCAGCAGGGGGTCCTAACCATGACAGACGCCAGACGGAGAACTGGATGAAGGAGATGAGGCAAATGGAGCAGTGGTAGAAACAGGTGGTGGACCAGCAGCCTATTTCGTTTTCCTAGATTTGGATAGCTCTGAAGCCATTTTTCATATCCGATAATGGTGATGCCGAACTCTAGCAAGATCAGCGAGCTTCTTGCGAGCTTTCAGAAAAGGAAATAGAGCACACGTCGACAACGATGCGGATCACTTGAAGACATCCACCATATTGAACTCAGTAATATGCCCAAAGGCCGGGCACGAATCAGTATTGCTGACGTTTGAGACACTGTAAGTTGGAGTCGAGGGTGAAATAGAAATCGACCACTTCACGATTTTGTCAATGAAATGTCTTCCCAGTCATTGGAAGCATCTAGCTTGCATGCATGGAGTTCTGTAATCCATTGAACTCCTTGACGATCCCAAGATATTGTCTCATTATTGATAAAAGAAGATCATACCGGTTGCGTAAGAAACCCTCCTTGAATTTCTTTTCCATTCTTCTTGATCAAGAGAACTAGCTCTTTGATATTTCACAGTATTCAGAAGTTCCTTCTTTGTTGGATTCAAAGCCTGGTTCTCATTGCGTTTTTCCCGTTCGAGTTGTGCGTAGACAACTCCAACAATTTCTCGATGCTCTCTATCGAGTGGAAGCGAAAAAACTTTTCGATTGCAAGAATACTATACCGTGGAGTTTAAGGCACTGCTAAGTCATGCCATCATAAAGAATGCTGAAGTATCGGAATGGACTTTGGATCATAGAGAAGACAATTCTGTTGAATTTCTATCCTGTACCACAGCTGTGTAAAGGCACAATTGGATTCTTGGCATCTTTTTGCTTCGACAATGATTGAAATGCTTGACGGCGTCAACTAGCTCAAAAAGTAGCCTCAAGGGAACATCGACACAAGATCATATGGCCTGTCAGTATGACTGCTAGATCATGCAATTCCTCCTGTGTGATGTAGACCATGGAGCTTACAGCTCATTGGATTTTGCAGTGTCATTCGCATGTCCAATTTCTTGAATATTTTTCACCTTTCCACAGAGTCCTGAAGCTTGGCGTTTTGTGGCATGTTGTATCAAGTATCGAACATGATCGATTTCATACACTGGATGTTGGAATTTGCTCACAGGACGTCTTCTGGCTTACTCCGCCGTTCCTTGCCTATCGACTCACGGTTTTTCCCTCAACAACCCTAGTTTGTTTAGGTAGCCCAGACGCCCCTAGTTGGACATATTGGGTTCAGGATAATAATAATAATACTTGTATGCTTCATACCATACCATAACGATCTTTTGTGAATCTGAAGGTAGTTAGTATCATTGAAGCAGATGGTCCAATTCAAAGTAGCCTTTACCTCTGATGTAGTATTGACGTAAAACACATAAACTAACCTACCTCATACAAGATTTCCGCTCAAACGGGATGTCTGGTAAGGATCATTGATTCAGTTGACACGGGTGAGTCCCTTGATTTATAGGCTGTGTCCATTCACGGCTTCTTGAAGAACTGTTTCATCGAACCCAAACTGCAAAGCCGTAAATCGTCTGCCAAACCCACCAGGATGCTGTTCTGTAGATTCCATGATGACTGTCTAGTAAATGGCTGCAAAGGTTCGTAACGGTTGGAGGCTGTTTCACTCACTTACCACAAAGTGCCTCAGTGATATCGATCTCACGGTCTTCGTACCTTGGCTCATTCTAGGGCCGTAAATGACACCCTCTTCATATGTATTCATGTTGTAGGCTATCTGTAGGCTATCGTAGGGTATTGTAGTGGATTGTAGTCAAAAAGTACAACCGCCAGGTGAAAATCTGCGGTTGTAGGAGGGTGAGGAAAACGCGGCATCAATAAGGTAGCCTCTTTGGCGATGTTACCCTCGGTGTACGCTGAGAAAGGAGGTTACGCACGGGGCTTCGAATCCCCAGGTATTGTGCTTGCCCAGGTATTAGTCACAAAGATCGATTGCGACTTGGGAGGTAGTTGGTTCAACTCGTCCTCGATGGAATCTCGCTTTATTTCGTCGATTTCTGGGGATGCGTTCTCGGCTCAACCTGGATGTACGTATTACAGGTATCCGTCGAAAGGTATAAGACAGTCCTTCTGACTGTTGACACTCTATAAGCCCACGATTGTTCCTGATCCATTGTTGACATGAGCATTGCTTTGATGTCTTTGGTCACTAGGAGTGAGACGTTAGCTAACAATCTGAGCCAAGTAAGAAGTGGTACGTACATGGTAGGCGGTAGACTGTCATATAACAGACTCGCTCTGTGTTCTGAACATCCACATGGTCCGCTATTCCTATTAGCTAATGTCAACAGTCAGTTTCTGGGGGGCCTCGTACACCAAGACATCGTTGGTTGAACGATAATATTCATTGGCGTGGTTCAGTTGGTCATGATTGTAAACGTAATTTTGGAGGTATAAAACGGGTAGGATGATCAGAGGAGACGAAATTGGTATATAAAATTCTCAAAACCCCAATTTGAGGATGTTGATGTATAATGAAGAAGAAGAAGAAGAAGAAGAATAAGAAGAGGGAGAACACGCTGAAGGGGGCAAACGATGGGTATTTATACGGTTACCTATGGCCTGCCATCATCTCAACCTGATTGTTCAGCCCTTGTCATCGATACCATGTCGGAGCCTTAAAGGGAACAATTCTTTGTATCGTTTGCCATGAGGCTTATTATTTGTTAGTCTTGTCTTCTTTGTTAGGTGTGGTCCTTCATTTCTCTCTGTCCCGGGCACTGTTCACCGGTCCCGATTGAGATATCTCATTCGTCGTCCTCACGTTTGCCCAATCTCGAGGAGTCCACCGTGCTCCAAGAAAGTAATAATTCCCGGACAAACAAGCAATATGCTTAATTCCGTCCATGGTGTTCTAGTCATGCCAGTTTCGTGAACATCCAGCGTGACTCCTAATTCGGTCTGCGAACCTACTGCCCTCCATGGTCCCATTGCAAGATCGAGGTACGTATATCCCGTAAATGCAGATGAGCCAGAGTCGATCAAGTCAGGTTCGATAGTCCAGACGTAAATTAGAAGAATGTATGTGAAATGCTATCCCTTCGCTTGTGCATGTATTCTTCAGGGAAAAGGGGTGGACTTAGTGTACATGTGTTCTTGGCGCAAGATTCAACTATACCATCGCTCAATAATCCAGTTAACCAAATTAACCCAGGTTGCACTGTTCTGGGGGCACAATGTTTCATAATTCCGTATTAATCGGGACTTGCGCAATCGATTCCATGACAATCCCATGCAATAGTTGATACACAATAGGGAATATTCTGGAGCTTCATCCCACATTCTCATTGAGCTTCATGAATTGCAGTTCAATTCCAGAGACAATGCCGTAGGCTGTAGTCTCTGTTGCATCGCTTGGACCAAGTGACACGCTTTTTTGATGCGCGCCTACCATGTAGGTAACGGCCTGAGCTGGACCCTGGTATGTATCAGTGGTCCTCTCGGACATTGATGTCAAAGGCCAAATGCCACTCTTGTAGCATACCACCAGATCGGCATTTCCGGTAATGACAGATTCACCATTAGGTGACTGGGCGATGATAGGGTAATCACCTGTTACATACATCTTCCTTTCGGTGAATGCTTCGTGGGCTTCAATGAATCAGAAGAGGGATGTTCGAGCATCTCTTGCAATAGGTGCTCTTGAAAGAAATTGCGATTAGCTTTGTGAGTCATGACATGTTGAAAGAATGTAAAGTGCCAAAGGGACGACATACCAGTAGCTTCTGAAATCCTCATGTCGGATAGGTCTGTTGGACTCTCCCAATGATAGAAATCGAGATTCAGCAGCAAAGCCGCGTCTTGGATGCCAGAAAGACTAGAGGTTTCAATATGTGTTCCAATTGATGCGGCTCGAAGCTCGAGAGGAATGTTGCTTGATTCGAGGAAAATACGCTGCCAGGTCTCACGGGAGAGACCATCCGAGCTTGGTGCAGTCACACTAAGAATTTCACGGAGGTCGGATGAGGAGATAGATATGAGGACGGTTTATTTATTGACTTGTACCGCAGAAATAGGATGTGGACAGAGAGACTTCAAGAGGTGGTAGTTGATGATGGACGAACAGGGGGTATTGAAGGATGGAGAGGGACAAAGATGGGAGAAAGAAAGAGTCCGAATTTGGAAGACGCCCAAACATAGTCGAGGTCATATGAAATGGCTGCCTGAACCTTCAGGAGGTTTGTTGGTATAAGTACAATTTCTCCCCTTCTTATTCTGAATTCTTCCTTCTCTCCTCATAGCTCTCATAAGTGTAGTATCTGTTCTTTTCATCACGTGGACTATGATGATGTATCGTCTATTTTAGAAGATGTTTTGATATGGTGACTGGACGCTTAGGGAGGATCAGAAGCTATGTCGCGAAGCTCTTTGCGATTGAAATCTGAGTCCATATTTGATGCAATGATGTTGGCTATAGGTAGCTGTGATCGTTGCCTGCAGTGCTTGGGATTCGGATTGACGAGTTTTATCTGTTTGTAACAATAGATGCAGAAGATGAGGTGAGATATATCCTGAATCATGTCACGAGATAGCAAAGTTGTTCCTGAATAAGATAAAAATAAAACTCAGCGATCATCCATGCTGATTGAGCAACAGCCAATCAGATGGCAAATATGTAATATAGACCTCGTATTCTAGGCTGCCACTGCCCAGTATCCTTGCTTATTTCAGGGAATATCCCTGGTCGTCGCCTGGGCAGACCCTCAATCAATACCGCCTTCAAGTCAAAGAACAAACTTTTGAAATAGCCAAAAGCCAAAACACTCCATCAAAATGCGCATTTCCGAATCCTCGTTCTTCACCTTCGCAAGCTTTCTCTTCGGCGCAATATCTACAGGATTTGGAATCAACAGCTTCCTCCGTCCAAATCATGCTCTGAGCTTCTTTCACTTCGATGACCTACGAACATCCGGCGACCAGCAACTCGTCGATTACCTGATGTTCATCTACGGCGCACGAGACATCTTCATGGGCGTGACAGTATGGCTAACGCTCTATTTCGGTACGAGAAAGGCCCTGGGAGCGGTGACGATTGCCTCCGGTGCAGTAGCTGTTGTGGATGGTTTTGTATGCAAGTTGCACGGGATCGGCGAGTGGGATCATTGGGGGTATTCGCCTATGATCATCGTGACTGGATTGGTGTTAATGGGGGTTCTGGACTGGTAATTCCAGTCTCGATGTGAATCAACAGACGTCTTCATGATGTTTGATTGAAAGTTGACTTGTAGACATTGATGTTGATGGATCATGGAGATGGAGATGGTCCAATATCAAAAAGAGAGGTGCTTACACTAAGCCATAATAGTACTAGAGCCATACATAGTAGATCCGATTTCGGAGCTATTCTCTAATGCCGACAGCCAATCAGAAGCCATGTAAATTAAATCAAAGCAGTAAATTTGCTGGGGTAAAACCTCGCGTTTTCCTCTTCTCTCCACGCGTGGAGAAGGTGACAGTCATTGCCATATATTCATATATTGTATGGTTCGTTCAGTATCAATTGCTTTCTAAGAGAACTCCCCTATATCTTCGCCCCAGCCAAAACAATTCAGTCCGGGATTGTCCCGTGAGTCACGATGGTGAGGCAGTTGGTCTGGCAGCGGGCAGTGGCCACTCACAAGGTTAGTAAATCGCCAGACTGTCGAGAGATTCTTCAAATTAATATTGTTGAACAGGTATCATGTCTTACTCCTACCTATCGACGAACCCTTGCGACAGCTGCGTCCAGCTCTCGCATGCCCCCATACCCGAAGATCCTCCGAAACTTCGAAGAAGTGCGCCGCGTCCTAGGTTCCCAGCGCGCACTCACACTAGCCGAAAAGATCTTGTATTCTCATTTAGATAACGTGGAGGAATCGCTACTCTCCAGCACCAACAATGGCCGTGATATTCGCGGGCAAGCAAACCTCAAACTCAAGCCGGACCGTGTCGCCATGCAAGATGCTTCAGCACAAATGGCGTTGTTACAATTCATGTCCTGCGGATTACCGTCTACCGCGGTCCCAGCTAGTATTCACTGTGATCATATGATTGTCGGAGAACGAGGCGCGGATACCGATTTACCTGCCTCGATTCAGGGAAATAAGGAAGTCTTTGATTTCTTAGAATCAGCTGCTAAGCGATATGGAATTGAGTTTTGGCCTCCTGGTGCTGGTATCATCCATCAAAATGTTTTGGAAAACTACTCAGCTCCCGGTTTGATGATGCTTGGTACCGATAGTCATACCCCCAATGCGGGAGGCTTGGGGGCTATTGCTATCGGTGTCGGCGGTGCTGATGCAGTTGATGCTTTGGTTGACGCACCGTGGGAATTGAAGGCCCCTAAGATCCTGGGAGTCCGGCTCGAAGGTCGTCTAAGCGGATGGACTTCTCCCAAGGATATTATCCTACATCTTGCCGGTAAACTTACGGTTCGTGGTGGCACGGGCTTCGTTATTGAATATCACGGACCTGGTGTCGATACCCTCAGCTGTACTGGAATGGCGACTATTTGTAACATGGGTGCTGAAGTTGGTGCTACAACGTCACTCTTCCCTTTCTCTCCTAACCACGTTCCATATCTCGAAGCCACCAATCGTGCTGCTGTCGCTGCGGCAGCAGCGGAGATTGCAGCTGCTGGGTCTCAGAGTTTACTCAGAGCTGATAGCAAAGCTGAATATGATCAATTGATTACCATCGATCTGGCCACCCTTGAGCCGCATATCAACGGACCCTTCACGCCAGACTTGTCCGTTCCGCTTTCAAAGTTTGCCGAAACAGTGAAGGAGAATAAATGGCCTGAAACATTCGGTGCTGGACTTATTGGTAGCTGCACAAACAGCTCATACGAGGATATGACCCGTGCGGAGGACTTGGTCAAGCAAGCGTCTGCAGCCGGCTTGAAACCCAGAGCTGATTTCTTCGTTACCCCCGGTAGCGAGCAAATCCGCGCCACTCTCGAGCGGGATCAGACGTTGTCTACTTTCTCTGCTGCCGGCGGCACCGTACTAGCCAATGCATGCGGTCCTTGCATTGGTCAATGGAAACGAACGGACGGAGTTGCAAAGGGCGAGGACAACGCTATCCTGACTTCGTACAACCGTAACTTCCCAGGCCGTAACGATGGAAACCGACGAACCATGAATTTCTTGGCATCCCCAGATATTGTTACCGCAATGAGCTATTCAGGAAGCACTACATTTAACCCCATGACCGACTCGATTCCTACACCTGACGGCGGCTCATTCCGTTTCCAACCCCCTGTTGGCCATAGTTTACCCAGTGCTGGTTTTGAGGAAGGAAACCCAGCTTTCCAACCTAGTGCTGCCGTGCCTGATCCTTCAGTTGAAGTGGTTGTTTCGCCTACTTCGGACCGATTGGCCATTTTGGAGCCCTTTGCGCCGTTCCCATCTCGCGAGCTTACAGGTCTCAAGGTTCTTTACAAAGTTAAGGGTCAATGTACTACAGATACTATTTCCGCCGCAGGACCATGGCTCAAGTACAAGGGCCATCTCCCCAACATCTCCGCAAACACATTGATTGGAGCCGTAAACGCCGAAACTGGAGAGACCAACGTCGCCTACGACGAGTCTGGTAACCACCACTCCATTCCAGAGCTGGCTGAACAATGGAAATCCCAGGGTAGTGAATGGTTAGTCGTTGCCGAAGACAACTACGGAGAAGGCAGTGCCCGTGAACACGCCGCACTCCAACCTCGCTACCTCGGTGGACGTATCATTGTGGCCAAAAGCTTTGCGCGTATCCACGAAACCAACTTGAAGAAACAAGGTGTCGTACCTCTTACTTTCGCCGATCGAGCAGACTATGATCGCATCGGTGCATGCGACCAAGTCGATACGGTGGGGTTGTATGATTTGTTGAAGGCCGGTGGTCAGGGCGAAGTTAGTCTTAGAGTCACCAAGCATAAGACGGGGGATACGTTCACTATTCCGGTCAAACATACACTCAGTAAGGATCAGTGTGGATTTATTCTTGCTGGAAGTGCGTTGAACTTGTTAGCCAAGAGGGGGCAATAGTCCAACTTGATAAAAGCGATTCGCATTGATGTATTTGTCTTGATACGGTGTTTGGCGATATTGATTATATATACAGCCTGGGTCTATTATACCCAATAAAATATCATTTTTTATTTCACGAGATCCAACATGACGAGTGTTAAAATGTAACTATACAAAAGCCCCACATTGGTGTTGATGCTAGCCCCATGACTAAATTGATATCTTCATGTGGGGAGACATCTCCAACTGCTTACAACATCATGCCTACGAAAGACCCCGCATCATTTGTCATACTTTCATAGAACAATGTATATAGCTCAGATCCTGAAAATTGACCTTTTATCAGCTTCCAAATACTTGAACATTCACCACCAGTAGCCTAACCTCTGCCAATTCTAACAATGTCCCAAGCGACAATCCGACCAGCCTTCGCCGGCCGCCATGAACCCCGAATCTCATACGGCGCTCCATTCCCAGAAGCAACCGCCAGCCAAGCCGAGAGTTATTTCCATGCCTCGAAAGTATACGTGATATGTTCCGGATCCCTGTCCCGCAACACCGATGCTCTGGATAGGCTCAAGCGTGCCCTGGGGAGCAAGTTTGCAGGCGTCCGGATTGGTATGAAGCCGCATACATTGTGGTCTGAGGTTGTGGAGATAATCAATGATGCGAAGAGTGTTGGGGCTGATTTGTTGGTCACTCTTGGAGCGGGGAGTTTGACCGATGCTGCGAAGATTGTTTCTTTTGTACGTCTTCATCTCATTTTGAGAGGAATAGTGAAAAGTGTTGACGAGGTAACAGGCCCTCGCAAACGACGTCACTACATTCGACGGTCTATACAGTCTTACCACAAACGTAAACAAAGACAGCAACGAACCCGCCGGAAAGAAAAGTGCAATTAAGGGTTCAGTGATACCCATTATCAGCATCCCAACATCCCTATCTGCAGGCGAATACTCCGATTTCGCAGGCGGCACAAACGACAAGACGCATCGCAAACACAGTTTCCAAAAGCCTCTCCGCGGCCCACGGTTGATCATCCTCGATCCGGAGTTGACTGCTACAACACCGGACTCTATCTGGTTGAGTACCGGTATCCGTGCAGTTGATCATTGCGTAGAGACTCTTTGTTCAACTGTGTCTTATGAAGAGACGGATGAATTGGCGCAAAAGGGGCTGGGGATGCTGGTGCCGGGATTGTTGAGGAGTAAGCATGACAAAAAGGATTATGAGGCGCGGTTGAATTGTCAGTTGGGTTCTGTGGATGCTATGGCTGCTTGTACGCATCCGGAAAGGGTGGTTGAGTTGGGTGCTAGTCATGGGATAGGTCATCAGGTATTCCTTCTCCTTTTCTTTTCCTTTCTTTTGGAAATTTTATAGAAGACTAATAGATATAGCTTGGTCCCCTTGGAGTCGGCCACGGTGAGACAAGTTGTATTCTGCTCCCAGCCGTATGCAAATACAACGCCTCCAAAAGCGCAAACAATAACCGACAAGCACGCGTTTTGAAGTTTCTACTTGACCAACCGACCGTCCAGGAAGTCGTCAAGAAGTACAACATCAACCCTGAATCAGCAGATCTTGGAGATGTCCTAGACGGCATCATCCGCGAATTGGGTATGCCCCGGTCCCTCAAGGATGTAGGGGTTGGCCGTGATCAGCTCGACAAGTTGGCGGAACACAGTCTAGAAGATAGATGGTGCAAGACTAATCCAGTCCCATTGGAGGAGAAAGGACAGGTTTTGGAGATTTTGGAGATGGTTGTTGAATAGACCATCGAAGAGCTTAAACTATAGTAGAACCATATAAATGTACATTTTTGTCAGTCTATGTACCTAAGTAGAAGTCTTAATATACCAAGCCACAGTATCCTTCAAAGTCAACAACTCCGGATTCCCAATAACATCATTATCCCTCTTCTCATACAAAGTCCCACCTTCAGCCCAAATTCGACGCAAGGTATAAATAGCCGCATCAGGACGACCAGTTTCCCAAGCAGTCTTTTCGAATTCCTTCACTCCGTCAATGGACGTCTCGTGAACGGTCCATCCACCGCCAGTTTGTCGCTCAAATTCGGCTTGGATTTCGGCTGGCGTGACAGTGTAGGAATTGACTTTGAGAGCTTTGTTGAAGGATGCGGATGGATGGCGGAGGGCGGCGAGGACGAGGTCGCCAGTGCTATTTCATCCATTAGTATCATCTTTCAGAACTGCTACTCAGAAAAGGGAAGGGAGGACATACTCCTTCATAGTCGTAAAACTAATCTTATTATCCTTCTCCAGTAAATAGGCTGTCTTGGATTTGACATCCCAACTGCCAGCCTGCGGATATCCTGCTGGTCCCTTGAAATACATCTCCGGATACGGACCCGTTACGACGTAGGTGTACTTAAGGCCACTTTTCTTGATTCCATCATCTTCTTCAATATAAGCTCTAATCTTGAGTTTCGCCTGATGAGTAGGCTCGCTAGCTGATGAAGGGCCGTATTTAATATCTGTGCCGTATTCAGAAGGGAAAATCCATTTAACAGATGAGCCAGGGGAGGCGGCGAGTTTGATGAGTTGGATTTGAGGTAGGAGGGCGCCTCGGCCTAGGGCGAAGATTACTGTGTCGATTCCTTCCATTGTCTTGAGTTAGTCGAGATAGTACTAAGTAGAGAGGGAATGAGTACCCTTGTAAGCATTCACAACATTCGTCTCGTTGTTGATATCACCAATAATGATTTCAACGTTCTTCGATTTGAGTTCTTCAATGAACTTTTCCTTGTCACTGCCTGCTGCCGGAGCACTAGTTAAAATAGCGATGCGATCAAACTCGGATCTTGCAGAGACGATTGATTGAGTGATGAATCGGCCAATGTTCCCTGTTGCGCCGATTATGAGGATATTGCGCGGTTTGAAGTCTGCCATTGCTCCAGGCCAATTGGTTTTGTAGTCACTGGGCATATGCACGTACTGCTTTGAGGCAATGAAAAAAGAGGAAGGAAGCAACAGAAGACGAGGTGGTACTTATGCAGATACCTTTGATCATCACTTCATCTTCCCCCGCACCTAAAACGGTTGATTATCAATCAGGTCTATACCCGAATATATTGAACGTTAACTTTTTAAGTCAGATACATTACTAATCCGTAGAGAAATATGAGACAGAGATGCTTTTGAGTGGAGATTATTTGATTAATGTCTTAAAGATTCGTATCGTGATATTAATAAGAAGCATTTCGGCATTCGACATTTTGTACATATACGAATTGGCGTCCTGTGATTGGTCAATTCTCGGGGTTTGGTGGTCAGGTAGAAGACGTCAATTTGTCAGCATGAGAGGACATGTTTAGTCGAATAACAAAATTGTCGTTATTATTGCTTGAGTTAATCAGGGACTGTCAAAAAATCGTCTCGGTGTGTTGTTCTGGCGATCTGTTCATGTCTGAATGGTTCACCCAAAGTTGGCCTTGAGATTAGGGCTAAGTCTAAACAAGCCCTCAATTCAGGATGTCTAAGCAAATATTCAGCCATTAGCTCACACCCATCAATTCTTGGTAGTAGCGGACAGGATTTACTTTTAACTCCCCAGATTGATCACGCTATCTCCTAGGACTCAAAATCTAAGAAGCAGGAGCCAGCCCTGTGGAGCCGTGCTGTGACATTTCTCCCAAGGTTTGCAAAGGCATGTACCCTATCGAACTGATAATCGAATACCTAAACTCTTAACAAAGAAGCCCTGTAAACACGTCAAAACACGTACCGGCAAAATCAACCGAGAATTTAATTGGCCGTAGACCTCCATTTTGTCGAGCCGAAGCTGACTTTGACCACCCGTGAAATCGACCAGTCAAAATATTTCCGCATCCGGAAAGTCTTACTGTAATTGGATATCTAGACTTTGCGGTCATCGATCTAGATTTCCCTTTGCGATTTTCTTTTTACTTTGGTCACTCGATTTGGTCATTTCACTTATAGAAGATTTTGAATGTGGCATTTTCTCTGTCTTGAAACTCTGCTGTACGAACTTGACGTTCGAAAATTCTCCATCGAAACCTTGGGATCTATCCTCGGCAAATCTCCCTTTTTCCAAGAAGTAGGAAAAATCTCCTTATACCTCGCCTGGCCCTCTTCGCACGAGCCTCGAAAAGAGAATCTTGGTAAAGGGTTCGGCTGAATCGTACTTTTGTCAAAGGTGACATCTATGCCTCCACCTGTACCTTCTAGGTAAAGCGAAATATGAGCAAAGAATGACCTGGAAGTCTTTTGCCACGACGAGATATCACCTTCCTGTTTAAATATATCGGTGCCGAGTTGATTGATTTATATTTTACGTAAGGTAGGTATATCCATTCAATTTTTGTTTTCCGTCCTATATCAACAAGTTCCATCAATATCATTTTGCAGTCTTTCGATACCAACGTCCTTAAAATGTCGTTGCTGATTTGATCACTATTGCCAGAAGGCTGAAGGAACGGCAATACAGCCATTGTTCTTATAATACGATAAATGCGTGCATCCGGTAGCACCTCATCAGTGGACTCTACTCAAATGCAGCGCGAGCCCTCCTTTCCTTCTCCATTAGTCAGTCATGGATATTACGCATGATTCTAGACAACAAACAAACTCAAATAATGGATTGAATGCACATCAAACCAAAAGTCTCATCTCTATATGGGTACTATTCGCCCCGTCGAGCGTAGTCATGATCCTTCGACTTATCTCTCAATTCGGGATTCTGCGTGTTGTTCGAGCGGATGATATTTTGATGATTATAGCATGGGTAGTCCCCCCATTCTAATACAATAGCTGTGCCCTTTTGACCTGTGGTCTGATAATGCCTAGATCTTCCAAACAGTCAAAACAACCACATCCACAATCTCCCTATACTGGGGCTTCGACAGGCACAACGCCGAACTTTCCAGTCGACAGGCCTTCGTGAACATGATGCGATTCCAAATGTGTTCCATGATCTTTGGCACTTTGTGCACAATCTTCGGTCGAACCTCATTCGCCGTGTTCTTGCTATATTTCATTCGACGCATTTCGCGGCCTAGGACGTACCTGATTTGGAGTCTAATTGTACTACAGGTGATTGTCAATGTGTTTTTTCTTGTTTATAATCTCGTGAAATGTGCGCCGGATGATATGAATTCTAGGGGTGTTTGGGAGGCGGGAGTGTGTTGGACGTCGGGTTCGGCGTTGGTGGTGCAATATGTTCAAGGGGGTAGGTTATCAATCTTTTATATATAAAACACGATACTAATGTTTAATATCTAGCCATTAATGCAGCGACAAATCTCTGCCTTACATTCCTCGCCTTAGGTTTAGTTCTGCAAATACGTGTCCCAAGATACAACCAAGTCAGCCTTGGAATCGTTCTTTCTCTAAGCCTAATGTAAGTTCTACTACCTCAGCGAACCAATGAATCACAATTTGACAGTCTCAGCGCTACGATTGCTCAAGTCCTTGCTACCATCGCGGTGAGTCGGTTCGCAAGTGATGATTCCGATCTTGCATGTGAGTATACTACAACACAATTCACATTTTGCCGCTAACAAGTCAAAGATCGACTCAATACATGGATCTATTGGTTTTCGTAAGTATCAATCAAATACCTAACATTTGTTCTTCTTGTCGCTAACAAAATAAGAAAGAATTGAAGACGCCGTTATCATAATCACAGCCTCAATACCCAAGATCAGACCCGTGCTCTTGGTAGCATATAAACGCCTCCGAAGACATCGACTATGGAACAAACTCACCTCCAGCGATCGATTGAAGTTTTTCACGAGGCGTCATGACAGAAACAACGGAGCAGGTCACATTTCCATCCGCAGCCATCGTGTTTCCACAGATGACCATGAAGAATCGTCTATACTCCATCGACTCAGAAAGCCAAATACATGCAGCAGCATATACAGCAGAAAATCCAAACCCACCACACATCACAGCAGTCGTCAAAACAATCATGAATCATTCGAGCAATCCTCCTCTTCACAGAAAACAAAACACCACCGTCGACATCTCAGCAGTACCAGCGGGGCCACAAAATCCAGTCTCGGCTCTCACCCCCTTTCACGCTTCACAACAGCAACCACCGGCGTCGACAGTATCGATTTCAGTAATGCCGATACTAATCCTTCTGCTCCTTTCTGCCCATCTGGTCTGGCGAATGATTTTTGGCCTATTTCATCGCCACAACTTACATGTCAAACTGTTATTTCTGCTGGTGATGATCCACCTCCACCACCGTCGCCATTCGCGTCGTTTTTACTACCTCAACTACCGCCTACAGCTGTAACTCCATCGAATTCCCTTACACCAACGAATGGAAGCGGTCGATCGTCACGGAATAGTCGTCGGGAATGTAGTCGTGCCGCTGCAGAAAGCGGATTCACGACTACAAATTCATCTATCATCTTCCTACCAGTCAACAATATAGCCGGACCATACCCAATCCTACAAACGAATCATTTCAGCATTGAATACGAGGATGAGAATGATAGTAATCAGCAACAGCAGCAGGATTTGGCCTTGATATGGGCCGATGCTCAACTCGCTGATATTGCTACTACCTCGAGCAGGAGGTATAATGAGGATGATGCCGAGGCTTTGCAGTTGCATGATGTGGGTTGCATATTAAATGAATCGAGGTTGAATCAGCCTTGATTATGATTGAGCAATATCTGCATGGACCTGGGGTTGTACAGTTATCCTGGGGTGTAGGTATGCCATTGTACATATTTGTATATACTTATGATCTTAGATTGAGATCTGTCTCAGTCATGTAAAAGGTAGAGAAGCCCGATCTTCGACAAGAATTAACAATCTTAAAAGAGTTGTCCTATTAACAGGCATAAACATCACACCGTAGAAATTCAAGCTGAAAAGAAAATGGCATTGGGGGAATGTTAAAACCATCTGTATAAACTAACTAATTTCCTGGTGAAGAGAATTACACATAAGAGATTTCATCATGACAAGAGAGCAAAGACATCAAAAGGCCACCCGCTCTACTGGAAATACTTCCTCACGGTTTCCTGATTATCTGGATTGACACCAGCCAAGATCGCCTCTGCGTTTATGCCTGTTGCTTGTACTAATCTTTTTGCGGCATCGGCGACCCTCTTGGCTGTTTCGCCTTGGAGGGTCTCGTTGTCGAGGGCTTGAACTATATATCCGAATGCCTTGTCTGCGTTGGAGAGGACGGCGGGGTTTTGTCTATTTTCTCGTTAGTTTACGATCAAAGGGTTGGGATAGGTGGTGAAGAACTTACTGGTCAATCAGTTCGGCGAGGAAAGAGTAGGCATATGGAGCAGCCTCTTCATCGTTTGTGATTGGCAATGTGTTAAGCCAGTTGGCAACAATCTCCTGTGGATTTTGCACCTTTTCGTTATTGAATCGTAGGATCTTTGCGATACTGGCCGAAGCATTTTCAGTCGCAAATACATGCTCTTCCGTTCTTGCGTGAGGGTGCTGCGTGACCTGGAACAGACTGGGGATACTAGCAGCAACAAACTCGGCGAAAGCTGGACCTCCCTTTTGAGCAGCAATACCGACACCGTACGAAGCGGCTTGTCTGTTGGGACCGTTGGAGTCTTGTAAGCCGTTAATTAGAGGCTGTAAGATGTGATCCTTGAAAGCCCAAGAATCCGGGCCGCAGAATTCAAGTACATCGTCCATAATGCAGGTTGCCCATTGACGTTGTGTTGGATCGCTGCTGCTGATGAATGCATCGTAAATGAGCATCAGGCGCTGCCACGACGGCAAGAAACTAGATCCCTGGTTCTTGAAGATGGCATGGAAGGCTTTGTTCATATCGCTCAGAAGAGCCTGGTCATCTTCAATAGCATAGGCGATCGACATATTCTCCTCGTCGTTGTCCTCAGCTTCAGCCTCCTCTTGAGCACGTTCCTTGACTCGGGTCTGATAATCTTCCAGAGACGATTGGACGGAATCAATAAATGCTTGCATATGCTCCTGAGTCAAACAATTCTTGCCAACCACCTCGACTGATTCGTAAAAGCACTGGAACATCTCAGCAAGGGTATCAATGGCAGGTTCGGCGCTGAGAACTTCGATAATCTTTCCAGCCACGTTGTTCCAGAGTCCGGCAAATCCGGGGGATTGGACTCCGTGAGCCTTCTTGTAAGCATTGAGCAGGTGGGGAATCAACTTGGCGGAGGACACGCGCACAGGATCGTGAAAGAAGAAGGCAAGTCCAGGAACTGCAACCTTCTCTAAACATTCAGCGACGTAGGGCTCAAATGATCCTTCTAGGACTTGAGCGTAGACGGCGAGAAGCTCAATGGCGGTGTTCTTGTCTTCCAAAAGACTCGTCCTGATACCAATGAGCTTGCCCTTCAACGGAATAAGTTCCCATCCTTCATCTTGTTCAACCATCTCAGCCTGTTCATCATCTTCCAACAATTGGATATCGGCCTTGGCGGCAGCAAGGGTAAGAAGAGGTGGGACAACAGCACTCTGGAAAGGTACAAAGTCTTGGCCAAGAACACGGCACATACGACCCCAGCAGTGAAGCAAGTATTGGGATTGTGGATCGTCGGCATCCGTGATGCTTTGCTGAATTGCTCCAAGAAGGTTGACCAGGTTGATTGCGTCCTGACCCATCTTTTCCTTTCCAACAGCTAGCGCAATCAAAGTAGCACACTCCATAGCCTTCGCACGTAATAGACGGTACTCCTTGGACTGCTCCTCCTGCAGAACTTTGAAAAGCAAAGGCATAAGTGTTTCATAGTATTGGGTGAACGCTGCCTCTGCCGAGTCTGCGATAGTAGCAATGGTGGAAAGAGCTTGTTCCTGGACGAATCGCTTGTCGGTGCGCAGAAGCTGAAGGAGGTGTTGAAGTAAATCGCCGAGATAGGGCTCGAGGATACTCTTTTCGGCCTCTTCACAGAAGTTGACCAAGGCAGCCGCAGCATGAGCCTGGACACGTGGTTCTTGCGAGTCGAGGACAGGAATAATATTGTTCAAAACCACAGCATGATACTTCTCTTGCATAATGCCGGCGAAGTCGGTGCTCATCTGACCAAGAGCATTGCATCCTGCGTACCTGACACGTGGATGAGGATCTTGAAGAGCGGGGACGACAAGAGCGAGAACATGGTCGAGCTCGCTGATCATTAGGTCACGACAGCCCTCAGAGATCGCAGAGATAGCCATAAGCGCAGCGTGCCGATCTCTCCAAGCGGAAGACGACATCATGCGAGGAATCCAAGCGAAAGTAGCGGGAAGGACGATATCGCCGCCAAGCTTGTTTGCCAATCGATCCATCGTCTGCTCACCAGCGACATGGTTCAAGTCACTTTCCTCGAGTTCAAGCTAATTGGGATTACTCATTAGCTCAAGCCAAAAGGATCAAATTGGCTCAACAACTCACATCTTCCGTAGCACCCCATTCGCGGGCATCGTCATCGTCAGCACCAACGTCCGTCATCAAACTGAGGCATTGAGTAACCATATCCGTAGCATAATTTGGGTCCTTCTTGCACATATTCGGGGAATATTCAGCAAATGTTGCCAAGAGCTCCAGCGCATTCTGTCGGACGAGATCGCTAAGTTCCTTATCGGCGATAACGCTTATGCTGAATTTTACAAGGTTGTTGAAGAGATTCTTGAACATTTTCGGGGAATACTCGGCTAATTCGACAAGGGAAAGGAAAGCCTTTGAAAGTTCTTCTTCTTCGTCCGCTTCTTTGAGGGGAGGAAGGATATTCAAAAGATCCGGAGCTAGGCTGAAAAAACCGGCGTGTTGTTTTTTTGGTATAGAGCGGAAGAGGGCAGAGAAAGCCTCCATTGCCGCGAGTCGCACCTATACACCGTAAGCACTGGATTCTTGTTACTGGCAAGCTGACGTACTGCAACATGATCATCTTTGAACCCCCTGCTAAAAACATTCAAAACCGCCTCTTGATGTTGTTTCTCAATGATGCTTGGTGTTGTAGAAAAGATTCGGAATGCAGCTTCGCGTAAGCCCGCTTCGGAAGACTGGCTAGCCTGGAACAATACTCCTAAAAGTTCGGGCCATGAGTCGCCTAGCTCTCGTTTCGTCAGCCGTTGCGCAATTTTCTTTCCAGGCTTCAACACGTACCGTTGTCTGTGTATTGGCGTGCGATCTCCGCAATAGCATCTCCAATCTTATTCCGGACGTCGGGTAGTGTCTCGCTGCTTAGGCAGCCAACAAGCTTCTCACGAATTGCGACGCGTTGCTCAGGACTCAAGTTAGAGAAACACTCCTTGGTCTCACCAGTACGCGGGTCTTTAGTGTTTCTGGTAGCTATTCGTCGAAACAGGACCGCGGCGAAAGATCGTGTCTGTATAGAAACCACTCGTCAGATACAAATCCGAGTCAAGGAAAAAAGGTGGCTGAACTCACTGCGGCATCTTCTGCTCCCTGAAGCTGCTCTGCTAGACCCATAAGAAGCACATCTGGCCGATTCTGGACCCATTCATTGTTGAGCTGTTCCTCTGCCTGTGCTCGTACAGTGTTGTCGGGGGTGGTCAAGGCCGCCAGAAGCTGCGAAAGAGCAGCATGGATTTCAGGCGCGAGTAAGGACATCCTGAAAGCTATATTCGGTCAGATCAGAGCATATAAAAGGAAATATGATATATGCAAATCAAAAATCCAACAAAAAAAACAAATTTTTCACACAATATTGCCTTTGTTGCTGTGTAGTTGATTTCTTTGGATGTTGTTGTTATTGAAAGCGGGGATATTTTTGCATACTTTTTGATCCTTAAATTATTTTTTTTCTCCGAGTCGAGATGAAGTCGAGGTGTAGCTGGACATTCAATAAGATTGTGTGAATGAGTTCAAATTAGCCCAGGTGCAGCATCTGCATCTCAGCCCAAAAGACAACCTTTTTTGTCTTTGTTGTGACTCAAAACAAGAAAGATGTGACTGTCTGGGGGGGTTTGGAGGTGAGGGCGTGTCTGAAGTGGGATGAATGAAGGTGAATGAAATTCCACCCGCCTTCTCGGAATGAGCCAACACAACACACGCAGTTTGTTTTGGCTCTGCGGTCCGCTCCACACTAAGTCTGATTGGGCTTAATTCGGTCTTAGCATGCTACTTGTATGAAAAGTAGTTCCTTTTACAATTGACCAGTCAACTATTTTACTCTCAAAATGCAGGAATTATATAGGATGAATGCCTTGAAATATGTGCATTTGCTCAATGATAATTATAGAACACCAGTTAAAAATAGAAGAGATGCATGCGATATTAATTAAGGCTACAAAAACAGACAAGGCAACAGTCCCTTGAAAAGAAAATATCTATACAGATCTTTCGAACAGAAACTACAATCATCTACTGCTTGCCCGGCTAAGGATGAAGACTCCGGCAATTACAGCGGCAAGAGTGACAATAGCACCAGGCAGCAAAAGATCGTTGGGTACTCCGGCAATAAGTTGTTCTTCTGGAAGACGTTGAGGGATCTGCTGCTTTGACGCTCTTGTTGATCGACTGTACTTTTCTTCGTCTTCTTCTTCGTCTTCCTCAATGTGTTTAGGAGCACGCTCTTTGAGGACGGACTCGGGAGGGGTAGGCGGCTTCGATAGAACTGGTTGAGGTTCGACGGTGGTAGGAATTGGTGGCTGAGAAGGATCATGGATGAACAAATCAACCTTCTCATGATGAAGTTTTCGTGCCTGGTGAACAGCATCTGAAAGATCTTGATCGGTGGTAATAGAAACGGTGTCTCCCTCATTGTCAAGATAACTCAAAGCAAATCCTGTACTGCTAAGTTTCCCCTCTTCGACCGATGGTACACCACCAACAGCTTCCGACTCTTGACCCAGTTTAGCAACGACACTTGCAACAAGCGCAGAGAGACCCTCCGAGATGATAACATTCACACGGTGCACACGGCCGCTAGGCGCTTTGAATTTGAATGCGAAGGGGGTGTTGACATCGTCGACGTGGTGATCCAGAAGTTCCGAATGCATATCATCACCATGATGTGAAGCTGACTCGTTGGGAAGTACACTATCACCGCGATCAAACCCAGGCTTGGACGGGTCGGGGCTGAGTACGGACCGGTGAGGAGTATGGGGGCGATGACTGCCACCGCCAGAGACCATAGAATCGGATTCATGGTCCATGGACAACCAGAACTTGTTCCAAGCTGGGCCCTCGTCGTCACCAGTGTTCATAGAGTTGATCTAAGCCGTCAGCATAAGAATCAGTTGTTACATGATTTCAAGAACAAACCTGCTCAAGTGTGGCATATGTCAATTTCAACACATCGACCATGCCGACAATCTCGCCAGCTTCATTCATGACAGGCAAGTTGAGATAATGTCCATCTGTTCTGATTATTAGTCAATTGAACTTCAATTGCTCGCAAAATACATACCGTGCATCTTGCGCAGAGCAGCTTGGATGCTCATATCGGTGGGCGCAAAGTCCGGGTGAGGAGTCATCACGCGAACCACACTGCAAGTCGCAGGGTCCAGACCTGGAGCAATGACACGCAAAACAACATCCTTGCTAGTAAAGATACCGGTGATAGAGCCCTGATCTTGGACAAGAAGAGCGGTTGTATGGTGCTCCTTCATCAAGGCCGCAGCCTCCTTGACTGAGGTTCGGACCGATACAGTAGTTGGAGGCATGCCATCCAAGACCGATTCGAGGGTAGGACCGGACATCTTTTGACGGAGAGCTTCGACGTATTGAATGATTTGTTGCGGCTGGCTGGACCCAAGTTCTGACTGTACACCCTCCAATGCATCATAGAGCTTCCTAGACGAGCTGTACGCACGCTCTAGCTTCTCCATGGCGTCGTAAAAGCATTTAGTGATATCCAAAATACCTGAGATATCCTGATTCTCGTCCATCACAGGCAGGTGGCGGAAACCCTTCCGGACCATGAGGTCGAGAGCATCAGTAGCACTGGTATCAGTGCGGGCGCATAGAGGATTCTTAGTCATGATCTCAGCAATTGTCACCTCTCTGGCTTTCAAGCCCGCTCCAACAACACGGAATGCAAGATCCTTGGCAGTGAAGATCCCGGCAATCCGGTCATCATCGTCGGTGACCAAAACGCAGTCTTCTCGTTTCGCAGCCATTAACTGTGCGGCCTCGGACACGGTGGTGTTGGGCTTGATCTGCAGAGCCTGACTGGGTTTCAAAGCCAATACGGTTCCGGGAGGAGCTTTGCGATTGTGACGAGGGCGTTGTACGTGATGACGCTTCTTATTGAGGTCTGCCTCCATTTTCCTACGAATAGCCTAGATAAAAGATGATCAGCATGAGAACAGCAGACTGCCATGTGCAATTACGTACCTCATCTCGTTTCGATTGATTCTGTCTCTGCCTGCTCGCAGCAGTAGCAGAACTTCCTACATCGCTCTGACTTATAGCCGACTCAGGTTTGGGACGAGGGATATGAGAACCAGGACTGCTATTGTAGTCAAAGTCGGGCATCTTGCCTCGGCCAATTGTTTTGTTCGGGGTGCCTCGATACGTGCCGGCGGCAGACATCTTGTCAAAGTAGTATTGAACGAGCACCCAGAGAGGAGATGGTTATATTAAGAGTATATATGTAATAAGAGACGGAATTATACCAACAAGGAGACGGGACGAGAAGCGTTGCATGTTCCAAAGGGAAAGAAAGATAAACAACCATCCCGGGAGGAAGCCGTGGGTCGGGGTGGCACGGGGTTCCAAATTCCAGCGAGCTAGCATACCGCTAAGCCGGGAGAGGTTTAGCTCGTACTGACGCGGTGAATGTGCCCCACTCCTGCAAAAAGCTCCTGATGTTTATGCCTCAGGCAGTTAATATTAGTCTCAGATCCCGTGACACCGCCCTCGCTTAGCTCCCACAAACGGGGCTGACATACAACACCGGGAAAGGACTGGCTTATCTGAACACTCCCGCCAACACCGACAATCGACAATTTGGAAGTTCTGCGACAACCAGCTCTTTTCAGAACAAACTTCCAAGTTACTGTTCGACCCGGTCGCTAATCCCAGAAGTCAAAATGGTCAAGAAGAGAGCGTCCAAGTAAGCACACCATTTTCCGTTCGTTAAATGCGGCAATATTATCTCGGATACTCTCTACAAAGATGGAATCGACAATTCGAGATTGAACGATTTCATACACGACACACGATTATCTATTGAATGGTACTAATACGGTTGTTTTTTTTAGCGGACGTAACAAGAAGGGCCGTGGTCATGTCAAGCCCATCCGATGCTCCAACTGCTCGCGATGCACTCCCAAGGACAAGGCCATCAAGAGATTCACCATCCGCAACATGGTTGAGTCCGCTGCTATCCGTACGTCTACCACTTTGTTCTAAACGATATACGAATCTGCGGGAATGAGTTATGTGGAAATGGATATATCAATATCAATATGAAACATGAGAAAGAGCTGGGAATTCCGCAGATGGACATATCGTTAAATTCAATCGTGCTGGAGGAGGCATGACTGACATTCAATTTCCCAGGTGATATTTCGGATGCCTCCGTCTTCACTGACTATGCCGTTCCCAAGATGTACTTGAAGCTCCAGTACTGCGTTTCCTGCGCCATCCACGGCAAGATTGTCCGGTACGTTACAGAATATCCCACGTCGAATTTACTTCCGCCGTTCCGCCGTTCCAGCGGTTTACTTTCTCCCTCCTGCTATACTGCAAACAGACCTGGAAAATCCAAATATTGGACCACGTGAAAGACGCATAACTAACATGATTCTACTACAGTGTCCGCTCCCGTGAAGGTCGTCGCAACCGTGCCCCCCCTCCTCGTATCCGATACAACAAGGATGGCAAGAAATTGAACCCCCAGCAAGCCGCCAAAACCGCATAAATGAACTAAAAGAGAGATATCTGCAATGAAAGTTCTTTTCTTTTTGTTTATTTGCATTATTCCTAAAACAAAACGGTTTTATTATCTATTATTGTGATCATGATGAATCTGGGAAACATGACGGATTTTTTTTTGAGACAAGAAAAAGTTCGGCATTGCGGTGTAGGAGAAGAGAGAACAAAAACTATCTTCTTCCATGGAGGGATCTATTAGAAAATGATTATAACTAGAAAATCGATTCTATTGGACCTCTGAAAATCTTTATACGCAATCTTAAGGGAAAGAGAGAAGGGAGAGATGACGTGGGAACAGCTTAAATTACTTCCAGGGAGCCAGGACGTTCGTGTTCAGTGAGTCTGCTCGAGATCTTTGCTGTCAAGCCAAGCTACTACGTAGCTATGTTCCCGTAACCTAGGTATGTGCAGACGTAATGGACAAAGACTCATATATCAATTTCCCCTGACTCGTAACTCTATAATTTCCCATCATGGATACAAATACCCCTTCTCAAAGTAATTACCATATATATCAACCACTCCACTCCGGCCCTTTGGCGTCGGGTTACGTATCACTTTTACTTCTCCCGGCCAGTATCCTTCTACATGTAATGGCAGAGCGCCGTGACTGTCGAACGGTGACGGGCATGGAGAAGATGTCGATGGAGAGTGACGATTAGATTCTTTCAACCTTTCAAATTCCGCCTTTTTAGATCGTCTGAATGATGCTAGGGCTGATACGAGATCGACTTCAGGCTCGTTCGAGACAATAGATGTGCTATTGTTGTGCATTGTTGGTACCGAGGATCGAGGTGTTGGTTGTTTGGGACCGGATGTGTTCGAACCTTCCAGCTCTGGTACGCTTGAATGAATAGAGTCGTCATCAGACACGAGCCGAACTCTTTCGTTCAGAATGGTCGTCGCTATCTCTTCATGGGGCTCAGGCACGCCACACTCCTCATTACCAAAAAAACTGAAATCGTTCGTAGCAGCGGACCAAAGCCGTTCAGAATCAAAATCACCTGTAGTCGACTGCCACCCTGTACGATCATGCTGCTGCGGTTTCCATGGACTTAGAGCTCTCGGTGGCGCAGCATTTCTGACTGCTGGCGTGATTTCCAGAACTAGACATTCTAGGGCAAATAATGATTTTGCATGTTGCTGCTCTGCTTTTACACGGTCACGACCAGGTGGGAAGGAGTAGTCTGCCCGTGCACGGAGTTTAGCTAGAAGCATTTCATCTGAACATGCGGTGATAAATCGGATGAGTGAGGATAGAATGGGAGAGCTTGACGAGACGTGCGACGGAACATCGGTGAGTATAAGAGTCTGAACATGCGGGATATGGGAAGGATGTAGATAAGGAAATGTCTTGCTCTTTCCGTGTTTTAGGGGTAGCACTTCAGTCTTTGGCCGCTTGAAGAGAAGGTCTCTAATCTTTCGACTGCGTTCAGTAGATAGTGAGCATTCATCACTATGACAATGATCATATTGCAGCAACTCCTTGTCGTCAGTTGTGGTTTCGGTGCTTACAACTTCAGCAGCAAAAACTGAGCCACGGCGTGGAAGGAGAGGTTCATCCGGGTATTGATTGCTCTTAACTACTGAAGTAGACCGGTTAACAGAGGAAGATGAAATTGAAGTATCTTCCAATTCACACAATAATTCATTTCCAGCAGGCATTTCGTAAATCACATGAGATGTATCCATCTCAGCGTGAAAGTGATGAATGTCCAACTCGTCAGCTGGCAACTCCGGAAGAAGTTCGGTTATGGCAGCCTCACTCGTGGCTGGAGCGTCTTTCGTGACGATAGCGTGGTTCACTCTGAGATATGTCAATCCGTCTTTGGCATATGCTCCCAGTATGGGGACTAGCTTCTCAGCCCCGGGTACTGTATTGAAATCAGTTCTGGAACCTGGTGGCGCAAGCAGAGGTTGGTCAGCTCTCAGAGTCTGGGCGGTGTCTACACTCCCAGTGTCAAGAAGATGGAGTCTTTTGGATGCGAGCAAGGCCGCAACACCTTCGACAGTGAGACGATTGTCAGATATGTACAAGTGAGTAATTCCAGCTTTTGGTAAATGCTCGAAAATGGAGCGACCGGTAAGTGGGCGAGTAAGAAAATCGAGAAAGTCATTGTCCAAGCTGGGACTTTGCAGTAACGAGGGATGGTGATTCAGGTAATACTCATCCCCGTTATGGGTTATCTGGCTCGTTCCTTTCGGTATGAAGCAAGCCTGTAGGAGTGATCTTACACTCCTATCTGTAAGCACATTATTTCGAACATCCAACAGTCGGACACGAGTCCCGATTGCATTAGCAACGAATTCAGCATCGGCGTCCTTCAAGCCGATACCCCGTAATTTGAGTACTCGTAAATCTGGAAGCTCACTTAAGACAGATAACACGATCCGGTCTTTAGCGGGGGATGTATATGACAAGTCCAGATATATCAACAGTGGGAAACGAGATAGAGCAGTGGCAAGTCCAATCGATGTCGTATTTGGCTCTCCCTCTGCCAAAAGTAGCCGAAGATTGTATGGTGGATAGATTTGCGCATCCGAAGGGACCTTGAGGCTGATAGTTGCATTATGGTCGAAGAAAGGCAATTTCGATACTATCAACGACTGCAAACGTGGCAGATAGTCCAAGAGATCTTTTAGCCACGATGCGCGGGGTCCACCATATATCTCCGATAGTGCCGGTGGTAGATGAATGGTGTGAGTTAAGTTGCGAACCTCGGGTCGTGCATGTGGTAGGGTTCGTCTGAACCGAGTCAAGGCAACTTTTCCGTCAGTTTTACGATTTGGTATGAAGAAGGATTAGCTTACCATATACGGCATCATTCTCAGTGCCAAAGTGTGATGCGGGGTTGCCCCAAAGATGCGGATTGAAGATTGCATGCCATCGTCGACTTACTAGCGAGGCCGAGCACAGATCAGCCGAAGGAATATAATCAGCTATTATGGCCAGTGCATCTTTCATGATGGCATGCTCGTATGAAGGAGGTATGGCATCCATTTCCTTGATTGCGATCCTATGGAGAGATGTCCAGTCATGATATTTATCTTGTCAAGGAGGCGAACGCCGGCGAGGGGACACGCCCCCCTCATGCAGTAATTGCATTAGTTGAGCATTCACCGGCCGCGATATGACTTGATGCAGTAGAGGAGGATCCCTAATCGCAATGATAAGTCGACTAGCATCCTCATTTGTGAGGTGGATGTTGTGGTGTGTTGGACTCAGCCTCAGAGAAAGATCCCGTGACGTCAGGGACTCGCCTCATAGAGTGGCCAATCAGAGAGCCGCAATGCAGACATCCAAAGTATTCCATTCCACGGGAACTGATGATAGGAACAGGTAAAGCTTCATGCTGTTGTCTCGACGATTTTGGTATTTATATCACCGATTAAGAGCAGTATCATAGCTTGGCGCTTGGAATCTACACTCATCAATCGGTGATGACCCTGCATAAACATGCAGTTGGTGTTTTTCAACAATGTTACTTCTAAATATTGATGCATGAATTCCAGGCCTAACGGAGGACTTAATTCAGCGAAATGGAATATAAGAGTGAGATGCCTCACAGAATGATGCTGAATCATCCATATCTCAGCCAGTGACGTCAATGACGGAGGCTCCGGTACGTCAGATCATAAACAGTAATCGCTCCCATCAGCAATCACACAATCACACAATCATCTGTTCAATTGATATTATGCCAGTGCAAATATGAATATTTAACAACAAGAATTGATATAACACTCAACTACCATCATTCCTTACCTCGCAATGGAAACATCCCAAAAATCCATCCGAGTAATGCATTACATCGGCGAATTCCTCGACCTAGACGCCAGATCCTTCACCAACATCGCCGAATTTATAGCTCTCATACAAGCTATCCGGGAAGGTCTCAGTCGCATCGATCCCACATTCTCCGTCTCTGATTTCCACATCAACATCTTGTTTCTTTCGAAGTTACAGGCCCATCCGAAATGGAATGAATGGGCGAGACATATGCTACGAGATCCGCGGATAAATGTCTCGGATTCGAGCAGGTCGATGGCTTTTCATGAGCTGGCGGAAATGGCGATTCAGCACGAGAAGGATATGACCGTTGAAAGGACAAGGACGAAGCAAGTGAGGAGTACGGAGGACGTCCCGAATGGATATCATACGGGCCGTCTGCAGAATTATACGCAAGAGGAGATTAATTCCTTTGTCATTCGACAAATGCGTAACCAGAACGAGCAACAACACGCAGCAAATAATTACCAGAGACATAGTAAACGACCCAGTCAGGAAGAAATCAATGAATTCGTCGTCCGCCAAATGCGCGAGGAACAAGAACGCAAAACTCGAGCGAGAAGCAAATCTGAGCCGAGACCGAATAATGCCCCGTCGGCAGCAGCGATGATGGCTGCGAATCGTACGACTAAAAGTGCAGATGATGACGATCACCTAGATGGCACGACAAAATGTGATAAGTGCGGGGAGAGAAATTATCCCGGACAACAAAAATGTCATCATATAAAGACAAAGGATACGAAGAAACCACCAACTGTGGAGGTTCCTCGCGCGAATTTTGTGCCAAAAAAAGTCGAGTTTGTTAAACGGACTGCTGATGGATTACCGACGTATCGGACGGGGTTTGCGTTGACTTAGTAGAGGCTTCAAAAGATAGAATAATGTGTAATCGGATACAGGTTAGAAGTGCGGTGTTGGAGATATACGGATAACGTCTTATGTGTACCTGTACTATATACGAATGTAATGATTAATGCTTATTTTAGATAGCCGACTCAAGGGTATGCATGTCAATAAACGATTTTGAGTCTCATATTTGGATACTAATAGTAATTGTCTCATGAATGGGTAAACTGACTTAAAGACTCTTTGGCCCATTAATAACCAACCCAAAAAACCCAAGTTGCTGTGCCAAAGACCCTCTGAACTGTTCGTCTTCATCGAAAGATACATTGCCATTGCTTCCCGAACCAAGTTCCATCTTTCGCAAACGAGCTTTTATAACAGCACATGTCTCTGCCCAAGCGCACATTTGACCTGCCAACCCTTCTCCATAACTATATGGTCGATCCGGTGCGCGAAAATCAAATGTTGTCTTGATGTTGATCTCCTGGCTGTATGGTGGTGATTCGCGGGCGAGCATCATGAATGGTAATGCACGGGAGAGGAAGTAGTCTCCGTTCAGAGTTTCCTCCTTTTCTGTACTAAGACGCTCATACTTTTCAAGATCTGCCATTCTCTTTCTTTTTGCTTCTCGTAGGGCCGGTCCCTGGTATTCATATATGTTGTGCAATGAAAGTAAAGACCACGCATTTCCCGTCAACCCATGACAAACATTCCCACCCTTTGACAACAGGCCTTCTTCCCAGATCTTCTTTGTACCCAAACGAATAGCAACATCCCATTCCGGTCTCCAAAACCGTTCCACAAACGACATCTTCTCATAAACCACACCTAACAAAACAAGTAAACCCGGAGGCCCATGACACAACTGGACAAAAGGCGAAGGTCTCGTCAATGCATCTGGGCGATCGGGAATGGACATGGGGAAATGGCCTCCTTTCTCTATACATATTCGGCAGAGACTGGTTATGGTGTCTGCGATGTCTTGTTCTTGTTCGTGGGAAAGGTCGCATGATAGTAGCATTGTCAGAATCCCGGTCGTGCCGTGCATGGCGCCTAGGGCGTAATATCCCTCCATCCATTGCCACATTAGGGGTAAAGCTTCTTTGGAATCGTATAACTTCACAAATTCCTGAGAGCCTTGCTTGCCCCCGTCGATAATTGCATTGACAAGTTTGGGAATGCTTTGTATGGCTGTGCTTAAACGTGTCGTAAGTAATTCCTCGGTTGCCCGCGGCGTCAGATTGGCATGCGTTTTCAATGTGAGCAGAGACCACAGTAATCCTGCGCGACCGAATATGAGCTCGTCGCCTCCGAGACTAAAGCCCTTGAAGGTATAGACTGGACCGTGAAGGGTCGCCCTCTCAACCGCTTGATTGAAGATCCTGAAATCTTCAGGGTCTGGAGAAGTATCTGCCTCTGGTTGCAGATTCAGTTGCTCGCAATAAGCCAGAATCCGCATAAACGACTGTCCAACTTCCGAAGCTAGAGGGGATAGGCGGCCGTCGATCTGCTCAATATCTGACGGTGTCTGCATGATCAAGTCAGATGCTAATTGGAAGTAATCTTGACTCGGATAATTTGTTTGGCTATTTTGTTCGGCCTTTTGCTGAATGGATGGTTTCTGGCGTTCCAGCCGGAGAAGCGTCAGAACGATGCCTGGTATACCGCCGTAGACATTGCCGTAGGCGCTTGCGTCTGTTGGTCGTTTGCAGTTTCTCGAGATGATATCCACACTGTTTTTGACGGCTAGCCGCAGATCTTGCAAGACACTTTCAAGACTTGTCTTGCTAATATCCGATAACCGCAGCGTATTGGGATAGAATTGTGGACGAGTTGACTCCATCTTTTCGCGTCTAGAAAGTGTGTAGCTTGAGACAGACTTGGAGGCCAAAAATTTTCAGGTAGAATCTGTAGGCATGTTAAGAGTCTATATAACATCCTGGACGATCAAGCTGAAAGAGAATGTTCACACCCCAGGGGAAGAGGAAAAATGATATGTAGATTTGAGTATCGGAGGATCTCGATTCTCTACAAACATGGCGGAGTTCCGCCATTCGAATGGCCACCGGCATACCACGTATGCGACCATCTGCAGCGATACTTCTGAGCTATGCAATACTGCATATCATAGGTCTATTGACATGGGCTAAGGTCTGATCACAAATTTGAGTCCGGCTCTCAGAGCTGACTACTACGTAGAACAAATGGGTTGATCAACATTGAACATTGGAATAAATGGCGCTAATCTGTATATGACTAGCTTCCGTCTGGCTCGAAACCTGATATTCAAGGCATCAACTAGCTAGGGCAGTCACATGACAGCGGTACGGTATTTTCTCCCGTGCGTTCAGATTATTCCGGACTGCAGACTACGGAGCGTTCTTGGAAGTGCTGCATCCACGCTCAACGACCTCTTTACGCTGAGGCTAGCCCTAACTGCTCTCTCTAGCATTTGCCATCCTGGTAACGTCCCTTTACTGCTGCTCTATATGGGCGTGCATTCCCTTGTCTTTGTGTTTTATGCTGTTCTGAAGATCAGCAGAGAAAAAAATGGCCCTTATCCATTCTATCCCACCGTATTTTCGATCCTGACTAACACGGATTATGTAGTCCCGTGACCTGCCCCCTAGTGGTCGCGGGTGTTTTATGAGGCTATCATGCCCGGCGTTCATGAAGATATTGGATCGGAGGTGATACCAAATCCGCAAGAGTATGCTGGGACAATATGTCCGCGACAGTTTACTCTCCGCGATCGGGTAACTGTCGCGACTCTCGTTCCTTTTATCTCGGTTGCTCAAGTACCTCATGGTCTGCTGAGGTATCTCTCAGATCAGCTCAATAAAGAGATTGAAAAGGGTGATACCTACACCATGATTGACCCAATTCCGCTTGAGAAATTTGCTCCGTGGTGGTTCTCTAATATTGGCGCTGTGATGCTTCTGGGTGACATACAGGATGTACATGATGTGAACATCATGGAGCACAATGGTACTGACTGGACAAAAGTTTGTCTGGGTAGTTTCAATATTAGACCGAATTACCCGGGTCGTAGCAGTCATGTGTGCAACGGCATGTTCCTGGTCACTGATGCCTCTCGTAATAAGGGTGTGGGTAAGCTGATGGGCGAGGGCTTTCTTGAATGGGCGCCGAGGCTGGTAAGTCTTTCCGGCACCTAACATAGAGCCTTGTGCACTAATATTTTATAGGGCTACACATATTGTGTGTTCAATCTCGTATACGAGAGTAACATAGCTTCATGCCGAATGTGGGATTCACTAGGATTCAAACGTATCGGCAGAGTTCCGGGCGCCGGTCATATTAAGTCCTATCCAGGACAACCGGTTGACGGTATCATTTATGGCCGTGATTTGAGCATTGAAGGTGACGAATCTGTCACCCAGGAGAGATTCGATAAAATTCGATATTATCTGAAACATGCCAAATATCCACGAGGCGCAGACCGTGCCGAGAAGAGCCGTTTGAGAAGTGCGGCAACGCACTATAAACTCGTCGGTGGAGAGGACGGGGAACCGGAAAGACTGATGCTCAAGGATAAAGAGGTTGTCTCAGACCCCCAGCAGCAGTACGAGATAGCTCGGCGGGTTCATTTGGAACATCACGGCGGAATCAACAAGACCACGGCTACGGTGGCATTGAAATACCACTGGGTCCGTATCAAGGAGACTGTAAGTCGAGTCATCCGGGACTGTCCGAAGTGCAAAGAGGCTTCTAAAGCCCCGCCGATCTTGAATGGTGGAAGAACTTCAGAACCACCAGTTATCAAACCTATCAGCGAGATTGAGACTGCTGTTACGAATAGTCTGATCTCACACTCGGAGCACCTGATGGCAGATGCTACCCATGTACATGCTAGTCCCTTCACCCAAACACATACGACAGAGGTACATACAATGGCCGACGACAGTATGTCCGATTATACGCACTTACCACTTGACCCGCAAATGATCGATATGAACACACATCTATCTCGCTTTCAACATCATCACGGTATGGCCACCGGATACGACCAAAGTCACGGATTACCTCATGCTGTGTTTGAGGATGACCTGAGGGGTCATCATCACAATGATTATCAGGCCATGGTTAATGATGAATCGGACTCGGAGGCACTACAACGGGATGCTTTGAATCTGGTGAATACGCAGTTGACGGACTCTCAACACGAGCAAGAGATGCTCTCTAGATATGTGGATCGGTCTGATGATGAGCTTGACTTTACCTGAGGCGGGTAATGGTGCATGTATGATGTCGAGGCATTTTGAGGATATAAATAACAGCTTTTGCACATATATCTATTTACTCTAATATACAATTTGCAGGCTATTTCATCTCTATCCCTGTAGAGTCATCATGTTGTCTGACCAAAAGGGGTAGGTATACTCGATTTTGATTGGCCGACTTTTTGTGCTTGCCGACCGCCCAGCGCGGAGCTCCATCAGAATTTTGGTGAGCATCGTCCGGCGAGGTGAATTAAAAAGCAACCCCGCGTCGATTCGACAAGGAATAACCAGATCAAGAGCAGTTATTCTCGAGTTTTTTCAGATACATTCATCTAATTTGGAAGATTTTGAACACTTTGAATTATCTAATTTCTTTTTCTCTTATAATCCTCACGCACGAACCATGGCCTTTGCCGGCCAAACACCCACAATTATTGTGTTGAAAGAGGGTGCGTGATTCATCCTTCTATTCTTTTTTTTTGCAGTTAAACCGACTCCTCCATTTATATAGGGACGGACGCTTCACAAGGAAAAGGTCAGATTATCTCGAATATCAATGCTTGCGTTGCTGTGCAGTCGACCATCAAGAGCACTCTTGGACCATACGGCGGTGATTTGCTTCTTGTCGACTCCAACGGCAAGCAGACAATCACAAACGATGGCGCGACTGTAATGAAGGTATATATCCTTTTCTTCATTGATGGGCTTTATTTGATACTAAAAGGTCTCATTTCTAGTTACTGGATATCGTCCACCCCGCAGCTCGTATCCTTACCGATATTGCTCGCTCGCAAGACGCTGAAGTTGGCGATGGTACCACGTCGGTTGTTGTTTTGGCCGGAGAGATTTTGAAAGAGGTTCGGGATTCTGTTGAGCAAGGTGTTAGCACGCAAACGATTATCAAGGGCCTTCGACGAGCAAGTGTTATGGCGGTCAACAAGATTAAGGAGATTTCGGTCGATATGTTGGAAGCTTCCGGTAGCGAGGAGAAGAAGATTGAGACTCTTAGACGTCTTGCTGGTACGGCGATGAACAGTAAATTGATCAAGAGGAATTCGGATTTTTTCACAAAGAGTAAGCATATCTATGTCAAAGGAATTTGTTTGGAAAGCCATCTAATGTTGACTTGTTATAGTGGTCGTCGACGCTGTCTTGTCCCTTGATCAGGAGGATCTCAATGAAAGACTTATCGGTATCAAGAAGGTTCACGGTGGTGCTCTTCAAGATTCGCTCTTTGTGGATGGCGTCGCTTTCAAAAAAACATTTTCGTACGCCGGTTTCGAACAACAGCCCAAATCCTTCAAGAACCCCAAGATTGTCTGCTTAAACGTCGAATTGGAACTCAAGAGCGAAAAGGACAATGCCGAAGTGCGGGTTGAGCAGGTCTCTGAATACCAGGCTATCGTGGATGCGGAGTGGCAGATTATCTACAATAAATTGGAGGCTCTATACAAGACTGGTGCAAAGGTTGTCCTAAGCAAATTACCTATTGGTGATTTGGCTACACAGTACGTATCAACCCCTCCCATTCAGAAGCTAATCGACTAATTGTTTATAGATACTTTGCCGACCGTGATATATTCTGTGCCGGCCGTGTTGCTTCTGAGGATATGGAGCGTGTTTGCCAGGCTACCGGTGCTTCAGTACAGTCCACTTGCTCCGACATCCAGGAACGCCATCTCGGTACTTGCGGTGCCTTTGAGGAGCGACAGATTGGCGGAGAGCGCTTCAACTTCTTTTCACAATGCCCAGCTGCCAAGACATGTACCCTCGTCTTGCGTGGTGGTGCAGAACAATTCATTGCCGAAGTTGAGCGAAGCTTGCACGATGCCATCATGATCGTCAAACGAGCGATCCGCAATCCAACCATCGTCGCCGGCGGTGGTGCCTGCGAGATGGAATTGTCTGGATACCTCCACGGCTTTGCTGATCGCAACGTTCCTCACAAACAGCAAGCTGTTGTAAAGGCATTCGCCAAGGCCCTCGAGGTGATTCCTCGACAGCTGTGTGACAACGGCGGCTTTGACGCTACCGACATTCTGAACCGATTGCGCACTGAGCACCGAAAGGGTAATGTCTGGGCTGGTGTAGACTTTGATCATGAAGGGATCCGGGATAATATGGAGGCTTTTGTCTGGGAGCCGAGTTTGGTGAAGGTCAATGCTATCCAGGCTGCTGTTGAGGCTGCTTGTTTGATTTTGAGTGTTGATGAGACCATTAGTATGTACATCATCTCTCCTTCGTGTTTCATTACTAACATACGAACAGAAAACGAAGAATCTGCCCAACCTCAGGCTCCCCAGAGAGGTCTACCGCCCGGTGCAGCTCAACGGGCTCTTCGCGGCGGACGTGGACGAGGCATGCCCAGGCGGTGAGTTTAAAAACGACACAACATCCATATACAAAAGAAACGCGGAAAAATGGTATGAGGAAAGAAATGGTTGGTGCTTCTTCTATGCAATGGATGCATGTAAGATGGACTATTATTCTAAAATACATACATAATGATATTATAGATTAGCATCCATGCCATCCATTCGTGTAACCGACGTAATAAAGTGATCTGAACTGCATCCTAACGATCTCAATTTCCGATGTCTTGTCTGTAATTGGTGAACAGAGAATCAATAGTCCGGAAACCCCTGCTATGTCAAATCGAACAAATCGTTCGGAGTTGCCGTGGATTGGTGGCTATGCCTCTGACATGTCAACATCCTGCAGCTTAGATACTGCAGATCCGGAAAAAAAGATGCGAAAATTTTTATACGAATTTGAGCCTGACCGGAAGAGGAACTTATTTCCGAGATGAGAACGAAGTTCTCCGTGTTGACAACCCGTGCCAAAAAAAAATGTAGACCAGAAAAATACAGTAAGGCTGAAGGTGTTGACAGTTCAGGCCGTAAGCTAAAGAGGCTTGTTGAGACATGATTTGTTGCGGATTCAGCTTCGATGGTCCCTGGGCCGGTATTGTGTATTGTTATGTTCGATACAACAGAAAAATTCAGAAAAACTTAATCTATAAGGTACGTAAGCATGTATTGGAATTACAAATACACAGTACCGTACTGCGTCGGCTTCAGTGGCAAGTGGTCCTCCCCCACTCCGCGTGTTCCTCTTCATCTCGACGATCGGTACGCTAGCTTTTGTTTAATCATAGTCACCCCATTACTCAACTCCATTTATCAATCTCTGCTCTCTTGTCTGAGCTTCATATTCCCTGCGTTGAACAAACTCATATCCTCCTAATAAACCACACGCGCAATGTCGTACTACCCACCTCCAGGTCCACCTCAGTACGGTGGTGGTGGTTATCCGCCGCCGCAACAATACTCTCCAAATGGCTATGGTCCTCCACCACAACAAGGTTACCCGTAAGTTTGCGCTTGAGAGTTTCTGCGGAAAAGGGAAGAAAGCTATCAGTGAGATTACTGACGTGTATGTTCGTTGTACAGTCCACCACAGAATTATGGCGGTTATCCGGGTCAGGGCCAGCAACATTACCATCATACTCCTCCACCTCAACACGGCGGCTATGGTTATCATACTCCATCTCCGCAACCTTATAACAATGGCGGATACGATGTAAGCGACCGGACTCTGTGACTGTCAACTTGCGCATCATGCATGGCAGCATACTGATGAATTGATAGCGACCTCCCCCTCAGGCACCCGGATATGGACCTCCACCATCACACTCTCCCCATCCATCCCACGGTGGCGGCTACGGCAGGCAAGGTTCGTTGGCTTCTTCATTTGCGTTTAGAGCATCGTATCGATAGCAGCATCAACTAACACACCTCCAGCATACGGTCAACCCCCACCACCGCCAAGCGAAGCCGTCGCCTTCGGTCACGGAGCCCCTCAAGGCTACAACTTTCGCTACTCGCAGTGCACAGGCAAAAGAAAAGCGCTTTTGATCGGCATCAATTACTTTGGTCAAAAGGGACAGTTGCGAGGATGTATCAACGATGTCAAGAACATGTCTTCGTACCTTAACCAGGCCTTTGGTTATGCGCGAGAGGATATGGTTCTGCTTACGGATGACCAGCAGAATCCCATGAGTCAGCCGACGAAAGCTAATATCTTGCGAGCGATGCATTGGTTAGTCAAGGATGCGCAGCCGAATGATTCGTTGTTTTTCCATTATTCGGGTGAGTTCAGTTACACATTGTCTTGTCGCCGGCGATATTGTTCTAATGGTTGTAGGTCACGGTGGTCAAACGCCTGATTTGGATGGTGATGAAGACGATGGTTACGACGAGGTAATCTACCCAGTGGATTTCCGTGTTGCGGGACACCTTACAGATGACGAAATGCATCGCATCATGGTCAAGCCGCTCCAGCCGGGTGTCAGACTGACAGCCATCTTCGATTCTTGCCACTCCGGTTCCGCTTTGGATCTGCCATACATATACTCCACCCAGGGTGTGCTCAAGGAACCCAATCTGGCCAAGGAAGCTGGCGCAGGTCTGCTCAGCATTGTCTCGTCTTATGCGCGCGGCGACATGAGTGGCATGGTCTCCTCAGCAATGGGTCTCATCAAAAAGGCAACCAAGGGCGACGACGCATACCAAAAGACACGTCAAACCAAAACCAGTCCCGCAGACGTTATTATGTGGTCTGGCAGCAAAGATGAGCAGACGAGTCAAGACGCAACGATTAACGGTCAGGCTACTGGAGCTATGTCCTGGGCGTTTATCAATGCTCTCAAGAAGAATCCTCATCAGAGTTATGTCCAGTTACTTAACAGTATCCGTGACGAGCTTGCTGAGAAGTATTCTCAGAAACCGCAGTTGAGTTGCAGTCACCCTCTTGGTACGATAATCCGTCCCTTTCTGCCCTAGGCTCCTGGTTTAGGCCGTATACAACTCGAATATACTAACGGTTAATCAAAAACAGATACCAATCTTCTATATGTCATGTAAATAGTATGGACATGATTCAAAAGGCATGACCTTTTTGCCCGAGTCTATATCCTTTTCTTCAGTGTTCTGTCTCGTTTCCGATTTGCAATGATACCGGCGTTTTTCTTTTCTCTCCTTTCTCTTTTTCATATGAACCTCGGTTTATTCTGCATTGTTGATTCGTTGGGTTACTTTGAGAGATGGATCAAGGGTTTATTCTCCTCTTTCAGGGAGGTTACGTATATAATTGAGTTGGAGATTAGCATGTAATGACATCCTTGCTCGTCTGATGAAGTTATTGAATTGATTATTAGGTACTGCATGTCTAGGCACTACTATCTATAATTCGTGAAACTCTGATCCGAATAGTAGATTCATAGAATTAGTATTTCCAGATTCTACAATATAACTAAGCCCTTCATGGGATTGTCTTCACCACTTCTTCGGCGCAGATATCACTGTTCGCGAAAAAGATGCCGTTAAAGAATCATTGACTTTTCGCTGCTTTTTCGCCGCCAGAATACCCGTCCGGTCCGTCACAGGCGTCGCGTTGATGATATTATCGAACGCTTCGTCGTCTTCGTCGTCGCTCACTTCGGCGGAGCCGGATTCTGAGTCTGAGTCTATTGGTAGTTGTTTCTTATTTTGTGATTGGGAGGGTGTCTTTGTCGAGGACGCAGGTTGAGGTTGAGGTTCTTGCGATGATGATTCAGATGTCGGATTCTGAAAACTCTTTGAATTAAGGATTTTTCGTCGAATTTCAGCCATTTCTTCTTCGTCGTCGGAGTCATCTGAAATTGCGAATGGGTCTTTATCTTCCTCTTCCTCTTCCTCTTCTCCCTCTCCATCTTCGTCCTCGTCTTGATTATCGTCCGAATCAGGAATCTCTAATCGATTCGTATTCCCCCTATGCCACATATCATCCGCACCACCTGCTTCCCTCTCCGCACGGCTTTCATTATATTCCCGCTCAATCTTATTCAGCCATTCTTCCTCTGTCCGCTTAATATCCTCTTCATTCGAACATGCCGCATATCGTTTGAGAAGTTGTGAGTTAATATTGATAAATGCTTCGCCGTACGAGAAATGTTTTAATACTTCCTCCGCCCAGTCTTCGTGGCCGCAGATGTAGAAACAGGCCGCTAGTGCTTCGACGCAGTTTAGGCGCCAGGGCCGACCGTAGTTGACCGAGTTTGCGGCGATGAGGTAGGGTACTTTTTCTTGCGTTAGTCCTAGCTCTTCATTTGTCTCGCGTTTCCTGAACGTACGTAGTCTCTCGCACTTTCCTCCAATACGGGACCAAGGGACTTCCTTGACACGAACCCAGGAACATTCCACCACAGCGGCGCCGTATTGTTCGAGTAGATCTCTATCTGCGGGGGAGAGCACACGTTTCGCATTCGGTCTGTCATGAAAACCTACATTAGCATCTTGTACGAAAGTCGATTGTAGAAGGAAAAAGAAAAACATACGAAATCACAACTCCCGAATGCTTGTGTCCAATTTGAAGCTCTCTCATCAACCCAAAATTCATCAATCTCTTCCCCGAGCATCTTTTCGGATCGCAATGTCCCAGATCCCAGCATGCAGCTTTGAAAGGCGGTCTTGTTGCGCCGCCCTCTGTGGTATCATTTTCATCTTGAGTGCCGGCGCGGGGTGAGGGTCGGTGGCGGGGTGGTCCTGACTTTTTTCCGCCTCTGGCGAAGTTGTCTTTTTTGTGTCGGACCATGTTTATTATAATTCAAGTAATGTCTGGCTCTAGAGAAAAGTAGTGAATTCAATGTAGAAGAGTTAAGAAGATCAAAAAATGATCAGTTACGGAATACGGCAACCGCACCAAGCCGCCGCTCAGCCCGCCTAAAGATCCACCCACATGGAAACACCCGCTTGGATGTAAGCTGTCCATTAAACAACATCATCTTACTGCGACTAGCCTTCTCTCGTGTTCTTTGCTGGCTTCTCTCTTGTTTATACTTGCATTCTTGTCTTCAATTTATCAAGCTGGAGGCTGTTTCGGCACGTATGGCGGCGAGGGACCGATTTGGTTCTTTCGCTGACCCGTCGCTATCACCACTTCAACGAGCTATACGTATGCCATTCTGCGCCTTTTCAAACAGTGTGAATCTTACCAGCTAACTCGCGTCTGTCAGACAATGCCTGCGAACCAACGAATTACGAACCGAATCTCGCATTGAACCTCGAAGTCGCAGACTTGATAAACCAGAAGAAAGGCAATGCGTGAGTGGGGCATTCCATGAGATGATGATATTCGCGTCTCCGAGCTAAGATCATTGACCTTTGAATAGTCCTCGCGAAGCTGCCATTGCAATTGTTCATTTGATCAATTCCCGAAATCAGAATGTCGCTCTTTTGGCTTTGGCGGTGCGTACATCTTCCTAGCCCTAGGCTCGGTGCTCATGTCAGTTCCACCTAACGTCGCTTAGCTTCTTGATATATGCGTGAAAAACTGCGGATACCCATTCCATCTTCAGATAAGCACAAAGGAATTCCTCAATGAGCTGGTCCGACGATTTCCCGAGCGGCCACCTGTTCGGCCGTCGCGGGTACAACATCGGATACTCGAGTCGATTGAAGAATGGCGGCAGACAATATGTCAGACTTCTCGATACAAGGAGGATCTAGGTTTTATTAGGGATATGCATCGTCTTTTACTTTATAAGGGCTATCATTTTCCAGAAGTGCGACATGAAGATGCCGCGGTTTTGAATCCCAGTGATGTAAGACACTCCCTTCGATTTTAGATGTAGTGCTGACAGGTGTAGACCCTCCGATCAGCAGAAGAAATGGAGGAGGAGGAAAGAGCGGCGCAATCCGCAAAACTTCAGGAACTTATTCGACGAGGAACGCCACATGATTTGCAGGAAGCGAACCGCTTGATGAAGGTCATGGCAGGTTATGACACGAGAAATAAGACCGATTACCGGGCCAAGGCTGCTGAAGAAGTTTCGTATATTCAACAGAAAGCTAAGATTTTAGAAGAGATGTTGCAAAGCATTCAACCGGGTGATAAGATATCCGCCGGCGATGTATTTGAGGTATGCTGTCTGAGTCTTTTTTTTCTCCTTTCCGTATTTAACGTGGTTATAGGAACTGGCCAATGCTCTACAAAGTGCGCATCCCAAAATCCAAAAGATGTGCGATGAGGAATCAGACGATACCGAGGCAGTTGAAAAACTGAAGCAGATCAATGACAGCATCCAAAGGACTATACAACGATACAAACTGGTGAAGGCGGGCGATTTTGAAGGTGCTTCCAGGATACCAAAGGGAACTTTGGGCACCACGACTGGAGTTGGAAAGAATGCGAATAATGAATTGTCGTTGATCGATTTTGATCCTGAACCGAGTCCGAATGGGCAGGAACAAGCGGCTACAAGCTCCTTGGAGGATGATTTACTCGGACTGTCTTTCCAGGATAGATCCGCTCCTGGACCTGTAAATTTAGGGTTTGGTATGTTTACGCGCCAGGATATTCTATGCGGTTATGCTAATTAGGAATGCAGATGCACCCATTGCAGCGTCTTCGGGCGTTCCATCCGCCCCTTCTCAGACTCAGGGAGCTGCTGGCAGTGGCTTCCAGAGGAATTACGACATTCTTTCTTCTCTTTCGGGATCTCAACAAACATCTCAATCGTCCACACCGGCACCTGTTATATCGCAAGCGACGAAACCAACGTCTCCTCCACCAGCCGTTGATCCCTTCGCTTCATTGATTTCAGCAAGCTCAATGTCATCGTCTCCCATGGTTTCTAATCAAGGAGTTTCATCATCCTCGGCCATTGTAGACCTTTTGGGCAGTGGCCCATCGTCATCGACTACTGGCAGCATCGCCACTACTGCACCAACAGACGATGAATGGAGTTTCACATCAGCTCTACCGACAGAAAATACATTACCAGCAACGAACCGAGTGCGGGTTTTGGAATCTTCCCTGGTCGTTGATTTTGAAGCTCGAAGGAAACCCGGTGAACCCCGGACAATCCAGATTATGGCCCTCTTTTCGAATAAGACTAGTCAACCATTGACTGAACTTCATTTCCAAGTGGCTGTTGAGCGGGTAAGTCCTTTCTTTTTTTTTCTGTTACACTACCTCAATGATTACGGTGCTAAGCATTTATAACAGGCATATCATCTAAAACTCCAACCACAAACAGGAAGAGACATCTCCCCTTTACAGTCTGTTGGTGTCAAGCAAGAAATGTTGATTGAGAACGTTGATGCTGGCAAGGGAAACTCTGTCAAGGTACGCTTCAAAGTCTCGTACCGAGTTGGGGGAAAGGCCACAGAGGAGCAGGGCATGGTACCACAGTTAGGTATTTCATAATGAACCGGTTTTCAGAAATGATGGTTCCTTGTGTCCTTTTTGGTCTGGTTGTCAACCAAATCACTCGTTCGAGTTTGATAGAATGTTCGTCTCGCTTCGTTTTGATATCAATGTCAATTCGGAAATGGGTCTGTTTGAACCTTGCATAATTGCGTTCCTTACGTGAATCTGTGTGCTTTTTTTTTTCTTTTTCTCGCAAAGTATATACCTTTATCTCGCTTCTCTGGATCTATAGTTCGTATAAGAAAAGCTCAGATTTCGTTTGCCTGTCTCAGAGTGTTAATTAGGGCAGTTCATCAGAGTAAGAACACTTAGTACGTGTCATCAGCGGCACAGCATTAACCACTGAAAGCACGAGATCTGGAATCCTTGACGGATGCACAACATCCATGCTACTACCTAATTTAGCCATCCACCTACGTGTTTATTAGACTCCCGGAATCCTAGAAGAACATTCCATGCGACGCATTCGAGTCATGAATGGCGTCCAATCCTCGCTTTGATTCGATCACAGCCTAGACTTAAGTCTATTTGACCACGAGGTTCTCAATCTTAAACCTCCTCGTGGAATAACGCCCTAAGGAGGGTAGGGCTGGATATCAAATTTCAGCCTATAGTAACCGAGACTGGCGAGATGGCCGAGCTGGCCAAGAGCCATGTTATATTGCATGATGGCATAAACACGGCTTTTCGCACCATCGCCACTCAAGGTCTTAGAATGCCCAGTAAATGATCCAGGATTATGCCTTTTTCTGTCTATGTGGGCATAACATCGTTAAGGAAGCAGCAACCGAGACATGTTCTGTTTACGGGTATAATATAGCTAGGGATCAGGATGTTATAAAATCACGTATAGTCAAGATGATTGGCTCAAAAGCCCCCAAAGGATTTTCGTAATTGTAGTCTGATGTCTGGTTCGTTATGTACGGACTTGGCCGTGGTTCTTGAGCCAGTAAGAAATCGTATTGTATGACTCGCACCATTTCTCCTCGATCTGACTGGATGGGGCTCGTATCGCGAGATATCGCCGAGGAGAAACCAATATCAGAATCATCAATCATCAAATGTCACAAAAAAAAAAAAAAAAAAAGAAAAAAGGGGGATAGGTGACTTACTTCCAAAGCCGGTCGGCTAATTCGTGGTTGATGGAGATCGCTTAAAATTACTACTAGAAATCTTCGCAACCAAAGAGTCGGTCGTCGCTTATGAGGGCATACGTACTTGACGTATCGCCACAGATTATAGCCAAGGATTGGTATAATGGTTGATAAGGATTCAATTGGCGTGGGTGATTCGGTTATTTAGTGACTCGGCGGAATGGAATCATTCTCCGCAATTGTCATGTCGACTAGCGTTGGGAATATGAACGAATGAGATGCGTTTTGTATAGTGGTCTCATATTTGAGATTGGGATATGACAAATCGTGCCGCGTGTCACCCCTCTGCGTATAGGCTTCTAGTTCTATAGAATCTTATACCCGGGGGGAGGGGGGTGAATGAGCGGAAAGAATTTCTATGCGCATGTAGATAGATAGTCAGGAACACTACTAACAATAACTTCACGCACCGACCACCCCGGTTGGTCTGTGCAGTCAAGTGATCTCTGAGGGCTCAAGGCTCAAGCAGAGACAGACAAAGGTAATAGTGGTTTCTTGGGCTGGTTATACGCGGATGATAACTCATCAGCCAAGATAAGCCCAGTCGAACAAGTGGCGAAAGCCCGTATTTTGTCTTTTAGGGCCTGGACTTGGTCAGTGCCCATTCATGATTCAAGAGATGACCGGAAAAGGATTGAGGATCGATGGTTGGACAAATATCGATAAGAAAATCCGGGGAAGATCACGGACCAGTGGGATGCCTGAGGCAGTTAGGATCGCACTCGGACGTGCTCGGACCTTTTCTTTTTGGTGCTGATCTAGATTAGTGCTCTGTCTCTGATTTAGCATGATGATTGTGATTCGGACATGATTCGGGGCTGTTCGTTTGTAGTTGTTGGAACTTTGAAGGCCCATTGGAGTCTGTTCAACATGAGACCCTAGACACACTGTGCACGTACTCCGTAGTATGGTGAGATACAGATCACGTGAATCCGGCAATCTTGTCAATCAATGATCTCCAGAGGAAGAAAGGGTAGCGTCGGCTCTGACTCCTCCCAGTCCAAAGCAAACACCGAGTGCATGCCTGGCCGAAGCTTCACCGGCGAGCTACGTGATGCTGGTGAATATCACCATAGAGGTCCAGCGATACGAGACTGTGGTAGCAGTGCCTCGTACCAGACGTGAAAAGCCCAGTCCTGAGTCTCCATACTAACGAACTGTGCCACTTTTTGGCTAGATCACCGTCCTAAGCGTGCATCTGTTCTCGGGATTCGAATCCCGGCGTAGATGGAAGCACAGAAGATTGTTGCACCTTACCCCTGCAGCAGATCGTAGAAAGTCTCTATTCAGCAAGTGTTCTAGGCCGTGAACGTCAGAGGGGCTTTGTACAACGGTGATCTTGCAGCCTGAAAATGTTGGCGACTGCCAAGAACAGTAAACTCGATAGAGTCGGGGCTAGCTTAGTGCCGATGCTCAAGCAGCCAATAGAAACGGCCACAGCCTGCAGCACACTGCACATGGGTGGCTCGTGCGTATGCGCCAAGACGCACTAGCCCGAACCTTGACGGACGATAGACCTGTACGGATGCCTCAGGCCGGCCAACCTTAACTGTGGTTGAGCCAATCACAGGCTCGGCAGCGGCATTGAGCTTCTGACTGACGGTCCGAGCTCTGTGCTAGCTGCAGCTACTAAGCCTAATGCAGCCATTATTCTTCTGTTCTATTGGTCCGCCCAGGCTAGACTTGAGCCAGGATCAATCGTCGCATCTTCCGTGAATCCGGAGCATCCGTACCGTGGATGGGGTTCACTGCAGCTGCTTCAGCCCTCAGCCCTCAGCTCACCACGCCACAATCAGCTGTCTGCCAAGTACACCCAGTATCTGTATGCCTGTATATGGCGGTATCCAACAAGACAGGATGACTCACAATACGTCCATCGTTCTATAGAATTAATGGCCCATTGTTCCCAAGAGATAACATGTTGTACGGAGTAGTTGTGATGAGAATTACCGTATTCTGCAACTCCACCACTGCCAATTTGTCAAATCAATATCTCGTTTCCACGGATCACCTAAACTCAAAGCGGGTATGGCTCGTGCTGGTTGGCGAGTATAAGCCCAGAAGGTACTACTATACTCATAGCGGTAAACTTCCTGTCCTCCATGGATTGGCAGTTCCATCGATCAAGCAGATAAGTGACAGCTGCCTTGCCCCGCTGTTCGATGTTGCCTCTTGTAAAAGTTCTCGACCATAACCCTCGTACTAAGACCCCTCTCTCTTTCTCAGTTACCCCGTTTTCTGGGTTATCTGGTTCTAGCGACATTTGCCCCTCTTCCTATATCTACAGCCCAAGCGCTCGTCAATCTTTCGATCAATACTCTCTTGCATACTCTTGATATATATCTTGATATTCGTACCTACAGTCTCGGTACATTCCTGGTACTTGCCTGAGAGTGAATCCATCTATCAATTCATCAGTTCAGACTACACCATGGGGTCTCTAGTTGCCGACCTCGACCTTGATGTCAGTCCCGTGCAGCGCTCCAAGGAAGAAAATCAAGAACGGTGAGGTTCGCCTCACAGATTTGAGGAGTCAAATATACTGATTATCACAGTGCATTCGTCGCCGCCTCCCGGCGCAAAGACCGCAGTCTCGATGCGCGACTCGAATCTGCAAATCGAGCCTCGATGCTTCACAAGAAGCGGACCGGCAAGGCTCTGCACATCACCAAGGAGATTGTCGAGAAAGAGGCCATGTACGAGGAAGTGGATGAGCGGTATCAAGAGAAACGCCTGAGTATACTCAAAGCTCACACTACTCAATTGGAAGCTCAATTCCATCGCCACCTCATGGCTACCATGGCCATGAACAATAATGCCAGACATCAGCAGCATCAAGCACGCATTTCTCCCAACGGTGGTATTCAGAAGATGCGCAATTCTTCTGTAGGCTCAGCCTCGGATTATTTCGGACAACTCAACAGCAATAATCTGCACATTCAGGCCGCGGCTCCAGTCTCGCCTACTACCAGCTCATCTAATGTACCGAGCCCGACGAGCCCCGTGATTGACATGTACGGCAACACCTCCTCATCCTCATCTGACACGTCTTCATTCGCACAGACACCGGCGAGTGGCTGTTTCGTGTCGACACCCATGGCATGTCCCCAATACGTCGACACGGGCTTGATGTCACCTTCCGTCAGTCCAAGAAATAGTACCTACCAGCAATGTCTTCTGAATCCAATGCAGTCTGTGCACATGAGATCCGCCTCTACAGCACAAGTTACGACTCCCGCCCCAGCTCCCTATCCGCGACAGCGGTTCGCATCGTATCCTGATGCGTTTATGCTTCAAACACCTCAAGAAGTAGTTCCACAGCTCAGCGCTGCTTCGTACGTCAATTTTCGAGCAAGCTCTGAGCCATCCAGTGACCTTTTAGCTACTCCATCGCCAACTGGGCCCCTCATGACGACAACCGTGCAAGAAAATGGTCTTCTACCAAGCCCTGCCCTTTCGCCACCGTCAATGACAGTCGGTTCCTCGCAAGATACTAGCTGTGACAACACCCAATACTCGACACAAGCAGCAGCAGCACCACCCCCACCACCTGCACAAGTCCAATTCAACGATACAGAACTATTCAAACAGCAGCCACTACTGGGGTCGTCCGAAGACCCAGACCCAGATTTCAACGAATTCGTGAACTTTGCAACTAACATGGAAGATCAATGGCAATATGCCATGGGCGGCAATGCTCCTTTTGAGGAATTTATGAATTTGGAGAATCTCGATTGTGAATTGGCTCATTCTGGCTTGTATCGGTAGTGTTTCAATATTGCTGCTGTTTGATTTACGAAAAACTTGCTATCTGTTGTCTGATCTACTGTTTGAGTATCGTGCTGTTTTTCCGGAGGTGACCTCGGCGATTTGAATCGAAATACCCTGTGACACTTGCTTTTATGTCTGATTACTGTTACCATTGATACTATACCGTAGTATCGGTGAGGCGCTTGGGAATGTTGACTTATTGTACTGGTAAATCTTACTACATGTTACTAATACTACTGTTTCTTCCAAGGTTGATTGTTACGGTGCGGGATTTTTTTTTTTTTTCTTCCTTTGAACTCTGTCCCAACATTCTATTCCTTCTGTCCTTTCCACCAGTGTATAGTTTTTGGAACTTATTTGCAGTAATCGGGTGAATCCGTCAACTTTATTTTTCCTACTTCCATCACATCAAAGTTTAGAAGTAGGGTTTCATCCGAGGGAATAACTCGTGAAAAACATGGATGATATTGCGTGACTTTCCAGGATGGTTGCCACTGGTTTGTATATTTTTACCTTTTTGCCTCTGGATTTTTTCTTAGTAATAATAATACAAATAAGATGTAAAGTCAACATGGAAATGGATGTAATAGGTAGGTAGCATTGAGGATTCATGCTAGTTACTTTTGGTTACTGCCACCAAAAAGAAAAGAAGATAGTAATGGTAGCATGATGTAACTCAATCCAATCTATTCACTACACAATTCGAGTATTGCCCTTTTGATTATCTAGTTGTACCAGTAACGACCGGATATAGGGTAGTTAGGACACTGATGTAATAGTACGGAGTAGTAACAGTCGCACGACGTCGATCCGGGCCAGATATCACAGATCTAGACTCTTGATCGACCACAGCCGCGAATAGTTAGTGCACTTACCGTATGCGGCTGATTTTTCCCTAAGCCTCTCTTCCCTTCTGTTTGCTCTAGGAAGAGAATAAACTTTTTATTTTCTTCAACTGAGTAAAAAGCTCATAGTTTTTCCCTTAAGTTTTATCTGGTAGGACGATAAAACTTTGATGCATCGAACTGTTCAAAGTGGAGCGATCTAAATCTGCAGCCCTAAGAATGGGGTGATCTGGATCCACTTTTTGCTGACACTCGCTGCATATGCATACAGACTGATAGATGAGTAATTTCCTAATTTGTAAACTATTCATATATCTAATCAAATGTCGCTATTTAGAGGATAGTAAGGAGAAGATAGTGAAGTGAAAAGGGTTGAAGCATACTAAGAGGGTTGTCAAAGTTGAATTGGGAGTTGAATTGGGAGATTTCACGGGAGTACGAAAGCACCTATGTAGAACCTTGTATCAATTTGATTCTATTCAAGTCTCGACTAAAGAGTACTACTATACGTAATCTAGATTGATTATGCACTCTGATTCGCAAATCTGTGCAACAAGTACTGTAAATACAACTCGGAATGAGTTCCGTCTTTTCTTGTACAGATTGATCATCTGCCCAGAAATAAATTGATTAAGTCTCTACGAATCCACTCGCACGATGCGCGCGCAAACAGGAAAAAAAAAACCAAAACAAAAATTCGAAGAAAGCGAGTTCATTCAACTTGTCACTTTGGTAACTTTTCTGATCTCTTGGGATTCTCATCTCGGCAGATAGAGAAGTATGGATGTAGAGGGTTATCGGAAAAATTATCCACTTCTATTCACACCCCGTACAAAATCTCTCTTATCTTTGATTTCAATTGAACTACTACTACTCTAAACGATTGATATATCTGATATCCTCATGACTCGGTACCATCAAGATACGTCCATGTATCTCTGGTTTGCATGACTAGTCTACCAAAATCAAACGAGGGGTGCTCGGTAAGAGCGCCATTTTGGATTAAAAAAAAAAATTTAATGATAGCACGGCCGTATTAATCATTTGTCATATACCCCGGTCTGCAGATGTAGAAGATCCTCCCCGAAACAGTTCGCGAGCCACATCTCCACTCTTACGCGTACTCAGACTGGAACTACTGCTTCGTCGACGACGATTGCGTGTCACGGCGGGATCGTCGGGGCTCAAGCCGCTGATTGTAGCGTAACAGAATAAAATGTCTGTTAGACTGACGACTCCAACTAATCGGCCAGAGAGTCTTGCGCCTGGTAGTGCTGACGCTGGTATTGCTGGTGATGGTGCTAGTCCTGGGGATGAAGATGGATATGCCTGTGGCGGAATCGGGTGATGGGGATAGGTATAATTGGGAGGCGGTGGCCCACCGGCACTGCTAGAAGGCGGATTTGGCGGATTGTTTACTGTTGGGGGATTGGGTGAAAAATGGGAAGCGGACAAGGCTGGCGTTGGCGGTCCAGAAGATGATGGCGATTGAGGGTCGGTCATCCATAGACTGTACAGTTGGTTAGATAAGTCGACTAGCAACCAGGTGACACTTACCGATGAGATTTGGTAGCAACCATTTTAGCCACAGTGTGAGCCAACGTTGAAGTTGGGGTCACATAAAACACCGGGAAAGAGTCCTTGCCTTCTACCAGCCCGCGAGTTGAAAGAATGACAGAAATGAAGTGAATGCATGTGTTATGTAAAAGAGGGAGAGAGGTTGACTTCGTCAACAGTTTGACGTCAACAGTAGAAATGTTACCAACAACGTTGGCATGATTGTCCACCACAGCTAACGAAGAAATCCCTTCATCGTTCATGAGTTGCAAAGCATGATACAGTGGTTTATCTCCGCTGTATGTTGTTAGACTAGTCTCATGCGCGGCAGGAGCAACACTTACTTGATACTGACCACTTGCTGAGACCCTAATCGCAAATCTTTGAGTGGTTGCGGATACAGCTGGTCAATGATCGGAAAACTGCGCCCATTCTCCCACAGAAACTTGACCAGTCTGGATTGACTCATAATCCCAACAGCTTCGTTGGTCCCTTCTTTCAGGACAACGATTCGATGCACTCCACCACCGAATGTTTCCACAGCTTTCATCAAATTGGCCGTGTGAGGCAGTGTGGTCAATGGTTCTCTCGGAACAAGATCTCTAATATCCCTAAGAGGTATCTTACTTCCTTCCCGGGCCTTTTGGGCAACTTCCTGGAAAGATGTGAGTTGCGATTCGGTGGGTTTCGCCAATCCGACCACCAACAACAGATACGCATTCAAGTCATTGTATCCGAACGTCCCAACGGGGCATTTGTCGTTGGCGGTCTCGCGAACGAGTAGAACGGTAGTATCATTATCGATCAATGTCTATATACGACAAATCAGTCAATGTGCGTCAGTGTGATGGCACAAACCCACATTGGTAGCCTCTTCAATCCCCGTATCCACTTCTACAAAACGCAGATCTGTCGGCTTAATAAGTTCTCCAATCGAAATATCTCGCCAATCTCGACCCAAGAACTTGGGATCTGCAGGATTACGCGCCGGCGGGTTATCGATCAAGCCTTGAATGGCAGCTTGAGTCAAGGACGGCTGTCGACGGCTGCGCGGGGATTGTGGGGTGCTTCGAAGACTTTCGCCGAAACTCTGTCGATGCGAAGTAGTGGGAGATGGTGAGATGTGAGAAAGACGGATTGGAGTTGGTTGCTGTCGCGTAGTATTGGGATTAGATGATCGAGAATCGGTGCTGGTTCGTGGCGAAGAAATAGCAGACTCATTTGGTGGAGGATCCTGCCCCGCGTGAGAAGGCTGGTCCGCCATTCTCGGTCTACTCGTCAGCGCGATGGTAATTTCGGTTTTTGTGTGTCGGCAGATATATCGGGTCTGAATAATCAACCTGAATGCGATGCCATTGACCGAATAGTCGAATGTGGGAGTTGATGTGATGTGAGTGAGTGAGTGCCTTCGTTGTCACCGCCACAATTCTTATCATTGACACTGTGGGGGCTTCCCGCTAGCTTCCTTCCTTGGTAATTACGGCTTCAATATCCGCGAACGATATATTGAGAATTATACAGCTAGTTTTAGATAAATTCAGCCAGCATGCCCGACAGATCTTTACCACGCTGTTTCATGACTGTCTTTCTCGTCTGCTTTTGAGCGCGGTCGTTCTCCGATGGCACTGTATCGACCAAACTACGCTTGTTTCCCTTAGAGACATGCTTGCGCTGCATGATGATAACGTCACGATCTCTCAGTTTCTCATACCTCTGCCCAATAGTGAACTCGAGCATGGGTATATCACTTGGTAGTGAAGAAGACACCATCCCTTTCTGGCGGCTATGCCATTTAGTCCTCCCATCGAGATTGTTTGAAGTGAGAGAGAACTGGAATATTGTCTGTTCAGAGGCATCCTCCATGACGATCCAACCCTGCGATTTCGCTAACTTGAGTGCGGATTTCGGTGTCATTCTATCACACATCGCCAGCACACAGTACTCCAACGAGGGAAGCTTGGACAGGTAAACAAAAGCCTGTTCTGTAAGGGCCCGCTGCTGGTACAGTCTCAAAACGCGAAGGTGCTTGAAAGCGCCTGCTGCTTCAGCAAGATCACTCCATGTCCGCAAGATACGGTCATTGAGAGACGCTACTTCTTGATCGTGTCCCTCTGGTATTTCTGGACACGTAGAAGTATTCACTTCCAACGAGACAAGATTAGTCAAATCGGCGAGTTCGACCAGCTCAGGCACTCGAGCAAACTCGGTCCAAATATTCAGTATAGTAGCCCAATTCTGACTCGAGCTCTTGACCAGGTTTACATAGCCGCTCAGAGGATATTGAGGATTCCTCACCTGAAAGTCACAATGTTGCGACAAAGTTCGAAATTCAACAGGATAAGCGGTACAGAATATTTTCCACATGTATAAAGTCCGTTTGCCACTGTCACGTCGATGTTACCTTTTCGCCATCAATAACAAAGAGTTGCTTGCCTTACCTTCGAGTGAGATATTGCCAGAGTTCCTCCGCAATAGGCCAGGGGATATGACGAAAATGGCCTTGGTCCAAATTTCGTTGATCGCTTAATGCTCTCTTTGTGGCTAGGTGTTTCAACGTTGATACACCATAAGTATTCCATGCCTCATAATCCACATCCAGAAATGGGGACTCGGTTTCCCATGCGATGTTCTTTACAAAGCCCAGTTTGGTGGCCATGCTGCTTCAGGATATTCCCGTCCCACCAGCTTTTTGAGGTTCTTTAATCCGTGTATCCAGAGACATTCGCTTGTTTGTTGCCCTGAAGTGAATTGACGTACTTATAATAATTAAGGAATGGCATTAATATGACCCATTGTTGGGTAATGGGGGATTGTGTAGGACGGTTTTTGTTGTTTATTTTTGAAATGCATAAAAGTCATCGATATCACGTGCCTTCCCCCTACAAAACTAGCACCGTCCCAAATTCCGAAAACTAATCATCGACTCCAGGATACAAATGTTTGACGCGAGAATAATGCGTACTCTTTTTTTGTTTGGTCAATCCTAAGGCATGCCGACTGTAAGCACCACTTCTATGCATGAGGACAATGGACTTCTTAACAGCTATAGACGAGAGCGCATCTCTAGAAAGAAGGTAAGAACCATGATGCGAGATAAAGTGCATTGTTGTTGCGCATACCCATGACAGATCACATACTCGTCATCAATGAAGAGCTCCTGCTCTGTGTATTTTAGCTGAACCAAAACCAAATAGCCAAACTTCTGAACGCTACCTGGCAAAGGATGGACGACCTCTTTGTCGGTCAATCTCCAATCTGAAAATATCGGTGTCGATGTATGAAAGGCTTACAGGGTTACAGAACATAAGCATAAGGGTTGCTACATATTTTCTAAATCGAGTCATGGTAATCGGAGAGTATGAGCAAAAAAATAGCTCCTTTGACACGCTCCGATGTCAAATCACACTCGGAAGAAGCATTATCTGGTCCTTTAAACGTTCATTCGGTACAAAGATCGCCTGTATATTGATGATAGCAAAGATGAGTATTTAACTGCGGTACTTATTTCTACAAGCAGGAAATGCTTCCGCCGAGTATTTCTTTAAATGTGTTAAGCTCCGGGCTCACTGCTGGGTTACACTCTCGCGACGTTGCACTCTTTCACAGCCTTGCAATGCTATCCGACACTCTCGTTTTTAGTATTGACAGGTTTCCGAACTCTTGTTGTTCATATCGCCCTTTACTTAATTAACGGATCTTTACACTCCGTGTCGTCAAAGGCGCTGGATGCATTGAAGAAACTACCTCAGCCGAGTAGCTCAGCTTCGTCACGAAGGCGTAAGAGGTCGGTCAATAAGTCTTCAGCGAAAGGAAGAACTTCTTCTAGCAAGGTTTATAGAGCCGCATGAAAGGAAGAAATCACCGTCACCGTTACCGATGAAGGAATTATCACCAGATACCGCACCAGAAATAGTGAGCCGACGAAAGGCCAGTGATGAAATAGCTCTGCAGGTGAGTTTAACTCAGCATCTGTGAAACATAGCTTCATCTTGACGACGCTTAATTGGAATCAAGAGACGTAACATGATACTTGAGTCTTCTCTTCGTCCTTATTCCACGCCCGATGGCAAGGAACACAATCGTACCAAGACTCCGGAGCAATCTAATCTGTGTTTGAGACATAAAGCAACCATAAGGACCCTTTCATACAATTCTCTATTCGACTTTCAGCTTGCAGCTCCATCTAGGAGGGCCAATGATGAAGATGAGGCTGGAAAGACAATACCTTCTTCTTCTTCTTCTTCTTCTTCTTCTTCTTCTTCTTCTTCTTCTTCTTCTTCTTCAATATACTCAGACCAAAGATCTCCACGCCCAGACAGCTCCTGTGAGCGTATACGGCAACATGAGCTCTCGGACAATCATCAAAGTTTCAGCCTGATATCGTTCTTTGCTAGCGACTTCTACAATCTACCCGAATGCCCATTCTATGCCAATGAAATCTTCAGCCTAAAGCTCCAAATAATAGAACTGGAATGCATCAATGTGACCCTGGAGAACAAAATCCGCAAATACCGAGAGGAAGTCCGACTTTTCAAACAGGATATAAAAGGGTATAAAGTGAATGGGAGACAATTCACAGCATTGCTCTTGGAAAGAGAGAGTGAGATTGAGACTCTACATGAGAGAATCACCCAGCTTCTGAATCAGGATACTCTTCCTTTGCCGCCGCGATCCACTCTGAGCCCGGTGAATAGAAGTCATAAAAGATATGGACATATGACCACTTCGTCGGTGGCGCTTCGTGACTTTGGATATAATGGGCCAACCGCAATCATAGCCATGTGAGTGAGCAGGTGGGTAGTGCTGAGACCGATCACAATCCTCAGCGATGGGTATGAATATCTGGTCAGAATTGCAGGTTTATGCAACTCGAGTACGAAAAATGGCGATGCCAGAGGGAAGTTACAACTTTTGAATCGATGTTGCCAGGTCCTCCTCAACCCAAGCAGAGCGGCCCATGAGGAGTAGCTATGGAGTAGTTAGACGGTGAAGACGTGGCTGATATCGTTTCTCTTCGCAATGTGAGCGAAGCAGACAAGTTGCGATCATGTTTCTTAACTCAAATATGGCGATCCTGATTCTGATAGTATTGAATACCACCGTTATATTCTGTTGCTGTTGATATCGTTTCATACCAATGTTGTCCCATGTCCTCCTCCTCCATTGTATAAAAACTGGTACAGTCGCTATACCATCCATTTCTACATGGCGGGACAGATCTCAGATTCATGTGAAGGCCAACTGTGCGTAAAAGAATGTCCAGTCCAGACGGAAAGATATGGATTCGGGTTGAAATAGTCCCGTTGGTTGAGTGAGTTCTCATTTGATGGCTGTCTTTGCCAGTGATGACTGGAAGGTGAAGCATGCCTTCTTGATAAAGCGGGGAGAGGAATAGAGATCGCCATGTTGCTGAGGTTATCAGATCGAGTTGAATGTAGTTTTTTTTTGTGTGTTCTTATTCGCATATTACAATTGGATGATCACATCTGAAGCGCCTCGTAGCCTATTATAGTGTCTAGACAGACGAGATGTAACTCTAAAATAGAAGAATTCTTCGCCTCAAATCCCTCGGTTAAGGGGGAAAAGCAATGCCCCCGTTTTCAGGGACAGCTAGTAGATTTCATGAGTTCAAAGGAGAGAAAGTCGTGATAAGGAGAACTGAGCCTGGAAAAACTAAGGGTTGAGGAAGGGGACGGCATCAGGTCAGGTGCACACAGGGACGTCTGCCTTTCCTTCCAACCCTTCAACATCACCCACCTTCAAGCATTGTCGTATCTCTACTCCAGGATATTTTATAAGAATTAACATACGGAGAACATGCCTGGAAAGCACGATTTAATTTGGTTCTTGCTGGATCTTTGGGTCTGTGGCTCCCCATCCACAAGTAAGTATCCCTGACTCACGCGACTGATCGTTCACTTTCTGAGGAGAGGCTCATATGTTTCCTCGTGCGAATAGAACTCCAAATAAATGATTACATATATCTACTAGGATGAACTGAAGCGTCATTTTGTTCACGAAATCGGAATATACATGCCATGAGAAGTGGTAACGTGCTGTGCGGTAGCTCATGTGATCATGTCATCTCATGGCAGTACAGCATGCTTGAACGTTATCCTTAGGTAAGAAGAACAAACTCTCTTCAGACTTAGTGATACTGATCTGATCAGTTGACTTAGACATAAACATGCTAATGACTTGCTCAATGTGATAGAAATACGGCTGCTTCGGGCTGCAAGCAGAGTGGATGGAACAGAATCCTGGATATTGTTCCAAGTATGGGAACTCAACATATCTGTCAGGTATATTGGGTTATCTCGACATTATTATCCAAGACATGGCAGATATAAAGACATATACTGAGGAAGTTGTCAGGAGACGTTCCCACTCTGTCGAAAAGAAGACATCTCGCAAGCATCTTCATCGAATTCTCAGAATCATTGGTTTTCACACTGAGACCACTACCGTACACCCAATTAAACCAGGGCAACATGTTGTATGGCTCTTTGACAATGTTGCATATCAACCTGTGCACCGATCCAACCAAGACCAGACATGGGAAGCCGAGATGGTGGCCTGCGTCTTCAGTCGCGAGCGACGTAACATGGGTCAGTATGTTGCACGGGTAGCTGACTTTGTCGGCCTTGACGGGAAGTTTGGAGAAGATCCCATCATTCGACGGCGGATAATCCAACGTCTGCGGTCTTTGTTATACGTTGTCGCTCCCAGTCGTACTTTACCTGTTGATATGCCTCTACCTAATGGGACGGTTCGCAGGTTCCATTTGGGTCCTACGAATCAAAACGGAGTCCTCACACAGACTGTTTCTCTGCCACAGATGGGGATAGTAGACAGAAGCGTGGTCACGTCTGAGTTGGTAGGATCAAGGGGACAGGTGCGAATGCAGACGAGGTTTGCTGCTCCAGAAGGATGGTTGTTAATATCCGATATCGATGATTCCATCAAAGTTACCCTGACTCCAGAAACTGTTGGAATCCTTCGTACAACTTTCGTGACCGACCCAGAGCCCATTATTGGTATGCCCGAGCTCTATCAACTCATAGAAAGGGAGTTGAATCCGACATGGATCTATCTGTCAGCGTCACCATACAATTTATACAAATTTCTACGCAACTTCTTGCACTTATTCTACCCCCCAGGTACCTTACTGCTCCGACAAGCTACCTGGAAAAACCTCGGGGAATTCATCAAATCCTATAACACAGGCACCGGGACGTACAAGATGCGGCAGATGGATAAAATTCACAGTTGGCTTCCAGCAAGGAAAGTTATCTGTGTCGGCGACTCGACTCAAAGTGATCCAGAGATTTATGCAGAAATGTATAGGAGGCACGCGGGCTGGATCAAGGCCATATTCATTCGCAAAGTGACCAATATACCGCACATGGAGAAGAAGAATTCGTCGTCAAGGTTCCAAAGGGCCTTTGAGGGTGTTCCGCATGATGTTTGGAGGATATTTGAGCGTCCCAGTGGTTTGTATGAATCTATTGCAAAGCTTAACTATGAGCCGTCAGCTAGGCAGGTTCGAGTTTGACGATTATTGCCTTTTCATCCTTTTCATTATTGTTTCTTGTCTTCTGGCCAGTGCACCGGAGTTCAATTCCGAGTTGTTATCAAGCAATATCAAGCCCGTCACCAAGCGGGACGCAACAAATCTGGGAGGTCTTTTTCTTTATGTCATCTTGTATTTTCCTTATGTATAATAGCTTCATTTGCCATTGTTCAGGACTTCATTTAGAACATATCTATGCCTTTATGTATTATAGTGGCGAGACTTTATGCATCATACGAGCGTCAGGTAGGACGTAAGTGGGGAGTTGCCCTAACTCTCAAGACAGTTGATCTCTCAAATACAGACTTATCAACACAAGGTCTTGGAACAATCAATTCTTGCGAGTTAAGACTTAACCTTGAATACGTGAAACTATACGGCTAAACAGGCAGCATATTTTGGGAACAATCAACACCAACCAAAGCTATCAACAATCCAGAGAAACAACATGACATCCAACACAATGAGCGAACAAACCCGCGTACCCAAATACATGCAAGCCCTCCATCTCCCATCCTCTTTCACCAACAAAGCCACATTAGGAGGTCCATCTTCCCTAAAATACGAAACTGAGCGCCCCGTGCCTAGACCAGGGACAAATCAATACCTGATCAAAGTCCGCACAGTCTGCGTATCAATCGATGAGCTCCAGCAAACCTATACTTCTTCCGCGAGCGGGCAGGGAAGTGGAAGTAACAGGGATAGCGCTATGTTTCTCGAAAGACCGACGGCAGACGGGATTGATAAGATACATGGCCTTATCCCCGGAAGAGAGTTTTGTGGTGAAGTCATAAGTACCCCCCGCGAAGATCATGCCAGTTCCACCGGTCCGGCATTCAAAGTAGGCGACGAAGTAATCGGTGTATTGGGTAATATCGAAGGTCGCGACGGTGCAGCAGCGGATTATACGCTCGCCACAGAGAATGAATTGGCATACAAACCCGCCAATCTTTCCGCTGCAGAGGCAGTCACAATCCCCCACGCGGCGCTTATTGCATGGCAAGGGTTGTTTGGATATGCGACACTTGATCCTGATGATGGGCCATGTAATAAGCCGGCAGATGGGCCCTTGAGGGTTCTTGTGACGAATGCCGCGCAGTCGGATGTGGGAAGGTATGTAATGTTGTTGCTGAAGTGTCAGGCGTTGTTCCCGCATCATGTAATGGGTCTTATGGGCGGTGCTGGATTGGGGGAGTTAGAGAGATCGACTTGGGTTGTTGCTACGGGTAAGAAGGATGAGCATGAGTACTTACTCAAGGAGCTGGGTGCGGATGAGGTTACGGCCTCGACGGATATAGCCGCTGCGTTTCGGGAAAAGGGGTGGAAACCGGTTGATATTGTCTTTGATTGCGTGGGTGCTGGTGGAGGATTGTTTCGAGAGGTTCATTCTCCGGTTGTAGTCAAGGATCATGGACATGTCTTGACTCCTCGACGGCCGCAATCGGGACATCCGGAGAAACCGTCTGAGTGGGATCAGAGGACGGAAGTCATGACGAGGAATTTGACCAGTGAGGTTATTGATGTGAAGCCGAATAAGACGCAATTGGGCAAGATTGTGCAGTTGGTTGAGAAGGGCGTTTTGAAGCCCGATGTGTCGTATCAGATAGAGGATCTGTTGCGTGGACAACAGGCGTTGGTTTATGCTGAAAAGGCTGGGGAACAAAAGGTTGTGTTGCGAGTTGATCCAGCTGGAAGTCAGTTTTAACCCAGAAAGTAGAAAGAAAGGAAGTAAAACAGTGTTATCTTATTATAGAATTCAATATGAAGTACTCCGACAACAATATGAGCAAAATACATGTCCATCGAAGAGAAAATGAAATGTAGACTTGTCTTGACTCGCAGACCAGCAATCGAGCTGCTTGCGTGATGAATACCAACTGCGAGTGCGGATGACAATAGTGAAACGCCCAGAAAGTGAAGAAAAGAAATGGGCACGGAGATTCGAAGAGCTCCCTTTTCCCTTGAAAAAGACACCTAGCAACAATGAAGATACCCCCAAAGACTCAAAGGGCGGGTGATGTTCTAAACCGCCTGCTGGAGAAAAAAGAAAAGAAACCAGATAGATGTAATGCCCGGAGATTATCGAAAGTGGATCTCTGTATGTGAGGGAGATGAGGCGTACATATAAAAAGAAAGGAGAGCAGGAGAATGGTAATATGTTGGTAGGCCAATTACAGGAGAGAGTCAAGTCGGGTAAACACGCTTAAGCATGCAGCAACAATCTGTGGTGTCGTTAGCAAAAGTCTTTGATAGAAACGAAGGGGATGGTATACCTCTAGCTGCAATTCTCGATCCTTTGATTTATTAATCTCGTCGTTGACTGCCTGTGCCAGATTCGCTCCGATACTCTGACCAGCACCTGATTTGCGAGCAAAAGGCCATTGCGAGTATTCAGCAAGTAATTCGTCAACCTGAGCGAAAGCTCTTTCCCTAGATTCATGGCTCATAGTAACCAGCGCATTCTCAAGCACATTAGCCGCATATGCAGCGCACACCATGCTTATAGTTCGTAGGAAACGGAATTCAACATCTTCGGGGAGCCATTGGTTTGGTGTCAGGATAACAGTGCGACTGCTGCAGACGTTACGCACACGTTTATGCAGTTCTTCTTTCGCGCCGGAGTCGGCTACGGGGTGAGTAGCCATATCGAAAAGGAGGAAATTGCGCTTCTCGGTGCGAAGGACACCTTTGTCCACGAGGCCTTTCATGATTCGTTCACGGACTTGTTTCAATTGATAGCCGATTTTCATCAAGTTCCAGGTTTCGCCTATAGAAATACTCAGTAAAACGTTGTCGCGCTGTAACTGACGAGAAAGGTGACGAACCGCTCATTAGATCAATCCAAGTGCTTACACTCATCTTTTCACTCGATTTCATCATCTTGAGTGCCTCGTCCAGCAAGACCTCGCCTGTAAGTGTATCGTCAATCACTTCAATTACTCGGTCTGCAAGAGGGAATCTCCTGCGAGCAGGGTCCTTTTGCATGCTTATTCGGCCGCGGAAAGCGAGTTCGATAACGATGCAACCGCGTAAAGCGTAAGAAATATTCTCGTTCCAAAAGGACAGATAGCCCTACACGGCAATCGTCAGTTTAAACCTCTATCTTACCGAGAATCAGGATAGTACCTGTTTATCTTTAAGTCCCAGAAGTACAACCTCATCCATCAAAGTCAACTTGGGCATCCTTGTCCGTTCCTCATTTTCGCTAATGTCTCGTGGGTCGAATGCAATTTTGTGACCGTTCTCGCCGTCAGTATACGAAGTTTCTGGCGTACGAGCATCGACAGCCGTTCTATTATTGGGCACTGGCGATGAGACTCGACTGCCTTCCTCGTTGTCTTCTCCGCCGACTCGACCGCCTCGTCGCCGTGTCAGTCCGCCGGCTGAGGCCATGTGTAGATTTGCTGGATGATTTGGTGATATCAAATTCAAATTGAACTAAAGGCCGAGCCTATCACAAGGTCGGCGCGAAACAATAGGGCGTAGTAACGGCGAAAAATCGATGGATAGGTGTTGAGGGGGTTCAGAATGCTCCGCAAATAATTGCGCACGAGAACAACCTAAACTTAAGGAGAAGAAGCTGAGACCGAGAAGGATGACAAGCACAAAACACAAGCGATTCAGAGAGGATAACCGATGCGATTCTCCAATTCTCTGGTTCTCCCTTGGACGCCGGTCAATTGTATAGGAAAATGCGATGGCGCCTCCTTTTAGGATTGAGGTTGCGAACTTGCGAGAGCCGCTAGTTGAGAAATAATTAGGTTGACTGTCAGTGATTCCTGGAGCCTTGGCGCTACGGACAACTAACTGTGGTGGATCGTCCGATAGCGCTGTCAACACCTATCACTTGATCTTGAAAAATATGGCTATCATTTTTGCGGCGCTGGTTATAATTGTATTGCAGTGCTAATATCTCAACGACATAATACTCTGAACTCCATTTTACGGCCGAGGAATATACCCCGACCAACTCATCCGATGCCAATATAGGGTACTGTCGAAGAGTTACTCAGCAGCCTCAGCTACAGACACATGTCTTCCCATGGTCGATATGTACATGTATTTTCGTAATAATACATGGAACTGTACCTAAGTTGTATGAAAGACGAGTGTCGTCTAGAGAAACGGAAGCGTGTTTTATAAAGATGGGTCTGATAGATGATATACAAGGGTACAAAGTACCAAGAACCACGAGTAGATTAAGTGCACAAGAGAACGCCAGTAGCAGGAGCTCCCATTATCTAAACGATTCTCAAATGACACACCAAATTCCAAGCAGCGAAAGTCCGTCCGTCTATGACTGTTTAATGGGCTAGCAAGATGTTAGTAGGCGAGAGACGTCAGAGATTGTGATGAGACATACCATCAGGCTGAGAGAGGATGTAGTTAACGGCTTGCTCGACTGTATAATAGTTAGCGTATGTATGGAAGACTGGCAGTTTCACATACCACTGTGGATAGCGTCGGCGTCCTTGTCGGGGATTTCAATGCTGAATTCCTGTAGATAATCAGTACGGCTGCTACTAATATCATGAATAGCGTATGCATACCTCCTCAACAGCCATCACAACCTCGACAACATCAAGGCTGTCCAAGCCCAAATCATTTGTGAAGTGAGATGCTCCGTTAATCTATATAATATTAGACATTCGAAGTATCGTTATATAATCTGGTAGCATATATATCCCAGGAGCGAGAGTGGAACGAACCTTGCTAGCATCGGAGACCTATTGCACATAATCTTGTTAATTCTAATGTTGTAGCCGAATCGAAAAAAGTTGGACACACCTTATCAAAGTTCTTCAACAAGTTCACTATACGACCCTCAACTTCATCCTTGGAAAGACCAGCAGGAGCTGAGTAGAAACGGGGTGTTTGAGTATTGAAAACAGGGACGAATTGAGATGGGCGAACGGCAGGAGTGATCTGAATGCGAGGAGCAGCAGCAGCCCGAACGGTGCGAGGGACGGAAGCTCTCAACGAGCGCACAATAGCGGAACGAAACATGTTGATAATTAAAGAGAAATGAAGAGCGCTCGGGAGGAATATAAATCTCTTTTATTTAGGGGTGAGCAACGAGGCGTGGGAGGTAATTGGGCAATTGATAGAACTGTCGTGGGAAAAGCAGAGAGAGATGAGGTTTGTTAACTCTCTCCGGCGTTTTCCACTCGGCAGAACCACAGACCTACCGCCAACCAATCAACGGCCACACGAAGGGAATGACCTAAGCCAAATTGCTCGCAACTTCCGTCTCCAAAGGAACCTCTCTATCCAACTTCTCCCCTCTTCTCTTTACACTCGCTCCCTCCAATACATCCTCCCACAATGGCCTCGCCGCAGTCAATTGCGAGGCTAGTTGCCTCTCGCCGGCATTTCGTCGCTGTGCCCTCGACTACTCTCCGAGCTGTCGCCGCCGCAAACTTCTCGTCTTCTGCATACCGCGCAGCCACGCCCTCTGGTCCTCCTCCCTCGGGCTTCAGACTTCCACCTCCCAAGCGGTGGGATCAGGGTGAAGAGTCGTCTTTGGACAAGGCGAGCAAGTACTTCCTCATGGCAGAGTTGTTCCGCGGCATGTACGTCGTGTTGGAGCAATTCTTCCGACCACCGTAAGTCTTCCAACGACTGGTACTATCTTTTCAAATGAAATATAGAAGCTGCGATGTTATATACGCCGTGACAAAGCTAACTCTTGACCCAAGTTACACCATTTTCTACCCCTTCGAAAAAGGTCCCATCTCCCCCCGATTCCGCGGTGAACACGCTCTACGTCGCTACCCCTCTGGCGAAGAGCGCTGCATCGCCTGTAAACTCTGCGAAGCCATCTGCCCAGCTCAAGCCATCACAATCGAGGCCGAGGAACGTGAAGATGGTAGTCGACGAACAACCAGATATGATATCGATATGACCAAGTGTATCTACTGCGGTTACTGCCAGGAGAGTTGTCCAGTGGATGCCATTGTTGAATGTGAGTCTTATATCTTTGTTTGATTTGCTGCGATTTTCAGTCTGCTGACAATATAAATAGCACCCAATGCCGAATACGCCACAGAGACTCGAGAGGAATTGCTGTATAACAAGGAGAAGTTGCTCGCTAATGGAGACAAATGGGAACCTGAGTTGGCTGCTGTCATTCGCGCTGATGCTCCCTACCGATAGAGGATGGATTGTGGCTAGCTCACCATCTCATCGTTGATCTCTGATCGTCGAAATTAATGTACATATCAAATGACTAAGATTTTTCATCTGACACTCGAGGAAAGGAGAGCTCACTGTTGGGCTTTGGGTGTGATCTGCTATTCTACTTGCCGTTTCTTTTGTTGAATTAGAGGACGATCCGTTTTCTTGTCTGTTCTATTAGTGTTGAGCTGCTCATCGAAAAGAATTTAGCAATCTGCCCTCGATGTTCTCTTTGTTTTACGTGAAGGTTGCTGCATATGGAGCTTCTAGAGATTGATATGGGAATATCCAGAAGTATCCCAGATGAATATCAATCAGAATCGAGACACTAGATATGATTAAGTATAGGTAGGTATAACCTAGACATTCAAATGGGTCCGGTGTGCCCGCACATCTATCCACTGGAGAGAAGAGGCAGACCCCAAGGCTAAGTGCTAAGAATGAATGAGATGGATTGAGAATTTTTATTTTCATTGATCTCAAAGTGGTAAAATATACCACAACTTAACGCCACGATTCAACGTCTCCCAATCCAGGAGGGAGGACACTATACACACAGAAAGAGAAAATATGCCAGAGAAAATGGCCATAGATCTGACATAACAGACATATTCAACGCCGGCCCTCATGATGATGTGAAATCAGAACAATTTCCCACGCTCAAAACACTTTTTGTCATATCAAATCCGACAAACTTTTTCTTATTTCTTCTTACCACTACCGTCACCATTCTTCGCTCTAAAACTTCCTTCAAACCCTGGTCTGGCTTTTGATTTGCCCTTATTATTATTACCACCACCGGCTTTCTTGCCGCCGGCGTTTCCTCGATCTTCTTTCCTCTTGCGGATGTTCTCTTCTCGTCGTTGTTGCCTCATTTCCTTGCCCTTTGCGACTCCCTCGAGTCTCTCTTTCCATTCACGCTCGGACTTCTTTTTAGCTGATTCTTTGCGTTTGAGGGCTTTCTTTAAGAGAGATGTATCGTCGCGGACACGCTCACCGTGAGCACGTTTCTTAGCGTTTAGCCACATGTCCTTTTCTTCGATTTCGGCTCGTTTCTGCTCGTCAAGACTGGAGAGGCGTGTCTTTTTAGCTTCGGCAGCCTTGAGGGCAGCCGCAGGATCACGAGGGCCATGTTTCGACTTGTCATCGAGTAGGCGTGAAAGTGTAGGATCAGCATGTTGTCCATCTGGGAACGCAATTCGTCCAAAGGCAAAATTCGTGTTGGAATTGGATGTAAACGATTCAGCGGGCGAACGAGGTGAAGCGAGTAGCGAACCGGATCCACCAGGCGAAAACCGTCTTTGCATTTCCTCATCCTTTTTCAGCTCTTCTTCTTCCTTGGCCTTGCGTCTAAGTTCCTTTTTGTGTTGTTTCCTTTCTTCGGCTTTGCGCCGTCGTGCCTCGATGAGTTCTTGTCTTGTTCTTGCTGGTTTGCCATTGAGGCCGTCTGCTCGTCGAGCAGCGCGAAGTTCGTCGAGACGCTTTTGGAGTCTTTGACGGAGTTCTTCTGGTGTGGTCTTGAGAGGTTTGAGAGTAGGCTTTGTTGCTTGTTGTGAGGGCGCCTCGCTCGGCGGGATGATGGAGGAAGTGGAGGAGGTACCGGAGGAGTTGTTCGACATCTCGAAATTGGATGAATCTGGGTTCGACGAAGTGGTGGATGATGTTTCTTCTAATGCAGAGTTTTTCGTTTCCAGATCAAATCCTTCCACTACATCGAGTTCTTCTTGATCGACGTTGTGGTCTTTTACGGGAGGTTCCTTGTCGGATTTTTCATCCGCTGAACTCTTTTGTGTAGTTGTAGACGGCTTTGCAGCAGGTTGTGATTGCTCGTCCACGTTCTTCTTCTTATCAGCTTTCGCTGCCTCCTTGGCCTTTTTCTTCTCACGCTGTGCCGCCTTTTTCTCGGCCTTCTTTTCAGCCTTCAACTTCCGTCGCTCCTCTGCCTCTGCATTGCGATCTTTATTATCCTTCTCAGCAGCATCTATTTGCTTTTGCTTCTTGCTTTTCAGATCGCCGCGTTTCAATCCCTCCTTGGGCAATTCGGAACCCAACTCGCTCTCGGCAGACTGGCTCTGATTATCTTCCTCGATTCCATCTTCTCGTTTCCGCTTTCGAGCATTCTCATCCATGACATCCTTTGCTGACTTGGCGGCATCGGGGTCTAGTTTGGCCAGTTTGGCGTTTTTAGCTTCTTCTTTTGTCTGTTTCTTGCGCTGCCATTGATCCTATGCAAGTTGAACAATGAATGTGAGTGTACGATCATACGAAGGCACTGATTTTTACACTCACACTATGGTCCTCCTCATAGTAATACTTTGCAGGAATCAAAGACATAAGCCCGCTAAAAGCATCGGAGTGGCTTCGAAGCCGTTCCTAGATGGACCAATTCAGCTGGAAGATAAAAAGAAAGGCGGTCTATAGCAAAAACGTACCTCGATATCCGCCATTGTGACTTGCTATCGAAAACTCATTCAAGATTTCGTAAGCAAGTGACGTTCTTGTCCAGAAGCAGATGGAAGCTGAAATAATGGATATTCCAGAGCTGTCTCGGCGTTCAAAGACAGGGAGTACTCCTTCGTCCAGCATCAACAAGTTCGAAGAGAAAAAAATTGGTGTGGGTTGGAAATCTTGGCGCCGCCCGGTAGCGCTTGGCCTAATGTGGAGTTAGCGTGGATATCGACCAATCATAATTTAGCAGGTCCTTCTTATCGCGTGCGCGACTACCAAAGCTTCACCATTGAATATAGAGGGTTTGTTGAGAACTCGACTACATTGTACAATAGCTACTGTGAACTGTGGACGCGCATTTTCTGGTACTACAAAAATTGCAGACTAGTCTTCGTGTGGAGCCATTGGTCAAGTCACAGTCACTATCCAGTCTATCCTAGCGATTTGACGAGAATTCTTTGCAGCCAAGCAGCTAATCTGCACATAAATGAGCCGGATGCAACAATTGACAACATGCCAATACTAGATGGAGAAGTTCTGTGTGGGCATCTTGAAGACGCATCATGTGCCAAGAACACTGGCAAAGTACTCGAGAATGAATCTTTCTTTGGACAATTTGACTAAGTGATTACTGAAATACAGAGGAGTATCGGCCGTAAAAAGCCGACCTATCAGTGACCGACTGAGGAGTCTCTCAGCGACGCATTGGTTACCATACCGGGATATCAACTAGTCAGGAACGGCTGTAGACAAGAACAACGACAATAGACACGGCAGTGCTGTGGCTTGGTCTTCCTTTTCGTCGCCTACGGAGTACTTCATGATGATAAATAAGTACGCACTGCTAAAATTAGAGCATACAGCCGAGCCACATCTCCAGCCACGATCGCGGGGCAATGTTACCGCTAAGCCCCATCAGTACGCCGCGTGCCGAACAAACCGAGCCGAGTGTTCCGTTGGTGGTAACTGTGTGTATTTTCAAGTGGACCATTTAGGATTTGCTGCGTACTGTTACTGTATTTGATTAGTAATTTAGTAAATCTTGCGGCCACACGAGGAGGAGCTGAGGGGTCTGGTTGGTATTGGGTGTATCTCACATATGATGGTTGGTAATAATACGTCATGAATGGAGTAATTACATGGCTGTGGTTCAGGCAATCTATGTAACTTTGGAGTTGTCTTGAGACCAAGCCTTCGCATGGGTTCGTTCTTTCAGCTGATGCCTGCCAGACCTGATGACACTCGACGACAAACTATATAAGACCCTGCCCTAACCGATAACCCCGCCCTCAGACTCGACTACATTTTAAATCACCTCGCATACCTTTCAGCTCATCCATCACCATCCTTATCCACAACCTGTCTAATCGACCTCATCGCATCACATTCAAAATGTCCGACTACAACAATCAATACAACAACCAACAGTACGGCCACCAAGGTGGCGGCTACTACAACGACCAACAAGGCGGCTATCCTCCCCAGCACGGCGGTTACGGTCAAGAGCAGTACGGTCAACAACAACCTCAGTACGGCCAGCAGCCCCAATACGGCCAGGAAGGTCAACAATACAATAACCACCAGCAAGGTTACGGTCAGCAAGAGTACAACCAGCAGGGTGGATACGGTCAGCAGCCTGCCTACGGTGAACAGGGTCATCAGGGCGGTTCGGCCTATTACGATCAGAACAACCAGTCTGGATATGGTCAGGGTCAACAGCATCAATATGGCCAGGAGGGCCAGCAGTACGGCGAGCGCCAGGGGTGAGTCAACTGTCTTGAAATCAATGCGCAGTGAGAACATGTGACTAACAGCAATCAATCCAGGTATGACAACCAATCTGCTCCCGGGGGCGCTCAAGACGGCGAGCGTGGTCTAGGTGGTGCCCTTGCTGGTGGTCTTGCTGGTGGTTTCGCCGGTCACAAGGCCAACCACGGTATTTTGGGAACGATTGGTGGTGCCATCATGGGCAGTATCGCCGAAGATTTTATCAAGGACAAGAAAAAGGACCACAACAACCAGCAGGGTGGCCAAGGTGGTTTCGATTTCTTCCGAAAGTAGATGCTAGGGCATGATGTTTTCCGGGCTCGATCATATTTCTTCTTAGGCCGTGACCGTGTCTCGGTCTGCGTCGCTTTTCGCTTTTGTCTTTCATGAAACGAGTCCTTTTTTTCTTATCAACGATTCGACTTTCCTTTGTCTATATTAAACTAGTCGGCCTTGGGATTGAGATGGCGTTTTGACTGCGTTGCTGTCATGAATACTGAATGATTATTGCTATTGCGGATTGCAAATGCTCTCTGCTACTCCTTTCAAACTCCTTTCGTTGAAGTAAAAGATCCATGTAGCAGTTCAAGTATGTCGTAAAGGACGAGTGACCAGACTTCGTGAAAAGGTCATGAGTACAAGCCATGTTAAACACTCTGAGAAGTCAGGACGACAACAACAGTATCCGGAGTAGACTAGTCCCTTAACGGATAAGCTTTGCCTACTAGCGAATCATGACCGACACGCTTGTGGGCACTGTTCCTATTTCGGGTTAGTCAAATCGGCCAAATCATTTTCGCAAGGGAACTTTCAACACCAACAATGATCATCCGACCTATCCTCAGACAACAAGACTTTACACCATGATAATACGGCAATTAGGTCTGCGGCAGGGTGAGTTCCTATCTTCAGGTGCCATGCTATAATTTCAAAAGCCTAACCAAATCGCGTCAGGCCGCAATGTCTCTTTAATCCGTCAAGGACTCGTCCGATTCTCGTCTACCGAGACGACAACAACGACTACGACAATTACAGCAGAACAGACACTCCCATTGAGTGGAAATGGCGAGTCGAGCTCTACTATAGTACAAAGTGTGCAAGCATCCCGTACTTCAACATCGGTCTCTCCTGCATTGAAATCTCGCAAAGCTTTCTTACAGGCTGCGCGGCAACGTGAGTATCAACCTCTTTTCAAGCAATTCGTCCACCACTGAACAATAATGTGATAAACAGGCCAAAAACTCAAAAGCATCGGCACAACAATCTCCCAAACCTACGATCCAAACACCCTACTCAAAAACCCCCCCAAACCAGCTGAAGTCACCCTCGAGTTACTCCTAGCCTCCCAATCCCATTTGGGCCACACCACCTCACGCTGGAACCCACAAAACTCGCGATACATCTTCGGTATCCGAGAAGGTGTACATATCATCTCCCTGGACGTGACAGCCGCGTACCTCCGCCGAGCCGCAAAGGTAGTCGAAGAAGTCGCTCGACGCGGTGGATTGATTCTTTTCGCCGGAACCCGCCCCGGACAAAAAGAATGTGTCGTTCGCGCTGCTGAAATGGCCAGGGGATATCACGTCTTTGAGCGCTGGATTCCGGGCAGTTTGACAAACGGACAACAGATCCTGGGTAATTGTGAAATCAAAGTCGTCAATGCCCTAGATGAAGAATTACCAGACTACAAGCAATACTTGACCGAACGACCAGTCCTCAAACCTGATCTTGTGATTTGTCTAAACCCGATTGAGAATGAGGTCTTGTTACATGAGTGTGGGTTGAATAATATTCCTACAATCGGGATTATTGATACCGATGCGGATCCCACGAGGGTTACGTATCCTATCCCCGCGAATGATGATAGTTTGAGGTGTGTGCAACTTATTGCTGGTGCGTTGGGGAGGGCTGGGGAGGAAGGGCAGAGGTTGAGGCTGTTGGAGGCGCAGCAGGGTAGATTTACTTATACGCCTGTTGGGGAGAGGGATGTTAAGCGTTCGTCGGAGGGTCAGGAGTAGTTTTTTTCTGGTTTGCCGTTTGGCTTCGTTGCTTGTATACATAAAATTTCAGATGTGCCTAGTGCCGCGTGTATGAATATATTACTTATTTAGTGTACGTCTTCAAAGGGTTTGGTTCATGGGTGCTAGATGAATTGATTGCAGTCTATCTTCAGTATGCAGCTCTCCGATATACAAGACGCAAACTCCGTACTACATAGACATATGCTCAGACAGTCTTCAACCGATAAACTCTCCTTCCCCTTGCATCAATACCAACATACTCCAACGGCTTTCCCAAATTCTCAGAAACAACATGTCTCTCATCACCCATCGGCAAAACAACATCCAAATCCTTCCAAGCAGGAACATACTTATTATCCTTCCCGCGCTCAAACTCCACAGAGACCTTCTCAGCGGTAGAGCTATATCTGACCGTGAACGAGGACACTTCGGCATTTTGTGTGTACCCATCATCTTCTAACCAAGTAGTCGAGAAGACGTGGCCGTGAGAAGTTCGCTTTGGAGGAAAGATTTCAACACCGCGATAGTCGTCGATTTCATCGACACCGGCGGCTGCTACGTCTGCTTTTTCTTCACCTGGTGTACGAGTTACAACGCTCTTGCCAATAGGGATTGCGCCGCCGATACGAGCGAGTAATGGGATACTCTCCTGCCATTTCGATTCAATTTCAACCCATTGACCGGAAGCCAGATGCTGATAGGGAGCATTGAGATTGACATATCCATAATCAAACGATCCATCTGATTTCCGTGGAAGATAGACCTTTGCAACCGTCACACCAGGCTCGTAGACACCACCAACAAGCAAAGTGTCCCCAAACCAGAATTGTTCTTCTCCCTCTTTCAGTTTCTTGGAAGCCCAGACTTCCGGATCGGATTCGTAGCCCCATCCAATCCATCGTTGGGGCGGGGAGGCGTACAAATGACTTTCGAGGGCGAGGGAGTAGATGTATGGTAATATCTCGTAGCGACGTTTGATGGTGTGGCGGATACGGGGGGTGATTTCGGGGTACATCCATGGCTCAATCACGTCGCCTAGGAGATTGTCTGCGGGTGATGTTTTGAAGCAGTTGATTGCGAATCGGGGGGAGTAGATGCCTACTTGGACCCAGCGGAGGAGGAGTTCGGGGGATGGTTGGGGACCTTCGAAACCGCCAATGTCGTGGCCGTAGCAGTGCAGGAGCGAGAAGCCTGCGTTTAGTGATAGTGCGTTGGCGCCCTTGAGATTCTCCCAGCTGGTGACGTCGTCACCGCTCCAGGAGCTGGCGGCATACCGTAGCGTCCCGGGAGTCGCACTTCTGGTCAAGACGAATGGTCTCAGATTCGGTCTCAGGGCGACGAGGGCGTCATGGGAGGCTTTGCCCATGAGCTCAGTGTGCATATTCCGTCCCCAGAGACCTACAGAGTTAGGTACCTCTGCGCGCTTTTCGACTTTGGCATGTTCGTTGTCCAGTTTCAATTTCCAGTCGTCATTAGGGAGAGTATATTCATTATTGTCGTTCCACATTCCATCGACACCGGCGTTGGCCAGCTTCTGTACACCTTCAACCCACCAATTGAATCCATACTTAGAAGTGAAATCAATGTGGCAGCCTTCAGCACCTTGACCTCCGCCGGCGCTCCATACATCCATATAACCCGGCAGATTTGTATCTGGATCAATAAACAAAGCATTCGCATCTTTCAGCTTGTTAAAGTCTGGATGCGACGAGAGGACAAAAGGCTTGATATTCGACAACAACCTCAACCCAGCAGCATGCATTTGCGAAGTCCACTTCTTCGGATCTGGGAACCGTTTGGGATGCCAGGTGAAAACGGTCCGAAGACTGGGCGTAGTATCACTAAATGAATAACCGGAACTCATCTGATGAGCTGAGCAGGGAATTTCGTGGTGTTTGAGCTTAGCGGCAAAATCTAGCAGTGCTTGATTGTCGACCATGGTGTATCTGTAGCCACCAGAGATATAGCCGTATGCCCATCTGGGGGGTAATAAAGGGAATCCGGCGAGTTCGGCATATGTGCGAACAACATCTTTCAGAGTCTTGCCCACGATGAAGTATTCTTCCAAACCGCCGTAGTCTTGACGGTATACTTTGTATGCGCCGTACAGACCGTCCAATTCAGAGCCAACGCTCCATGTACCTCTTGAGTGAGAGGAAGAGAAAATTGCAACTACGCCGTCGCTGTTGGCTTTGATCAGAAGCGGGATATACTTATACAGAGGATCTGTACGGTAGACATCGTATCCGAAAGTGTCAGATGCTGAGAGGATGAAGTTCCGATTCGTCAGGTCCATAGGCGCCGGCTTCTCGCCCAGTCCGACGTGGAGAGCCTCCCTGTCATGGACACTGTAGTGCGCCACACCGCTGGAGTCGGCGACATACGACCGACCAGGCAAGTCACGATGCAGGACATGCTTGGAATCCGACCACGACAGAGAAACGACAGGCGTATTCTCCCATTGTACAGTAGCCGTCACCCCGTCGATTTCCGTAGTCGCCGAGGAAGAATTAGTGCTGGTAAACGAGGATGGCAATGGATGATCCCTTGTAGGCTCAGGGATACTGGGGTATGGTGGTAATGGATGAGCTTCGGAGGTGAATCTCACTCGAAACAGGTTTGGGCGTATAGCTTCAAAGGTGAAATCGAAGCTTTGTTTTCCGCCGACTGAGCGGAGAGCGAGCGTGGAATTGGTGCCATCTTGTTCACGCAATTTGTATTTCTTGGGGACAAATTCTCGTTGAGGCATTTTGATGTATTGATTCAACGCTTGCCTCTCATAAGAAAAGAATGAGTTGATACACTGACAAGAAAAGAATATCACCTCATGGGACTCGCCATCTTTTCAGTTGACTACCACCAGACACCCCACCCACGTGCAACTACGTGGAAGATGGAGTTCCCTCCGAGAGTGAAGGTGAGCTGTCTGCCCCATTGGGACAAGCACTGACTGAAAAGAATCCGGGGGCTCTCCACATTCCCCCCTCATAGTGTGGGATGGCTTCCCGTCTGTTGGTGGATTGCCGGTTATTGATCCATCGGTTATTGAATTTTCAGTCTTTTTGCCAACGATTGTCAAGCTTTTGAGGGGTTTATGAATAGAATTGAGGATCAGTTCTGAATTCGTACGTGATGATGCGCAATTATTCTACAAATAAGTGCTTCGAATGAAATGAGTTCCAAGGTTCCTGTATCAGATGATGGTTGAAACATTTGGCTGGCATACTAAAGGACTATTCCAATCCATGGACTCAGAAACTCTGCTTGAGAGGAATTATTGGTAAGTTACTGCGTGAATCAAGCGGCGTTCTATATGTCTTTTAAGTTCATTGCATAGTCATATTCTAACCCATAGCCCTCATAACCAATTCGACGCTGTCATATCGTTAGCAACAACCCCGTTTATAGACTGGAAGAACTTACGTAGCAAATGTACCAGCAGAAACAGGCATGGCCCTGAGTAAAGTAGGCCCAAGACCCTTCCAGAAACCCGCATACCCTTCAGCTGCCAACGTCTTCTTGAAACAATCCGTCATACTCTTGTACTTTTGCTCAGTACCAAAACCATCAGTCTGCATCTTACTCTTGACGACGTCAAAGGGATAGCTGAATATCCACAGTGCTTCACCGGCAAGACCACCGTATGTGGCAACTTTGAGACTAGAGATATCCTCTCGTTTAATGTTATTGCGTTTGGCGTCTTGGTTCATAAGATACTCAAAGGCCAAGAACCACATTCCATAGGCTTGCGCTTCACGGAGAATGGTCACGACTTCGCCGCGGTAGAGACCACGCAGGACACCGTTGTGCGCAGAGAGTTTGCGCACGCAGTCCATGGGACCGTTATATAGCCGTCCAGCACCGTGAGGTTGGGCCTGTAGTCGGATACGGACATGCTCAATAGGGCCAGAAATAACTGAGTTAGTGACACCAGCAAAGGCACCCGCCAAGTAGTATTGTGTATACGAAAGACCGGGGCTGAGAGGAGACTTTTTCAAGTTCTCCTCTTCAAAGTATCTTCTTGCTTGATGGAAAGCACCAAATTGCACGCTCACCTAATAACAATTAGAGACTGGACATTTAAGTCCAGGAAAGAGACTTACACAAGCTCCGATTCCAATCAAAGGCGTCAAAGTACCCTTGTAAAAAGCTAGAGGACCTTCATTCTTGAAAATCTGCTTTGCGCAGTCTAGGGCGCTAGAATATTGAGAGGTTGTCTGTAGTCGCACCTTGACAATATCTGTTCGAAATAATGGTCAATCAAGGATTCATCCATAAGGACGCTCAGCGATTGCATACCGAAAGGTTGACCTATCGAACTAGTTAGTATGTATGCATCGGTGATAAAGGACATGCCCGGTTAGGGCTAGAATGCATAATGGCAATTGGCACAGCTTATTAAGAAAATTTTTGAATTCAAGTAAAACAGAAGCAAATGAGTAAACTCTTCAAAGAGCTGTTCAACATGCGTGGACAACTCACCCAGTAACACCTGTGTTATACCGCCTGAAGCCCCAGCGAACAAGTCCTTCGCTGTCCGTACCCAACCCTGGCTGAGCTCCTGCTCAACCTTGTCGAATTCTTCCAAGGCCATGGCGTCGAAATGCTTGAACCGAGTGCGCCAAGGGAAGACTCTCTCACGCCGAACGAATTTTTACGTCGAATTGTGCGAAGAGATATCAAAGTGAGAGAGCTTTATCTCTTCCTGTGTCTCTCGTTCCCCGATTGCGCAATCAGTCCTTGCACTGTGATTGGCCAGGTACGCCGTGTCACGTGATTTTGACCGCCAAGCCCGCGGAAAGCAGTCGGAGAAAAGAAAAAGGCAGAAGCGACCGACTAAACCAAGCATTGATCGAATGGGCGGACCTTGAGACGAGGCCACCATCATGCACAGAAGAGTTTGTCGACGAGTGAGTTCTCTCAGTCGATATCGCACAATTGAAGTTTTCGGGTCAATTGGCTAATCAATGTCTATCACTAATAGATATGTCGGTGTCCGTCCTTCGACTCGGGCTATCCCACTCCCGCAACGACACGGCGAAGCTGCCGTGACTTTCACCTCTCTTCATCATATCTCCAGAGCGATAGTCAAACGACGCGCGGCACCGGTGAAAATGAGGGCGAATCGACTTCATCGCAAGCTACACCTCGTCCGTTATTTAAGCCAAAGTTTGGCGGCGCATGGGGCGCGAAATTGTCAACTCCCAAAGCTTCTGGCCTAACAGCTGCCGAGTTGGCCAGTAGAAATGCCCTCAAAGCAGCTACTCCTGCTCCTCCTCCACCTCCACCTTCAGAACTTCCGAAATCGGAAATAGAATCTGTCCTAGTCACGCAGAAACCGGTCTTCAGACGCACAGCAGATTGGATCTGTCCTCAATGTCTCTATAATTGTTTCGGGAAGCATCCCTTTTGCCCTAAATGTCGAACGCCAAATCCCAATCCCCCTTTGCATCCTCTTCCGGAGCCCAAGCACGATCCACAGATTCGAAAAGTGAACCCCAGGAAACTTGGAGAGGATATTATAAATTCATGGAGAAAGGATAACGTTCAACCACGAAATGAAGGGAGTTCTGTCAATATGAGAAAGATTACATTCCAGCCTCCAGAGCGACGCCTATCGATAGAAGAAACGGAAGAGCTCGTAAAGGATGAGAAACAACCCGAAAAAGCATCTCCTGAAAAGGAAGAGGCCAAAACCGCCGAGTCGGAACCAAAGACTGCAAAAGAGGGGAAGCAAGAAGTCAACGAGTTCGACAAATGGCTAGTGTCTTTGGAAGAACTCAAAAAAGCCGAGGAATTGCAAAAGGCCCAAAAAGCTCAGCGATCTGAAAAGGCTAAAGATGCTAGGAGGGGTCGCTCGCGTGACAGTGAGGAGGAGGAGTTCGATCCCGAGGAGAGAAGACAACGAAGGGAAAAGCGAAAGCAGAAGAAGAAACCTGCAGAGGTTGTTGAACCGCAACGAAGCCCATTGTATCTTCCCGAGTTTATCAGTGTCAGCAACCTTGCCGATGTCCTAGGCGTACGCCAGGCTGAGTTTATCGATCACTTGGAGGAGATTGGCTTCGAAGGGGTGATACACAGTCATGTGCTCGATGCAGAGACAGCGGGTCTTATTGCAGAAGAGTACAATTTTGAGCCTATTTTCGAGACAAGTGAACAAGATTTGGTTGCGGCTCCTGAGCCTGAAGATAAGTCCCACTTACCGCAACGGCCACCTGTAGTAACGATCATGGGTCATGTTGATCACGGTAAAACTACGCTTCTGGACTGGCTTCGAAAATCGTCCGTCGCAGCTTCTGAACATGGTGGTATTACGCAACACATTGGAGCCTTCTCTGTGGTCATGCCTTCTGGAAAATCCATCACTTTCTTGGATACCCCTGGTCATGCTGCATTTCTAGATATGCGCCGTAGAGGTGCTGATCTAACAGATATTGTGGTCTTGGTAGTCGCTGCAGACGATAGCGTAAAGCCACAAACGATCGAGGCTATCAAGCATGCCAAGCAAGCCAATGTACCGATGATTGTCGCCATCAACAAGATGGACAAGGATAATGTCAATCCGGAGAAAGTTAAGCAAGATTTAGCTCGTCATAGTGTCGATGTGGAGGATTACGGTGGCGACGTTCAGGCTATCCCAGTCAGCGGTAAGACCGGACTGGGGATGCTTGATCTCGAAGAAGCGATTGTGACACTTTCAGAACTGTTGGATCACCGAGCCGATGTCGAAGGTAATGCTGAGGGTTGGGTAGTTGAGGCGACTACGAAAAAGGCCGGAAGAGTTGCTACTGTATTAGTGAAACGAGGTACAGTACGTGCAGGCGATATTCTTGTTGCTGGAACTACCTGGACTCGTATCAAGACGTTGAAGAATGAAGCTGGTACTGTGATTGAGGAGGCTACTCCTGGAATGCCCGTAGAAATCGATGGATGGAGAGAACAGCCAGAAGCTGGTTCAGAAGTCTTGCAGGCTCCTAGCGAACAACGTGCCAAGGATGTCGTTGACTACCGTTTGGAGCGCTCAGATATCAAGAAACTGGGCCAGGATACAGCCGCGATCAATGTCAGCCGACGCGAAACTCTCGAACAACGACGCCGATCCGCCGATGATGAAACTGTCGAGGAAACAGAGACATCCACAGGGCCCAAATTGGTTAACTTCATCATCAAAGCCGATGTATCTGGATCTGTCGAAGCGGTCGTCAACTCCGTCAGCGGCATTGGCAACAACGAAGTTCTAGCAAACATCCTTCGTTCGGGCGTTGGACAAGTCAGCGAGTTCGACATCAAACACGCCGCAACCTCCGAGGCAAGCATCATCAATTTCAACGCTGCCGTTGACCCTATGATATCCCGCATGGCCGAAGCACAGGGTGTCCGTTTGATGAATCACAATATCATCTACGAGCTGATTGACGACGTCAAGGCGAAATTGAGTGAACATCTACCACCAAATATCACATACCGCGTAACCGGCGAGGCGGAAATTACGCAACAATTCGAAATCACCGTCAAGGGCAGAAACAAGAATTTGATTGCAGGTTGCAAAGTTCGTAACGGCGTTATCAGTCGAGGGAAGAAAGTGCGTGTTCTTCGAGATAAGGAGATTATTTATGAAGGTATGTCCTATCCCTGTACCAAAAAGTCGTTCATCGAAGTGTGATGGTCTAACTGTGTTCAGGTTCCCTCACATCCCTCCGCAATGTCAAAAAGGACGTCACCGAAATGCGTAAAGACACTGAATGTGGTCTCAGTTTCCAGGATTGGGTTGGTTTCCAGATCGGTGATCATGTGCAGTCTTATGAAGAAGTTGTTGAGAAGAGGTATCTTCATTAATCCTCTCTCTCATTTCGAGTATTGTATATTATTTTTTTCTACACGCACCCCCTCTACTCGCCATTTTTTTCTGGAAATCATGTACAATTGTGAATAATTTGGGAAATACCTCAGGTTTTGTGAAAGCTTGTCATATGTTGCATGCATGGTCAGGGCGTTTTCTTGTTACATTATCTATTCTAAGTACGATAGAATCGATTTTTGCGCTTCATGAGACATTGATTTTGAACTTGGAAGGAGAAAAAAAGACAAATTAGCAAATCCTCGATCATGTACCATCAACCCTTGAAAGATAAAATGGACGAAAAGGAAGAAGGGATGACCATTATCATGCTTCTGAATCACTGTCATCATCCGTGGTTGTCGACTCCTCATCGCTCGAAGGTCCACAAATCTTCATACTTGACCCTTGAGCCATGCACTCCAGGAACGATTCACGAGCCGTCTTTGTTGATATAAGTTTTCCTGACGCTGTTCGTAGCGGCTGAGCTTGAACTGGAGTTGTAGGGGCATTGGGGTTATTGCCATTTGCCTTCGATTTATTGTTGTCCGCACCGGATTGTGAGGGTCGTGCTGCCTGACTCTTGGGCGCTTTCATGGCTACTGTTCCTGCTTTCCCAGTGCCGGCTTTACCTTTACCATTCATCTTTGCAGGCGCTGCTTTGGGGCGACCCCGTCCACGTCTCGCTGTAGTGTCTGCAGCTGACTTGTGTCGAGGCTTGCCTTTCTTATCTGTGAAATTCTCCAGTGTTGAAAGAGTGTCATCGTCTGAAGGGCATGGAAGCTCGTCAATGAGGTTGTACTGTGGTGTCAATCTTCTCAGGGATTTTGCAGGTAGGCTGTACGCCAACCTCTGATCAGCCCAGAAGGGTTCAAAGGTGTTTGTATGCAGAACCTGCCGTCATCAGTCTATCTGGACCTCCAGGAACCGTGTATAGAGTCTATTACCATGCTTGTACAAGACACCTTATGAAGTATAGGCAGGTTTGGATCCTCATTTGTTAAACGAATGATATCTTTTTCGATTTTGGTACGATTGATTTTGTCCTTTCTGTCACTTGCGACGTATTCCTGGATGACTCTGGACGCGTAAGTGGTGTAGATGTGGGCGAAGAGGTTTGGTTTGTCGAAGAACTGTAGTCCATATTGGCATGGATGAGTGTCTTGAACGACAGTAAATGAGTGGCTGGAGACACTTACGCTGGGTTTCTTGTCAGGGACAGGCATCTTGAGATAGATTGTTGGCTACCAATCTTAGATTGAAGTTATCTGAATTGTTTTCGACATCAGATGGTCCCGGAATGGGAAGAGGATGGCTTTCTGGAGTTGCAGTGGGACTGTGTAGATAGACAGAGACTTGCTCAGCGTGAGAAGAAAGAGAGAGAGAGAGAGAGAGAGAGTTATTTGAAGAAGATAGCCTGGAGAAGAGGAGAGGAAGGAAAGGCTGGTGGCTTGTTGATTGTGCACCTACCTCAATAGACAATATTCACAACCAGGCGCACTCTAAGACTACAAGCATCACCCAGCCTTCACAACCACTTCACATGACACTCTTGACATTATTGCAAAGCCATACTCTCTAACACCTTGCTGTTGGCTTGTTTGAATATGTATTCACATCAGAACAATGAAACTACCGAGCCTTCCATCGCACTCTCCCAACCCACTTCGCCCAATCCTGCACATCATCTCGTTCCAAGATGCGATCAATAGTATAATACTCGCGCGCCAACTCCTCATTACTCGCCATCTTATGAACAAAGTTATGACAAGCACGACACAACCATGCCACACTATTCAACATAAACTCTTCATGCCAGCCACGTTTGAGCGCTTTGGTGTGCACTTCTCGAGGGATGAGATGGTGATAAGATAGAGGGATCCAGTCCCGTTCGCAAATCTCGCAAGCTTCTGTCTTGGTAGTAGCCCATGCTGGAGGAGCAGCGGTTACAGACGTGATGTAGTCTGTGAGTACTGGGCGGAGGAAAGCTGCTGTGATGTCCATTGACTCTGGGAGAATGCCGTATACTGACAGTGATTCCGAGACCGAGACTGGGATGGTCGCCGTCAGAGTCTCCATGTCGGAATCGGTCAGTTCTGTGGCATCGCTGTATCGACTTGCCAACGATGCATCGTTTTGGATTTTCGAGTAAGACAGAGTCTGTACTGTCTCTGGCAATGCATGAAAGACTTCCGAGACAATGAACTACTTCTTGTTAGACTCTTTTTCTGGCAACGGGATCTCTGGTCAGAGGACATACATCGATAAATTCAGCGAGCTCTTCTGGATCTTGTTTCTCTAAACCACCAGAACTCTGTTCATCCTTACTGGTCTTTGTTATGTCGCCTCGCTTCTTGCCCTTGAGCCTACGTTTCCCGGAATTCTTGCGGCCTCCTTGAGATTTTTGCACTATGACTCCGGAGACACATTCTCTAAAGACCTCGAAATTATTCCCACCGTCGCTCATTTAATCATATAGTAGTGTCGAGACCGAGGCACGGAGAAAGATGAAGAGAGGTTAAGATGACGTTGTTATCTCGACGTTAAGACAAATTCACTGGAAACCCCACGCAGTGGGGTCTACATTAAACAAGACTGCAACGACAAAGTGTATGACCATTTGAACATATTTACCTAGGCGTGCATCGCACTCATCATGGCTCAGTCAGGCAGTCTCATTGCGTTTGATCTTTACGGCACTCTGCTATCAACGGAGTCGATCTCCAAGCGATTATCCGAGATTCTCGGATCGCAGGAAACAGGCACGCAGGTTGCGGCATCATGGCGAAAGTATCAGTTGGAATATTCATGGAGATTGACGTGTATGGGTATGTTGCCCCAAATCCGACTCATCAAGAGACATGAACTGATCGTGGTAGAATCCTACGATGACTTCTACAACATCACCCGCAATGCATTGAGACATGCACTCTCCGAGGCTGCAGTTCGACTAGAAGAAGATCAGATCGACCAACTGATGGATGAATACGACCACCTATCTACGTTTCCAGACGTAACACCGGCTCTACAGAACCTAACAAAAAGACCAGACATCAAAACCGTCATTTTCTCCAATGGAACTAAACAGATGGTCTCAAACTCCGTGTTTCGCTCCCAAGATCTTTCGCCTCATGCATCTCTATTCACGGATCTAGTCACGGTAGAGGACGTCAAAGCGTACAAGCCCGCACCTGCTGTCTATGAGCATCTGGCGGTAAGTACAGGTACGCAAATGGGGGATATATGGCTCATTTCGGCGAATCCATTTGACATTGTCGGCGCTGGGGATTACGGCTTGAAAACTGCATGGATCGATCGCAACGGTAGGGGGTGGGAAGATGCTGCGGTACCAAGGTTGCGACCACGGATTATTGGCAAGAGTCTGGATGAGGTTATCAAAGCAATCTTGGACGATCTTAGCAAGTAGATTGGTACAAATGCTTTTCCAGTAGGAAATCAAAAGCCAGGTTTAGCGATCAGTCGTTATGTCGCGCTGTATGTATTTCCAAAATCCTCCATGCGAAAAGGGAAGTCTCGGGGTAAGTAGCAGCGCTCTGAATTCGTTCTGCCCTTCCATTTCCCCTCTAGAAATATTCCATGAGAGTAAATGTGGAATCTAGAGTGAATAGGAAGGGGTGATGTTTTATGAATGATTGGAGAAAGAAAAAAGAAAGAGAAAAGAAAGCGGGAAAAATCTTGATAGGGTTTTATATGTGCGCTTATCGATAAGCGGCTAGCTTCGTTTCCAAGTACTTACAACTTCAACTTCAACCTCGTATTGTTCATCATTTGAACATGGAGGTATCGCCATGAATAAATTAAACATGGCCATCCACTTTCTGTCAAGGTATTCATGTCCATCATGTCTGTGGTCGCGATACTCCCGTTCAATCCGGCGTAGTATGCTAGTCTTTCTCGGTCTCCATCACAACTGCATGTCTTCCCTAGTTCAGGCTGGAACAACATTGATATTGGCTTGAAAGTTGAAGAGGAGTCAATCACCGCTTATTGACCTGAAAAGTTCTATCCGGTCCGTCTCGGTGAGGTATTCAGTGGCCGGTATCAAGTAGTCGGCAAGCTGGGCTATCGATCCAGCGCGACAGTCTGGCTATGTCGCGACTTGCTGTAGGGAAGAAACTTACTTATCCGGTTCATTAGACCCAATACAACGGCAAGGGAACCACTGCTATATCACGTTGAAGGTCTTTGCGACATCGACCTCGGTGACTCGAGAAATTGAGGTCTACAACCATCTGAAAAGTCTACAGTCCGAACATCCTGGTCAAACATGCTTGCGACCTTTGATCGAGTAATTTCAGATTCAAAATCCTCACAGACAGGGTTTATATCCTTGTCTGGTGTATCAGCCACTTGGATGAGTCTCCACCAGCTCGTGGCGCTGCTTCCAATTAAGGTTATGAGCAGTGCAATGGTGAGAACTACTGTCCAAAACGTACTGGTCGCTTCAGATTTCCTCCACACAGAGGCACGTATAATACACACTGGTAAGTATTCCACCTACATCTGAATAAATATTGCCATGATATATTGGCTAGCAACAAGTTTCTTAACTGGAAACTCAGATATCCAACCAAATAATATTCTCCCTGGCATCAAGGATGACTCTATTCACATTTGAATAAACTGAGTTCAAAGCGCCAGTGCCGCGGAAAGTCCTTGAAGATCGTAACAATTTACCTCTCGTGGCCTCTTCCAATTTCCTACGGTACTCCTGTTCTCTGCGATTTAGGCGAAGCTCGACTAGGGACCGACCAACAACAGGGCGATATTATGCCCGATATTTATCGAGCGCCAGAGGTTATATTAAACCTGAGCCGAGATTACAAAGTTGACATCTGGAACGGTGGGATGGTGATGAGCTCTTTATGAATGCGCTTGTCATCTGTTTTCAAGGGGTCTCGGAATCGACAGAGCCCAGACTTGGGATTTGTTTGAGCATCGCCACCTTTTCAAAGCTCGTAACCCCGATCGTGAACTGGACGACAGCCATCATCCTGCCGAGATGCATGTGGTGCTGGGAAAACCACCTACGGACTTCCTCAGTCGAAGTGAGCATAGTTCTCGATATTGGGACAAAGATAGTAAGTGCCGCGGTCCATATTAGTTATTTACATATAAAGGCGTGAGATATCAGACTGACACTTTAACTAGGAAAATGGAAAGGCATGGCTCCCCATCCTGACCGTGGTCTTGAGACCCGTGAGGAAAGACTTCAAGGCGATGAAAAGAAGGACTTTCTCCGTTTTCTCCGACGTATGTTATGTTGGCTTCCTGAAGAGAGGGCTACTGCGAAGGAGCTCATCCACGATACTTGGTTAATGCATGGCTTATTTAACTGAAATACTTCCAGTACACCACTTTTCTGCTTTTCCTTCTCACGCTTGCTCTTTCAAGAGCAACTGATCAAGTATATGCCATCTGAATAAAGAGTGAGATCCCTCTGCCTCTGGGTTTGGATAGGTGGAAAAAAGACCGGTGATCCAGCTGTCTTCAGCAACAACTATGCATACGCATCGTTGGCACTGAATTCAAGACGATATTTCCTTATTTATTGCACCAACAGACTAGATAGGCAAAATAGAGAATATACTTAACTATACCCAATTCAGCCTAGTGACGATTTTGCGGCCTGGGGCACCAACCTCGGTACCTAGGCGGCGATATTTCTTGCTTCCGATTCAGGAATCAACAGCTCCCTGCGAGCACATCAAGACGCTGTATCAATACCGTCTGGACAGTGTACATTCTCACAATGCTGGGCTCACCGAAATTACGCAACGCGACGTGGTTACATCCACTCCGGGTTCGCTAAACCATCAGTTCCATCAAAAATCCAGCAAGCTAATCTACAGTCTCTAGGGCATCGCTTACTTCATCTCACACCCTTTCCTATGGCCCCTCCTTCGCAGTCGCTTACTACCAATTTTTCTATTATCGGGCTTCATCTACACGCTTCTATTCTTCTTCGCCTATCTCCCACAAGTCGCATTTCTCGCCATCTTTCAAGGACACAGTGCCTGGGTAAACGGCGCATTTCTGGTCCTCGGAGAAGGAGCCGCAATTGTCGCCCTGCTCTTCGAAGCATTCTTCGTCGACGAAACATTAGTCGATGTCTTTGATGCCGTGCTTATAAACGAAGGATTCGAACAATTGGTCAATAAAGAACGCGTTATACACCCGGATGGCGTCACGCCCGTTAAGAAGCTTGGGAAACCGACTACAAGCGCGGTCTATGCACCCTTCTCATTCAGGCAGATAGTCGAGTTTATCTTTTTGCTTCCACTCAACTTTGTGCCTGTCGCTGGTGTACCTATGTTCTTAGTTTTGGCTGGATATCGAGCTGGACCGTTCCATCATTGGAGATATTTTCAGCTTCTGGAGTTCACCAAGGATAAACGGAAGCGGTTCATTCGTAGTCGCCAGTTGAAGTATACAGCGTAAGTTGTCTACACCTTTTTGTTAGCTTCCTTAGAGGCTGACAGGACGATATCTTAGTTTCGGCACAGTAGCTTTGATACTACAGCTTATTCCCATGTTTTCAATGCTTTTCCTACTCACTAGTGCTGCTGGATCAGCTCTTTGGGCGGCGGAGATGGAGAAGCACGAGGCGTTTCTTGAGGCACACCGGCCGGAGAGGGAAGAACATTTATATCACGATGATCCTGCATGAATCTACCTTACCTAAGTCCATAATGTATATGAATGAAGTTACGAATTTGCTTAGCATCATATTATCCCCGACTGAATTCAACATAGGCTGAGGCCTAAATGTAAGCGTCGGGATGGCAACCTTGACCACAAGAGATGGGAATAGCAGGACAAAACAATTGCCCTCCAGTGTTCTCCTAGCTTGTGACAAAAGTATCAATTCTTTAAAAGGGACGCAATCAAGGTTCGTAGTGTGTTACACGTGACCAGCCTCTGTGAGTGTTTGCCGGCAACTCCTCCGGAAGCCTTTAGCCTCTAAACCAACCCATGTCAACACCGGCATCATGTCGGGGAGCAATGAGGAAAATCCCCATCAATTGTTACCAGGATGCGCTCCTTATGGTAATACCTTATAGTTTCATGTAACAATTGATAGATCGGGACTCCATTGGTGATCTGCGTCCTGTCGCCTGTTGCGTCACAGGCGAGTCTTCCTCGGCCTTCAATGCCGATGGCTTAAACTATCAACAACGCCAGGCGACTCTCAAGAGACAATGCGACTTACAAGCGACAGCGTCTAGGTGTGGAGAAAGTACGACTCGAACACCATCATCACAGAGCGGAGCAATTGTAAACAACCCCCGCCCCAGATTCGCTATAGCTCAATTCCTGGGGAAACCGTGCTATTATGGATGGTAAACCGAGACTACAAAAAGCATGCGATGCATGCAACATCCGCAAAGTCAAGGTTAGATATTTCTTCTAGTCTGATCACACGAGCAATTGTCTGATTTTATTCTGCAGTGTGACGAGGGTGGACCACCATGCAAGTCCTGTATCTCTCTAGATATTCCATGCACATTTGACCGACCTAAAAAGCGTCGTGGTCCTCCAAATAAACATGCAGAGGCACTCAAAAAGCAAAAAGCGCAGCCCACAACTCCGCCAGCAACGGTGACTCCTGCTCTAGCGCCAGCAGCAGTGCCAACTCCTATCAGCATACCTCCTCCTCTGGCTCCTGTTACTGTCCCTACGACTGCCACTGCTACTGGGACCTTGACCACAGATACCACAGTATTAGACCAGAACATACTTCCGTTGTCTGGCGAATCAATATGTTCATTACCAACACTTCAGCTACTAGTGGATGACTTTTTTCTATTCATCCACCCTCTCATCCCCATACCGCACGAACCAACCTTCCGTGAAGCATTTGCGAGGCGAGAAGATCTGACCAATGGACGGTTTCTGGCACTACTAGCTGCTGTAATAGGCTCTCTGGTAGCCTCTTTCCCACGCCGGCCGCGATTGCATTTGCGCACAGACTCTGCAGGGTCTCGGTATTCCAATTCAATGGCCTTTGCTAAGCGTTGTCATGACATAGCAGTACAGGCGCGAGGATTGGGATATCTAGATACGAGTACCACTGTTGAGGATGCAGCCATTAGTTATCACTTATCACTCTGTTCCAGCTACGTCTATAATCACCAACGCAGTCGGATGTACCTTGGCGAGTGCATGACTATTCTGCGTGTATACGGTCTATATAAACCTTCAAGGCAAGGCGGGGCTGATCTTGGTGGGATAACAGCCGGATCACCGATATCTGAACCTCACGGTCATCTCGGCGACATCACTGAAACGACGGAGAACTACCTCGTTCAGGAGCAAGGCAGGCGTCTGTTTTATATATGTCTTGCTGGGTTGCAGACGTTACATCAACTCGGTTCAGCGGATGGCCGGACTTACATACCCCCTGAAACTCCGACGAACCGATATCCTCCTTTCCCTCTTGAAGTAGACGATGAGTTCATCACTTCTAATCAAGTCACAGCGCAACCAGTCGGTGTTGTTTCCCAGCTTACGGGATTCAATGCGAATGTGCGCATATTCCAATGCTATAATCCGCTATTAGCGTTAGAAATTGCATTCAACGACATGCAACTAGTGAGCTGGGAAAGACAAAGACAACTGATATGGGAATCATTACAGAAAGCGAAAAAGGTCACTGCAGAACTACCTCCAGAACTGTCTTTGAATTACCCACAGGAGCTTCTGAATCTATCCTCTCCTTCGATTATAGGTGGCTGGCCTTCAACTTTTGGGGAAAGTATAACGACCCGTGATCAGGAGCGTCGAAGGATACAATACGAGATTCAAAAGGTGAACATCTATATCAGTTCGTTGTCCACGCGATCATATTTGGTTGAAAAGTATTGGATTTTGTTTGAGGGTCATATCAGATTGCAAAAGGCGAAAGCTGCTTCTGCCGAAACACCGTCTAATGTCGCTGCTCCATTCGACTCTCAATATATGACGAGTGACACGACAACGTCGGCACCAGATGCGGAATTCCATGCGCAAACAGACCAGATTGGACAAATGATGAGACAGGAACGTGGATTGGTAATCAAGGATCTACTGTGTTTGCTGAAAAGTGTGCAAGAAATCCATATAGAGCCAAACGGCGCCAGTTTCGTACGTACAACATGTTTTAAAAACATGAAGCATAAAATACTGACCAGGAAAACAGACCCATAAAGTCCGCCAAATAGCCTCTACACTTCTCAATCTCCCCCAAGAAATGAGCACAACACTCCCACCAACAACAACCACAACCGTCGACCCCGTAACCGGAACACCAACGGCAACAGAAACAACACCATCAGGACCCCAACCCTTATCCACAAGCGACGCCGAAAACTACCTTCGCACATTCCTCAACATCCTCGTCCGTCTCGAAGGTGTAGGCGTCACAGGCAGCGATCCCATCCAATCCATAAACACAGTCACAGATAACCTCAACATGAAACCGGACGATCTGGACATGAATCTAAACTCCACTGCCGCTGCTACTACTACACTCCTCAACGCGGACATGCCCATGGAGGGCAACAATAACATCAATGACGCTGCAGCTAATAATAGCAACAATATAATAGCAACAACAGCGCTATTAAACGACCCTTTAGTCTCAGCGGCAGCAGCATATCCGAGCCCTAATCATAATGAAGCTTTCCTATTACCGATGAGTTATACGGGGGATGGGATGAGTGGTCAGGAAGAAGAGGAATTGAGACAGTGGGCAAATTTGAAGGAGTTTCAAAAGTCGTTTGTGGAGGATGGGGGGTTGTTGTATTCTACTTGATCTGTCTGTTGATATCTGGTCGAAAATACTTATTGTTTGTATGTTTGGGATGGTATTTGTAACCTTGGAAGTTTGTTGTTCTGGATTACGGGGACTCTATTAAAGGGGTAGTATACACATCACGGCTTCAGTAGACATGGATACAATTGATTAACACACACACACAACCCATCAATGTAAACAATGGACATGAAAAGGTTCAGTAGCCACCAAAAAAAAATTAAAAAAATAAAAAACTGTTATTAAAGGAGTCGATAAGTCTCCTGAGATGTAGGTGCATGTATGTGTACAAAGAGAACCTTAAAGTTTAACCCAACTTTTCAATGATAAACACCTGGCTATACATTCACAAAAGAAAACCCCCAACAGAAAAGACAGAGAAAAAGAAAGTCTAGATATTAATCACATTATGTTGATGCGCACTCATACTAGGACTCGGACTTGGGCTAACAGTCGGTTTCGGCGTCACTGTCATCGTAATCATCTGGGTGACAGTAACCTGAGGACCAATCTTGGTCACGAATTGCGTTAATGTAATTGGTGGCGGCGTAAACGTCTTCCACACTGTGGTTGTAGTTGTCACTGTCACCGTTGGGGTTTCCTGTACGGCGTTGAGATTGGTAGATGTAGGGGGAGCGTTTGTCACCATAGCAAAAGGATTCTTTGCTATTGCGACGGTGTTTTGGGCATAGGCTGCTGAAAGAGAAGGTGTTATTGTGGTTCGTTTGCCGGTTACGGTGGCGTATACGGTCGATGTTAGGGATATCATTACGGTTGTTGTTGGTTCTGCGGATGTCCCTGTCGTCGTTACGGCGGTCACTGGCACTTCTTCTGGAGATGGTGCTGAATCGATGCTAGTGTCTTGTCCATATGCAGTCGTTGGAACTCCTGCGGGAACGAAAGTGGTTGACGTTGAGCTTGCAATGACCACCGATGGGATTGAGATTGCGCTTGTGATTACAGTGCTAATGTCAACTCCCGGGACCGGTTTGACAGTGTTCTCAGGTATGGAAGTACTGCTGTGAGTAGTCGGGTTCACGGTGGGGACGCTGAACGCCGATGTCATGCTAGGTCCGAATGTCGATCCTGCTGGGTTTTCTGGAGAAGTTGACGTTGGGACAATAGCTGGTGAGTACGAGTATGAGCTGCGCGCTGCTTCAGATGGTTGGGAAGTCGAAGACGCAACTGTTGTTGGAACCGCTGGCGCACTGTACGCTGTTGTTGTAGATGGTCCATATGTAGGGACAACAGCAGTGGATGAAAATTTAGGTGCTCTATATGTCGCGCTTGTCGTCGACGGCTCATACGCGGAGACAGCAGCGGGTACCGTAGACGAATCAATTACAGTCGAGAGCCCAGAAGTACCAAGCACTGCCAACCCTGACGAAGTGGGCGTGGCAGGCGGCACTCCCCCTTGAGAAAGTGGTTTGACCGTTGAAGTAGCAGACGGAATAGACCATTGACTAGTCACCGGATAACTGTCCGTACTGGAAGGAGCTGCATAAGTTGTATCCGGAACGTCTGTAGAGATGACAGATGAAGCAGCAGTAGTCGTTATACTTGCTGCGCTCGATCCAGCCAAGCTCGAAGCACCTGCTGTATGAGGGCTGAAAGGGGAAGTGGTCGGGTTGACTACACTAGAAGCTCCTGGTATTGTTCCAGCAGTATTTGAACCAAACGTTCTCGTAGTTGGGCTTCCGTCAATGGTAGGGTGATGGGGGTGGTGACTGCTTGAGCTGTGGCTCGGAGCAGCAGCCGCAGAAGATAGACTGGTTGGGGTAGTAGTCGCGCTTGACGCCTTGCTACTTGGTGGCGGCAACGGTGTAGATAACGATGTAATTGAGCCTCTGTCAGGTGTCCTTGTCGGTGTTGTCGTTGTCGTTGTCGTAGTTGGGCTTGCATCAACGGTAGGGTGATGGGGGTGGTGACTACTTGAGCTATGGCTCGAAACAGCAGACGCAGAAGGCAAACTTGTCAAGGTAGTGGCCTTGCTTGACGCGCCTTTACTTGGTTGTGGTAGGGGCGTAGACAAGGATGTAATTGAGCCTCTGTCAGGTTTCCTCGTCGGCGACGTTGTCATTGTTGCTTCGCTATGGGCAGGGATAGCGGATGCACTGGAAGCCTTGATCACGGCTGAGCTTGACCCAGTAGAAGTATGCTCTGATGTAGGAGGTGGTGATGAGGTTGTCATAAAGGTTGAAGCCACCGTGGAAGACAAAGGCGTAGTAGGATGAGGGTCAGAGTGAGGTGTCAAGGGTGTGGTTGAGGTCACAGCTGAAACAGCAGAAGACGCAGCAGTAGAAGCTGGAAACGTAGTTGTTGGGGCCGCACCAGGTGTGGTATTGTCTGCAGCTCCAGTAGTGCCAGTCCCGACGTGTGAGCTGAGAACAGTTGTGCCACTTGTCGCGGTTGATTCGGCGTGCGTTGTAGGTTGGCTGGAAGCACCAATAGTGCCTGTCCCAGTTGCTGCGCTGGGAACGGTTGTACCGCTTGCTGCAGTCGACTCGGCATGTGTAGTAGGCTGGCTAGCACCAGTACTTGTCGCAGGCAGCAGGCCAGTTGTCGTCGTCGTCGTCTCTGGAGGATGAGAAGCACCAGCTGTAGTAGATGGTGCTGTGGTAGGCAAGGTAGTAGGAGCACTCAAGGTATTTGCGGCAACAGACGAGACTGGTTCGACTGAATTCTCTTTGACTGCACTGGATGAGCCAGACTGTTGAGCATCTCTGCCTCTGAGATGTGGTATAAAAAGTGGTTTTCCACTGGAGACGTCACTGATAGCTGACAACAGCATCAACAAGGTTGGAAATGAAGTTTGAATCTTCATTTTGGAAGGGACTGGCCACCGGAATACGAATGAAAGAGTGAGGAGGAGAGGACACGTAACAGATGCCTCTTTGTTTGCGAACCGCCAGTCCGTATGTATCCACAGAGAGTATTTCCCAACGCAGTATAACGGTAAGGAGGAGAAAAGTATCTTCGAATTCTCTTTGGACCAGCCAAAAAAGGTATGCTGTATTCGAGTCGTAAATCTCGTGACTACCCTTTGTAGTCAGAATAATGATGCAGTGTCAGACAGAAATGTAAAAGCCTGCAAAACTCTTGTAGATGAGAGATTGTCAGAATATCAGAAATGAAATAGAAAAGAGTGTATCCAGAAAGAATGACAATAGCCGTTGTATTAAGCCAAATAATAGGCTGTGAAGTGAGGGACTGTATTGTTCCAAGCGAGAGACAGACAAACCTGGAGAAAAGAGCATCGCTGTAGAAAAATGGCAGGGTATGAGTATTTAAAGAGCATAAAGAAATGATTCAGGCAATAAGCCATCATCCTCATCGTCCTTCTCCATCATCATTGTTCTAGACTGCAAGTCGCCGGAACAAAAGGAAAGGAAGTGAATCATAACTGGACAGTAAGTGAAGCATAGGTATGAAGCTGATGATTCAAGCTCTGGTATGGGGCAGGCAATGATTGGTCCAGAGCGATGGATGACAAGCGCTGTTCTGACAGTTTGGGAAAGGAGCCATAGTGGGGCAGATCTGTCGCAGCTGCCGCCCGGGTGGATCGTTTAGGGTGATACTATTGGTCGGATACTTAAAGTTTCAATGTTTATTTCGGGACTGCATCGAGATAATCCCCGTGATTGGCTGGATAATTGGACGTTCCTATTGGCTGATTTGATGTTTATTTCAGGACTGATCTGTATGAATCTTGCCGCGATGGATATCTATGACTATGAAGAATTGGAAGTGGACAACGTATTTGACGGCATTCGTAACTATGTAAATGAATGCAATAACCAGCTACCTATCCACTATTCAAAACACAAATTATAATAATTCATTTCATTCCATAACTTATTTGATAAGCATCGTACATCCAATTGTTCCATCTCATAAACATCGTTCATATTCCTCATCCTAGATCTTCACAGTAAATGCACTACTCACCCCCTCAAAAGACGAAACAACCCCCAAAACAGACTTCGAATCCCCATAATAATGCAACCGATACGAACCACTCTGCACAGGATTCGGATCATCAATCGCATAATAACTATCCTCAATCTGCCAAGAGAGAACGACATCACTATAACCCAAAACCGTATTCGTGCGTTCCCATTGATAGATCAAATTCCAGTCTGCGTCTGTGCGGACAGTTTGCCATTTATTAGACGCTGGGTTGAGCCATTCGACGGCCCCGAATGTGCCTTCTTGACGGAGGTTGTTGCGCGGATTGGCGCCTACGAAAGTTACGCTGATTGTGTCTCCCGCTCCGTAGGTGGTTGTATTGGGGGATGTGGCGGTCACGTCGCCGAAGGACTTTCCGATGGGTGCGCTGTCGTACACGACTCCCGGGATGAAATTCAGGGAATTATTTGTGTTGATAGGTGGGTTTGGTCCAGCCGGAATCGGCGGTAATTGTGCCACGGTTGCTTCACTCCCCAAGTACGGCAGGTATGTTAGGGTTAGGTTGATGTATCCGGCTAGCTCGTTTGGCCCGTACAAGGTGGATGCACCTTCGTAACGTTGGACGCTGTATTCTTCTTCTGTCGCGACGTAGTGGGCGTACGTGTTGGCTGGTGATCCCAGGACGACCAGAGGGTTGGTAATGCCCAAAACATCCGAAGACGCTTTGAGAATTGCGTTCTTCCATCGACGACCAGACATAGTAGTGACCTCGCTAGGTGATACTATGATGATCAATTGCCCGATACGCAGAAGTTGAATGTCAACAATATTCGGCGCCCACGCATAGGGGAGGCTGACTGCTCCAGCGTCGAGGAGAATCTCTTTCGGGGCTTGACATGCCTGTTGCTCTGCTGATGGCTGATGAATGAATGCCCGAGCAACATACCACACAGGGTTACTTTCAGCTGGCCCAGTTCCATTCTGAGTAAAATCAAACTGCCCAGGTCCGTCGGTGGTGCCCGCAGCAAAAGAGAATCCCAGCGCTGCATAGCAAGTACTCAATGTTGTTCCATTAAACGGCGACGGGAATTCATATCCTGTAAAATCATGATAGACATGAAACGATGAAACAGAGGAGCTACCGAGGATCTGTGTGCCGTCGGTATCCAACTGGTCATAAAGCTGCTTCGCTGCCGTATACTGGCGTCGACCAATCTCGAAACAGCTCTTTGACCCAGCATCGTTCTCCGAAAAGTACGGACCTCGTCCGCGACAGAGCTCTGTCTGCCCATTACAAGTACTATCCTCGAACCGACATGGTAGTCCGGTGTCTTCACAATATGCACCGAGGACATTTGGCGAGGTATCGCCAACGCTCGACTGAGAGAACCCAGCTATAAATCCATTCGCGAAGCGGTTATCCTTTGCGGCACTGCGCTCAAATAAGTATGCAGCAACACCCTTGTTGTCGCCCGCGGTAAGGGTGTTGTTCTCATATAGTGAGGTGCCATGAACAGAAAAGAAGGTCAGAACAGCGAACGTTTTGCTGTCTGATGTACGATCAAATCGCAACATACTCATTGTCTTATCAGTATTGTACTCATATTGAGCCCTCTCTTCTTCCGGGTTGGCTAGATAAGCATATGGACTCCTATTGGTATTACCGTCCGGTATGTCAATAGTACCATAACTCAACCGTCCTGAAGTAAGACTCTCATGCGCTCGCTGAATAGATAGCAGCGCCCCGTCAACAAGGGCCTGGTAGCTCTGCGGATCAAATCCAAAAGTCGGAATCTGTGGCAAGAGATAATTCATCCATGCTCCGGGGCCAGAGTGGGCGTGTGTTCCGCTCAGGGCTATATTGTGCTCGCCATAACGAGCATACTCTGCGCCTAGTTTTGCTAGGCCTTGAAGCACACCGTGTCGGACAGCGGTATCACCAGATTGTGCGTCAAGCACTAGGTAAATAAAAGTGTTGTTGGTATCATTTGGATCTGCAATGATGAATGCTCGTGAATATATTCGTTGTCGTAGTCCTGTTCCAATTTGGCTGAGATTCGCATATCCATTCAAAGCAACTTCGACCACAGGTCTAATGATTTCTTAAGTCATTCACTGAAACAAACACATGCGACACAACAGACTCTCATAGGGAGCAAACTTACCCCGTAATATCAGCTTTCCCAGCCCCTAACAAGAAAATACTGTCATCGGCTCTTGAGGCCTGCTGAAGAATTGGCCTATGTGTCCTATAGTGAGGGGCAGATTTTCCCAAGTCGATGCCCGCAATGACCTGTAAGAGGAACAATAACCCTATTGAAGCGCTCACCAAAAGGGCGATCATGAACCCCCAACGCGCCATCTCAGGCAACTATATGTACCTACCTAGGTATCCAACAACACTGCAAATAGAAGGGATAATTGCTAAAAGCCAAAAAATAATTTGAAAATCTCCTGATCCAATCCAGAGCGAAATTCAGGGTGGATAGAGAAAAAGAAAAGAAATTGACTGCCGGAACGAGACCAAGGTTCGTTTCTTCACATGATATCACTCTCCCCTCCCAGCGTTCCTCTCTTCTCGGCACGAACAAATCGATTTCTGGTGCCTGCATGAATACAGAACTGATACTAGTAAGCTTAGTGTTGGTGTTGTTTTCCCGGCATGGCTTACCTAGGTGGTAGCCTAGGCAGTTTGTTAGGAATGCGGGGGAAGAGATCGTCAGGCGGATGATTCCCTTTCGCATAACATCCATTTTTAGGGGGTGTGATAAGGTATGATTAAAGCATACGTATTGCTACCCCTCCAGCGGACTAATTTCAGCCACTGTTCATCACGGTGACTTGGTTAGTTCAGAGTTGATGGGTTAATAGGTTGGCTCGTTCCATTAGTCTCTGTTAACTCTTGTCGTTTACTCCTCAGATGAAAGACCTTATCTATGATTTGCGGGAAGTTGAGACTCTGACTAGGATGTCACCATGCAGTAGACTCGTTACTACGTAGCACTGCTTGAGTACATTCATATCTTAGCATCGAATCGATAAGCCTGTCCCCGCGGCACTGCCACCATCTCGTCAAATCTGGAGTAAGTGTGATCCAATAATGTTGGCTCAATACTTATTGGTGACATCGCTTTGTAAGTTTGTACGAGTCCAAAGAGTTATTGTTAATGTATGTATGGGCATTGTGGAACGCTCTCTGGTTCCGTCAAGGTCAGATGGTTACTAAGCTCATATATACGCCGATACTAATAAGAAGCTTAGCAGGACTAGTGTGTGACTTCATTGGTAAACTCGCTTCAATATTCTTAAAAAGGCTCGTGACAGGTGCATCGGGACAAAAGTCCCAGTCTAGAACGACACTCCGTTAATGGCGCTTTGCCTAGCTACCATTGATACAAATCTCGACTCGAGGAGAGAAGAATAGGCACTGGACAATTGGCCTTATTAAGGTAGTTTCCCGTCTGTCATGCAACGGTTTGAGGTTAATCCTTGTCCTTAATTGTCTGTTGATACGCACGCGAGATACGAGTATAATCTTCGTCCAATTGGATAACCAGTTTTTGTTTCTTGCGATTGCGCCATGTGACGATCCGGTCGGGACGTACTGACAGTATTCCATAAAATGATGTACTATGTTTCTCAAAGAAAAAAAAAAGTAGGCCGAGGGGTCTGATATGGGTCAGCACTTGGCCTGCTATAGCTGACTCACACCCACTAGATCATGGATCCGAAGGAAACCAGGAGAATATATGGTCGCTTTGTTGCAATAGTGTATTCGATGGCGAATCAAAGAGCCGTTACCAAAATATCAATGCTCACAAACTTCATCCATGTTCTCGTCACGCCCAGATAAATACTGAGAAGTGTTCATGTCCATCTTCGAAGCCTAAAGTAGGCTATCACGAACCGATAGCGGCCACTGCATCAAAGGTTGCCAATCTTCTGGTATTATTGAAGCAAGACCGGTTATCTCCTTTTGTGGTGTTGCGCCAATCATCCACGAACCGGTATATCCTGCCATAAAAGTAAAATAATGCGCAAAAATAACAAGGGCACGAGGTTGTCTTTCAAGTAAAAGATGACTGGATTTCGTCGGCAAAAGCCCTAAAAACCCAACCAAGCGGACAGGGTCAACTGTGAGTTTGAGATGTCCCAATGCTCCCAGGGCATGCATGTAGGTGTCAATAATCTCTGAATCCCATGGTTCAAGCTGATCTCGAGGCATGACCCGTTCCATCAGACGGGAAATAACTGGGTTTCTGACTTATTGATGCCACGGCTCCACCATTGCGCCAATGTTGCTTCGCGGAACAAGACCATCACTGAAGTATTCGCGGCCTCCGGGTTTGATCTTACAGATCCCCATATAGACAAAAAGGTGGAACGTACCGTGGCAGTTACTGAGAGTAATTCCTCTGGGAGTTGATATAACTCGGTGTTCCGATCTTGAAGCCGAGCAAAAAGAATAATTCGCAGTAGACTGGATGTAAACCAGACTGCATCCGCGTTAATTATATTCACATTCGAGATATCTCGGCGGTGGCCTCTTAATGCGGAGTCCATACAATGGCAATGAGCGTCAAATAGGTCACTCGATGGCTCAGTTAGAGCGATATGCAATGCCGCCGCTGCGCAGATAGTATCTAGCAGGGCCGGGTGCTTCAAGGCCAGCTCTGGACACTTTTCACGCCAGACTTTGGCTAGGTTAGGGTCCGCTGATGTCGGCAAGGTATCGGCGGTTTGAGTCGCAAAGTGATGTATGAGGCGGAGCTCAAGCAAGTGTTTTGAGGGCCTGCTCGTAACTAGAGGCGATAGCAAATCTGTTGTTGTACCTCGAATCTTGTCCTGGTTCTGTTCACCTTGTGATACTCCAACAACAATTTTGATTCTGTCGTAGAAGCACTTTACCCCATATCTTCTACAATTTACACATGTAGGATGGGTCTCGTCGTACTATGATTCAATCAGCAGGATAGTAGAGAATCCTAAGACAGATCGTACAGGCCTACCTTAACCCGTCGAGAGCGACAAGTTGCACAGCCCGTTTTTGACTTCTTATGATACAATTTCTTGGGCCTGGGCCGAGCTCGTCCAGGAGGAGTATCATCTGTGTTGGCACTGGAGTCCCCAGTGCCCTCCATTTGGTCGTCTCAGTATGTATTATACATCATCGTGGAATATGATGATTTGCTGAACTCAGCTGAACTGGTGCAAAAGGAAGGTGCGCTTGATACTGAAATGTGATTGGATGAATGCTTACATAACAATCATAATCTTTGTTGCCTTTTTGCCTTACGCTAAGACCAGAACTGAACTTCAAGCTCTTTTGCTGCGACACATTAGTAGCATGCATTTCACCGATCTACTACTCTCGACTCAAGATGCCTTTAATTAATGAATACCATTCTTCGCTTCCATGTATGTGTTTTGTCTATTTATCCAGTTTCACTACGTCACTTGAATCTAACAACAGCTGCCGTTAGACATTGACGGAGAGCCAGGAGAGCAGGCTCGCGCAACAGCTCAAAAGCTCATCTCGGCAGAGTTATCCCCAGAACATGCCTCAACCCTCCATCCAGCCATACCTGCATTACCTGAAACTCGCTTCTCACCGCTTATCGAACAAGAGCTCTCTAGGAAAGAGGCCGGTCTCCCGTTGACCGGTGGGATCGATTTGTCTCGCTACGAAGCACCAGAAGCGCCAGAAGGACCATCTAAAACACAAGACGAAGCTTCAAAGAAACTGCAGGAATGGAAAGATACTCTCCGAAAAGCGTACATTTCCAGCTCCCATCTGTCGATACGACATAATAACCTTTCCCTTCTTGAAGAATACGGGAAAAATGCCTGGCTTATTGGAAACTCTCAGCTAGAGGAAATTTTGCGAAATGTTGAAAAGGAATTGGCAGAGACTAAAGAGGCTGTTGAAAATGTTCATAAGGAAAGGAAATTGGCACAAGAGTCTGGTCATGGAGAGCTTTCCGGGTTGGAGGATACGTGGAGACGCGGAGTGGGTTCTGTACTGGAAGTCGAAGTTGCGGCGGAACATCTGAGGCAGCAGATTCTTGAGCAACGCCGTCAACAAGCTCAGCAGTCTCGGTAATCGCGAATGATCGATCTTGTAATCGATATAGCGGTGCTGGGCACAACCCCCCCTTTTTACTACCTGGCCAACAGCACATCGAGTATACTGCCCACAGTCGACGCTGGTCAATCAGATATTGATTATCTGGAGACACCTAATCTTCTCAGGAATCCGCTCAACGAGCTTCTTGCGAAGGGCAAGAGCTAGCTAGGTCTTAGGGCACTCCACGGCTACGATCGTTGCCCTTATTGAACTCAAGGAAAACATTGCACAGCTGGATGGATTCATGGGGACGTCATCTTGGTAACAAAAGTTATTGATCTCTGGGGCAGATCTCCGGATCAATTGATCAACTGGCTTGGAGGCTGGAACTATAGCACCCACTGCCACTTTCATATCGTTGGAAATGTCATACTCAGGAGTCACCGTTTACGGCTCAAAGCCTTCAATCTGAACTATCACATACATATCGGAAATCTTAGTAGCCTTTCAAACATATACGAACTGTTCCTTGAACCAACGTCCCATGGGTATACAATCAACTGAATGAAGCATATTTTCGAAGTATGAGAGACTTCATGTTGACACGTAATGGCTGCGATTTGCGAGATGTCCTCTTCATTGAAACGAAACGATGGTTGCTTAGGTTATACTCCAAGTACCCGTACTAACAGCGCAATGTAGGCATCAATCTCATTCTTGAACCTTAACATTCTCCTTTTTGACGGACTTGCTTATATCACAATACCTAAATCCGCATACAAGCAAAACGCTCATGTCGAATTTCAGATACGTAAAGCACGTGCACCCAGACCAACTCAATCGGAAAAGTTTCCGAAATTCCGAGTTGTTATACGTACTATGTACTCCCAAGTCTTTTAGGGCTCGGGCTGGTCCTGTGACCGGCAAACCGGCACAGTTGATCAGCATACGGATAGATAGGCTTTGACCCTTTTCAAATGCGATCTCGGGATATGCCAAGGGTGTATGTATGACGGCCCAGCCAGAATTGAGATTTGTAATGTTCTACATGCCATGTGTTTGTTGTATCACACATACATATGCAGTCGGAATATGAATATGATAGGTATGTCAATTGCCGTACATACGTACCCATAAGGAGAGATACATAATACCTAGGCACATAGAATTAAATCGATACTGTACAGTAAGGATAAAGTGGCTCGTTTTCAAGGTGCGTACTTACTTGGAGGACTGGTAGATTGGATTCCTATTCAAGCGATTTTTGTTTCGAGTATATCTACAACTTCCAACTTCAATATATCTTGTACTTCAGAGAGTTATACGCATACTACTCGTGCTCACTAAGTCATATAACCAACTCATCATTACTTCCACCAACAGACCGGTGCTCGTCACGCCCCACGCCCACCGGGCCGTTAACGGCAAGTATGTATGTATAGATGCAATGGATATAAAATATGGTAAGCAGCTTGACAGGATGGCATTCCAAGTAGCTAGTAGCGATATCCATGGATTCAACTTAAATTGAATCCCAAATGGCTTCTACATACGAAAAAGGCTCCGAAGAGTCAGGTGTAACCAAACAACTTTGCCGGTGGCTTGAGACTTTCACATTGGATGATGTCCCGGAAGATGTACGCCTACGCGCCAAATACCTCATCTTAGACGGTCTTGCATGTGGTATCGTAGGCTCTCATCTGCCATGGACAGAAAAAGCAGCCAGCACATTTTTTGAAATGGAACCAACTGGAACCAGCATCGTATGGGGCTACAGCGACAAGGTTTGATTCATCAGATTACGTGTGAATCCAATAGGCAAAACTGACGGACAAGTAAAGAAAGTTAGCCCCCTGTCTGCTGCGCTGTTAAACAGCACGGCAGTTCAATCATTTGAGCTTGATGATTGGCATCTGTCAGCCCCTTTACATTCCAACTCTATTATTCTCCCAGCTCTCTTCGCAGCTGCCAGCCATCGTGAAGTTGGGCAGTCAGTCAAGACTGATGGCAAGACGTTTCTAGTCTCCCTCATTGCTGGATATGAGACAGGCCCTAGAGTCGGACTTGGTCTTCATGGTGCTCATATGCTCACCCGCGGATGGCATTCAGGAGCAGTATTCGGTCCATCAGCTTCAGCCGCTTCGGTCAGCAAATTATTGCAGCTTCCTGCCGGTTCTATTGAGGATGCACTCGGTATCGCTTGTACGCAGGCAGGTGGATTGATGTCTGCCCAATTCGGAAGCGAAGTAAAGCGTATGCAGCACGGCTTTGCGGCCCGGAGCGGCCTTCTTGGTGCTCTGCTTGCCCAGAAGGGCTACACTGGAATCAAAAATGTCTACGAAGAAAAATTCGGAGGTTTCCTCATTATGTTTGGTCAGGGTTCGGTGAAGCAGCCTTCATATTTACCAGAGGAGATTAGTAAAGAGCTCGGGGAGACATGGCAATCACGCCTTATCCGAGTTAAAGATCATGCTTCCATGGCTGGTACTCATTGCACAGTTGATTGTGTCCGCGCATTGCAGGATAAATACCCTGAGAAATTGTCAGATCTCAGGGCAATTACCAGTATCAAGGTGGATATGACGGAGGCAGCATTCCATCACGGCGGATTTGACGTGAAACGACCAGTCGCAGCCACAGGAGCCCAAATGAGTGCAGCATATACTGCAGCTACGCAGCTCGTTGACGGACAGGTACTTCCCAATGAATTTCGACATGACCGGCTCGATCGAGATATTGTCTGGGAGCTGGTTGAAAAAATCAAATGCTTCCATGCACGCGATCTCGGCGAGGATCGTTATACGCAGCGTGTTACTATCACTCTCAACGATGGCACGGTTTTGAGTGAGACCTTGCACGCCCCGAGGAGTGTGTCGCCGGGATTGACTAATGAAGAGATTTTGGAGAAGTGGCGGCGACTGACTCAGGGTCTCATTGAAGAGGAGAGACGGGATGAGATTGAGAAGATGGTATTGGACATTGAGAATGTGGACGATGTGGCTGTTCTGAACCAACTAATGGCAGCGCATTTCCTGAATCCTATTGCTTAAATACGTTATGTAGCATCCACAATAGAACAGATTTCAAGCGCATTAGCAGCCAGACTCTGGAAATCAAGGAATGCTGCGCAACGCATACAACCAAGTAGGAATAAGGTAGACGTGGTGTAACGATCTTCAAAGTTTTAGCGCCGCACGTATTCCGAGGTTTATTTTTGCCCTAACTCTTGAGTCTTCCGTAGTGAACAGAAAAAACGAACTCCGAACTCCTAAAATCGAAGAAAGATGCTAGCCGACAGCAAGTGCCGCCGGAAATTCGGAATTCTTTCCAGTCACCTTACCCTAAAAAAAGTATGCATCGGCTTTCGATGCGATAGAATCAAAAATTAGGCTTGGACCAGGGTTTCTCCACTACGTGCAAGCTTAGTACATCTTCGTATTTTTTTTTCTGCCCCATGAACGGAAAAGAACTTTGGGGTCTATGAAAGAATGTTCGTATTTCTTTTGCTTCTCACGGATTCCTTTGCTTCGTCCCCTTATCATAATCTGTTCTTGAGGTTTAATCGACTTTTCCGAGTTTTGAACGGTTCAAACGAACCTGGCTTAATACAAAACTGATTTATTTTTCTCTGCGATACATATTTATCACAGTTGACACTGTTCCATATCTGTTCCGTCATCTCGTTTACTTCCAGATTTGAGTTGTGGTGTTCCAAAGCTGTCTTTGACAGGGCGCAAATTGTGGGGCTGGACGATATCTTGTCATTGATATATGGGATGCGGCTCCGATTTATCAATTAGCTAAAGTCTAAAGACAACTTGATCATATATTAGAAGGAAGTCGATATGTCTTCCAATCCGAAGTCTACCCATGGCGGCTCCGGGGACGACGACCACGACAATTCCGAGAAATGGTCCCAAGACGAAAAGATGACTCACAACCAACATTGTCAACAACACGAAAGACAGCAATCCCTCGGCTCATCTGACAGTGAGAGCTTCTACGAAATTCAACCTGTTCGTAGCGAACGACAGGTCCATCCAGAAATCAGGGGTACCGGCGACGGCCTGTTGACTCCCCAAATATCTCGAATATCACATAATTCTCTGGCTCGCAGAGTCACCACGGTTGGCACAACGGGGACAACTGATCCGCTTTTTGAGGTGGATTGGGATGACGAAAATGATCCTGAGAATCCGTGGAATTGGTCGTTGGCTTATACGGCGATGTGTATTGCATTTCTGTCGTATAATACCCTTGTGATGTATGTCCGTTCCGATGTGGTAGATGTCCATGCTGCTAACTGCCTGGTGCTATAGTGTCCTCTTTTCCACCAGTTATACCTCCGGCACGTCGCAGATCGCTAAAGAGTTCGGCATCTCGGAAACGATCGTCACATTGGGTCTGACCTTTTACCTCCTCGGTCTAGCATTAGGCTCTGTGGTCATGGCTCCCCTCAGCGAAATCTATGGCAGAAAACCGGTCACCGTAGCAAGTATGGTGATATTCAACGTGATGATTATCCCCGTTGCTGTAGCCAAGTCAATGGCAATTATCATCGTCTTTCGATTCATTGGGGCTATCGCCGGAAGTGTCATGATAAGTAGCGCGCCAGGAATGGTGGCTGATATCATCCCAGCACAGAAGCGAGCTCTTGCTTTCTCTATCTGGAGTATAGGACCCATCAATGGTCCAGGTATGTAATTTTCCTGTCGATACTAGCATCATGCACTGACATCGTGACAGTGCTTGGCCCTATTATCGGCGGTTTCGTAACTCAATATTTGGGCTGGCGTTGGGCTTGCTGGATCAGTCTCATGCTCGGTGGTGTTGCCCTGGCGTTCTCCTGCATCATGAAAGAAACATACGCCCCCGTCATCTTGCGGAAGAAGGCCGCTCGCCTTCGAAAAGATACTGACGATCCTCGTTGGTGGTGCCGGTATGATTATAAAGTGCCGCTAAAAGAGACTATGAAGTCCAATTTGAGCCGTCCTTTGATCATGGCAGTGTTAGAACCTATTTGGTACGTCTTCCCTATTAGCTGATAGATATGAATACGGATCTGACTCGAAGTGATAGCATTTTCTGGAATCTGTATATCGGGATCGTCTACGGTATCCTGTACTTGTGCTTCACCGCGTATCCGATCGTGTTTCGCGAAATAAGAGGCTGGAGTCTTGGGGTATCTGGTTTGGCTTTCCTGGGCATCGGAATTGGGACGCTCCTAACGATCGCTTGTGAACCGTTCTACCGACGACTGATCCAAAGCCACAAGAAAGACCCCGAAACCGGAGAGGTGTACCCTGAAGCCATGGTATCGGCTGTTTGTATCGGCTCAATTCTCATTCCCATCGGTGAACTATGGTTTGCTTGGACGTGCTCACCAGCTTCGATCCCTTGGCCTGCCCCAATCGCCGCTGGTATTTTCTTTGGCGCCGGCAATACTGCTGTTTTTATTTATTCCTCCAACTATCTGACTTTCAGTTATGGTATCTACGCCGCATCTGCGCTAGCAGGAAACTCCCTCATAAGAAGTATCCTCGGTGGTATTATGCCGTTGATCGCAACATATATGTACAACAGCCTTGGACCCAACTGGTCCGGCACATTGCTCGGTTTGCTGGAAGTAGCCTGCATTCCAATTCCGTTCATCTTCTGGAAATACGGATATAAGATTCGCCAAAAGAGCATATTTATCCGGTCCATGCAAGAGGATCAGAGAAGACTGAAGGGCAAGAGAGAAAACAGGAACGCCACAAGTGCAATATCACCTGAAGAGGCTGTCGAAGGCGTTGTCGAGTTCCAAGATATCGAAAAAGGTGGCGCTCAGGTCAAAGTTAATGCATGATCAGATTTAAGAAGAAAGGTCGTTTCGTTTGTTCTGTTATTAGCCGTAGCATACATACCCCATTAATGACATGCATTGCGTTGGTTCCCATATTCAAGCCACAATGATTGGTAAAGTAGTCTGCCGAACGGTTGTAATTGAGTTTGACTTTGAAATGTCTGCATCGGGTCAAGTATCCCGTCCCAATCTTCGATTAATTGCTTGCATATCCGCAAGACTCTGCTCATATTCCGCAACACGTAGAGCTCCAGCATCCGAAATCATAACTGCTTCGACATAGATCTGGCTGCCGTTGGCATCTTCTGGCGTATGACAATCTTCGTCTTTTTTGCTCTGCATTTCGAGTCTGATATACCCGAATATATTCAGCCATGTGCCGACTTGTAATTGACCCCCCGTGATGGTATTGAGAACGTGGCAAATGTCCACTGATACTCTCCTTGATGCAATAGATGAACTTCGCTTTTTATCTTTCCTTGATAAGGGAGGAAAATTATGTTCAAGTTCTAGTCTTCCTCGCACGGTATCATATCGCGTGACACTTCCCCAGATCAGTAGGGTTCATATATCGACCAGGGGCAGTTTATTGACATACCACCCTAGGAATCTGACCTTTGTATGTGGAGGGAGAGATGAGAGCTCGTGTAGGAATACGAGGCGGGTCGGGATTGGCCCGTTCATTATAGACCCCAGGAATTTGATTCCAACAACATCCTCTTTTCTCTAATCTGATTAGATGTTGGTATCGAGTCAAAAAAAACATTTGGAAGGTCAAGGAGACAAAACAATAGGCAGCACGTGACCAGGGCGGTCCGATAGGCGGGAGGACTCCGACTGGCCCAGCGGGAACCTGAAGATGTCATATGGGCAGAACAACTACAGCAGCGGACGGACGCTTTCTTTCTCTTTCGACCAGGCTACCATATTGTCTTTCCAACGTCGAATCTTCTTGGCAAACAACTCTATCAGCAGTTATACATTGTCTTATTTATCTGGATTGCTCGTTTTGCTAAATATTAACAGCAGTCGACTGCGGAGGAGGTGGTGTTGTTCCGTTGCCGATAACGTTCCCCTCCATTCATCTCCAACATTTGAGAAGTTCGGCGTCACCAAAACAAGCATCAACTTGCGACTAAGTGCCAGGGTTGTCAGTCGTTTTGACCACCAAATAACATTTTAGGGTTGTGCCAACCGGACTATTACTGTAGAAATATATATCGCCCCGCGAAAAATGTGGTCGTGGTTTGGTGGCCAGTCTGCGCAAAAGCGCAGAGATGCGCCCAAGGAAGCGATATTGAAACTTCGCGAACAGCTGGATATGCTACAGAAGAGGGAGAAACATTTGGAAAATCAAATAGTGGAGCAGGAAGCCATAGCAAAGAAGAATGTCACGACGAATAAGAATGGTGTGTATTTATTTACCTATTGCTCTGATCCTTTATTAGAAGTGACTGATGGTTCTTCTTTTGTACAGCCGCCAAAGCCGCCCTCCGGAGAAAGAAGATGCACGAGAAAAACCTCGAGCAAACCCAGAACCAGGTCATGCAACTCGAACAACAGGTGTATTCGATCGAAACAGCCAATATCAACCAAGAGACTTTGTATGCAATGGACAGTGCCGGAAATGCCATGAAACGTATGCACACTGGTCTCACGATGGAGAAGGTCGATAGCATGATGTTAGTCACTCCTTTTTCTCTCCAAACAAGTATTTTCATGGCTCTTGTCTAACTGTTGGAAACAGGGAGACATTACGAGAACAACAAGCACTCGCCGACGATATCGCGCAGGTCATCACAACAACACCGTTCGGCGAACAAGTCGACGACGATGAATTGGAGAGTGAACTGGCGGATCTGGAGCAGGAGACTATAGACGAACGAATGTTGAAGACTGGTACTGTCCCAGTCTCCGATCAACTGAATCGGTTACCCGCGGCTGCGAATGGAGAGCGTAAGTCTACCCTTGTGCGACCTTCGAGTGATGTAGACGCTGAGATTGACTTTGTTGTGATTAGTCAAAGGCAAAGCCAAACAGACTGAAGAAGAAGACGAAGAAGCGGAATTGGAGAAACTACGTGCTGAGATGGCCATGGGTTAGAGGACCTTGTTCATCTCTATTTATTTTCCATTCCATTGCGCGGCTCAAGTCAAGTGTTGAGAGTATCGATCACCATACCATTATCAGATCATCTGCTTCTTGCCTCTCCGTATTTTCATGCCTGCCAGCTTATCCATCGCCGCGTTATGTCTGTTTATGCGAGGGATTAAGGTTTTGTCTTTTATCTTTATTTCTTGGTTATACTGGTGTTTGTAAGGCAGAGAAACCCCTCTATTAATCCTATAACGGCTTCCTTTTCCCTTCATAATTGCTGTTAGCATCATTAATATCTATCTTGCTTTGGGCCACCGTTGCGGCTATATAGGCCATATTAAGACAACGTCAATTGAGCGCTACCAATTTTCACAGTGCGTTCTGCCTAGTATAAGATAGGCCACAATACTATATACATTGATCCATTAACAGGTAAGTAAATAGTGTTAAGAATTATGACATCTCAGTCGAGAACTAGAAGATCATGAAGATCATTGTGATCTACACTATACTCAATCTGGCACGCTAACAGCTGCAGGCCGATGTCATACATCGTCCAACTTTTGACCACACAACCTCCTGACTTGCATTCTCACATTCTTTTAATGTTAAACCTATCGACAGGTATACACTCCTTTTATTTCCTTCTTGTTTTAATCCTTACTCCTTGCTACGACTTCTCATAACCTCACCAATTATCCTGGCCTTTCGCGATTGTTTCATTGATATGACGTCGGCCGAGCATGTGATGGAAGGTGGTTGATCGAGACACCCCTAAGACGTTCTCTAATATCTATCTACCCAAGCCGAACAAATAATGGCTACTGATGTCGCCAAGGGAATTGACTTGGTTGACAATACAAAATCACAACAACCTTCTGAACAGGACCTAAGCCGCTCAGAGACTCGCTCGTCCTATTTCCAACTGAAGCAAAAACTGACCAGGGACTCTGTCAGAAATGAATTGCAGAAAAGGAAATACGCCAAGTGGCAACGCGAAAGACTTGGTGCCCCGGATCCAGAGTCTAGGAGTCAAAGTCTATCGCGCACAACCACCAAAAACACTACACCAGGTACCCCAATGCCTAGCAAGGGCTTTGATAATGTGGACATACTTAATATTGCCCCCGTGCAAACCGAAGCTACGAATATTCTAAAAACGGAGGAAAATCCGGAAGCCAGCTCAGAGCTTGAAGTGCTCTATGAAAATCAACGAGGATGGTTTCTTTTCGGGATACCATTCTATTCGTCTCGCTCCCTTCTTCAATTTGATCCTCCAGCATGGGTGGATAAGGAATATCGCGTTAGTCCCGTCAACATTACAAATACGCAAGTTCCTGATCCGAGCTGGGAATGGGCTTGGCCGACGTGGTATGTGGATATGTCCGACGACGTTGACGAGGAAGGGTGGCAGTATTCGTTCTCCTTTATACCGAAATCTGGTTGGCATGGGACTCATCCTTGGTTTCACTCGTATGTGCGCAGAAGGCGCTGGGTGAGATTACGGGTTAAGAAGAAGTACGCGAGACTGAAGAATGGAGTGGACCAGACGGACTTTCGCATGGCTCATATGTTAAATGAGGATTACTTCACTATTCATTCTCAAAATCTGAACAGCGTGGACCCGAGCATTGCGCCTCCAACGGCGGCAGATGTCCCTTCGTCGTCATTTTCTAGACAGTGGGTAGGCGATTCACCGGAAAGGCATGTGGAGGATAGTATTGAAAATATACCGGCACTTCTCGAAGCTATGAAAAATGCCATTGTGGACCGCAAGAAGATCGAAGCGCTTCGGAAGTTTTTGGCTCAGGGTGGAGAAGAGCTTTATTATCTCCCTGACAAGGTTCGCTGCTAACCGTCACTTTATCAATTGCTATACTAACCCAGGTATCATGACAGGTTCCTGAAATGTTGAGCTTGTTCGTATTCCAAACATCGCGCTGGCAGTTTCTAAAACTCTTGCATGATGCATTAGACGACGCAAATAGTCTTGAAACAGATTCAAACGCAGGTAAAAAGGAAATTGATGCGCAAGACCGAAGACGCAATAATATTTTAAGAACGATTGATGCCGTCAAGAAAGAGGTTTCTGATATCGGCGTTTTCGATATTTCGAAAGAGAATCTCGAAAGTCTCTACGACTCCGAACTGCACGAAGCACATAGATCCTCGCGTGGAAAGGGTAAGGAAAGGTCATGGAATGAGATCAAAGGCATCCCTAAAGCAGCCGGCATTGGTAAAGAGGGCCATATCTATTGATCATGGCATTCATCATTATGCTAATCAGTTTGATTCGCCTTGTATGGCATCAAGCATATCGTTAGCGTTACACGGCGAGGGATACTTTGCTAATTTTTAATATGTAATATATTGTAATCACTCTCCGCAAAAAGTCATCAACATGTATGTTCTGTAGAAAAACATCTGAAAGACGTCGTGGGCGTCTAGTAGTTGTTTGATGAAGCCAATGAATGCTCACCGCCCGGGTGGATACGCATTTCCCTGAGCTCCGGTGGACTTTTTCAAAATTTCCGCATCATCAATCGATGAGCTTCATGTCAACAACCACCACCTACACTCATCGTACATATTTACAAGCACGGGGTTCTATGATTTCCACATCGACAACTGTAAATAGTTTGCTTGCAGTCAGAGAGGTCCCCTCATGCTTACTTCTCTCTGCTGCCACCCCTAATGATTACTCGAGGCAAGAGCTGTCTTCGATGCGGCAACTTGTCAACCTTTCTGGATAATGTCGCTGTCCCTGCATCGAACGAGCCTTTACAATTTCTCTACCCTTCTTTCGCGAAAGGTATCTTACTAGGGTGCCAGGCTTCGGAATCTCGAGCTCGTTTCTCGTCTACCCGACGGTCCAAACTGCGCGGAAATCACAAGAAGTTTCAGCAGCCGTATACATCAGTCAATGCGAAGTCTCGTCGATGGCTGACTCAAGGCAGCCATTTGGCTACGAACGGTAATGTTGGAGATGTTGAGGTTAGTCCTCGGGCGGAGACTTCGTATCCCGAACTTTACCGCGATGCCGACCTCGATCGGTTCGACGATGGTGGCAGACGAACCGATCGTTTACGTACGAGAGCTAACGAGCATGAGACGGGACCACGCATCGAACCCGAAGTCGACAAGATCTTAAATCATAGATCCTCTAATGAGCCCATGTTCGACGAGGGCACGATTAACGGAAACGTGGAGTATGGACATATGGAAAATGAAGTCTTCAATGCAGGAGAATATGCTTTGACGACTCCGATGATGCAGTCAGAAGTACCCCCTCCTGACGACCGGAAGCTTCTGACTTTAATGCGCAAACGTGATATGGCTCTGGCCGCGATGACGGCCTACGCGAATACGCCAGGGGAATCGAAAAAATTGAGATATCGACAATTCATAGCATTAAAGCCCAAGAATAAACATAAAAGACGGCCTCACTGGACAGAGTTAATGGCCCGGCTTGAAAGGATGCACCATGAAACGATCGTGGAGCCGATAAAAGGCACACGCAAGGAAATTCTATTGCGAGAAGAAACGGTTGCATTTTTCTCGGGCACTACCAGATCGATGGAGAATATCTGGTACGTTCGGATTCGAAATGGATGTAAGGTCCACGTGTTGGACTCTATTGAGAGTGAGGGTATATATCGCAAAGTGGTCCTTACTGGAACGAAACGAGTGATTGAGCTCGTAGAGAAGCAGCTTCAACAATTCGATGAGCAGATTCGGCAATCAGATGTACCCCCTGTCGTTCCCTCAATGCTTGCTTTGCGCCAGCAAGGCTTGACGCCTCCCCTAGTTCGAAGATGGTGGTTCTCCCCTTCGGACCATGATAACCGCATGATAGTCTCAAAACCTGTGTCAGGTACTGTGGTGACTAGCGTTCGGGCGTTTAACAGCTTAGTCGAGCAATGGGTCTATTATGAACCCCCTGTGAAAGGACGCTGGCACACCAGTTTAGTGAAAGACGAACTTGTCGCTTTATTTACCAGGCCGGAAAACAAGCTCTATTTCTCGTCCAATGCCTTACACTTAGCTCTAAATTTTCTGACGGAACACGAGTTTCTTAACTCAGTTCGCAAGGTATTTTATCACGCCAAGACTGTGGCTACTGCAAACACGTTCAACGTTTTTCTTCAGGCATCCGCCAAACGCCAAGATCCTTGGTTCTATCGGTACGTTCTGACAGAGATGGAGAAATCGGGAGTTCAGCCGAATGGGCATACCTGGATGACTTTGTTGAAGTCTCTTGTTTCGCCAGGCCCGAGAAAGGAATTGATGAAACGTATGAAGGAGTTTGGATTACTTGAAGACACCAGAGTGCTTCATGATATGATAGAGCACGACATCTCCTCGTTGGTTTCCGATTCTCTCGAAGAAGGGAACGATATCCAGACTTTTCTAGAGTCGTTGGAACGGGATTATGGCAGCGACATCATAACGACAAACTTACTCAACCAGATCCTGAATGCAGTTTATCTAAGACGAGACTTAAAACTCACGGCAGACATACTTAAAAGCTTCGAACGATTCGGAATTGCTCCAAATGCGAGAACTTTTACTGCCGCACTTTCCATATTCTTCCGTATTGGTCCTGCTGTGGGGATTATGACACCATATCTGAGAGAACATGAATATCTTCTTCACCACCGCCATTACGACATGTTGTTTCTTGACGCGATAGCCTCGAATGCGATCAACGCATGTCGAGTCATTTGGAGATATGCCAGCATGAGAGGCGAAACGAGTTCGACAATGCGATATATCGTCCTCTCATCTCTTCTTGGTAAACGTTCAGCGCGGCATGTGACCAACCCTGAGCACATTAATCATCACATTGGTTCTCTCGTTATTGGATTGAACTATCCCCAGACACAACCCACGACAAGGGCCGCGTCGCTGGTACCTCCACAATTCCAGACGAATCCATTGATATACCTGCTCCACAATAGAGACAATATGCCGGCCTCCGAAAAGATCAACCTTGTCAAGGCGTTGATGGAGGACGACGTCGAGGGTGGACCACAACATATACCCCTTGAACCTTTTACGGTCATGCTAGATGCGGCCGTCAGACTCGATTCAAGTCCAGAGTACAGTTGGGACAGGCCTGAGGGAGGAGGCCATCCTGGCATGAAGAAGTTGCCGACGATTGAGATTCTCAAACGCATTATAGATGTTCCTATAGAATAGGCCTCTCGGCTGCTCGCAGATCTGGCCGGGTTTGTAAATATATGTACATTAATTAGACGATACACATGTATAATTCTCCTGTTGTCAGCAGTTTTGCACGAAGCACATGAGTAGGCACCGTTTCATCACGTATTTATCTGCAAATGCATTTATGCAGGGGCGCATCGTTCCATCATTACATAGCATGACGCTTGATCCATATTCTATCCATGCATAGCGAATCTGTCCCTACACAACAGAACCACCAGCTGGAATCTGCGGCGTCGTGGTTTGTGGTGGTGCCCCTGGTATAGGCACCGGATAATCATAATTCGCCCCTATTGATCCCACGCCTTCTTTCAGATATAAAACAAGACGATACGCCGAGTTCCCATTAAGATAATATCGATGCAGCCGTTTGCTTCGAAGGAAACCCAACCGTTCATATAATTTCATAGCAGCTGTATTCACAACCTCTGTTTCCAGCGCGACCTATACTTCTCATCAGCTCTGTCCGTTTCCTTCACCTGCCGACAGTAGATGGGTGGGTGGGAAATCACCTCATCAGCATTTCTCTCAATCATCTTATCAATCGCCATCCGGACCAATCTCGTCGCTATCCCCTGTCCTCGATACTCCTCCCTAACCGCTAACATGGCAATATAACCCCTCAAAGGCCCGCCTCGATGAGGTTCCAGTTTTGAGACTACCACGCCCACAAGTTTGTCGTTGGAGTCCATGGCCAGAAAACAGAGATCGCCCCACTGATATAAAAAGTAGCGGTATACGTAGATGCTGTAGGGTTCCGAGAGGTCTTTGGATATTAGTTGGCGCATTGCGGTGAGGTATTCGATTTCGCGGGAAGGGTCGTATTGTATGTAGCGTAGTGTACTTGGGGATTTTGTTGTCGAGTTGTCCGTTAATGAGGCCATGATGAAGGGATTTTTGGGGTTTCCTTTCTATCGTTTTTGTTTCTTTCGTATACAGGAGTCGTTCATTTGGAAAAATGCGCTTGTTGAGAGTCGGTTGATCTTTGGCTCTGTGTAGTGCAGCTTCTCCTCCCCTCGCTTTTTCGAGGACTGAAATGGACGGAAGCTTTTGCGAAGACTTGAAGTCAAATACAAGGAGTCTTGGTATGTAATTAACGCTTGACAGTGTATTCGTGTATAATGCAGGTGGTGTAAATAGTTGGCTGTACCTGAATAAATGTTCCGCGGGGAGTTCTCTGCTTGCACATGTGACCAATCGAAGATAAGAAAAACAGCTACATATCTCTAGCACACATCTAACAACACCATGAACCCAGTCAGGATATCTTCCTGACGCTCATCAATTTACTTTTCTTGCTATTTCCTATCAATTGCTTCACCTGTGGGTCGTCGAAACAGGTAAATCCTCATAAGACTCTGTATTAACTTATCGTTCTCGGAGTGACGCCTTTTTTTCATGTGATTATCAACTGACACGGTTCGACTAGCACAACCCTTTTTGCCTCCTTTGGTCGATTGACTCCTTCCCACGTCTTATACTTCTCTAGAGAGACATACCCGACGTCGTAATCGATCAAACGGCCTTTCGCGAACGTATAATCAGGAGGATGCCTGACCTCCGGCGTCGCGCGGTCAAGCAGCCATCGCGCGATGAAAACGGCGACAATAACGACACAAAGGAAGCTTCCCTTAGCGACGCCGAAACAAAAACAAAAACCTCCAGAAAGGCTCACAAACATGGCACCAACGCTGAACGTGATAAGAAACAATCATTGAGCCCAATTGTCAGGTTAAAAAGATACATAACCAAGCCCCGCGGAAAGCGCCGGCATAGTTTTGTGTTTTTGCTTGGTGGACTATTTGGGATATTCATTGCGCTGTTCTTCGCGAATCAGAATGAAGTTATTAGTCTTGATGCGCTTATGGATCTTAATCTTGACTCGTTAATTGATGTTATGCCTACTGGGTTTCTGAAGGATGCAAAGGAGATTACGGTATGTTTTGTGACCTTATTACGCTAAGAGGGGAAATCGCTAATCTAATTCGGGGTAGAAACACGAACGCGATACAGTCAGCTATGACTCCTTTTCTGTTGGTCTACAATTAAAGTCGGAAGGCATTCAAGCCAAGCATCCCGTTGTCATGATCCCCGGCGTCATCTCTACAGGACTCGAGAGTTGGGGTACCGAGACCGAATCGAGGCAATACTTCCGGAAGAGGCTATGGGGTAGTTGGAGCATGATGCGAGCATTGGTCATGGACAAAGCATCCTGGAAGAATCATATCATGCTCGATAAGGAGACAGGGTTGGATCCTCGAAACATCAAGTTACGGGCCGCGCAAGGGTTTGATGCCACTGATTTCTTCATTACGGGGTACTGGATATGGAATAAAATCCTGGAGAATTTGGCGACTATTGGATACGACCCGACGAATGCATTTTCGGCTGCGTATGACTGGCGCTTGTCGTATATCAACCTCGAAACCCGGGATCAGTACTTCAGCCGTCTCCGGTCACACATCGAGATGACAGTGCATACAAGAAAAGAAAAAATCACATTAATATCACACAGTATGGGATCTCAGGTAGTCATGCATTTCTTCAAATGGGTAGAGAACGAGCAACACGGCAACGGCGGTAAAAACTGGGTGAATCGTCACATTGACTCCTGGGTCAATATCAGCGGTTGCATGCTCGGAGCCGTGAAAGGGTTAACTGCCGTACTTTCCGGCGAGATGCGCGATACAGCACAACTCAATTCCTTTGCAGTCTACGGCCTTGAGCGGTTTTTGTCGAAGGAAGAACGAGCAGAAATCTTCCGTGCTATGCCCGGTATATCAAGCATGTTACCCAAGGGTGGCGACGCGGTCTGGGGTAACGGTACCTGGGCACCGGATGACAAACCAGACAACACCCTCAGTTACGGCAACTTCATCCGTTTCCGCGAAACGAACTCGTCATGGACAAGCAGAAACCTCACCATGGAAAATAGTCTAACTTACCTCTTCAACCAAAGCGAGGACTGGTACCGCAATCAAGTCCACAACAACTACTCCCAGGGCGTAGCACATACCCGCGCCGAAGTAGAAGCAAACGAAAACGATCCTCGCAAATGGCTGAATCCACTCGAATCCCGTCTTCCTCTAGCACCAGACATGAAAATATATTGCTTCTATGGAGTCGGCAAACCCACTGAACGAGCCTATTTCTACCAAGAAGAAAACGACCCCTTGACCCGTCTCAATGTCTCAATCGATACCACCGTCACCGAACCAGACAGCACCCTTAATGGACCCGATCACGGCGTCGTAATGGGCGAAGGAGATGGGACAGTTAGTTTGCTAAGTATGGGATACATGTGTTCCCGCGGCTGGCGAATAAAACGCTACAACCCTTCCGGGATAAAAATCACCGTTCATGAAATGTTACATGAACCAGATAGTTTTTCCACCAGGGGGGGTCCTAATACTGCTGATCACGTGGATATTTTGGGTAGGGCTTCGTTGAATGATTTACTACTGAGGGTTGCTGGTGGGAAAGGGGATTTGATTGAGGAGCATTATGTTTCGAATATTAGGGAGTATGCGGAAAGGGTTAAGATTTATGATGATGATGATGATGATGACAATTGAATTTTTATTCCTAGATTTTGGAAAGATATATGCTTGTATTCTAGAAATTAAACTACATCTTGACTTTTCTACTGAGCGAAGAATTGATGGTATGACCATATGTGCATTGAATCATATATAATAATAGTATCATTAACATAACAGACTCAATTACCTTCCTCCATCTTCAAAAGATTCAAACAGAAGAGGTAAAGCCTGCATATCAGCATAGAGATAGATTACAAGTAAAGTATGTCTCCGTCAAGTACATGCTCACTTCAATCCATCTTTGATGAATAAAAAAAATGTCCTCCAATCGCTCCTATCCCCTAATCGAAAGTCTCAAGGTGAATGTTGATCCACCTTCAGAAAAAAAGACTGAGGTGAAGATGAGAAGTTCACCAACAGTTAAATTCTATAAGCACAGCGAGTGATGGTGCTGTAATGATAATGCAATCCGTTATTCCACCCAAAAAGCAAAAAAAAACAGTGTTCCTTTCTTTTCCAATAAAGAATTTTGTTTTCCCGTTTCCCCTTTCTCCAGGCACCAGAGTAAAGCGACTGACATAAAATTCGTTATATTGTGGTCCGAGACCACAAGGCAAAGAGGCAGTCAAGCAAGAAGAGAAGATAAAAAGGCTTGACTGTTGAAATAGGGCGTATGCACGCCAAGAATCGGAGAAAGCTGTACCACTGGTGGTGGTAAAGCTATAATTTTGTACAAGCGAAAGTCTTCAACGGCGAACTTAACGCAAATCCATGGCGGGTAGCGAGTGGGTCAGAATGAAAATCGAAGAAGGGTGCCAGAATTTGTCGCCAGTCGCCGGAATTAAGTATTATTGACGGAAATTGTGTCTATGAAAATCGCTCCAGAGACATTGAAAAGACCCAAAGTGGCGTATATAAGCGCACCAATCCATGATGCAATGCATGTACAGTAAACTCCAACACGCGCAGAGACAAAAGTCGACTGCGCCAAACCAAAAGGCAGAAGCGGAAGCCGTGATTAAAATATTCTGTACTGGTGAAAACAAAGTGCCATGCTATGATTCGCAAGCCGATAGCGCTAGCAAAACAACAATGCAGCAATGCAAATATCGACGGGAGGACGGTCATCGATCATTGAGGTATCCTCGAAGGGCGGAATTGAGTTTGAATAGTGGTGGGTCGCTAGTCTACCGACCAGATTCAATATCAGAGATAGAGGCGAGAGTTTCGCCTTCCCAGAGATGCTGATCTTCAGTCGGAGAAAGAGAGCCTGACGATACTGACGAAGAAGAGCCAACAGTCCACTCGTCACTATCGGCATGCATATGGCCCTTGAAATGAGCCAAGTCATAGCCCTCCTCATCCGATCCATTGCCCCTCTCAATATAATCGTAATCCCAGCGGAATCGCTTGCCTGGCTGGACTCGCGGCAGGAATCGAGCCTTGGCAAAGTAGAAAGCGACAGCGGCTAGAATACCACCGCAGACGAGATCCACAGCGTAGTGATGGGACAGGTACATGGTAGCCCACCACATCCAAAGGGTGTAGGTAACGAAGAGTGGCTTGAGCTTGGGAAAGACATGGCTCATAAAGAGAGCAGCAACGGTGGAATCGGCGGCGTGAAGGGATGGGAAAGCACCGAACACGACGGGTGAGGCATGGAAACCAGAGGTATAGAGATCGATGCCGAACAATGCATCGATACGAGCCAGTCCAGCTGGGTCACCTTTAATTGAATAATCGGCGGGCGCGAGACCGTAGGTGTTCTCATACCATGGGGGAGAGCATGGGAAAACAAGTTGAATGGCAACGGCGGTCAAACTGATATAGCCAAACGTTTTGGCAAACACTGGGACTGTTCCGGGTGGTCCGAAGATGAACATAATGGCTGAGCATACGAAGGGTGCACCGTAATGGCAGATTCCATAAGGCAACCAAGCCAACACGTCAAGCACCACGCTCTGGTGCGCAGATAGAATGTTACTTATGTTGGCGCCGTACAAGATGTTTTCCAATGCCGGTAGAACGCGAACCCAAACACCAGGGCGATATTCGGACGGAACGAATCTATAGACATTAGCTAAGTGATCACAAAAACACATTCGCGAGAAACATACTGGCAAGCATAAAAGAAGATCAGCCAGGCGGCGATCGGCAAGAACGGTAGGAAGAATTGCCTCGTAATCGGCAAAAGCAGCGACAACAGAAGAAGCGAGGCCACGAATGTCTTGCCGAATGGGTCTGGCGATTGTATAATACAGAGAGAAAAGATACCAATGATAGCTAGAAGCAAGTATTGGAAATCATAAACACTCCAGCGATAAGACTGCAATGATCGCAGAGTATCCTTGGGAGAAAATGAGGTCTGTAGTGAAGCGATCGAGGTTGCTGGTGACACTCTGCTGCGCAGCTTCGATCGCAGCTTTCGCCTCATACGGTGTGGCATGAGGAGTTTGAAAGATCGCCATGGCATAGTCGGGAGTTGGACCTTACTGAATTGTGACTTTTGTCGATCCTTCCACGAAGGTACTGATATCGTCGGATTCATCATGTTGACGATGTAAAATAAGAAGAACGACTTGTCACTTTCCCTTCTGATTGTTTTTGTTGGGGGTCTCCAATTAAACCAACGCAAGGGGGAGAAGTAATGTGTGGTTGTGGTGGTGGAAAGAGGCGGGCGGCGAGAGGGCGAGAATGACGATGACAGTCGGACAAAGTCTCTCGATCGTCTCAAAGAAGTACCCTTTATCCTCAACACATAAAGTTGTAGACTATTTTCTTGACGCGAAGAATCTCGGCGCAGACCAACTCTTTCTCTTGCAACACAGCCTCAGAAACGGAAACCCTCACAGCCTGGTTTGACAGAAACTCGGCGTCCGGCGGTTAAGGAGAGTATAAGTCGTCAGTCGAGTCAGTGTCGCACTGGGCGGCAGGACCGTAAATGAGGAAGACGATGGACGTCTTGGTCGCAAAATGAAGGGTTAGAAGGGAAGAAGAGAAGATTTGCAGGGAGGAGCGTATTGGTCAAGTATAAAGAATGGGAAAAGGAGAGGAAAAGGAAGAAAAAGCTATGACGGTTTGGCAGACGATGGGGCACGATGGACGGTAATTTTCTCTTCGTATTACGTTCTGTAATTTCAGGCCAGCAACCAAAAACGGTCATGCTGATGCATTAACCTAGTCTTACGTTTTATTACATAAGGCTGTAGTAATCTGATTGGTCGTGAGCGGTAAAGCAGCTGTATCGGCAGTACGGGTAGATCGAGCCGGTACTGGTAATACGGGATTATGAATGGCGGCATCAATGACTGCCTCGATCGTTATGACTGTCACAACTGTACTCTGTAATTTATGATCTTTTTGTTTCTGTATGTGTTGGATTTTTATATAGAAAAGCAGTAACAGTTATGTACTGAGGTTGAGATGTCGTCTCATATCTCTTACTGCCCGAGGCAGTGACAATCACTCGAAACTCCTCGCGCATCTGATAGCTGCAGGGCGCCACCATAGTCATCATACGTTGCGCGAATGACCGAAAAGAAGGGTCCGGAAGCGCCGGAGACGTTGATACGGCACAGTAATGCTCTGAAGAATCTGACTATTGATTACGGCTAAAGGAGCGCATTTGTTGCTTGTACAATAGCTAGTTGCTCAATAGGACAATAGCCGATACGAACAGCACCGACTATTAAGGATCATACTCGTTCATATGAAGTTATTTATAGGCAAACCAACACGGGTCTTCAGGCCTCTACATTTATTGAACGTTAGTTCGTTCTCAAAGAGTGAAGAGCTGAAATGGATGATTGGCACTAAGCCTGCTCTATCGATCTGAATTTCATTTCTATGGACTGCCAAGACCTCGCTTAGCCTCAACAGGAAACCGTGCCAAGCCAATCAGCTTGATTCTAGAGTTGATACCAGGCTCTGATTGGTTGACTTTTTTTCGATGATTATTAGAGTCGATACGCGTATTTCAAGATACAGAAATATTGTAATCAATACACAAACGCCAAATACACATAGCACCAATCATACCAGACTATCAAATACATCAACTCCGAAGATACAAAACTCGCTGATTCAGACTTCTCTCCCGGACTTCGGATGGAAGTGTGACCGACACCACCGACCTATCCGATGTGGCTTCGATTCGGCCTTTCGGGTGATAACTTGCTAGTTAACTTAGTCTAACTAAATGCTTGCTTAAGTCGTGCATGAGGTCAAATGATTAACTAACTAGTTAGGTCATTACGGAGTATGTTGATGAAGGGTACTCCGTACATAGTACATGGTAATCCATATCAACTTATGCATTAGGTGCTTATTCAGCTTACCCTAGCGTAACGTATCTCATTACTTATGCCGTTACGGCTTACCATACATGTATTAACGACTTTACCGTTACGGGCCTATCCAACCAATATCATTGCAATAAATACGTATTTTTAATTTCCTTTTTGCTTTCCCAGCCACATCCTCGATACCTCGTACCGTATCTGCGGAGTAGTTTCAGGTTGATTACTATCCAATGTATTATCTATCAGCTATCACAACACTAAACAAGGTGCAGTTTCACGATCATAGAACGATCAGCCCGTGCGTTCGCTTCCAGCCTTTTGATATGTATTTCGTTCGATCTTCTTGGGCTGGGGATGAAAGTGGAAGTAGGCGTGAGATGTTGCCGAAGATAGAATATGTTTAGGGCTTGAGCGTTGATACGTTTATCGTTTGAGATTTCTCGAGTCATGAGGCTATTCTGTATTCTGCACAGAGTAGTCGACCAAATAATTTGAAGCAGTTAACTACTTAACTAAGTGTTGGGGGCAAAGAGGACCAAGGATGAAGCTCTGACCAATGAACCATATCCATGGGTCATATCACTACTCTATTCTTACGGAAGAAACTCTGATATGAGGATCTTGGCCAATGTTGAGTGCATACTCAGTTTCCGCAATAGAACGCCGATGCATGATAGAATATCAACTCGTCCATGTTCGCACACCACTCTCCATTGCAGAATCGAGAGCACTACAAGTCTGCATGTCCTACGAATATATTTCTTCCCGTACCGGCACATTGAGGATCTTGATAACGGTAATGCAATAGCTAGGAGTGGGAATTATGTCTAATGACAGTTAGATCTATGAGGCACTCTTATTTCATACAAAGAGCTGAGCATTAGACTGTTATACATTCTAAAGGCCTCCAACATCACACATCGTAAGAATGGATTCATATAGTGGGTTAGTAGTGCCCCTGATTCTACAATGGGTAGGACTCGAAGTGGATGTCAAAGGATTCAAAAGCACCCCAGGAGCATACATGTTGTCAATCTACGCGTACTCCTCTTGTTATCACACATCTCACCTTCCTCGAAAAGGATCAAAGCAGAACGTCAAAGAACACTATATTGAGTAGCAGAATGCAGGAAAAAAAGATAAACAAACAAGTCAGAGACAAAAGGGTCACATGGGGACTGTTCAGATAGTGAATGATGCCAAACGAAGACGATCAGCGCCGGATCAAAGTTAAGGATAGCAAGTGCCACGAGGCCTAGGCGAGCAACCCCAATCCCTCGCTCCCACGGCGTAAGAGAGCTTGTGCTTTGTTAGCAAGGATCTGTTGTGGACGGTGCTTTTTTCAAAAAGGGGCAATTGATATGCTCTAGCAAATGTGTGGGGCCTATAACCAGCTCGGGAAGTCTATACTGCATTTGATTAGGTTATTTATTCTGCCACCGTCCGGTTCTCTTTTGGCCTAAATGGAATGTGAAGGGTAAAACATAAGGGAAACAATCAGACCTCTAGGATTTGAGCCACACCCCCCGGGCATCTACAATTCTAAGTAAGTACATCGCATCGAATTTATTTAGAACTTGCGAAAACTATTTATATAGTAGTGATCCTATACAAGAGACGATTCCAAGCGCCTTTTAATCATGTTTTGAGGGCTACTTATGAATACAAAGAGTATTCAGTAGAGATAGGATCACGTGATCTTAAATATTTCTTTTATATGGACCCATAACATAACATAACGTAACTGAGCGGGTCACCTTCCCCTGAGCGCGTCAAAATATTTCAAATATCTCTCTATACACCCATCTTCAACGCGTCATTATGCCACCAATTCGTACAAGAAATACACAAAACTCAAGTAATCAAGAGGGCAGTATATTGCTTGCTATATCCGACTTAGAAAATGGAAGAATTCGATCTATTCGTCAAGCAGTACAGATCTACGATGTTCCATTTACAACTCTCCAACGCCGACTTACCGGCACTCAACACAGGGGTGAAAGACACGCGAACGATCATATATTGACTCAATATGAGGAGGAATCTCTTCTAAAATGGATTCTTGACCTTGACAAACGTGGATTACCTCCCCGGACATCTCTCGTACAAGATATGGCTGATCTTCTTCTTTCTCAACATGGAAATAAACACGTCAGTGAAAGATGGGTTTATCGATTTGTTGACCGGCATCCGGAAGTGAACCTACGGTTTTCACGAAGACATAACTACGAGCAAGCAAAATGTGAGGATATTCAGATAATCCGAGAGCACTTTAATCGCGTACGAGAGGTTATACAAGAATATGGGATCTTATCAGAAGATATATATAATTTCGATGAGACTGGCTTCGCTATGGGTCTCTGTGCTTCTGCAAAGGTTATTACAGGCAGCGATCGATATGGAAGGCCTAATCTATTACAGCCTGGCAATCACGAATGGGTTACGGCAATTGAAGCAGTTAATTCCGCTGGATGGGCTTTACCCTCGTACGTTATTTTCAAAGGAACAACCTATCATCAACAAGGCTGGTTTGAGACTCTTCCACAAGATTGGAGACTTGATATCAGTAATAATGGCTGGACAACAGATGAAATTGGAATACGATGGCTTCAAAAACATTTTATCCCTCATACAACAAGCCGTACGAAAGGGAGATATCGGATGCTTATTCTCGATGGCCATGGAAGCCATTTGACACCTCGATTTGATCAAATATGCACCGAAAACAATATTATACCAGTGTGTATGCCACCTCATTCATCCCATCTTTTACAGCCTCTTGATGTGAGTTGTTTTGCCGTTCTAAAACGACAATACGGACAGCTTGTTGAGCAACGCGTACGGCTTGGATTCAATCATATTGAGAAATATGACTTTCTTACGGCTTTTCCAGAGGCTCGTACAATGGCATATACAGCTGAAAATATCCAGAATGGCTTCAAAGCGACCGGATTAGTGCCATTTGATCCAGATCATATTTATCAAAAGCTTACAGCTCAGCTTCGGACCCCAACCGCCCCTCCTAGTCGACCAAGCAACTCACAATCTTCTTGCTTACAAACATCTCAAAATCCACGTCAATTCAAGCGCCAAATGACAACAACAGAGAAGCGTATCAATGAGCATACGACAAGGTCATTAGAGGTGATTGATCGAGCGATAAAGCAGCTGTCTAGAGCGCACGAAATGAGTATCAATGAGCTTCTGATTGTACGGAAAGAGGTGCTTAATTTACGGGCTGCAAATGAGAAGGAGATGCAAAAACGTAAAAGATCTAGAGCTCAAATATCTCATGAAGGATCTCTTCCAGTGCAGGAAGCTCGGGAACTAATAACTAATCGAGATATGGCATCTCAACCTATTCCGGTTGCACCAGTCGAATCCGAACCTCAGGCCTCTCAACCACGCGTACGAGCGCGACCGAAGTGCAGTGGATGTGGGATTATCGGGCATAAAATCAATCGATGCCCAAATCGTACTACTAGTTGAAGAACTGTATTTATTTTGTATGTGGTTTAGAAATTCAAGCTTTGAATTCGCGTAGGACACGTTTTCCGGGAAAAACTGGCGGGACGAGCTTGTTTCTGTTATAGATCATTTACTGCCATGTAGACCTTCAAAAGATTGTTGCCTAAGCGAGCTTTCACACCTGAGAGGGAGATAATTCATATTCCTTCCCAATTTGCAAAATTCTAACATCGTATTGATAGACATTCGAAGTCAGAAATTAAGTAATAGAATAGGTATTTGTAAGTAGATAAACTTCATGGCTAGTGATATTATAATCTAGCCTAGAGACGCTCATAGCGCTATTAAGATATAGCTTGCTGCAAGTAAAAGCCCTAAGTGATAAATCCAAGTTCTTGTATAAAGATTGATAAATAGTTTTAGATCCTTAACGGGATCCCCTTTGATGGATGCTATGGCTGGGGGCATTTATTCTTTTCTAGCTGATATAAGGCTCTCGAGGGCTTTCTGAGATGCTTAAGAGCCTAAAGCACCCCTAAGGCTCAGTACACATTACAGAGTACGTACTTCATAAGGTATGAAAGCTGTTCCATTCAGGCCTACGTGAGCTAGCGCCAGTGCATGCCCCCTAGTCTACTGACTTACTAAGCTATGTCTCATATATCAGGCAAGCGCTCCAAATCCGTATGCCTTGTGAATCTGTTCCTTTCAATGTATACCGTTGGAGTCCTTCAAAGTTTGTAACATTCCAGTCTGTAGTTTTTTGTATGGAAAAGAAGCAGCCTATACATCCATGATGCAGATATCTGGTTTTCTTGATATACACCGCTAGAGTACCTCTGTATGCTACATCCCTGTTCACTAAGCCAGTCTCATATATCAGATGAGCCTTCCAAACCCATATGCCTTGGGAACATATTCCATTCAATGTATACTGTTGAAGCCTTTCAAAGTCTATAACAGTCCAATCCTTGGTTCTTTATATGAAAAAGAAGCGCTCTATATATCTATATGATTCAGAGATCTGATTTTCTCGATATGTGCCATTGTAGTGCATTCATACGACATATCCCAGTTCACTAAGTCAGCCTCATATATCAGAGAAGCCTTCCAAATTGGTATGTCGTGCGAATCTGTTCCTCTTAATGACAGCTCCTGGTGTCCTTAGGTCGTCAATGCACAGGCATGCAAAGACGCCGAGCCCCTAGTCACACGAACATATAAATACTTGTGAATGCTTTCTTTCTCTCTTTCTCTCTCTTTTTTCTTTCTTCTTCCTTTTTCTTCCTCTTTTTCTCTCGATCTCCATTTTTTTTTAGAATCTACTGCCTGAGTGCCTTCCCTCCTCTCTTTTTCCCCATTGAATATTGTGTCTTCACCCACCCCTTTCCTCCTTCCCAGCTTCGACATCGACCTAATGGCTCACGGCGGTGCCTGGACAGACGAACACCAGCTGTACCTGGTGGTGATGAAACTCGCCACCAGGTACAGCTGGAGGGCGATCGCCGCCCTATTCCAAGTGCGATTTAATAGCGCAGCAACATCGAAAGACTGCGAGAGCAAGTTTAACAAGGACCTCAAGAAAACCAAAATGTTTAAGGTTTTGAACAATTTTTTCGCCAATGGGGAGGTCCCCGAGGAGGGGAAGGATGAGGAGAGGCGCTTCCTCGCTATCGGACTGCTGCTCCTGGGCGAAACAGCCGAGGAGATGCGCCGCCGCTAAGTGTAAGTGAGAGATTCCTTTTCATTCATGTCTTTTCCTTTTCAATTCCAAGTCACAGAGAGGAGATTGTTTCATAGAATCATGTCTTCGTTTCTCATTAAAAAAGAAAAAAGAACCTCATTTCTTTTGTCGAGAAAGAGCTATGCAACTATCACCGCTTGAGATGCTCTGCATCACTCTCCTTTGACCCCTGTTTCGCCTCTTCCATCATAGTGTCGATACCACGTTCCTTGAGCGCTTTCTAGTGATTCATTTTTTCAGCAAGCTGTGTCCATCGAGAGTGTCGCCTCAGGTACATACCATGAGACACGAGTTGTACTTTTTGAACAGATCGGCACATTCATCTTTGGAGTTGCCTCTGAGATATTCTGTCATCTCATCAGTCCTGTTTTCGTTTCTTGACAGATAGCTTTTCTCTCACTTTCGCTGTACCATTTGAGGAAACATGTGTCGTATTTTCTAATTCATCTGTCAGACAGACTCCGATTTACAGCTCCGCCTCCCACTAGTAAGCTTACTCTTTGATCTCGTTGCATTCTGGAGCCAACGATGCTGACATGATGAAATGAGGAAAGTCCTTCTGACCGTCACTTGTGCCTTTTTGGATTGAAATATTCACTCTCTCCTGTTGTTGAATGGAAGCTTGGTTCGGAAGGGAGCTTGGTCTCCACCTTAAATTTTGGCGCCGGCATAAAGTTTTCCCGTCGAGTTTCTATGCCGCTGATTTCTTATCAAAAGTTTTGACAGTTCATGAAGAACTCATTTTGGCGGTAGGCTCCCCTCACTCTCTTCTTGGATATCCTCACATATTACTGCGTTCATCCATGAATTGAAACACTTGGATTTTGGTTTCACGTCACTTCCTCCTCACACCACCTCGTCGGACTTCAACTCGTCTCATTATCCACCATGGATAACTCCGCAGATTTTTCCTCGTTCCAAGACAAAGTCACAACGGCTCTGATTCGAAGCAGCAAAACTGTCCAAAAAATTGGTAAAGAGGATATTGATTTCCATCGTACCTCCAACAGCGAATTTGCCGAAAATCTTGACGAACAGAGCTCGCGCTTACTTTCGCTCACTTCGTCCTTACTCAAAGTCGCGACCGATGGAACTGACATCAAGCCTCCCGCGCTTGAAGATGAGGATTCTCTGGAAGATAATTGGCGAGGGATCGTGGATGTGATTGATAACCTACTGGAGAAGGCAGATGCATGTCTAGACGAATTCACTGGCATCATCAAAAAGCTGAGTCCTCCGCAACAAGATCGGATCCGTGAGGCAAGCAGCCGACAGCAAGAGAAGAAGTTTCCCACCATATACGACTACGGGCCTTCGAAAATTCCTAAACCACAGCTCCTGTTCCGAACCGCTCCAAACAACCATGACACATCGCCGTTCCGTCCTTTGCTCAAATCCAAGCCGCATGCCATCGTACCATTAGAGCAGTCTCTTCAATTGGTTGGGACAGACAAGAAACCAGCGTTGTATGTGACTGCTTTTGCTTCTGATAAAGAGCGATACTGACATACGCGTATAGCTACCCGAATCCATATGAGAAAGAAATTCGTGAATCCACATACCCCAAGTCAACCTACGTCGTCGCACCGCCGGTCGAGTTCGGTCCTGTCGAAACCACACAAGCTGTCTGGGTCGATACTCCCGAGGGAGTTGCCGAGATGGTCGAGGAGCTGAAGAAGGCAAAAGAAATCGCTGTTGACTTGGAACATCACGATGTGCACACATACTATGGACTGGTCTCATTGATGCAAATCAGCACTCGTGACAAGGATTGGGTAGTCGATACACTTCAACCATGGCGCGAAGACTTGCAGCGACTGAACGAAGTTTTCACCGACCCTAATATTCTCAAAGTCTTCCATGGTTCCACAATGGATATTGTCTGGCTTCAACGAGACTTGGGTCTTTACGTTGTAAGCTTGTTCGACACATACCATGCTGCAGTTGCTTTGGGATTCCCGAAAAGAAGTTTGAAGTTTTTGCTGGAGAAATATGCACATTACGAGGCAGATAAGAAGTACCAAATGGCTGACTGGCGTCTGCGGCCTTTGACGGATGAGATGTTGAAATATGCTCGTGCCGATACGCACTACCTTCTTTACATTTACGATTGCTTGCGCAATGAATTGCTAGAGAAATCCACGCCGAAAAGAAACCAGATCGACTATGTGTTGGAGCGATCAAAGACCGAGGCACTGCAACGTTATGAGCGACCCGTTTACGATACTCTTGGTGGTCAAGGTGCTGGTGGCTGGTACGATTTATTGAGCCGGAACTCCGGTCAGTTCACGAAAGAACAATTTGCAGTCTTCAAGGCCGTCCACGAATGGCGAGATCGTGTCGCGCGAGAAGAAGATGAGGGTTTACAATGCGTGTTCCCCAGACACGTGCTCTTTAGAGTGGCTGTAGCCATGCCCGTCGACAAACACACTTTGTTCAAGACACTGTCACCAGTTACCTTGATTGTTAAGGACAGAGTGACGGAATTGCTCGACATCATCAAGAAAGCGAAAATTGAGGGTGCTACCGGTCCTGAGCTACGGGATGTTATCAAGCCAAGGAAGACTGTCGAGGAAGCTACTGCGTCCCTACCGCTGTTGGACAAAACACCAGCCATGATTACTGTCGTTCGAGCGGATTCATCCCAGTTTTGGGGCACAGCATTGCAGCCACAAGGGACGGTCGCAGTTCCTCTAAACTACAAAGTGGCCGCATCATGTGAAGCTTTACGGTTATCTGTACCTATTCCTCCCATGCCCGTGACTGTGTCTGAGGTTCGACAAATGATTCACGACACCACACCTGCTGCCATGTCCGTCGAACCATCACCAATGAACACGCCGACAACCAAGACAGATAAACAGAGCGACATTTTCACAGTCAAGGAAGTTGCACCGCGCCGCAAACGAAAAGTGACCGAGACAAACGACTCCGACGAGACCTCCAGCAGCGGTAGCAGCGAAAGCGAGAGCGAAAGCGAGAGCGAAAGCGAAAGCGAAAGCGAAGAAGAGATCCAAATCCACCAACCACCAACCAAAAAATCACGACAGAGACCAAAAGAGGAAGACACAGTACCATTCGACTACAACACGGCAACCTCAGTCCTGCACTCAGAGGACATGGCCGCCGCGGCAGCAGCAGCAAATCTACCGAATCAAAAGAAATATTTCAATCCATATGCCAAGGCATTGAATGCACCAAGCGGGGTACGAAAACAGAAGAAGGAGACGAGTGGGCGGACGTTTACATTCAGATAGGAAAAAAGAGGACAAGTGGGTGGTGGATCAGCTGTGTATCGGGAGTTGTTCCTTATTCAGATGTTCATGAGTTTATTCCAGGATACCCGCATACTTTTCTTATACTATGTTTTGCTTTGTTTTGTTTTGTTTTGTTAGTATTGAAAGAAAGCCTCAGGCAGCGAAGAAGCATTTGACGAAAGCAATGGCCACATGGTCTTCCGATCCCTTGAGACGTTCTCCTAGTAATAACTAAGTTCAATTCCGATCCATACATCTACATAGTAGACGAACAGACCCCCATGAAGTGGAAAGTAACTAGCTAACTACAGCTGCGCTGACCTCTTTACGGAGGTCACATGCCTCTCGGAACATAGTTGATCCGCGTCGGCCGCAGAGAGATCCACGGGGTATAGCACGCTGACAGCATGGACATGATCACGAGCATCGAGCCCTGACCCCATACCTCTACCGCAGCCAGGGAAAGTAGGCCAGTGAGTCTACTAGCGCAGACCATGGGGGTCCAAGCTTGAACTGATAGACTTAAGTTAGCTAGTTAGTTAACTAGTCTTGATGAGTGATGACCATGCCGTTCTCTAGCTACCTGCCTGGTAAGCCATAACCAGCCAAAGATGACCGATATGAGGTAGAGGACAATGGTTCGAGCCGAGATGAGCCGAGCAGATAGATTAAAATAAACGAAGAAGGGCAATTGTACAAACCAGCTACAGAGTATCAAGGACGTACTATGTATTCTCGTCTAAGTATCCATGATTCCATAATACTAACTAATATTTAATAAAATACTATGTAAACTTCGCCCGGCAGAACGGAGCTCCCGGACATCCTCCGTAGTTAGAAAGAAACATCACAAAAACAAGGAATTGAATTGATTAGTCGTACCTGCATCCATCCGGGTCCCTGCGCTAGTCTTTTAGGCGAGTGGCTGAGAGGGTCACGAGGTTTGGTTAATTTGTATGCGACACAGTTCTTATTCATGTCCCCATAAACAACATATGGAGACATGCATGCATGTCAAATCGACTATTGAAGGTAGAACATCTTCAACGAACAAAGAGGAAGAGCGGCCTATCAGGGACTCGGGATGGCCGTATAGATCGTATGTTTTCATAGTCACTCTTTCACTCTTTTTATTGTCATAGTCGATGCAAGGAGACTTGATATAGGAGGAAGCAAAGCCCTTCATCTGCTCTCGGTGGATACTGCGGGAAGCCTGCATATCCTACCGGACTTCTCATTCCCTCTCAATAAGAGCTTATCTTATTGAGGAGTACAGACTGCCAGTGTTAGCTGTTGAGGTCCTTGATGATATAAGTTTACGTACATTTTATACTTCTCTCGTATTCTGTAGACACTCGCAGTGAGTTGCTGCGTTAGCCACCAACCGGGGTTTCAGGGGCTAATTCTGAACTGATGCAACTCATCCGTTTCAGCGTCGTCTTGTCTCACTTGATACAACATCATGCGCAGACGTTTATCCAGTATTTCTGCTTAATACGTAGCTATTCACTACATAGCAGAGCACTGTGCGTAGTACTACTAGTAGTACTACTCCTATGAGTGTTTTGTCTTGAATGGCAGTCCTTAATCTACAGTTAGTGCGACTGTATGTGCTGCCCCATAATTAAGGCTCCATAATGGAGAGATATGCATACAATCGTCACTCTATCTGAGTTACTCTCCGTACTCAAGCACAGGAACTACCTTCCTCTCTTCTTATCGCCTAGTATGTAGGTAGTTACTAATAATATCACTGGGATTGACTGTGTAACTCTTGTATTCAAGTAAATACGAGAATAAAAAGGGAAAGAAAAAGAAAACGGGAGAAAAAAAAATAACTTATCATGTGTATAGAAGGGCAGGGTATCCAAACCGGAAATGCGCAACCAACACCCCCGCTCTTCCCTGCCTGCCCCTGCTCCTCTTCCTCTATTCCCTGGCACCCCTCCCAGCAGAAGATCGACGCCGTTCTTCTTCTTCTGACTCTCTCCTTTTGCATCTTTCTTTTCTCTTCATTCTCCTTCTCTACCTATATCCCCATCACGATCGTTTCCTTTGTCTGCCATTGCGCCGACAATTGTCATCGCTCTCTTACTCGGCTCGAATCGAAATAAAAAAGGGGCTCCACGAAAAGGAAAAAAAAGGAAAAACAAGCAGCAACACTCCAGAAACTTGACACACAACTGTTTCGCTACCCAACATACCCCTATCTAATTCAATTCAATTACCTTACGCTTCCCAGGACGATTGAAATTCCCTTTTACGACTATATTCATTTCTCACGACATTGCCTCGACCGAACCCCTTCGCTATTCGGTCTATCTACTCTATATACCGGTCGAATCGAGACCAAGCCCGATATATTGGAATTGTTCACTCTGGTGACCCGACGAACGACACCGGAATCGTATATGACACTCGGAATCGAGCCTACACACAGCGACGCGGCATTATATATTCGGTATAATCCCGCGAGATCGCTATTTATATAATCCATATACTACGCTTTCAACCGGTCGCGAACTCGTCCCAATGTCGGTAGCTACCATGCTCCAGCCGGCATCGAGGGCATCGAGGGCATCGACCTCCTCTTCCTCCTCCTTTCAGCCCGTTTCTCGTCAAAACACAATGTCTTCGCACGACACGAGGTCGCTGCGCGCGTCAAAGCGCATGTCCGTGACCGCGTTCTACCTGTCCATGTCCGCGAAGGATAAAGATTTGGAGATATCAGACGATTTGGCCAGGGGTATCCTATCCTGCTTCGTGTATCAAGACGTGGAACTGATTGTGATTTAGCGCAAAAACATCTTCGCGAACTCAAAGCAAAAATCTCGTCGCAGTCTAAAAAGAATTTCGTTCTGGAAAAAGATGTTCGCTACTTGGATTCTAGAATTGCATTGCTCATTCAAAATCGCATGGCGTTAGAGGAGGTTTGTTGTTTTTTCTTTTTTTTCCCCCTCCCTATCTTCTGTTTCTTGTCTGGCCAACCTGACGGTCATATAGCAAAATGAAATCTCCAGTCGCCTCGAGGAAAGCTTGGAGTCTTCACAAGTGGGCTACTTTCCCAACGATGAAAAGACACAAAAATACGGCAATCTCCTCTTCCTGCTTCAATCCGAGCCAAAACACATTGCCCATCTCTGTCGTCTCGTTTCAATGTCCGAAATCGATTCGCTCCTGCAAACCGTAATGTTTGTGATTTACGGGAATCAATACGAAAGTCGCGAAGAGCACTTACTACTGACTATGTTTCAGTCTGTTCTGACTTACCAATTCGATAATACCCCAGAATACTCGTCGCTCTTACGCCAGAATACCCCCGTCTCGCGAATGATGACCACTTACACTCGCCGTGGTCCCGGTCAGAGCTACCTGAAAAACATCTTGGCGGATCAGATCAACTCGCTGATCGAGTTGCAGGACGTTGACCTTGAGATCAACCCATTGAAGGTGTACGAGAGCATGGTTCAGCAGATTGAAGAAGACACTGGACGACTGCCTGATTACCTTCCCAAATCAGTGACTGCCGAAGTTGCCGCCGAGAACGAACAAGTTCAAGCCATCATTGAGCCTCGTTTGAAGATGTTGACCGATATTGCCAACGCCTTCCTGACGACAATCATTGACGGACTTGAAAAGGCTCCGTACGGCATTCGATGGATCTGCAAGCAGATTCGCAGTCTGTCTCGCCGCAAGTACCCGGACGCTCAGGACCAGACCATTTGCACATTGATTGGAGGTTTCTTCTTTCTTCGTTTTATCAACCCAGCCATTGTGACTCCTCGCTCGTATATGCTCATCGATTCAGTTCCCTCCGACAAGCCACGCCGAACGTTGACCCTCATTGCTAAGATGCTGCAAAACTTGGCCAACAAGCCCTCGTATGCCAAGGAACCCTACATGGCGAAGCTCCAGCCGTTCATTCATCAGAATAAAGAACGTGTGAACAAGTTCATGCTTGACCTGTGTGAAGTTCAGGACTTTTATGAGAGTCTGGAAATGGACAACTATGTTGCTTTGACGAAGCGCGACCTCGAACTACAGATTTCTTTGAACGAGGTCTACGCGACTCACTCCTTGTTAGAAAGGCACAGCGCGGCTTTGGCGGCCTCGGATCAACACTCTCATCTGCAATCGATCCTTCAAGAGCTTGGCCCAGCGCCTCCACAGCTTCCGCGCAAAGACAACCGTCAAATCAATCTGCCTCTGTTCAGTAAGTGGGAGACCTCTGTCGACGATCTTACCGCTGCACTCGACATTACACAAGAGGAGATTTATTTCATGGAGGCCAAGTCGACTTTTGTTCAGATTTTGCGTGCACTCCCGGAAGGTTCGAAGGTCTTGCAGCGGCCTTTACGTCTGGATCGCATTGCCGAAGCTGCTGCAACTCTAAAGAACGATGCAGTCATGGTACGCAAGGGTATCCGAACTATGGAACTGCTCAGTCAACTTCAAGAGATGGGCGTGATTGACCGGTCTGACGAGTTTGGTCTTTTGCGCGACGAGGTTGAACAAGAGTTGGTCCATTTAGGCTCGCTCAAGGAAAAGGTCCTTGAGGAGACCAAACAATTGGACGAGGTGTTCCGTACGATCCGTGATCACAATGCGTACTTGGTTGGTCAGCTGGAAACATACAAATCGTATCTGCATAATGTGCGAAGTCAGTCAGAGGGCAAATCACGCAAGCAGCAGAAGAACCAAGAACTTGGGCCGTACAAGTTTACGCATCAGCAACTGGAAAAAGAAGGCGTTATCCGCAAGAGCAATGTGCCAGAGAACCGACGAGCCAATATATTTTTTATGTTCCGCAGTCCACTTCCGGGGACATTCGTTATCAGTCTACACTACAAGGGTAAGTCTCCTTCATTATTCCATGGGGTTCAATCACTAAAACGTTCGTAGGACGTGCGCGTGGCCTGTTAGAATTGGACCTGAAGTTGGATGATCTGCTCGAAATGCAGAAAGACAATCAAGAGGACCTTGATCTTGAATACGTTCAATTCAACGTGTCAAAGGTTTTGACACTTTTGAACAAGCGCTTCGCTCGCCGCAAGGGCTGGTAAGGTTTATGACCTTTTTAACCCTCGCCGTCTAACGTTCTATAACCTGCTCGCTCCTCGAGCTTCACTATGATACCCCTACCCCGACTTGCGTCAACCTGAGGTCTAGTCGGGTCTGCACATATCCTTATTGATTTATTTTTTATTCTATTTTTTATTTTCTATTTTGGTTTTTGATTTGCCATTTTCGTTGTTAGTACTGTATTGTACAGTACGTACAACAGTTCTCATCTCTCGCTGGTCGAAGATGAAATGTGTTTGGTGTCTTCAACGTTGTTATCAGAGATGGTGGTCCACTATAATTCCGGCTTTTACTGACATGTATTTCTTATCTTATACCATATTGTTTTTCTGCTTTTCTTTTGTTCAAGATCGGGCCATGGTCTCTTCATGTAATAATAATGTGCGATGTTTTGATTTGAGTCTGTTGCATTTGTATGATTTGCGAGTTCAAGCGATATATATACATACAGATATGCGGCATTTATTATGTTTATGTTGTTATACGAGAAAATATATTGAGTACCTGATCAGGTGAATCCACTGCAAGTAAAATAGTACAACTATGCATACAAGTTGACACCGCTATCAAGTCAGACCGACAAATCATCTGAAGTACAAGTCATTGGCTTAATCCAGTGACTTTGACTCCACGTTAAGTTCGTTCTGTCGTCTCCGCGTCCCACTTTCCCTACTCTACTGAATTTCTCCCCTTTTCCCTCTTCCTCCTTCTCTCCCTCCTTGAACTATTTCCTCGATTCCGAATTTTTTCCTGGTGGAAGAGCTCGTCTTGTCGTGCTCATTGTATAGTCTCTGGATACGATTTGCCTCCGTCATAAGCTCGATCATTGTTGTTCTTGGCACGAAAAGTCAACACTTTCCTCAACCAAGACTCCTCCGAACGAATACAACAGCGAGTAATCCTTGCTTTTCTCCGAATCTGTGATCTATCAATCAAATCGGACAACCAGGAGAAAGAAATAAAACAAAAGGAAAAAAAGGGAGAATCAGCAGCCATGGCCGAAAAACCCCAAAACTTCGACCCAAAATATGACGACTACGATTTCCCAACAACCTCACCCGAAGCACGATCCGGTCACCCCGGCCACACCACTGAGGAACAAGATGCAAAGATCTTCCAGCTCCGTGCTTTGTTGGAACAAGAGGGTTATACGGAGCGTTTGGATACGTTGACTCTGTTACGGTTCTTGCGCGCGAGGAAGTTTAATGTTGAGGCTGCCAAGGCTATGTATGTTTTCTCCGCAGCTTTGACTGTATGAGTGATATTAATGGAGGATAGGTTCGTCGAGTGTGAGAAATGGAGAAAGGAGTTTGGCACGGACGAGCTCGTGCGAACTTTTGATTACACGGAGAAGCCTCAGGTGTTTGCGTATTATCCGCAATATTACCACAAGACTGATAAGGTAGACTCACCCGATTTCTGATGTAAGGATAAACAAAGTTGACCGACCGACAAGGACGGCCGACCTGTCTACATTGAAAAACTCGGCAAAATCGATCTCAACGCCATGTACAAGATCACCACCGCCGAACGAATGCTCCAAAACCTCGTATGCGAGTACGAGAAACTGGCCGATCCCCGTCTACCGGCCTGCTCCCGTCAAGCAGGCAAATTACTCGAAACCTGCTGCACCATCATGGACCTCAAGGGAGTCGGAATCACCAGCGTCCCCTCTGTGTATGGATACGTCCGTCAAGCCTCCGCCATTTCGCAAAACTATTACCCTGAACGATTGGGAAAATTGTACTTGATCAACGCTCCCTGGGGATTCAGTAGCGTCTTCAGCGCAGTCAAGGGATTCCTTGACCCGGTTACGGTCGATAAGATCAAGGTGTTGGGATCGAACTATCAGTCTGAATTGTTTGCGCAGGTGCCCAAGGAGAATTTGCCAAAGGAGTTTGGTGGTACTTGTGAATGTGAGGGAGGCTGTGAGTTGAGCGATGCTGGCCCATGGCAGGATCCCCAGTGGACTCGTCCTCCTAAGTGGGCTGCTCCTGCTGCTACTGGTGAAGCTGCTGCGCCTGCCGGAGAGACGACCGGTGCTTAAATATAGAGATCGACTATTAAATAATGACATTGAATTGTTTGTTATCCTTCATATACTGGACTCAGACTGATATCTGATTGCCAACATACACGCCAGTTTGTGCTTGTGCATGTACATCTCTCATCTTTCTTTTTTGGGTATCCCTTTGGGTGAATTAGGCGAGTCAAGGTAGATAGCTATGGAGAATCATCATTATAATATCATAACAAGGTTTATATATATATATACATGTAATAAACTAAACCATCTTTTCGACAACCTCAACAGCTCTCTCCGCCCTCTCCGCCGTTGCCACAGTCGTAGATATAGCCTTCTTATCACTATCCTCTGTATCCGCTTCTGTACCGGCTAATTCCTCCCCTTGCAATCGGAGTAATGTCCGCAACGTATCTGTATAAATCTCTGCTATTTCACCGCTGTGCCATCGTTCACGTTCCGCCGCAGTACCAAAGGGGATATCGAGTCTGTATTCTGGATTTATTCCTTCTTCTTCTTCCTCTTCTTCCTCGTGTATATTCGTATCATCGCCATCTTTATCATTATCAATTCGTCTGCGTTTCCTTTTCCCCTGCTCTTCTTCTTCCTGCTGTTGTTGTTGTCGTTGAAATTCCTCATCCTCTCGATCCAAAATCTTCTTCAGATTTCCAGCATACATCCTCGCCGTCTTTCGCGGCGCATCACGTCTTAATTGCGCTACCGTAGTCGTTAACGACTCAAGTTGCGCATACAACGAACTTACACGCGAAGCAAGTTTCCCATCGTACGGTTCATATTCCACTGTTTCATCGGGCGCCGAGAATGTCGCTGGAAACGGTAACGCAGACCCTTTTGACTTTGATGCTGCTGCAGCTGCAGAGAGAGAAGCAGAATCAAATTCGAGACCGTTTATGCTTAGGGAGTCGGAGGCGTAGGTGTATGTTTGCCGGATGAACTACTCCAATTAGCACCTAAAATTCTTTCGTATTTGAGAAGGGAGTGAAGGGACGAACATCATCTACAAGCTCCTTAACACGCTCCTTCATCGGATCCAGCTGATTACCATTTTGTGAATATGACGCGGACGGCGGGAAGTGTAAATCGAGCTTTTGACGCGATAGGGCGATCGCGTTGGTGTAGAGGTAGGTTAGGTCTGCGGGGGATTGGAGTTCGATTTTGCGGTAGTGTTCGGATTGCATTTTTTCTTTTTTCTTCTTCTTATCTTCTTCAGAGGCACTCGTTAGCGGTTGGGGTGATGTTGGTGATGTCTTTTTGGTGGTGTTTGTTTATGCGGGATTGAGTATCCACAAGCGGAGATCTTGGCGCATGCAAGCCGAGCTTGTTCCTTAACCACTTACAGTGAGTGTAACACTGATCTGATGAGATTGTAAGCTGATGACTTGAGCTATTCTGACATTTAGAAATCCACTTCGATATCTTTACAAAAGTCACTAGACAATAATGAGTAAGCATGTTAGATTCACTAACTAATTCTAGACATATCAGAGTAGGTATCATATGCACAGAAGAAAGGATCAAAAGGAACAGTAAATAAGACCATATTTCTCCTTTTTGAAAGTCAAGAGAAACGCCCTGTATGACACCTTTTCGAAAAGATATTCAAAGTTCATAGAACTTATTCCCACATCAAATAAGTAGTCCATCATATCAAGTCATAAAATTCGTTCGTCTAGTCACTGCCAGCCATATCCATAACACCTCCCAATCCCAGAGCCCAAGAGATCAATAAGGGAAAGGATTACTCATCTTTCAAACTCCCAATCAAATTCCGCAATACATCCAATAAAACAGCTTCATCCTTTGGCTCTCCATCCGCAAAGGAACTCTTGTCTGCATGTCCCAAGGCGCGTGCTCGGGCGCTCTTGAGCACTTCGCGGATGTAGTTTTTATCGTCGTAGTCTTCCATTAGGACTGCTTCGAAGTCGTCGATAGCTTTGTTTGCTCTTTCGAGGAAGGAGAGTGATGATTCTTCGGGGATTGTGTTGGTGGTGCTGTTGCCACTAACATTGTTCTTGTTATTGACGTTATTATTGTCTGTGAGTGGCGGACCTCCTGGTGGTGGTTGATACAGTTGGTGTTGTTGTGGAGGCTGAGGTTGAGGCTGATATGGTTGCGGCGGTTGTTGGGACGGAGAGGGTGGTGGACCTTGGCCGGGTGGAGGAGGATAATGATGTATTTGACTGTTGGCCGGTGGTGGATATGATGGGCCATTCGGGGTATACTGGGGAGGAGGATGTTGCTGAGGTTGATGTGGCTGGTTATGTTGAGGTTGGGTTTGATGTTGCGGCTGATGTTGCGGTGGCGGCGGTTGTGACTGATGCAGCATAGGTTGATGCGGATGCGGAGTAACAGAACCAGACTGTCTTTGATCCATTGCCGGTTTCGGTTGACTTTCCTGCTGAAGCTGAAGGATTTCTGGCGGCAAAGCACAAGGATAAGGTGAGACGTATTTCGCAGGTGCTTGCTGGGTAAGAGCGGGAGGAAGACTGATATTCTTGAATGGATTCGGTGCGGATGTTTGAGCAGGCGGAGGAGGTGCTGGACGTTGATAGGTACTCGGTTGAGGAGCAGGAGCGTTAAAGGTATTAGGTGGTATTGCTGAGAACTGGAATTGCTGGTTCTGCAAACTTTGATTCGGATACGTATGATTCGGCGGAGGCATGTAATGTTGAGGAGGATGGTGAATATGTGATGCCGGAGGCGGAGGCGATGGTCTTCGTTTCTTCTCCTTTTCCACTGATGCTCCTGCTCGAAGCTGCCACGACCAACCTTTACCGTCTCGTTCTGCATGCTCGAATAGTTGTCGATTTCCATTCAAGTTGTGCCGAACACTAGACGTCCAACCTTCAGTCTCGCACTTGAATCTGAAATACGGGTACTTTAATTTGAGCGCCCTGTATATTTGTTTTAGAGTCATTGGTGTCCGTGATTCTGTCAAAGCATCGAAAATAAGAACGGCATAATTATAAGGAGGTTTTTGCAATTGATCTGGCGTGTAGGCCGATTCGGGAGGATAGTCAGGTGAAGGAGACCGTGAGGGTTTGCGTTTCTTGGGAGGAGGTGGTTTCGCATATTCCACAACAGGCTGTGGTGGTTGTTGTTCTGGCACGATTTGTGGCTGTTCATCACCTTCGATAGACTCGACAGGAACGTCAACGACAGAACCATCAGGTTGCTTGCGCTTGACGGACTTCTTCTCCGCTGCTGGTTTAGCAGGAGTAGCAGGAGTAACAGCTGCCGCAACTTCCTCCACTGAATCCTCTTTTCGCGGTTGTTTGGTAGGTAGCTTAGGACGGTTGACCGGCGGGGGTGGTGTCACTCCACCGTTGGCTTCACGTTTTGCTGCTAGTTTCTGCTCCCTGGCAATCTCGGCACGCTCACGTTTCGACATGATGCCATCCTTGGGAGGACGACCAGGTCCACGTCTCTTGGGCTGTGATGATTCGCCATTGGCGTCAGCCGATGCATCGGCGTTTGCTGAATCTGCCTGAGATTTTGTCTTCAAGATAAGTTTCGTCACTCTTGGTTTACTTGTGCCTTCTTGGCTTTCATCTGAGTCTTCTTCCATTGCATCTACCTCGCCTGTTACCTCAGTGGTCTCTCTAGCGGTGGCAGTGCCGTCTCCTTCCGGTAGAGGTTCTTCAAGTCGATCGGCTCCAGTCTCGCCTATGGGTACGTCTGGGAGGAGAAACCGTATGCGGACGCCTCCAATCTGAATATAATCTCCACTATGCAGTGGCCTCACTTGTCCCGGTGCAAGCCAATCAGCCCCAATAAAAGCGCCGTTTCGACCCATGACTTCCATCTCAAAGAAATTCTTGTCAAAGTTATACGCAATCTTTACATGCTTCCGGGATATTCCCTTGTGACCGGCGGAGCTGCCGTCTGCGGTTGCTGGCGGATGAATTGGAATTGTTGGACAAGCATCGGGTGAAGGCAACAAAGCCAGCATGTCAACTGGTTTTGCATCGGCATTGCCGTCGTATAAAGACTGCATGGCAAGCGCATTGTAGTCTGTATGGTTCGTTTGTAACTGTGCCGGAGTTGCATGAAGCACAGAGTCTGGTTGAGACGAGACAGACGACCGACGACTAATCTGTGAAATATGATGAGGTACATCAGGATCGAACCCCATGATACCGCCTCGATCGCTCACCACGCTACCGACGTAGGCGCTGCCGTCACGTTTGACTCGATTAGGGGTGTGAGACGTATTCCCACCGCTGGAGCTTTTGTTTCTTGACGGTCTCATAGCTTGTCGAGCTTGTACTTCGCGTTGAAAAGCGGCACGTGCTGCTCGGACGTCTCGGCCAAGAATGAACGAGTAGGTATTCACGTAGAAATGACCATCGTCAAACTCGAGTTTTGCAAAAGCTTGGATACGCGGCTCCGACCCAGCTATAGACGTAGCTACATCGTACTGAGAGTAACTCACATCGGGGAGACCAGACATGTTGATTTCGTGAGACAGGAATGCATTCGCAAACAGATCATGCTGCTGCAGAGAATCTAAGCCATTTTTAATACTGCCATCGGCATCGAAAGGTGCAAAGAGGGCGCTGTGGTCATGACTTGTCTTGGAGAGCGGATCCTCCATAACCCCGGTAACCATATCTGGTATTCTTGTGGCAGCTGTATCGATTTGCATATCGTTGAACGGTTTGTCTGTGGGTGAAACAGGGTGATCCTGCACCTCTGTGAGTTTGTCTTCCTGCTTGGTAACAGCCTGTCCATCTGTCCCGGGTTGTGTTCCCACTTCCTCGGTCTGTCCATTGATCACTGGCAACGAGATATCTTCATTTGGAGCTGCCGGCGTCGATGCATCGGTCAATGGTTCTGGCAATGGCGTCCGAGGCAGATATTCCGGGGTAGCAGGTGACGGACCAGTTTGAGCACTGAGGCTCCCCAGTAGTTGAGCAAGAAGGGATGTAGCAGCTGATTGTTTCTCTTGATCTTGCAGCGGTAACTGATTGTGTTTGTCTGTCGGATCTTCCTTGACCGTGGTCATGTCCGACACGTCTTTTGTACTTGTCTCTTTTTCTGCCGGTTGCTCTTCTAGCTGTGCCTCTTGTTTTTCCTCTTTTATTTGCCTCTGTTCTTCTTGTGTTTCTTTTCTTTCATTTCCATCCCTTCCGTTGTCAGCCACCGTATCCAGTTTTTCCTCGCTATTGGCCTCGGCAGGTGATCGATCATGCAGTGCGGATCCGTTCTGTTTTGACGATGCGACATCCGTATTCATTGGTTCTTCACGATCACGGCTCGCAACGTTCGTATTCCTATCGGTACCAGCGTTGGCATTAACATCGGGGTCTCGAAAATCATGCCGTGACAAATCGTCGCTTTTATGATCAACAATCGCATCATTCGTCCTAGTAGTACTGCTACTAGCAATATCTATCCCAGGATCGGGAGGCCGATTATGGCCCACCGCTGGCGCTGTCATGGTCTGTAACGACGACATGACAATACGCTTTGGATGAGCTACTGTCGTGGTGGTGAGAGTGAAGCGCAGCCAGCAGTAGTAGGCGGTGAGGTCGAGGCCATCGCAAAAGTCGGCTTTTTCTTTTTGAAGACAAGGCGGTATTCCCAGCGAATGATTTGACAGTCTTGGCCTAGGTGCCTGACTTCTCAGGTGTCGTCCATATATACTGTTTCAGGGAAAGAGCGACCTGGGCTTTTGGTTTTGGCAGGAAGGCAAACCTTTTTGTTGCGGGTCTCTTTTTTTTTGCTCAATTTGAGGCTTCTGATTGGTCAATCTGCAGTTCTGATCCAGTAAAACTCCATGCCCAGTCTCTTGATTGGTACTAGCGTTGAATATTTTAACTAGTTTTTGACCAATAGCAATTCAGTTTTGAGCACGTAGTGGAGATCAAAATGTGGGGATAATTGAATCCTACAGGCAACCCGATGAATAAGATTGTCTATACAGATACAACATGTATAGAGCTATCGCACTACCAAATCACTCCGTATAACCCACTTCTCCCCCTTCCGAACCTCCTTTCCCTCGTGTAAAAGACAATGCTCTCCATGCCGGTGCAAAAGCGCCATTCCGACCTCAGGAGTCACAGATATCGGCGCAGAGCCATCTTCAGGATAGAAGACTGTTTCTCCTCCTTCGGTCGTGGTGAGATATATCAGTAGAGTCCATGTTGTGCGTGCCGGGACTGGTTTGTTGGGTGTGTGGTCAGGGAATTGGAGTGTATTGGATTCGTCGTCTGCCTTGTTAGTCTTTCCAACCATTCAAGTAATAGCAAGCAAGTAGAGCAGGTGAGGGAGACGTACAGTGCTGCGCAAAAAACTGCCCCGGCGTATACCGATATATCCTAATATTCGGATTCAATCCTAATACCCTTCCACCCCAAATCCGCTCATTCTCCTCTTCTTCCTCTTCAACACCACGCTCATCTATCCCCCTCCTCTCATAGACAACATCCCTCAAACAAGTCCCCCTCCACAACATCTCCGCGAACCCAGCATCCTGAACCTGAAACCGATCATTCACCCTAACCGCATGATCCTTACTCTTCGGCTTCAGCGGTGTCGTCACCAAATCAATTGCCGATGAAGAGCTGGTGAAAAACGAAACGTATGACTTACACAAGCTGGCTGTGAAGAAATTGCGGATTATGTAGATTTGATTTGTGAGCAATGGTTCGATATAGAGGTCTGTGGAGGGGACTAATGGGCGGAGAGGGGGCCAGTCTGGTGGGGTTGGTTGTGGTTTGGGTTGTGTGGAGGATGGTTTTTTCTTGGGAGGTTTTGCAGGTGGCATGTTTTCATACCGCTTAGGTATAAGGGGGTGGTCGTTTGCTTGGTGACAAGTATTTCGAGGTTGCAGTGTGTTGGAAGAAGCTCCCGCAGTGACGGAAGATGCCTAGGCATACAGCCTCCACCAATGGATTCTCTAGCTTTGAACTTCATTTTCATACTCAACAAAAAAGCATTTATGCATATAAATTCTATCAAGTCGTATATATCATCATATATCATTAAACATCAACGCACAACGACCCTAACGCCTTTACTATCCTTCGGCCCAAACGGCGCAAAATAATCATGCACAATACTGACATCCCTCCCCGACGTACCAAACAACTCCATATGTCTTCCAAATCGTCGAAACAGATTCCCCGTCATAAGCGTAAGTTCTTCTTTGGCTAATTCAATACCCAGACAACCCCTCGTGCCTTTACCAAACGGTACGAAGCATTTTTCCATTTGTCGGAGATGGGGTTCGGGGGAATCGATCCAGCGTTCGGGTCGGAAGGTGCGAGGGTCCGGAAAAATGTCGCTGTTTAGATGCATGTCGATTATGGACATTGACAGGACGGTTCCAGGTGGGAAGGTGTATGTCTTTGGTGGTGTTGATTCTGAGGGGGACGGTGTTGCGTAGGTCATTGGTGCGATAGGGTTGATGCGAGGGAGACGTCCGACGACTCCCATTCCCAGACGGAGGGCTTCCCTGATACATGCCTGTAAATATGGGAGTTTCTCCAGAGTTCTAGAGTCGAGCAAATCGGATGATTGCGATTTGGGTGATGCTTCTTCCAGCTCTGTCATCAGTTTGTCTAGTATTGATTTGTTGGATAGTACGTGATAGACAAAATTTGATAAGGTGTTGCCGGTTGTCTCGGTGCCGGCACCGAGAAGAGCCTGTGTCTCTGCCATCATCCGTGGTAGAGTCTTTTCTTCAGGTCCGATCACGTCGGATGTATATATGGCATCCAAGACAGTAGGTAACGACTTTTCAGGTGGATTTCCCTTTGTGGCTATAACGGTTTGTGCTTGTTTAAGCAGACTCTATACGCATATTAGCATATTAATATTGCAAAATCAATCAGCCACGAGCAGAACATACAGCTTGATTATCCAACACCGCAATCTGAGCCCCCGTCGGATCCATCATGGATATCAACCAGCGCGGCATGGCGCCCAAGATGGGAAACACAACCGGAAAATGTCTATGCCAGAGCATAATCTCAGAAAAATCTCTCAGAACTTGATTGAATGTCGCCGAGAAATCCGGCGTACTCAAAAAGTCTCTCGTATGCGGGGCAGCATAATCCGAAATCACATCTGTCGCAAAGCAGCGAAATGCATGCGATATAGGCAGAACCGCAAAGTCCCCGCTACGAAGACATTGACGACCTTCCTCCACGCGATCGAGTAATTTCTGTACTCGAGCGAGCACTTTGGGCTCTAAGCGGGCGACGTTGGCGGCCGAAAAGAATTTGGCCATGGCCGCGCGACGGCGGCGGTGAAGGTCCCATGGACCAGTGCCGACGGTACCTCTATTATCGCCAAAGGCGCGATAGAACCAGGCATCCTTGTCGATTTTGTTGTTGGTATAGATAGTATCCCAGTAGGATGGGTCTTGGATGTGGACTTCCCAGGGATTGATGCGTACGATGGGGCCTGTCAATGTCAATGTCTAGTCTTAAGCACAAGAACCAATCGAATTCAAGAACGATAAGTAAATAAATGGGGCGAAAAAGGGGGGAAAAAGAAAAAACAGACCATATTTTTGGTGCATTTGCCCAATTTTGAACAAATAGTGGCCCTGCTGCACACAGTCCCAGTAAAACTCATACCAAGCGGTAATGGCCGCAATTTTGGGGCCGGGAATCCCTGCCAGCGGGCTGAAGAATAGTCGATAGATAGCGAGGGCGGTGCATATGGAGATGCCGATACTAACGGCGAGAAGGAAGATCATGTTCATCCGTCGGCTAGTATGTCTCCTAGTGTATGTATCCTGAATCTCGTATCTCTTAGTATATACTCCACTCCGCAGCTACTACTCAGGATACTGAGGACAAAAGATCAGACCGACAAGCTGGGGATCAGGCAATTTATTCATGAAGTTAGAGAGGAGTGGAGCAACGATAGAAACAGACGAATCCATCATTGATGCTGTGGATACGTCCGGAAGTATGCGATGTTTATTTAACTCCTATGTACAGACAGGACGAGATCAAAGCGAGGCGGTCCGCACATGTCGGATAATGAGATATTTGCGGTGCACAATGTGCAACCTTGCAGCTAGTGAGCCACATGGTGTGTAGAATAATTCATGCAGAAACTCCCAAAGGGTGTGAATAGTTCATTTTGGCGGAGTAACGAGGATGGTCAGCTTCTTCAGGGTACGGCCACATGAAGGAACTAGCTCAGCACTGACTCAAGCCGCAAGTTCCAATCCGATCAATCCAATCCCCGGGTTTTATCTTCGTCGCTGCTATTCGTCTATATTTTAATTTATTATTTTCCGAGATGGACTGGATTCCGTCATACGTTACGGGGAATTGATCATATCCACTCTGTCGCAAACTTGAGTCTATACATACAGATACCTTTGACAACGATCCAATCCCTGCATGGGTAGCTGATGGCGATAGCTCAAGCCCTGACACAATCCGAGGTTGTGGATGCTGTACGATGGTTGATCTATTTTTGAGACTTTCATTTATATCGTCTCCGAATCTCAACGCATTCATTATTTTGTTCCTATTTTCAACTGAAGGGGACTACATATACAATGGCTCAATATACATGGCGACATGCTAGCAATAGCAACCCGGACAATCCAATACCCACCGATCATCCTTTCAATAACGTCAACAACAACGAACCCCTCCTTGTAGACACCACCACCATCGCTCCAACAGGCTATTTTTATCATCGCGACGACAACGACGACAACGACTCCGCGCTAGGCGACGACAAAGCCAGCTCGACGACCTCCCTCAACGAAAGTATCTTCAACTACCAATACGAAAACGGGCGCCGATACCATGCGTTTCGCGCCGGCGCATACCCTCTACCAAACGACGAGATGGAGCAGGATCGCATGGATATGCAACACCATATTTATTTGTTGCTGTTCGGGGGCGAATTATATCGTGCGCCGATCGGTAGGAATGGACAGAGCGACATAGGGAAAGCATTAGATATCGGTTGTGGGACGGGGTTATGGGCCATTGATTTCGCGGATTCGCATCCAGAGACGCAGGTCATTGCGACTGATTTATCCTATATTCAACCAACCTGGGTGCCCCCCAATTTGAGGTTTGAAATCGACGACGCGGAATCAGAATGGCATTTCCATGAAGAAAATATCAAGTTTGATTATATTCATATCCGGAGTATGGCAGGAAGTATAGCCGACTGGCCGCGATTACTTCAAAGAGCATACGACCATCTCTCTCCGGGGGGATGGATAGAATTAACCGAATTCGAAACCTGGGCTTCTACAGACGATAATAGTCTGCCCCTCAATTCGGCATATCACCAATACCAAGTCCTGCTGTGTGAAGCGGCAGCCTCATTCGGCAAGGAAATGAACATAGCGCCTCATATACACCAACTGATCCTCAATGCGGGATTTGTTCATGTGCACAAAGAAGTTCAAAAATGTCCGTTATCGCCCTGGCCGAAGGATAGAAGACTAAAAGAGTTGGCCATGTATATGAATCTGCAGATGATGGAGTCGATTGAACCGTATGGATTGGCGTTGTTTTCGAGAGTGCTCAAATGGGATACGCCGAGGATATATGCGTTGTTGGATGGGGTGAGGATGGATTTGAGGAATTTGAATTATCATATGTATTCCAGGGTGTATGTCTTTATTCTCGCTCCCCCCCCTTTTTTTGGATGTTTGGATGCTGACGTGTATAGGCATTGTGTATATGGACAGAAGCCGTATAATTGATTCGATATATCATGAGAATACCATCCGGCAGGGATAATATCTGCTGCTGCACCCCCCGGGGGGGGGGACTGTACCATACGAGAGAGTCGACACTAAGCGTCGACAAGATGGAGATCCCCAGGAGGGATAAGGACAAATATACCCATAGCGCAATCAATTGAATAAATACTACATAACCATTCAACTATCGTTTAAACAAGTAATAGTAAAGAACGTCATGAACCACAAAACAGACAAAGCAGAAACAAAACTAGGTACTAGTAGTAGGTGTCCCAGCAGGATCAACATCATACTCCGTCCTCCGCATAATCTGCTCCACAGGACCCAACAACCTCTTGAACCCATCCCGTCCCAACCTGGCCACTTTTACATCCGTCTTCGCAATCACACTCGCAGCCCGCGGCTTTTCATCTAGAAGGGCCAATTCACCGAAATAACCTCCTCGCGAATACTCTTTAACAGTTGTTCCGGCCTTGACGGCTTCGGCTTCACCAGACTCCAACAAATAGAAAGAATCGCCTGGATCACCTTCGCGGATGATTGTTGAGCCCGCGGCGTATTTGATTGTGTCCAGTGCATCGGCAATCTTGGACCGTTCGTAGGGTTTCAACGACGAGAGTAAGGGGACTTCCTCCAGGAACGCTTCGTACATACGTCGTCGCTGGAATGCAGAATCCATCAGGATGCGTCGAAAGGTTATACGATCCAATGCCCACAATGTCGACTTGGGGTCTAGAGAGACTATGGTTGCCGCTCGGGGCGCATTGTACATCAATGCCAACTCCCCAAAGGAACCTCCAGGTCCTATACTTCCAACCTGAGTACCGAGTCCATCTGGACCCGGTTGGGCGGCTCCGGACGGGTTGATAAATACTCCAAAGGTACCTTCTTCAACAATATAAAAGTAATCACCTGCATCTCCCTGAGTAATAACTTTGATTCCCTTGGCGGGGATGGGTTTTTCGACCAATGCATCCAATACAGTCTTGAGATGTTCGTCATCCAGATGAGAGAACAAGAAATTCCCGCTAACAGCCTTCTTTAATCGCGATAACTGTTCGTCGGTCTTGGGATGGAAAGGCGGTGTCCAACTATCCGCTCCAGACGAGGTAGGATTCAAGGACTCGGCGGACACGGATGTACGTCGACCCATGGCATAGTTATTCGGCATACCCTGACCGGGACCACCAGCATTAGACAGAGCAGCGCTGAGATCGGCGGAACTGAGTCCTTCTCCACTGTCTTGATAAGCACTTGCAAATATATTTCTGTTTATTTGGGTGTTGTTATTATTTTCGTCCTCGTCTTCATCGGGTCCGGCCTCGCTCGAAAAGGGACTTTGTGAGGTCGTATGTGAGCGTCGGAAACTGGGATCCGTCGGTGAAGTTACATCGTATTCTTCCTCTTCGGATATCTTTGCAAAGGACGAGCCGGGACCAAAGGGATTCGAGGATGGCAGGCTGGAACTGGAGGCCATTGTGGCCGGTGATGCAGTCGTATTGCTGGTGACGTAGTTGACCTCCAATGGGTTGACTTAATGCACTCAATGGGACGAGCGAGTAGGGCGAGTCGAGAATATTCAATTTAATTTTGCAGGAGAATGTTGAGGGATTTGTTCCGAATAATCGAGGGGTATTCGTCCTCCTCATCCACTGACAATCAATTGCGGGGTGGGTAGACCAGACAGTTGAGAGAGCGGAGATGGGGAAAAAGAAAAGAAATTGACGTTAAATAACGGAGAGAACAAGACCAGACGAGGCGTCTGGGGTAAGTCACTCGGTAGTTTTGCAGATACTTTATTCAACTTGGATGGAAGAATCGGCAGAAGAACCTTGGAAGGTCACAGCAGAGACGCGTGATCTGCTGCAGAACTGCACGGGCAAGGTGGGGGAAAGGACAGGACCTTCTTGCTGAGGGCGAGTTTCAGGTCGTCTTTCTGCGATCCCTGCACCACAGAAACGATTCTACTGGTACAGTCAGAACATGCAAGGGTCTCTGCAAGCCATATTAACTAGACGTTGAGGCAAGTTGGCAGAGGAGGATGATGTGAGGGTTGCGAAGACGTCCGGGATGCGGGGCATTCTATGTCTCCATTTGATTCATACCTGGCAGTGCATTCACCATGGCTGCGAACTATTCTGAGCATACTAAGTAACTACAGTCTCTAGCCTGGATGTACGCTGGACTAGATTCGTTATACATGGCGAAACAGATTGATCTTATCATATCCTTCTAGAACATCACGAGATCTTCCCTACGTTGGGGGTGGCGATGATACCCTAGTTCTACAGGGCTGCGGCGGTCACGTTACTTGTTCTCGTCGTCTTGGTCAATAATAATAGACTACGTCAGAGGCCCAAGCTCCCGCTCGTCGATGCCTGAGGCCACAGCTGAGTCATCCTCAGGCCTCAATTAGTTAACCACTAGTTATCTCCTCAGGCAAAGACGAATAATTGCCACGATTGGTCCACGTCGTCATCCGATTGCCATAATCCCAATTGTAACACTCAAGCCTAGACTCCCAGCCTCAGCTTTTTTTATATCGTTGCTTTTTCTTACCCCACTGAGCGGTGAACTGAACTCATTACCAAGTTACCAACCGCTGAGAAGAGCTTAGTCGCACTTTCAGAGAACTTTCAAGAATCTCTGCCTTTTTTTTCCCCATCTCATCTCGCTGTCCTTTGCTTATTCCTTTCGGGAGGTGGCTGCGAGCGACGGTATCCTGACTCTATATTATTCTACCGCAAATTATCAGACGATAAAATGGGCAGCTATGTGTTCCGATGGTACGTCTCTATCTTCTCCATGAATCGTTGCTTGACTTTAGATTCTACCCGGCGCATTCCTACCGGGCCGCTCGTGCGGACAGGACAGTCCCATCTCGTCTCGTCATGCGATGCCAATTAGCCGTATCAACAGTCGCTAATCAGCTTCTACAGGCCGCGCGAGGCAACCGAAGTCTATGTAACCGGTACTTTCGACGACTGGGGCAAGACGGTGCGATTGGAAAAGAACGGCGATGTCTTTGAGAAGGAGGTCCATCTTCCGACGATAGATGGGAAAATTCAATACAAGGTATGTATGTTATATTGGCCTTTCCTATGCAATATTGGTCCGTTGGCGGGAGGAACAGTGGCGCATACATCTCCGCAAGAACATCTGAACGTTTCTACATATTCAATCGGCCAGTCGGGAATAAAACATCGTGCAGTCGAAATTTTGTCTTTTCTTTAAAGAGAAAAGTCTCGTACGACGAGTTCAGCTCTGACTTGCGGCCGCTGAGGCGTCATGCCGGTGACGTCATGTCACGCTCCAGTCAACCACATTAGTTTAGCGCTTTCTTTCTTTTTGACTTTTAAAATGCCTGTACCCCGCTTGTTTCCTTCTTACCCTTTCATCTTTCACTTCCTTTCAGTTACTGACTTGTCAGTTCGTTGTCGACGGATCTTGGGTCACTGATAGCGACGCTCGTCAAGAGAGCGACGGCCATAATAACATAAACAACGTTCTCTTACCCGAGGACCTGAAATCAGCCGCCAAACCAAATACCGAGGTTGACTCATTGACTGGAGGAAACACTGCTGCTGCTGTCATGGCTGGTGTCGTCCCCGAAGCTACTACTGCCCAATTGGCAGGTGAAGTGCCCAAGGAAAATAATGCTTCATCCGTTCCTGGTGGATTCCCTGAGACACCCGCGACCGAAGCCGCCAATGAGTTATCAGTCAATCCCATCCCTGCTACCAACGGAATCGGAAATCCAGTAAAGCTTACTCCCGGCGAACCTGTCCCTGATCCCAGCACTCTATCCGGCAATACTGTCGAATCGACCGTCAGGACCGACAAGGAAGGCTATGAAGCCGATGCCAGCAATCCAGTTTTTCTCAATAAGGAAGAACAAGCCAAAGCTGATCCGCTTTCAGTCCCTCCTGTGTCAACAGGTGGTCTCATCCCCGAGTCCAGTCTTCCTATGAACCCTCCTGAGACGGCTGAAACCCCTGGTGTGACTATTCAATCTGTACATCCTACCTCAACGACAGCTGCTCTCGCGGCAGAAGTACCACTTGAATCGCAAAAGAACGCTGAAGTCGCCAGCGATGTACCCAAGGTTGTCAAGGAGTCTCTCACCAAGGCCCATGAGGCGCCAGAAGCCGCCGCAAATGCGGAAGCAGTCGAAGAGAAGGCAGAAGTAGAAAAGGAGCTACAGAACAAGGTCGGTCTTGCCGATGCGCCTGCTGTCCCAGCTTCTGATGTTCCGGAAGTCGTAAAGGAGTCTCTTGAAAAGGCGCATCAAGACCCCGAAGCGGCTGCCAGTGAAGCCGCTGTTGAAGAGAAGAAAGAAGTTGAGCAAGAATTGCAACAAAAGGTTCACCCGACTGAACAGGCCGGTGAACCAGCACCGATAACCAGCGCTGCCACCACTGCCACGGCTCCCACCGTCGAGTCGACTGATGTTTCACCTCAAACCTCTCCTCCTGCTACCGCTGCTGCTACCAGCGCACCATCGACGACCACTCAAACCCAACCTACAGTAACCACTGGCGTCGCGTCTGGCACCACAACCGCCGAATCCAAGCCTGTCGCAGGCGCGCCCCAGGATAACTCCAAGGAGAAGAAGAAGAAACATCGCGCCAGTGGATTTTTCCAGAAACTGAAAGAAAAGTTGAAATAGACCATTTTGCCTTGGAACTTTCGAACTTTTTTTCTTCTTTCGTTATACCGGAGCTGCGAAGCAATTTGTCTCTTATTGTCTCAAAAAGACGTTATATAATCCGCGAACGATGCGACGAATGACTGGACTTGTTTGATGTTTTGCGTTTGCTTCGTGTCTACTCATAGGATACCTTGTCTGTTGCTTGCTCTGTTTATTTGGTTTGTTGTGTTTTATTTGCTATTGCACAGAGTTTATACGTTCGCTGTACGGTTTTGTAAGTAGCTTGACTTGTTACTTTGTCATTTAGGAATGCATGTGGTCAATCACTGTACAATGATCGAGTAGCGTAATTGCATAGATTAGGTACACAAACATCCTTCTAAGTTACCTCAAATGGTTAAATGGGTATAGTATTACTTATTTCCCCATTCAACTTCACCGGAAACGCAAGTAAACTGCACTCATCAGCCACAACCCCTGAAGTGTAAGTAGATTGATAGAAACATACTCTTTCCCCGTCTTGGTAGCATTACATCCACAGAATATCGATGCTGGCCAACATATTACCTACATCTGTTAGCCCTTCCGAACGCTTTGCAGAGAGTGATTAGAGACATACACCAGCAACAACACAGGAGAAGAATCCTATCACACGATTAGCACATCCATGGATACGTAGTTTTGTAGGGGTAGGAAGGTACCTAATGTCGGACCAACGACTTTACAGTGACAAGGGTTCTGGTCGGTGCCGCATTGGAAGCAGATTGGGAAGAACGGGAGGCCGACCATTTCGTTTTTCTTTTTTTTAATGCGTCTTTGTATGGATTGAATTGGATGATTGACGGAGTGAGGCATGTAGTTGATATAAGGAAAGATTGTTAGGATTGCATGTTTGAATGTTAGTCATCATGACGATATGATCTGTAACTATGTCTGTTGATATTGTGGCCTGACGATTCAGGTATCGAGTATGTGTTCAACAGGGTTAGGGTAAGTCTATTTTTAGACTGTAGGTCCTGGTATGTTTGGAATGTTTTACTTCGTTCAGTGTTTCTGATAATGGCAAGCATGTATCTGCCATACTACGTATAATTCAAAGTAGAATAATAAAATAGTAAATATTAAAAAATTAATCTCACAAGGCACACACCAGGCGGGAGTTATCGGGGTAGAGCCAATCAGAGGGTTGGATGGGACAGCCAAGATCGATCTCAGCTGATCTTCAAAAGGAGAGACACTCTCGTTTCACACCTCTCTTTTTTTTATCACCATTCCTTTATTTGATATTCCGATCACTATTTCAATCTCTTTTGATCGAGATCGTCGTCTATCCTTCCAACTCTCATCGACAGGCATACTAAACGAAATGGCAAACAGCATCATCCCCCTCATAATCCTCCTCCTCGTCGTCGCCCTCTTCAGCGCAATCGGCTTCGCAGTCTACACCATCGCGCAGGACGTCAGCAGCAATACGCGCGCGAAAATGGAGAAACGGAATATCAGTTTTTCGAAGGAGGGGATGAAGGTTTCGGTGAAGGAGAAGAGGGATGAGGAGTATAAGGATCAGACGCAGAGGTTTGTTTTCGTTCCTTTATATATGAAGGGGGAAGGGCTGACTTGGGTAGTGTACTGGTCAAAGTGTGGAATAATACTTCGTTTCCGGCGTATAAGTCGCGGTTATGGGATAATGGGGCCTCGGGGAAAGAGGATGATGTGAAGCGGTATGCTCTTTCTAACTCGAACAGGAGGAAGTAAGTATGCTGATTGTTCATAGGCGATAACTCTTTTTTCTTCACGGTGTCGATATGAGGATCCGGTATTTGTTTACATGCACCTATATGTATGACTCGATATGAATGATCGATGCTCACTATTTCCGACTACTTATACCACCATCACGATCAGGTGGTCTTTCTTCATTTGGACCAATCTTGAAGACTTCTCTTGTACATTTTCATATTAAAAGGGTATCTTTCTAGGAAAGATATCTCAGTTACTTTCTGAAATTTGTCCATTGCATGGACCTTTCTAACTTGTCTATTATCCAAATTTTAACAAGGTTCAGCCCTAGAGCGCGCGCTATCCGGATGAAGTATCACTCATAAAACTAACAAGTGACGAGACTAAAATCATGCACCGTCGGCTATTTAAATATACGTACGTACACATGCGAGATGTGGCTGACAGCTGAAACCTGAAACTCTACACGGAACCATTAGATGAATCACAAGAGTTGTCTGCAAGTATAACTATTCCCTCGCCTACCTGCCCAGGTGTATCAAGATAGGAAAAAAAAACAACAAAAATAGTAAAAACAAAAGAAGAGGAAAAATGATCCTCACCATCATTTCAGGAACAACAACAATCTACCTCCTCTACAAACTCCTCTCCTTTATCTACTACTACGTCCTCGCCCTCCGCACAGGCTTCCCACTCTTACTTAGCCCCATATTCGCAAAATCGATATTATGGCAAATCCTCGCCCCAGCCGTATTACCTTCAATCAGAGGAAAATTACCCTTATGGATTGTCATTCGTCTTGAGCTGGTTGTGAATGGATGGGAGTTTAGATGGAGGCATGGAGAAGCGCAGAGGTTTGTTGGTGGGGATACGTTTGTGGTTGTTTGTCCGGATGGGTTGTATATGTGGTATGTCTCCTTCCATATCCAACCTTGGAAGTGTTCTTTGGTAGAAAGGAGGGCTGATTGAAGTAGGTGCTCTGATCCAGTCCTTGGAAGTGTGATATTACAGCGCAGAAAGGATTTTATCCAGGGTGATGTGGTGAAGCAGTTTATTGGTATATTTGGGTCGAATGTGCTTCAGGTTTGGTCTTCCCCCCATCTTTACGTGAAAGTGCATAACTAACGTGTCTAGTCCAATGGAGAAGATTGGTACGATATCTTCAGATCATATGGATGAAAAAGCTAAGAATCAAAGGCAACGACAACGTAGAATCATCGCCCCCCATCTCAGCGAAGGTATCATGGCCACAGTATGGAAAGAGAGCTGTCTCCAAGCCCGAGATATGATCGCCTATCTGGTCGAGCACCCCGGCGGCGAGACGCTAGGTGGCCTTCGAAGTGTGGCAATCAACGTCCTCGGCTCAGCGGCCTATGGGTATAGTCAATCCTGGTCTCCGGGGATTGCATACGGAATGACCGAAGAAGGTAACTGGGGCAGTGGACGAATCGCTTATTTCAAGACTATCGCTTTAGTGGCTGATCAGTTCATTGCGGCTGTCCTGATACCCTCATGGATTAAGAAGCTGCCGTTTATGCCAAAGTGGTTGCGGGTTATAGATCGACAGATGGCGAATGTGCCGCGGTACGTCAAGGAGATTTTTGACGCGGAATTGCAGAAGAAAACTACAGAAATTCCAGAGGGGAAGGATAAACACAACAATAATGTTCTGGACATGTTGTTGCAATACTCGCAAAAGAAGACCACCAATGGGTTATATCTTACCGAAGATGAAATGAGTGGTAATCTATGGGTCTTTACAGCAGCTGGGTTCGATACTACAGCAAATACCATGGGGTACGCGGTGATACTACTCGCGGCATATCCGGAATATCAGGAGTGGATGAGGGAGGAGCTTTGTGGACTTGATGCGGATATTTCACCGGAGGAGTATGAGAAGTGTTTTGCTTTGTGTCCAAGGGTTTTGGCTGTTATGGTATGTTCCCTTCAGCTTTGTTCGTTGGATAGGGCTGACGGAAACAGTTCGAGACATTACGTCTCTTCACGCCAGTACTCCATTCGACACGAACAGTTAATGGGATACAACAACTCGCAGGCCGGAAGGGAACGCACATCCTCTCCTCGCCCATGGATGTCTTTGTCTGCGCTCAAATCATGCACTGCGATACTACTCTCTGGGGTCCGGACGCAGCTGAATTCAATCCAAAGCGATGGTTCGATAAGCAGACAAATCTACTCATCAAACCTCCCAAAGATACATTCCTGCCGTGGTCTGGCGGGCCAAGAGTGTGTCCCGGAATGAAGATGTCGCAGGTAGAGTTTGTGGCGACTATAGCGACGCTGTTTCGGCAGTCGAGGTGTGAGGTGTTGACGCTGACTGGCAAGGAAGAGGAGGGACGGAAAAGGTTGATGGATATGATGGACGATTCGATTAGTAAGTTGACATTGCAGGTTAGGAATGGTCAGGAGGTGAAGTTGCGATGGGTTGTGTAGTCTCTGGCTCATGCCTTGATACTGCGGGGGCACTAGAATAGACATACAATCAATTGCTAAGAAGTTCGTTGAGGGCCCTATCCAGTCGCGTTCGCAGATAAACTAAATACAGACCCTATTGCAAAGCTCAACCAGACCAATCCTGCATATTGCCAACAATGGTCAAAAATATGACCTGAGAGACCTTACTATTCCGTATCCTCTCCCCATATTTCCAAAATACCAGCGGAACAGGCACAATGCCAACCTACCCGAGAAAATGGTTAATCGTACCTCCATTTCGTCACTGCCGTGATGAGTGATCGTGCTTTGTTTCGAAAACTAGAGATTCTACATGCCTGACAGAAGCTATCTGATCTACGAATATGGCTACATCGGACTGTGAAGGAGAGACACTTGTCTACTACATGAGGTGTTCAAATTGATGTTTTGTGGATTATGAGTCTGCACCCTTAGTTGGGTTTGACGATTTATGATAATTAGGTCAAAAATTTTCAAATTCTCTAGTCTGACTATAATCAATGCGTCCGGTAATCAAGAGGTCAACTATCAATTTGATGATGTAGCTAGCCGTGCCTAGGCATATCGTCGTATCTTAGGGCTAAGTCTACTAGTAGTCCATCGGATCCCTTTCCGCGAACTTTGACGGAAACTCCGCCGCTCTTCTACTGCCTCTCACAGCCTTCACTAAAGACAATATTTCCATCAAATACCCATGGATATTCCACCACTTCTAATGCAATGCCAAACGAACAGAAACAAACCGCATCTCATCAGAGACCGGGATCCTGCCGTTTCTGAACGTTACGCTGCAGCCGAGCAGCGCCTTGTTCCAATTGTATCTCGCGAGGCATCATTTTCAAAGGGAAACTAACCTATTTACAACTCTATTTCCATACTTTACTCGCAGCTTTGGCGATGCGGCGTATTAATCCCTCGCGCGAGATATGTACCAAATACGTGCAAGCTGACCTGTGGCAGGAAGATTTCGATATAGAGAGCGCAACGCGTTTAAATTCGCCGCTCTTTTGATCGGTGTCTTTCTGGAGCTTGACTCTTCTTTCAAGCTTCTAGAAAAGAAAAAGAAAAAGATATCTGGATCACATGACGATAATGTTACTTACCTTCCTAATCGGGATATAGATGGTAGGACCAATAGGATTTCTCTGATTACGGACTGCACGTGCGGATCGATCGACACGCTGATTGGCCCAGCCAGTGACAGGGCCCGGCTGAGAAATTGAAGCAGTCCGATTGGCTGATAGCGTATCTCCCCGCTCTAATAATGCTTAATTAAGTTAATCTATCAGACTAGCACCAATCAGACGCATTGTCCATGGCAACGTGCATTCTTTGTGCAACTCCAGTACGACGCTACAACAACTAGCAGATACTAACAGGCCAAATGGAGAACGGCGGATGTTTCTTTGCCTCGTGGCGGTTGTCTCGATTGCAATGTTCTCCTCTTTTGTTTTGTTTCTTATACTCCCCATCCCTTGCATTGTCGAGATTGCTAGACATTGACTGAGACTGTTGTGAAAACACAACACAGAAGACACGACACGACACGACACAACACAACACTCCATTAAGGTTGAAGACAACATGTCGTTCTCATCAATCAAAGCACTCCTCGCCCAATACTCTCCCGTCTCCGAGAGCTCCTTCTCCGACGCAGAGAAAGAAGCCCAGATCCCATTGGGACAAGACAAGGATCTTGAACTCTCCAGCAATGGCGACACTCCTGCGCCGTCTAGTCGCCCCGAGAAGAAGAGCTGGGTAGATGCACGAGTTATATCAGACGCCATTATCGGATTATCCGATGGGATGACGGTTCCGTTTGCCTTGACGGCCGGTTTATCGACACTCGAAGATACCAAAGTCGTCGTATTCGGAGGATTGGCAGAACTCATTGCCGGTGCTATTTCCATGGGATTGGGAGGATATCTCGGAGCAAAGAGTGAAGAGTGCGTCCTCTTACCATTTTTGGCCCAGAGGGGAGGTAACTAATGAAAAGTAGAGAATCATATCGAGCAACCCTCAAACAAACCCGTGAACAAACCCTCTCCGACTTTGATGTCACCACAACCATCATCTCAGACATCTTCGCCCCTTACGACCTCCCCGCCCAAACAGTCTCGGATCTCACAAAACATCTCGTCGATTCACCGCACTTACCCAACTTCCTCATGAATTTTCATCATACTCTCCCCGAACCTTCCGGTTCCCGGGCCGTGACATGCGCCCTCACAATTGCCTTGGGTTATTTTGTCGGCGGCTTTGTGCCGCTCGTGCCTTATTTCTTCGTTGGTCCCGAGGATGCTTTTAGTGCGTTGAAGTGGTCTATTGCCGTCATGGCTGTTGCATTGTTTGTGTTTGGGTATGGAAAGACGTGTTTTGTGGCTGGTTGGAAGGGGAGAGATAATGTCAAGGCGGGTGTTTATGGGGGTGTGCAGATGGTGATTGTGGGTGGTGTGGCTGCTGGGGCGGCTATGGGGTTGGTTAAGTTATTTCAAGTTTTGGCGCGATAGGCCATGACTGAATGTTTGAAAAGCTATGATTTCAATGGTGTTATGGATATGTAATGTATGGCGTTGGTTGGCATGGCGTTAGGACAGTTTCTGATAGAATACTATTACGAATGGACCGAAATTTGGACGTGAGGCTACTCCATAACCGTCACTCGAAGCAAGCTTCTTTACTGATTGGGCCCGTGATTGACAGCTACACAGTTATGATGCAGAACAATACTTCAGATTAGAGTTCCGATCTGTTAAGACCTCTGACATACCCCGATCCAACTGACTTTATAACTACCCAGGTAGTCGGAACAGTCACAGGTAAACTCTCACCGTTGCAGCGTTTATACACATTTTCTGTGGCCTTGATCACCAATATACCCTTCTTATATATCAAGTAAAAAATCTCGCATATGTAAGGATATGAGAACTCATAAGCTCAAAACAAAGACGGAGAAGTGTCTCTGCTCCTGATTATTGACGATATCTGTCACGAATCCTACCGTCAATCCCACTCTTCAAAATTATATCCTCGACCCTCTTCATTAAAGAAGAACGCAGTGGAATATTTTGACCCAGAAGATACCTAGGGAATTGGCAAGTTCGTCCCAATTCTTCTCTTGGGCAAGGCCAATAACTCTTTGAAAGCTTCCCTTTGGAAAACTGATGCCTAGATTACAGTCAAGGATACGGAGTCCAATGATCATTAAGAATTGATGGTTTCTTTGTTGGTATCTACCTATGTAGTAGGTTGTGCCGCATCAGTTTTAGCATTTCTATTATAGTACCTAGGTAAGCTGTTATCAGTTGCGTCGTGCCACAGCCATATGATTGTACAATCAGATCGTCGGCTGGAGAATCCATGGATGGGATATGGAGCCCCCCCATATATTTCCGGGGACACAATCCTTCTATATATCCATAATGGTAGTGCTTCAATGTTCCCATGTCATGTTTTTGAAGTCAGAAACTCGGCAAATCATATACAGAGGAGCACCAGGGATTCAAATAACCGGTTGCCTCCTGATGATACTTTCCACTCCATCAAATAGGCTTCCTGGGATGTATCCTAATATGAAAACTAGGTATCAGAGGCTAGGGTCTGAATCAGTGCGAGATGGAATGATCAGCCAGTCCCTTAGGTGATGAGAAAGATAAAATATCGAACTGACCAAATATGGAAGCCGTGTGCTACCGTACAATCTAATACACCAATTCAGACTCAGAGTGACCTTAGACCATGCAGAAGAGGATAAAGGATATCTATAACGTATACCGTATGTCCCATAATTAATACATTACAGTTGTCACCGATGGCTCCGGCGACCACCGCCATTAGACATATAATTAGACGGGACTTTAACAAGCCCATTCCCGATACCGCCATTCATACCTCGGCTACCACTAGAGCTAGTTGACACACTCTTCTTCTCCGTCAGTCGTTTCCAGACTTCAAACATGCCCGCACGGTGGGCAGGAAGCATGCTGTATTGCATACTGTAGAGGTTACGGCGATGGATTGGAGGTACGAAACGGCCAGTGACGAGGCATAGAATGACACTGGGTGAGAGGTAGTGTTTGCGGAGGCGATGGCCGAGTTGAAAGTATTGGTCGAACATGGCGCGGAGAGAGAGGGGGGTCGACTGTTTGATTGTGAGTAGTTTTCGTCTCGGGTGTAGATGGTTCTGATACTGTCGTGACGACATACCTCAAGATGGATGTAGGATATTCTGATGGCTTCTGCACCTTTCTCTTTGGATGACGGCTTGATAACTTCTTCCCGCAGTGAGAAGTAAATGCCCCCTACAGATTCATCAGTACTTGAACAATATTATTTTCTCGAGAGTCATACCAGGCAAACGCCCTGGATCCTTAGCGCGCAGCATTAGTGCGAACAGAGGAAAGTGATTCAAAAATGCTAACCACGTATCCAGCGCTGCTTTCAGTGAAATAATCAGCATCCGCGCCGATGCAAATGCGATATAAAAGACAATGACGGTCGGAAGAAGGAAGAATAGCACAGTGAACAAAATAGTCCCTAGCAGAAGCTGATCGAGATCGTAATCGCAGGAATCGATTCGATTGCGAAGAACGTTCCGCTTCTTCCCCCGGAAGAGGTGAAAAAGAGATATTATAATGCTAAGTTGCCAATTAAATATTCGAGCCGATGCTATGTAGAACGAATAGATGTGGATGGTGATTATTGACAGTAAATCGGAGAATAGAGCAATTGGCATGCTGGCACCGGCAAAACTCGAGCATCCAATAATGTATATTAAGTGTGGTAAGTATGGTTGTAGGTTAGCAATACAGGCTATACACCAAGATTAGCGCTCATACTACTGCAGATTTGAGGGACCACATACCGGCCCAATGTTCAATGACCCAGAGGAAGAGGTCACCCAGGAATGCAGCTAATTCATTATTCAGCTTCAAGCCGGCTGGCCATCCCATTAGCCAGGATATGGTGCGTTGTAAACCTTCGACTGTCCAGTCTGTGATTAAATAGTCTATTTGACTGGCCACCCATTGCGCGTTGTCGATGATATAAGAGCCCAGAGCAATGCCGATAATAACGTCGTTGGCTACAAGCCAGAGTGAGTTGTAAAAGCGAATGTAATCTGGGTGACTGGTTGTAACACTCTCCCAATTGTCTTTTCTTTGCCGAAGTTTGACGTACTGAATGGGCCAGTAGCAAAATTGCTGTAACCGAATATCGACCTGCTGCGCTGTAGCGGATATATCCTTGAGAGCTGCAGCATCGGGACGGGCTCGCCATTCAAGTAGACGCAGCACCAATTCAGCAACTGCCCGATGACAGACTAAACCAAAAACAAAACATCGTGTAAGAACCGGCCAGAGCCATTGCCAGAACATATCAACGAAAAAGTCCCAAATTGTTGTAGCAGATTCCACGACACGTTCGCTGACACTCATACTTCTCTTTCCGCGTGTTCCAATCAGTCGGCTATTCTTCCCGATGAGCTGTCCAACCTCAAATGCGCAGTTCACTTGATTCAAAATAATAGGCAGCGCGACTTCCTTCTGGGATGGGACATGGCGGACGACCGTATGCCACTTCAATTTCTCGATCAATTTCCTTGATCGAGCTTTCTCCTGCTCTTCGTCCGCATCTATCGGAGTAAAAGAAACACCCTTTCCATCATTCATTTGTTTATCTGCTAAAGCCAAAGATATTGGCTCCAATGACATATACTGCATGCGGGTCGGGTGAGGTCGGTTGAACAGGATCACTTGAACCGAGATATTTGTTTCCGGCGGACAGAACACTCGGGGTACCTTATGCGAGGGTTTGGTAGTTACTGAAAGATGGCTGGCATCGAAAGTTGTTGGTGGCTCAGTTGGATTGGTTGAGCCTAAAACATGCATCGCCGATTTTCCGCAGAGAACGAATAGTTGGGCGATCGGATGAGGGCAATTGCGATACAAGATGCCCGTTCGCAGCGCATTATCAACACTTTTAGGCTATGTAATTCAACACATTAGCATCGTGAGCCAGCCCCTTTTGTACTTGACATACCTCCACATCTTCCAAAACAGTTATGACGAAGAGATCCAATTCCGAATTACGCCAGCCGATAATAACACCGGGGGATGATGAGCGCGGTATATCATTCGGCCAAAAGACACGCAGCAAGCCATCGCCAATTATCATATTGTCATCCTTCCAAATAAACCAGCTCAAACTCGCTTCTTAGAAAGAGCCCCTCCGGCGCAATTCCTCCCGCGCAGATATACCTTGCTGAACAACACGGGGATGTAGATCGATTTCTTTAGATGCAAGACAATTGAGTGGTATGATGATAATGAAGAGTATAGCCGAGAGCAGTACGAATCCCTTGGCGGTTCGAGTAACGACACCGTGATCCCACGCAAAGATCGCTAATTCGTATAGGCGAGTAACCAAGTCCCACCTCGCAGTGATGTAGCCAGCTACAAAGATTCCGAGTGTCAGTACAGAAAATGGATGCATGAATCTGGTGTGATTGGGGGACCTGTCTGATGGTCGGTATTAAAGTGAAGTAAATTTCAGGGTAACGGCATAACGGCGTGGAGTTGAGGATTGATGTAGTTCGGCAATTGAGAAAATCTGCTTATTCAATTAGTAGCACTATTTCCTAATGCTTGCATAGTCGCGTCGCAAAGAGTGAAGCGTAATAGATCCAATCTGATATTGGATGTAGAGCAATGAGAAGTTTGTTGTGTCCAAGTAGAGATGGTCTTGCCAGTTTCAACAGACGGTTGCGTCACGTGTTTTTATGCTTTCGTCTCCGCGCTCGACATGTGCAATTTGTTAATCTCATATTCAATACAATTGGGTTCCTGATATTTTGCTTATGAATCATTTGAGTCGTGAACTAGGTCAAATGTTGTAAGAATTGACATGTGTGCTGGAATTCTTGAATAATTGCCAGTAACGTTATGTCACCTAGTGAACATCCAGCTTGATTCAAGCTGGACTTCATCCGATTCACTACGACTACATTTTTAGCTACAATCGCAGACGAGCTGTCAACTAGAATCTCTCATTACGAAGTAGTATACATGATATCAATATTCTGAATCCCTAGCCTTTCCGATCAACATCCCATGAAATACTTAAAACCCAGTAACCGAAATGATGAATTGAGCTTGCAAATGGTATCTGTTAGAAACGACGAGCGTCTATAGATTTTTGATACCCTGAAAGACTTTGTTTGACTGCAAATTATTATCTGCTGCGACCAAGTCACGCATGATCTGACGTTTCTCTCCTGCAGTCAGGTTTTCCTTTCCTGGAGCTTCAATTTCCGCCTTCCACTTGAGTAACATTGACTTCAAGAGGGCACTACCTTCTTCTACTTCCTCTTGAGAATAGCCATCAAGCGCCGAAGCTTCTTTCTTCTCGGTGTTATCGGAGGTTGCTGTGGTGAAATCCTCTAGTTCTTCCGCTTTTTGTCGAGCCATATTGACAACCTTCTCTGGGAATCGAACAAGTTCGGCAACGTGTATACCAAAGGATTGATCACAAACACCAGGCTCAACGCGATAAAGAAGTGTGACCTCCCTTTTTTTACTGCTTTCTCCTTCCTTGGCATCACCGATGAAAGCGACCACATGCAGATTCTTCACAGCTTTTGGATAGCGATCAGCTAACGCTGTCAGCTCATGGAAATGGGTTGCAAATAAGCCGAAACAGCCTATCTCCCTGACGATGTGTTCAGAAATCGCCCATGCAAGACCAAAACCATCGTATGTGCTGGTTCCTCTACCGAGCTCATCTATAATGATCAGGGATTCGGACGTGGCAGACTTCAATATGTTTGAGGTCTCGAGCATTTCAGCCATGAAGGTTGACACACCCTTTAGTTGAGAATCACTTGCTCCTACTCGAGCGAGAATACAGTCAAATATGGTCAGCTCTGCCTCAGTACAAGGTACGAAGCAACCAATTTGAGCCATTAGCGCAATAACACCGATCTGTCGAATATAAGTGGATTTGCCACCCATATTGGGTCCCGTGATAATGAGGAACGAGGACACATCTCGTAGAAGTGACACGTCGTTTGTTATAAATGAGATGTCATCTTGCATTTCCATACATGGATGACGAGCTTCTTTGAGGATGGTGTTTCCGGTACCTCGTGGGTGCATCTTAGGGCGGGTATATGCTGTTGGAGCATGAACTGATACATGTGCGAAACTCACGATGACATCTAGATGGGCTAGGGTGCCAGCTAGCTGTTCCAGCACAGGGCAGTAAGAAGCAGCAACATTGACTACTTCTTGGACAAGACCTGATTGAGTGCGGTTGTAATTTGATGATAGTTGGTCATGTTCTCTGCGAAGTTCTTGCATCGTTCTCGTGGTGAAATAGACGCCATTCTTCTGTGTTGAGCACTCTTGGTACTCCCGTTTGTTGCGAATACAGCCCGCTTCATTTCGAGTCAGCCTAAAGCACCAACCATGAACGCGATGGTTCTCCATAAATAGCTTCTTCTCCATGTCTTGATTCAGGTCCTTGGCAACCCGTCGGTGTTCCACGTCCATATCGTATCTGAGCTTGTCCAGCTTTTTCCGAATGACTCGAAGACTGTCGTCAAACTCGGGTTTTATGATAAATTCATGGTTATCAAGCGCATCAAGGTCAACTGTAGTTTCGACCATCTCCTCGAGGTTTGCAAGGCTGTTGGACATATTACGCAACTTTGTCGTGTATTGATCGTCCAAAGGGGTTTGATATTGCTCGTCCATGATGTTCTCGAAGCTCCGAATGAAGCCCGGTAAACGGATAGCAACTTGATAAACTCGTACCACATCCTCGAGATTGGCCTGGCTGCGCTGAAAGCGCTTGGCCAGTCTGTATAAATCGGGAATTGCTCGTAAATGTTCCTCCTGCATCGTCTGCCGTAGTTCCGTGTCGACGACAAATGCTTCAACTAATTGATGTCGCTTTTCTATTTCCACCTGATCCATCAGAGGTTGCTTGAGCCACTGAGCGAGCAAACGACTCCCGACCGGTGTCTTGCAATGATTCAAGAGTCCATACAAGCTCATGTTCTTTGCACCGTCTCTGGGACCCGGCATGAGATTCAGTGCACGTAAAGCAGAAGCGTCCAACTTCATATATTGCGATAGATCGTGTTGGTAGAGTTGGTATTGACCGAAGTTAGTCGAATCTGACATGACTCCCAAATATTTAATTAAAGAAGCAGCGGCGCCCATAGCCAACTTCAGTTCTGTTTGTGGTAATGTAGCAGCTGATCGTTCATCGCGCAAGAGTCGTGTCAGATCCTGTTCGATGTCTCTCGTACCAAAGTCTGCCGCTGGCCGCTCAGTTATAGCAATGCCACAAGTATCTGCAATGGCCCTGAGTTTGGCCAGCTCGGCATCCTTCTTAGAGCTGTCGAGCTGAATGACACATTCTTTTACGCCAAGTTGTATAACAAGCGACTCGAAATTAGAGTAGACATCGTTATCGAGGAATTCGCTCACACCGAGTTCTCGAACGCTAGCATCCGCGAAGCAAACACCAATATTCTTAGCCTCTGACGAACGAGCAGAGACTTTGACGGCAAGTATAATGGGCGCCGAATCCATGGCAGATCCCCCTGCACCGCCGAGTTCCTCTTCAACATCTTGCAAGTTTCCTGGGCTGGCCTGCTTGCCTAGTTTCCATTGACCTCTTCCACTTTCCGCAGACACCCATATCTCGATACGCTTGTTCAGACGGAAAAGAGCTTCTCGCAAAAAATTTCGAAACACTGTCACACTCAGAGTGACTGACGGTAGCCCGCCGGAGTCACTTCGGCCTAACGTTCGTAAAACCGAAGTGGTTTTGTAAACAGTACGGGCAATAAACTCGGCATCAGTCCCGTGTGCTGTATACCAGTCACCACGATCAAACAAGCGGATGGTCGTCGGGTTGCTCTCGTTGATAGCGTCTTTAGAAGGAAGCGATCGGAAAAAGCGAATGAAACCGACTTCATCGTCGACCTGTAATGCTATGGATTAGCTTGCGTCCATCCAAAGTTCTGTAGTGTCAAGTATTGAAGAGCAACACTTTTGTATACCCATCGTAACACAACAACTTACCTTGAGCTCCGGTCGTGAAGACATGTTTGCTGTAATATTTGCTACGTTATGATCATATCAAACCCGTAGATGGAAGAAGGATGACGAAGGATCTCTACTTTCTCAGGGTGACGCGCGGCGGCGGATGGACGCGGGTCACATGACCACGCGTTCGCGTTCAATTGAATTGCCGAATTAGGAAGTTGTTTCTTCTTCCAGTATCTCTTTTTTCTGTTCGCATTTTGGCTGTCTCAGGTCATGGTAAAGTGCGATAGGTATTGTCTACACGATATTACTTTAAATTTGCTTGCTAGTATAGTAATGGAGCGTACAGCTATACCTATTGGAAATTTCTTGGCTGTCTCCTCTTAGGAGGTTTTGGAGTTTGATTGAGCCTTTTTCTGTCTTATATGTATGTAATACTTGTGATTTGACATATCAAATGTAAGGACATGACACTTCTACCTGCGTCTTTGAGTTCTTCGGACATGTGTGCAGTTGCATCAGAATTTGGCGTTGCTCATTCGTTAGCAACTTCTGCAAAGTCCACAGAATTTGTTGATACATACTCAAGGAAGCGTAGATGGCTGAGATTTGCTCGATCATCACTTTAAAGCTGCATTGTTTGTTTTTATTTAATTAAAAACTGTGTGATGCTTCATTTCAATGGTTTATATCAGTCTTTGTGATACCTTGGTTGTGATATGGAAACCCTTCTAAGGAAGATACAGTTAACAACAAAGATAAAAATATATGACAGAACCAAAAGCGTCGAAGAAATTAAATTAAGTTATTATCAGGTCATGTTGCCCCTGAACATATAGATGTTTCAAACGGATATGACTGTTGAAGTTGCCTAGTCACGCGTCAGGGCAACAACTACATATCTCTACCTCGGTCTTGATACTGAAATATTTCAGCTCTTTTATCACCACTATCTGTGTCTCATACGTGTCCAAGCTACATCAAGCAAACATGGCTGAGTCCCATCGTAAGTTGACTTATTGTCTGGGTGATGCATCTGGCTTCGCTGACAATGGTTATATTAGCATACCTCGAGCTTCCCTTTCCCAAAGATGCACCTATCGAGTTACGTCCAACTCCTGGCAAAGGATTGGGTGCTTTTGCAACTAGATATATAGAACGAGGATCACTAATCATGAAAGAGAAAGCTTTGTTCGTCATCGAGAAACCAATGGGAGAATTGACAGAGCGAGACATCGACAGGGCAGTCGAGAAATTGAGCCTATCAAAGTTATATACATTTTGTTGCTTGTCTGGGAATGAGATACGCACATCTCCTAATGGCCAATTTGTTGCTGGATGGATAAGTCATACAAGAATTTGGGAAGGGAATTGTTTCTCCCTTAGTCATGGTGTAAAGGAACGACTGTTTGGAAGATTCGTTCAGTAAAAAAGATGGGCTCTTTTTCCTTGTCATTCACGTTTGAATCATTCATTTCAAATGAACGCTTGTGTTCCAGAGTCTCAGGCGCAGGAGGTTGGGAGAGATTCTATGTCCAGCTTTGCAATGGGAGATATCACTGCCGGAGAAAAAATTACAATCGGCTACAAAAACGGGTTTGACAGCCGCACTATGGATGAACGTCATCGATTGCTTGAATTCGAATGTCGTTGCAATGTTTGTGACCGAGCACTAAAGGACAAAATGTTAGACTGGTCAGCGATATGCGGCGAAGGCTGATCAGAGGATTGATCTATCTCTTGGACGGCATAGATGATATTAGCGAGTACGAGACGCCCTTGACACCTGTCATATGCGATCCCCTCATGCGCAAAGCTGCCGACAACTTCGATTTCCCCCTCAGCGCTAGACTAATTTACGATCTCTTGCTGGTAAACCTCAAAGAGGCTGAGGGGATACTATATGTCGAAGAAGTCGTCTCCACTTGGACTTATGTGTGGCGTCGGGCATGCTCGTTCGGCATAGATGAGAACCGGAGAATTACAAAGCTTGCTGTGCAGCAAAAGACCTGGCATGAGAGGCTCGGAATGGCTTTCCAACTTGATGGGCGAGCTGATGCCGCTAATCATTTTCATACGATAGCATATCGCCGGGCCAAGGGTACGCAGATTTGACACTGATATTTTTCAGGTTAGGCTCGAATACTCGATGGCCCGGGATGGGGATGATTGAATGATTGATAGTCCTTTGAGTCAATTGTCTTATTTCTTTCTACAAGTTTTCCGTCGTGGGCAACAGGCGCTGTACGGATTGTGTTTGATGAGTTCCCGGCTATTGTGTGTGTTTTATTCAGATTTTATAGATTTTATAGTATTTGATTCCAACACGAAGACTTGTCCACAACTTGACATGAGAGTGATCTTCAGCACGTAAGCCTCGTCGAGCCCAGAACTACATGTAATTTAGAAACCATCAATGTTGCTGATAACAGCACAGGAAATACATGAAATAACAAAGATAATAAGGTGACTTAGGCATTAATTGAGGTTACAATATTGTGTACCTCTTTGCCCACATTCCCGCCGTCATTTTCATTGGCGTCACGACGATCATCTTGCCTGCCATTTTCATTTCCCCTGTAGCAGTTAACTTATCTAGTACTTTATCAGTAGTATTGTTCAGAAGTGGCTTACTTAGATTCTCTCAGGTCTCTTGTCTTAGTCTTGGCATTCTGCCTCTTCAATGCGTGAAGCCTGGTAGCATTGAGCTCCTTACTCGAGCGCCATGGATCGGGAAGGAATGCCAGAACTACCAGCAGAACTATGACCCCGACGAAGACAGTAGGAACAATGATGAGCGCCTTCACAGAGAGTGTGATAATGTCGGGGCTCGATATGACAAACTCATCGGAGCCACTATTATTGGCAGAAAATGCAGAAAATACATTTAATAAATCTCCTCGTCCCTGTACACTCATAGTGGTTGAGTCAGATAGAATGTTGCGGGTTGCGATATAGCTGGTGTTGATGAGGCGAGTCATGTCCGCGATAACGCTGCATTGCTTTGCATCGAAACCGGACTGAACATAAGTCGTCGACGACGCGAGGCTGGACCGGCCTATGCGATCTGTCATTAAGGTAACCATGGGATTGTAAAGGTTCTGACTGAGTGCTATATAGACAGGTTTCGACAGGCGATTGTCGGTGAGCTCTCTCAAATGAAGCGTATCATTTGTGTGTCCTCGGTAGGACCAGACGGTTTCCTCCCTGCAAGACAACGGCGGCCTCTCATTCTTGACTTGATATAACCACGGGGGGTTGTTATTAACAATATTTTCAGTTGCATACCAAGGGTCGGTGGAATTAGAAAGTGATTGGCGTCCGACAGAAGATACCAGAAGGGCGTAACTAATATTGGAAATGGAGATGTACCCGTCCCTGGCGTCGACATAAGCAGTGGCAAAAGCTGGCCCATGATCTAGACTTGGGTATACAACTTGGACATTGCTTGGATCGTTGAACATGTGATATACATCACCACCGCTTTCATCCTCATATTGGTACCAAGTATAGTCTGTGATGCAGGATCCGGAGACGTTCAGCCACAAATCTGGAGTTTTCTGCAAGCCGAAGTCGCTCCCTGATATACCATATCGATAATCTAACTGGAAGACAGTTCCGTTTTCCGACGATGATGTGGCATTGGATATAAAGACTGTATTCGCTGGAATCGTCCCAGCGGCACCAACAGCACGCATCGCTGCCGGCACAGCGAGAACCATTTGCTGAGCAGTTTCGAGCATGTCCGAATTCGGGTCAAAGTAGTATGGGACAAACACGGATTTTGGATTTACCGGGGCAACATTTCCAATCTTCAAGCTTTGCGTTTTCAAAATGGGCACTACAAGTGAGGCTGCGAGAGCGACAGCAGCCACCGCAAACCAAATTAACGGATACCAGAGATCTCGAGATGTTCTAACCGCAAATGCGCGTCGGATCATAAAATAGATTACTTGTTGCGGTGAGTGCCTGAAATTCCAAAGGCCGATAGTTGTTGTCGTGGCTGACGAATCCGAATCATGAGGGGAGTGCCGTTGCAAGAAGAGGCCAACGCCGAAGAGAACGACGGCCATCCAGAAATATGTGACAATGGCCTTCATCATTATGGTGTAAAATGAGATTATTATAATGCCTTGCGAGCTCGATACTGCCCAGGCATCAATTGTACCATTGCCGTGCGGCATGTCGAATCGCCTCCGCAGCACGTAGGTGTCCCGAGCAGCAATCAAAGAAGACATATTGACAACAATGACAGTGTGAGGTTCCTTCGTCTGGAAAATTAGAAACCAGCTACTTTGATGTTTCTGGGAGTTTGATCGAGGTTGTCGTAGAAGGTAGTAGTAGGTTTCGATCCGGAACTCTTGATCCGGAGGTGTTATAGAGGACCTCAATACTCCAGCAACTTTGGAATTTCAGCCTCATTTAACAAACTATGAAACTGGAGATAAAGCTTAAGTCCAAGCAAAGCTTGCATTGGTAGCAGGGGATTGCTATAGCCTGAGTGTCCAAGTGATTTCCGTGAAGCAACGAAAACTGAATTTTGAATGGCGCTTCAAAGTCCGACTGGTCTGTGCTGTGAGTTGGGTTTCAGCAGCAGCATCGACTAAGTGAAGTTATGCTCCGAGCCGCAATACTAGCTGGTTATGCTTTGAATTTTAGGTGTTCATGGATGCTACTGGATGTGCTTTCTGCACACTGTTTACAGGGATGTGCGTAAACCCTCTTGCTGGCGGCTCATAGATACCAGTAATGATGCATAGGAGGGACGTAGTTTCTAATCAGCCCTTGAAAACTTACGGGTCTGAGTTCGCTTCCTCCTCTATACACCGTCGATTGGGTGTATCGACCCTTGCCAGCCATATTCACCTCGATAATACACCTATGTGTTGTCGTTTTGTAATATACTATTATTTACCGTATGGTTCTCTGATAGTTCATGATTCTGGTGTATAAATACTTCCGCAGAAGTCTTCAGCTACAGGAAAGCCAACTTGTTGAATCATCTTCTGCAGAACTAACTCAATTGTTGAAAGTTTATTGAGTCATTCGTTGCCCACCTCAGTGATTACTCTCAGCATTTGAAAGAAAAAAAAAGCAACATATCTGATTGTCCCCAAAGCTATGGCTTCCTTTGCATTCATCCTCTGCACACTGGCAATACTATGGCAACGCGTTCTTGCTGTGGCTGTCTTTGAGGCTTTACAGTCATCCAATGCCGGTCTTTTTGCACAATGGGTTGAGCAGGACCAAGGACTTGCATCACTCTACAGTTCCTCGAAAGTCAAGACGGTTTTTGCGCCCGTCGACGACGCCTTCCGAGCTTATAACCAAACCGGTCATCTTTCTCAACTACGTCGCGTACTCGTTCGTCAAGCCGGACTCCCATCAGAGGCGGGTCTGCAACATGTCAGTGGTAACTTGAATCATCTAAATGAGCAATCACCCGATGTAAGTAGTAGGGGTGATACATATCAAACTCTTTTACATGCTCCTCAGTCAAACAGGACACAGCCAGTAGTCGGACTACCATCATCGTCAAACGGGGCCAGCGGGGTATCTAGCAGACAAAAGCGCCAAAGCAATAACTCAACGACCCAGACTCTGCGATTTTACTCTGGTCTAGGAAATAGTGTGTCTGTCATTCATGCCAATATACCGTACGACGGAGGTTTGATACATACTCTTGACGGGTTTGTCTTTTTCTTCTGCCTTGGACCTTACTCATAACACTAACTGCTAGAATAGTTTTTTCACTCTCCCTCAATCATGGGACGATACTTTTGCATACACCAACACAACTTCATTCTCCTCTGGGCTCAACAGAACTGGTCTTGCGTCAATCATCAGTAATCCAAAAGGAGCAACCATATTCTCGACGCCAAACGAGGTTTATGATCGCAGCATACAGCAGAACATTACAACAGCATCGTTGACAAGTACTCTGTCCAACCACGTTATACCCAATTTCCTAGGTTACACCCCGAATCTTGCCAACGGTACGATTCTTACTACACAGAGTGGAAATAACCTCACTGTGAAAATCATCGACGGGGAGTGGTTCATCAACAACGCAAAGATCATCGGGTCAGACCAAATTTGTTCATATGGAGTGGCTCATATTGTCGACAGCGTAAGTACTTTGCTCACTTGTCTTCTCCATGTGCATTCACTAATCATGATTATTCTATCTAGATAATTGAAACCTCTACAAGTCCGAGTGTGCCTGCATACACTGGTATGGCCGCAACTCACAAAAAGGTCGAAAAAGCAGGCGTTATTGCTTCGATAGCGTATGCATTTCTAGCATGGCTCTTGTAAAATGGTACATTCTTCTTCAACCTAGGATGAGAGGACAAGAATCGTTGTGATGCAAGATAGATGTTATATTATATTGTAGGTATCCTTACTGATACCTATACGTATTATGAATCCGACAAGTTTTGCAGCCTAATGTCTAATAAATCATACAATTTACTTACGAAATACACATTTTATTTAGGTAGCTAGCTCAATGAAGAAGTTCAAAACTACCCAATGCATTCTCAATGCATCACATACTGCATCGTAGTTGTACAGGACCTGTACTTGTACAATCCGGTAACGCGATTACGAATTCCATTCGAGACGAAGTGAACTAGAAGTTGACGAATCATAATACAGCATAGAACCATACGCTTAAATTACAAACTGGTTGCGGAGATGGCTAAACTACAAAGGTACCACACATTTCAATAAAACACGTATTATATTGAAGCAAGCACAAACCATCATGCCCAACTAATAGAGCAGTGCAGGGATTGATGCATGAAAACGTTCGCTTATAATGAATGTCTAGAAATGAACTCGACACCAGGCTAGCCACTCAAAATAAGCATTTGATAGCATGCAGCTAGACTAGTTTAGAAAAGTGACAGGGCTAAATGTGTCTACGGGTACATCTAAGTATATGCGGAGTCTTATTACTCGGTAAAAGATTCCCAATCACGACAATCCCTGGGAGGCTGAAAGATTTTACGTATTACGTGGCCATGAATAATATCAAGGGGGTCTTAGGATAAATCTGTTCTCTATAGTGTGAAAGGTCAGCAGAGCCTTTTACTTCTCTAGACCTTGTATAACTATCCAAAAGGGGCGTTTTTTCCCGTTCGCGAGTTAATCGAGATCCCCGAGAGGTCTGATTTCTGCCTGGCCATATGCCAATGATTCAAGACTTATGAAATGAAACGTCTGAATTAACCTCTATTAATGCTGCTTTGGATGAAAAGAACAAAAATTGAAAATAGTGACTAACATCTGAAAACCGACTCCGACATTGGGTGCAGCCATGCGTGAGTTCGTATGCCCTAATTTCCTTTTTTGGTAAGAATTACTTATCTAAGAAATAATAGTACAACAACCGAGAAGAGAAGCAAAAACACATAACAACTCATGACAGATGCGAGTACGATCCCTGTCATACTCTCAATCAGTTACTTAAGATAAAAATCTTAAGTTAGTAAATATTCAGACCTATTCAGCTCGAGAAGTCAAGCCGAATTGCTTACCAAAGTTTCATGCACGTCCGGTATTAACATCACATATTATACCTCCGCAACAACCACGGAAACCATCGATCGCCGATTATCTGAGTACTTGCATAAACCCAATTAAGTTAGAGAAGTTCCTTAATGTATTATGAATCAATCTGAAATAGACCCTTAGTTGTCAGTCACATATTCAGCCTCATCTACCCGAAAGCTTCCTAACCAGCAGCCTCTTGCCACTTGCCACCTCTCGGAATAGCATACAAATTATACATAACGACAAAATAAACTGGATGATCGCCGATTAGTTGCAAAAGTACGAGTGGTGAGAAAACGTTGTAAGTGATATGGAGATGATTTCCAGGTTTAGCATGAGCTTGTGTCTAGTAGCGATTTCTCCACCAGTTGAAACCTCGCAGGAGGATTATTGAATTGGACTGGGTGTTAGTGTGCACACATGCTGGGATCAGAGTCGAGTTTTCGCCCCCTCTTAATAGATTTCATTCAATACTGATGGTATGAGTATGTTAACTTTAGCTTTCGATTTTCCCAACGTTCCGTTGAAGTAAAAGCGAGACATTGGGCCCGCGCCCGCTGAGGCGCCCTTTGAACCCTGATGAAGATGGGCCAGGCTGGTTCGGACTTTAGGGCAAACCTACGGATTCTGGAGCCTCCACTGGATGGATTTCGTATCATCGGTGATATGACAGATGCGTTCGACTGCATGTCGCGGACGGGAAGTCGGAAGAACGGGGAAGGAAAAGGAAAGAAGGCGTTTTCGAAGATGGTTAATACTCAGAGACTTAATTTCCAAAGAGACTAGATTTCTAGAATCTTGGGTATCGGTTGAATACCAAAGCTCGGACTGGTGGACTGGTTAAGCGAGCAATTGTACAGAATTTTTGCGATTTGGACATATGACATGGAGATGGACTAAAAATTACTATATGAAGCTTCAAATAACTAAATACTGCGCAGATCTAATCCACATAATCGTTCGTGCCATCGTCATCCTCATCGTCAACTAGATATCCTTCTTCTTCCTCATTAAACCCACCACTATCCATATTAGTTCCATCCATAATAGCTTGATTAGTTGTGACCTCCGAATCAACCGCAGGAACCACCGCCACCTGAGGAGAGCCCACAACCGTCAGCGGTTGCTGTACCGTCATCAGATATTCTGTTTGCGGCTGTCCTGAGCTGGGGATCATGTAAAACAAGTTAGGAGACGCTGAAGTGTCTCCGGAAGACACCTGTACCGTATTCGGTATCGTCATGTTTGTGGCGATAGCGTTGACTCCTTGGTCATTCGAAGCATTGGTTGTTGTATTATTATCGTTTGCCGTAAGAGGACTTGAGTAGGAAGTCGTATTCTGAGCAGCGGGACCTGGGGCCGGCATCACGGCTTGCATGACCATTTTCATTGTATTATTCCCCAGTGACTGACCGCCCGTGTTGTTGTCTTGAGTACCATTGTTCGCCGTATTGGTCTGGTTGTCATCCTTCTTGTTGTCGTTGTTTTCGGCCTCTGTCATTCCCTGAAATAATTTCTTGATTGCAGTGCAGAGTCCGCACCCTCGATCTCTGCTCTGCATTGTAGCCGTATTTGGGTTCGTGTTCGCGTTAGTTTGTAATTGCGTAGATGTAGTCAGGGGCTTCTTCGGGTCGTGGGGTTTTACGGCAGCGATCTGTGCGGATGATAATTCAGGTTTTTCGAGCTTGTTCACTGCATCGTTTTTCTTCTCTTCCTTAAGAACTGACGCTTGCTTCTGAACGATACTCCCTGGTGCACTAACAGCTGTTGGTTGACTATGTACGGATATTTGAACTTGCGGAAGTACGACGGGGACTGGAGATGCCGCCGAAGTAGGAACCTGAACAGGGCTGGTGGAGACTGGAACGAATTGGTTGTTCATGATTGTCATTGTCTGTGTTGCCTGCGTGGACTGCTGCTGTACCTGGATAATGTGTGGCGATGCATTTCCATCAATTGATGGATTTGTCTGCGTACTTGAAAGGACATGGACCTGCTGCTGCTGTTGAGGAATGTATACTAGTTGTTGCTGCGCAGCTAGTATTTCTCCTCCTTGTAATGCTGCAGAGGCGATATTTTGCGCTATACTTTCGGAGCTCTTCGATTCTGATGGCTTGTCGCTGTCTTGGGGTTGACTAACAGTCTCAGCTATGTCCGCCATTATCCTATTGAAGAGTATATGGGGAAAGGTTGATAGCAAGCTTGGAAAATTTAGCCCTGGGGTTGCGTTTGAAGGAAAGAAGAGAGGTAAAATTGCAATCAGAGCCGCATACCGGTAATCCCTAAACAAAACTTCTGATTACCGAGCATGATACTGTCGGTGGGCACAGACAACGCACTACCAGAGTCAAACCAGTAACCCCCCTGTACGTCAACTTGTATCAAGCGAGTCCTGGTTCTTCAGCAACCCCCCTACCAGAACATGCATGCACTAGCAGCCAGTGCTGTAACCTATTTAGCTAGACTATCAATGCACGGCGACCAGTCCATAGTACATGTAGGTGTCGAAATGATGGCTGACATGTTTTACACTAATCATTCAATTCGGTGTGTCACACAGCAGTCACCAGCGCCAGTATTTCATTCTTAGCCTCGTTGGTCCCAATTATTGGTTTAAGGCCCTTGTCAGGCTGTCATTATGAACGTTGCGCGTTGGCTCTCCGAGGACGAAGATGTGAAAATTGGGTCCGCAGCCAACCAATCCATGGAGACTTTGGGCTCTCATGCTAAACAGTCTATGTAGACTGATAACGTGTACGAGCGAGTCGGCGCCAAGCGGGCACAAATTGTCTCGCCAGATTGCTTAGATTAATAATGAAAATGACAGCTGAGTATCATTTTCATGCTGGCTGGACCTGTAGGATCTTCCCTGGGCTCAACGCGCACTCACTTTATTCACCTGGTAGCCCGTTTTGAAGGATTATCAATCTGACCAGAGATGATAAGACAAGAAGAGAGAAATGGAAATCTAATCCAGATGATTGCTCAATATGCAAGTAAAGTACATTGAAATAGTATTTCAGGGCCCTTGTGCCGCGGGCTCGTTGACCGCCACATCAGTCAGTACCAACAGCCTCCAGATACTTCAGCGTCTTCTGATAGCGGTATGTGCAGTAATCCCCATCCAAGCCCAAGGCAGATTCCGGCTTCTCCTGCAGGTCCCAAATCCGAGTGCGTCTTCCGCTATCCGGTAACCATGCAATCTTGCCATCAGCCTGAGGTTTGCAGATATATAACATCAACTCGTCCACTATATCTCATGGAGCCCATCGCACTCTTCTTCTCCGTGTTTGAAACGAACTTGATATCTTCGTATGGTGGGAGGACGCAATCAAAGTATCTCAAGCGAGCTAAAGGCTGTCAACAAGTGGTCCACACTCTGCAAGTTCTTTGATACAAGGGAGGTATTTCTGGAGAGCGTGAGCCCAGGCGGAACCGCATTCCAGTCCTCTCATCTTGTATGCTTCATTGATAATCTCCTGATCTTTCTTCTGATGAATTGGAACGTATACGCTGGCTGAATTTCTGTGCTTCCTCGCGGGCGTATTCCGGGGATTGTCAGTTGTCGCAAGCAACTTTCTCTTCAAAACCGGGCCGGCAACCTTGTCAACAAGCAATTCTTTCACGATTGCTTTGAGATCAGATGGCGAGATCATGTCCAGCACTTCATGGACCGCTATTTCAAACGGACTAGAATTAATGATGGGAAGGCTGCACCGATAATTCCAGACGTACAGATAGCCTCGTCGGTGGGCTCATCACTTGATAATCTGGCTCTCTTACTATCAGTATTATCAGAATCTTCTACAAAATCAAACAAACAGCGTCCTCCGGACGGTCGTTCCTGTAATTCGGTTCGTTTCCTGCAAAAGAATTTAGGCAGCTCAGAAGAACCGTCATGTTCTGTCACAGACGGATTGGCCATTATTTCTGGTCGAGATCTCTTTCTTCAATTGTGAAATGAATGAATACGTCTGTTGAAAATCTCGTTTGTGTCTCTTTGTCCTTGTCAGGGTTCGACATCTGGGAAAAGTAGTCACGAAAAAGCCGCGCTAAGAGTTCGACACGTTTCCAGCTTAATTGATCTTGATCTGCATCCAGCGTTCAGCGCCAGGGGAAGATATCGTCAAGTCGAACTCAGTATTTCAAGATTTGCTCGTGTCTGCTACTTCATGGAAATAGCTTTATACTTCTTAACTATGCATATCATACTATTTGAATACTAGTGTGCCTGCGCGAGGCATACAGATACACCATGCAATAACCACACACACACGCTCGCTTCAAATGCGAAAATAGGCTCAACAGTCGCTGGATACTAATAGTATAATGCAGTCCAATGCATAACAAATAAAATGGGCATTCAAAACTGCAGCTTGCTCACTTTTATTCCAATCTCTTTCGGTGACACGTCACGGCCGGACATCAAAACCACAGATTTCAAGCTGCCAATAGTAACGACCTCAATCCAATCACCAGCAACATCCTTTTGTGCTAGTATATCCAAGCATGCACCAATCTCCTCTGCCGGAATTGGATTTCGAAGGGAGTCTCGGACGGTCTGGATAAGAGAGTGCCATGAGAATGGTTTCTTCTGAGCGACAACAGCGCTATTATTCGTCGTCATAGTATAAGAAGGCCGCAACAAGGCAAGAACTCTTGCTACATCCTCAGCTCTTTGAGCGGCGGATCGACGAAGTAATTGTTCCTTTGTTGGTGCCGGTCCGAGTTTTGATTGTAGAAGCTCTTTGTTCTTGATACGCTCAAATAAACCCTTACGGCGGTCAGCAGTTGGGTCACGAGCGATGGGTATCACGGACCCTGATGCTGTCGAGGCCAGAGAAGCAGCTTTCAGCATGGCCGTCTTGACCTTGATAACACCACCTTTGAGGTCTTGGAGTCGTTGTTGACCTTTGCGAAATGTGTTGCAGGGATTGAGACAATCCTGAATAGGAGCCAGAGGTAGTTTGTCGAGTTGAAATGGAAGCTCCATTTCATCTTTCTTTCCATCTCTTCGAGACTCCCCTTGATCTTGCCATTTTCTTTCCATAATGTGCACAAATCGTTCATGGAATACGTTTTCATCAAATATTCCTTGTGATCCCGACCCCAAGACATCTAATCTCTCGATGCACACTTTGCCTAATCCATAGTTTGCGATCCGGAATCGCAGGTTGCTGCGACTCGAATTTGTCTTCTCCTCTTTTTTCTCGCCATTTTCATTGCCCTCGTATTCTTCATCCCACACATAGACAATTCTTTGCAAATCTTTCGGCACGACTTTACGTTTTTTCCATATTTTCTCAATGCTCGGCAAAAGTTCCCGAAGATCGGCAGATGCGGAGTAGTCATTGTGAGCAAAGTGTAGGGATAGTGCCTTTAGGAAGCAAGAGTGAAGATCGAGGAATTCTGAGAGCGCGGCGGGACGTTTTATAGTAGTCGTAGTTTCGGTTATGTTTGGTATCGAGGCTGATTTTTTGAAAGAAGGTGGTTTCGGAAGTGGACGTGTGCTCGTGCTCTTGCTTCTGGTCGTGGTAGATCTCGTCCGGGAGCTTCGGGGAGTTGAGAAAGAGAGATCAGAGAATTTCAAAGTCTTTGAAGGGGTATCTTCGACCGATAGATCTGGTAAGGCCTGTGTAGAGGGTGCGACTACCTCAGCTGCACTTGTGGCATCGTCGTTGGTAGTTGTGGAAGCGATTTCGTTGAGTTTTCGTTTCTTCGACGGAGACGCAGTCAGTTTGCAGGAGGGACTGTTACAATCGTCAATTACTTTACCGCCATCGAGCAGCAAGAGCGATTTGGAAGAAGGAAGAGCGCCTGGTTTGGATGTCCTTGTGAATCGCTGAATGCCTGCTCGCTGCGACTGCGAGCGAGGAAGGTGAGAGCGAGCCCGGTTCCTGGGACGAGTGGCCGTGGACATTATAGTGGTTGCTCTTTCTTTATTATTTTTTCAGTCGTTGTGTCTTGAGCTATATTGATTTTTTTTTGCACTTTCCTCAAGAATTGACTGGCAAGAGAGTTGTGGTGTTGACAATTCAATAGTCTTTGTTTTGCAGTGACTGTTCTCCGTTTTTGGTGTTTCCTTTTCCCAAAGTGGCTGGTTCGACGCGACCAAACAAAGACGCGTCGCTCGCGTCAATTTCGCGTTCCGCTTTACCCAAATCGGGAAGAATACTTCACAAATACACGACTGGAAATTTTATTAGCAAGAATCAAAGACCAGAGCTTGAAGATGATGTGAATAGGTCTTGTTCATATATTTAATCTTCACTCAGAGTGGGGTATGTTTTCATCCTGCTAAATTCTCCGAGTAACCACAGCAATTATCCGTACAGCTGGAATGTGAAGACCGGCCATGCGCACATCTCAACTGATATATGAAATCAAACTGGAGAAACATTCATTCCAGCCAGAAGCAAGCGGCCCTCATACGAATCGATACTTCTTATTGCCAGCAATACAGCAAGTTCTCACAATACCGATTATCTCGTCGAGGCGCATCAGAAACATCACGAGCCATTACTGGTAGTCAATCCCACAAAAGCAACCAACACAGCAGCATACGCAGCAGTACTTGACATGACATCAATCGGCTTCTCCCATATCAACAATTCAAACAGAGCCACACATACCGTCGTCGAAACAAGCGCGGTATAAAGCGTATTGTGGCCTACGTAGTCATAGTCCTTTAGGGCTTGTACTACTAACCCCGTTTCTGATTAACGTGCACAAGTGAAGAGAGAGCGAATGCACGGGAGAGATATAATGGGGGAGCACCATATTGCTTCAAATCCTCAGCCCAATCGACAGGTTCACTAGCACTGTACTGGAGATCAACTGCATGCTAAATCAGGCTATGCTACAGTTTCCGTATGTATGATCACTGCAGCTCCAAAAGATCGATTTGATAGCTGTATTTTCTCTTTTGCTTGTCTGTTCATCAGTTGATTTCTTATGATCGTGAATAGTATTCGTATTCTTCGGAGATCCTTCTCTGGAGACTTTGCATTCCATGACCATGCAAGGAAGGTTCTCTTCTGTTTGAAGATCTTTAGTATGATATTGCTGCGGTGATGGTCGATCATCCAATATGGATCAGTGAAGTCTAAATCTTCCTGTCCAGCATTGGCTTCGACATCATGTCCCGGATCACGTCTCTGGAACATATTGTACAGTATGCTGTATCGTCGGCTTTCACTACCGAGTAATGGTAGGTCTATTGGCAGATTATATAAGTTCAACAATAACACGACGATTGTGACTCGGATTCTCCGTATCCCGGCAGCAAAATCGTAAATTGAGAATCATCGCAGCCAATAGGCTTCTACCTACGAAGATCGGAATGAGAAGGCTTATTATACACAAAACATTGTCATATGATATTACATGCAGGGCTAAGTTTTTGACGACAGGTCATGATGGTATCGCATTATATTACTTTCTTTCCTCCGGCTACTTATAATCGCAGAGGGAAGACAGGATTCTTGTCTCATCAAACCTTTTATACATGCACCATGGTACCTCCACCACTCAAAGTAAATGCGCCTGACCATCATTTTCTCGTAACTTGCTGCGGCTTGACACTACAACAAATACTTGAAACGCTCAAGACTCTTAAGGACACCAAAGGATCGCTTGGGTGAGACCGAAGAAATCGTATTCTCCGCACAGCAGGTAACACTGTCTCTATGGACCTTCTCTCAGGTATTACCGCCGTGTCTCTATCCCAGAAGCCTGGAAAGGTCATCTTGATATTCGAAGACAAGGAGAAAGCAAAAGCATGGGAAAGAGATATGGTTCTCTGGGAAGAAGATGCCAAACGCGGCAACGTCACAAATAAACCTTATCTCAGCCTTGTGACAGTCTGAAAAGTCGCAGATTTCGATAGGAGGTTGAGCATATCGTATGGGATCAGGCACCCTTTCGTGAGCCCTCTTGCGATGGCGAGTATGTCGTCGGATATATTGCAAATATATTTCAGCAATGTGTTTGGCTTGCTAAGGTTCCATGAAACCTTCAACTCATCTAGGAATCTTGTGCGAGAGGAGCTTGGGCTTGGAAACGAAGACTTTCAGCGTTCCGAACGATCCTTGAAGAAATAAGATGAAGAATTATTGGCAGAGTGGAAGACATCAGATTAGTTAAAAGCCCTATATTAACCATCATTGATAACCCTAAAAGCATCCAATTAACATCGGCCTCATAAAAAAGATAGTATGAATCTCATATGACGTTTCCTTCAGGTATCATGAATTAAATCGAGATCACTTCCCCCCAAACCACGATGTGATACTCTTCTTCGCCTCTGCAGCCTTCTCTTCCACTTTTCGGTCTAATTTATCGACCGTCGTACCCATTTGTTTGGCTGTATCTTGACGAATTCGTTCAATCTTTTCCAGACTTTCCTTTGCACCTTCTCCGAAGCGACTATTGGCATCTTTGGCTTTCGCATGTGCTGAGTCGACCTGCTCCATGAATTGATTAGTATTATCGCTCTGAGACGGTCCGCTATACCCAAGGCAAAAGGGAGACGTACAATTTCGTCGAGTTTGGCAGTCGCCCTCGCGCCTATTTCTTCGCCTTTAGCCGCAGGTTCATTGGTACCCGGTAGTTTGGCACGCGCTTTTTCGGCATCGGCTAAATTCATGTTAGCGGTATCCTGGTAATCGTATGTAGTGAAGAGAGGTACCTTTAGCACGCTGCGCGGCTCCGTCGACGTCACCGCCGGATTTGTAGAGATAGTAACCGCCGGCACCAGCAGCGGTGAGACCAAGGTAGAGAGGTAGACGTGATTTGGACATGTTGACTGTTGTATAGGTGAGGTGTAGCTGAATTGGTTGAGTGTTTTGAATTGAGCCGAAAGAGCAGAGGGAGAGAAGAGGAGAAAAGTATTTAAAGATGAGGCCGGACTAGGCAGGACTATGACGTGAGGTATGCAACAAGGTTAGCCTAGGCACTATCCGAGGATGTCACTTTAGTCTGGAATAGATTTAAGATCATCATGTAGCTCTAAACTTGTTCATCCGTCGCTGGTGATTACATAGACCAAGACAGCGCCTGCAACTCATTTAGTCTCCTTGAATACAAAATTTTACTTGATTGCTCTAACATATCCTTCTCATTCAGTATATTTCTAGGTCTCTTCTTGTTGTATCGTGCTGAAAACGCATGTTTCTAGACTTCAACCTTGGAATTCAGGCAGATATGCTTCAATCTGAAGCTCTGATTGGTTGTAGTACAGTGTGGGGTAAGCATGAGATAATGATGTCATCACTCCTGCTTTTGTTATCCGCTAACCATATACAGTTAGCCTAGTGGCCTCAGGCCGCAATGTGCATTGTCCAGCCGTGGCCAATCAGCTGTCAGTTTTCTCATATATTTTGCTTCTGCTTCAAGCTGGAAGCAAAAGTCACAAGAAGTCGGTATCATTGTCTCTTAAGTGGTAGTCGGGGAGCTAGAGAATCATCTCTTCAGCATGCTCATACTCAAATCGACGTCGCAGCAAGAGAGCCAACTCTTATACTTCGAAGCCGCCCCATTGATTGAAGAAGAGTCACGAATAATCGATCAACAAAGAAATATGGTCTTATATAGCTTTTCCACATTAGAAATCAAACATAGCCTTTGATACATATTTTGTGTCGCTGTTGCAGTTCACGTGCCACGAAGACTTTTGTTGGCTTGCTCTAACCCTGATATCAAAATAAACTTTACGAAAGGCAAGCCGGCCTGTCCTTCCGCGGCAAGTCACTTACCGATGGCGAATCCAACATCTATATCCCACGGAATATATTCATCCACTGGCCTTTTGATTGTCTTCTGTTCCTTTTCACTTCTATCACACGCGGGAAATGATTCATCCCGATCATGCGAGTGTCGCCGGCTACACCGCAATGCCCAAACCAGCAAGACGAGCCGTCAAGGCTTGTCGGTTTTGTCGTCAACGGAAAGTGAGTTAACCCTCAATAGGACTCCGGGTTCTCATTTTTAGGCTAGTCACCTGGATGTTTAGAGGACACTAGCGGTGATTCATGATTCTGGATGGGCTTTAAAAGATATCGGCTCACGATTATGGCTGCATAGATGAAATGTGATAGTCGACAGCCGTCATGTCATGCGTGTGAGCTTCATGGGAAACTTTGTGTCTATGAGGAACTTCCGAGACGACCTAGGTAAGCATTTTATCATCTACGTCATTGGGACGGTTTTAGCATGCAACCAACACATTGTGTAGACCGTCAAATTCTCGAATCAAAGAACTAGTTGAAGAAAACGAGCGGTTGAGAGTATCCTTAGCGCTTTCTCAGTCTCAACCTGGGTGTGATGATGGGCCTGCGTCCTCGCTTACCCGTGATGATAATCCTCCGCCTCATGAAACCTCAAACCTGATGTCAAGGGATTGCATTGAGCGGGAGCAACAGCCAGAGTTTGATCAGTCCGCCCTCTCTGCTAGCAATGAAGACGTCAGAAGCGCACGCTCGAGTTCCAGGAAAGCCGTAAGATCCTCAAGGAGGAATCCAACGCCCAGAAATGTTCAGAACTCGCTCAGCTTCACAGAGGCCAGAAATACTCAGTCAAACGACGCGGAGCCTAGGTATCATGGACCAACTAGCACATTGTTTGATGACGCTGTTGGAGACCGTCGAATTCAACATAGCGTCCCTATTGCTCCCAGACTTCCACCCGCATGGGTGCAAAAGGGATTAATGGCTGAGGCAACATGTCAACGTATGTTCAGCCAGTTCATACACGGTGTAAGGACGTCTGACCGACTGACCTCAATAGGCCACATGGAAACAATCAATTACTCCCAGAAGAAACTTGACTTTGACGGCATCGATCCAGGTCTCGGAATGCATCTATTAGACCTTCATTGGAATCGCCAACACCACGCCTTCTTAATAACTTACCGCCCAGCTTTTATGCGGGACATGGCCTGTAATGGACCATATTATTCGAAACTTCTTTTGAATGCCATATACTTTGGTGCGTCCAAATTCAGCTCTCGGCCGGAAGTCCGCAGAGAACCTAAGGATGTCCGGACTGCAGGCTGGTTATATCGCGAGCGAGTTAGAGAATTGCTTGGTGGCGCCCTAGATCGCAGCGATATTACAACTATACAAGCTCTGTTGGTAATGGCCAGCTCTTTGTTCGCATTAGGTGATGAAAGAAGCGCTGCATGGCTTTATGCAGGCACTGCATTTCGTATGATTATCGATTTGGGGATGCATGTTGATGGGTCTCGGCTGCCTAATAATCGGAGGTTCAGTGATGAGGATCTCGAAATCCGGCGGCGTGTATTCTGGGGAGCATTTGGTATTCTCTTCTGAAATCCAATGAAGAGGACCATTCACTTACAAATTACAGTGGTCGATAAAATCCAGAGTCTCTATCAAGGTCGACCTGTCAGCCTCCAAGAACTGGAATGCAGTGTTTCAATCCAATTCATGGACCATTACGAGGAACTCGAGCACTGGAAACCATTCGCATATTCAGAAACGCAAAAGTATCCAGGATCACCAGCTTATAGTGTCTCGACATTTACCCAGCTTTGCAAATTGAGTCTAATCATGAACCGTATTCTCAACAAAGTCTACGGTGAAAGAAGTTCGAAAAGAACTCCAAGTGAACTTGCACAGGACCTCAAATCTTTGCATTCTGATCTCGATCAATGGTGCACAGGCTTGCCAGCGCATCTCACGTATGATCCTGCTGATACCTCCAAGCCTATTCCCCCTCCTCATGTCCTATCCTTACTGTAAGCCTCTAGAGTTTTTGATATCTTCAAGTCCCTTTGCTGACCAGATAAAAGAGCGATGTACAGTGTCCTCCGCATCCTTCTTCATCGACCATTCGTCTCAGATGGAGACCTACACTCCAGTCCCTCCAACGCCATAAACTCCTTTCTCGTATGTGCAACAGCAGCAAAAGAAATCGTCAGAATACTACGAGCATATGACTCTGCTTTCTCCATTCAGCGAGCACCATATTTGATTTCTTATGCCACATATGTAAGCGCTACGATTCACGTTCGCATCGCAGCACAGCGTGAACCGGGTTCGGAAGCTCATATCTGCCTGGCGATATGTTTAGATGTCTTTAAGAAGAATCAGGAAACGAATTGGGCTGTGAGGAGAGCGAATGGGATTATACACAATCTGATGAAACGGATGAATGTTTCAATTGGTGAAAGCGACATCAAGGCGTCGACAATGGAACAACATTTCGGAAACGATGATGGCCAAGAAAACAATAGCCCTATCTCCACGAGAGAACAACCTTTGACTCATCTAGCTATCACCGATGATCGAAACAAAGGCCTGGAAAATAATCCAAGAATGAATGGCCCAAATGACGATCTCATTTTATCGCCCTCGAACACAAGAACGAATGCCCAAGTAACCTCTGATCTAGATATTGACGCTATTATCCAAAGCTTCATCCGTGAACAGGAAATATACGCCCCGTCAAACTATCAAGGCGCAGAAAATACTTCAATAACCTATGAAGCCAGTCCTTTGGGACTGACCAGAATCAATAATGAATGGAGTAGCACTCCAGGAGCATTTATGTCAAATGAGATGGGTGTACAGCCTCCCTCATTGACTGGACAGTTGTTGCAGCCACCGGGAGATAATAGTTACGGGACGGAATACGCCCATCAGTCTTATCAGAATCAATTCTCCGCAAATGATATGTTGTTTGGATTTAATAGTTCGGAGATGGAGGGAAATGGGTGGGAACTTGATGATACCATGGTCTGAGAAATAAAATGTCTTATGAAGGCATGAGTGATATCTTCCTAGATGTACAAAATCTTGTATCCTTCTCACGTTTTCATGGCAATACTACCTTTATCGTTGACAAAGTGAATATGAATGTGGCGAATTATCAAAAATGTCATGCTTAATGATACCTACGTACCGGATTTCCTTTGACACCCCGTGGCTTTCCCTTTCCATTTTAGTGCTCATCCCCTCGCTGCTTTTACTCACTGAGTAGAACTGAGCACGCCCTGAGTGCCGCTGACCGGATCAGTGAGCCAATGCAGAGAGCAGTCTGATCCGCTCACTGAACAACCCCATGGCGACCTCGCTTTCTAAAAAGTCGAGACCATTTCCCTCATCGGAAACATATTCACCCAATACCAGACTCTGGAGCACGCTTTATATAGTTCCGAAATGTGTTCCTTGTGGAGGACCTCATGAGTCATTCAGTAGAAACTGCCGAGTACGCCTCTTGCAATCTCATGCGTAAATCATTTTGCGCACTACAACTCAACGTGGGTAAAAGAGACACGGTACAGCAAAGCTTAATGAATAATGACAAAATTAGAGACTACGGGGTGATGGCAGTATCCGAACCATATACGCGGATAATTGAAAATGCGGTTATAACAAGTCCAATAGGTCACAGTCTTTGGGCAAAGATGATACCCACAGAGAGACATAAGTGCAGATGGCCAATCCAGAGTATGCATGGGTTCAGGGTGATATCGAGGCTGGACAGATCCCAGTATCATTCTCAGATCTGACAGCCGCGGTACCATAACTTCCAGGCCGGGCAGTGCTAGTAATGTTAGTCTATGTGGAGAGAATCAGTGAAGAAGCATTGACATCCACATTAGATTGTTACGCAGCCTAGTAGCAGACATCCAGGGCATGGGAGGAACAGACAGATGTGTTGATAATGGGAGACTTCAACAGGCATGACCAACTCTGGGGAGGAGATCAGATACCTTCTTTGAGACAGGGGGAGGCCGATGATCTGATTGACTATATGAGCGAGTACTCTCTCCAAAGCCTCCTACCTAGAGGCACGAAAACATGGCAATCAGGGGATAGATAGATAACAACTGACTTGGTACTAGCATCAAGAGAGCTAGCAGAAGAGATGGTACAGTATGGCATATACTATATAAACCATGGATTAGACCATCAAGCAATTAAAATGGAGTTTGATATATTAGTTCCAGATTAACTAGTTAATGAGAGACTGCTCTTGAAGAACACGCCATGGACAGAAATCAGATCTAGACTAGCTACCAATCTACAAGTGGTTCCTCTAAGTGGCTCAGTGCAAGCGCAGACAGACCATCCCATAATAGTAGTCATGAAAGCAGTCCTAGAGCTATACTAAGAGCAAAACCCTTACTATATACTAAGCGGTGATGGAACTTAGGTCTAACATAACTTCGCTATATATATACCTACTAGATAAATTAGGCTAGATCTTAACGTAGAAGGGAATACATAAATCCTAAGCTTAAACGATAGGCCAAAGGCGCAGCAAAGGAATATCATGATTCAATCCAGAAATAGAAGAAGGCACACTGGGAAGACTTCCTTGCTAATAATACTAATATATGCAGGCAACTAAATATCTAAAGCTAGGTGGTAACTCATTTTGCGATAAAATACCACTACTGACAAAATCAGATAGGTCTACTACCAAAGACAAAATAGAACATGCTGAAGAGCTACTTGGATTAAAGATGAGGGAGCCTAACTACAAAGGTAGTTTACCCCGGAAATGCATCTTGTCAAGGTGCCCATTTCAGTCAAGTCTCTCGCCGCTTTACTCCCCCGCTAGCGGCGTCGGCTCCCGCGTCGCTCGCGTTGATTCCCGCGAGGCTCCCGTGCTCTCGCGTCCTGCTCTGGCGTGCTTGATGTCTGCTCACGGCGGCTCCCACTAGACCCCCGTTCCCGTCCTCTCTGCCACAGCCTCTCTACAATCCACCTTTTCCGTTAATCTTCAATATTATCAGCTATAGACGAGATGACTCGTTTCATGGCCATGGAGCTCATCCTGGACCAACTAGGGCCAAGATTGGCTCTCCTTTTCAATGCGAAGCGAGATTTGGCTATTGGCTCGATAATAGTCTTGACGGCTCCCTGTGCCATCTTTATAGAATGTGCTTATCCTACAACTTGGTACTTCGTCCCTAACTCATTCTGCGTCGCAGTCAACCGCTTCTACCCTTATATTTGACCTTCATTACTTTTTTACAATTCCATTAGATCCGAGTTCCCCTGCTATGCCCCTGCAAAGGAAAGGAAAGCCATTTCTTGAGAAGGCTCGGCAGAATGGCGCAGATCAAAATAGACAAGGAATTAATGGCGAAAGAGTCAACAGTCAGGTCGAGCCCAATACAGAGAAGGAATATGAGAAAGCACAGAACATGTGGAGAGAGTTTGTTTTCCCCTTTCGACAGATCTAATTCTGATTCTAATTGGTCATAGATTCTGTTCTTACAAGGGAAAAGATCCTATAGCAAGCGTCTATGATCTGGAGCCGCTGAAGGACTTTGTACATCACCTAGCTTACGGGATTGAGGGAAGATACGACGACGAAGCAGCAGGGCAAGGTTCTGTGAAGGTGGTGTGGAAAAGGTTCACCGCCGGGTTTAAACGTAATCATGACGGTATCCCTAGGCATATAACACTCTCTGTGACGAATTTAAGCGAGCTGTGTTCTCCTTTCGTCTCCCTGATCTCCTTTGTTCTTTCGCGTCCTCACCCTCCCCGTGTTTCTGATATGGCAACCGCGATGAATCACTGTTGGTGTCTAATTGCCGATAGTTCCTTCGTGAAACAGTATTCCCGACACGTGGAAATAAGCGGGTTAAACGGAGGCGGAAGCATGCAAGGAAGAATCACTTCATCCACCTCGGTCGGCAGCTCTGGGAAAATGACTACCATGAATACACCAAAACGATCATAAGAGTCAGCCTATGGGCGCAGATGCTAGTCTACGTCTTCTCGTCTGCGAGGCTGTGTGAGTACCTCGAGGGTGTCTCTCGTGCAAACTCTCGCAGGGGGTTGTATTGCAAGATTAGTCGTCCTCTCGCGGGATTGCTGCAGAAAGAGTCCTAGCCGACTCCTTTCCACTTCAGGATATCAAATTAGGGTCATTCGAAATGAGCTCAGCGAGTCTGAACTTGTGTTTCAGGTAGTGAAGGACGCGAAGGGTATGACAAATGCGCCTGAGAAACGGTCAGTTGCCGTTGTCCGTAGTCGATTTTATATAGCTCTGATAGTGGAATTCTAGACCCGAACATGAACTTTATGAAGGATTATCGACAAGTTCACAGTATCTTCTATTAAACCCGATGCTACCGATCCTCGCGATGTTGGTTGCGAGTGATAGGCTGCGAGACTATTGTACGTCGAAAGCTGTTTTGGCAATCTCCGCTCCTCCACCGGACGAGGTTCACGTCCTCGAATGGAAAGATCCAGATTGCCCGCTCTTTGAAGGCCTAGACGACCCATCGCCAATTCTATGCACCAAATAATGGGGCCGACAAGGGGACAAAAACCTACCCATAGGAGTATTGATAGCAATATCCTTTGAAAAACCCCCCTGGATTCAGTTCCACCTGGTATGAACCGATTAGCAAAGAATGATCCAGGAAAGAAAAGAAAAGCAAGTGATACATTGTCCGATGGTTGAATATAGTGACCAGCTCCTATTCCAGAAGCGTATGAGTCCCCAATGGCCGCCAATTTCTCTATCCAGGTATGATCAAAGGGGCTGGAGGCTTGAATGGATGCCCGGGCATAATTGGTTGACGCGAATGCTATGGTGATAGTATGGGAAAGAACCACCAAGATAGCAGTAAATAGAACCATCATTGTTTATCAATCAATTGTTTCACCCGTTCAAATGTTCTTGAGAAAGGAAAACCGTGGTTTTCTTTCTTTCTTTCTTTTTAAGCGGTCTCTCATGTTTTTGTCCAAAACTCAAGTGACACACATCTGAAAGACACTAACGCTACATATGTACCAGAAGAGGGACGCCATTATCAATTTTGCACAAGAGATCTAGACCAGGACTAAACACTTGTGAAACAAAATGGCTGAACAATCTACTGCCGCCAACCAATTGACACTGTGCAGTTAACCTTGCTGATGAGATATAGACAGAAACATACTACATATGCACATGCATTTTGGTCGTACATGTGCATCAATCAATTGATGATATCTGTACGATGCAAATTCAATGTTATGCTAAATCTGGCAGATGGTATTACACCAAGGAATACTCGGGTATTTTTACATGACTAAATTAAACGATCCATAGTTCCATACTGTGTATTTCAAGCCACGGCGCTTATTTCCTCCCCGAATAATTATATCCAAATTTTGTATGTGGGAATGTTATGTGTTAAATAGTCAAGGACCTCCAGGACAGGGTGACTCCACAACATTTGAGGCTAAAACATCCAACGACACTAAGTACCATCACCATGCCCAATAAAGTAGTCCAGCGGAAACTAATGCTGAAGTGCTTACGGAGTAGTGAGTGCCGGAATATAGACCTAGTTCCTTATATGGATATATCGTTTAGTGCTCGCCTTCGCTTGTCATCGCTCTAGTAAACCAACGTTCCGACACAACGTTTCCGAATAACCTCACATCGAACCGTCACACTGAGCTCACTGACACACTCTATAAGGCTACCTTAGAATGCCACGATATAATCACAACATTATTACTGGACAAAGATGATACCTATAGAGAGATATGATAGAAGATAGCCAATTAGAAGCATGCTATGGGTTTGGAGTGATATTAAGGCTGAATAGATTCTAGTAGCATCTCTAGATCTGACAGCCGCGATACTCTAACTCCTAGGCCAGGCAGTGCTAGTAGTGTCAGTTTATGTGGAGGGAGACAGTGAAGAAGCATTAACATCCACTATTAGATTGTTATATAGCCTAGTAGCGGATATCTGGGATAGGGGAGGAACATGGATAGATGTGTTGATAATGGGAGACTTCAATAGGCATGATTGACTCTAGGGAGGAGATCAGATATCTTCTGTGAGACAGGAAGAGGCCGACAATCTGGTTAATTATATAAGTGAAAACTCTTTATACAGCCTCCTATCTAGAGGCACGAAAACATGGCCATTAGGGGATAGAGAGATAATAATTAACTTAGTACTAGCGTTAATAGAGCTAGTAGAAGAGATAGTACAGTGTGGTATACACTATGTGACGGTGCCAATCTGCTTGGTTTGAGTACGCTATTCTAGCTAACTATCTCGTACAAGAGGTGCTTGTCGACAGGCAATATTAAGCATAAAGGGGAAAAAGGAAGAAATGAAGTAAAAGGTCTGGTTCTCGCTTCTCATGTAAATCTCTGTGCAACGCGCCTTTCCCTATCCAGTTCTGACGTCTGATGTTGATATCACTTCCCAATACGGCGCGGATAGGGTTACACGGCTCCTAGCCCTATCCGTGAACTGAAACGGGAACGCAGAGCCATGCCCAGCCGTCACACACTATACAAACCATAGATTAGACTATGAAGCAATTAAGATGGAGTTTGATATATTAATGCCAGAGTGATCAGTCAATGAGAGACTGCTCTTGAAAAATGCGCCTTGGACAGAGATTAGATCTAGAGTAACTACCGATGTCACTGCTAGGGTGAAATAGGTCTTCATTTGCAGAGCGTTCACCTTTCGCATCCGAGTTTGCTTCCGCCATTAAGCCGGGTAGCTATGTGATTGCACCACTGTTGAGCCCAGGAAACATATTGAAATTGCGCTCCATCGCTTCCAGGACGTCCACTGAGGGAATGACATGCGATTTTAGACTCAACGCTACCTGCGAATATCTGTCCGTAGATATCGCCCGTCTTGGTATTTCGTACGACGGAACCGCAGTCACCAAGCTGAAGACATTCCTCAAAATCAACCTCGAATGCTTCTCGGTGGTTTTGGGGAGGCGGAAGTATAATGGTCTACCAGATAGCTTTCCAGTCAAGATTTCGCCTGAGCTTGTTATTGCCGTAACATCAGCATCTCCATTACCGACCTTACACATATTATCCCACGAAAAGGTGGGAAGGGTCGCTGTGAGATAGTCATTATCGTTGATCTTAATTAGTACAGTCGAGCTCCATTGAGGTGATAAAAGGTGGTTTGATCTCGAAGTGCATAGTGGCAGCCTGCCCGCAGTGTCCTCTGATTCCAAGGACCGGATGGGCAGGATGAGCTCCTTATAAGCTTCATCCAGCGCATCGTAGAGTTTCTAAATCCGCATAGCAGATACTGTCGAGCATAAAGAACAGTGAGGCTGTACTCGTACAATGTAACAAGAAACAACGGAAATATAAGGCAATAAATGTAGCAAGCAACAAAGAACAATAAGAAGCTGCCCCGAGTATCAAGATCTGAGTTATGGTTGGAGCGAGAGCGAACCCTAACATTGAGCATGGGACATTGATACTTAGTCTTGCTAGGGAACTGAGGGACCTGAACCAAAATTGAATAAACCCGTTTTGTGTTCTTTAATAAAGGCAAGCACTTGAATAGTATCCCTTAGATACCCTTTCGCTTAGAGATTTAATACACCTTGAAAGATTCGGATCGGGCCATCGTAGAAGCTTCATCAAAAATCTCAGTTTGAAAATAGAACCTCAATCCAGCCATTTTATGTTAGCAAATGCTAAGGTTTGGATCCTCTATAACTCAACTAGGGGCTGCACGGAGAGGTAATTGGCATGAAAGGCAGATGGATTCTCTACGAGTGAATTCTGAGCACCGTGATAATAGTTCTTCAATCAAAACAGAAGGATACCTCGATATATCGCTAGTCGAATTTGCAGAGTGACCTGTCCACAGCTGCACTCTCAGTGTCTGCCCAGTGAGCACTTAGGGAGCGTCGGCCCGGACTGAAATTTACTCAGTGAGCCTGACTGCGAGTGCCCTCCCAAAAGTGGCGGGAACTGTGAAAGAAAATCACACTCGGCAAAAGAAATCTGGTACGTATAGCTACCCAGGTACAACGGAAGACATCCGACTTCTCCAAGGAAAAAGAAAGCTATATAATGGCAAGAGACTAAATACATATTCACACCTGCTCCTTTTGCATCACAGTAGGCTTTAACCCTCCTACCTCCCGATCAACAGAATCAGACTCTCCCGGAGTCTCAGGGGGCGGCACAGAATAACTCCTAGCCTTTTGCACAACATCAAAAATATTGTTAGTCTGCCGGAAAATAATATCCATCTCCTCCAATGACCGGCCATTCGTCTCTGGAAACAAGAAATACACAATTGGCACAAAGGATGCATTTAGCACAGCAAAGATAATCCAATATCTACTGCCCAAGTGTGTGGTGCCTGGAGGCGTAATCTGAGCGACAACGAACTGGCAAAGCCACTGCGTCGCGTTGGCGACTGCTGTGATGGGTACGCGCAGTCGTAAGGGTGCTAGTTCAGTGGCGTATAGGAATGTTTGACCCAGGAATCCGATGGGATAGAAAAGGTCGAATAAGAAGACGAAGACAACGGCTGCGTTTGCGGCGCTGCTGCCTTTTGGTTGGCCGCCTGTTCCTGCGATAACTGCTGTGCAGATTGCGAGGCCCGTACCGGTTATCATGAAGAGTTTTCGGCGGCCATATCGGTCAATTAAGAAAAGTGGGATAATGGCACAGAGGGTTTGAAAGGTAGTTAGACAAGCGCCAAGCACTTTAGCCTTGTCACCTTTGAAGCCTAGATCCTCAAAGATTGTGCTAGTATAAAACACCAAGGCGGAAATACCGCACATTTGCTGGAACATTTGTCCACAAGCTGCGAGTAATGTGCGATGTAGGACACGCTCTTCCCCGTTTCTGGCAAGTTCCTTGAGACTGCCAGTGACCAGGGACAAGGATCGTTCGATTTCTGCCATTTCCTGACGCACTTTGGGTGAGTCTTCGGACTCGTTTTCCAATGCAGCCAGAACTCTTCTGGCTTCTTCCATTCGTCCCTTGCGGGCTAACCAGCGTGGTGACTCGGGCATTAGGAATAGACACGGAATCACAAACAGGGAAAAAGTAACAGGGAATATCAAAGGTAGTCTCCATTGAACAGACTTGTTGGATGAGAATGAACAGCCAAAGGATACCCATTCCGAGAGGGTAATTCCACTGCTAATACAGAGACCTTCTAGGACAACAAAGGCTCCACGATGTGCTGTTGTAGAGCACTCCGACTGCCAAACGGGTACAGCACTACTGATTGTGCCAATAGCAGCACCGATAACTAATCTGCCGATGGTGAATTGCGCGACACCGAAAGCAGAGGCCTCTAGAACAAGACCGATGATAGACAATAAGAGACCGATGAGGACGGTTCGTAGTCGGCCGATGCGGTCACTGTAGCCAATACAGAGCAAGGAGCCGATGACAGCGCCGAGATCGTACGATCCGGTGACGACGCCTTTGATTGTGGCATTGTGAGATTTTTGAGCGCCGGTAGTATTCACTGTGTCGATGGATGGAAATTGCTAGAGTATCAAGACGTCTGAGCGTAGATCCTGAAAATATAAGGGGGAATAACTCACATGGACAAACGACTCCAACGTCGCGATACCCCCGGTTGATCCATTATTGTATCCGAAGAGAATAAAGGAAGGCGCAACGACAAGCAAAACCATTGCTGTCCTAAGCTGTGTGCCTCGAAGGCGTAGAAAGCTTTTTCCGCCTCCCATTTAGAAATTGTCCTACTTGCGAACAGAACAATCGGGCTGTATGATTGTAGTTCTGAAATCAAGTATGGCCGGTATTATACATTTATCCAAGCAGATAAATGCCAAATTTATATATTTTCCACGTGCGTGCATGACAAGGATCCCCGCAAAAAACTAGGTCGGATGCATGCGAGAGGCATTGACCCATATCGGTGGTACACCGTTCACCCCACGGGGAGATGAGCGAATCCACTTTGTCCGGACCAGAACCACCCATTGCTTAACTATCTTTCAGCTATCAATAAAAAGGTGGAACCTTTCTAGAAGTTGGGGTGGCGTGGCTGGAGGTATTCCGTGAATTCCCACGGCTTTTGAGATGCCGTGGCTCGTGACTTGCCGTGCCCTAACAGGATGTCAATCATATGCCGTGTACGTATGAGTAGGCAAATGACTCGGCAAGAAACATAAGGATTAAGCATGAAAGGAGAGGCGTATACAATTTTAGGAATTAGCCATCGAAAAGTGATCGCACTACCATTTCCGTCATGGATGTCCGCAATTCACCGAAGACATAAAAAAACCTCGAGTTATCACCTGGCCGAACAGAAAAGGTAAACGGACAAGTACAAGTGATATACCCACAATAGTAAGCAGATGCAGATCAACCATATCAGAACATTGCTCTCGTCAACACGTCTTCGAGCAACAACTGCTGCCGCCGCAATGCCCACAGCATACAGTCCCGTGTCTATAGAGACACAGAAGCCTCGAGTGCCGTCCCAGCTAATTGTAAAAGCAACCGGAACAGCCCTAGACCTATCTCGACAAAAACGATATCGTCTCAAATCCGTCTTGATGCGTTCTGGAACATCTAGGGGTCTATTTCTTCATCGTCATGACCTCCCGCCTTCACCCTCAGACTGGGATTCGGTGTTAATCGGTGCCATGGGATCTCGTTACAATGACCCTCGACAACTTGAAGGTGTTGGTGGCGCTACATCAACCACTTCCAAGGTGGTTATCGTTGCGAAGTCAGATCGGCCGGGTATCGATGTTGAGTATACCTTTGCGCAGGTTACAGTGGGACAGGAAAAGGTTGATATGACGGGGAATTGTGGGAATATGGCCTCTGGAGTAGCGGCTTTTGCGCTTGAAGAGGGCTTGATAACTGCTGCTCCTGGTCAGATGGAGGTAAGCATTTATAACCTCACACAAGTCTTTGTCAGCCATATATACCATTGTAAAGAAAGATGCTGATATTTGTTTTGTCGTTCTGGTACAGATTTCAGTCAGAATCTTCAATACAAACACCAAATCCATGCTTATAGAGACAATTCAGCTCGACGGTAGTGGTCACTTTCTCGAGGAAGGCGACTATCGTATCGGTGGTGTCAAAGGTACAGGCAGCAAAATCAGAGTCTCTTTTGTAAAACCCGGCGGATCGATGACTGGCTCCACCTTTCCAACTGGCAATCGAGAAGACGAGCTCCTTATTTCGCCTAGTAGTAGCAACCTGTCAAAGGAGCCTTTTACCGTTAAGGCTACCCTCATCGACGTGTCTAACCCCTTTATATTTGTTGATTCTTCCTCGCTGCCTCCAGAATACTACGCTCTAGGCCAAGATTCTGAGGCATCCTTGGAGATCATAGAAGCTATTCGCCGTGGGGCATCAGTCAAGTTTGGATTTGCGAGCGACACACAAGCTGCTGGGTTGAGAAAAGGAACACCAAAGATTGCAATTGTCTCGACGCCTGTGGTTCCAAATTCAAACCTCACAAGCAACGACACTCCGGATATTTCAGTGCTAGCATACAGCATGGGTAAAGTTCATCCTAGCGTGCAGCTGACGGGTGCCGTATGTCTTGGAGCAGCAGCGAACCTCAAGGGAACCGTGGTGGAAAGACTAAGAAGGAAGGCTGGTTCTAATTCAGACGGAGCAGTAACAGCATATGATGAGCAACTGATTAGTGGGAAAAAAGGTGGTCTTGTAGTGATTAGTCATAATAGTGGCACTATCGACGTCGATGTTGATGTGACAGCTAATGACGAGGTTGAGAGCATTACAGTTTTCCGCACAGCGCGCAGGGTGTTTGAGGGCACGATCTTTGTTTCCGGATAGACTTTTGTGTGTATGGATTGATACAGATTGGAGCACTTGTATAATAAGAACATCGTCTTAGAGGACAATATCACCCCCAACCATGAGCTCTGGAATGTTGTTATAAAGCAAGTATCACGCCAGGAAAAGCCATGTTGTTCGGAGTGGGGTGTGAAGTCACCGATATGTCCCGGGCAGAGTGGTAATGACATGTATGTACGTAGAAATACCTTATTCCTTTAGTTGGGGAGTAGCATATTTTAGTACGTTATAGCGTGTTTTTTTTTGATATTTTATTATGCAAGGCCTCTGATTGGCCAGATCTACGGCCCGAATCCAAAAATCCGGCAGAAAATCTGACGCGCCCCGTCAGCCCATTACATCGTCAAAAACGTGATTCGGAGCAACAAAGAGGCATCACAAAAAGCATCAAAAATCATGGATTCCATGTCTGCAAAACAGGACTACGAGCCGCATCAGCCTAGCTCTAATCCCCAGCGAAAACCAGTGGGAAAAAAAGCCGAAGCTATGGCAATCCTAGCACAGATTCCAGATGTAAAAGACGTGCATTTTGACGCGTTACAAATCGATAAAAATCACCCACCCCAGCTCCAGTTCTCCCCCCCCCAGATCAATGAGACGGATCCATATCAATTATTTAGTCTATTTTTCAAGGATTCTTTATGGAAAGTTCTCGCCGACAATACAAATTTATATGCGCATGCGAAAGAATGCAAGAACACCGGGGTACACCACCGACATTGGCGATCAACGACACCGGAGGAAATGTGGGTATTTATTGGCATTCAGATTTATATGGGGATTACTTGGTTCGAGATGTCCTTTGCTTCGCATGGCAGGATAATAATATTATCCTCGGCCTCACTACAATTCATACTGTTGATGGGACAGATGATTTCGTCGACCGTGAGCGCCAAAGGCCTCAAAAGACATCAACTAATGGGCTCTTAGTGCACCGTGAATTTGGTGATATGGCAGTTAAAACCCTGCCTATCCCACGCTTTATTGACGATTACAATTTCCATATGGGGGGAGTTGATATAGCCAATCAACATCAAGCTGCGTATGAGACCCATACACGTACATATCGCTCATGGTGGCCTCTATGGAATTGGTGTTATGAGCTGATCTCATGAGTATGTTCGGGCGAAGCCCTCACGGATATTGACAACAGCGCTATCTGCCGGATCCCGGCAAACCCGAATATGAAGCTATTCCCAGATCCCGCATGCTTGCGCAACATCGCCTATCCGGAGTCGTACGATGTCTGGAGTCATACGATATCAGGCAACCCCGGGTTCCCGGAAGAAGCATGTTGGAAGCCACTAATTCCCCTTGCCCATATAAAGTTGTATGCGTGTGAAGAACCTGTTGTTTCCTTTCTCTTTTCTCTTCTCATGTTATGTTTTCTATTCAAGTATACCCTTATAGTGAGCATTAGGCGGGACTAGCCCGTAACATTGGGGGCTAGATGCCACTATTGTGAACGCTTATAAGCTACATTCTTTACGCTGTAAAGAGCTTAATAAAGCTTCTGTTGGTTTAACTACGGTCCGTATCACGAAGCATAGACGGTAGTAAGGCGCGAACACGAAGCGGCCTAATGAGCCTGACAATATGAAGATATCTTGATTCCTAATATTGTGACTTATTCCTAAGAACGAGGGGGAACGGGGGGATAGCTAGTTAGATATACACGCGGCACGCACGTGCCACGTGAGACTAAGTAGTCCGGTGCCGAAACGCGTAGGGTTTGATATTCACGTTCCGACAGCTTCATTAACCCACGTTGAGTTCCGGAGGGCTCTTTATAAACGGCTTTTTAGCTTCAACCCCCTATATCGACCGGACGGTGGGAATGTTATGAAACGGAAGACGGAGAGCCCCAAACTGCCTGAATCCCAATTGACTAATCCCATACTACATATAGCTGTAAGAGATTTTTCCGGCATTCAAAAGCGGTGCTTTTGGTGTCTACATTATAATCCCAAACGTGGAACTAGCAATGGGAAAATCGCTGTAGGGCGTACGCTGTTCATGTGTAAGGCATGCCAGCTTCCACTTTGCCGGCCAAATTCCGGAAGAACGTGCTTCCGGGACTTTCATACGCCTTAATTCTATCCTAATCCCCTTTTTGGTTATGTGAATAGCTTCCAAATAGGTTTTTATTGTATATTATTAGAGCTTCTTTCCATTTCATCCTTTTCTCTAAGAAATTGTATGGGGTTGCAATCACTGACCGAGGTGGGCGGTGAAGGCAGCCGGAGGCGGTCAAGGGCTCTCAGAGGGCTGTAATTAAAAGCTGGCCAATCGGGAGCCCGAGATAGCAAAAATACCAAAAAAACACGCTATAACGTACTAAAATATGCTACTCCCCAACTAAAGGGATAAGGCTTGAAATATACGAGTGTCTTCCGTATTATACCGTCATGAGAAATTTAATACAATAAGTGGGCTGATTATCTTATCAGATCCGCTTTCTGCACTAACAAAGTTATCAGATCCGAGCTCTCCGTCTTGGACAGGAACAGAGAGACGGTATGTTTTCTGTCAAGTACATCTTGAGATCCGGAGTGAGTCTTAGGTATAAGAACTACCTAATTGAGGGGGTTATGTGTCATATTATCTCTAGCGAAGAAAATTTGTCTCGTTGGAAAGTGAAAATACAACATGGCGCTTCCTCCACTGCCGGTTTCCGTGATAATTTCTCTCTTCAAATATATTGACATTTTTTGTGGGTTTCTCGATGCTTCGCCTGATTGGTAGGTCATCCTCGCGTATTAAAATACGTTATAGTCAAACTTAATTGTTATCTGATCAACTTTATTAACAAAATTCTGGCCTTCCTCACTTCTCGGATCCTTTTCACAAATCTCCAAGATACATACTGTGTTGAAAACAAAATAAGAAAGAGCAAAGATAATGGTATCTACACCGCCAGAAAAATCCAATATCCGGCCGAGAATCTATCTTCGTGATTTTAATGCTACCTTAATTTGCTCCGTTGCCCTGCTTTTCTTCTCGGCCTTGAGTTACGGGTTCAGTGATCAGTCATTCGCTTCGACACAGGCTACTTTTGCGTTTAAAAAGCAGTTCGGCGACTATAAGCCCAAGGAAAAAACATATGCTTTGCCGGCTTTGTATCTGAGTCTTTTGAATAGCTTAAAAGCGGGGACTCAGCTCGTTGGTAAGCTTGGTGGAACAAATTTCCCATCTTTACTCAATATTGCTAAATAACTACTGGTTGCCATAGGTGTCATCATCGGAAACTTTATCAGCAAGCACTATGGTCGACGATGGTGTATCTTCGTTATGAGTCTATATTCCCTGGGGAGTGTGTCGGTTATTGTATCCGGTACCAGCCGCGGGCAAATGCTTGCGGGCAGGAGTATCCATTGTATGTGACAAAACATATTGTGATAAGTATACAACTGACCATATAGATATCTACTTGGGAATGCAACTGGCCGTCATTCCGACTTTCCTAGCTGAGATCTCTCCCACGCACCTTCGAGGTGGAACAGGGGCTCTCTATTGGCTGAGTATAAAGGTCTGCAATCCGCGCTTGTGCATTTATCGACATGCTGACTTCCTCATAGTGTGGTGGACTATTAGTCACTGGTATCGTCAGGGCTACTTCGACGAACAAATCCAATATCGCCTGGCAACTTCCGATAGGATTGATCTTAACCTTCCCCTTTTTGGTGGCTGCTCTCGTGTGGTTCATTCCTGAGGTATGTTTCACTCTACCTACGTACATATTTAACTTCAAAGAAAGGAATCTATATTGATATAGCTTCTCAAAAGTCCCCTCGCTGGCTGCTGCTAGTTGATCGACATGACGAGGCTCTAGCAGCACTCACCCGACTCCGCCAAACCCGCGCAGAAAAACGAAACAAAGTCCCCATATCAACCGAGATCCTAGTGGAGTTTACAGGCCTCACCGGAACAGTTGAAGGTATAAAAACGGCTCGATGCGAGAAGGGGGGATCTCGAATTCGACAATTCTTCTCCATCTTTAACCGCTCCAACTTTCGTCGTACCTTCATCGTTGTTTTCCTTCTCTTCTTTCAGCAGTCTACGGGGCAATCATTCGCCTCACAATACAGTACCCTCTTTGTCCAGGCCTTGAACACTGTCAACCCATTCAGCGTAACCCTCGGCACCAACGCCGTCGATATCGGGGGTATTCTTTGTTGCATTCTTCTCGCAGACCGACTGGGCCGCAAACCAGTTCTCATAATCTCGGCTGTCCTTCAGACTGCCGCTTTGCTTACGATGGGCGGCTTGGGCACGACAGACCCTTCGACTTCAGCAGACTCCGATTCTATCAAGGCTGGTATTGTGGCTATGCTTCTCCTTTTCTCTTTCGGTTGGTCTTTTGGATATGCGCCTCTGGCATATGTCGTAGCTGCCGAACTACCTTCTCCATATCTCCGGGAGTATACGCTGAACGTGGCCTATACAGTGAAATTAACCATGGAATTCGTTGTATCATTCACCTATTCGTACCTTGAAGACCCCGACAAGGCCAATCTGGGTGGGAAACTCGGGTTCATCTACGGCTCTATAGCTTTTTTGGCGCTGATATTTAGTATTCTGTTCGTGCCTGAGACGAAGAACATCGAACTCGAGGAAATGGATGAAAGGTTTGGTGTGGCTGCAGATAATTCTATACTGGAAAAAGGGACTACCGAAGACCCAATAGATGTCAAACGGTAGGACTAGTTAGATCAGATGTATTATAAGATACGGCAACTTATTCTATAGCAATAACCATAAATTCAAAATCGATGTTGCAGATTCCTGATTGATTAAGCTATTTAGAGTTAGATTGGAACAACATCCATATCCTTTTCCTGGAAAACTTCGGCCGAGCTCAACTACTGAGTCGGCCCTGATACCGGACTACTCAAAAAGATACTGGATAGAAAATTGAGAGTCTTTCGATTACCGAATCACTATCTTCAAGCCATCCATGCAAGCATAGTAGATTCGCGCATGCTGTAAGCCGATACAGGATATCATAAGGACCTACACCATCAAATTAGGACTGCCCACAAGGAATGGAACAAAGGAAAGCGAAAACAGAAGAGCAAGAACAAGGCAAAAAGAGAGCAACTTACAGGAAACGGTGGTTCGTCTTCGAAAAGAAACCCATTGTCCACCAGGACAATGTCATCGTCAGCTGAATCATCGTCTGATTCTGAACTGGATTCCATGGACCCAACACGCTGAAAAGCACGATTTCGCATACCAGTAAGAAGCAGAGCGGGCTTCCCGAATGAGATCGATCCGTTGTGACCATAATCCACGATCTATTCCAGCATTACAACGTGCGGTTTGTCGTCAGCGTACTGCTCACTGTCACACTCGTAGACGTGAGCGTCGTAGCGATGTCCAAATTTCTTCGTAAATGCAGAACCAGTGTATAAACCATTTCGAGCACTGGACATTCGAATTAGCACGACGATGCATATCCCCACGCAGAATCAGACAAGTGCTTACCGAACAAGAGCCACGCCCGGTAGTGCACGCAGGGTTAGTAGTAGCAATTTTCTCTTTCTTGGAAATCCTCCAGCCAATGCTCAATATAGCGGAGAGTAAAGCGGACGCGGTATGCTACGGTATCCAAACGGGGTGTTCTTTTATAATCCGAATACCCCAAGTACATTTCTCAATCTCAGGATCCGAGTATGCTTCCGAAGGAAGGATGGGATACCTCTGAAAAGTCTCCAGAGGAAGATGAGAGAAAAGGATCGGGGGATCATGGCTCAAAACCGCACTATTTCAGTTCTATCAAATTCGTGAGAAACAATATGAATGCCCTTCTCTTTCAAGAATTTCTCAGGTATAGAACCGTCTGGCGAGAGGACTTTTTGTGTCTTGTCATCCTTGGTCACGGTTCGTAACAACGAGCCGAGCCTTGCTTCTTGAACGTAGATCCAAGGCTGGGTTTGCGTTCTCCACTTTCGTGCCTTGACAGTCAAATAACGCTGAAAATGTCTATGTGATGGTAAGATGGCTGTTTTCCAATCTTGACTTGGACAAATGATGATGGTAAGTTACCTAGGTAGGTTGGCAAATCTAAATGAATAAAGAGACCGTGGGCGGTGGCCTCCGAGGTCCTCGTGCCTAATCATCAGATGAGAAAAATTTGTGAAACAGTTGCCAGACAGAGGTACCCTGAACTCTTAGGTATAAATGTTTCATACAAGACCAGCCTGTTGAATTCGATGCAGGCCTTTTCTATGTCCAGTCAAGTGCTCGTACGCGAGCATCCTAGGTTAAGGGGTAGCTTTTATCACCCCCCTACTACAAAAGGAATTGTACTTTTTGCAAATATCTGACAAAGCTCCTATGCGACATAGATCAAATGTAGTACTATAACTATTTAATTGGTTGGAGCACTATACACATTTGTTGATTAGCTAAACCAACCCCTCTAACTATCTGTGTCTCCCCAGTGAAACACAGACAGCTTGCATAAGATAGTATATAGCAACGTGTGTTTAGCATTCTTCATAAAATCTGTGCGTGGTCTCCGTTAAATGATTTGATCTGTCCAAATATAAGGCCTAGGGCCGTTCATTGCATTGATACCTGTAACCTCGCAGCATCCAGAGCCAACATTGACACAGAGATGTCACAGGTTTCAGTCTCCTTACCTTATAAGTCTGTTCCGGTTGGATTATTCAGAAGGCAAGACCTATTCAAGAACTACTGTGCTGGGTTGTCTCAACTGCATTGCGTCGATAAACCCCTGTGGTCTCACCACGTTCAGTCAGCTCGAACTGATCCGATAATTCGCGGTCCTCCTCGCGCCAGCCCTCATGATCATCCTTCACTCTTCGAACAAAAATTATATCCAGCACGAGAGCGACTGCACTGATTGCAACACCAAAGTAGAGCGCCGCTCTATATCCCGCAATAGCGCTACCAGAACGCTGCGCAATTTGAATCTCAATCGTAGAGGCAAAGCCCAGTCCCAAACTGTTCCCATACAGATTAAGCGTACCGATGAGCGAGCCGGCGATACCCTGCTGGTTTCGGCGAACAGAGTTACTGGCAATAATTTGCCCGGCAGTATATACAAGATCTGGACAAAAGGAGAAGAGAACCACCGACGGAAAGATTTGAGCCCAGTAAGATTGATGTAGCGGCACGGTTGCCATTAGCGCATTGGAGATCAATATCGTAATGGTACCAATTGCGAGAATCCATTGCGCTGCCATACGGGGAATCATCCAGGCTGCAAGATATGTGGCGCCCACGGCGCAGACAACGAATGGAGTCCAGCCAACAGCAAACTTCAAAGGAGACCAATGCCAGACGGTTTGCAGCCAAAGAACTTGGTACCAAATTAAAGTGCCCACAGCCATGTAATTGAAGAGGACGACTATAAGGAGAACAGCAAATGAAGGAGCCTTAAATATGTCGAGAGGCATCATGGGAAAAGCAGTATATTCCTTTTCCCAAATGATAAAAGCACCGAATAGGACCATAGACAGAATTAGAAGAACGATCTCATAGGGAGTCGACCAACCAACTCTGGGGGCTTGACTAGAAAGAAAGAACCATTAGACTGTGCTTGTGCCGGATGTTTGGGTAGTTGTTTTCAACTTACTTCCAGACAAAGTTAAAAATGATTAATGAACTTGTCCCCAATGCCGATCCAATATAATCAATTTTTCCACCCCGGTCAACCGGCTTCTCTGAAGGGCTCAAGATTCCCAGAGAAAGAAAGACAGCGAAACCCATGAAGGATCTACAATAGAAAGAGTGTTGTCAGTCATCCTGAGCTCTCACAATGATTGATAGTCTATTCAACTTACAGGAAGACAAAAAACCATTTATATTCCGTTTTCTCCAGGAAAGCACCGAGGAACAGTGCCCCGAGATATCCTCCTATGGGAGCCGAGGCCCCAAAGATTCCCAAACTGAGATTGCGTGCACGACCTGGAGGAATGGTACTCGAAATCATTGCCACGGCATTGGGCATAATAAAAGCACCCCCCAGGCCAGACAGCGCCCTCAACGTAAGAAAAGCAAAGATATTAGAGCAGAAACCACAAGCCAGCGTGCATACAGACAACCATGAGCCGCCGAGCAGCACCAGCAATCTATAACCGTAGACGTCACCTAGCCGACCGCTCGGGAGCACAAATGTCCCTTGAGTCAATCTACCTCATGTCAGATTCATCTTCGCGTATACAGATATGGGAATCACTAACGCATAACTGGCAGCTATCCATGAGCCATAAGCCAACTCTGCTCCCATCGCATCAACGAGAGTGCTTCCGCCGGCAACCCCGGCAAAGTTCACGGTCATCTATGTTCGAGATCAGAATCGTGGGTTTCTCCGATCGAAGAATATATCAAGAGACTTTACCTGGACGACATTTGCCATGACAAGCAATACGATAATTGACAGCTTACGAGTCTGAGTAACCTGGGCCACTGTTGCTGCCTCGAAGACGAGTTGAGAGGGAGCTGTTCCCAGTTCACCTCCAATAGAGGCATCTTGTGCTTCTTGATGTCGTTGATGATCTAGTGGCGGTGAGGTATTCGTATCTTCCCTCGGAGGCACGACTGAAATAGCCGAGATTAGCTGAGCCTCAAGGAAAAGAGTCTGAACTTGCGACATGGTATTTTCCGGAAGATGGAGACTGACTTTTTGACAATTAAGAACAAGGCTTGTAGAATGGTCTCAGAAGATTTGAGTCTTCCTGAGCTTTACCACGTCATGAAGCCCTCTGCTGAGTCATGTTTCCTACCCATGCAGTTCCACTGTTAGCGTCATCTTTCGGCAAAATTTCCGTGATGAGAGTGTTTGTACACATTAGTTTTCGGCGATGAGGCCGGTCATATTCGTATTAATAATGCCTGAATGGAACATCGTGAGTGGAAAGAAGGGTAACAGACTTCATATCTTACATCGAAGTACATACTGTACAATTGAATAAAGATTTATCTGAACGCCAGTCAGGGAATACCTAGGTATTTGAGTAATTAGAGCTAATTGCTCACATCAGTCTTCAGGTCTGTTGGTACAACATACTGTATCAGCAGGCCAGGAATACATGAGGAATGAATATAACGATACATATAAAAGCTATATTTCCGAGTACATTTCAGATATGTAATTATAACCCCGACATACAAGGCACTAGGATGCTTCAGGTGATATAAATATTCTGACGCTCGAGCATGGACTTCAGAAAATCCGTAGCCAGAAAGAGAGTAAGTTAAGTTGATTGCTCTGGCCCAAGAGCATCTCAGCTAACGTACGTAGTAGTACCTCCTGTTGCCATTTGAAAGAATACTAGTATTAATTGGGCTTTCTGTCCGTTACGGCCAAGTACCTGTGTTTCATGGACACCTGGGGCGTAGGGCAAGGTATAGATCTGAGTGGCCACACAATAGTATATTTGTTCGTTGCTACTGTCTCGCCAGCGCCTTCCATATGTAGTTTAGGGCTGTATTCAGGGATAGTATATAATCTCGCTTCCTTCCTTTCTTACCTTTTTTTCCTCTCTCCTACATACACACACAATATTTCGACTCCTGCGCAGACAATTAATAACTAAAAAAAAATACCATTCGACCAAAAACGAGGCCGTATTAGGACCAATTGCTCCACTAATTGCAATTTCCCGACTTATTCTCTTTGTGAATCTAATTACTACTCAAGAAAATCACGTTCCACCAGGCCAGTCCGCCAATATCATCCACTAGCTGGGCAGCATCATACTATGCTCAGCGTCTTTTGGTTGGTTTGAAAGGGGTTCCCGAGATCCTACTTCTGGTGAAAAGGTGATTTTATGGGTATTACCGTCTGACAGCTCCAAGTCATCATCACATCTGGAGGCATTCAAAGATATGCCTGGCTGCTGACTTCTCAGATAACTGAATAACTCGAAGAAAACTCGAAGCAGTCACAGAGGGTCAGCTACAGGATAGTAGCACGCACTGCTCTAGACAGGGGGTAAGTTGGATCCATACTTTCTATTGAGGACGACAACATGTCGAATTGCACATCAGAAAATTGATTACTATTAAGCTGTCAAACGATAGCTAGGAACCCAGACTTGTCTAACAATCTTCTGAGGACACAGACGCGTCAAGAAGCTGCTCTTGATCTTAGATAAATTATGCAGAGAGGTTCTCTACTTCTAGAGACTTACACCTTCTATTCGCACACCTTGATGAGGGTTTCCGATACTTATCACAACAAGGCCGGTAGGCTACTCCCTATTCCTGCTAGTATTATTCCTTATTCTGGCCTTTTTCACTTGACCTGATTTCTGCAAACCTTACTTCATTCGCGTCAACCGATTTGCAGAGTACTTTCCTAGCTGACTTCAGACATCCATTAGTGTACAAAACGAGTTGGATACTTTGGTACAACATGCCTCAAAATGCAAAAGCCAAAGACTATATTGCGAAGCTGAGAGAAATTCAGGGGCAATTGGGCTCAGGAGTGACCAGGCAAATTTGGTGAGCGGCACCAGTAATCCAAAGCCTGGGTTGAAACATCTACACAGCAAATATTCCTCACCACGGTTTGGCAGACCGTTACAAACCTACTGCGAGAACCATATCTTTCTGTCAACCGGCAGCATGCCTCAAAATGCCTATATGAACCACACAAATTGCCAACAATGCTATGTGCAATAGCTGCTGGTAGCCGTTTAAAAAAGAATCGTCAGGCTTATCAGACTTACAACCGCTATTCGTCAGAATACACATCACAAGATGTGTATATATGATCTCTTATGGAAGTAGCAAGAAGAGATTTTATTAGGAGGCACAAATGAGACGGCCAAGCTACGATCAAGGAAAAAGCCGATGACGAACCCAATGCAAATAACGAGATCGTTGAAGTCCTTACTACTGACGACAGCGATTGAGTACCCAAGCTACCTCTTAAGTCGGAGGTATCCCTTGCCACGAGTCTTGCTGAAAGGTCTCTGACTGAAATGGCCGCCATCGTTTCTTTCAACAGGGTTCTCTTTCACATCCGTAAAAACCTTCTCACTGACCTCACAGACAACGGCCTTGTCCTTAATCAAAGTGAAGTATACCGCTTCTCTAGGCACTACCTAGAAAGCGGCAACTTTTGGTATAAAGACTGCCAGTCATCCCAAAGATGAAACCCCCCTTAATGGGACCTTTATCCAATTGCTCGATGGGATAGCTGATATTGTTGAGAACCGTCAATGTACCTGGAGACACTCAAAAATTACCCTAGTTGCAGGCTTCTCAAAGGATTAAATAACTTGAAGAAAGTTCAAAGCAGCCACAGACGGTCAGCTGCACGATACTAAGTCGATCATCTATTTGTCAACGGTGATGTACTTCCTTCAGTCTACCTATGGCCCCAAAAAGCCAGCCAGAAGCCCCGAGGTCGTGGAGCTGAATTCTCCACGATTATGAATCTCATTATTACGGAGCAGAATAACCGCACCCTCAGCTTAACCGAGGATTGGGCTGACCGGTCGAAGTGGGCAGCAAGTGACTGGAATGCCCCTTGCCTGAAGCGAATCTTTGATAAAGATGCAGCAGATGCAGATAGCTTGTGGGATGGGCACCATATGTCAAATGACCGGAAATATGCCATATTGTATGCGATATGGACTGTATTCAGACTGTTTTCATCCGGGGGTGCTTGCAGTCCCGGATACACCGCACATGCATTGTGTATAGTGCATTGCTGAATGCAAGAAGGACCCCCGTAAAAATGCATGCAGCGAGCCAACTCATGGGCTGGATTCGAGAGTATCTAGGTCCAAAAAGACAGTAAGTTGAATATCTTGGTATAGGAATCTCAGCTAACATTCCCAGAAATAGTATCTTCTCTTCACGATTACCAACGGTACCTTACCCCCCCCCAGAATGGCTGCTCGCCCAACGTGCTCTTACTGAGGAGTTACCAACGCCGCCAGATCCCCTGCACAAGAGGGTGCGTTATCCTCGAGACTCTGATGAGGCTGACGGTTGCATTCAAAATGCCACAAATGAGTATTACGTGGCTTTTACGTGTTAGCACCTTTTCTAATATGAAATAGAATATCAACAACATCAAGGGGAGCGCATGCACTCAAATAAATTTCACGGACACTCTCGCAGGCGCACAGAGCTTCTGTGGAGCCAAGAAGAAGAAGGAAGTCAAGAAGGCTAGAAAATATCCTACGACACCCCGGCAGGACTGGTAAGCTTTCAGCTTGCGTTCATATGAATAAAGCTGATGTTTGTTTTTCATATGTTAGAGAACCGAAGTGGCTCGCTTTAGGGCGGCCGCCAACAGAGGAGAGGACATAAGGTGGAGAGAGTAATGTTGGAACAAAATTTATACCGTTCTACCAAAAAGGTGACCTCCTTAAAATGACTTGCTGGTCAGTGGTTGATGAGAGATTTTGAACTGTCCCATAAGCTCATATTATTTCCAACAGATTATACCAGCAAGCGGAGGAGATGGACAAGGAGTTGGAGGTCCCTCAATCTATAAAACGGGTTGAGAGCTTCTTGCAGCTCGGAGGGATCTTTTCAGGCACAGAAGTTGTTGGCCAGCTGGTCAAAAGTCTAGGCGAGTGGGCGTGCCACAGAATGACAGGGAAATAACTTGGCGTTCGACAACTATACTGACAGTTGGCTGGACTATATCAATTTCTGTCAGAAAAGCATTAGAGAATTAATGTGCATGTACCAATATGGGCCGTGCAAGATTAGTAGCTCCAGGAAAATGGAGATGGCAGCAGCTCTTTTGCTTGCTATTACTCTCTGAAACTTGCTTGACTTTGACCTTAGCTGGCATGATAGGACTTCCCAACCTTCAGCATGGCAGAGACTGAGTTTGGAGGAACGGAGCGTCCCGCACTCATAAGACTGCTTTCGATACTGTTGTCCAGGAAATACCTTTCGAGCAAATCCAAGCTTTCCTGTGGCCATGTCTACCGAGTTCTTGGAATTACTTGACTCTTCCGACAATGATGATGATGATGATGATGATAGAGATAACTGGCCTATTCTGGCTATTTCTAGCCATATTTGTAATCTATCCTCTAGTAGCCCTCGAAAAATCCTATATCTGAGACTGGTTCAGAAAGTGCAGGCAGCACTTGGCTAATATCAGATTCAACCGACAGTGTGATCAATTAAGAAATGGCATTGCACTGTCAATACAGTCCGCTGGATGCAATTGTACAAATTTACCCGTTGACTTCGCGATATAGGCAAGATGTAAGAAGGAGAGAAAAGTTGAAATCTGGTGGATCTGCTTCTATTACATGTAATTAGATGCTAAGACTCTCCTCACTCCAGGCTCCTATCCACGATTCATGATCATTTCATACTATACTGTCATACTAGCCTATCTAGCATGCGACCAGCTTCTTGGTCGGTTGGTTAGTCCCAACAGTAGACCAAGAGCCTTGTTCTAGATCTTGTTGATAAACCTTCAACGTTATACCTCCCTATCTTGGGGAATAAAGGTTTAAAAGCATATACCGTAAATTCTTGAGGGGTATCTGCTTTATACATATCCCAACTACCCTTGTAGATAATCAAACCAACCTCAACGGCCTCGCCAACACACTCAACCCTCCCAACAAAGCCGACACACCCGTAAAAACAATCAAACTCCCATACCCACTTCCATAAGCACCACCCAAAACCCCCTGAAATGGATACCCTTGCAACAACCCATCGCTCAGGGGCCCACTAGCAACATTCCCAATACCTCTTCCAGCGGCCAAAAACGCAAACACAATTGCCGGTTCGACGGAAGATTCTCGATTCTTGACTTCGCGCATAATAGCTGGCCAGGTTGATGAAAACGAGCCTGCGAATATACCATATACCACACAAAAAATCAGTAAAGGTGTTAGGGATATGGAAAACCCCCAAATAAGAAACACAGAAATTGTGCTTCCAATCGTTGAGAAGAGGATGCAAGTCGTAGCATGATACCGATCAACCATTGCACCCATAATAATACACCCAAACACCGAGGCAAGATTAAACAATATAACAGTCAACGACGAAACCACCCCGTTCACGCCTAGGGTATTAGTAGCGTACGTCGGGAGGTAAATAGTCGGTAAGAAGAAGCCCAAAGCCTGAATGATATTCCCCAATTGAAAGATCATAAAACTTCCGTTTCGAAGGAAGCGAAGATTAAATGGTCGAGTGCTTGAACTCTGTGCGATGGGGATACGCGGTTTGACAAAGTAGAGTAAAGGGCCGATACAGACCAACAACACGGCAGACCAGACACGTAGAGTTGTTCGGAAGCCGTAGGTGTCCATGAGCCATTGCATGAGGAGAGGTAATACGACTCCTGAGACGCCGGTTCCAGCCTATCTCACTGTCAGCATTTTCCCATTAATAAATGAGAAAGAAAGGGGGATACACACCCACATAATCCCAAACGCGAAACCCCTCTTTTTCACAAACCATTCCTCCATAAACAAGATCAACGGCGCATACGCAAAACTCGCTCCAATTGCATACACAATCCCCTGCGAAACCAATAACTGCCTCGTCGTATTCGCAAACGACGACCCCAATAACGCAGGGATCATAAGAACAAGCCCCAAAGCAGAAGAATACCGTTTTAATTTTGGGAACCCCAACAATAACCCAAATACCAACGGGGAAATGATGTAAATTATTCCCATACTACAGGTTCCGATGACAGCGATATTGGATTTATCACTGTCAAAGGGCGGGTGGGTGGAGTAGTATTGTTGGAAGATGCCGAAGGTGTATGCGAAGCCCCAGATGAGGGCTTCGAGGATGAAGCTTGATAGTAGAAAGAGATAGGCGTGGGTACCGGTGTCGGCGGGGTGGAGGGATTGTTGTTCTATGATTCCTGAGGTTTCGTTTCCATCGTTATGGATGATAGCCAGTGGTAGTGAGTCGATGCCATTACCGGGATGGGTAGTGCGGGAGGAGTGAGAGGATCGATGTTCCAGTTCGTACTCCATTGTTGCTTCTGATCGCTACTCATCAGTTGTCATGGAAGAAGATAAAGGAGAAACATCGTCAGGCAATCGTTCTCTTATAGTAGGTGGTTGCTCCACACCGCTGATCGATGTCGATATTGAGATTACTAATATGACTTAAATAAGACACGCCCTACGACTCGCTAACTTAACTTACTTAGCTATGTTAAGTCAACATATGTATTCCAGGTTGAGACCAGCAGTTCTGTAAACTGCTCGAGACGAAGTGAAGCATTTAAATACTAATATTCATTCATATACCACTCTCATGATACAACTAATCAACATACATGAGAATAAAAATAAGTCAATATCACACACGAATCCGAAGGGAAAGATAATCTTATCAATAGTCAACAGAAAAACGAAAGGATCATGGCTGGGTATTCGGCAAAATCACGTCCCCCCTTATTCCATCCCTCGATCATAAGAGTTCATAAGGCATTGCAGGGCATCAGGCATGCAGACAAAAAAGTACAAAAAAGAAAACACAAAATACCCAACCTGGCAAAAAAAAAAAGAAAAGAAAAGAAAAATCAATACCTTTATACACCAAAGTTCATGAGTCATGTCGTAGCGGTCGTGTCGTCAAGTAATAATCACATTTGCACGGAATTCGAAATACGCTGAAGCAGGGAGTCGTTTGTTGTAAGCTGAGTAGGAAAAACTGCATGTCTTGACAGTCAAAGTTGGCAGAACATTCAATGTTCATGAATAGTCGTGTCATGATCGTCGAGATCATGTCGGAAAAAATATACCTAAAACAACCGCGCCGCGGATTTGCCTTCGCTGGTTGCAACCGCTACCAATGCTTCCAAACGGCCCATACCATTCGCCCCGCCAGCAGATGGATTCTCAAAGATCCCTGGCCTGTTTGAAGGCGTGTAGCCGTTTTGTTGAGTAGGGGCGCAGTTCTAATCAATTAGCTTCTTCATCTGACACTGAGTGATAAGGAGAACCTACAGGGGCTTCATGTGCCACGGCAGGTTCTACATGTCCATTGCTATGTACAATAGCCGGGTGGTAATCCATAGAAACAGTCGAAGGAGTCGCAACACCTTCGCTGCTACTAGAATCTTCTGGCGAAGTACGAGTCACATGGGATCCAGGCGTGCTGCTAGTGGCGGTCTGAAAACTATATCGTTGAGTATTTTGCGGAGTCGATGGTTCCTGACGAGGAGTAGAGGTGTATGGCTGTCCACTGCTTAGCGGACGAGATCCGACACTGTGGATTTCTCCTAGTACCTGTTGGCCCCATGGAGTGGTCACTTCTTTATAAGAAGGGTTGGAAGATCCATTGCCTAGGTTGAGTCCAGTGAGATTGTAGTGCAAATCCCAAGACGGCTGAGCACGGCGGTGACCTAATCCGGACATTGCAGGCGGCGGCCGACTGGACGGCACTTGTCCCGCAAAGCCAGGAGTATACGGTGGGCCTCGGCTGGGTGTATCTATTTGCATAGGGCTGGTCTTTCGTAGAGGAGGAGTGAGTGGACGGCCCTGAATGACCTTGTCGAAACTCTCAATGCCGGGTAGTCGAGTGGTCTGACCGTCGGTAATTCCAGCGCCAAAAGCAGGACGCAGTGTATTTGCAGATTCTTCATATTTAACCAAGCCACTCGTGGCTGGACGAGGCTGATATGTTGAAGGATGCCATGTACGCCGACGAAGCTCTGCTTCAGACGGAGTCATTCCCTCGTCGCGAGAGGGAGCAAAATTCGAACTCGTGGGACTAGCATATACAGATGAGCCGGGTGTGTATGTTGCATGAGGCGGAGGAACGGATGTGACGTATGGTGGAGGATACGTCTCGTGATTGGTGAATGGATTCGGGCCGGACGGCACAGATAGACGACGAGCATGTCCTCGAGCATCCCAGTATCCCGGTTGATGCGGAGCAGAAATAGGAGAAGCGTAATGAGAACCGATACCGCCGCCAGCAGAAAATGTAGGGTATCCATGACCCGGAGATGGACCGGGAACTGAACGAGCAATCTGGCTCGGGGGTGTTATAGGTTCGGCCATGGCGCCGAGAGAGAGTTGAGCTCGAGCACTGCCGTCATTGGCCATGATCAAGGGAGGCGGCCGTCGTCGCAGATCGGGAGCCTGGCTCAAGCTGGAAGCAGTAGAAGCGATGCTGGACGTAGATAGATTGCGGCTATGTCCCCTGGAGTGGCCACCCTGACTTCCCGTCGTGCCGGCTCGTGCACGGCCTTGCGGAGGACGCACGCGATCGGTGCGGATTTGACGTTGGAACCGCGTACCTGTAGCGGCGAGCGAATCTCCGGGAATATCTTCATTTACATGGACAGTCTGGGCGTGTTGTCGCAAATTATCCAGTCGCGAGAAACGTCTTGAACAATGACACTGAAACGGCCGTTCACCAGTGTGTTTGCGGATATGACGAGCGAGGTGTTCACTTCGTGTAAAACTCAGCGTACAAGGCGGAAAATCCGTACAGAAGAATCGTTGTCCCTTCTTCTTTTTCGAAGGCGGGGCGTTCTCTTCATTGTCGTGTTCATTATCGGACTGGTCGCGGTCGGGTTCGTCCTCCGCCACCGTGGTCTCGTCACCTGTTGATGCCGTCGAGGGCGCGCGTCGATGATGCGATGAAGACTGAGATTGAGACGATTGGGTCTTTGCGGCTGACGATCGAGAATCCGATGAGCCCGGTCGAGGGGTGGTTGCTTTTACGTCCTCCATCTTCATACTGTTCGGGGTGGACGTCCTATTGACTGGTAGAAATGAGGTCATTGTGCCGATTGGCTTGGGATAAATTTGTGGCTCCGTGAGATACGGAATATTTTTACGTTAAATATATCAGTCGATAGAACAGACGCAAAAGAGAAAAATATACGTGTTTTGAATGCGTAGGTGTTGGGATCGAAGTTCCTGTACCAGCCGTAAGTCGGGTTGATGGAGGAAAAACAAGGCAAGGAAAGAAAAGAAAAGAATGAGCGATATCCAAATGATAACAAGAGCGTCACGGCGACCGATATCCCACACAAACTTGATGATATTGGACGGTGCAGCCGGCGCATGAGATAGAAGAAGAGAAGTGGTGAGAGGAGAAGGTGATGTGATGGTGGGGAGGAGGAGGAAGAAGGAGGGAAGGTCAGAAATGCGAGCGGCTGAGACCGGCGTCGGCAACAGGCCCAGGAACAAGAAAGCCAAGCCAGTCAGTCCACGTAATGATTTTGCCCGGATTAGCGGGCGATGATTGAGGTGAAACGTAAGACTGTGGAGGCAATAGTAATTGAATATTGGATAGTTTGGATAAGGAAGAATCAACTGCGACAGGACATATCTTGCTGTCTTCGAGTTATCGAGCAGTTTGAGATAATGGTCGATAACTGTAATTCGATGCCGTTTATGTTTGTAAGTTTCGGGGCGGAATTCCAGACTAGGTTTCAGATGGGTCACCGGAGCAACTTGGTGCAGTTGAGTCGCACAAACAGCGAGTTGATAGATCAAGGCCGACACGGCTATGTAGATATATCCCAAGCGAAATAAAGGGACACCTGGAATAAAAGGATGGCTGAGGTCATGAGTAATGACTTATGCTCCGGACGCTACGGTAAGCTAGTAACGCGAGGGGCAGAGGGGTCCGCCCACTGTCCAGGCCTTGGGGAGCCATGGTTAGCCCTGGAAAAACAGGGCAGACGTATATTACATAGATATTATTATACGTATATATATATGTTACATATGTATATAAACATCGATGTGTTGGCTGTGGGATAAGAGTACGAGACAAACAGTCCACGTACCTTGCTCCTCTACCTAGGGGTGTTTCGAATCGAGTCCCAGAATGCACAGACTGCTCTCTACATACATACATACATGGAGTTGTTACTGCCAGTCAACGCGATTGGCCGGACTTGACCGTGGCGGTGGCCCCGATCTGGCTACGGCAGTGGAGACACCAGGAACATTGATGATTCATTGATTGCCTGTTTGCGATCACTATCTTGCAAGGTACGTACTCACCAGCATCTCTATAGACAACTAGAACGGTCTATGGACGGAAACGGCGACTCTTTCTGACGTAGGCGTTGTGTCTTCCCCGCAATTCCGGTCTCCGGGCATCATGTCCTGAAACTCGTACCTAACTCCTAGGTCATGGCGACCGTTCCTTGGGATATCAGACCGGAGAGTTGAAACGGAGTCGTCTCATCTGAAAACGATCAGGAGATGATTCAAGATCTATCGCAGTGGAACCATTGCGACAAAATGACTCCTTAACGGTACTTATCGTTCTTATTGTTCTTATCGCTCTTATCGTTCTCCTGAGTATTACTATCTAGTAGTATCAAGAGTATCAAAAGAGTGGCAACGGCGCACTCGTGACTCACGTCCTTTATCAGCCCATTCCCGCATTGGGACACGGTGTAATGCGTGTAATCCAATGCTCTACTCCGATTGGCTGGTGGCATACACGCTCTGTATTTAATACGGACTGTTACAAGATCGATCGTCGAAGCTTGAAGGGCTCCCCACCTGCCAAGACGGCCCTGTGGATCTGTGCTTGTCACATGTCAGTCTGCTTTGGGCCAATCAGGTTGCTCCTGCTATGTACCTTCTCTGCTGTGAGGGTTGGTGTATATACTCGATTAGTAATATCTCAATATACATATATATATATATATGTATGTTCGTGTGTGTGTGTGTAGTGCATATTCGTGTATAACCCTCGAAACGAAATCCGAGTCATCCATGGATACCGTCAGCAGACCTCCTCGATTCTGTGCCTGGGCCCGTCGGTTTGTGCCTGGTCTGATCGTTTTGAGGCCAATGCATATGGCGTTATTCGTACCGCGCTAGTACCGTTACTAGACAAATCCCACCCTTGCATACATGCCTATCAGACCTATCAGTACGTATCTTGCTGCTGTCGAGGCTATTAATAGGTGAGACTCCACCGAGCTGCTATCTTGAATTTTAACCGGGAGTCATTCTGTATATATAGTTTGTGTGTATGTTCTGATATCTGACATGGTAGATATATAGGTCAAGCTACTAGTTGACGTACTATATTGTATACTCTAGGCCATTACCAACCCGGCTTTAGTATCGGAGGGCTTGGCTTATCAATCTGTACTACCTCAAGGCTTATTCACAGCACTTGAAGACTTAGACCTTCTACTCAGCCATCTCAGACGCGAAATTTGAGATCGGGGTCAGATTCTGGCATGTGATCTGATATCAAGACTACTATTTGCTTGTACGAGGTAAAAGCTGTGAAACCGTAGACACAGAATTGCACAAGAAGTCTACATCTCAGCCGCAGATAAGAGCAATGTCGGTGCTGCATAATGTGCAACCCCTTGCTCCCACGTACGTTAAAAACATGTGGAAGTACCGGTACATAGGTACGAACTCTTGTGTGCATAACGCTAGTTTCCTGCCTACCCGATAAACGATAGATCTGCTGAGCCAGGAGAAACACTCTTGCTCTCCACTGTCCAATCCTCGATCTCCTTCAATTGTTTCTCCAGCTCCAGCTTGACATACTGCACCGAATCAGCGCCCATCAACAACATCCTAGGCAATTCTTTCCCAGTAGTACCAAGAACCGTATCAACAAGTAAACGCGCACATTTGTCGGGATCACTCCAAGTCTTTGGTGCGTCCGGACTGTTGGTGTATCCCAACAAGAGGCTCAGAGGATCATCTCCAGTGTTGTACGCCGGATGTCGTGGCGCAAGCTTTAAGCCGCTGTTTGGAGTATTCATAAAGTTTGTACGGACGCCTCCGGGGCCGACGAGGAGGAAACGAATGTTCCACTCTGGTTTCATTTCTTGCGCCATGGCTTTTGAGAAGCCTTCTAGCGCGAATTTCCTATAATGCGTCGCAATCAGTATTTTGTTTCCGTCTCAGAGATAGCTGGCTGATCTTACCCAGCGTGGTAAAAAGCGTTACCGCCAACTGTGATCGTTCCTCCCATCGAACTAATGTTGACAATGGTCCCACCGACGTTGTGTCGAGGTTTATTGACCTCTCGAAACACTCGCACCGCTTCCTGCATCAGGAATACCGGACCCCAAAATAGAGTCTCAATCTCCATTCGCGCATCCTCTTCGGGTATACTCTCAGAATCCCCCAAGAGTCCATACCCGGCATTGTTGATGACAACGTCTAGACGACCGTACTTCTCTACAGTGGAGTTGACGGCGTTGATGATGGATTCCTTGGAAGTAACGTCGAGTTTTATTTTGAGCACTCGTGGAGAATCATCGGGGAGGTAGGAGAGGGTACTTGTGTTGCGAGCGGTTACGACGACGTTATGGCCTAGGTTGTAGACTGCTTGGGCAAAGGATTTGCCTAAGCCGGATGAGCAACCGGTAACTGTTCTCGTCAGCACGGCGTTTAAGATTGTTGCAGCATGTTACTCACTCAACCAGACAGCACTTGAATCGAGAGTAGCAGGCATATTTGTACTATTTGTACCAAATGAGATGTACTTTGAACAATTTGATTCCATCTCGAGGAACTGGGCATCACGCCCCTACTTATATGCCGCCGCCAGACAATTCTCATTACTTGCATTATCTCTTTTTATTGAAAATTCAAGAAAAACCCAAGAAACATTCGAGGTGAAATCGACCGTTCGGCCGAAGTGATTGATAAGTTGCTGGTTCCTTCCTTTTACGGCAATTGTCGAATACGGCTTAGCGCATGCCTTATACCAAAACGGGATTTTGTACTAACCTTAATGTGGGTCTCTCCTTCTATCAATATCATTTTCATCTCTTGTTCCTCTTGTTCATACTAATACTACCACCAGCTGAGTCGAATGCCATAATATCACGTATGGAGACAGGGATAAACGACTCGTCGTTTGTGGTCATAACCGGCCCGCCACAAAAGGACAAACACAAAAGAATCAGCCAAGTGCGCTCCGTGATTCGAAAGTCTCAGCTCCGACGTGATGGGCATCTACAACCTCGTAAAGAGTTGCAAGTGTCCAGAGCGAGGGCTCAGATACTGAATAAGAGAAAATTGCTGGATGCCCCGGAACGACAGCTAGCGACATTAAAGTTGGATCTCTCATGGTTATCAGTCTCGGAGGCTGTTGGTAACAGGTTGAAATATTGTAAGTGCCTGCCGTATGCATGTGTATCTATAGATGCTAATATTAGCAGTCTTCCACCAATACATCGAATCAAGTGCCCACTTACACCCCTTCTTCCACTCCCAGATTCCCTTAACCATCCTCCATGCACCGCTCATGAGCACCAAACTCGTGCATGCGACGGCATGGGACGACCTCAGTGGTCCCAATCCCGAAATTAGTAATTTGACTTTACTTCAGCGAGATATCGCCGATAATATGCTTCTGGACTCGATACTAGAAGCTACTGGTCCGACCACCGATGCCGAGAGTAGCCATGTGGCGCTGATTGCATTGTTGAGTATGTTATCATTTGAGGTAAGTCTTTCTAGCTGTTTGTCGTGGTTGGAGTATGCTTGCTAACCGTGGATAGATGATTAATGGTGACCGAATAGCATATAAGCGGCATAAAACGAATATTAATCGATTACTCGATATGCGAGGTGGATTAGACGGGTTGGAAGAATCTTTCAGAATCACTTTATTAGCGTGAGTCTTCTATCTCATGAAGTCTCCTATCTCTAACTCCCTTTAGTATCTATCAACTTGAATCAGTGATCAAAGGATTCGCCGACTCAACGACTCCTTCCTACTTGAGATATACCACAGAAAACGGCTCGCAGATAATATCCCAACCATCAGATTTCAAACTCATGACTTTTCATCGAGGCCAAACACGACTCTGGGAAGGACAAGTCAGTCTTTCGACTATACGTCTCTTGAGTGACTTTCTTCAACTAGTCATACTATCAATTCAATATCAACAATTATCAAATAAAAATCATCATGATCAGAATGAGATCTCGCAGCGACGACAATTAATCCGAATACAATGGCAGTTCCTCTGCGACAACCTCATTGCCCTAGCCTCAATCCCATTCCGCGTCGATACGGGTCCACCAATCGATCAGATCTTACTTTACGCTATTCTACTATTCGTCACTTCTTCTCTCCCAACATATCATCCGGTAATAGAAGGATACATAAACAAATTACAACCCCTTCTTCAAAAATCGAACGTCCTAGAATTATATCACGGCCCGTTACCGGGAGCATTGATTTGGTGTCTTATCATTGGCGCAAGGAAGAGTCATTTCCCTCAGGAGTCTGGTGTTGGCGGTATACAGAAATGGTTCTTTATGCAACTTATGCGGATAGCGTGTCCCGCGGCGCTGGATAACCCGCTCGATGTGGCGAGGAATATTGATTTGATATTGGCTGGGATGGAGGGTGTTGAATACCTCGCGACGGGTCCTTATGATTCTAGTTAGTGATACAAGACCTATGCACACGATATTGGTGTCGGAGAACATATGCATACACAAAACGGTCGCATCAATGCATCCACTATGAATCAACCAAGCACGTTGATCTCAAACATGTCACGCGAGACAACTGCCCTTGTTTCAGATACGTGGCTCAAATCTGTTTATGCAAGGGGCTTAACCCTACGTATACGAAGTTTTGGCCTCGAGATCGTTACATTCCTCGGCGAACATCATGTCCCATTAACTATCCACCCCTGATACAAAACTACGTACCAAGACGCTACCTGTCTATATACAGATATCTGGACTACCTAAATATACCTTTCACGCAGCTTGTCTATACATCAGACGATTGAAACAAAAACATGAATAAGATTAATAATATTCATCTCCCCAATGCACCCATTACCGAACTAACCATAACCGCAGCCTCTCGTTCCCAATTCCCTTCCACAACCGCTCCATTACCACTCGCAGGATTAATAACCCTCCCCTTGGCAACGTTAGAAGGTAACTGAGACCCCCGTAATACGCACTCTCTCAAATCACTCCGTAATCTATCCCGACTAGACTTCAAACTTCTTGCTGCCGCACCACCCCGGCTCATAATCTCTTGTACTCGAGCTGGTAGCGCAGATGCCAACGAGCGCCAGTAATACGATGGCAGGGACGAGGTATCAAGAACGGAAAGTAACGGTTTCAAAAGATTTGAATTGTTCTTGTCTGCAGCTTGGTTTGTCGATGGTAGTAGTAACGGGTGGGATGGACGTTTAAGACTTGCGAGGAGTGTTTCTAAGGCGCCTATGTCTTGACAGCGGCCGGAGACTTCTAACAGAGCGCGATCTAGGGTTGGTAATGAAGCGAGCCCGCGTGCAAGAGAGGACAGGGACGATGTTAATGAATTATGGATATATCCTTGCAAAGTAGACAGAAGAAGTTCTGGCTGAAAGTCCTCTGCGCTCACGCCGGTTTTTGGTGTTGGTGAGAGGAGGTAAAGTGTCGTAATGGCAGAGAAGAGTCTTGATTTTGCTTCTTCCGTTTGCGCATATGTCGATGGTACTCCCGCCGCTGGTGGAGGCGACTGGCTACCGTTGCTCGCGCGTGTACCATCAACCATCAACGACGAAATCGAAAACCGATTAATAACTTGCTGCGCTCGAGCCTTGGTAGTATTCTCCGCTGGAATGACCAAATCACTTCTCAACGTCCGAATAACCTTCACCCTATCCAATCCCTGCCCTTCCTCCCCTTCACCAATCGCAGAAAACATCTGTCTCAGCATGAGAATTGTCCCAGCCGCCCTAACCATTGCGCGATGATCATCTTTTTGCCCAGTAGTACTACGACCAGTAACTTCAGCAATCTGACCCTCCAACTGTCTTCCCAGAGTGATACAGCGCGCAACTGCCCTAGCCAGCCGCAAAGTCTGCAAGGAATTCTGAGCTGCGATCCTCGCTTCTTCGGCACTGGTCCATTTGCGTAACACTTCTTTCTCTAGACGCTGATACCCATCCGCGAGAGACGAGACCTGTTCCTCAACTTGAGTCAGAATTCGTTGACTGGACTGTGACCGGTCCTTGGTATGTTCCAGAAGTGGCAGGGCGGATTTGGTGGTTAGGTTGTGGATGTGGGTATCTATCTCTTGGACATCGAATAATACCCGGGACAGAGGGGTGGAGAGATCGACTTGCGTGTCGTTGATGTTGTTGGTGTTTGTGACTAGGGTGTTTGCAAATGATGAGGCGCTGAAGTCCGGGTCGAGGAAGGTGTCATAGTCTATGTATGAGGCTTCGCTTGTGGCCATTTCGATAAATTGGTTGGATAGTGAATATTTAGATTATTCACACACAGCATATGTCGTATTTGGATATCCAGGTTCATCAAGCCATATCTCCATGTAATCTCCGAATTTATTGATCATTCATCCACATCCTTTAAGATTCCACAATCATGCGTTGAGTCCTGCAATAAAAGCCAGTCTGAATGCTCAGTTCATCCAACCAAGATATGATTCTGTTGTCCTCCCAAGCACCGTTATGCAAATTCTACTATTCTCTTGCAATTGCTTGGCTTAGATGCGTTCATATAATTTCGTCGATTTGAAGTTGTTGTATGTTTTAAACAGACTATGTGGATTGGCCAGTCTGGTCCATCGCTAATGGCAGATACGAGCTAAGCCACATGTGGACGAGGTAAACCACGTGATATCATTTGCTATTTAAATTCGATTCAAGGGCTCCAGAGTCAACTCTCCATTTATATTGCATGAATTGTTCCAAAAATTGAATATATATATATATACTTGTATTGAAGTCATTATCTTTTACGTGAATCATTGAGTATAACGTACCCATTACGACTCCTTATGGCCTTCTACGACCTTATTCAAGGACACGACCATTAGACTCCTCGACAATGAGCTCGAACTCTGGCTGGAACTCTGTGTACAGATTATGCTAGAGAATTTCGTCAGTTATTTTCCAGTACGTACTTTGATGAGACTAGTCAATGGACATTGAGTAAAACGAACCGGATTCTGGACTGAGCTTGCAGTGTACGCTGCAACTTCATCCGAGATGATCATCTTGGGAATACCATTTGCAGCGGCTGCCTCGGCCATCAGCTGAGAATGACATGCCTTGTCCAAGCTGTAAAAGAGGAAAGCAGCCTCATCGACGGTATTTCCGACGGTCAATAATCTTCAAGATTGTTAGTTGTTGCTGATACAAACTGCTTCCTTGGCAAGTGGAATATGATATACCCATGGTTTTGCAAAATACATGCCATATTATCTCCAAGGGCTTTAGCAATTTGTCTGCCCTCTTCCTGAGCTAAGGCAATACCACCGTGGTCATCATAGACGCTGATTTTGCCGTAAAAGTTGCACGCATCTGTCACGATCAGGTTAGTCCATTCACTTTGAATTCAACTTTGGATATACTACCTTGACTGATCATCTCAATATTCCGCCCAAAGGCACTCCATGTCTTCCCATATATTCCATGGGTATGAGCTGCCGCAATCACATCAGGACGAGCCTTGTGGATCTCCGAATGTATCATAAATCCAGCTTCATTGATAACTTCTTGGTTTCCTCCCTCACAGACATACCCTTCGCTATCGACAAGGACCAAATCCGATGCCTTCATAAGTGAGAAGTGTTTGCCAAAGGGGTTGATCCAGAAATGATCTTTGAGTACGGGGTCTGCACGACATATCAATTAGACCTGTCAATTGATATGCATCTAGTAAAGAGCGCGCACCTCTCATTGATATATGGCCGGAAATCCCTTCTGAAAAATTTTGCTTTCCGAAGAAACGAAATGCAGCGGCCATGTGCTCCTTCATCCATTTTCGTTTCGCATATGCATCCTTGTGAATAGGAATGCCGCGTAGCTTCAACGTACCCGCTCGATCACCACGGACAAGCGACTGGAATTTGGTGTCGTTCTCTGCACGACCAACAGAGGGGAGGAGGTCTGCTGCAGGCGTGTCCGACACACCGACAACGCGGCTTGGGATGCTCTGGGTTTGGGTGATGGTTGATGACATTGTGTAGTCTTTCTTTTCTTCAGTCAGTGAAGGAGGAGTATCTGTGGAGAATGGCTGTGAAGGGGAGAGATGAGGTTCTTATCTACTTCTACTTCGGTGTAGCCGACCAATCAGAGACATTATGAAGCCCCGCGGGAATCAGAACATTAGGCGGAAAACAATCCGATGGCCAATGAACAGGCAGCTTTAACATCAAACATATCAAACTATGTTTGGAGAAGGCGTGACGAGTCATTGCAGCATGTCAATTAATCGAAATAACAGTAGAACCAGGCTATAACGAAAGGAAGGCCGCTCCACATTTCCACTGACATCAGCTTGGATATCTTTAATATGGGACTGAAGAGCATCCGGTTTGTTAATACTAAAACGGATCAATATAGTGGAGGTGCCCTTCATCCCTAAAATCGAACTCACTACTGGATATATTTGCTTGGGCTTGAGGCGCCTTCTGTTCGTTATAGTCAGGTTCTACTGTAGCACAACGACCTTGCAACACTTCAGCGATCTGGTCTCATCGAATCGTAAGATGGAATGGTTTAACAGGGTATATGTACATAGGTATAAAATCACATGTACTTACATACATGATTATAATTTCCAAAAAAAAAGCAAAGAGATATAGGCGGCTTCTATTCATATTCGTTCGTTATGCAGTATGTCCTTCTGCTTCTTTCATAGGCACCATCTCATACTCCTCTCGATTGCGGCCTCTTCGCCCACGAGAGAAACCCGGCATCCCGTTCTCGAGATCAGGCGAATTCGGCTGTTGAGAAGATCCCCCTATTTCATTAGACTGCGCTGCGGCGCCGCCATCGCCGCTACCTGATCCGCTTTGATCAGGGCCTCCCAGTCCAAGACCCAGACCAAAAGTGATGGGCGCTAGTTCCCGTCTTTGACAGGCCCAGATCCCGACAAAGGTCATGAGAGCCGCACTTGCGAGTTGAAGGGACCACCAAAGTAGATTTCTCGGTACGGAATGAGTGTAGAAGAAGACGATGAGCAAGTGGATGAAATGTATCGTGAGCGCGAAGTCGGGGATGAGCTTGGAGCGCGAAACGAAGATGAGGAGAAATATGACACTGTAATAGACATTAATATTCATGATACTGGTAAGGGGACATTGTGAGAGTCTTACCAAATGAAACTATTCAATATCCATACCAAACTCAACATCCACCCTACCGTAGTGTCTCCTCGCAAACTATCCCATCCAAATATAAGATCAAGAGAAAACACTGTACCAGCCACCAAGGTGGTGAAGATGACAAGAGCGGTTATGCAGACATAGTAGAGGGCTTGGAGAAGGAGGATCTTCCGGACGATTTTTAACGGTGGGAGCTCCGTGAGCGCCCCGGGACGAGGAGGGCGCCTCCTTGCGGGCATGGACTATTCTTTGAAGACGCTCCGAGATCGTTTCAAGTGTGGCTATACGTAGCGCCGACTGGTACGGTGTTATTATAATATTGGTGAACAGGGGTTGTTTTGACCGCAGGTCGACATCCCTTCCCCTTTGACAGCTTTCCACTTTCGTATTGCAGGTAACGGATTGGCGAGACCTGTATATGCAATTCTGTATGCAATACGCGCCTGGCCTTCAAATATAATGGATCGATGAAACAACTATATGCAGTACCTGTAGTAGTTGTCGTTGAGAGTAAGAGTAAATGTTATGACGGAAAAACAAACGCCACGAGGCCAGCTCCGGCGCCAAGAAAACTGGCCGCAAAGCCAAGCATTAACTTCCGCAACTGAGTGACATATGCGGAGCAACTTTAACTTCAATTTCAACCTAACATATCCACCTTTTCATATTTCATTGGACTCTTAACGATTCCAGAGCATCAATTTCTCTTCCCAACAGCCTACTAGACATTTTCCCTACTGCCGTCAATACCAATCTTAACTCAACACCACATCATGAGCTGGTTCGGCTTCGGATCCTCAAACGCCGGTCCCAAATCCGCAAAGGCATCAGACGGGGGACGCATTGCCCCCAACCGCTCCTCCCGCGAAGTCTGCTATAACGGACGAGATCTATTCTTCTCCTGTCTTGACCGCAATGATATCCTAGACGCCATCAAACACGATTCCGAGGTACGCAAGAAGTGCGGGAAAGAGATTGCTGAGTTTGAGTCTGCTTGTTCCAAGGCTTGGGTTCGTTTTTTTCCTTTCCGAATTCGTAAGGTAACGCATGTTAGCTGACTGCGAGTAGGTTAAATATTTTAAAGAGAAGCGAGTCATGGAATATAATAGGGATCAAACGATTGCCAGGATACAAAAAGCGGATGCGGAAAAGGCCGCTGAAGAGGCTAAAGCACGATAGACTCGGTTGAAAGGCGAGACATAACAATGCTGCATTCGATTTATGGAGTTTTGTGGGGATATTTCTTCGATTGAAAATGTATTATATATCTATGGTGTACTATATCAATGGCTTTGTACCGTGATGACGAAGGTATGAAATTTAAACTCTACTTCAAAGATAACAAAAACATATCCTATATTCAACATTTGAATGAATAGGGTAATTGCAAATATCAAAGGTATAATTCATGTATAGCACTTCACAAAAACAAAAGGTATGCTGAGTATCGTCGCCATAACTTGCCTGTAACCGTTTGAAATGCATGAAAGCTCTAAGAATCAAAACATATAAAGCAGACGCCAACACAATATAACGCCATGATTTGGGGATGTAAAGGGCTTGTAGATTTAGGTTATAAACCAAGTAATATAACAAGATGAGCTTATTGTTTCCACTTAGCGAGTTGATTGACAATGTTTTGCATATGAGGGCCAACTGGAGCTTGGCCTCCTTGGATCGAATTTCCATTCGCACTTCCTTTCGCGAGTAATGCGAGAAGATTTGGGTCCGGACCGTTGGACAGCTGAGGCAGGCCAAAGGGGTTTGGAGCCCGAGACTGTGATCCCTGGTTTTGAGCTGTCGCAAGAGTCTGCTGGCGGTGCGCGTTGCTCAATAGACTTGCGAGATCAACTTGATGGGAGCCGTTCGTCGCCATGGGCATTGATGGCACTGCTGCTTGTGGAACAGACTGCGCCTGCTGAAGTGTATTCAACAGTGACTGTAATGCGGGTCCGTCAAGGCCCTGGATGAGGTTCGCGATTTGATTTGTTTGTGGAAGCGCTCCAGTGCCTGGTTGTACAAGAGGAATCGGCTGAGGAAATTGATTCGGCAGAGGCAGAGGTAAAGGGTAGGAAGGATTGTGAGGGTAGAAGTTCGGAGCTGTTCCAGCTCGACGCAATGTGTGCATCTGAACAGTCATCTCGACTGCTACGTGCAGGTCTAGGTCCGGGTATTCTGTCGAGTTCCACGGTCAGCATCAATCTCAAACTGCGCTGACAAATATATAGCATACACTCACCGATTGAGCGAGGCTTACTACTGGCCCCAGTGGTGCGATCAAATATCAAAAGCGTGACCTTTCCAGAGAATTGCTGGCTTCTCGTGAGTTTTATCACTGCGAAAACGCCTTCTTCCATTTGCCTTTGGATTGCCACGTCCATAGGAATCCGGGAGAGCACTAATATGTTCGTCCGGAGCCCTCGAGTTTTGAATGAATTTTCGACGTGATATGCAAAGCTCCTATGAGTGTTCGTTAGCTTATTTGTTTCCCAGATGAGATCCTCTAAACTCACATATCCACATCGTCAGCGGCCAGAATTTGCAAGTCCGGCACATCCCTCGGTGCACGGCGCGAGGAAGCAGATTCGGATTCGCCGTCATATCCCGAGCGACCGCGAGGGCTAGGGCTTCGGTGCCGCCTGTCCCTACTATAAGGAGACCGCGACCTTCGTCTGTCACGTCGCTCGAACCTATCCGGAGTTCGATTTCTTGAAAGGAATCCGCTATCTCGATTTCGAAAAGAGCGTGGTGATGGTGACCGAGGCGGTCGGTAGTCATCACGACGTCGAGGGCCGTGTTCATCCCTAAAGTCACCGAAACTTCCCCTCTTGGTTTCATATGGGCGATCATGACGGTCACTGCCTTGATTGCGCGCTCCACGGCTATTGGAAGGCCCTCCACGAGTATAGTCTGGTGGCGATCTAGATCGCCTAGTTAATGACTGGCGTGCCGATTCAGGATGGTTTGCCCCAGGTCGTGTGCTTTTCTGAGGTTTCGAAATTTCAAGATCTATTTAGTGTTAGAACTATCCATAAACACAGCATGGTATATGCTTACGAATCTTTCGGCCTCTCACAACGCCTCCTTGCTCAGCTTGTAGAGCCCTGTGGCAAGAATCCGCATCAAGAAACTGAATGAAGCCGTACGCTTGCTTGATAGAAATCTGCGCTAGTTTCCCGTACTTGTGGAAAACATGAAATAGGTCACGCTTGGTTACCCGCTCACTCGGAAGGTTGCCTGAAATAGCGTATCATTAGTCCATTCACTGTAGAAGAACAGGAAGAGCATTCCGAGAACTCACCGACAAAGAGTCTAGAACCGTAAGGAAAGCGGTCCCACAAGCCTTCGGTAACATAAACTCTCTCCTCACGCAGAAACTCATCGTATATCTTCTGTACTTCTGACCCCCAGAAAGCTTCATCATCAGGAGAATTCCCGGACCTTGCGCCATACCTCTCAGGCCTCAAACTCTTATGGTTTGGTTGTGCACTAACGTCCTGTACAGTGTTTGGCTGCTGGAATGACGCTACAGGGGGCGGGCGTAACCCGTTCGATCCTGAAGTTGTACCTGGAACCACTCCAGGAGCAAACCTTGACACATCCGAGTATTGATCCTGAACTTGCGGCTGGGATATTTGGAGGGACATATTCGAAGTCTGGGCGCCAACCGGATAATATTCACTATTATTTTCCGTAGACAAATAATTGGGGTTCAGATTTGGCACCTCTTGAGTAGGTGGTCGCGGTGGGAGGCCTGCAGATAAGGCATAATTATGATCCTGTTTTGGAGGAAGTACAGACTGTTGAGGTTCTTGAAACCCGGGATTATCAGCGGGAGATGAAGTAATCGCAGTTACCACGGGGCCAGAGGGTGCGGTAGAGGCGGATGGGGAGGTGTTATCAAGCAGGTCTTGAAAGTCAACGCCAGTTTCGGCTGCTGCATTTTTACTCGGGATATCACCAGTGCCAGGATTGACAAGGGAAGATTCCAATGCAGTCGTACTGTTGTTCACGGGATCTGCACTAATTGGCTCGCTCATCTGATGATACGGAGCAACATTTGATTCATCCGAAAGTGGTAGATGCGCTGCGGCGGACTGGGCACCTAAAGTACTGGGAACATTTGCCGTCTCTGGGAAGCATGTTAGAATATATGGTTGGATATACTGGTTTGCAAAGGTGGATCTGGGCGACAGTTGTAAGGGGGATGTGGGCAGACACATGTTCAGCTATGAATGACTTAATCATTCGTGGGATAGTCTGCCCCTGGTCCTGCATCTAGTCTTGGAATGGGAGAATGGGAGAGGGTCTACCTGATGCTTGAGCCACACTCAGAAGCACTTCTCGTAACCTATTCTCATCCTCGTTGGTGCTCTTGTAAATTTCACTGTCCAATTCCAACTGAGAGGGTCGCTCATCATCCTGGTAGGCAGAGAGCTTCTCGTATGTCGAAGTGTCGTTGAAGATTGGGTCCATCTGGTTCTCTAGAACAGGTATATTTGAAGGCTCTGGGATGTGAAGCGGGCGTGGACTTTCGGGAGTAAGGGTCTTCCCCCGAAAGTGTATAGCCTCATCTGGAGGATTGGATGTCATAGGGACGGCAAGTTCTGATGCGCTTCATCTACAAAATAGCGTCACAGCGACAAACCGCGGAATGCGAAGATTCCACGATGCTCGCTCTAAGAAGCCTGAAAATGAGCTGACTTGAAGGAAGAAACGTAGTCAAATGCGATTGACGAAAATGGCCATTAATGGCCTGATAGTAAGGAACGCCAAGACAGGTTCGCAGAATAGACCTGAGTTTAATATAAGGAAGTACTTCCGAAAAGATGTGATATAATGTAGGTAGCGAAAATATGGCTGGAAGATCGAGACAAGTGTGCAGTATGTGCAGGTTGATCGTCGAGATGCGCTTTGTCGTTGTATGTCGTCAAAATGTTCAAATCTAGCTGATGATTGGCTGAAGCGTACCTAAACCGATAATAGAGAAGATTCGTCTGATAAGTGTTGTATCTTGCTTTTGGACGAGGGTCGCTGCAAAATACAACAAATGAAACCTGCTGGCGCAGAGATGCGTCGATGAAAGGTTGAAGAGATGAACAGTGAATAATCCCAAGATAAGAAGTTCCTGTGGTCGTCGAGACCATCGAAAGTCGCGGCGCCTTCGGTGATAAGGCGGGGCCGCAGCTTAATGCGGCAGGCGGTGTGTCACGTGGGCGGTACGGACCGTAAGAGAAAAATAATTTTGTTTAGCATCAAAAAGTCTGGCCCAGCACGCATAACAGAACCAGATCAGTGCAGAGGTTAACACAGTCACAATGGCCCCTGCAAAGGAATCAAAGAAGCGGAAAGCAGTTACTCGCGATGTCGAACCAGACACGAGTATTGTCTCCGGCGATGAATTGAATAATTTAGACCTTTCTGACGGCGCTCATGATTTGTCGGACGAAAGCGATTCCGAGGTTGAAATAATCAATGAGTTCAGCGACGAGGAAGATGACAGCGAGTCCGACATTGACAGCGATGAAGTCCCGTCTGATATTGAAGATAAAACTGGGGAAGTCAGCAGCAACACGAAGCGTCCATCCCAAACTAGGGACGAAGACGACTTCGATGAGCCCAATTACCGAGTCGAGGTAGACGCCAATGGAAACGAGCGATACGTGTATGACGAGATCAATCCAGACGATAATTCGGACTATTCGGATGCAGATGACAACGCAAACACAATTGGCAATATTCCTCTCTCATTCTACGACCAATATCCTCACATCGGTTATGATATCAACGGAAAGAAGATCATGCGTCCCGCTAAGGGCGAGGCATTGGATGCTCTATTAGATAGCATAGAAGTCCCTAAGGGCTGGACAGGTCTTACCGATCCTTCGACAGGAAGACCCTTGGAACTCACTCAAGACGAGCTAGAATTGCTACGAAAAGTTCAAATGAACGAGATACCCGAGGAAGGTTACAACCCTTACGAGCCCACGGTTGAATGGTTCACCAGTAAGCAGGAGATAATGCCTCTTAGCGCAGCACCTGAACCGAAACGTCGATTCGTTCCTTCCAAGCATGAAGCGAAGCGTGTGATGAAGATTGTACGAGCCATCCGGGAAGGCCGCATCCTTCCTTATAAACCACCAGCAGAAGAGGACGAGGCAGATGACGGTCTGATCCGCTATGATATTTGGGCAGACGAATCTCCACGCCCAGACCACATTATGAACGTTCCAGCGCCCAAATTGCCTCCTCCTGGTTACGAGGAAAGCTACCATCCCCCTCCCGAGTATTTGCCAGACAAGAAAGAGCGAAAGGCATGGGAGGAAGCTGATGAAGAGGATCGAGAAAGAGAGTATCTTCCAACAGATTACGGTGCTCTGCGGAAGGTCCCTGGATATGAAAACTTTGTCAAAGAGAAGTTTGAGCGTTGCCTGGACTTATATCTCGCCCCTAGGGTCAGGAGAAGCAAACTCAATATCGACCCCGAAAGTTTACTCCCCAAGTTACCGAGCCCGGATGAACTCAAACCTTTCCCCACGGCATGTGCAACCCTTTTCAGAGGGCACACTGGCCGTGTACGCTCTGTATCAGTTGATCCTACTGGACAATGGTTGGCTAGCGGAGGTGATGACGGAACAGTGCGTGTTTGGGAGATTCTCACGGGTCGCCAGCTCTGGTCCGCGAAATTGAGTGATGATGAACCTATCAATGTAGTCCGCTGGCGTCCTGGCCAGGATGCTGTCATACTTTGCATTGCCTGTGGAGATGATCTTCATCTCGCCGTTCCCCAGATCGTCAATCCTGAGCTTGAAAAGGCCAGTTTGGAACTTCTTGATGCCGGTTGGGGCTATGCGGCCAACAAGTCTGCCTCTAAGAACGGAGATACAGAGTCAAAGAGTACTCCTACGAACTGGATTCGACCGTCTGCGGAGTTTGCTGAGTCTGGAGTGTGCATCACAATACCATTACGATATGTTGCAAAGTCCGTTTCATGGCATCGCCGAGGAGACTACTTTGTTACCGTTTGTCCCGGATCTTCCACTCCTGCACATCAAGCTATTGCGATCCATACACTTTCAAAACACGTCACGCAAAACCCTTTTAGGCGCCGACTCAAGGGAGGTGGTCCCCCTCAAGCTGCTCATTTCCATCCCTCCAAGCCTATCCTTTTCGTCGCCAACCAACGCACCATCCGCGCATACGATCTGTCACGTCAACTCCTGGTCAAAATCCTGCAACCCGGTGCCAGATGGATCTCATCCTTCGATATCCACCCTCATTCCTCCTCAACGTCTGGCGGTGACAACCTCATTGTCGGATCCTATGACCGTCGGCTCCTATGGCACGATCTCGACCTATCAGCACACCCATACAAAACCCTCCGTTATCACAGTAAAGCCATCCGAGCCGTCAAATTCCACCCGAGCAGCCGTTATCCTTTGTTCGCAGATGCCAGTGACGACGGCTCACTGCAAATCTTCCACGGCAGCGTTACCGGTGATATGCTCAGTAATGCCAGCATCGTTCCACTTAAGGTATTGCGTGGCCATAAGATTACTGGTGAACTTGGTATCCTGGATCTCGATTGGCACCCTACTCAGCCATGGTGTGTCTCTGCTGGTGCGGATGGTACATGTCGTTTGTGGTGCTAGATATTCGGTTTTCCATGATATTGAACCTTTTTGATTATATTTAGAACATAAGGGCGTTACAAAAGTTATGTACATAAGCACTTTGCCCCACGTAGATGGTGCATTAATGAGATTTTTTCATCACATGTCAACCTAGGACAGAAGTAGATCGAATGTGTGGATATCATGATAATATCACGTTCGCAAGAATATCTAAATACTTAATGTCATCTATCAACAATAGAAACTATACCGCACCGCTACTCCAATCCCTCCTCAACCTCTCATACTTCCTCATATCCGTCACACTAGGTCTAATATGCTCTTTCGCAGCCACAAAATCCTCAAAACGAATCATATCCCTTCTCTTAATGGCCGAATAACCAGCCCTGCGCAATAAACTGCCAATATCCGCACCACTATAACCCTCGCAACTTTCAGCCAAGGTGCGCATTTGGTCGTTGAATTCAATAGGTAGGTTGCGAACGAGTGTTTCCAGGATCTCCGCACGTTCACTTGGTCCCGGTAAATTGACGAATAGTAAAGTCTCAAGACGGCCTGGTCGAAGCATAGCGGGATCGATTATGTCGGGTCGATTTGTGGCTGCGATTATATAAATTCCTTGGCGGTTGCTACCTAGGCCATCGAGTTCAGTCAAGAGGGTGTTGACGACTCGTGCGGAGCTTTCGGATAGCGCGTCGTCTCGACGGGGTACCAGGGCATCCAATTCGTCGAAGAAGATTACACAGGGAATAGATGACCTGGCACGAACAAAGACTTGACGAACTGCTCGCTCCGATTCACCGACGTATTTATTCAAAAGTTCGGGGCCCTTGATACTAATGAAGTTTGCACGGGATTCATTTGCGACGGCCTTTGCTAACAAGGTCTTACCACAACCGGGAGGACCCCAGAGTAGAACACCAGTAGGCGCTGTAATGCCAACTTTGGCATATATCTCTGGATTCTTGATAGGATCGACCACGGCTGTGACCAATTCGTCCCGAATTCCACCAAGAGCACCAATATCTGCCCATGTAGTATCCGGGATAGTTGCGAAGCCTTCACGTTTAGAAGAGGGTTGAATCTTGGGCAAAGCTGTAAAGAAATCTGCATTTGATACTAAGACAGGATTGGTTTCCTGTCCCATAGGTGCTTCTTTGGCATGCTTGATCAAGCGACGTATCTCCTTGACTTTTTCGGTTAGATCTTGCTCTGTCTCCCCTTCGATATCCATCTCTTCGCCAGTATTCGCCTTGAGTAGTTCAAGATATCGCTTGATTGCCGCAGCTCCTGCAGTGGAGACCAGATCATTTAGATCCGCGCCAACGAAACCTGCGGTTCGTTTAGCTAGAGTCTGAAAATCTAAATCATCCGCAAGTTGCATTTTCCGAGTCAAAGTACGGAGAATCTGCTCCCGCACAGGTTCCGAGGGAACAGTCAGATTGATCTCCTTGTCGAATCGACCACCTCGTCGCAATGCGGGATCCAAGCTATCAGGTCGATTGGTAGCGGCCAGAACAATGACAGGCTTGCCGTTGGTCTTCTCCAAGGCCAGATCGTCCATACAAGTCAACAACTGGGCCACAATACGCTTTTCCATCTCTCGTTGGGCGCTCTCTCTTTTCGGCGTGATTGCATCAATCTCGTCGATAAAGATTAAACACGGAGCTACCTTCTTTGCCTCGTCGAAATGTTCTCGCAGAGCTTTTTCAGACTCGCCAGACATACCAGAGACCACAGATGGAGCGGATATGGAGATGAAGGGGACACCCAAGTCGGCAGCAAATGCATTTGCAAGCATAGTCTTACCACATCCTGGCGGTCCATGTAAGAGCACACCACGCGGAGGTTGGACCTTGGAGGATGTGAAAATTTGTGGGCGTGTCATGGGTAATATAATCAAATCTCCCAACTCCTGCAAAACTTCGTCCATACCGCCGAGATCTGATAAACTGACATGAGTTGGCGGTGATTTGTCTATGGTATGATCCGCCTTCCTCCTCTTGGGTACTGATTCTCCCGCATTTTGACGTCTTTTAGCCCCCGTGGATTGCGCCGAGCCTTCAACAGCAGATGATTCGTTTCCTTTCCGAGGAGCAGGTGACGGTTTGGCAGATGTTGACCAGGCACTGACAATACTCCTGTTTAAACCATTGGATTCCTAGCACGAATCAGTATATTTGACCCTTTCAAACTTCAATGATTGTGCGGACTGCTTTACTATTTGATCAACTTTCTCATTTTCCAACCCCTCAAAATCTCCATTCACCGAATCCGACTCGTCGTCACCCCGAAGATCGCTTTGAACAACTTCTAGTACGCGCTCAATGCTGTCTTCGAGCAGTTTCTTCGGTTTTCGATTCAAACTCGAATTGGACTTTCTAATCGTATCGTATATTGAATATGTAGTGAGTCGGGTCTTGCCTGTCTCGGCCTGCTGCTCGTCTGCAATTTTGCGCACAATTTGGTAGATCTGCAGAAAGAAAGTTTTTTTATTAGTTTATGTCGTCGCCAATTAGTAGCAGATATTTAGTTACCTCTTTGTCCAAGCTATGGCTCAGACTTGGTCTCCCCTTACTTCTGTAAGGCATGATGTTGATTTAATCGATGAACAGCGTATATTGAATGACAGTCCTATTGTTGTTTGTTCCTGCGGAGATATCAATATTTTTTCGGGCTTATCGATCGCCGGATCAACAATCTTCCGGACCCCGCTTATCATTGGCCGATCTAGACACTTGCTCACCATCATAACAAGCTCCGTATTTACTTTCAGTACACAAAGTAGCGATGGAAATTTAAACGAGTCAGGAATCATGTCTTTGATCACTTCTATATAGTTGTCTCACGCGTGGTTTGACCGGCGTTGACTACTGTCATCAGTACGACCCAGGCCGCAACGATCAACGTCATCGCCTCCTCGCCGAAGGCTACCCCTTGTTATCGACAAGGGACGATGCTTCAGACATGGGAAATGCCAGTAGTTCCAACAAGATATCTGCTCAAGACAGGTCTGTCGCCATCATTTCCCTTTTCATTCGATTTTTATGTGATGTCTAGGAGAGCGAACACCCACTAACTCCGGAAATGCAGAGCAATCCTAAACCTCAAAATCCAACGCGACAAACTCCACGATTACCAAAAACGCATCATAACCTTGACCGATCGGGAAACAGAGATCGCCAAGGAATGTTTGGCAAAGAACGATAAGAAACGTGCCCTATTAGCACTTCGTCGAAAGAAATATCAGGAAACCCTTCTAGCGAAAACAGATGCTCAGTTGGCGCAATTGGAGCAACTGACGTCTCAGGTCGAGTTTGCGTTGGTTCAGAAGGATGTGCTATTTGGGCTGCAGCAGGGTACGCAGGTTCTACAGGCTATAAATAAAGAAATGGGCGGATTAGCTGCTGTTGAGAAATTGATGGGTGAGACGGAAGAGGCTAGGGCATACCAGGAGGTTAGTATTATCTCTTTAGTACTGATTGGACTTACTCTAATACTATGGAATATAGGAAATCAGCCAAATGTTAGCCGGACAAATGTCCAACCAAGACGAGGATGAAGTTGAAGATGAGCTCGAAGCTCTACAAAGGGAGGTCGAGGGTACCGTTGAAATGCCTAATGCGCCCACAGCCGCCCTTCCCGGAATGACAGAAGAGCAGAAAAAGGAACAAGCAAGAACAAGAGCCAAGGCAAGAGCGCAAGAGCGAGCTGCTATGTTGGCTGCTTAGGGATAGATGGGCCCACCAACTACATTTTACACAGATTCTATATCCTAGGCGCAAGGTCAATGGATTTGATAGAGTCATTGCGCGTTCACGTCACAGTTTTATGGAGCATACACGCATAGGTGGCTGGGTATTGTACAGTTTCGCATTCTCGTATATTCTAATTAGCGGAATCATAGACACATCACGTTAATCATAAAGTGGTATCATTTTCGTCGCAGTGGTAATGCAAACATCTCGAATGCTGCTAATGATTATTGTCCCGGCATAATCCTCCCTCCAATTCCTTGCACACCCTGGATAGCCACATGGTCACTGGGGTTCGCAGCTGCTTCGTACATGACACTGACAGGCTCCCGGTTCAGCGCCATAAACTGTCCCTTGAATCCAAGGTACCCGATCCTGGTAGTCTCTTCCTCGCCCCAGTTGTCTTCGAAGAACAGGGTGATGGACGTAGTAGTGTTCCACAGTGCGCGATTAAGGGGAAGGTCAAAGACGTCAGTCCCCGTAACAGGTTGCGGAATTTCAAGGATCTGGGTCGGTTTCAAATCCGACGCCATGGAGAAATCGAGGTCATTTCGGTTCTTGAAGAGCTTCACGGTCTTGGGAGCACATGGGGTCGGAGCTGTGTATATCAGGAGTGAGTGCAGTTTCACTTGTCCTGCAAATCTTGAAGCCTTTTAGTCCATTGCGTTATCTTCAGCTTCAAGGGCTTCCTGTAAAGTATAAGGATTGCTTACGGAATGTGCATCAGAAGCTGTTCGTCGGCATCGCTCTCGAGCTCAGGTTGTTCAATTAATCGTTCAGCCCAGGACTTTTGGAGAACTGCGGTACCGGCGCGAGGGACGGATTCTATATGTAGGGTATTTCATTTGTCAGTGCTTGTTGCATGAATGTGTTAGTCTTAAGGATTTGTACCATTCAATGTAGACACCATATCAAATTGTATCTGAGAGTACAACAGTGATTGGAGGGCAGGAGTGATGTCATTGGAATGATCGTGTCCCTCATCGTGACAATGATCTCCATGGCCGTGATCGTGATGATGATGACCCGACATTGTTGTATCAATAGCAAAGGTAGATTACATGGAGAGGAGCATGGTGAAGCAGAGTGAGAAGTGTCTGGTAGAGAAAGATTATCATCGAAGTAGCTACAAATAAATGAAATTGATCCGCACCGAAGCGGGACAGCCCTAATCAAGCCCCCCACCTTCACCAAAAGGTGATGCTCCCCACGTGCAGCACGTGCTCTTCCCTATGATAATCGATAGTATTCAGGAGCATATTCCACCAGCCAACTTCTCTCAATCTTGGTGATATCGCGGATGAAGGTCTTTTCTCCGGTTTCCAGGATTTCATGGAATATGACCCAATCAGCTTTGCGGTTCTATGACAGAGGGGCAAAGTTAGCAATGGCCTTCAATCTGGATTCAGTTGGAAACTTACAAACATCAATGAGCTCGGGTGAGTATGTAAAGTCAACCCCCCGCTCACGGTCCTGAAGCTCCCGTCAGGCTGCATTTTGGCAGCATGTGCAAAGTATCCCGTGGTGAGACACCGGCGGATCTGCTCTGCTTTGTTGATATCTGTTGAAGCAGAAGAGATTGAAGGATTCGAATCGACTTCCAATCCAAACCGCTCAAGATAGCGCTTCAACTGGGCACGAACGCTTACAGCTCGAGTCAAGGACTTATAGTTAAGCAAATTGTCTCTGCACCATTTCGAGTCCTTCTTGCCGTTGGTGATGAATGCCTGATACACATTCAAATACGTCATATGATCTCCCTCTTCAACTGCAAACTTCCTTCGTGCGCCTTCTGTTTCGTCTTTACCACCGTCATGCTGTACCCACAGGGAGCCCTGTAAGCTGAGCATGGCAGCAATAGAGAGAATCTCGCTCAAACAATTAAAACTAGATGCACTGAGTAAGACCTTGGCAAGCATTGGCTCAACACCGAGTTCGGCCATACGATATCCCGTAGGTTTTGTCAGTTTGGCATAGTCATCCACTGCTCCGAGGGAGTACAGAAGCTCTAGCGCACGCGTCATCAATTCAGCAGGAGGGGGCGAAAGAAAGTCAAAGCGTACGACATTGTCAATACCAAGAGCTTTCAGCTGCATGACAACCGGTGCCAAGTTTGATCGTTGAATCTCCGGTATGCCCATGTCAGGTAACGCCTCGTAGGAATGTTGGGTATATAGACGAAAACATTTACCCGGCTTTGTTCTTCCGGCTCGACCGGCACGTTGCGTTGCTGAGGCTTTAGATATCGGCGTCGCTGTCAATGTCTCAATGCCGGTCTTTGGGTTGTAAGCCCGGATCTTGACAAATCCACAATCAATAACAAAAACAACCCCGTCAATTGTCACTGAGGCCTCGGCAATATTTGTCGATACCACCACTTTGCGCGTGTTTTCTGGCGTAGGTTCAAAAATATACATTTGTTGTTCTGTAGTTAGGCCAGCGTAGAGAGGGAGCGGAAGTAGGGATTTTGCTTTTGGATGGAGCATAGCAGCTCGTTCTGAGATCATTTGGACTGTCTGTTCAATCTCTTCTCGCCCAGTCAGGAAGATGAGTATGTCACCTTCGTCCTCTTGAGAATGGATATCAAAGACCGTCTTAATGGCCCTTTCAACATACTCCTCCGCTGGGCTCTCCAGAAAAAGGATATCAACCGGGTACATTCGGCCTTCAAGACTAATAATGCGCCCAACATCGCCTCCAAGTTCTTCACCCTGTCCTTCAATGATCGCCTTATCGCCACAGAAAAATCGTAAGAACTGCTCAGCTTGCAAAGTAGCACTGCTGATAATAATGCGGAGCTCAGGACGTTTCTTCATTATCTTCTTCAGTATTCCAAGCAAAATATCAGTGCTGATAGAACGTTCGTGAGCCTCATCGACCATAATCACTGAGTAACGAGACAGCAAAGGGTCAACAAGTGCTTCTCGAAGTAACAACCCATCTGTAAGAAACTTGATTCTTGTAGCAGCGGATGTGACGTCCTCAAATCTGATTGAATAGCCTACTTCTTCTCCCAGCTTGCACCGCATTTCATCAGCGACTCTGCGAGCAACTGTAGTCGCTGCTACTCGACGCGGCTATTTCCTGATCAGTATATTCCAGTGCATGATAACAAGACTTGAAGGGAGTCAAACCTGCGTCACCCCAATGACCTTCCCATCGGCCGTCCATCCTGCTTGATCCAGGAATTGGGGTAATTGTGTCGTTTTGCCACTTCCAGTCTGCCCAACAACTATCGTTACCGGGAAAGCCTCAATAAGGTATAAAAGCTTCTCCCTATATCGAGCAATGGACAGAAGCGATGAAGGCTTATACAGGGCGGGAATAAAGGTCGAAGATAGATTGAGCTCATCAGCCATTGGACCGACTTTCAGGAAGATATGACTTCCTCCTGATCCACCTGATTTGACAATAAAGAGCCCATATGGTCATATCCAAGACTTGGGAGCTATATCCCATTGTCGATGGAGGACAAAAAGATGTAGAAGAGCAAGCCACATGAAAGTCTTGGCCCAATGGTTAGCAGTGGCGGTGCAGTGTGTGGCTTGGCAGCGGAAAGTGATGCAATGGCCGCTGAGCTTGTTGTCGTGATAGGCTGCAATCAATCTACATTCTCATACGCGGCAACCTGACCCCCCAAGTCCAGTTTGCTTCTTTAATTTCCATACAACTTGGGAAGATTCGAATCTTGATTTCAATATTTGGCTACCATTGAATATATTCATTATGGCTGACGAGGGGAAAGTGGTAAGCTCCTTGTCCCTTTCAGATGGAATTACCATCATTAAATACGAAACCCCGCAGCAAACCCCTACCAAATACTCGGGGGGAATCAACACTTCCAATCCAGAGTCTCCTACTACTGCACGGCCGTTAGACTTTGACGATGAGCCCCAGGAGACAGGCATCCTCTCTACACCTTCCAACCCAGAGACCAGTGCTGAAGTTCCTCCGCCGAAACCACCACGACCGGTCGATCCGCGAAAACAAGCAGAAGAAACGCTCAAGGAAGCGTTCCCATCGATCGATGCAAGTGTAGTCAAGGCTGTCTTGACGGCTAGCGGGTACAACGTGGAAAGGGCCTTTCATGCACTTCTAGGTTGGTCAATTTGACGGTCAAGCTTGTTACAGGCTTTGTCAATAACACTGGAAATTCTGACAGGCATGACGGATCCCTCTGCCCAAGAAGAGCTCCCACCACCACCACCGGCAAAACCTCCACGACCTTCTTATCCGGCAACTTCAACTACCCAGCAGCAATTACGTGAAGATGAGTTATATGCTCGTCGTTTAGCGGAACACTTTGGTGATTCGCAACCTCGTGGCAGGCAGGGTTCCGGTTATGGAAGTGAACATTCAGAGGAGCGAGAGCGCAACTTTTTTGATGGTTCGTTGTCACATTTTACTGACTATAAAGCTTTCTTCTCTTGCTTATTGGTGTACAGATGATTTGCCTGTGATCAGAGACAACATTCGCAAAGGTTTCCTCGAAACCCAGTCCAAAGTCAATGCATGGGTACAGAACTTTAAGAAAAAGCTCGATGGCGACGAAGATGAAGAGGAGACTGCTTCAGGATATCTTCAATCACACGGAGAGACTCAAACCTATGGCCGCACACGACGAAGCGGCGATTCTGCCCGACGCAGCGGTGATCGGGAACGCTACGATGCAGACCCGCAGGTTCTCGGAGATGACTTTTCAGCGCTAGAATTGAGGGATTCAGAGGGTTGCCCTCCTTAACCCTTGCCATTTATCATTTGTTTAGTCTTACTAACTCTGGATAGCACCTCCTCCACGCCCTGCTCGTCCTCTAGCAAACATCAGACCTGCCAATACCTCGCAAGAACGACGAAAAGTATCCTTCCAAGACGGCCCACCAGAAGAAATCGACAATCTCTATGACGCCCCGAAAACAACCAAAACCCCGCCACCAACAGGAGGCAAGTCAAGCAAATGGCAACCTCTTTCCACGACCAGTCACTCCCCCATCGGAGAGAATGACCCTTTCAGTCTCGGCGATAGCGAAGACGAGCGAGAGAATAAACCCAAGGATGGTCCGGCTGGAGAAGACCCACTCAAGAAACTGACGTCAGAGGCTATAGAGTCAGAGGTTGGTTCTAATTCGAAAGATGCAAGTAAGAAGGCGGATGATAAATGATGCGTTTTTGGTTGTTTGATTTGGATGCTCTGTGTGTTGCGTGTGGTGTACGATCTTTTTTTTCATACAATTTGATTTCTGAGATATCCCATCAACCATGAAGATGTTTTTGATAGTATCCATTCGTCTGTCTCATATGGTCGCACTGTATGATGTTGTGCAATTAGTGTCTTGTTGTCCTCCAGATATCTCGTAGCCGGTATCTCGCCAAATGGGTTGTAATTGTTCGGGTAGCCTCATAATCCTATCGTAAATTCATAGCGCATAAAACGTAATCCCGTATCAATAGAAAGATCAATGATCATCCATCAACATCTTCCCGAGGAGGCGCTTCTTTCCTCAAATCCTTGATAACAGTCTATCGATCACATCAGTACAAAAGCCACCCTAGAACAGAAGGGAGACATACAGCAAGCGCATCAGGATTAACCCCATTCTCAATAAGGGATACACACAACGACAATTCAGTTCTATCGAGATGCGTATTCTTGTTACTGTCAGTCAGTTCCATGCGAACTACGAATTAAGGGATTTTTGGAGGTACCAGTAATGTTGAAATTTCATAGAGGATGTCAATGACTTCACGCGCTGCTTGGCGCTTTTCGTCTTGTTGGGAGGGCATTTTTGCTTTGACTTCTATGTGGGTTGGGAGGTTGCTGAGGTTGATAAGATTAAACTCAAGAGCGACGTGCGTCGTGAGTGTTGACGCGCTAAGTTTACATGCAATACCCAAAATGACAGCCAATCGGAGCGATTTAATTAACTCCGACATGGAAGTCATCTTTTTTCGCGAGACGCATTTAATTCAACAAGCTCTCTTCCTGATTTCTACTGTTCATTCACATCATTCTCAAGATCTACCATCCCTCAATTCCGACACTTTGGCAAATAAAAGTCCTAGGAAGAAGAAAATGGAAGTATGTCTCGAAATTGCAGATCTCCATTCCTCGTCACGTTCTGAAGCACTCGAAATTCTCACCAAGATAGCCCGCATCGAGAAGAGAACGTTCCCGACCAACGAAGCGTTTGAATTTGATATCAAGTTATGGAAGAAATCTAACACGAGAGTTCTTTACGCTACTACTACCAAAGCTCACAGTGATAATGACAATGGCGGACCCCGTGGTGATAATGTGGTTGTGGTTGCTTACCTTGTATATGTACGACATCGCAATATCGCACTGTTACATAAATTGTGTGTTGTAGACGCGTACCGGCGCAAAGGTATTGGTGAACGATTATTGGTACATGCAATCAAAGAGAGATTGGTAAATAATGAGCCGGGTTGCGAGTATATTCAGTTGTGGGTTGATAAGGCGCGGGTACCTGCGCGAAGTCTGTACACCAAGTGCGGATTCGAGGAGAAGGAGGAGGTACCTGATTATTATGCTAAAGGGAGAACGGGGATACGTATGGTCCTTGCTCTTTAACCTTTAAATGTCGCTGTTCGCTTCAATCTAGCCATCCCCAGTCTGGCACGAAAACTCCCTCCCAGATTCGACGGAGCGAATAGGTATGCCTAGAGCAAATTTACCTTATTGATCGTTAATTTGCTACATACCGTGTGCCTTCTCCCTTTTCCAGGAGCGCAGACCTGCTAGTGTACGTTCCTGGATTCTGGGCCGTGTCTTACCCCTAGGTCAAGTGCCATCCTTCGGAATGCCCCTTGCTGACTCCATACACGTCCCGAACGTGAATCTCGGCGCACTCCAAGCTGTCTATCGCATATGCAACTTTCTTATGCGACCTACATAAGCCTTTCCAGCCATGTGTGTGCATTTCTGACATCAGACATACTCTACCACGGCTTCCAGCAATGCTTTACGCGCTTCGCGTAGGCACGCCCTGGGAGTATCCCTTTCAACCTGAGATAAGAAAAAGGATTTCTGCCTTTTGCCTCGATGTCCGGGCAACTCTTCCATCGACGTCTTCTGGACGTGGTACCTCGAGCCGAAGACTTCCCAGACTTTCATCATCACCTTGAGGCTTCTGGCGGCATTTGCAGTCTATACTTACCTGGAAGTCGAGCACATCATGGCTTTTTCGACGACTATGGCATCGAAATTGGCTGTGATGCTCTTGCTGATGTTAGCCAACATTGTTGATGCAATTCCAACACCAAACTATCCGATTAATTCGCAGTTACCCCCTGTTGCTCGTGTGTCTCAACCTTTCAACTTCACTTTTTCGGGCGGCACTTTTATCAATAGCGGCACTGGCTTACAGTATTCATTATCAAATGCTCCATCATGGTTGAAGGTGGACACGACGAGTCAGACCCTATATGGAACTCCAAGCACGAATGATGCTGGTGCACCGCAATTCCTTCTTGTCGCTGCTGATCAATCCGGATCAGCATCAATGAGCGTAACGCTGGTTGTTTCTAGTGAATCGGGCCCACGAACTGGGAAGTCTCTTCTACCCCAGCTAGCAAAGAGTGGCTCAACATCTGGTCCAGCAACTGTCTTTATGCATCCTGGGCAAGCATTCACCATAAACTTCGATCCCAAAGAGATATTCGCCAATACCCAAGCAAATACTGTTTACTATGCGACATCTGCGCCGTACAATGCTCCTCTACCGTCGTGGATATCATTCGATCCGTCGAACAATCTCAAATTTACCGGTAATAGTCCATCAAATCCATCATCGGTCCCTCAATCATTCAGCTTCAATCTCATAGCGTCTGACGCCGCCGGATTCAGCGCGGCTATGGTGACCTTTGAGATTGTTGTAAGCCAGCATATATTGTCATTCGGACAAACTGCTCAGACCCTCAATTTCACTCGTGGTCAGCCGTTTAGCACACCACATTTCATTGACGATCTTTCATTGGATAACCATAGTGTCACTGCAAAGAATCTGTCGCATTTTAGCGTTGACGGGCCATCCTGGCTCAAGCTTGACAACGACACACTCTCTCTTAGCGGAATAGTTCCCAATGACGCTGACAATCAGAACATCACAATCACTGTAGGCGACATCTATGACGACAATGCCAAACTGGAGCTCTATCTTCGAGTCTCGCAACTCTTTGCAAAGGGTGTAGAAAGCTGCAATGCCACAATCGGTGAAAAATTCTCCTACTCATTCGACAAGTCTTTATTGAGTGATGACTCGGTCCAACTGCGAGTTGATTTGGGTGCAGCGTCCTCCTGGGCCCATTACGACCTGGCGACTAAGATGATCTCTGGAGACGTGCCAAAGGACTTGACACCTCAGACATTCCCAATTAAATTGACAGCTACTCAAGGATCGATTGAGGAGACGCGAAACCTGAACCTCAGTGTTTTCAGGTCTGGAAAGACAGGCGTTGTCAGCGATAATCAGACCTCTTCGGGTACAAATCACGGCACAAGCAGACGCAAAGCTGGGATCATTGCTGCTGCCGTGTTATTACCTGTGGCGTTATTAACAGCAGCAGGTATCTTTATCTTCGTCTGCTGCCGTCGACGAAGGTCCAGAATCGATGGCACAAAACACAAAGACGAAGAGAACCCTGCTGGAGATACACATTCAGGTCCAGTCACGCATCCAGAGAAGAACATGGAAACAGAGGTCGCGGAGATGTCGCGAAGTCTTTCGAACTCGTCAGGCTCTTCGAACGATTCCGCTCCTCCTCAGCTAGAATTAGATCCGCTGTGGGAAACTGCTTCTCTAGAAGATGAACAACAGCAAAGACATGCCCAATCACCTAGCGTTTCTGTCCAACCTCAAAATTTTGTCATGGATTGGGATAATTCCATTATGGGTACGGAGAAAATCCAGGCGTCACCCAACGTGTCTCCCACAAGAAGCACAAGCGTGTCCCAAACATCTCCGTTTACTCGTCGCAGTAGCCGGCGATATTCAAAACGGGAGCCTCTCAAATCGATACAAGCTCGCTCTATCAAGAGAGATTCCATCATGTCTTCGAAATCCAAACGCTACTCTAGACGTTTGAGTGGGATATCGGCAACAGGGCTTCCGGTTCGACTTAGCGGTGCAGGTCACGGTGCTGGAGGATTTGGTCCATTGCGAACAGATGTGGTTGGAGGATCATGGTATACTACGCAAGTATCGTTACAGAGCGATGACACCAGCATTGAAAATCTTGCAACTATGTTCCCACGCCCACCTCATGTACGGAACAGAGATGGAAGCCTGTCAATGCGACACCGCGACTACCAAAAGCGAGCCAGCATGAGATCGAATAGACCGCTATCTACTGAGCCTCCAGAGCCTGATTCCCTCGAGGCTTTCATTCAAGGCCGAGCGCGCAACCGCAATTCTGGCAATCCTTACTTCTCAGCCAGGATGAACAGCTCAGGTTCCACGGGTTACCGTGCGTTAGAGAAAGCTCGTCGCAGCTCTAGTATTGCTGAAACCACAGTGTCCACATCTACTTTTGCAGATGATCGACAACAGCATCCAGTGCGCCCCGTATCGACCATATCAGCGTCTATATATGAGGATGATAACCGGAATTCGGTAATACAAGCACGGCCAATGTCGCAGATTTCCGAAGTTGGAGCATTCCCTGTCAACAGGAATCGGACTAGCCAAGGCTTAGTCCAGCGTTATACGGAAGCCATTGCGGAACTACCACGATTCTGGAGTCAGACCAGCATGAGAAGCGCGAAACCCTTCGAGTCTGGAGAGTCTCTGACGGGATCAGATGACTATTATAATTTGATAGATGAACTTGAGAACCCTGAAGGAGGCCGACAGTGGTACCGCGTGAATTCACAAACGCAACAACAGTCCAATACCGAAGAAGTCACCAAGGCTGATTCCATCCGACAAAGCGCGGAACTCTCTCCGATATCTGATGCAGGTGGTAGTCGAGTACGGCGCATGAGTCTGCTGCGAACAGGGTGTCAAGATAGTAGCCCTACTGCCGTTCGGCATTGGCGACTCGCAAACACGCTGGAACGACGGCCCAGCATTGAGGGTAGTGACAGTCTTCAACCGACAGCAAATAGTAGTTTTCGGGGTGATCTAGCATTTGTATAGGGGCCGTCTCGATTGTTGACGTAGAACATCAATTTTTTCTGTCTGTTGATATTGTCGTCCTGGGTCGGTCATGTTTTGGCTTGGAGTTTGGGTCAGGCGTTATCAAGATACCTCGGATATGGCATGGTTTATTTGTTCTTTCAATGGGTTTGATGACTTATTTATCCGGAGCAGTAGTAGTAAAGAATTGAATCATGGTTTTTATGGATGACATTTTCGGAAATTGCAAACGTCCGCAGGAGAAAACACGACCGAGGTGGTCTCGTGACTTGCATACGTAAATCTGAATTTCAGAGCAGTCTTTCAGAATTCTGTACAAAATTACGAACACACCAACGGCGTATCTCAGAATCGCAAAGATGCTCGCAATACCCGGCGTGACTCCTGATAACCAGGGCGGTCCGAGTAAATAACCAGCTAAAAATTTTGGACTGGAAACGTGACTATAAATTGGACCGAACAGCTACAATAGGCTCCTCGGTCAAGCCTAGATTGTAGCCTAACCTTCCAATCAATCAGAATCGGTTTTCAGCGCGGAGACTGTTTTCGCGTAGCACTGTTGAGGGCACAGGAGTTGCTTGACTGCTGTCAACATGAGGTCAATATGGGGATATATCAAGGATAAGAAGAGCTGAGATGCCAATCTTTTGTCACACTGCTGAGCAATAGATATGGCTGATTCTTCAGCCACACTCAAGGAACAGCCACTGTATTTTTATTACAACTATGCCTAATTCGGCTCTCAATTGTATTTTATACCCTGCTTCCTCTATCCCATCAAAGCCTTTGTCTTTGGCAGAGACACAAAAAATATATTTTTATTGCTTATATTATAAAACAGATACTTCTAATTACTCCTTATAAACTAAAATTACTCTGGTTGTCATGTGATGTACATATTTGAAAAGATATTACAGATATTACTCCGGAGCAGCTAGTAAGAGTATGACAAAACCGGCGCTAAGCATTTTCGTCATTGTCAGTCTGCTCTCCAACACGCGACTAGCAGCATCCCACACTTGCTTTCTCCCTGGCTGAGATTCTGCGAACAATTTCATTTTTCTTATTCTTCATTCTCTGACTCCTTTGTGGTAGTACTCCCATTTCCAGACTGCTGGCTGGCTCACAGCACGCAAGCACAGAAAAAAACACAATCCGCTACCCCCCACATTTTATTACCTCTTCCTCTGATCGAGTTTGCTGGCGCTAAGATTGCTGAAATCAGTGACATTACACCTCCCTTCTCATCCTCGTCCATATCCCTCGTCGCCCCATCTACCATCCTCGATCTCCGGGTCTCGTCCTAACGGTTCTATTCTCTCCTCTCTTTGAAGTTGTACACAGTCGACTGTCTGCTGCATAAATTCCTGGTCGTTCGATCGGGACCCGCGAGTCATTATGGGTCAGACCTTATCAGAACCTATTACAGAAAAGGTGAGGTCGTGATTTTTTGCTCTTTGTCCCCCCATTGGTCTTTTATTGCTATGATGTCTCTTTTTTTCATAACGTGAATCGTCACACTTGAGACTGCTGCGTCACATTCAAGCCCTGTGGCTATAAGTGACGATGTCAACTGGGTGCGGGGCAGATCCGTTTTTGTCCTAAGCGATCAGCTCGCTATGTCAGTGTGGACGGCAATGCAATTTCTGCAGTCTTCCTGCTTACTTCCTCTGTTCTCCCGCTGTTGGCATCTTATGGTCCATGCGTGTTTCGAGAATTCAAATCAATGTGCTAACCATTTATTTCCGCTCATAGACTTCTGCAGAAGGCCAAGATGATTGCGTCTTATACGGAGTATCAGCCATGCAGGGCTGGAGAATTACGATGGAGGATGCGCACGCCGCGATTCTCGACCTGCACGCCAAATATATAAATAAATCCTCCGAACCCACCTCGCCCGATCAGCGCCTGTCATTCTTTGGTGTTTACGACGGCCACGGCGGAGACAAAGTCGCCCTTTTCGCAGGAGAAAAGGTGCACCAGATCGTTGCGAAACAGGAGGCCTTTGCCAAGGGTAATATCGAGCAGGCTCTCAAAGATGGATTTTTAGCCACCGATCGTGCTATCCTTGATGGTTCGTGAACTGCTCATTTGACATACTGCACATGCTCAAAATGCTTATGGAATGTGCAGATCCTAGATACGAGGAGGAGGTTTCGGGATGTACGGCATCTGTTGGGGTCATTTCTCGCGATAAGATCTGGGTGGTGAGTTTGAGGGTTTCTCTCAAAACCGGCGTGAGCAGGATGACTAAATTATTGCGCAGGCAAACGCTGGCGATTCTCGAACTGTATTGGGTGTCAAGGGCCGAGCAAAGCCTTTGTCTTTTGATCACAAGCCACAGAATGAAGGTAACTTCTCTTGAATTCGGACAATGATTATTTTGTGACTAATGTGCTCTTTTTCAGGAGAGAAAGCGCGTATCAGTGCCGCAGGAGGCTTCGTTGATTTTGGACGTGTTAATGGCAATCTTGCTCTTTCGCGTGCCATCGGTGATTTCGAATTCAAGAAGAGTGCCGAGCTATCCCCCGAACAGCAGATTGTTACCGCGTATCCTGATGTCACAACACATGAGATTACCGAAGATGACGAGTTCCTGGTGATTGCTTGTGATGGTTCGTGCATCCTCTACACTTTTCTCCTACCACCACTGACTTTCATAGGTATCTGGGATTGCCAATCCTCTCAAGCAGTCGTGGAATTCGTAAGAAGAGGAATTGCCGCCAAGCAAGATCTATACCGTATCTGTGAGAACATGATGGACAACTGCCTGTCTTCAAACAGCGAGACCGGAGGTGTCGGCTGCGACAACATGACGATGATCATTATCGGCCTTTTGCAGGGAAAGACGAAAGAAGAGTGGTATAACACTATTGCGGAGAGAGTTGCCAAAGGCGATGGCCCCGTTGCTCCTCCTGAATATGGCAAGTGTAATGACAATACCCGCGACTCCACAATTTGCTAACTATAGAGTTGCAGCTGAGTTCCGCGGCCCTGGAGTCCGTCCCGGTGCTCGCCATCAATTTGACGACAGTCCAGACGATTACGACCTAGAGTCAGATAACGGCCGACGAGCTTTTGGTGTTCAATCGGGGCGCATCATTCTACTTGGAGATGGAACTGAAGTGCATACGGATCAAGACGACGAAGAATTGTTTGACAGTACAGAAGAGGAAAAGAATCAGAATCAGGTACGGGCTAGCACCGCTAATGCCGGGCATGATGCCAGGCGAAGCCATCGTGAAGATACTCCTGGACCCGAGCTTACCCACAGAAACGCTATTCAGAATACCGAGACTTCTCAGACTGGACAACAAGTTTCTGCTTCTCCGTCAGCTATAAACGCGGACACACCCACCGAGATAAAGAGTGAAGAAAACAAAGCTGCCAGCAAACCGACTGATTCCTAGCATGCATGGGTATATAGAGACTTACATTTACTCTTGCTACTACGAATGCCGAGATCATGATGATAATAACGAACGCCGGAATAAAGAACATTTCGATCTTCCTTGTCGAGTCTACCTTTCCGTCGCGCCCATCCTATTCCAGCTTTGAAATTCCATTCTATTCCTCCCCTCCCAGAGAGCGCCGTGCTACGATTGTCCTCTTTTCCGTTTTTCTTTACTCTGTCTTTACCGTGCGATTCTATATCCTGTTGAGCATTTGTTTATCTACTTCACGATCGCAATCCGATAAAGATAAGGAAAGAGGAAAAGATAAGGGCTAAGTGGAGAGTCTCTGGGTCAGCCTTTATTTTCACTTTTTCCTCCATCTTCTTTTTTGGTATATGCTGGAAAAGGGATGGCCACAACCACGAAGAGTCAGGAAGAAAGAACAACAGACGGTTAGGGTTTCAAACAAGGAGTTTTTTTGTTTTCTTTCTGTATACATTACGGCGTAACTGGGTAATTCTTCAATAAGCTTTAACGTTGGGATCTTTGTGCAATGTGAGATCGTATCGGTGTTCTTAATTTTTCTTTCAAATTTCTACCTGGACAGTGAATGGTATGTTCTCCCCTACCATTTCGACAGCAATCGGTATCACTCATGATCTTGAGCTTTCCTTTTCGAAGAATCTCACGATTCTATTTGTACTAGAGTCGACAGCAAATCTCATTCTACGTGTTCGAGTGACTCATTAGCACTGACAATTACAACATCGTACCATATTTTTTCCAATCTTTCTAATCTCTTCTCGGTCCATCGCAGCAGATGCCTCCTCAACCCTAACCCTGGATATTAGGGCTACACGTGCTGACGGAACAGGACGGGAGCTCAAGCTGAGAGAGACGCGACACGAAAAGAGCCCCCTAATATTCCCCATAAAAATTCATGTCCTTGTTTTAATTGATCTGTGCAATTTTCTACCGAATCCATCTGCTTCATGTTTCTCTTTTCATCATCTATCTGATTGTTATAATTATCGTCCGTCTTATCGATTCGCAGAGTGTGGGGAGTGCCGCTCTCCATCCTCGAGTCAATTCGCACTTTTCCCGGTTTTGCTGGCGTCTACGTCAACCTCAACTCAACCACAAACAATCTCCATTACCATCGCCAGCATCAACCAGAGCAGACGCCACTACAAATTGGCGCTAATTGGAGACCATTCCGGTTTAAACTGACCATGTCTTCTCCATCTTCGAGTTCCGGAAAGCGCAAGCGGACTGCTTCGATCGCTCACAATAATAATCATAATAATAACACCATCCCGAATACTCTGAAACCCGCCGAGCTTTTACAACCTTCATCCCGCGACGCCTCTGGAGAAGAAGGCGACGACTCAACTGCACCGACAGATGAACGGCCATTGTCACGACACAAGAAAACTCCATCACTTACAATTGACCCTAACGCCCACCCTTCGAAACGGGCAAGAACCCGTTCCGGCGCCGATACGACAAGCAAGAGTGAGAACCACCACGAAGACCCCGGCGAGCCATCTGAGACGACCGATGCGAGCGCCGATATTGAGACAAGGTCGAAACGAAAAGCCAGTACTCAGGTGGTCGCTGCCAATGGCGATGTGGACGACAAGGATGCATTCGTGCCGCTTCGTGCTGGACTTCAGGATCCAGTGGGATATCATACGAATCCGCCCCCGACCGGTCGGGCTGTTCGAGTGTACGCCGATGGCGTGTTTGATTTGTTCCATTTAGGGTAGGCTAATTTCCTACAATAGGGGGGAAAAGACTAACGTAAACAGACATATGCGACAACTCGAACAAGCCAAAAAGGCTTTCCCAGAAGTTTATCTAATTGTCGGCGTAACTGGCGACGAGGAAACCCACAAACGTAAAGGTCTTACCGTGTTGTCAGGCGCGGAGCGAGCAGAGACCGTTCGACACTGTAAATGGGTTGACGAGGTTATCCCCAATTGTCCCTGGATCGTGACGCCAGAGTTTTTAGAAGAACACCGTATTGACTATGTTGCGCATGATGATTTGCCGTATCAGGCTGATGAGGGAGATGATATCTATGCACCTATTAAAGCGCAGGGCAAATTTTTGGTTACGCAACGGACGGAGGGTGTCAGCACCACGGGAATTATCACAAAGTATGTTTCTTACATTCAAAGGGGGAACTCTCCACACTAACTATGCAGGATTGTCCGCGATTACGACAAATACATAGCTCGCCAATTCAAGCGAGGCGCATCCCGACAAGAACTGAACGTCTCCTGGCTGAAAAAGAACGAACTCGAAATCAAACGCCACGTCAACGAACTACGTGAAAGCATCCGCAACAACTGGAACATGACCGGACAGGAACTAAGCAAAGAATTCCGTCAATTCTGGGGCAACAGTCGCTCAAACAGTCCCTCACGTACCAGTATAAAGAATGGCGTGGACATGCACAGTCCGCGCTCGAGTTTCAGTATTTCCAAGACACATTTATCTCGTGGCTTGGACAGTCCTACCGGTCGTCCTGAGAGTCCTGGACCAGCAGGTCGAAATGAAGATTTCGCGACGGGATATAGTTTGGGGTTGATTGGGGGTGTTAGGGCATGGGTTAGTCTAATCTCTTCTCCTCTATGCCTGTTAAGTAGGAAGCTGACTTTGGATAGATGTCCCGAACACGAACGCCATATCTAAGTGGACCAACATCCCCCGTCGCAAGCGACGACGACAGAGATGCAGTTTCAACATTTGAAAGTGGTGACGAACGACGTCGACCGAGCCTTTTGCGCGGCGACACTTTATGATTTTCTTGCAAAAGATTAAACGTCCCATTTTCTTTTGGTGGTATTAATAACTAATATTTGCATTTGTCGTCGTTTTCTTACCGTTTGTCTAAACTTTGAAAAATTCATGTCTATTACTTTTTGTGGACGAGAACAGTTGTCTCGAAAACAAATTGAGAATGTTTTTGTATTAATTCTTTTGAGCAATTGAGGCGTATTCGGGTTTTGCATAGATTGTTCCTGCTGCGTGTGTTATAGATTGTTATGAATGAATCTCGACTTATAATCTTAGCTTTGTTCCAATTTGGAGGAAATGCTATATTCATGTAAGTATATACATGCACATTCATTGAGTCCAGAGTCAAAAAGGAAGACAGAGTTAACAACATGGGTATCTATTGACAAACAAGATATTCAATCTCATAACAAGGGGCGCTCAAGCAGCTGTAATCAGCAACTGCGGCCGTTGCACATTCCCTTTGGGATATGTCTCCATCCCACAAGACAAAAACTGACTACTCAAATCACGCAAGAACGAAACCGGAACATCAGAACTTGTCGATGATCTTTGGCCATGGCGGTGTCCTCGCGGCAAACGCATAACCTCCCTAAGAACATCCCTCAACACCACAGCCTCAGCACCAATCTGTTGCGCCAACGTGTCCTTAGCCGACGCATCGCAGCGCGCCGTAACACACAAATCAAAATCTTTGAGGCCACGCACAGCCATCAAGGGTTGAAGCCACTGCTCCGTAACGTTCAGACTAATCTTTCTATTGTTCCCACCTGCAAGGACAGTTGTGTTGGTGTTTCCCATGAATCGTCCGAGGTCAAGATTGAGATATAACGTCTCCAGACCTTCGAGAGACTGTACACGCGACCAAAATAGTTGCCAGAGATGGTCGTTGTGGGTGTGCGAGTAGATTGAGGAATGATTACCGGCGAGAGAACCTTCGCCGGTCATGGGTTGCCATATCGGTGTCCATTGAACTGTTAACTGCCTTATACGCACCAAATGTTCGGGTGAGATTGTAAGTGAGAATGCAACGAAAGTGTGTAGATCGTCCACATCAAAGGAAAGAGTTTGATATGGTATTCTCGCTGCTTCGAGATATATAGCGCGACATGTACGCAGCAGTGACAGGGATGAGTTTGATAATTTCTCAGGCAGACAAGTATGAGTATGCGGATAAATCTGACTAGGCCCCGAAGTAGGAGATCTCCATCGAGCCAATGTCTCAGGACAACAATGCCGATGACTCGCAGTCTCGAAAGCAGATTTATATCTGCAACAGCGCACGTGACGAATCTTGCCCTTGAGTTGGACCAAATGTACCGCTTCGTCGCCAAAGACGAACCCATAAATCATGAGCCGGATCTCTGGTGGAAGCTTTTGTAAAAAGACACAGTCTGGTTGAGAGGAGATACTGCGCGCTAGAGGGTTGATAACTTTCTTCTTGTCGGTGGAGTCGATGTCCATGTCAATTGAAGGAGAGCAGATTTGACGCGATTGAATCATGTCGCGGACGGATTCTTGCCAGCGTCGACCGCTGGAATAGTAGTGCCATATTGAATAGGGATCTCGTAGGATCCAAGCGTCAAAGTGTCTCATGTCTTTTCTTTAGGGGAGAATAAAATGAACGAGGACAACTCGTAGTGCCAGTGATACCGGATCAACCACTTAGCCCTAAGTATGGATTGGATGTTTACAAGGACCAGCTTGCTGCATCAACAGAACAACATGAAACATTCCAATGGGGGAACCAGCCCTCTATATACAAAAAGTCACAGCATCTCAAACCTCAAAATAAATTTAGTACCCTATAGATACTCTTTTAGTGATATCATTGGCGCAGTCGGTCAGGGGAACATTGGAGCATGCTGATTGGCTGATTACCCACGCAATGTCGGGATCTTTCGGTAAGGAGAAAGCGGCTTAGCGTCGTTTATATGCCTGAGGCAGAGAGGTCTTTGCTTCACTTCGATACAACAGATACTTTGAAGCCCTTTCTCGCTCTGTTGTTTGTAGGGTATCTCTTGTTTCTGCACGAGTATCTATCTCTTATCTTCTCACCGTATCAATCGCATCTACAGCCCAACACATGTCTGGGACATCAACACCGGAGTACTCCGCTCCAGATCATCTCCAAATCTCCAATCTCCATCTGCATTGATGCGAATGGATGCAATCCTCCCCCCAGCTCAGTGGGGTTCTGCACGGATAACTATGTATAGATACAGCAAAAGAACGACACCGACGCCATTGTACATGAAGCCTACGCTACTGCGTACGTCGAAACATTCAACTGCGCGATTTGTCGTCCAATTCTTTTTATAGTTGTTCAATGTGCTGGACGACAACTCATTGATATTCGTACTGGCACAGATGTGGCCTGAGAAGTATGGAGAGTCGATGTGATCAACGATGAATTCGCGTAGTTCATATGACTTGTCAGTATTCTATAAAAATATTCTCGCGGGAGTATCATCCGTGTTTGCGCATGTCCGTGTGCCGGATACTCTAAACATAGACGGTCCACACCACTACATTAACCCCCCCCCAATTTCACCCTACTTCCCCATCAGATATTCTATAAATTTTTAAAAGAGGTATATGTGATACTATAAACAGATTCCGAGTCAACTCATTTCTCCAAATCAGATATGGAATCAATGTGTTGTCCTACCCCGCATCTCAATTTACGAGGTCTTAATACTCCGCATTATTTTTGGAGATTGTCATCCGAACCGAGCCAGGATGGGGACTGTGGTGTTCAATATCTAAATAGAGAAAAATCGGGGAGCTAAAAATGGTTATCATAACAGTCATGATAATGTCTAAACAGATCTATGTCTATGAGGAGGAGGAAGAAGAAGCCTCGACCTCAGCATCTATATCATCCGACCCGGTCAAAAGACCCCGACCTTCTTCAACATCCCGTATATCCGCGGATGAAATCGTATCCTTGACTGGTCCTGTTTGAGTCCGGTCCTCACTTACTCGCCCCTGACCTTGTGCATTATCTTGAGCTGCACTTCTTGCGGTATTATTATTGCTGCTATTGTCCCGAACAACGCCGACGTACAGGGCACTACCAAGAATCAACCCGGAGCCAGCCCAGCTGATAGCACTTGGCGAACTATCCATGACCACCTTATCGTAAAACAGGGCAAACAGCATTTGCGTATACAGCATTGAAGTTGCTCGAGTCCCGTTGCCCTTTTGTGCTTGCTTGCCTCCAATAGCTGGTGGCTGATACGCTAGTCCTGCAGTAAGGAGATACTGCATCGTGAAGCCGGTGGCTCCAAGACCGAGAAGTAAAGCCCATTCCGTCAGGTTTCCAGGTAGTCGGAATGAAACTGATGGGATTGCAATCATGGCGATGAGTGAGACTGTCGCCGTATAGCCAGAGAAATAAGTGACGCTGACCAGGGGGTGGGCTCTGGGTCCGATTAGACGGATCGTCACATATGCGCATGCTGCACCAAATACTCCAACGATTCCGAATCCGACTGCCATGAGATGATGTATCGCACTGACACCATCTGCCATATCATTATCCGATAATTCACCACCAACAGTCTCTGTCAATGTACTATTTCCACCATCCCCGGCCAAGGGGCTGATTTCAGTAACAAGACTCTCGATTTTTCCGCCAGAAAATGGCCTCGCAATAAGAACGACACCGAGCAGTGAGATTAACCCTGCAAGTTGCTGTTTGCGCGTGAAGGGCTCATTAGGCATCAGGAATGAGCATGCATAACATGCGACGATGGGTGACAAAAATGTAAGAACCGTGGCTTCTGATAGCGGCATATACAACAAGGAGAAATACATGCCAAAGACTCCAAAAAACCCGCCAGAAGCTCGGAGTGCCAGGAGTCCTCTAATACCTCTTGAACCAAATGGATTCGGGACTTTTGTATACCACATGTAAAAAAAGCTAGCTGTGACGGTGATGATCATTCGCGTGAAGAGAATCTACATGACATCCGATCAGCTTTTGCTTATTCTCTTCTGTCTGGATTAATTATACTCACCTGAAATGGATGCATGGCCTTTCCATGCGAACCATCCCTCTCCAAAAGTTGAGTCATCACATTCATAGACGATCCAAAGAACTGAGACAAGATTACCATCAACATGCCTTTACTCTGGGCCCATGCTCTGTAGACCACGGAACGCTTCCATCTAGATACCGGCTGCGATGGATCAGACGCTAATTGCGCCTCAGGAGTCGACGACAGTCGTGTTTGGAGAGGTATTTGGCCGTATGTTTGACCATTGGAGACGTTGCCGGCACATAGAGACAAATTATCCCCGAATAACGTATCGGCTGCCGGACCGGTTGAATCTAGATATGTGCTGGCCGGTTCTCCATATTGCAGCGGTTCATCTGGTTTCGAAATGGTTTCCGTTCTGTTGACTTCTATCTCGGTCGTAGAAGCCAATTCACCTTGTCTGATTTTTGGATGCGCTGACTCATCCGACTGGCTGACGTCCCCCATCTTCATGTCACACAGATCAGTATGAACCTTAAGATACGCAGATATACACGCAAAAACGCAAACAGAAGTAGAAAAACAAGAGTAACCGATCAAACAGGAATGTATATACCTTGAACGCACAAAGAAACTACCGGTAAGACCGGCAACTAAATGGTGTGGCAAAGAATCGAATCCGAAGCGAATGATCTATCAGTTTAGTTTAGGAAATTTCGAATCAGCAGACCCCCGGTATGTTTGTCGTTTAATGTCTGATCTATAGCGTGGATGATACTTGACAGAGAAGATGAGGAGGAGAAAGACGCTTCTGTCCATCGAATAATGGTGCCATTTAGGCAGCTGGTCTTGTGAGCATCTGCCTTGGTAAGCGACTATGTTTAAGCTACCTAACAGCAAGTACCGATTCCCCGTATTTTACGAACGTCAGGCAGAGATGTTGGTGGGGATAATCAATTGCCATTGGTTGAATTTGAGTATTAAGGTTTGATAGGCTAAAACCCCCGCATGAAATAACACAAAAATGGTTAGACCGGTATCTTTAATACATAAATTACATACATATATTTCTATACGAATCGGAAAGTATCTCCCCCCTTCTCTTTGAGCATATTCCCTGCACGCTGAGTGCCTACAATGCGCTCAAGTTTGAATGCATCATACTTTGAAAACACTGCTCGCACATCCAGATTCTCAGCGCCGGCAGTACCGGCAAGAACACCCGGATCCTGTCCCAAATACTGGACAATCTCCCTGAAGAAAATCGGATTTTCGGGAAGGCCGTAGAAGATGATATGTTTAACACCACGGATGTTGTATCGTCGAAAATGATGCGCTCGTTCTGTGTATAGCAGAACTGAAAGTCGTCCGTTCATAAAGTGACTGCGTGCTCGACTCATCTCGCTCTGTTCCGTGTACTCGGATATTGCTCCAAAGGATATGTTGGTTGCCTGGGAAGAAGTAGCAAAGAAGTTCCGCACCCGAACAAAATCCAAGTAAGACGGGATGAATATTAAAGTTCCCGCTCCATTTCCTTCTCCCTTCCCAGTCACCGATCGCGCAAGAGCCGGTAAAATCGCGGTAGTAAAGTACTTGAACCGTAGGTCGGGATCTTTGAGTGCGAATGTAGAATCGAAGCGGGAGAATGTCTGCTTCACAGTGATAGGAAGAGCCACTTCAGTGATTGCCCCATTGTACTGTGGAAGTATCTTGGATTTCCCGGCGATGTTTTGCATGTGTTGCGAGAAGAGAGAGTTTATTTCAGGTGTGAGGAAGGATGTCAATACAATCGTCTGTCGTATATATCGTGCGCGATCGTCCAGGTACCATGTTCGCACGCGACTGAAGTCACATCCATGGGCTTCCTTTGGCTGTAAGTTGAGATGCTCGCAAATGTATTCAACGTGCTCCCAATTCTGCATTAGTAGACCATCGGAATGGTCGACAATGGCAATTTCAATCGACGAGAGGAAGTCGTGGTCCCGCTTCTTTTCACTGCTAGCTGTTAGATCCTACCACCGAATACAACGATGCTGAAATACATACTCTTCTTTATCCATAATCGTACGCAATCCCAGAGGACTTGCCAGGATAATATCTGAATTATAGAATTGTGAATAGTACTTGATCGTCTTCCTGGTGAATTTCAATCCAATCCGAAACATATCATCGTCATTTCCACCAAACAGATCTCGAAAATCATCAGGTTTGCTTGCCCATGATTCATTGTCTTCCGCGTGGTACTCATCCATAAACCTCTTTCTGTTCTCCTGTTGCTCTGGCTGGTAGATTTTGCTGATTGATTCTACAAACCGAACGCAAGCCTGTCTTGTTGGGAGAATGACCAAGACTTTTGGTCTTGTAAAACCCTGATCACGCACTTCTATATCTTCATTTGTGTCTCGAGAAAGGCGAGCGTTATTTTTGATAACTCGATCACGAGTTTTGAGGACATGGTTGAGAGAGTGCAAGCTGAGTAAATCTCGCATCTGCGCTGCATTTGATGGCGTTCTGCCAGCGAAAAGAACGTCACTGTAATTAAAAACTAACGAGGCGATGTTCTGAGCGACACCCTCGAAGCTTGGCAGAATCTCTGCTGCCCTTGAAACCAATTTCTTCTTGAGCTAGATATAACGATTAATATGGACACTATGGTATAAGGAAGGCCCTTACCTTCAAACTCCGTGTGGTTTTCACTGCGGAAGGCATACTCCAGCTGCCACCCTCGCCATCCGGTATGTTGTAGATTAATCTGAAATTCTCTGGAAGCGACGATTTGATTGAGCGCCATTTGTCAGATTTTATCTCATTTACTCTTTTGGTTGTCTCGGCTTCATCCAGACTGGCAATATGCGTTTCGAATGGATCCGATGCTGGAACCGTTAGCATGCTCAAAAGTAAACCACTCATAATGTAACATCATTCTCACCATCTTCGTCTTCATCTTCTGACTCCCCCGCCTTGTCTGCTTCGGCATTATCTTCTTCCTCGGAAGCCTCCTGATTTTCGAGTACGTCTTGTTCCTCGACTTCTTTACTGGCCTGTATCTCCACGTCACGAATATCCTGGGACTTACTCCCCGCACGGTCGAGTTTCCGTCGCTTGCGCGCATGTTTGGTTTCTGAATTGGCATTGAGTAGTTGAAGTAATGAATTGTATGGACGTTCGGTCGTAGCTTCTTCATCCTCTGAAGATGAGTCGACTATTTCCTCGTCTTGTACAGGTTCATCATCACCAGAGACATCATCTTCAAAACCGTTGAATTGATTTTCTTCATCAGATGATTCTATTTCTCTATGAAAAGCCTCGTTAACATTGACCAGTAGCCGGATTAATCTCGCTCTTACCGCTTTTCATCAATTCGAGATGTCTGGAAACTATTCCTCCCACCACGAGCATTACCAGGCTTTCGAGCGCCTCTAGAAGAGCCTCTAAAAGAACCTCTGCCTCTTTTCCGTGGTGGCGCCATTGTAAATAAAGTCTCGACGCTTGTCCGATTTCATTTACAGGAACATTTTTTCTATGCGATTTAGTAAGTCGAAGCTTATCTTATCTTAGCGTGAAATTTCGTCGCACACACAATTTGCCGCCTCAAGAACCACCAAAGAGGGAGTACGGCGGAACAAAGGAACCACTGAGCAACTCCACCTCCACAACCGAAGGGAAAAAAAAATCAACAACCCTATAAGACAACCCGATAACCGCGTCTGTTTCTCCAGGCAGACTGTGTCTTGCGTTATTACTTCAATATGGCTGAGACCGATTCCTTCCTTCATCTCGCGCGGCCTTTGGGCCCAGTGACGGTGGGGTCTGCACCAACCACTGCCCCTCTGAATGTGGTTATTCAACCTCAGGTAGGGACTGTATGCGATGATGTTCAGGGAATATATAGGTATTGATATAAAGTAACTTAAGGCTATTTTCTCTATCCTCGACCACTCGCTCCGCCGAAACGCCGATCAAGATCGAGTCATTGGAACGCTTTTGGGAACGCGAAGTGAAGATGGAACCGAAGTCGAAATCCGAAGCTGTTTCGCAGTCGGACACACAGAGACCACCGATCAAGTCGAGGTAGACATGGAATATCAGAAACAGATGCTCGCACTACACCTCAAAGCGAACCCCAAGGAAGTCCTCGTCGGCTGGTACGCCACCTCCTCAGAATTGAACACTTTCTCCGCCTTGATTCAGAACTTTTACGGTCAGAGTGATGGAACATGGCCACATCCTGCAGTGCATCTTACTGTCTCCACGGAGCCCGGGAAGGATATTGAGACTCGTGCTTATATCTCTGCTCCAGTCGGTGTTACCGTTGAACGGGCCGCTGATAGCGCTGCTTTCATTCCTGTTCCTCATGAGATTCGATATGGAGAGACTGAGAAAAATGGTTTGGAGGCGATTGCCAATGCGCGGGATGCCGAGGACCGACAGACGAATATCTTTACTGATATTGAGGCTTTGGAGCGCGCGATCGAGGAGGTTATTGGAATGATTGATCGGGTCTCGAAATACGTCGAGGCTGTCATTGATGAGGAGGCGCCCGCGTCTACTGCCCTTGGCCAATTCTTATTGAACGCACTTGCATTGGCTCCTAAGGTTGAGCCTGCAGATATTGAACGTGACTTGTACGTTTTCCCGGTATACTCGCATATATATATGTCATGGACTACATGCTGACATTCTTTACAGTAACAACCACATCCAAGATGTCCTGGTTGTCTCTTACCTTGCCAACACAATCCGCACACAAATGGAACTTTCAAACAGACTTGCTACCGCCCAACTCACTCTCGGAGGAGCCGAGAGCGCAAATGCCGGTGAATCTGGTCAACGCAACCAGCGAGGTGGCAAAGGTGGTCGAGGAGGTCGTGAGGGTCATCAACAGCGCAACCAAGAAAGGAATACCGAGGAAGTTCGCGCATAAAGTAGCCGAAAAAATGGGGAAAGTCTTTACGAAGAAAAAGAAGCACATGCCATGCCATGCACATATCACGATCATGTCTGACTATTGCTTGCTTTCATAAAGTATTGTCTTATTTAGAGGGAGATCTTCTTAATTCTTTCCTTTCTCGTCTTTTGTCGTCGATTTCTCTACGTCTCCTTGGCTTTGGTCATCTCGACTACCAACAATAGACTCGGAGGGAGACAAGATAAGAAATCAGAGGAAAGGGGCACGGCGTCTTGGAGTATCCAGTCATGTCATAGTCAGTTGGCATTCATATTATAAAGATATTTAGTGAGCTAGACATGACCTTCTAGCTTTATTCTTCGACTGAATGAATGAAATGAAACTAGATGATCATTGAATTAGTTACCCTTACTCTTGATACTCCTATCTGTGAACCCTTCCAATTAAGGTAGATGCAAGTCTCTTCGTATCATCATAATGAAGCCCGTATATCCATGGAAACTGATAGCAGACGATATCCAGCCAAAAGGCAAAACTCCACCCATCAAACGCCGTAATATGCAATGAATATTGTTACAATCCGGACATCAGCAGCTCAACCATCAACTTTTCGTTTCTTCAAAGCATTCTCATCCGTAGCATCCGAACCCCGTCTCCCAGCATTCCGTTTCCCTTTCCCCTTAGCCTTCTTATTCCCCGTTCCAGTCGCAACAGTCCCATCGACGCTAACATCTAATTCTTCAGCGACTTTCCTCCCCGCCGTCCCCACCTGATCATCATCATGATCAAAGATCTTTCTTGCATCCTTGAGCTCTCGATCCATTTGTAGGAGCTGCTGAACACGACCTAGCTTGTGAGGGTCACGACGCAATGCGAATCGGAAGTCGTCCACTTTGATCTTTTGGCGTCGTGCATAGCTTGCGTATGCGGCGGCTTCGTGGCACATTTCTAGGATGAAGTCGGTGACGATTTCGTCTAGGACGCGGACTGTTTCGGGAAGAGGGCCTGGAGGGCAGTAGGGATGGGCATCGCGGTCTCCGTAGCCGGATAGAAGAGTTCGCACTTTATTCGAGAAGTGAGCTAAAGGTCATTTGAAAGTAGAAGAATAACGTACAGTCGCCGGCAAAGTTCATCTGTCCTTTGTGCCTTGCAGCACGAGCGCGAGGTTCTGCCATTTTTGCTGCGTTGTATGTCTTTTTCTTTCTGGCTTATGTATGTGTATGAGGGCTTCTAACCGGTGGATATGAGATCCCGGAAGTAGATAAGTAAAGGTGAGAGTGAGTAACGCAAGATCGTAGCTGCTAGTCGCAGTGATTGTTGAGGAATAGTCGATGGTTGCGCAGAATAGTCTGCCGGTGACTGAAGGCCTTGCCGTGGCCTAATCAACCCATAGGCCAGTTAAGAATAGCCTGAGACCTACAACGGAGACTTGTTCTGATGTCAATAAATTTGACGTTGAATGGAAAATATGTTCGTCGAGTACGACTGGCTAGATAGTGGAGCCGATGACATCTAGAGCGGAAGTCTTAGCGCGCGTCTACCTAATCCAACTTTCCCATTACATCCTTCAAGCTGTCCTCAAATACTTTGGATATCTTAGACCAAGCCAGCAACTGTCCCCGGAGCATACACGATCATTTCTTCGACTTCAGACGGAGTGAATCTCAAACGCGGAAAACCGCACAATAATCATGGTGCATATATCTCTACCCGATGAACAAGTCTGACCGCTAACCCTCTAAACCTCATATAGTCCGCTCTCTTCAACTTCCAATCCCTCCTCCTCGTCTTTCTCCTTATAATCTGTACGAGCGCTTATGCCCATTCGATGATGCCCGGTATCATGGATCGGAATCAACACGGGTACTTCCAGTTCCCCTCGCCCTAAAAAGGGAACTCTGTCGGATCGTTACTGATACGAACTGGTGTTTGATAGGTTTATCGGCATATTCTGGAAATGCGCCAGAATAGGTGAACGGTTGAGTCCGTATGTTAGTATATGTTGCGTTATTATGGCGGTAAGTCTGGCTTTCTGCTTATATTCATGCTGGTTTTTGTTCGGGAGTTCAGAAGCTAATGGTGCTCTTGGTTAGATCTCGATATTCATTGGTGACTGATCAGAAAGAGTATATATGTACAAAACTATAACCATGTCAATGTTTTATGAATCATAGATGAAAAGGCGTATGGTACACGAATTGTTTTCAAATATCCATCCATCTTTCTACAACGCCCCAGGCCAAAGGAAATCACGATGATAATATAAGTACAAGTAACCTTTCTATGATGCAAACCCCCTGATCTAGAATCTAGCGTAAATGCAACGGTAAGAAAGGGGAGGAGATATGGCCATTTTTGAAAGTAAACTAATGCTTCTTCATAGCAATAGCCAAACGCTTGAGGCCCTGGTCCAACAGCTCTTCGTTCTGCCGTTCCAATAATTTCATTTCCTCCTCCATGAGCTTCTCCGTTTCCTGATCAAGGGCTTCAATCGCAGCCTGTAGTCGCTCCGGATCGCGAGCAAGACGCAGCGCTTTCACCGTGAAGTTATCCGGGGAGAATCCATGTTCATCCATTTCCCTCATCGCGGCAACTGTAGCCGGGATATCTTGGTTTCTGACTGTTCCGTTGATAATCACGTTCCATGTTACTGCGTTGAGTGGGACGCCGCTTTGCCGCATGATTTCTCGAACTGATGCTACACCGTCCACGTCACGGTGGGAGACGAAGACGCTCATCAATGTGTTCCATGTGTATGCATTGGGCTTGGCTGGTGTGATGATCCTGTCGCCAAGCTCGAAGGGTTCTGATTGAACCATATCTTCCACTATCGAAACACATTCCTTCAAGTCCGCACCAAAAGGACGGAAAGAAATTATGAACTCGTTATATACCTGTGCAAGTTCGACCAGTGGGGTAATAACGGGATGTCTCTGAGCAACCAGTTCGCAGAACCGTTTATAAAGACGTATAGTGGCTGTGTTTCGAGGATTGCATCGTAGGTAGGCTGCCATCATAATCATTAATATGACCCTGCTGGGTTGCGTGTCTCGTGGAATATCCACAGTGTTAAATCGTTGGGGAATAATTCCAAGTTCTCGAAGGGGAGTAGGATCAAAGTAGCGACAGTAGACATCCATCAAATCTGTAAAATGTCTGCCGGGATTATCTGATCGGTAGGCATGCTTGGCGCCGAAGATGTAGTGACTATGGAACACCTTGGAAGCGACATATTGGTTGTCTTTGAGTTCTGGGCGTAAGTTGATCTCCTGTAGAAGAGTATCGACCCGCTCACGATCCATTCGTTTCACAGCATCAGAGAGCAAAATGACGTAGGTATAGGAACTGAATTCCATGCCCTGTCCTTTCATATAATCCAGCATGTCGAGACCAAGATGCGGGTCTCCCGTGTCGAAAGCATTCGAAAGAACCACATTCATCATTTCCAGGCACGGAGTCACTCCTAGTTTCAAAACCTGTGGAAGGATCTTAAAATTGCGTAGGCCATCTTCTTCCACAACTTCATCCAACTCAAGAAGCTTACAGCAGTGGCGAAGGATAGCTTCCGAATTCATTGAAAGTCCCTGTCGATCCTCTATCGCAGCAATCGCACGAAGACACTCCAGTGCTCTGGTAACATCCCCAGCTTGCGTACAGACATTCATGAATGCAAGCAACGTGTAAGCTGAAATTTGTGAGTCTCGGGACCGCATGATATCCATAGCCCTATAGGCATTCTGCTGACCCGCACTCATCGCGTACAATCTGACACCACGCTGTGGTAGAAGAATGACTGGCCATCTCTCCGGATCCATACACTGAAGAAGAGCAGCACGGCGAGCACGGGGATCGACTTCTTTGTGGAAGTAATGAAGGTAAAGCATACAATCGCTTACCATCGAGAAGGGTGGATATGGTGCAGAATCTGTAGCAATCAAAAAGTCGGGCATCAAAGCAGGAGTAGTGCTTAATATCTGGAGAGCGATGAGAGGCCATTGTCGGCTTTTGGCGCGCTCTCCATATACTTCCCACAATTCTTTAAACCCCTCCACACCTTTCTCCTTCAGGGAGTTAAACAGTTGGTGAGTACCCGTATCGATCATAGCTGGCGGGTGCCAGGCTTCCAATTTCCCTTCTGACTTGCATTGGAAAAGGTTTTGGAAATAATTAGTCCATACTCGTGGGACGCCTTCGACGGAAAACATTGACGACAGCCTAATTTTTATATCATGCTCGAATGCTTCTTTTGTAATGAACCTGCCCTGTCTCCGAAGTGCTATCTCTGCACGTCTAACAGAATCTCTAACCTTAAGAGGAACCCCTTCATCTTCTTGAGTGTAAAATTTCAGAGGACTATGGTCCTCCTGGCCAGACTTTTTGCCGTTTAAATTCACCCAAACAAACTTCTTGTCCCTCAGTCGCAATGCAGCATTCTGCCGTTTCGGATTCACTTTTTCGGTACTCCTCGAAGGATATTTTGTCAGGCGGACTTTATCGACCTCGATCCGACGAATTGCCAGCGAATTGGATTGAGAGTTATCATCTTGCATGCTTATCGCCAGGTCATCTTCAAAATTTGCCGTTGACTCCAAACTCGTCGATAACGAAGACTGGGTGTGTATGAGGCGTCGCAAAACATGTCCAGAGAGCCGACTCGTCTCTTGAATACGACAATGTGACAAAACAAGACCGCTGGCATTCGTACAGCCTGACCGTATCGAATCCGGGTTATTTATACATCGACTTGGTATCCTCTTCGTCGGGTCAACGCCTTTCGAAATCCATCTTGGCGAGGTCCCTCTTGAGGGAAGGGAAAGTTGCACGATGTCGCAGCGCGCGAGAGATTTAGGGAAGTTCGGCATTCAGGATTCGGACATCGAGATGAAGGGTAAAGCGTTGCGATGTCGGCTCGTTCTTGTAGGTCGAAAGGACGTTCGGCAACCCCGATGCAACAGAACTCGACTCAATATATCCCTACAACCTGCATGGCCGTATGTTGCAGTCGAGGTTTTGTCGGCGAAGTGGTGTGTCTAATTGAATTTCACAGGTGTCTCGAGTGGATTGAATGACCATATCTCGAAGGCATAAAAGATCTTGTGAAGAAGGCGGTGAGACTTCTCCCGAGCATATTGAGAGGTCATAAGTCGTTATTCTACCCAAGTCAATTATGGCTGTGTACGTCAGTGGTAGACGACTGCCCTCCTATCTTTTAATAGGCGGTAGGCAGGAGTCCAGGGTTCGATCCCCTGCATGGTCGGCCTCTTTTTTTTATCCCTCCTCCTCGCTCCCTCTCCAACCGAGGGTTGTTGAGCAACCTCACACAACACAACGGTTTTAACCTTTTTTACATATATCGGCTCTTTCTTTTATGCTATGTGGAGCCTCAGAGATCGATGGTCTAATGTAGAGACCCCCTCGGGTCTCTACATGGAATTCGATAAACTTGCCGAGCGTTGAATATACATAACTATACCTGATGGCGCTACTCACTTGGACTAGCGAGATGACAAGGATAATCAAGAAGAAAACCGTGAGCTACCCTCCTGAGGTAAAACCACGCATCAATATATTTCTGGATGTCTCTGCCGTCCTCCTTACGCGCTTCTTCGAAAGGAAATTGAAGGCGACCAAACTCATTCGAAGTCAGTACGGAGTAATCGATACAGATCAGGATGGGGTCTTCAAATAGGCTCAGCACTAACATACGCTCTATCTACTTCTTCATCCAGTATAACTACAAGAGATATTATGCGTTAATCTCATAGATGGTCTCCCAACTCCTTGGTAATTCTAACCAAAAAGTAATTAAACTAGATACTGTATTGTCAGATTTAGCTGCTCTCTAAGCTTATTATATTGATAATTTTCTCGACGACAAGCTCACCTCAACAACCAAATTACGGATCAGAAAGCCTATTTTAAGTGAGGCCCTTACAAAACTATCATCTCACCTAGCTACACTTCCGTCACAGCCCTCGAGATGACTACAGATCTCATAGATGACCTGAACTTCACAACCGCTTGCCGGGTGGCATTTGCTAGATTCCTCCGCATTAGAGAATTCACCTATAAGAGAGAAGACCTCGACGCATCCTCTATCTTCTCCTCAATGAAGCTGACATGTTCGGACATTAGATTCTCTCCTACACTAGACTATGTCCAACTCACACCCAAGTGAAGCAAGACAGATTATCATTATGAAGGAGTATAGATTATCCTTGCCAAAATAGGAGATGGAGCATGCCTAGTCGACGTTTTTCAAAAACTGCTCCTTCTTAACTTTAGATGACCTAACCCCCCATTGTTCGTTCTCCTTCTATAGAAGACTGTTTATTCGCAACAACTTCCTCTCTGCCTTATCAAATAAGCTGAAAGCACTTAGACTGCGGACGGGTGGCTATTCAGGCTATAGTTTTTAAAAAGGTGCAGCACAGCATGCTCACAATAATGGGATTTCAGACGACTAGATTCAGGCCCTTGGTAGATGGACTTTAGAGGCATTCAGAGTATATTTCATAACAAATGCATCAGTCTTATACAAGTTCAATCATCAGTTCTAGACAGGCTCGCTCAGCTCTGCTGTCTCTATTAGTTCTACCACTGTCCCCTCCACCATCCTAGTTTGGCCCGGGTCATTTAGCACTCTCTAACGCTACGGCCTAACGCGTTTACGTGTAGGACCTCAGCGACGGGCTGACCCGTTGCGGCCAAACTATACACACATTTCCTACCTTGACTGCGTGAGGTCACCGATAAACCCTCTTCTTCCCCCTCTTCATCTTACTTTGCCTCTCTATTCTTCATCTCCCCCTTTCTCTCTCTCTCTCTTCCTACAAATGAACTACTGATATAAGAAGAAAAACAACACAAAAGAGAAAAAGGAGAATAAATTATTATGGCAGAGAGCAGTCCTTCTATCTTGGACCTCTCGGACCGCCCGGAATCCCCCTCTCAACTGATTGGCAGGCGCAGAAACCGCCTCGTGAACATCATCAAGCAGAACGACCTCCCTCGACTCCGTCAATTCATCGCCTCGTGCTCTCCAGAAGATGTGATCGCCCCTGGGACACCGTATTTGGAGGACACCTTGTTCAATGCAGCCTCCTACGGCAGTCCCGAGGCTCTTCACATCCTCTTAGAGGCGTACACTGCGGCGCCGGAAGTTGTCAAGAGGTTCAACCCCAAGTTCCGTCTGCTGCTTGACGCATGTGGTGCGCTTTATCTTGGACAGCCACGGCAGTCCAGAGAATCGGTTACCGCTTGGGACGGTGGATTTGCATCAGAGAGATGACTCCGGAGCTACGCCGATCCTCTCGGCTGCGGGGTCGCTGATGTATCTTGACAGAGACGCAGATGAAGTAGAAGATGAGGGTCTTCCCTGGGCTGAGTGGGTTCGGGATCGCATTGCGAAGAGCCATCAGTTGATTTATCTCCTTCTCGACCGGGGCTGTTCAGCGACAGATGTTGTTCCCCCTTTGCCAAATGATCTCTCTTCCTGGGGAAGTCAGGTACAAGAAAGTGTGCTCGGGCTTGCTGTGTCGAGGGCCAATGGTCCATTAATTCAACGGCTCATTGACTCCGGTGCCGATATCTACCTTAAGCATCAACACTTCCATCATGCCAGGGTGCCGTTCCAGTTCAGGACCACAAAGGATCACACGTATGATGTCACGGCGCTCCATCTGGCAAGTTTATTCTACCATCCCGATGCTGTTAGGTTGCTCTTGGATCATCAACCTTACAAGGACAATACCAACCCTGACCTGACTTCCTCTTGTGACAGTGATGGGCGACTCCCACTGCATTGGGTAGCTAGCGGCCCTGGAGGTTTCAACTGTAGACTCCTGGATAAGCAGCTCAGAATCACAGAGACCCTTCGACTGCTCCTTGACCATGATTCGGCTGGTATCAACCGTGCTGACAACACTGGATCCACGCCGCTGCACTATGCTGGTTTAAGCCACGCTATGTGCGGTTGTAGCCAGCACGCTGAGCTTGCTATCCGCACTTTACTCGAATACGGGGCTGACCCCCGGATCCCCGATGGCTCTGGCTGTACCATCCTACATCTATTAGGGTACCACTCCCATCAAGGTGACCCCGTGGAGACCACACTCCTGGATTTAATCCTGTCACACGGTGTCAATATCAATCATGCCGAGAAAAACGGGAAAACAGCATTGCACGTCTTTGCTCGGAATCTGCGGCAGGTCTCGGCGGCAAAGTTCTTAATTGAGCACGGGGCGGATTTCCGGGCTCGGAACACTCTCCGGGAGACGCCCTTTCATGCGGCAGCGCGGGGGTTTTTGAATGATCATGTACGCCGTGATGGGAGAGATAAGGAGGTGACGACTGAGAACAAGATCAGGCTTCAGGATGAGATGATGCGTGTTCTGCAGGAGGCTGCCCGGGAGGATACTGCTATGTTGATGAGCCAACCAAATGCGGAGGGTAAAACTCCGCAGGACTTACTGGAGGAGACCAGAAATTGGTGGCAGGGAAGGGAGTAGCCCATGCCAGGCTCCGGAAGAGGCAGAGGCAGAGGCAGAGGGCGGCCAGTAGGAGCATAATTGCAAACCAGGAAGAATATCTCATAAGGGTAGCCATTGTAGCACTTCTGACATATTTTGGAACTATTGAGTTGCCGGAAACTTCGGTTAAACTGCCGTCGAGTATATCTCGGATAGCTATTAACACGTCCAAGTCAATAGGCTTCTAAGTACGAAAGGCTTATTGAAAGCAAAGTCTTGACAAAGGTTGAATATTCGGTTCGATAGAAGAACGTATACTCAAGTTATCACAGTTAATTCAAGACGATCGAGTCAGACTAAGTACATGGTAAATGAGTGTCTATATATGCATAAGTGAAAACATATCGGAACATAGCGTTGCTATATTGGACTATGTTTGTGGACATATCAAAACATATCAACACTATGTTTTGCTATGTCGTTGACATATCGTTCTGTTCCATCATGTATCATCATAGTTAGTTAGCTAGTTAGATTGATTGATTGATTGATTTGTTCATCTAACCGTCCCAGCATCCCCGCAGGCAGCTATACGGCATGTGTCCTAATCCTGACCGCCAGCTCCGGTCCTATATACATGAAATAACTATGTATCTAAATGATTTTAAAATGAAATGACAAGCTAGTGTATGCTTGCTAGAGCGCATTGCTGCTGCTCCGGCTGTGTAGTGGTTGCTATACTCTTGAGGACTCACCACTCCGCTAAAGGTCTAAATTTATACTCCCAAATTGCCCAAGGAGCTTGGTTTCCAACATGAATTTTGCTGCCCTGAAGACGTATTTCCCATCAGAGAGAAGCTTCCTTGCATGGGACGACCATATTCCTTCATTCTTCCGCGCGTTCCGCTCTTCCTTGAACATGGGACAGCTCAGTAAGACATGTGTGACTGTTTGTGCTCCACGTCGGCACTGACATTCTCCATCGTCACGTACATTCTTCCCTCCATGAGGGCATGTAATTTTGCAGTAGTGGCTGCCTAATTCGCTCGAGGTGCTGAATGTTCGAAAACAGGTCTTAAGAGGACAATGGTGGCATTGTCTTATATTCTGCGAAACACCCTCTATGCTGCCCTTCGTCGAGGACGCCCCCGTCAGGCTTCCGAGCGACCGTCCCGAGAATTGCCTATGATAGATGTCGGAATATCAATCTCATGATTCGGTGCTTCCGCACCAATCTGACGCGCACGTACGCACATGTACGCGCAGCGTACGGAATGGGGATACTATTCCCCTAGCGCGTATGTGGCAACCCCCTATATAGCTAGTTAGACACCCCGATCCCCCGTTTCTTGGGGATCAGTCGTCAATATTAGGAATTCATACCGTATTGATCAGGCTCACCACATAGGGCAGTCGGAACGCCCTTCTCCCAATCCTACGCTTCGTGATACGGGACCGGAGTTAAACCGACACTGATCAGTGAGGCCCACAGATCAGATTCTTGGTGAAGCTGAACTCGATTTGTACATGCTCATATGTGTGAGTATTGAACTCTATCGAATTGCTAATATCTATCCTACGCTTCGTGATACGGGATACGATATGACCGATTTGATATTGCTCATACGTACGATTTTGGTTTAGAATAACCAAAATTTGACACTGCGATCCCCTGATTCGCACCTACCACGTATGCTTGCTTCGTGATCTGGAAACGTGGTCAGATTTCTCTTTATCCCGCCGTACGTGAGGCCTTAGTTGGCAATACACGTATCCTCTTTCTTCGTCCGTCCTCCCGAAGGATTCTTATATTCGATTTTCCCCGATTCGTACGTTGTACGTTATTGTACGCTACGCTTTGTATACGACTCCAACCTTACGACCCAACCGTTGCTTCTATCGCCCCAGAAAAGGCCTAGAAAGTACGACCGGACCCCCGTATAACCTGACGTCGTAACCCTGCGCAGAGACATTACCGTTCCGAACGGTCCTCAATCTCAATACCGACCAGGCCCATATTGAGAAGCCTCATATCCGAACCCTCCGTACAAAGCCCACATACGATCTTTACTGCGCCGTCCTACGCACAATCCTCCAATCCGAATAAACCCCCGATTCGTACGTTGTACGTACGATTTCATTCCGATACCGAACCCCCCAAATATCGGAAAAAGACAATATGCTTGTGAATAGAGGTGTCATAGACTCTATGCCTACAAGCTCTACAGCGCAATGCTTCGCTCCGAAGGACGCCACATATCAATCCTCACCATACGCCGCCACTTACCGATCTGCACCGTACGTCTCAATATATGCGCCAACGTACGCTCCTACAATGTATGGATCCGCACCATACGCCGTATATCAATCCTCACCGTACACCATACCTCCAGAATCCCACATTGCCACCCCCCTAGATTCCACGTACCAATCCTACACCGCTCACAAACGTGAAAATATGGAGTGGTGGCAAGATTTTGATCCCGCAGATAGACCCCGTGAGGATCTCGAGGATTACGTCGTCTACAAACTGGTTCAATACGCCAAGTCGGAACGATCATTCAGATTCCCAAGTGTCGAGTTCAGGAAGAAAATTGTATTGGAATGGTATGATAAGGACTTCTATAGGTGGACTGACAAGCATTGGGACTTGGTTGATCCAATTTTTGAAAAATTGATGAATACTGGTTTTGATTATGCTTTTATCCCATTGGTCAATCCACTACCAAGTTCCCTGTATCTAGGGGATTGGGTTAACCAATTAATATGGGTGTATAAGGATATATATGAGAGCTCCTCAAGGCCCTGGATCTCCCCAATTTTTTGCGCTTTGGATCCCCCGATTTCTCGCGCTCCGGATCTTCCTGTTTCTCGCTCTGCCACTGCGGAATACACTGACAATCCTGTTACTCACGGCGCTGCGGATTCCCCTGTTCCTATTGTTCCTGCCGCAGCGGAGTCCACAATTGTTGATTCCCACGTTCCTGAGGCCTCCGGATCCACGAAAATCCTTGCTCCGGAGACCTACATTGACAATATGGGACCCCAGGTTCGCAAAGCCTTGAAATCCGCAAAAACACTGACCCCGGAGATCTCGCTCGAACTGCCGCTCCCGCTACGTTTACGTGGCACGTTCGAACCACTTGTTTGCTCACTTTCTCACTTCCGCCAATACAGGCCAAAAATGCTTGATTTTGGCTAGTTTATATGCTTTACTGTTGTTTCTTGTTGTTATTGCTTATTTTTATCCCTTTTCCTATTCGCGGAGAGCCCCCAGGGGAGCTCTACCCATTTTCCCACTCGTTTTTACGCTCTGATTCCTGTCTTCATTGATTCTCGCACCCCGGATCCATACGTTCTTACACATGGATTCCGGTACGTTTTCTGCACCGTTTTTACACTCTGTTTTGCATCCGGATTTGCACCCAAATTCGCACCTGTTTTTATATTCGATTCCTCACCCGGTTTACAAAGACAGCCTGTCAAAATGGCCAATTGACTAGCCCACTTATACGCCAATTCTTTGCCCCTGGCCTAGCGCCAGATTTTTTCCTTTCTTGGTATATCAATTGCCTGTCATTTACCCCATTTTCTATTCTTCTAGAGAGTTGCCAGAGGACCTCGTTGTTGACCTCGTTGTTGACCCCGTTGTTGACCCCGTTGTTGATACCGTTCTTGCTCCCACCCCCGAAGCGCGCCAGGATGATATCCTTATTCGGAATACAGTGCCGAAGCCTACACGAGGCGCCGTATACGAATCCGTCGTTGATATTGTTGTTGATCCCGTTCTTGCTCCCCTTCCCGAAGCTTGCCAGGGTGATATTGCTGCTGCACCGAAGTATACACGAGGTGCCTATATCACCCCCGTACGAGATATGGCGCCGAAGCCTACACGAGGTGCCATACGAGGATATTTTGCGAATACGCCAAAGCCTCCGCCGCCGCCGGAGCCACCCCCAGAGCGCTATATCCTTATTTGCTTCTTTGTTCGTTCTTTCCTTATTCGCTTTATCTGCTTTCGTTACTCATTCGCTTTTTTCGCTCCACGTATGAAAGCCCTTTTTCGAAGGTCTCACATACGTGAATTCCTGCTCAATCGCACGTTCGAATTGCCAATATCGTGTATGAATCAACGGCTTGATCACCCGTCAATTCGCACTCACCAAATTCGCACTGTACGTTTGTTTTCTACATGTCGTTGTTGATGTCAGGATAAGCTTATTCCATATAAGCTTATTCTTGTGTAACGTCGACGTACGCCCGGTTCCCCCGTATGTACGCGGAGGCCTCACTTACACGTACGGGATGCCACTTTTTCTATATGCCTCCTTTATCCATTTTTACATGTTTTATACATTCTCTTTGCACATTCCAATACGCTCTTGTTACGCATGTTTTTACCGCACCAAATTGTATGTCGTTCATTGATATTCCGTTTATTTTCATTCTCTTTTGGAGAGTTGCCAGTGTCGGAATATCAATCTCATGATTCGGTGCTTCCGCACCAATCTGACGCGCACGTACGCACATGTACGCGCAGCGTACGGAATGGGGATACTATTCCCCTAGCGCGTATGTGGCAACCCCCTATATAGCTAGTTAGACACCCCGATCCCCCGTTTCTTGGGGATCAGTCGTCAATATTAGGAATTCATACCGTATTGATCAGGCTCACCACATAGGGCAGTCGGAACGCCCTTCTCCCAATCCTATGCTTCGTGATACGGGACCGGAGTTAAACCGACAATAGAATAATAGAGGTGCTTAGTACAGCATAGACCATCATATCCGATTGGACTGTGTTTATATACTCTTTTGTATATGTTTCCCAAGCTCTTGCGGGTGGAGCACAATCTGGCGAAGTGTTGTTTCGTTAAGAGCCTGCTCGTTGGTACCAACAGGGTTAAGAAGTGAGCTGATGGGTATGCGGTGACATGACATGGCTCATAGCTGGTAGTAGGGCAATGGGGAATAGAATAGAGAATATACGTGATGATTCAGCTGAGAAAGGAAACCCGTTCTCGGCAAAGGAAATCTGGTACGTATAGACACCTAGGTACGGCTCAAGGCCAGTCCCGATGTCATTATTCTACAAGAAACATTATGCATAGGTGCTAGCTCCAGCCTGATTTATCTCCTCGGTGCCTCGATTCCAACCTAGTTGTCATCGGCGCAATACAGCACCTGCTCTCAAGCTTCAGCGTCTCCGTAACGTCTTGAACACCAAGCTTCCCGGCTGACCGGAGATGTCGCCCAAAGCCTTTGCTTTGCGTTTCGTCCTGTGCTCTCGTCGAGTCCGAGACACGTTCTGTAAATGCGCCATGGGCCTCGACCACTCGACAATGGTACTTTGTTGTTCGTTTTCTGAGTGTTAGCTCATTCGTGATGCTCTTTCTTTTCGTGGCCGGAGACTCATGCAGATTACTTGAAGTCATGCATGAACCGATGATACCCGATTAAAACAACCCTATACCGAACTGGAGGTATCTATTATCGCTCAGAATCAAACATTCTATGGCAGGCAGCTGCTGTAGCCGTATATACCGCTCATTTTTCCAGTGGAATGCCAAAAGGTGTCTATCATTTTCAACAAATAAAATTGATACAAATTCCTCTACAACATAGGACGATTTCGGTCCGCTCACTGCCATCTGTACCTTTACTATCCGTGGGCAGCATAATACATTGACAGACTTGCATATCGACATACACGCACGACGAGAACATAAGGACGAAATCAACAACAAGCTATCACTCACCGTGTATATGTACACACAAGGATGCAAGCATTATCTTAAAGTTATCCGAAGAATGTAAACATGTCAACATCAGATGGCACAAAGTGGCTGGGGGAAAGTCGGGACATATCACACAGGTAATAGTTTTCAATATTTCCGAATTCGGAATCAAGGGATGCAATATTCTCTTGGTGGCTTTTGTACGGCCACATGTAAGGTACTGTACATGACATGTATCATTACACAAGAAAGGAGGTCTAGATCATAATCTCGCAGTGCATTTTGTTCAATAATACAGCATGTATGCCGTGTACTGTGTATTGAAATACGTAGATGCCCGTTTTGGGAGGTTTGTTGCCCTGTCTTGTTTATATTGGATAAAGACTTCGTGCTTCCTCCCTCCTTATTCTCTCTCCTCTCCATATTATCAAGTCTCTCGCTGAAGGTCCCCTACTACACTCGTTTAGTCTGCCCGCTCACCAACAAAGTCTCTCGTTTCAATCAATCCAAACAAAGCAATAATCAAAATGCGTTTCTGTACTACAATCGCTGCTCTCCTCACCATCGGCCTCGCAGCTGCTCATTCTCGTCGCGCTGCCTGTGCTGCTCAGAAGTGAGACCTACTCTCATTTCCTTAGAAATTCAAGCATTCTAACCTTAGCTGTCGTATATAGCATCCTCGACGCATGTCTCGCTACAGAGCAAGCACAACTCCAGGCCTGCGGAGTCAACGACTGGTCCTGCCTCTGTGAACAAAGCAACAATGTCTTGACGTACGTTCCATATCCATTCCCCTTTCCCCCCCCCTTTCTTACCTCCTGTCACAATCTAATCACATGAAAATTAGCTGCTACAACAACTGCCCCGGCGACGACGGCCACTTCGGCGCCCAACAAAGAATGACATCCTACTGCAACGCCGCAAAAGCATATAGCCCCAGCAGCATTTCCAGCAGTGCTGTCAGCTCCGCAACTTCAGCGCATGCTTCAGAAAGCTCTGGTGGGTCCGCATCATCGACTGCCTCTGGAGCATCAGCTACTGAGACCGGTCCTTCATCCTCGGGCCATTCTTCGTCTTCTTCGACTTCTGCATCTGGATCTTTGTTTACTCCGCATTCTGCTGCTGCTTCTATTGCTGCCGGTATGGTTGTTCAGGGTGGAGTTGTTGCTGCGTTGGCTTTGGGATTGGGGTTGATCTGGTAAGATATTGATCTGTCTGCCTTTGGATCTCATCTGCTTGATCTCTAGCATCGAAAGGAGAATTATTTCATAATGTATAATAATGAAGTTGGCAACCACCGCAGAACATCAATGATACTTACTTACACCCCATCTACCTGGTAAGGAGTAAATATATGACAAGAATTAAAGGAATGAATGGTATCTCACTTTAACAATACCTATAAAGACACGAAAACAAGAAATAAATAATGACATCTGGAAATCGCTCTGAAAATAAAACCAAATCGAACCAAAGCAAAGCAAGGAAAGAGAGGCGATGAAATATTTGTATGTCCTTGTGGAAAACAGCTTGAGAGTGATGGAAGTAGACCAGGCCAGAGATCGATTTTCTGTTTCCCTCTCGACACCTGGGTGGTTATGCTCTGAAGAATAGAATGGAAGAATAGGTAACTGGCAATATGATACTATATATATGTGATAGAAAGCAATGGAGATATAATGGGGAGACAAAGACAATCACCAACTGCCATGGAACACTCCCTCCGCTGCTGTAAATTCAAAGCAAAAAAAAGGGGGGGAGGTCGGTGGGACACGATCGTACAGTCATTCTGGCAGACGGGTGGTATATTATAACAATTCATCTTGTGCGGAAGAACGAAAGAAGCCCGTCTCTCTCTCTCTCAACCGACCTCAACACGTATAACTTTGTACTTGTACCATTAATGTAATCTATACAGCCTATTCTTGTCCAAAACCTAATGTTTCCTCAACGGCTATGGACAATTTCTGCTGAAGAACTTCGTTCGATTTGTAAGGGGGGAGGTCAAGACGGTTGAAGCTATTTTCAGATTAGTATAGTTTCAGAATGATCAGGAGGAGGAAGTCATACCATGTATGTGACTTTGGCAAAGCGTTAGGATCACCAGACTTCTCAATCGTAAACCGTCTCGGTCCATCCGATCCCTGCAAATCCTTAAATCCATTGACAGGAATACGAGAAGTACCAGTCGCAAACTGAAGTAATCGTGATTTCTGCTCTGCGTCCCAGCTTCGAATAATCTTCCAGAAGTTTTGGATAACTTCGTCGGATTCTTGATATCCGCGGTAATCGGTATGTTTCTTCCAGTCGTCGACGTCAATGTCAGCAATACCACCTATCAACAACTCGAGTTCGCGCTCGTCGAAGACGTTAACGAGGTCCTGGGGGATGAGCTCGTTGAAGCCTGAAATGAATGCGTTGAATTGTTCCTCTACACGTTTTTGGATCTTCCATTCCGTAACAAGTCTGTCTCGTGTCAGAAGTGCGAACAATCACGTGGAATGATAAATGGCCACTTACTCGACATATTTATGCTTATTCTCATTAGTGACGGGGATATTTCTTCCGTCGGGTATCAAATCAATTGTTTCTCGTTCGCCAAACTTTTCATCGTCAACCGAAAACGTAAGCTCAACAATGCCTTCTATATCGTTTTCACTATATACTAGTTAGCTTCATCTTTGAATCAATGAGACGATGAGACTTACAGCGTCCACGTCAAATTTCGGTGGAAATCTTCGTCAACTCCCTCCATGTCTTGAAGTGTGACTTTCTTCCGAAGCATCATCTTATAGAATGCGCCAATGAAGAACGAATCCAAGAATCGTCGATGGAAAATGGCAAGTCCGACGACACGACCAATGAACTTGAAATAGTTCAAATGCTCAGGGTTAATGCCGGAGTGAGGGTTGATTTGAAGCGTGTAATTATCGTGTGCGGAATATTCAAACAGACAATAGAAAGGATTGAACATCTCATGGGAGAGAAGGAAGAAGTACTCGCTGTTATACCAGTTAGTAGATGATTGTCAACATGCAGATGTAGACATACCGAGAAAGTCCACCATAATCTAAACCGTCCTCACCATCAAACTTGATCATAAGTCGTTTCTTCAAATCAGAAGCACTTTGACGCATGATCTCTGCATATGAATCCTCAAATATATTACTGCGGCGAACCTTAATGTGGCATTGGCCAGACATGATTCTTAATGCCGGTTGCGATCGGAAGTAAATCAGCTTGCGACGGAAGTCCCGCTTATACTGGGGCACACCCTGGTCAAGAGACGAAGGTAGTCGTGGATCGTCCCATGTGGTGGTCTTTGTATTGTGGTCGACAAAGTATACACGCGCAGTATTGGTCAATCTCATTTCCCATCCACTGGGCAAAGGTCCTAGTTGCGAGACTGGTTGCTGTTGGAAAGTGGTATTGCCTCCACTGGCATTCTGTCCATACATGCGAATGTATTGTTGCCGACGCGGGTCAACCCAGGTGGTAGTGCGAGTGTTGTGATCGACAAAATATGGTCTTCCTTCTGGTGTAGTTCTCTGCTCCCAACCAGCTGGAAGCTCACCAGTACCAGCGGTTGTAGCACCAGTGGCCATCATCGAGGCAGCATTGGCTGCGTTGGAAGCATTGCTGGCCCCAGAAGGAGGAGTAGTAGGCTGTTGAGCTTCTGGTAAGTTGGGTGAACTAGCTCCTGTACGGTCTTCAGGAAGCATTCGACTTTGATGAGCCCGACGCTCCATCTGCATATTGGCTTCCCGTTGTGATCGCTGCGCACTCTCGCTGTAATTGGCTGAAGGTCGAGTCCATGTCGTTGTCCTTGTGTTGTGATCGACGTAGTACGTTCTCCCCAGGTTATCTTCACGTCGTTCCCATCCTGCTGGAAGTCGACCCAGATTGTCTTCAAAAGAGCTGAGATTCGTTCTTGATCCTTGCGTCGCTTGGCCGTTAGCCTGCGGTTCAGACGGAGCTGATAGTCCACTCGTTGGCCGGGCATTGGACGAAGCGCGGGTTGGTGTGAATGAATTTGTTGAACTTGCTGCGATAGATCCCGGGGTAGCTCCATCGGCAAACGATTGGCTTTGCGTCGTAGGTGGTGTCTGCACTTGTGGAACAAGCCCTGACAAGTTTGATGGTGGTTGCTGTGGTCTATTTGGTCCGTTCGGGGCGGGTGTGGATAGGTTGGTCGAGAGGTTAATAATCAGTTTTCCATGTACTACCAAGTTATCATTCGACTTCTTGAGATCCCGAGTGAGCATTTCTGCGAGTACACTGGTTAGTTTCGATGCATCGATAAGAGGCTTGAATCAATTACCGTCACCGCCCATTTGAAGATCGATCGCATCGCCGATGCGCACATTGATGACACCCAAGAAACCCTGGTCCTTCTTCTTGAACTTTTTCTGGTCAAATATTTGAATCGCAAGGATACTGTCCTCGTTGACTCTCCTGTGCAAATGAGTCAGTAACAGAACCTTATATATACAAAAGGGGGGCGATGTAACATACAAATCAAAGCTTTCGTTCCAGTACGGATTCAACGTCTTCTTGATAACGGTTGTCGTCTGCGTCTGTTCACCACCAATGGTGGCAACAGCAAAAGGATCGGGGAATCCTAAATATCCACATCTTGTAAGCATAGTCGTCTTTGGAGATGATCGGAGTCAAACATACGGAAGACATCGCGTTTATATAGACCGTCAGCGGCAATGACTGTTAGGATATGTTTGTTAGCATTTGGTCTCGTGTTCTCGTGGATAGCTTATGTGGATATCCGGATGCTCACTTGTAAGCCTGAGATTTGGCTGACTGTACAGGCACGATAATCATCAGTACGCAAACAACAGACATATATATATCAACATCAATATCGGTCTCACTTACGCTGGAAGATTGGATCCCATGCTTGATATAAAATAACTGCCCTACGGGCAGAGCGGGATGCGACCTAGGATCCGGGCCAGTCAAGAATAAAGCCTAACAACATCCACACCCAGGGAAGGGTTAATTGACGGTATTTCCAGAAAACCTCGCAGACCCCGAAAATTGTCTATCGAATGCTGCGTCGGTCCGGGTTCGATTGAAGCAGAAAGAAGGGGAGGATACGAGTAGAAAGTGTCGTGGCTTGGGTTGTGTCTAATCTTCGAGGTTTCGTTCGGGGCTGAGTAGACTTGACGTGAGCGAAGTTCTGGCCAATGACCAAGGCGGAGGGGTTGGTAATGGTTCCGATACGTACTTTGTCAAGATTGGTGTCTCAAGGCAAAACTCGAACAGTTAGTGTGGCTTTGAGAGCTCCACAAATCAGGAAATGGCAAATTTAGTCAGAAGAAGATTTTCTCGCGAAAAGGGAAAAATTCAATGATTTTGACAACAGGTTGTTAGGGAAAAGGAGGATCAGAAGTAGTGAGGGGTTGGCTGAGCAGGAATCTAGAACTGTAAATACCGCCTGTAATCCGATTACCAATATACCGAGTATTGTAAACCATAACCTGCCTCACATGTTACAATATAAGGTATTGATTTGTAATGTGCTATACTGTATATATGACATGGCACAAAACCCCCTAATAATGGCCTAACTTTGATAGACTGGAAGGCGAAGTATGACTACTCATGCTTTTATTTAATCTAGACTGTCACAAAATATGGGCTTTGCCACAAGGAAAGGCTAGAAAGGACAGCGATTCCCAACTTTTGATTCCCATTCATCCATTGCAACTAGACTCAAACAGCTTGTTAACTAGATAACTATATGTATATCATACACCATCAACTCCTAACCCTCAACCATGAACACAACAAAAAGAGAGGAGGTAGACAATTGGAGAATGAAGTTCCACCGCTCGCAAAACCGTCTGTCATTGCCAAATGTGGTAATAAAAAGAAATATGCTCTTCCCATCGTGACATCTCCAGCATCTACTTGACTTGCGTTTTCAAACCATTAATAAGGCGCATATCCACGGCCTCGGCCACGATAGCCACCTCCACGGTAAGCACCGCGGTGTGGGAAGCCACCGCGACCAAAGCCACGGCCACCCCGACCCCGACCTCGACCTCTGGCCATGCCTGGCACGTTCGTACGCTTTGGTGTGACCTGACAATAACTTAGTAACCGTGACTGTAGACAGAGTGCAATAAGTGCGCACCTTCAGGTTACGTCCGCGAAAGACACTCTCGTTCAAAACCAAGGCCTGCGCAACCAGGCTGGGCTCTGCAAATTCGACATAGGCATATCTATCATCACCTTTAGTATTCAACCCTCATAATAATAATAATAATAATAATAGTATCGTGTAGGAGCCAGCACGGAACAACGCACCCTTTGGGATGACCCGTGAACTTATCCAACAAAATCGTTACGCGATTAATCGAACCGCAACTCTGGAAATGCGCCTGAATCTCCTCCGGCGAAGCACCGTAGTCAACGTTTCCGACAAATATGCTTCGAGCATCAATATCTTCTTTATCTTCTCGTAGGCTCTCTGACTCGGCGTCTAAGGTTTGTTGCATTTCGCGGAGCTTGGCTGCTTCGGATTCCATTTCTGCGACTCTTTTCTTCATCGCGGCGATGTCCTCCTATGCAAAAAAAGTGTTAGACCGAGTTCTGCAAAGCTTGTGACGAACAGGAAGAGGCGAAATGGTAGCTTTTCTACCCTGGTAAGAGGTTCAAGAGGCAGGCGCATTTCGATTTCGGAAAACATACCTCATCTTCAACACCCTGTGTTTGAGCATTCAATTGCTCCTCTGGGATATCTGTAGCCTCGGTAGCCATTGTGATTTGATTTCGATCTGACGTTATGAGATGCGATTTATGGAGCGAATATGCAGGATCTGTAAAGTCGTTTCCCAGATTTCTGGAGGGTGGGATGAAAAGCAGACAGGGGAGGTTTTTCCCTCAAGGGAATAGGGAAGACGGGGCGTCGAAACCACTGCCTTTGTGAATAGTAAAAGGATGAAACTGGAAGATAATGGTCTAAGAAAGGGAAATGAAACGTTGTAGGGTTAGTTGGTGATGGTTGAAGGGCGATGTTGTTTTATAGTGTCAGTAATTTTATTTTCCTTATAGCAGCAACACTGATGAGGCGGAACCTGGGCTGCTATTTTGGGCTTAGTGAATGACTCCTACGATACAACTTCTGCAGTGATTTTGATCTTTTTATTCTCAATAGTTATTCTCTTCTCTTCTTTTGCTAACTGTTTCTTTCTGATGTTTCTGGGAGAAAATAAAGAATTCACGATCATAGTAGTATGTTGTGAGCTAGTTTGTGGCTGAAAGCACAAAGCGTACAACAGGTCAAACAGCCCTTCTGTAAAAGCGCTGAACACTATTATGCTGAGTATAGGGTATTACCATAGACACAATTACTGATTATGAACTGGAATTATCGAGTATTTAACATGTATCATCTATAAATCCATAACTCTTCTTTATGTATTTTTACATGGTGATATCATTCTGTATGAGTACGAAAAACCAAAGGGGAGAGTCTTGTATCTTATTAGTTGCCGCTAATTCCAACAAGTGGGTATAGTTTAACGGTCAGAATAGGTCGTTGTGGCCGACCAGATATGGGTTCGATTCCCATTACCCACATCAACCACTTCTTTTTTTTCTTTTTTTCTTTTCTTTCCCTTCTTTTGTTGTCATAAAATATTTCCCTTTAAACTAGTTTTTTTTTTCTTGCGAAGGAATTTTGTTAAGTACGATTAGACGAGATTTAGACGAGATATGGGTGGTTAACGAAAGAATGTGTTAGGCTTATGCACTATGAAGAGACATGTTGATCGATTGGCGTAGGATTATCTACATATATAGTATATACTATACAAACACGGTACGAGTCATAATTTGCAAACGTAGGTATCTATTCAACATAACAAATACAATCAAAAATCAAGATGCGGCGACACCTTGCTTGCGGAAAGATACTTTCTCAACAGCCACTGTTTCGGCACCGTTGGCGTCGGTCTTGAGCTGGTAAACGTACAGAACCAACACATCTCCTTGTACCTGATAAAAAATTAGCTCATGTGCAATAGCTATTAATCCGAGAGAATGCCTACATCCATCAAGCAGAAGCTCGGAATCGGCTCCTGCCCATCCGGGAAATAGCCTGTACTGAACGCACCAGTTGCACTTCCCGGGTTAATAAAGAATCGACCTTCCATTTCAAATGCCTCGAAGCGATGCGTGCCACCCCAAAGGAGAACGTCGACATCCATCTGTCGGGCTGCAATGAGCAAAGCGTCGGCATCGCCGGGTGGGATTATGGTATGGCCATGGGTGAATCCGATACGAAGACTTCCATGTGTCACGACTTTGGACAAAGGGAGATTCGGAGAATCGACATCGAAATCACCTTTGACGAGCTGTAGGTCCGGGGCGATCTGTCGGAAGAATTCAAACGTGTCGCGGTCTGTGAGGTTGCCTAGACATAGGATCTGGCCGATCTTTCCTGGCGTAAGGAGTTTTTTGAACTGTGTAAATAGAATCGTTAATTGAGTGTCAGACAGGCTTTAAAGTGGATTATAGTCTTACTCGTGCAGGAATATCCTAAAGTCGGGCATTAAGCTTCAAGTTAGCTTGTATACACCGTAGGCCGGCAACATTGCGGGCGCGGGGTGGATAAGAAACGTACCGGAGCCCTGTCAGGAATGAATAGGTCCCCAATGACCAGGACTAGACGCGAGGTCATCTTGATTCCATCAATGGATACTCAACGGCCCATTCCCAGCTTTGTACCTGCAGAGTAGAGCAGCGTGGATAGCATCAAATTAGCGGGTTTAATGTCAGTCGTCGACTGTTTCCATAGTTAGTTGGTTATCAAGCTCCACGTAAAGTTATGTAATCAGCTAACGTCTTCTGGTTAGTTAGTTAATTTTATTGCAGAAGTCGGAATATGGGGAAGCCCTAACCCTAATTTGCTTCCTGTTTTGGTTGACCTGAGTGAGTCGACGATGGAGGACGCCGATGACCGGGCTCGGAGCCGGAGCCGATTTCAGTGCTGGAATCCAAAGAAAAGACTTTAGATTCTATGAACTCAGAGGAGAGAAATAGCAAGCAAGTACTCTACGAGTACGGAGTGTATACTGCAACAACCGCAGTGCTATAACTATCTGCTATCGGATGGAATAAAACTAAAATCTCGGCCTTTGCAGAACCAGATCGCCTGAACCACCCGAGGTCAATCGCTCAGCAGTTGCAGATTATCGCATTTCCCGCGGCCAACGCTCCCCTTGGCCGCCAACCCGACCACCAGCCAAACTGGCGTCACACTCCGGGCGGGGCAATGGCAATGGCAATAGTGGGAGTAATCCCAATGCCCGCCTGTCCCTCATTGCCAGACATTTCGACCAACGACTACCGCTGCCTGAATTGAACACGCCGTTCTCGTCCGAGAGACTGTCTGTCGAGCCTGACGATCTGGAATATAATCCTATCCAGCGGACCCCTCCTCCTCCTCAGATTGACTCGGATATTCTTCCTCCTATTACGCAGTACGACAACGACCGCAAGAACAAGATGTCTTCGCAGCCTGCTCACAGTACTCTCCTCATCCCGGGACCCATTGAATTCGACGATGCGGTCTTGCAGTCCATGTCCCACTATGCGTAAGTTCCATACATACATACAATCGACGGCCTCGCTGCTCTCTCCAATCTAACAACCTATAGAGAGAGCCATGTCGGCCCTGCCTTTGTCAGAACGTTCGGCGAAAGCTTGACCCTTTTGCGCAAACTCTTCCAAACCACCGACCCCGCTTCGCAACCATTCATCATCTCCGGCAGTGGAACTTTGGGATGGGACATTGTCGCCAGTAACCTTATCGAACGGGGCGAGGAAGCCCTGGTCCTTCATACCGGCTACTTTGGCGATTCATTTGCCGCCGCATTGGAGACATACGGCGCAAAGGCGACTCAACTCAAAGCACCTATTGGCGATCGCCCTTCACTCGCCGAAATCGAAGAGGCGCTGAAACAGAAACAATACAAATTGATCACAATCACCCACGTGGATACCTCCACGGGTGTCTTGAGTGATATCAAAGCCGTCTCTGAGCTGGTCCACCGCGTCAGCCCGGATACACTGGTCGTAGTCGACGGAGTCTGCAGTGTTGGTTGCGAAGAAATCGATTTCGATGCCTGGGGTCTCGATGTCGTTTTGACCGCTAGCCAAAAGGCGATCGGATGTCCACCGGGTCTTAGTATCTTGATGCTTTCCGGTCGAGCCATCAACGTCTTCAAGACCCGCAAAACACCCCCGGCTTCATACTATGCCTCTATCGCCAACTGGCAACCCATAATGCAGAATTATGAGGCCGGTAAACCCTCCTATTTCGCTACCCCGCCAACTCAACTTGTGCATGCCCTTCACACGACCTTGAGCAGTATCACATCTCGACCAATGTCTGAACGATTCGCAATCCACGCCAAGACATCAGATAAAGTCAAAGCTGCCGTTGCAGCTCTGGGATTGACTCAGCTCGCCACGAAACCAGAAAACCAAGCACATGCCATGACAGCCATCCGCTTGCCGGAGGGTGTAACGGCCCCTGAGATCTTGCCGGGACTGTTGAAGCGTGGTGTCGTCTTTGCGGGTGGTTTGCACAAGGCGATTGCGCCTACATATATCCGTTTTGGACATATGGGTGTTAGTGTTACGGATCCGAACAGGAAGGATATTGATAATGCTATTGCCGCTTTGCAGGAGACGTATGCCGAGGTTAAGAAGGCCAAGGGGTTGTAATTTTGCTTCCAAAAAAAAGAATATCTTATATAAAAGAAATAACATGACTCAGTTAAAGGATCGATTGCTTACAGGCCCTCTTTCTAGGTAATTCGGATGAATAGGTTAATCTGTAACCGCATGCGCACAGGCACCCAATCTAACATCACTTTCTAACACGAAGAAGAGAGTACGGTTAGGATGTCAGAAATACCTCGGCTGACAGTAAGTCTTGCCAACGGATTCCAGTTCTGAAGATATCCTGACTGTCAAACAGCCATCTTATGCAATGACCAAAAAATAAGCCAAACTACGAAAGCGTATATCATGAAACAACTCGAAAAGCACAAATCTCTTCCTTCCACGAAAAGAAGAGGAAATAATATTGAGAGGGGGTATGTTCATATGAGTATCAAAAATAAACCAATGCAAGCACAAAAAAAAATAAATAAAATAAAATAAAACAGAGCAACACAATGCTAAGCAGGAAAAGAACATGAATAAATGCATTTATAAGAGTAAAAAGGAGGCGTTTGTTTATATCATATTCCTTATTCTTTTTGGAGACGGAACAGTGGAGCGATCCGAGGAATGAGATCTAAACGGGAAGAAGAGAAATGGATATAGAGTGTAAAGACAAATGTATAGACCCGGTGGATGAGGCTATGACTCGGCTTCACCTCTTCGCAATGCTAGGAATGCGCGAACGTCGGTCACATACTGTAGTGCTTCGAGCATGGGGATAAGATTGAGTAAACCACTATCAGTGGGATCACTTATCCAGCCTTTGATGGGGATGGCATTATCTTTTGTCTTGTCAGTTCATGCTCCAGGGAGTAACTACAGGATATATAGGGAATTACCTTCGTGAAAAATGTAGCTCGTCGGGCTATTGTCCAGGATCATGACTTTACTCAAGTCTGGTTCCACAGAGCTCAAGTCCTTGATAAATGCGTCATGACGCAGAGTGCAGTGCTGCCTGTAATAACGAGCCTGGAAGAACTTGCGCTCTTGCTCAAGCCAGTCAATGACTGGGTCGGCGTATTCCTGGACACTCGCTGTAAAGATAACGAGTCTATACCATTTGCATACTTTGCGTAGAAACTCGTCGCAATGGGGTCGCTTGTGTACGTAGTAAAGAATGGGGTGCTGAGGACCAACTGCAGGGGTCGTCTCTCCGGCTACTGATACAGGAGCTGCTAGTTTGACTTCGACCATGTGACCGCTGGACATGCGACCACCTTTGGCCAGAGAATGAATAAGTGTCTCATCCAGATCGAGAACAAGGGTTTTCTGCGGAACTCTGGTAGCTGCTTGACGCCCAGTTGTTCGCATAGTATAAGAAGGCTGTCGAAGAGGGACCAATGGCCGCGGAGGAGCAGGCGCATGAGGGTATTTGGTTAATCGGTGATGAGACGCAGATTGCGAAATTGGCGATTTCAGACTTTCTGCTGTGATGAGTGCGCCTGAAGAAGGACTCTCACCAGCTGCTGAATCTTGTCGCACATCAGCCGGTTGAGACCGCTTCTTTTGCCGCTTCAGAGACTCATCGTTATGTAGTTTAATGCGAATGGACCTCCTTGGAGTATTGTTATTGCTATCTGTTGAGAGGTAATCTTTTTCCGACAACCTATTCTTGTTGCCGCGGGTTTCTTTGTCAGTGCTTGATCTGCGGTCACGATCACCGTCGGATTCTGAGGTAGATGATGCGATTGATGATTGAGAAGGCGAGCTTCTCAGTCTGCGGGCCGAGGCGCCGTTTCGTCTGGAACCCGACTTTTCGGACTCTCCCTTAAGTCGATGGGAGGATGCAGTCTTTTTGGGTCTCGAATTCTCGCTCTCCCTATTGCGAAGCGCTACGTATCGCGTTACTTTGCGAAAAGGAACAATGGGTGAATAGTGACCATCATCATCTCGAAATGTTTGCGCAATATAGACGCCTGGTGCTGCGATTGCCGAAAGGATAGTCTGGATTGTCTCGTAGATTGCATCGAAGAGCTTCTGGGCGATCAAGAAGAACCGGTTTGGCCCGGGAACTGCACCGGTCTTCTGCAACTGGTGGATCAGTGGTGACTTTTCGTCGTATTCTATCGAGCCATCGTACGAGTATTCTGGTACTAGCGATTCGTGTGTATATGGGTCTTTCTCGTCCTTGGGTAGGGTGTACTGAAACTGCTGTTCGCTGTACGAACGAGTCTTTGCTAAATCGTTCCGGAGATGGGTTGGAGATGCCTCGCTCTGTGAGTGAGAGCGATTCCGTGTAGTAGAACTGGGAACCTGTCCTATCACTCGGGATGACAGGATATTCAGGGAGTTCATCTTTCAGCAACGGCCATGAGGACGATCTGAACGCGTGAGGAAGCAGCCCTAGAATCTGACTCCGTAGATGTCAGTAATACGGCATGTTTATAGCAAAAACAAGTAATACCTGCACCTAACTTGGCCAACTTGACGATGCGCGAGGTCACGACCCTGCATAAATCGCCGATGTACAGCTGGCCAGGTAAGTTAGGACTCCACCGCTGTGAAATCGGCGTGGTCTCACAAGAACCGAACCTCGGAAGCTGAAATGCTGGTGACAGAGGTCGGATTATGAGGAAAGAAGGTTTCCGAGTGTAAGAGGGGTAACACGTAAAAGAGGAGAAGGCCGACTAGGATATGCAGAGTGCAGAGATGGGTTGGATTTGTTGGTTGTTTTGGGTTGTCTGGCTGTCAGTGAACGACAGGTCGGATGACGGAGATGTGGGGAGTCTGTTGGGGCCAAGTTTTTAAGGCCGCGGACTCCGTTCTTCCCTAAGTTAGTTGCCTTAATCGCACAAGCCCGCCGCATTTTATGCATACAGTTGGAATCAAAGATAGCTGGCGTACTTCGCAGCTGTTGATTCTTGGGACTGTATTACGATATTGCATACAAAGAAGTCGATTTGGTCCACACAGAGACGTTGTTGTGACTCACCGAATTTTGGGCGATTCAAGAGGGGTCGCTACATACAATTTTCCCGCAGTATCTCAACTTTTTTCTTCAACAATCTGCAGCGCAAGCTAGAGCTTGGAGAGAGCAGATAATACCAGAATGGCTCCAAATTCGGCGGTCCTGACTCCAGGATTGTCCTCATTTCTCAAATCCCTGAAAACAAATCCTATCGAGACATCGATCGACAATCTAGTATCGTACGGAAGTCTATCTGAAATTGACCAAGGGAGAACATAAGCTAACATGACGCAGTCTCTTGAAGCGACGACAAATTCGTCTATCACGATCATGCGCCATAGCAACTGCTTACCTCCTTCTCCGGGTCGTGTCAGCCTTTCGAACAACAGATGCCACAAAACTGATCGAACGAGTACAGAGCGTGGGCAGGCGACTTATGGTCGCCCAACCCAGGGAACTAGTCGTGGGAAATATTGTGAGGCGCGTACTGGGTCTAATAAGAGACGAAGCAGAGGATGAGAGGGATGCAGACTTTTTTCTCGCCAGTGAAGCTGGATCTGACAGCCGGCCACATACCCCTCATGGAGCAGAAAGCCATTCCCCTCCCCGCTCGCATATCGCGGACGACCTCTCACTTCCCGTGCATGACAAGGATCTTCTATCCCTTCGTCAAGAAGGCTCAGAACGATCGTCCTCTCGACCTCCTCTGTCTTCCACACCATCTCAAGCACCCCCCGTCATTTCCATGTTTAGTCTCCTCCAACACCCTGAAGCAGAATCGCCTCAACCTAGTTCTCCGGGTACCGTTTCGCCATCAGGCCGATACCAGGGACAGGGTCATCACAAAGACATTCGAGCCGAAGTCCTGGACGGAATCGGCGAGATCATTGACGAGCTGGGACAAGTAGATGACCAGATCGCGGGTTATGCCCCGGAACATATCCATTCCAACGAGATTATTTTGACATATACCTCATCCACCACTGTTCAAAAATTCTTACTGAAAGCCGCAGCCAAAAGGAAGTTCACCGTCATTCATGCCGAGTCTTTTCCCAATAATCACGAGGCGACTCATGCTCGAGTCAGCGGTAACACCGACAATGATGATCAGAGTCTTACAGCAGAGAATTTCACGAAGCCATTGACTGCGTTGGGAATAACTGTCATTGTCATTCCAGATTCTGCAGTCTTTGCTATCATGTCCCGGGTCAATAAAGTCATCTTGGGGACGCATTCCGTTCTAGCTAATGGTGGCCTGGTTGCTGCTGCGGGCACTCGAGTGATTGCTCGAGCAGCCAAAGTCCACCAAACCCCAGTCGTTGTCGTCAGTGGAATCTACAAACTCAGTCCTGTATATCCATTTGACATTGACTCACTCATTGAGTACGGCGATGCCAGCAATGTCATTCCTTATGAGGACGGGGACTTGGTCGACAAGATTGATGTCGAAAACCCCCTTTACGATTATGTGCCTGCTGAACTGGTGGACTTGTACATTACGAATTTGTATGTTCACCTATCCTTGTGCCTACCTAATGAATACTAACATTTCTTAGGGGTGGTCATGCGCCATCATATCTTTACCGTATCGTCTCGGATCATTATCGCAAAGAAGATATCTCTTTTTAGTGGAATAGATAGTTCCTACAATGAAAGCCCAAACTCTACAATACTACTCCTCTATATCTTAGACAGTAGAATGAAAAACCAATAATCAATGGTATTTTGGCAGTCGAAGCACTACTACTACACTAAGTAAACATGTAGTAGTTAAGCATTTCAACCATCCCGTACAAGTCATGACGCCATCCTTGTGAAACGTATAAAACCTTTCTAAAGAGAAAAATTCTTGTGCATACAGAATCCTTATATCCGATGCAACATGATGGTCGAATTTTGTCCAATTCCAAAAGAGGGTATGCTCTCGTAATCCCCCTTCGCACATGTCATTGGAATCGTTCTCAATATGTTTTTCTTTCCTCCACTCGGCAAACCCCAGCCTTCGTTTTTCGTGTTGTTTATGAACGAGGCTTCTCCTTCTTCTCCTTCCACAAAGCAGACAGACCGACACCGGAAACCTTGACGACCTTGAAACGGACACCAGGAATATCACCCTTGGCCTTGCCCTTACGACCGAAACCGGCGAGAAGGACTTCGTCGTTCTCGTCAACGAAGTTAAGACAACCGTCGTTGGGGACTATTTCATCAATCAGTACAATCGACCTCGAAAATAAGTCATCCTGTAACATACCGAAAGCAGTGACCTTCTTTCCGTTCTTGATCAACTGAACCTTGACACACTTTCGGATAGCGGAGTTGGGCTGTTTAGCCTCAACACCGACCTTTTCGAGGACGATACCCTTGGCGTGAGAAGAACCACCGAAGGGAGACGATTTGTAGGCTGTTCCCAGAAGGCGCTTCTTGAAGGACAGATCGGCCCATCGCTGATCACGGCGGTGATCCTTGAGCTTGCGAGCGGCGTTCAAACCACGAGGCTTTCCCTTACCCATCTTGGCGGTATTATTTGGATACTTCTGTGATGAAAAGAATGAATTAGATCAAGTTGCACGAGGAGCACTGATGTATAGCGAGCGATTCGAGTTGGTAAAAAAAAAAAGAGCAGAAGTAGATATCTGTGTAGATACGGTGCAGAGTCGAAGCGCTGGATGTGAACCTACCGACTAGATGGATATGCCTAATGGCTGGTCGTTGGATGTCGAAAAGTCGAAGTCGTCGATGTTCTTCCGTCAAGTGAAAATGTGGATTTGTGCCCTAAGCGAAGTGCGGGCCACTATATCCGAAAGGAGTTAGTATCGGAATAACCGCGGCCTTACTTCCGATGCCTTGGCGTTATTGATTGTTATCGATAGCATGCATACTCGACTTCGAACTCTGACTTGAATACGACTACATCACTCTGAAGCTTGTAAGAGGTTTACCTCTAGATCACGTCTAGCCATAATAATGTCACTCGCATCGCGGCCCAAGCCGACCTCGCGAGTGAGCTCTCAACGCCTTCCTCCGCCATCGTTATTTCAGGGACCTCCATCTCGCAATGAATCATCTAACTCGTTGCACGGCTTAGTGCCTGGAAACCAAGGCCCTGCATCTGCTCAAAGACCGGGTCTTCAAAGATCCAGGTCGAGGATGTCTACCATATCTCCCAGCGGCAACAGAAACTTATCACCTTTTCTGAGCCGAACACAGTCGCCAAGGGAAACCGATAGTGCTGAAATCCAATGGCAAGAAATGCAAAATACGCTAGGTGAAGTAGAACTAAGTGCTTTTAAGGGAGAGCATGTATTTGGGGAAGAACATTCAAGGGCTCTAGAGGAGCTGCGCTTAAAACAGCTCAAGTTAGCTCAAACTTGGACAAGAAATGAAGCAGACGAAGTGGATGAGAATGAATCGAGAGACACCAATGGCCAGTCAGATCAGAAATCAAGCGGTGTACATCGTGATCATGGGAGTACGACGACGATAGATGGAGCTGCGACATATAAGGCACTGGAAGCAGAAACCGAGAAAGATCTACAACAAGCTCGGAAGAGACGATTAGCGAATGATCAGTATTTTGATCGCGTCAATAACGGTGTGCTAGATGTTGTTGCGAGCTTGGAGGAAGTTGCACAAGCGATGCGCACAGTGAGAAAAGAGAGTGAAGATATTTGGAATGATACAGCGAGTGAGAGTCTCAACGTAACGGGAGACTCGACAACTGGATGACGATTATGATTGCGACCATCGAATATTTACAGCATGCTGATAGGATGGACGTATTGCGGTCTGACAGATGTTACTCCATATATAACGAACATGCATTCTGCTACGTTCGTGGAAAGTATCGGCCAATATGACCTGTACATGAGACTTGTACATGAAGGCTATGAAATGGCGACAGTTCAATAACACCAAACGCCGGCGCTCGTCAAATGGTCCCAAAGATAACATGCAACCGACAGCCTATTATGATATCAAGACACAGAAACAGGAATTTTCAGCGGCCGCACGAATCATTGCCGTTTCACCAATTCCGATATTACTCTGGTAACCTCGTTGGCTGTATTGGTGACATCCTGCCAACCCAGGGTGAACGTCTTCTGTGCCAATGCCTTTACCTCTTTATTCCATTGTTGCTTGAGCAATTCTTCTGCCGACGGTTTCTTCGGTGGCGGCACGATTCGTGATTTTTGCAAGTCATCGTCCTCGGCGAATCTGCGATAATATGCGCCTAGAGGGGAGGAGATATCATTGAGGATTTCGACTTGTTCACGTATGGCATCTCGTTGCGCTAGGCGGGTGGAACGATGGACTTGGACGCTTAGGTAGAGGACCGATGCTGTCAATGTGAAGCCACCGAACTGTTTAGCTGTCAGAATTTCAAAAATTATAACTATAACCATTTATCCATCAAATACATACAAATCCAGCCATGAAGCCCATCTTGACTAGGAAAGAGAATAATCAGATGATCTGAGGTGAGAAGACTGATAGCATTGCAGCTCAGTTATGATATCAACTGATATGGGTATGCGCTAGCGTAATGTGTCTCGCAAAGTCGCTATCATAGTTCCCAGCTCAAATCATGGTCTTCAAGATGGAGAAGTAGATGCAAGCTCATCGCCATAAGGTGATCTTTTTGTCGACCAGCGGAGTATCCGGTGCCAAGGTAGGCTCCGATTGGCCGGCCGAATTTCGCGATTAGGAAACGGGGACGGGAATCTTTCTTTGCCAACTCCTCAACATCCTGTCTATTGCACAGGATACTTCAAACACATCGAATACGAACAATTACCAATTTAGAAGAGACAATTGATCGATTTCGCTGATTGGGTGTCTTTTATCGATCCGGATTCACCGCTGACATCTCCGGCTGATCCAGACCGTCCACTACAACAAAACCTCCCTCTCAACATCCTCCCAAAAACAGCATCACAATGGCTGGAGGCGCAGCCAAATACCGTCATCTCAGCCGCAAGTCCTCTCACCGACAGGCCTTACTGCGAAATCTTGTCACATCCCTCATCAAACATGAATCCATCACAACGACATGGCCCAAAGCCAAAGAAGCGCAACGCCTGGCCGAAAAATTGATTACATTGGGAAAACGGAATACGGAACATGCACGAAGACGTGCTCAGTCGATATTTTACGTATGTAGTATTTTTTCCCTCTCCCCGCCTCCATGTAATTATCAAAAGAAACTGACTTTGTGTGATTATGCAGACACCACACGAGCTCCTCCCCAAGCTCTTCGGGCCCCTACGAGACCGCTACGCAGAACGACAAGGTGGTTACACACGTGTGCTTCGAGTAGAGCCCAAAAAGGACGATCAAGCACCCAGCGCAATCCTTGAACTCGTCGACGGGCCCAAGGATATGCGATTCGCAATCACGGCCAAAGCGATTGCTCGTCAACGCGAGCAGGGCATTCAGACTCTTAATGAGCTGACTGCTTTGAATGTTAAGAAGGTGACTAGATACCGGAAGGGGGGTGTTGAGGCGTTAGAGAAGGAGATCGAGAGGATGTCGTTGGAGGGAAAGAAGAAGACGGAAAAGAGAGAGAAAGGAAATGATGAGGAGGAAGGTAAGAGATAGGTTAAGTGGATTGTGTTAAATTTTATATGTATATTAACTGGCTGCGTGTGGTGACTACCTTTTTGAATAGCGCACTCTTGCTTGGACAACTGTATCTATATCACCTGTTTGTCACGACTACTTTAGATTTAAGCTGTGACCATCTGGGTAAATGTACTTTTCTGTATTCCCGACTACTAAAGGATAGACACATCCATACAAACAAGTATAGACATGACCTTTCTAACGACGCCATGCAACAAAATCAAAACTCAAAACACTCATCATCACCGAAAACTAGATACCGAAGTACGCCTCTCAGCGCGGCAATCTCAAGACAACAGACTGCCGCGCGCCTAAATCCCTTTGATAACCATAAAATAAATTTACTACGCCATACCGCAAGATGCAAAGATCGCGAATGAGGAGAAAAGTCTATGCAAAGCCGAATTCTCATAGGCTAAGAGCTTTTTTCAATCAGGACTGGACTTGGGTATGTTATTGTTCCCTGATCCGGAAATGACAAGTGGTCCTCCTCCTGCCTGAGTATGCGGCGAGGTAGCGTTGTTTGGAAAGGATGTCGTTGAGGATGCAGGAAGATTTCGTGATTTGTTGTCCAATCCAGAAGGAACTTCAGACGGGGGAGGTTTGGGCGGAAGATGAGCTGGGGTACCCCATTTAGTAATCGAATCGTTGGTCAGAGGCTGTGTAGCACGAGGCATTGAGCTCGGGCTAGTGGCATTACCATTAGCTCGGTTATTTGGATGTGGTGGTACATAAGCCATCGATTGGCTACTGGATTCCATATGGCCCTGGCCCGACCATTTCTGCCTCTGCATGTTGGATTGGGGGTTGTTGTATGCAACTCCACCTGCATTATTGACTCCTTTAGGGTTGTATCGACCTGCTGTCGGATTCCCAGTAGGTACAAAAGACCGGGTTTGAGGGTTGAACATGGTCCGGTTGAAGTTACCCATCATTTGATGAGCGTTCTGGTTCTGAGGTGTCGAGTAATGCTGGTTGGGCATTTGTTGGCCATAAGAATACGGGTTGGTATTATTACCCATTGGATGAGAGGGGTAACTAGGCCAATGTGCATTTCGCTGGACTGATTGAGGGTAATTGTTTTGATACGGCTGACCTGTCCAAGGGGTTGATGCATTAGGAGCATAGGTTGCTGCAGGATTAGGGACGGCGTAATTGTTCATGGCTGGTATTGGCCCCGATTGGGCTTGTTGTCCCATCATTGTCGGTGGTTGGTTAAGAGCAGTGTATCCTTGATAAGGAGACTGTTGAGATGCAGCAGGGCCCTGCCATGTATGGGTCTGACCCATAGGCGTCGTGTTCATTTGATACTGAGACACATTGTTCTGGTAGACGTTCGCAGTCGGTGTGCCTTGTGGGTAATTCATATTGGGCGAGGACGCATTTGGACTAACCATGTAGGGGCTTTGACCGTAAGCCGTCCCGTTATTCATCGGCACTGATGCTGTGTTCGCTGCGTAAGACATCCCAGGATAGTATGCGTTGAACTGAGATCGTGCTTCGAAAGAGTCGTCATGAGGAGTCTTCTGCCTAAAATTCTTTTTGCGGCCACTGGTCGAACTAGAACGGGAAATGTTTGCACTATTGTCGCCACCAGACGAATCAACAGACTTTGATTCTGGAAAGTCCCGGAATATCCTTTCTCTTGCTTCTTGATACTTGGCTTCACGCTCCTCCCTCGTCATAGTTGATCGGTCCTTAGCCGGTGTAGCTCCTGCAGACGAGCCCCCGCGGTCTTCTTCGTTTCCCCCGTCTACCCCGGCTTCCGAAACGGGCTTTGAGGGACCTGAAGAGCTAGTACCATTCTCACCTGCTAGATTTCGGTCGCCGCTTATTTCATTACGGCGCATGATCTTCATAGCTGGTGCATTGGGTGGCGGCGTATTGTGGGATTCAACAGGACGCAGGACCGACAAGGGGGTTGGACTGATCCTTGTTAGCATAGGTTAAGTCAAATGATTGCTGACAAGGATAAACTGACAGTCTACAAAATGGTGTCCGGTGCAGTCGCACTGATGTGACATTGTTGTCCACGAAATGTGTCAGGTGATAGTAGTCCCCCAGCTTGTGGGCAAGAAGACGTCCAAATGCGTTGGAAGGCGGTAATTCGAGTGATTGCTCCCTGCAAAACCATGGATGAGTATGAGTTACCACTGAACATGATTGAGTCGGCACTCACTTTGAGTCTTGAATGAAATCCCGAATCATTTCCTCTAGCTGGAGTATAAAAAGGCGGTCTTTGGGTGTGCCCATAGCCTCAAGAAGCTTTTCATCAGGATCTAAAGCATATCCATTGAGAGACTTGCCAGGAACAAAATCAGGCTGGTTACTAATAATGAAGTTATTAGCCACAGAATCAGGTGGGATTGCCCCTGTAATTCCAATATCGCCATCAGGGAATCGCTGAATGGGCATTGGCAACACGCCTCTTTGTCGCTGAAGGATACCATCTTTGAGGTTGTCGCGATATACCCTCCCACCAGCCTCTGAGCTAGTAAGTGAATTAGGGGCACCAGATGCAGGGCCAGACAAGGAGTCATCTTCATCAGCAGCCTGGACACTTGCACTATCATCCGGTCGCAGCGAATCTTTTTCATCCATTGCAAATGTGGTGACTGATGCCATACTCTTTGAGTCAAAACTCGTTGGTTTTGTAGAGCTGTTTGACAGATGGGTTTGATCATCATCGAATGATGCTTCTCTCTGGAGCCCTTCACTAGATGGTTGAGAGAATTCGAGTTCATGCTTCTCATTCATTGAAAGTCTTTCGACACCATCCTCAATACCTTGAATGTAATCGTCGAGCGGTGCGTTGTGTTGTTCCTCCAAGTCTGGCTGACTTGCCGGCGTAACCTGTGGATTTTCGAAGTCTGTGTTCATTTGATGCTCTGGCTCGTCAGGATTGACAGAGGGATTCTGCGATTTCGCCAGCGCGGGCATAGCCACCACCTAGATGACCATTGTTAGCACGTAGGACGAGGTGATCAAAATAATTACAAGATGTACCTTTGCAAAGGAAGGCCGGTTCAGATTGCTTCCAGACGCCTGGGAAGCCATGATGCAGCTAATATGACAGACTCTGCGCAGAGTAAAGAAACAGATGACAGACTTCAAAAGAATGTATAATGCAGAATCTGCAATTTGTAAAAGATCCAATAACTTTTAATTCCTCGTTTCACAGCTTGAAGATGTTGGAGACATCTCTTTCAAAGGTAACGTGCGCCATAGGGACCAAGCCTTTTTATTCGGTAGGAAAAGCCAGGAGAGCAGCTGTCGCCTTGATAGATGATTTAGGTCTATTTCGAGGATATTTGTTATCGTGGTGGCATGTAATATCGACACGGGAGGACGGTTAATTTCGACCCTGGAAATCAACTGTTCACAGTCAAAATGCTGATTCAAGATGACTAAAAGAAAAGGAGAAAGAAGTGTCATATCACTTACCTCAGAGATCAAATAAGCTTGTCGGATGGCACAGTTGAGGCTGAAGTGTACAGCCAGGCCGGGAGTTGGTTAAAAGACTAAGTTTGCTTGCTTTGTGAGATCTTTTCCTCCGTGGGGTTTAGTGTCGACGCCCGCCCTGTGCTTGCCGCTCGCATAATCCATGTCTACTTCTACAAAAAGTTTCGCATGCCTCAATTTCTTCTTTTTTTTTATGTGATCTAGCGATCCTGTAAAGGAGTCAACGACCATAGTTTGTCCCCATTTCAAGTACTATTTCTTTATCTATAGACTCCGCATATGAATCGATATAGAAACGTCCCTGGCCAGCGCGGCCCTACCAAGGCGACTGCCAGCACCCTGTGCCAGAAATGTCTTAAACGAGATAAGTGTTCTACCTGCTTCCTCTGTGTCATAGTCATTGCTGACTTACTGTACGACACTATAGCTATGAATGCAAGTCAACAGCTCAAGAACGGCCCTATGTATCCCGGCCTTCGCGCACACAGCAGTTACAGAACCCGGATCTGGTACCGAAACTGAAGAATGAGTCAATGACCGATCTGACTACAAGAACGTATGGCCCATTTGCCTTATATTCTTGAATATCGGCTGACCGTGAGTTTACGGATAGCAATGGTCTTGCAGATGAGATTATAGCAAAGCAAGAGCGAGAACGGGGAAGGAAACGAGATCTTGATGATGAACCTTACGCCCAGTCCTCGAAACGGCCAAGGTCCATGTCTTCACGCTCGTCAATCTCGGTGTCTACAATCTCAACAGGCCGGTCTCGATCGGGGTCGCCGGGATATCGAGGCAAATACAAGGACGAGGAACAAGAGCAAAACTCGCCGGCCTCAACCATAAATAGGTCCCGTCAGCGGAAGCGACGCTATAGCGGTGATTCGGTCTCAACTTCGTCGCCTTCACCTGAACGCCCGTCACGAGATTGCAGCCTAGATACAGAGGAACGAAATACCCGCAGAAAACGGCGCGAATACAGCCCACCGGAAAGAGGCCGAAAGAGAGACTCATCTACTCGTGGTAGTCGCAGAGCCTACCAATCATCACAAAGTCGGAGTCAAGAGAGGAGTCGTATCGCTGGAGGGCGACAGTCGATGACACCAATTACACAACAACAGCGGCAACAGCGTCGGAGATCCCCTCATCCTCGAGATAGACCTACGCAGAGAAGAGAAGAGCCACAGCGAGACCGGAGTCTAAGTCCATTCAGCAAGCGGCTTGCTCTTACTCAGGCTATGAACATGGGGCGGTAATCTAGACTATACTATATGCGAGCGTTGTACCTATACTGTATCTATATGATTGTTCCTTAGCGTATATTGCATTTTTAAAAAATTCATTCCGTAATACATGCCTTCCATTTTCGCTCAATATCGGAAACAGAACTCCAACCCTAAACGCCATCCCATCTTCATGCAATTCATATCGCCCAATCTTTTATTATACTAGGGGTATCGTATCAAACCATCACAGCAAATCCTCCTCATCCCGTTCCTCAGCCGCCTCCTGTTCACGAACATGAATCCCTTCAACCAACGCATCCCCTTCAATCCCAACCTCCTCACCACCCTCACCATCACCACTACCCCTCCCACCCTTTTTGGCTCTCTCCTCCCTCTGCGCATTCTCAATCCTCTGCCTAACCAACCTCGCAATCGCATTCTCCGTCCTAACATTCAAAACACGCATCTTCTCATCCAAATGCCTCTTCAAATCCCAATTCGGTTTCTTCGGCTGCAATTTAAATAAATCTATAGGTTGTTCAGCGGCCTCTTCTTCCTCCCTTTGGGCTTGTTCGGCTGCTTTGCGCGCCAGTTCGGATGCTTGTTGTTCAAGTGTGATTGCTCCTTCGGTGGGGGCTTGCTCAAATCCCAGTTTGGGGCCGCGGGTTTCGGCATCGTAGTTTCGGCCGGAGAGGTATTGTTTTGTTATGTTATTGTTTTCGGTGCTATCGTCTTCTTGTAATAATTCTTGATCTTTTGAGGCGAAGGTTTCGGTTAGAGGTTCGGGCTCGGGTTGTTTTCTCTTGAGGGCGGCGAGCTTGGCGAGTCTGGCTTTGCGTTCGGTTGCTGCTGCCTCGAGAGAGGCGTTATTGGTTGACATGCTTGTTTGAGATTCTGTCTGAACCAAGTAGTATTGAATTAAGTTCTGGGGTTGAAGTCGTGGAGATGTCAGCTCGATCAGAAAAGATCGAAGCGGGATATTAGCCGCGCTCAGGCGCTAATGCCGTTCTGATTGGCCTGTGGGTAGCCACTTACATCTATGTTACCCACTATTCAAAGACGACAGCGTCTACTGTTTACTATCAACTATTAGAGAGTATTACTCAATTCGACGACTCCTGGGAAACAGCCTCCTGTCGACGGCGGTTTTCTTGGAGTTCGCAGGATCGAAGTTACAGTCTCGGGTTCAGGGATGGCACCAGATTCATGAAAAGTTAAGACGTTTCATTCCGTTATGAGCAAATATATGCGCTAGAAAACTATAGGGTATAAGAAACGAATCACAGTTATCATAGGAAAATAACACAATCAGATGGTGAATCGATATCTTCAAGCCCGCCAGCATGGACTCAGTACAGCGGTTACATGATCCCATATCTCATCGAACCATCCAGTCCCCAAGCCAGTATACCAGTGCTGATGACCAGTAACCTTGAGTAATTCTCCCCCTTTTATAAAAAAAGGGATCGCATCATCCTCATTGCCCATTTGTATATGAACGTAAGCAATTGCAGCGTATGTGACCACAGTCCCAAAATCTTGGGAATCTGGACGCTTGTCATACATTCGCATCGCTCTCTCCCAGTATTTCAATGAAGTGGGCCAGTCACTCTGGAGCTGCTGCACTCGTGCTAGGCCCATGTGCATACGGCATACGGACCGGATGGAGTTCCGGTGCCCCCGAGTAGCCCAGATATACCGATTCAGTTCCCGATACATATCTGCTGCTCTCCAGTGCTCGCCCTGCTGTAGTGCTGCTTCTGCTTGAGCAAGCCTTAGTTTTAACATGTCACCCTTTCGTGGCTTGGAATTGGGGTTGCTAGTGTTGTACTTTTCTAGGATGCTCTCCAGCTTGGTCGATACTAAGAAATCCGCCTTTTCGGGGTCCCCTAATTCACAGTGTGTCGCCGCTAGATGAGATATCAAGTCGCAGTTCAATTCACCGGCAGAGATCACATCTTCAGGATATTGTCGTGCATTGTATACAGCTTCTAATAGCGAGCGAGCTTCTTGGAATTGGCCTTGGAACCGTAACAACCGACCCCAAGCAATTGCCCTTTCCTGTAGAATGAGCTCTTCCAATATTGAAATATTGTCCCAGTCAATAGGACGGATTTCTTGCAGAAACGAAAATGCCATGTCGATATCTGCGCTGTTTCGCAAGTACATGTTGGAGCGAGTCAGAAATACCTTTCCGCATAGAGCATTGAGCTTTCCGCTCTCCATAGAAAAGCCGGAACAACGGTCGAATTCTTCCGGAGCCACAGTCGACCGATCCAGATACGTCTTGCGAGAGAGAATCATCATGTCAAGGCACTTGTCGGGCATTGCCAAGCTGGCTGCGATCTTCTCAGCTCTTTCGATGACGTCCCATTTTCCAGCTGTTGATGAAAACTGGAAGCTGTGGAGTAATGTATATGCTATGGTCTGTTTCACCTCGTTTGACAGCATACCCAGTGCTTGAAGATTGTCATAGTACTGCATGACGTGCTGAAGCTGAGGAGTAAACGCCGATCCTAGCTCGTGATAACTAATATTATGGTCAGGGAACCCGTCCTAGTATATGATAAATGATGCATGACTTGACTTACTCGTCATCCAAATACGCATCTGCGGGAAAGGCATGGCATACAAGTAACAGTGCCTGCAGCATTGTATGATGCGAGTTCGTCACACTGTTCAACTTGTACTTGGCACGAGTGCCAGCATCCATTCGCAGCACATCACGACCCTCGCCACCAGGATACATGCAGAGAACGACTGCACCTTGAACACACAGTTGATTGACAGCAGTTTGGAGACGCTCAGCGCTCGACAAAACCTCAACTAAGTCAGATGCAATTCCCGTATCCATTGGAGATACATCCTGCGGCTTTCCCTCTAGGCTCCATCTTCTCTGAGAGCGACCTGCACGCATCAGTAACGACCGTAGTATCCCAGCATCGCCGTCAAGGTATGCGAGATGGTTAGCAAGAGTCAGTGTAACATTGTCCATTTGAGCAATGCCGGGATGCGCTGGGATTAGTTGATTAAATCCCCATTGCGTTCCCTTGGTGTAGGAGTAGACCGGCAAGTTGAATGAGACATGTCTGTTCTGGCTGGGAGGAGGCTGAGAGGTGTGAGTTCTTATGCTTGATTTAGATGCCATTTTGCTGACTGCTGATGACGATTGAATGGTTTCGACTGAGAGCCGAGTTAGAGAATAGAAGAGAGTATGATGGATCTTAGATAATCGATTTCTGCATGCTTTGAATCAATCAAGGAGATCAAAGAGAAGGAAAAGGGAGAAATGAGGTAGGAAAAGAAAGAGATGTCAATGTCTCCCTCCGTGTTTGAGCAAGAGCGATAGCCTCATCTCATTTTGGCCGGTAAGCACGAGCAACACCGAAGCAAGTTCAGCTACAACTCAGGCAAATATAAAGCGATGTAATCGTCTTTGAACGAAAGATGTAAGCTGAAAAGCATTCCTAATGTGAGATGACTGTATTCGAACAAATTGAAGTAGCGGAGGCCGAGATCAATCCCCGAGTCCGCGATAATTTGCCATGATCGGACTATTTATTTTCAGTGTGCTCAGCTGATGATCGTGTCACCGAGAAGAAAGTGATGTGCTAGGTTAGGGAAATTATTTCAGGCCTCGGTAAGGTAGGTTAATTCCGGTATCCCCGCTTTTATGCTTCGATTGCTCCGATCAATATTGTTGCTATCGGGCCAAGTGGACGACATCGATCTTGGACTTAGGTACTAGGCAGTTCCAAGGTTACGGGATGAAGAAGGTGACTGCTAAGCTGTCAGCCTGCTTTAAAAGCATTCACTTATCTTCAGAGATCCCTCCTACACTACAAGGCCATCATCCTCCTTCAGCGGGAGAAATACCTCCAAGATCGACGGACGGAACTGGTAGCAAGTCTACAGCGGCAGGACCAAAAATTCAAAGAAGGGGGCCGTATCTGAGGAACTTGAACGAATCCAGAAAGAGATTCATCAAGTCCATCAACTGTGCATCACTCATGAGGAAAGGATGCGAGTCCTACGGACCCAGTACAAAGACAATAGCTTCTCGCGCAATGTTGTGATGGCTAAGAAATTGCAGTGGAGACTGCTTCCAGGACGACAGCCCTATGCATGGCGACAGACCACGCAATCACTGCGCTGAGAGTGGTGGATGCTGTGGTAGAAATTACGGATGTTGCAAGAAGCCGGTGAAAGCGATTACAAAGTATGAATCTATTATATTGGGATCAATACAATCAGAAAGGAAGACACGCGTCTATGGACATTGTACAACAGAATGTGGATGTTGTATTCGATACAAAGGTTCTTATAAATCTGATCCGTGGTATGAAAAGGCCAAGTCGACATCGACATGACAGAGAGATGCACCGATAAACTTGCTTGATAGAAATATGCTCAATGGAAGGGGAAAAAAAAGGGAAGCTTTAAATCTTCTTCTTCTTCTTCCCCCTCCCAGTCTCCCCAAATCCTGCCTTTCGTTTCTTGCTTTCTGACGGCTCAACACCAAGGATGAATTCCTCCTCAGACTCATCATCGTCACGACTCTTCTTCTTCCCTCGTTTATTCTGCTCAAACTCCTTCCTAGCCTCATCCACAGTGACCTGATACTGCAGCAAAATCTCAGCCGCATTCGGGAATCCCGAAACATCGAAATTCCTCAAAACGTAGGCAACCCGTTCAACATCTGCACAACTAAACTGTCTGTTGCTGTCGTCATTATTCAACCGATCCCTCAACTTAAAGACCTCCTCATACAACTCCCGGTACTCCTCCATATTATACTTCACGTCCAACCGTCCATCATCCCTCGTCCTCTTAGTCGCCTTCTTATAATTATACCGATTCTTCTCCGACCCCGGGAATAGATCAAGACATAACCACCAATACATATCATCACTGTAAAACGGGATTTCGTTTTTCTTCCCTTCTGTAGCGACTGCAAGGATTAATGAAGCTGTTGCTGTGCCCACGGCACGGAGGGGTTTCATTAGGATGTCTTGACTTTTCTTGGGGAATGTTTCGTCTAGAGTTTCGCGGATAGGTGGTCTGTCGAGAAAAGCCTTGAAGGCTTCGCAGGTTGTTTTGCGGACGACGTCGGGTTTGTTGGTTTTAATCATTCCTGCGAGGGCGGGACGGTAGCGGCCGTGTTTTCTGTCATTGTCAGTATATATCCAGCCTGAAAACAGAAAGACGTACAGCTTCCATTCCATCAACTGCACAAGTTCCTCCTTATGCATAAACAACGAATCATAACTCTCTTCCTGCTTCAAATGCATAGCATCTTTCTTCTTTTCCTTAATATCTTTTTTCCCTTCTTCCCTCTCCCTCAATACCCGCGGTAAAGTCGAATATCTCCACTCATCAAGCTTGACATATTCACTCGTCTGCCGATCAAAGACAGGATCTTCCCTGTTCAGACGCTCAGGATGTTTTCGATGTTTTCGGGCTGCTACTGCGACGAGTTTGCGTTTGTAGCTTTCTTTCAGAGTCGCTGGGTAGAGGCTGAGGAGTTGTGTGAAGGTGGTCGGTGTGATGTCCCAGGGCGCGAAGGATGGGTAGGTTGGTGTCTCTTCTTCCATCTTGCCGTATCTATTGAGATGGTTTGAATGAGTCTTAATTGCAAGACTACTATTGCAATTAATAATGCGATAACTCAATGCATGTTTTCAATTCGTACGATGTCGCAACTTTGCAGGTCGATAATTTTTTTTGGTAGCATCTCCGCAGTCCGCGATAAAAAGAAAAGTATGGGGTTCTAGTCTAGACCAATCAGATTATCAGATCCACTCTACATATCTAATGAACTGGCTCAATCATCAAACATTGAAGAGCTACGTAGTCCGGAATACTGATCAAAGTCTGAATATTGTATTGTATTCTTTGTCATGTAGACCTATCGTAACATCATCATACCAGAGAAAAAGTAGCACAGGAACCCGGCTCTAGGTCCCAGAAAAACAACTTCATACAGCCTCCCAGGTCATTCTTTTAAAGTCAAGAAAGCTGATCTCAGCCCAGCCGGTAGGCAACAAACACAATATCCCCCCAACCAAAACCGGCCGGTCCCACAGACGACTCCCGCTCCTTAATCAGGTCACAAGAAGAGAGGGGAAAAAATGATTAGTAACAATTTATCTGAAGAAAAAAAACATATCGGGGAGTAACACATTGGGAAGAAAGGAGATGATCTCAATCAAATATATATTAGAAAAGGAGTAAAAAAAGGTCATCGAGTCGTAACGACTTAAAAGGTGGTAGGAGTAGAGATTTAATTGCCCTTCTTCGGGTTGCCAGCTTTCTTTGACTTGGGCGGGTTCTGACGTTTTCCGCCAGGATTCAATGAGACAATTGCAGGTGGAAGAACACGCTCACGCTTCTTTTCTTGACTTCGCTTGAAAGTGGTCACTTCATGAGTGGTCTTCTTAGAAGTTGTCGAAGCTTCGTCGTCCTCTACCTCAATGTCATCATCGTCCTCGTCATCATCATGGCCATCGTCTGATGACCTAGAGCTGAAGTTGTCTGAATCCGAAGCTGCTCCATATTCATCATCTTCATTATCGCTAACCAGACTAGGCGCTTGATGTGATTCTACCGTAACGGGACTGAGGTTGTCATCCATATGAATCAAACCACCGGATTCTTCAAGCTGCAGCGCACTTGGCAAGAAAGCCTGAGGATACTGCACAGATGCAGACACTTTCGAAGGAGTAGAATCTAAGGCCTGTGAGGTCTCATGCCGCTTGCTACTGGTCGGTCGTTGGCTGGCGCTAGCCTGCGGCATGGTTGTGCGTGCAGGTAACCTTGCGCCTGGACTAACCTTTGTACCCTCAGAATCACCCTCATCATCGGATTCGCCCTCCGACATGAACTCGCTCAAGTCTACTGGCGTCTTGGCATCAGCGACGATTTCATCCAGATTCAGCTTCGAGCCAAGGTCGGACAGTAAACAAGAAAGATGAGGCGTAGCAGGTGAAGCTTTGAATGGCGAGGATGGAGTCCGGGTGTGGTTCTTCTTTGGCTTCGCCACCTTCGAAACAGGTGTCGCAATGGGTAGCGGAGTGGGCGTCACAGTATGTGCTGTTCGAACCAGAGGATGCACAGACCCGGGGTTAGAAACGATAGGTGGTTCATTCGGCGTAGTACCACCACCACTACCACCACCACCACCACCGATAATAGCTCCAGCTTCGTCGACATCAACCGGCTCTCCACATGCTTCAGCAGCGGCATCATGACTAGCAAAGGTGCGGCTATGTGCGATACGGCAGTGGTTGATAAATCCCTGAGTGCTGGAGAAATCGAACCTTCGGCAGTCCAGACAAACAAGTTTCACTTGTTTGTTATCGCTCTTCCGCTTAATGACCATCGGACCAGCTTTCTCTTTGACCACAGGATAGCCATTCGGTAGTGACTGCAGCCTAGTGCTCATACTGCCACGCTGAGCCCGGGATTTTCCTGCCACGTAGCCATTTTCGGTGAATGTTCCACGGGTGTACCGTGATGACTCCGAGGCCGTGTTTGGAGTAGGAGGCAAATCGGGGGATTCGCCGCCATCAAAACGTGGATCGGGCAGCAACCATTTAGAATAGTGTCGAGAATAAGGGCCGTCAGCCACACCCCAGGGTGCAGGCGAAACGGGTGGCGGACCTGTTCCTGAATAGGGGACTGCATGCCCTGAACCATCACTCACCGCCTGCGAGAGACCTTGAACGCTTGATCCGGGATAGGGTATCTCTGCACATCGACGCAGCTGTTCCAAGGCCACCTGGCATTTCGCAATCTCCTGGTCGATAAGACGCAGCTCGTTATGCTTTAAAAGAACCTCCAAACTCAGCTGAGCATCCAACGACTGGCGCAAAGCATTCATATCTATGGTCGCCGCCGCCTTGGAAGGATTCTCTTTTTCGTGAATATCGCTTTGCGAGGAAGTAGACATTGGTTCGATGCTGGTCTTTATAGGAGCGGACGACGCCGAGTCCGGGCTGGCTTCGTCATGACTGGGCGGCGTCGGCAGGCTAGCGGTATTGATCCCATTTAATTCAGTCAGAGGTAATTGATTGGACGATTCGAGACGACGTTTCGCGTGAGGTTCATCAATGACGGTGAAAATCTCGTGGTTGTCGGTTCGTTTCCGTTTGAGCAACTGAAGAGGTGCGCTCCCCATGGCGGGCGACTTATGCGGAGCGGTGCTAACTAGCATCTCGGGCGCGATCTTATTAACCCCCAAGCTCGAGGTCCAAGGAAGCAAGCGGAAGACGCCATGCGACAACGCCATCTGGTGGGATGCAAATTCAGATAACGTAGGCGGCGGCTTGGCCCACGCAGATGAAGAACTTTAAGTTGTATTAGTATGAGTGACTAAAAGGCCCATCAGGTTTAGTCAGCGCTGAGGTTAAGGTCGCGACGTTGATGGATAAAGTGATTAGGCTGACTGTTGATAACTTTAGCGGCAGCGACCAGCACTCCAGTCAACAGTTGAAGAATTAAACTCGGATGGTGAGAAAAGAATAGCAAGAAAAATCACGTAAGCGCGACCGTTGAGAGACAAAGATATTGTACAAACGGAGGGTAGCGATGCAAAATGAAGGCGGCTGCTGCTGCTTCACGTGCGACGGAAGGAAGAGATTCAGGGTTGAGCTGGATTTCAGACCGGGACGGCACGGAATAGTAGGTGTTGGGCGTATGGATGCCCAGCGAACGAACAGTGGGTGGACGACTGGAATGAGGATGAGAAAACGTCCGGCCTGGGACAGTCTTCGTTGTTGGCGAGAGTGAAATGGGGAGAATGATCGGTTGTGAAAGTAGAGAAGAAGACAGTTGTCTGGGAAGGAGGAGGAAGGAAGGCGAGAAAGTAAGGGGAAAGCAAGAAGCACGGACGCGAGTTGGGGAAGGATCGGTATGTTCTGGAATAGACTAGGCTTAGTTTGCTAAGAATAAACACTAGGCTATTGCCACGGCCCACTCAGTATGGAGATGTGATACGTACACACTACGTCGACTGTTTCTGTTATCGACTGATGTTGATTGTTGATTGATGATATAACAGAATGCACTCAGAATTCTCAAGTATGCGAATGTTGTTTACGAAGCGATCGCAGGAATGTATCAAGCAGTCAGTCAGCTTGTCAAGGGGAAAGGGGAAGGGGGAAAGGGAGGAAAGGGAGGAAACGGAGAATATGGAGGAGTCATAGGAGACAAAGAGGAGACGCTTTACTCGAGTATGGGCCCTGTCTTGTCGTCACACATAATCCAGGGATACACTTAACAGTCCAAATACAAAGAAAAAAGAATGCACCGTATTTGCAAGGTATTACTACTACATTGGGGCTTAGCGGCATCCGATTGATCAGCTAAGCCCCGGTCTGGTGCATCGCATGCCGCGATTGGCTGGCCATTCTTGCCTCAGAAATGTTCCGCCGGTAGCATCCTGGCGTGTTCCGGCGAGTCGATAACGCAATGACCATGCTTTGATTGGCTTGATTCTTTGAGCTATATACACATCTGCTGCATATGATACAAAAGCATACAACCGACGGCTAATAAACAATACAAAATCCTCTGTAGATGGAGACCCCTACATCAAACACTTCTTATTCTGTGAGACAGTCGACAAAATATCGGAGTCCATTTGATGATGCAAGGCATCGAATGGACGGGTCCAATGCACGTCTCAGATCTGAGGGGTGGAGCACCAGGCGTCATCATCGGCAAGCATCACTCCAGCTACACTATCATGCCATTCCTATTTGAGATTTGAGAGATACACGACTTGTAAGGTGTAAGTTGTCTAAGAGCCGTATGATATGAGTCTAGAATAAGAGTGCGGAAGCATGTATACGAGATTACAGATACACGACTTCCTAGTACGGGATACAGCGAGTTGTGTGTGTGTGGGTGTGTGGATCAAGTCACTGATAGCAATCCTGCTGCCTGGTTCAACTCTAGTCCCATCTCCATCAGACACCACTATCGCCCGTTGATTGGTGCTACTGTCTGTTACATGACGGATCTGATACATGGCACATACTCTGTAGTATACTTTCACTCAATTACGCTTCTTGGTTTTAGCATGATTATTGATCATGTATTACTCTGAGTCTCTGAGTAATTCACACAACCATATGTAGATTGTAGCCAATGGCGTTTGCCTACGGCTATGTGAGTCCCGAATCAGGGCATGCTGAGCATATGTTGTTCTTGGCTGAAATGCATGATTGTCCGACTACGTTTCAGGTAAGCGTGCTTGATAACCGTTATCCTCCGCTTGCTATCCACTACATAGTAAGTCAGCGATTCAACATTTGATAACTGACTATCTAGCAGCCAATCACATGCAACAGCCCTTGAAACATCGAATCCTCATCACATTGCGATAGAACCATGGAATAATATGTGAAACAATTCATCGAGTGCCGCCCATGTAATGGCCGTAGTATAGGGCATATTATTAGGGCACCTATCTGCCGGCCCACTGGGTCATCTGATAGCACGAGTCATGCCGGATAAGCAGTTAAACAATCCGTCTATCAAGTATCACAACCATGGTAGCTAGCATTGAAAGGATCATGTGATCGTAACCATTTATGGTGCTATAACATCTGAGCTGACTATCCACAAAACGACGTCACCTGTACAAAAGGAAAAAAAAATAAAAATAAAAAAATAGACAGATAAACAGATATGAATATCCAGTCAAGAAATAGCATCTAGCAAATTTGCACTCAAATCGAACCAACAAACTCCTGCTTGACTTTTGTACACTGTCTCGACCTTGCCCTTTGACTTCTGTACATGTACACATTCGATATAAACTGCCCGGAAATCCGCCATACCCGAAGCTGGGTGACTAAGCTCTATTCGCCTCACGAATCCTCAAAACAAAATTGACAATAACAGCAGCCAACAGCGCAACCGCAAGCAACGAGGGACCAAATCGGTCGTCGAATCCACTCTGCCCCCGTTTCCGTATACTCTGTGCCCGCCAGTGGAAAGTGAATAATGCATAAACCATGGCTGCCATGGCGATGATAGTGAACAGACCGGCGGAGATGCGGCCGACGCGATCACCGAAGTTGAGTAGACCGATGGCGAGACCGCCGAGGATGACGGTGAAGTTGAGCCATGAGAGGAAGGTTCGTTCGTTGGCGAAGAAGACTTTGGGCTCGACGCGGGTGGGGAGAGCGATTCTTTTGCCTGTGCAAGTTCGTTAGTCGCGATAGAGTTCCCTTCAATGGCTCTTCAATCTCAAGTGGTATGAAAAGAGAAAGACGAACCCGGGACTGTCTGAAGAAGAGGTTGCGACGACATGGTGGATGGGTGTTAAAAGCTGCCGTTCTCTGTATCAGCGGTTGTTCGATGAGGCGATAAGACCAATGACAGGCAAAGACCGACTTTTTTCTTTCTACTCAAAAGAGCCAAAGCGAACAGTATGAATAACAATGATCCTGACCCTGAGCAAGCAATCCAATACCGTCAATCGTCAAAGGTCGAATTGACTTCTGCTTTGCCAGAGAATTACGTAGCCCCGCTCGCAGCAAGCAACAGAGCATTCCGGCCATTCACGTGCTTCGAGGCGCGGTCGTTATTGGAATAGAGCAGACGACAGCCGGAAAAACTAATGATCCATGCGCTATACTATGTCCGGTATAGGCAGTCTCGGGGATTGGCCAGGGTAAGCCGAACAGGTAATTAACTCCGACATTGGCAGTGCACTATTCTAAAAACAGGCTAGATTGTTCTACATCCGACTTCGGTTGGAGCAACGGACGAATGACGATGGCGATAAGCTGGCACTGCAGTTCCCATTATTTCTGTTATGACTACACTCGCTACGTAGACTTGGTGCGACACGAGACTCATACAGTCTTACTCCAGGTTTCTCCTACACAACTCATCATACGCTACACACACAATACTGCCATCTTCAGCTTCAAAAACATAATCAATCTATAAGGGTATGTTCAATCATCGACTCCGCACGGACGGAGCAAGCACCGCCTAGTACTCCTCGTCTCCCGTCTTTCTTCTACCTTCTCTTGTGGCTCACGCTACTCCGGACAAACATCCCCCGCAAAAATCGCCCTTGTTCACCTCAACTAATCATCAAGTCGGCAATAATACAGTGCTGATCATACAACAGACCATTTCGCTTCGCCAATAAACCTTCCTTTCGACAAGTATCAAAGCGGAAACCTTCAAAATGGCAGTCGAGCCCACGCCTACTTCATCATTTGTATGTTGCGCCACGCGTCTTTTGATTACAGCTGGAGCTTATAGAGTAACTACTCTATACTCTGCTGGTTTCTTAGTGCAGAATACTGATTGATTCGCGCCGTGCAGCCCCTTCCTCCTTCAGAGCTCTCAAAGATTGCGACCGAGGTTCGTTCATTGGCAATTTCTTTATTTCGGAAAGCGCGGTTACAAAGCGTAGACTATGCATTTTGTTCGACGTGAACAATTCCATTCTGCGAATACTGCGAACTTGAGTCCTGAAGCGGAATTAAAACTAATATATCATTACATGAATAGGCATGCGACGGCGCTCTGTCAAAGGCATCTGGATACGACCACACGCAGGTCGCAACGTGGAATTCCACCATCATTGTACGTTGCCCAAGGTCAATAACAGAAAGAGACTGAAAAGGGAAGTCAGGTTAACGCATGGATTTGTTGCAATAGAACTCCGTCCTCAAAGCGCTCATCGCAGCCACAACCCCCGAACAATCATCCACCACCACCACCACCACCTCTACACCGACAACCACTCCCACAACACCCCCCTACCGCTTCACCGTAAACAGCACCATTGTCCAACAAGGCGTAATCGACAAAGCCGCAGCCGGAAGTTCCGGCGAAATCGGTAAGCGGGGTATGCACTCGGCTTCCGGCGCGTATTGGGATGTGAATCGGGATGGTATGTGGACGTTCAAATACCCCGGTGCTGAGGAGAGGGGGTTGGATGTTGTGGTTAGCGTGACTTGGTTTGCGATGGGTTAAATGATTTACATATCTCTGACAGCGGAGACGAGAAAATAGTTGTGGAAAAAGAGGGACGGACAACGCCAAGGAAATGAAGACAAGGAGAGATTGAGAATGGGCTTGGGGAAAGGAACGAATACAACGGCATACACTACAACACCGCCATCGCCTTCTGAGATTGGAGGTCGAACGAAGTTGTACGTGTTCGCGACAATCACAAAGGACAACAACACAACACCAGATTGATACAAGCTATCCCCGTCAAGATGGATATATTCACCTGCTGCCCCATGAATGTATTATCAACATTTATCCGTGTGTAAGGGAGAGGAGGGAGTGAGCACCGAAGAGATTTGATACTCTTATTATCTGATTAATGGCGGTATGATATCCGATTCTTACCTTTTACCTATGTACTGCTAGTTGTTGGCCGTGGTTTGCTTTAGTTGACTAATGTTATGTTTTCTGCGATTTTTCTTCTCTTTCCTTTCTTCTTGTTTATATTTAATTGTTTCTTTAGGGCAATTCTATATTCCGGACTCTTCACTCATTCCAGTAGTATTCTTAATCCTTCATAAATCGTGATATTAATTCCTATATATCCACAGTTCCGCATCATACAACAAAGCAAACTCGGATACGCCATACTCCATGCTAATGCCAACCCAGCAGATCAAATAAACAACCCACAACCAAGCAATCGGGGGGAAAGTCTAACGAGGCTCCGAATAATCATTCAAAGCAACACAAACCGCGCCCCGATGATGTCCACTATACTGCCTAATGATCGTCCCCGAAGCCAACTCCCATAGTCGCGCGTAATGATCGCTTGACACAGTAACCAAATACGCCGAATCGGCCGAGAAGGCACAGTCCCATACCCAGCGTTGATGGCCTGATAATGTGGTTTCTAGGAATGGGGTGCCGGTTGATGGGTCGATAGGTGGTCCGTCGGGTTGTGTGGGGAATGGGTTTGGTTGTTGCTGTTGTTGTTGTTGGTTTTGAATAGAAGGGAGGAGGGTGAGGTTGTGGTTGCTGCTGACCATGCTAAAGTCGCTGGCTGCTTGGTCGGTGGATGTGCTTCGTGAGGGTTGTGGTTGAGGGCTGGCGGTGACGCCGTTGCTTGATACTCCGTTAGAAGGAGGGTTGGGCGATGGAGTAGCTGCTCCGTTGGTGTTTGTGGTGTTGGTATTGGAGGGACGAGAAGCGGCTGCCTCTGCTGCGGCAGCTACGGCAGGAGGATAGGCTTGGTCCAGATTCCAGATTTTGGCTGTATGATCTGCTGAACAGGTTGCCAGGTGTTTGACATCTGGCGATAGTAATACTCGTGTAAGATAGTCTCTGTGAGCTTGGAACATTGCAATAGGTACAATGCGAGTCACTTCGGTGTCTTGAATCATGCGCCAGATATACACGTTGCCCTATAACATATCAGCTGCCACTCAACAAGCATGATTTTGGGATTGGAGAGGATACCCTTTTGTTACCAGCACACAACAACGAACCATCACTCGCAACACTCACACTAGACACAGCAACATCATCCTCCGGAATCAATTGATGCGTACACACGCTTTCGCCCAAATCCCAAACCCTCACCGTCCCCGCACGATCACCACTAATCAATTCCCCCTGATTCGGATGTATAACCACATCATTTACGGGAGCCTTGTGCACATAGTTTCGCTGCAAACTACCCGATCGCGTATCCCAGACTTTAACAGTGCCGTCCTCCGAACTGGTAACCATCCATTTCCCTTCGCAGTGGAATGCCACTCCCGTGATATTATTTGTGTGTCCTTCAAATGTCATTACGGGATTCGGGTTGGAGGATTTGATATCGAAGAGTTTGACATTTGTGTGGCCTGCCGCGGCGAGGTAGCGTTTGTCGGGGGTGATGCAGAGACGGTTGACTTGGGAATCGGGGTGTTGAAGGGTGCGAGAACAAATTCCTGAAAGGGCTTCCCAGAATCTTGGGTCTGCGTTAGTTGTCATACTCGCGACTCGGAGGAGTGGGAAGGAAGATATACCGGATGGTATGGTCATACCCCGCTGCAATAAAGTTAGCTACGATATTGACACGACAATCGCCGGTAGGAACTAACCTGTACAGAGAATAACGCTCATGATTTCTGTGCTGTCTATAAGAGCTAACAACAATTGACTGTACGGTGCGTTGAAAGTTGATATTTTCAAGATCAAGCGCTTCGTCGGGCCAGCTCAGAGCCTCAAGCTGAATGCACGCACTAGTCCCAATGTAGACTAGTCATTTTACGTCTATAGTTATATTTTCTCAACAACTACACGGATCTTGTATAAATTTTGTGTTTTATCACATGCACATTAATATATATGCTAGGATGTATGTAAACATTGACTCGAATGTTGTGGTGGACTGTCGTTAGGCTCGTTATAAACATCTATATCTATATCGTTATCTAACTAAAACCAAATACTATTCCCTCTCTATATACTCCATACTGAATATAAATCAAGTCGAACGCTTCCCCCATCGAAACCGTCTCCTAGTAGAAGGATCCGACTCACTACCCCCAGAACTCAAACTCTGCTCTTTCCGACGCGAGGCCTGTGCCTTGAGCTGTTTACGAGCCTTTCGTCCACCGCAACAAGCGCAACAGCACGATGCCACCTGGATAATAAATCCAAGCAATGTCAATCCGGACGCTGTCCACATAAAGGCCAACATAGGCTTTCCTAAATATGCCTTGATATTCAAATCGGCGGTATTGTTCATGAAGACATTGGCGAATATAGTGAACATGACGGTCGCAACGACCGAGGCTACGATGGTGAATAGTGCTATTATAAATGTGAAGATGGCCATTGGTAGAGCCCGGAAAAGGATGAATGTTGGTCGGCGGTGAGGGTGGACGGCTTCATTGACATGTTCGTCTGGGGAGATTGACTGTGGAGGTCGGTTGGATGTTGCGAAGGGCGCGAGGAAAATGGCAATAAATGACAGGACTGTTGCGGTGATGAATAGGGAGAACATCCAGTGGGATGCAACTCGGGCGATTTTCAGAGCATCTGTGATTTCGGTCGGAAGAGCGACTGAGAATAGTCAGTTGATTGACTCGTAATACAACCCTGGAAGTACGTACTTGTAGCACCAGCAAGAAGCTCATTCAACAAAATCGACACCGGATCAAACCAGTACAACGTTTCCGGGTTTGAACAATGCGTGATACCGGTATCATCATATCCCTCACAATAATTCCAAAGTCCGACCTGATAGAAGTCATGCAGACCGAGGGAACGAGCGATGCTGTTAATAAACACTGCGTTCGGGATCGATTGCGGTATGACATTTGTCGTATCGAGTTTGAGGAAATATGTTTCGCGAAGCACGGATTTATTGGAGACGTTTCCGATCACTACCAGCAGGAGAAAGACGAAGGCGAGGAGGTAGATGAGTGAACGTAGGAGTCGGTGCCAGACGACGGTTGAATGCCGCCTGGAGCTGTGAATGCGCTTTTCTTCGGAGGCCATTATATTTTTCCTCACTCGAGGTTGACGACTGCTAGTAGGTGGCTAGCAGTACCGACTCAGCGGTAAGGTCAATAATCTGTTTAAACAGAATAGTTGCCTCTATCGAGAATATCGATTTAGCTCAAAAAGATTTGAGTAAATAAAAGAAATAGAAATAGATAATTAATGACACACGAAGCGACGACAGCTAGGCAGCACCTGCTTGCCTGGCTGACTTAGGGTGACTAGGTACACCGTACACGACACAACTGATCATGCCCAAAATGAGCAGACTCATTGACAGCGCAAATACAGATCATCGCAGAAGAAGACCACCGTGATCGACACAACGACCATTAACTGAGGTAATCACTACGGAGATCGGCTGATAGACCAGCTAGTGGCGGTTGTGGCTTACCGATTAGCAGCCGCTAAGACCGCTAGGGCCTCGTAGGGGGTCTAGGGGCAGTTTTAGGATTTATTTTAGGGCATCTAGGCGCCTCGTTCAGATCGCTGGGTCGCTAATTAGGGAGCTATTGGTTCTGGGAGGCCCACTGATGACGTTCAGAGGACCCAGTATGAGGGGCTCGGCAGTCTCACCTTGCGTAAGCTGTGGCTTTGAGTGTACTCATACGAACCTACAAAGTACGTAAAGACAGGACGAAAAAGACGACGGCCGACACGTCATGTGGTAACTAGATATAACTGAGAATCCGTAAAAGACTTAGAAGAGCGTATTCGTAGTAGTTAGTTGTACGATAGTCGCCTGAGAGAATCTGGTGACTCCGCCTCTAGCCAATTACCACGCGGGAGATTAAGGTGTCATGTCGGCCCAGACCCAGAGGAGTTTCTCCCACGGTTCCCCCTTCAATTGTATCTTTTCCAACTATCGACCTTGAATTTGTTGACAACTTCTGTCAAAGTGAAAATGCGCTCGCTATGGATAGTAGCGACCTTGCTTACAGGGGCACTAGCCTCAACTACAACGACCGCTTCAACGACAACGAGTTCCGCTACGGATACGGCTGCTATTGTAACTCTATCCGGCACCGTTGACCCCCTCAGCCTCGAGGGAGCCACTGGATCAGTCACATATCCCTCAGTTACAACGACAATTACCTTGTCTACGCCCAAGGATTCAAAAACGAGTACTGGAACAGGCACGCGATCTGGGAATGTGACTGATGCATACACCACGACCTCGGGGACGGTCACCATGCTGGTGGGCAGTCAAGGGACATCCACTCTGGCTCCGAATGCTACGGCCCTGAGGAATAGTACGGCAACGACTTCGACGACTCCATTGCCAACGAACACACAGCCGTGCAATGGTTATGTCGAGTTTTGTGCGCGCAATTACTCCAACATCACATATGTCGCGGCGCATAATAGTCCTTTTGATAGAAAGGGCAATATTGCTTCGAATCAGCAATACTCGGTTACTACCCAATTAAACGATGGCATCCGCATGTGTACGTTCCTTGAAGCTCGGAATCGTTAATAGACAACTGACTAGCCATAGTACAATTCCAAGCGCACCTCCAAAACGGAACAATACGCCTGTGTCATACCTCCTGCGACTTGCTAAATGTCGGCCCCCTAGAAGAGTACTTGACAACAGTCACTCGATGGCTAAACAATAACCCCTACGAAGTCATTACCATCTTGATGGGAAACTACGACCTGGTAGGCGTGGGCAATTTTACAGCTCCAATCATCAATTCCGGCCTGTCGAGATATGTATATACACCACCAAAGATTCCCATGAGTCTAAATGATTGGCCGGTACTGTCAGAATTGATTCTCACGCAGAAGCGAGTTATCATCTTCATGGACTATAATGCGAACCAGACCGAGGTTCCATACATCTTGGATGAATTCACGCAAATGTGGGAGACGCCGTTCTCCCCTACTGATCCGGCCTTTCCGTGTACGGTACAGAGGCCGCCGAATCTGTCTCCAGAGAGTGCCAAGCAGATCCTGTATATGGCTAACCACAACTTGAACGTGGAAATCTCCTTTTCTGGATTGGATCTGTTAATTCCGAATACGGCGGTGTTGAATGAGACGAACGGGGTGTCTGGATATCGCAGTTTAGGGTTGATGGCAAATAGTTGCACGAGTAAGTTTTCCTTCACACTAGAAAAAAGGGAGCTATACTAACATGTCTGATAGCAACCTGGGGCAGACCTCCAAATTTCCTTCTGGTTGACTACTACAATGAGGGTAGTTCTCCAGGATCAGTGTTTGAGGTGGCTGCTAATATGAACAATGTGACTTATAATGGTCATTGCTGTGGATCAAATACGTCTGGAGCCTTGAGACTACAAACTCCAGATGCAGTCTGGATGTTTGTCGTGGCTGCTCTCAGTGTCTTACTTTGCATGAACTAAGTACCTTCGTGTGACTTTCTGAGCGGGTTATTCTTTTCTAATAATGATGGAGTTTCGGTTAGTGGATAGAGGTTAAGGCGTGTTGCACTAATAATAAGATAGGCATTAATCTATGCTACCATATGACAAACTATTAAGATTGCGGAATATCCAGTGGATGATCTGATGCACTCAAATCGAAGACCTCTATCTCACCATATCTATCTCTTACTTATTCCCACTTACTGCCATCCTCCAAACCCGGAACTCGACTTGATGAGAACGATCAAGCCTCAGTACGCGCACCCTCAATCAACGCAGGCTCCTTCGCTGTCTCAGGCAAAGGATATCTCGCCTCACTAATCGCCAAATTCAACTTCTTATAATCCCACTTCCTAGTCATGACCACAAACAACGAACACGCTACAGGTCCCAAGAGGACATCCAAAACCCCAAAGAAGACAAATCCACCAGTAACACGAATCACATTCCCGCCGTCACTCAGTCCAAATGCAATTGGGTAGCAGATCCACAGTACATTCACAATAACTGAGAGAGTCATGTAATCCCGCACAATTCCCAGACGCTCGGCAGCTTCGCGACTTTCGTTGAGTGTGCTCATTGCTAGGATTATGTATGCAAAAGTCCCAAAGGTGAAGAATCCCCATTTATAGTCTGTGCTTACGAGGGCACAGACTAGGTATGTTAGAACCCAGTACCAGGCACAGAAGATGTTGAGGATGATGGTCGTCCATGATACGCCAGATAAAAGTCCCAAAGCCAAAGCCCAGGATGGGAAGAGGACGGCCCAGTTGATGTATCGAGCATAGAAGATTTGCCGGGTTGTGTTGCTGTCTTCGAGAGAGATCCAGCCGAGATCAGAGGCTTGAGCGAAGTAGGTTACGGAGCCTACGAGGAGGGTCATGGTGAGGAGGTAGTGGAAGACTCGGTCACTTTCGGGGGTGGTGAAACAGGGGATTAATGTGAAGAACTGTTTGATAGTTAACTTGGCGATCTATTCTTTTAGAAAAGGAAAGGCATACGAAAGCGACTATGTAGATTGCTGTAACGGCCCAGAGCCAGTCTGATCCATGTTGGGATAGGGCTTCTGTGACGCCGACTGGTGGATTGACATTTAGGGCGTCGTTGCCTCGGGGAAAGATTTCCATTATGTGGTCTCAATGAAGTGTTGTGATAGAGGAAAGAAATAAGTGAAAGGAACGGAGCAAGTTGGATACTGAACTGCATTGGTGCATAGTCAGAAGGGATCTATGGAGGAATATATACACTTTTGGTTCATCTGAGGGAAATAAATTCTTTTCTTAGGATTTGTAAGTACATACACCACCCTCCGTAAATTTCCTGACCATCCGCTCATTTTTTGATCCTCCGTTGTTCGTTGACCCTCCGTGATACCCCTTAAGCTGCCCTTAAGACTCGAAAACGAAGACATCGGAAATGATAACATTGATGATACCCTCAAAATCTCGAAAGGTAAATACAGAGCTTACTGAGACGTAATTGAGTATATAGATCTAATCCACAATCTGAGTCGGTGCCGGAAAGTCATAAACTAATAGATGAACGTGTTGGAGTGTGTGGACTGGCATAGCGGTTGGTGATCATTCCGACACTTCTCGCAGAGGCTGCAGACATTCTTTCTCAGTGAGCGGCCTTGCGTTATACTTATTCATCCAATCACCGAGAGTGCGAGAGGATAAGATGGAGTACGGATGACTTGGTCCTAACACTTTACTGCATAAGGCGGAGCATTTTCTCATAAGAGTCAAGGCATCCTGTATCTTCCCAAGAGACTTCTGAATGTAAGCAAGATTGCACATGCCAACTAGAATCCCAATGCTCGGCTCCTAATACTAATTTTAGCCATCTCCATTTCTTGCACTTGTAGCTCCTCAGCTTCGATCGTCCCACAATGAAAAAAATTTATGCAAGATTATTCATGCTAAGCAAAGTATCGGGATATATATCTCCCAGCATAGTTTTCCATATCTCTAGATCTCGCATGCCTAGCTTCTCAGCCTCATTCCATCGACCCTGATTTATGTAGGTTGTTGTTAGGTTATTGATGCTCTCCAGCGTGTGCGGATGCTTAATCCCTAGCGTTGCTTTTCGTTTCTCCAGCACTTGTATATTAAGTTTCTCAGCTTCATTCAAACGACCCCGACTTCGGTGGGTTGATGCCAGGGTTTGCCATGCTGGTTAAAGTATAGGATTCTCGGCACCCAATACTGCCTTTCTTGCCTCAATTACTTGCACAATAAGCTTCTTCAGCTTCGTTCTATCGACCCTGCCTCCAGTAAATTGATGCGACATTATCCATACAGGTCAGAGTGAGAGGATGCTCAACGCCTTGAACTGTCTTTAGTGTCTCCAATACTTGCAAACTTAACTTCTCAGCTTCACTTAATCAACCTTGGCTATAAAATGCCAACGCTAGGTTATTTATGCTAACAACAGTGTCAGGATGATCAGCTCTAAGTACTATCTTTCGTGTCTCCAATACTTGCACCTCACACAACCAACATGCCAACTCAACTGTTAGCTGCTTAGGAAACTATTATGAGATAAATTTCCTCAGTGGCACATTCCCAATCTTTCGACGACGAGATGAGACCATATATGAAAAGTGGAAAGGATGAAGGCACGGCTACAATGTAGCGAGTACAGTGAGGAGTCTGAGGACATCAAGGGGAAGACATCCTGAATCCGCTTAACCTAATTCTGCGCACCCTTCTCATTCAAGATCAGTCTCCAGGCAGGTACCGATTTCCCCCAGTCGAACCATCGAACGACATTCGAGGTCGGTAATGCAATCGTAAACGAGGACATCCCACGAACTCCACTGGGAGTCTTCAATTCTGGACCAAAAGTGGAATCACTGCGCCACAATGGGGCGCAAAAGTGGCTGTACCGAGATAACCTCCGATTAGGGCTGACAACCGAATGAGGCAATTTATACGGACTACTATTTCCTATTCAGGAAGTTTTCCTAGAAACACTTGATATGTAGATAGTATCCACGGCAGTTACAGTATCGCCCAATATCTCTGATGATGCAACTTTCAGTAATCCGAAAAGCTGGCGACTACCTACGCTGAGCACTCGCGGAGGTCTCACGGAGGGAAGGCCCTCAGTTGTATCGTCCATATATCAAGGCGCTGATCAGCCCGAGTTCCAACCGGCCTTTATCAGCATATCTCATAATGCGGAACTTAGGGTATGCGCCGCCTTAAACACAGAAAGCACTTAATACCTAACTAGTTACCGATAAATCATGATAGCTACCCTAGGATGCCGGCAAGTCTCCGTCGTAGCGGAGTGACTCATTCCGGTTCCCGGTGTCCTGGAAACTGAGTCCGGCGGTATGACTCGGCCGTGACCACGGTGGTGGAAGATGGACTGATGAAAAATAGTAGATAATGCTTGCGTGTCTAGCCATGTACCTCGCAATTACAAACAATAAGACGGATATGCAGGTTGAGCAGATCATCACCATGCTACCCTCAAAGTAGGTAATTACTATGGAGGACCAGTCCAGAGATTCTGGTATTATATAGAGAGTTCTATTGCCGCGTCCTTTTGACGGTGGAAATTGCCCAGCCAGGTGAAGTGTTATCATCTTTCCCATTTTCGCAAGATTGGTCAACAAGTGTATACACTCCCGTTCAAGGTACCTCCGCTCATTGCTTGTCTCGTTTTGAGAACTGGTCTGAACTATTGGCTTTCACTGGAATAGTTGCAAGATCCCACTTTGCTGCACTTTGATTCATACGTCAATAACAGGTGGGTCGAAGCCCATTCTAAGCAGAGGTTCGAAATTACCGGTATGAGGCCATTTTTGCATGTCGTATATCTAGTCCAACATTGACGAAGGCCCAGTACTGGTGTGACCTGGGCGAGCTGTCCCGATAATGGTCCAGATGAGTTGCCAGCAGTTGTAGAGCCTGCATACGCCTCATTCGTTGAATACCGCAAACTGACACCACGACAACGAGCGCAGCTGTTAATGAGATGGTGCACCCAGATGTGCGAAGCTCGCGAAGATCTTGCACAACTCCTTACTCATGAAACAGCTAAGCCGCTTGCAGAGTCTTATGCAGAGCTGGATGTCTCTGCCAGCTCTATCTGGTGGTTTTCAGGCGAAGCCCACCGCATCCAAGGCGACTGTGTTCTTGGCAGCGGCTCCCGGATGCCGCATCTTCACGATCAAGCAACTCATTGGCGTGGCTATCGCATTGGTCCCTTGGAATTTCCCCGTTGCGATGGTGCTCCGTACAGCTGGGGCGGCCCTGGCCGCGGGATGCACCTTACTCGTCAAGCCAAGTCCTGAAACGCCAATCACGGTGTTAGCTCTTGCACATCTGGCCGAGAAAGTAAGATTTGGTCCCGGAGTCTGCAATGTCCTTACCACGGGGTTAAATAACACCCCTGCACTTAGTGAGACACTCTGAGAACACGAATTAGTCAAAAAAGTCTCTTTCACGGGCTCGACAAGGGTGAGCAGGTTGATTGTGGCCCAATGCTCACAAGGACTGAAAATGTCACCCTTGAGCTTGGTGGAAACTGCCCCTTTATAATCTTTGATGACGTGAATTTTGACCAAGCGATCAGTCAACTGACCGTGTTGAAGTGGCGTCATGCCGGACAGGTGTGCATTACAGCCAACCAGATCTTTGTTAAAAGTGGGATCTATCAGAAGTTTACACAGATGCTCAAGGAGAGAGTCAGCAGTACTCTGGTTGTCGGCCATGGGCAGCTGCTGGTACGACGATGGGCGCTTTGGGAACTCCCCAAGCCGTCACGAAGGCGATACACCATATTGAAGACGCATCCAAGCAAGGCACCGAAGTTATTCTAGGAGGAAAGCCAATCACATCCGAAGCTATTTTTTCGAGCCGACCATCATCATTACTGACATAACGCCTGATATGCTTGTCTACCAGGAGGAATCGTTTGCTTCGATTGCATCACAATGTAAGTTTGAGACGAAGGAAGAAGCCATGGGGCTGGCGAATGATAGTAGTATGGGACTGGCGAGCTACGTCTTCACTCAAGACGTCAATCGCTTGTGGCGGATGTTCGAGAACCTAGAAGCTGGAATGGCCAGCCTCAATACGGGTAATCAGTCTGCTTCAGAGACTCCGTTCGGCGGTATCAAGCAATCAGGTTATGGCAAGGAGAGTGGTAAGAATGTTGCAGGCAATGAGTTTTTGGTCACCAAGAGCGCCACATTGACACTTGAAGGTCATTTCTGATGTAAAAAGTGAGAATGTGGACACATTTGCATTCTTCAGTGAGATATTTGAGAACTAGATGTATCAACAAGCGCTTCAAGGATATTGTATGGTGGTTTTTGAAATAGATCCATACATATATGAATCCTGTCTCATCATTAAAACATCTTCCAAATCACCCTTCAAGCATCTCCTGCCCGAGTGGAATCGGTCGCTAAGCCCATAGACCCTAATCCATTCCCACCCCCAAGCCCAAGGCTAGGAAAGAATCCTGGATCTGACATCGCAAGAAACTGGTCTAGCACCTGTGCCTCGGGGTGCATCGTTGAATTCGAAGTAGCCATGTCTCTCGCTCCGAAAAGCGCCAGCTCAGCGGGAGAATAGAAGGGTCGAAGTAGATTCAGGTTGGGGTCCCTGTCTGTAGGCACCGTAGGAGTAGTGCCATCTCTACTCTGATTTAGCACTCCCACCATGAGTCCCTGTTGAGGTTCACGATATGTAGTATGATTATCGAATGTTCGCGCTGATACCGTACGAGGAGGTGCTAACAGCTGGCTTGCATTGCTGTAGTCGCGAGATTCACCGTCGAATGTCCTACTGCTACCCTTTCGTACTGCCTCCCAATGCTTCAAGCTTTCGTAGCCTGAGACGGAAGTCATCTGGTCCGAAAATGTTGTCTCACCGTCTCTGTGTCGCTGCGGATTGAAGACGTGCAACCGAACAACGGCACGTTCAAGCATTTCAATCAGCCGAACTTCTGATCGGGCAGAGTCTCCTGATGTTGACATCTCACGGATCATATCTATCCCGTCTCGTAGATGTTGACGGGACTGGTTTGATTGATTCTGGATTGAGTATGCAATCAACACTAGCAGGGCAGCTCGACATGAGCTATACTCTATGTATGATGCTCTTGCTAGGCCCGGTTCATTGTACCTCAACGTTCTACATATATCGAGGACTTGCTTTGCAGACCCGATACAACAGTCCACGAGACCCTTCCGATCTGACTTCTGCTTCTGGATACGTTCTGTCGGCGACCTTCTTTCACGACCGTCTTCCGAACAGGTATGCTCTGGTGAAGATTCGACGCGACTGAGAAGAAATGGACGCCCAAGAAACATACGTAACAAGCAATATTCAAGCTGAACATGCATTGCTGACCTGAATTCGGTGCTTGACTGGGATCTGCCGTCGAGCACTTCACTTGGGAGCATCGCCCACCACTCTTCTAACTCATTCTTCTTCATCATCAAGTGAGAGAAGATCTTATACAGGTTCTGCTTTTGACAGTTTCGTAACTGAGACCTATAGTCACCAGAGTATCAGTTTCGCAGTGTCTAGGTTCAGGCCATAGTGAGAGGAAAGTTGGAACCATGATGCCATTTACATTTCGTGAAAGAAATCTTCTAGCCATTGGGTAAGGCTAATAGAGACAGCCATATAGCTGAAGGTTGGAGCATGGGTGATATCCTTCCAGTCCTTCGGTAACTGAGTATCAATATCAGATCGCCACATTGCAAGTGGTCGACCATGGAAGATGGATATTTTCCTGTAAGCATAGTATTGTAAACTTTATTCTCCTTTCCACGATTTTGATACTGCCAGCATACCTCTCTAGCACATACGTGGTCCACCAGACCCGGTTTCTAGTCTCAACCATGGCAGCACCCAACTCGTCACCGGTGTACTTCCTATGCATACCATTTTGCATCGCCAACCTAATAGTAATGTTGATATAAATATAACCAAGACCCCCAGCGTCAATTGGAAGTGAATACGCGGCAAAGAGTAGACAAGCTTGAACGCTTTCCAAGGAAGACGACTCAATGATCTCGGGTAGAAATCTGATTGCCTCCCGGTAGAACAAGGCACCAAGCTCGTCTTCCGAAAATACCGATCCTGTATTGCTTTCTGCCGTCTTACGACCTGGTGAATCAAGGTAGGCATACTGGGTTCCAATTGCAAGGATAGTAAGAATGATGCTGATTACTGCGACATCTTTCATACCAAATTGCCAGGGATACGTATATAGCGCGTCGACTTTTCTGAGTAGCCATGCCTTTTCGACATAAAAGTGGTGTGTTTCGGCGTACGTGAAGAATATACTTATCAAAAAGTCCGCTACTTGACGTGGTGGAAGACAAGAAAGTGCGACGGAGATAGTATTTGAGGCAGGGAGCAAGTGTTTGGCACGCCAGTAATTCCAGTCTTGGTCTTGAGCCCCGGTTCTCTTGTTCGACAGACGGATGTCAGCTTCGTGATACCTACATACAGGGGTTTAACTTATCAGCGCGTACCTCGGTAATTGAACCAGCAATCCGGTCCTCAATCACGCTTTTAAGTCGCATAGAAAAATTGAAGTAAGAAAACTCTCCAGAGTAATCTATAACCAGTCAGCTACTCCTACTAGCATGGAATTCAATTGAGCGGAACTAACGAGTAGTAGTGTCCTCGATGGGAAAGATCGTACAGACTTCGTCTTCAATTGAGAGTTGCGCCTCATCTGATAAGGAGGCTGTATCGACCTCATCATCTTCCGATTCAGCAATGGCATTGGCGAGACTAGCCAAGCTCCTCGTATCCAAAGAAGCTACACCGAGCTGGCGTTTTAGTATCCGTTCCATGTATGCCATCCGCTCTAGCATTTCTGCGGTATTGGCAATTTCACAATCGGTTTGCATAGAGTCTTTGAACCGACAGATGCGCTTGAAACGAACACATCGTGTGCAGGGTACTCCACCTTCGCATTTTTCTTTCAATCTCCGACATTGATCGCAACTTGATTCCCGATAGAAGTCAATAAAATGTTACACGGTGATAATAGTAAGTACTTACGCCCGTGTGGCGCGTTTCTGTGGCGCATCTCTTGTGGTTCTCCGTCGTTTCCCTTTCGGCTGTGCTACGCTCTCTGAGGGAGTTGCTGGGTCCAGAAGAAATCCAGGGGGTGGAGAACTGGGAACATTGTTCATACCTGCAACTATAAGTATAAGGTAGTGCGGTATGCCTCATGAGATAGATTTGATGCCTCACTGGAGACCTAACCAAGCGTGAAATGACGATAAGTTGATGGCAAAGCTCTAGCAATCTTTGTTTTAACTTCCTGGGGGAATTGTGGATGAAGGGCGAGAATCAGACGTAGAGCGTGTCACAAGGATATAAAGCCTCGTGCGACCCTCTAAAAAAGATGCCAAAGATAAGGATATGTAGGTAAACTGTGCATATCTCTGAGTGGAGAGAGATAACAGAGAAATATATTCAGTCAGGTGCGGAGATAGAGTTAAAAGGGACGCAAATATAGACTAGAAATATGAATCATAATCAAAAACAGCTAAGTACAGTGTGCAGTTCTTTGATTCGCTTATTTAGCTCTTATTGAGACTTTTTAAGTCTCTCAGTGTTTGAAAATACGATCTAAACTTCAAATACGACCATCTTACACGCTAATATCGAGTTTATTACCCACTGTTCATCACTTTAAACTCATATCAGACCAATGATTCAGCGAGAGAACCCAACTATCTATGCGGGGTAAGAGCTAGAAAAACAGTGGTAAGTTCTACATTATCAGAGAGCACGCAAACGACCGCATCATAATGGAGTATCCAAGGTATACAGCCCGCCTAGGAAACTTGTCGCGGCGTGGGTGATCGTTGCGAAGAGGGATAGAATCGAGTACAGATGAGAAGGATGCCCTGCGGCAATCGAGAAAGCAACTACACCATTTCAGTACCTAGGCAATTGCAGATTTGCAGTTGCGGACATTGTAAATGAAGTCTCAGATAATAAGTGATCACCAACTGCGAACATGGCAAGTTTCAACGACTTTAATAAGGACGCTGTGTTCCATTACTCGAATCTTTACAGGAAGACGCAATACCAAGGCCGAGGCACCAATATGAAATGGCTACTCAACTAAGATTGATGATGAGGAATTGCAATATTTCTCGGCTGGCTTAGCGAAGTTCTTCATTCTCTACCGATATGTCCCTGAGATAAAGAACTAAGGTGAGACCGATGCGATCGCTTCTAATGAGCAGAACTTATAGCAGGTTGAAAAGTGAAACACAAATGGTAGTGTCCAGTTTCTGTCCTCCTGAGTTTTCCTCTGCAAGGTGAGTGTTTGAGTGACAGTTAGGAAGACTTAGGGCTAACTAGGGAAGCATCCGGGGTTATAATCACGACGAGCCCTAAGGATATAGCTACGTAGTTTCAAAAAGAATTCTTAGCAAGAAATCTTTTAAGTGAGTCAAATTTCCTATAATAAAAGCTTTGATATATCCCAGAGCGACCATTCCCACAGTTAGGATGGCTTACATATAACCCATGGATCATAATCATATCAGTGATTCCCCGTGCAGCAATTTGTTGATACATCATACAGCCGATTTCTAAAATTGAAACAGATTGTAGAACCATGTATCCGGATCCGTAAATTAACTAAGCTTCTGCAAGACTCGCTATCAATTTGTAGGTAGTGAGCGCTGAATTGGTCTCACTCCCTTAGGGTGGTCAACCCTTATCTCAGAGCTGCAGACCGGCGAAGAGTCCGATGATTCTGGCGGGGCTAACCTGGCACTAGCTTCCGCGCTAGGCTTCCAAACCCCCCCTAAAGGCCCGTAAGCCCCCACTAAAAACTGGGGTTTAGATAAGCATCTGACCCTAGCAAAGATAAGCTAAAGAGTACCTGCCCACCAGACAGACCGCCCGGAACGTCCCGGTCACTGTATTTATGGCTATTTGGGTAGTATCTAATCACCATTCTACCCCTCCTGGGACTCAGTCGGAAGACATTATCTTCACTGTGTGGACGGGTACAGGTTTCAGTTCGCCCACGTGACCATCGGATGATCCGCAACGTTGGCCCGGTTTTATCGTTTTATTGCCCAGGTGAGCAAAGCCCGACGGCATATATATGGACGGGAATGGAGGCATGCCGGTAATTTGATCTCAAATTTATCAACTGGCGCAGTGTTGTGCAATCTGGAATAGCCAAGATGGCCTCGAAACCCTTTCCTGTGGCCAACGGCCTCACGTCCTTTTGGCGTACTGAACCTAGCAGCTTGGATAACCACCGCTCTACTCAAGATCTCCCGGATCACAGTGACATAGTGGTGATTGGGGCGGGCTACGCTGGTGCATCCACCACATATCATATACTGGATCAATGTGACTCATCACCGAAGCCATCTATCGTGATATTGGAAGCCCGTCAGGCTTGCTCCGGTGCCACAGGACGCAATGGTCTGCACAATTATTTCCCTGTCGATTTGAGCCTTGACTAATTATGTAATTTCAGGTGGTCATATGAAACCTGACTTGTATAGTTCTATCGGTACACTCGCCGCTCGTTTTGGAGTTGAAGCTGCTGCTGAAGTCGCTGCTTTTGAGGCGAAACATGTGTCGGCTATCAAATCACTGATAGACCAAGAAGAGATCTCATGTGACCTTGAGATATCCAAGGCCATCGACGCACAGCTGGACGAGAGCCATAATGCAAAACTGCTCGCTGGATATAACGAACTCATTGCCGGTGGGTCGGAGGCGACCAAAGGCGCCGAGTACGTCTCTGGAAGGGAGGCAGAAACAGTAAGTTCGAAGTTTTAAGTTTACAGTGGCCGGTCCTGGCTTTTTACCACCCCTGACAAATTCTCATTCTAGTTTTCCGGAGTCAAAGGAGCCAAAGGAGCCTTTACATACCAAACCGGACGCCTCTGGCCGTACAAGTTGATCACGGAACTCCTGAGACGTGCCATCGCGAAAGGCGTCAACTTACAAACACATACTCCTGTCTTAAATGTGTCAAAGGTTCGCGATGCGGACGGTCATTGGACCGTTGAGACCCCTCGTGGTTCTATCAAAACGAAATATGTCGTTTTCGCAACCAATGCTTATACGTCTAGCATTGCTCCTGAATATCACGGCAAAATCATTCCATCCCGGGGCATATGCAGTCGGATTGTCGTACCAAGTCCACCAAAGCAACCTCTACAAGCTTCGTACTTGATTCGATTCAATAGTTGGCAATATGATTACTTGATTCCGCGCCCTGATGGCAGTATTATTGTTGGTGGTGCTAGGCCGACGTTTTTCCATGACCTGGAAAGCTGGTACGGCAACACGGACGATAGTAAGATGATTGAAGCCGCTTCTCATTATTTCGATAATTATATGCAACGTCATTTCCACGGTTGGGAAAGTACTGGAGCGTACACAGATCGCGTCTGGACAGGAAGTAAGTCCTGAAGCACCCTGTGTGGTTGTTGAAAATATCCACTGAGGCTGACATCTTTAAAAGTCATGGGCTACACTACGGATTCCTTGCCACATGTGGGCCAAGTGCCCCAAAAGCAGGGGCAATTCATTTTAGCTGGCTTCAACGGGCATGGTATGCCCCAGGTTTTCCTGTCGGCAAAGGGAATCGCAAATATGATCGTACGGGGTGTGGAGTTTGAAGATACTGGCGTACCAAGGCTATTCAAGACGACACAGGAAAGATTGGATAGCAAGGAGAATAGAATCTTGGATGCGCCATATGCTGCAGGGAAACCACGACCCAGATTATAGCCCTCCCACTATCCACCCCTGTTTGTGCAGCTGGCGGCGGTAATGGTGCCTACGATATATAACCTATCCTTTTTCATGGTTCTATGAGTCTACGGGTGGTGAGGCAAAGCGAACAATAGGCCAGCATACAAACATAAGTAGAATAAGGGGAGAAAAAGCATGGTTAGGAAAGATATACGTGTTGGCGAGCACAGCCCCCTTAATCTGTTCTCATGCATCAGATCTCCTGGCGTTTGAGGATCCATGGATATACTTTCTCGAACAGTATCATTAAATCGCGGTGCATTTCGTAGTACTTACGCCTTTCTAGCAATCCTATGGGCCCCCCTAAAATAAATCACACAAGCAGGCAAATGTCTCTCCGGGTATATACCTAGGTACCTACACATTTTGCCTACCTGAGGCGTTCCAACAGCAGGAGTTAGGGAGAGGCCGGCGTGACGATGCTGAAGGCTATACGGTGGATGAAAGTTCTGTAGCGAATAACCAAACTAAAGAATCTATGTATAGAGGTTACCTGATCGAAAAAAAAAAAAAAAAAAAAAAAAAATGATCAAGTGGAGTGACCGCCGGGATACTTGAGCGGCTTTCTTTCTCTCCCGGGTAGGTTCCGGTCGATGTACAATGAATTGCTCACCACTTTGCCGAAAATAACCCTCTTAAGCCTCTGATACAGATAAGGCTCTTCTATCAGAATACTGGACTGTATCTCAGGGTTGCCTCGACCTGCCTTTGCACAAGATAAAATATACTATTCCCTACCGTTATCCACGTTCGCTGAGGACTGGCTCTCATGTAACTCTCCACTTGCCTTGATCTCCTTAACTTACTATAACGAGCTGAACGTTCAACGACCGGTAATGGCGGACCCAAAAAAGTGTGAACTAACAGTTACTCTGGACCAAGAAGCCTCTAGAACTGAAGGAGGTGTTATTGAAACCCGCATCTGGGAAGATGAGGGATGGAAACGGGGGCTCTCGTCTCGTGCGGTCGTCATGTTGTCCCTTGGGGGTGGTATCGGCCTTGGTCTCTGGATTGGAACTGGTACTGCTTTGGAAAGTGGTGAGTACTATGAAGGATATAATTTCCGAGGTTGCATAATTGAGTTAGGTACAAGTTGCTAACGATATGACAAAGCTGGTCCTGCTGGCTGTATTATCGCCTACGGCTTGGTTGTGTGAGCATGTCCCATTTGATAATACCTTGCCTGTTTGGCGTCGTATCACTGACTGCTTTCTTATACAGGATCGCCATCTATATAGAATTTTTGTCGATCGGAGAGATGACATGCTATAAGCCCATACATGGTGGTTATATTCGCCAATGTATGGAATATGTCGACAAAGCTGCCGCATTCGCCATGGGAATGAACCTTTGGTTTGGCTGGGTTATGACAATCCCATCCGAAATTATCGCCTGCATTAATGTTCTTCAGTATTGGAAGAGCACGACACATTTTCCCATGGTTGGTTATATCTCTATTTTTGTGGCAGTGTCAGCTATTCCCAATCTCTTTGCTGTCCGCAAATATGGCTACGTTGAGATCTTCATGACTTCTATAAAGATATTTTCCATCATATCCACCATGATTTTCTTATTCTTGATGGCATCAGGGGCGTTACCGGCAACTCATGGGGCACTCGTATTCCATTACTGGAAGACTCCTGGTGGCTTCAACAACGGCTTCAAAGGGATTTGCAAGGCGATGCTCCAAGCGGCATTTAGCTGTCCTTCGGGTAAGATAAGCCTACTATACCTTCTGCATGATCCGTCGAGGAAATGTATATTCTGACGTTTGAAATGATAGCTGGCTGGGTAGCCGTGACTGCTGGTGAGATGAAGGACCCCCGGAGAACTGTAAAGCGGTCGGTCAACCCTCTATTCTGGCGCATGTTCATGTTCTATTGGGTGAACATTTGGTTGGTTGGAATGTGTGTCCCCTACAACAGCCCGAATCTGGCCAACAAAGGCACACTTGCAAGCCCGTTCATCATCGCCATTCGAGAAGGGGGAGCTCCAGCTTTTGCCGACCTCATAAATGCAATGATTTTAATTACAGTTCTTTCGGCATCTATCACATCTTTCTACGTGGCTAGCCGCTGCTTGACCCATATGTCTGATCTAAGTATAATTCATCATGCATTTGGAGCCAAAGATGCTGCAGGTCGGCCTTGGGTGTCCCTTCTTTGCAGTGGCATTTTGGGAGGTGGCTTGACCTATCTGAATCTCGACAGCACATCGAAGCAGGTGTACACTTGGTTCTCAAGTCTGGTAAGGCAAACTATTCGTGGTTGCATCCGTGATCCTATCAGATCGAGAAAACTAACCACCTCTTATAGGTAGGCGTTGCCACCTTTTGCAACTGGTTGCTCATCTATGTGTCTCATATCCGGTTCCGTGAAGGCCTCAAAGCCCAGAATATTGATCACAAAAGCCTTCCATTCCGATGCCGAGGAGCGCCATATGTACAATACTTCGGAGTTCTCCTCATCATATGCTTCTTGGGAGCGCAGCTATACTTCGCTATCTTCCCATTTACTGGCCATCCCAGTGCAAAGAATTTTTTCTCGGCGTACATTACTGTGCCACTATTCATTTTGGATTACTTCTTGTACAAGGTATGTCTATTTCCGGGCTTTTCCTCGTTATGAATGTGGAATAACTTAGGGTTACTTTCAGTTTTGGTTCAAAACCAAGATTGTAGCACCGAAAGAGATGGACTTTAGCCCAGCAGTGTACTTCGATGCTATTGACAGGGACGAGCAAGAAGAAGAGCGTGAGAATCCAAGCCCTAAGCCGACCATTGTTGAACGTATTTGGGCACTTCGGACGATCATAGTATAGCTCCCTGTGATGAGTCGTTCGGGCACTTGGCGAGGAAGGTTTCGTTTATGTTTTTTGAGAGAGCAGCGTTATGGATAGCTTATTTTAGAGCAAATTTACTTACAACTTCACAGCTTTGGATATGAGACCCGGATCTTCGAAGGAGAAGAGTCCTTAAGTCAGGAAAACAAGCCTACGCCCATTACGCATATAAATTTCCCCTAAGTAATTCTGAGTCGCCGAGAATTGGGAGATGTATGCTTAAGATTCTATTATTCAAGCTTATAGTGCGAATGCTATCATGCAAATTTATTCTAAGTACGTAGAGTTTTACTAGTATAGCTTTTGAAACTCGCATTAGATTGATTACTTTAGCCTTAAATTTTATATTGTTTACGAGCTTGCAAGTGTGTCGAGAACATTTGTAATTGCTATGTCAAGAGACCAATACGATTCAAGGTTCGATAAAAAAGCGTCCCTGGAGATATTCAATAATGGTACAAGACAATCCTCGAAAGATTCTCTGACAATTATGATGAGAAGCACCATCAAGAGTAAGTTGCGACGATCTTCTCAGCCACTGCAGGCAGAGAATCCGCGATAACTTCTACCTTGGTGTCGAATATCTCAAAACAAGGTTCTTTCTCATAGACAGTACAGTATGCCGCACGAAATCCTGCTTTAGCCGCTGCAGATGCATCCCACATGTGTGCAGCTGCGAACCATTTGTCATCATCAGCTCCAAATTGATCCAGTGCAAGTCGATATGCTCGAGGTGCTGGCTTCGCAACTCCCGTACCGTCACAGCTGATAAAGTTCTCTAATGGCAGATGGACACCCGCCCTCTCGAAATATCCCCGAACTCGTTGGGTATCTCCGGTGGTTAAGCACCAGACGGTGAATCCCGCGCGTTTTAGGGTATCAAAGCACTCCTGGGTACCCTGCCTTAACCGGAGAAGGGAGTAGCCCTCAATGCACTGGTCTCTCTCGGCGTCGGACGCAAAAGACCGCGGATCCTCGATACCTGCCATCCAAAGCGTACGATAAAAAGTAGCCTTTAGTACCTCCTTATAAGGTCGATAGCTTTCTGCAACGGACAAGAATGTATACTCCAATTCGGCCGCTGTCTGCCAACTGAACCCAAAGTGCTTGGTGTTGATGCAGTGGCTGCGAAGCCTTTCGCCAATAACGCTGTCGATACGGCCAGAATAGGCGTCGAACGAGACACAGGTGCCTACAACGTCGAAAACGACGTGTTTTTTGGCGGCCATGGTAGTTGACGTGCGACTGGCCTAACCAGCAGGTAGGACTTGAAAAGGGTTGTTTAGGGTTACTTATTACGTAGCAAGCGGGAATTCGAGTGGACTGTTTACACCTGATCCAAGATTGATATGGGAAAAAGGAACAAAGCGGAAAAAAAAAATCGTGGATGATTTTACGTGAATTAGAGCTTTGGGACGTGTCAGCGCTCAACCTGTGAAAAATGAGGAGAATGCTCCTCATGAAAAGCCGGAAGTACTTCCGGCGTCAAGTGGCAGCATCCGGCGGTTACTACTACCTACTCTTTGCCCACCATACACTCCGGTTATCAATCTAAGGTACTACAGCTCTTTGGGCTAAGGTGACTCTGCATTTAAAAGTGATCCTCTCTCATTTCTTTCCCAAGCAATAAGAGAAAACGAAGTGTACTGAGAAATCATCCAGTGAAAGAATTTAGCCCTAATCCCCGAAATGGTGCTTAGGGCACAATAGCTTCCAACCATATGACAGCTGTAGCTTATCCATCCACGCCATCCATATATAGCTAGCGTATAGTTAGATTATTGTGAAGCTGTGAACTGGAGTTCAGAGCACATACTCGAGCTAGTTTCATCTGAATACACCAAATTCGAGCAGGGTCGAGTATGGTTATAGTTAACCCTAAGTCCAGCTGCTATGATGGTGAAGGGGAATAGATCTTAGTATTTGATTGGTCAAAACTGATGTTAATCTGTAAAAGTTCCGATCGCCAATGAGAGTGTAGATAGGTCTTATCTCTTCCTGAGCTTGTTGATTTACGCTTTCATCACTGCATACATTTCAGGTACTTTTCCATTCAACATAAAACAGCAACGAGAAATTACCATGGCTTTTCCGTTGATCCTACCTAAGTAAGAGGCTCTTGTATCGATCAGTAGAAAATGCCCTTGGAAGCGCAATGTCTACGGAAACAAGAAGACGCCAAAACGGTCAACCACAGGCCTGCGAGCCATGTCGCAAGTCCAAGATTCGCTGTGACCACAAAAGCCCCAATTGTTCGCGCTGTGTCCTGCGCAATCTGAATTGTGTCTACCATCCTGCTCCTATGACCAAGCACAAGTCTTCATCCACGAATCACAATCCCGTACGCTTCGTGACCCCGCGTACTACCATCACGGCCCGTTCTTTCGGAACAGAGTCCTCATTGCCCTCTGTTGCAGATCCGGAAAGCTTGGAGCTTTCAGCTAGCTACGATGTAGTCGAGCGGAACCCACTATTTCAGAAGGAAGTTGATCGACACCAGACGACTCGATTCTCCGCAGTCTTCTTCGAGAACCAGGAGAGTTTTATCCCAGTAATCAGAAATGTGACGAATTCAAACTGTGAGACAGGTCGAGAGCCTGATATGACGGCCGGATCTCGCATGGAACTGGCCATCAACACCCTCATGACCTTTCCCACAGCTCGTACTTGTGACATGTTGATGACGGGTCTCCATCATATTTACGATATTTGGTTGTCCCCAACTATGATCCAGCAATGTCTAGAGCAGGTGTGGAGAGAGTACAGAAATTGTCTGGGCGTGCATCGAACACGGGAGTCAGTGTCAAAAATGGCAAATGATCTTTTTCTTAATGACAAAAAGCTTCATCCAATATCCAGCGAGAATTCTGATGCCAGTTTTGACCGCGCAGGTTGGGTGAACTGGTTTTCCGGCACCTACCTGCGGTGGGAAATGATCGGAATCCTGTTTAGCTGGGCTGGTATTGCTTTCAAACACAAACCGGAATGGGACTCAGTTTTTAAATTACCAGAGCAACAGACGCGAAATTGCAACGCTGCCGCAGACAAGATGAGAGAATGTGCCAATGCCTGTGTGAGACTTTGCGAATATCGTTTTGAAGTCAGTGATATCATGGTCATTTGCATGAAGAACAGTAGCAAATTGCAAAGTTTGATTATTAATGACGAGAGTAAGTCACAACTTCGGCTTTGAACGTGTTATGAATCTCATTTCGCCAATAGGTGATCGTATCCGAGTTGACTTTGGCACCGTGGGAAGTGCTTTCATAACAGCAGGGCTACATCGCCTGCCATCCCTTGACAAGGTCACGCCATTTTCCCAATACCGAGCATGTATCGCGTCGTCCATGTACTACCTAGACAAATGTGAGAGTTTGTTCAATGCGCGTCCACCTATGCTGAGTCGTCGTTACTGTCAATATCCACTTCCGCTCGATCTTTGCGAGGAGGATCTCTATGGAGGAAGAGAAAAACTGGCAGCTGCCTTGGCGAGGCTTGACTCGAATGGCTGGAACACAGATGGCCGAATCTATACGACAACATGGCTTAGAGCACTTTCGATGCTCAGTCCCATCAGAGAGGGAATATTGGAACTCTCACTGAGCGTGGTGGATATGCCGTTCACGAAATTAGAAGTGGAGTGAGTCGGTCTTTCTTCCAGAAATGGGTGTTTACTTCTCTCTGACTCTGATGACTTTTGCAGGAGTCTTATTATCCAATTGAGGCAGATAGTTGCTTCCTATCCTTCACACATCCAGTATCACCGTAACTCAGAATGGCCGTTGGAGCCAACCTTAGGTTTACATTCGCGAAGCGCTCACGAGATGTACATCATTACCCGTATACAGCTCGATGTATTGCAATGCCACTTCCTTCTACAGCGTCTTCTGGTCTCGCGGCAATTCAACAGCGGCCAGGAATTGTTTGATGTCGCTCAGGAGACGATATCTATCATCGTATCCCTTTGGCAGAATCGCGATCAATTACAAGAGCTTAGTTATGCTTTTAACTGGATTGTATGTTCGAGGAATGACTATTCCGGTGATTTTATGGATGCAACATTTGCTGATGTTTGTATAGACTGTATCATACGGAATGCCCTGTGCGGGAATTCTCTGTATTGAACTTCTCCGAGCGTGCAACCTTGCACCGCCTTCACCAGCAACAGATTCTTCGATGACAGCAGCTGTCCACTCGCTTGTTCAGGTTTCCCGGTCCGAGGTCGTCCAAAATCTAACCATGTTCGGAGCCGTACTTGACTGGATACGGCCTACAAATAACAATGCCCAGCTCAGTAGAAAGTTTAAGAAAGTTCTCCAGAGGATTATTGATACTGTGTTCGACTCTCTGGGCCCATTGCAGGATGCTCAAGCCCGCCCAAGATTGAATGAACATCAGACTCGAAGACAGTATGGGTTACAAGACCAGCAATCGCGAGGAAATATTTATACCACCAGCGAGCAGGATCTCGATCCTGCACAGGCCACAATCGACGACATGGATTGGCTGAACACTGTTGATTGGACACAGGGAGGTTGGCTCGAACAGAGTAACCAACTTTTTTTACACTAACCCATTTTCACGGGGTCGATGTTGAAGTCACTAACTCAAGCATATCGTACGGAGACTACACCACATATCAGCTTCCCCACAATAGGCCCATTTATCCTCACAATAATAAGAATGAAATCCGCGACTGACGATCCCTCGGAGTGTCGGAGTGGACCCCGGAGTTCAACCGGTATGTGTGTACTGGTGTCTTTTGGTTATACATTGACTACTCTACATTATCTCCAAGTTGCCAGAGGTCAAGCAAACGAACACGGAATATCTCTTTTATTGCGCACATCATTCGCACATTATGGTGCTCAAAGAATATCATTCAACCCTTCCATAATTACTGCAGTTAAATAGCCCTAACGACAGCAATGGATCGCGCTTTCCCTGTCAAGTCTCTACCATCTACTGCTCGTTGCCTTCCAGTTGAAGACTCAACTGTGCCATTTTGGCATAGAGATATCCATGAGCTACATGATCACCGGACAACAGAAGAACTTCCGGCCTCTAGCGATGTGGTCATAATAGGAGCTGGTTACGCTGGAATCAGCACAGCTTACCATCTAGTCAAAGAAGAGGCCGGTGACAGCAAGTTGTCAGTCACAATCTTAGAGGCCCGTGGCGTATGTTCGGGTGCGACAGGACGTAATGGCGGCCACCTGCGACCCGACATGTATAGTCCCATGCCGAAATTCATCGACCGAGCTGGTATCGAAAGCGCTCTCGAGGTGACGGAGTTCGAAGTCGCGCATCTAAAGGCTATCAAGTCCTTGGTCGAAAGAGAGAAAATCGACTGCGACTTTACCCTTACCAGGTCCATCGATGTTTGGTGTAACGAAGGAGATGCTATGAAGTCTATGGGAAAATATGACATGCTGGTATCCCGGAATCTGGAGTACATCAAAGACGTATTCTTCGTGCTTGGAAAGGATGCAGAGGGCATCTCCGGAGTCAAGGGAGCCAAAGCTTGCGCTTCCTTTACGGCAGCTACTCTCTGGCCGTATAAGCTGATCCTGCATCTCACCAAATTAATTCTCGAGACTGGCTTAGTCAACCTTCAAACTCATACGCCAGTGATGGCAGTTACACGGCAAACCTCCGGTGGGTTTATCATTACCACTCCACGCGGCGCAACGTTTGCTCGAAAAGTAGTTTATGCAAATAACGCCTACGTCTCGCGACTTCTTCCGCAATATAGTCAAGCCATTGTACCCTGCAAAGGATTGTGTACTCATATTTCGGTCCCGGAGGGTACAAGATCACCTTTACTCAACAATTCCTATATTGTGCGTGAACGGGAAGGGATAGTATCATATCTCATTCCACGTGCTGACGGTAGTATCGTTGTTGGGGGAGCCAATTTGAAATATTACCCCTTCTTGGAGCAGTGGTACGATAATGTGGATGATTCAACTCTCATCGAGGAAGTGAAAGATTATTATGATGGTTATATGCAGAGGAATTTTCATGGATGGGAAGAAACTGGCGCTAAAGTAGATAAATCATGGACTGGGGTTATGGGGTATAGCTGGGATTCTCTTCCTCATGTCGGTGCTTTACCAGGTGAAAGTGACCAGTACGTCCTTGCAGGCTTCAATGGACACGGGATGCCTGTCGTATACCTTTCTGCTTTGGGTATTGCTAAGATGATCAGAGATGGTGTCGATTTTAAAGATACAGGTGTACCGAGATTGTTCCAAACGACCCTAGAGAGGCTCAACAAGATCGAGAACGGTCCTGCAGGAGGAGATATACTTGCTAGGGATTCATGAGCGTGTTATACTTGAATCTCGCAACCAGGAATTTTGTACTAGAGGAATAGATCAAACCATCCAAGATCTAGAAGGTTAGGATGCAATCTCAATAATTTCTTCAGATTAGGTAGTTATTAATGGCGGTTACCCCAAGATGTGAAAATGCTTCCGGCTTAATCTGATAGACTTCTAGCCTGTACAAACTTAACAGAAGGCATCGGAGCACGCTATGTACTCTGTACATATCTCTAAAGAAGGCTTCACAGTGATTCAACACAGTATAGTCCACTTTGGGCCAGGCCCGCTCTCAAGTGTACTAAATTGCCCTAAGGTCTCCTTATCTCACGGAGTGGACTCCTGCACAACGGTTGCATTCCACTTCGGACTAGATTTTTCCCCTTTGGAACTCCTATCTCGCACCCCTGTTCTCTTTTCTGTTAGTTGATCATATTGACTATTGCTTTTCTCTGTAGACTGCTCGCAGTCTTTCCTTTGGGCCTTCGATCATATCTGAAGCCATCTTCGCTTTGATAACCACTAGCCTAGCTAACCAATGGCTTATCTGCATGGCTATTGCTTAGGCGAAGATAACCACCGTGTGGCAAGATTCGCGGCAAGGACAGCTCAAAAGTAGCGGCGTGTGCAAGCCCATAAGCTGAAGCATAATCACCTTGAGAGCCTTGCCATACTTTGTGTTACCTCCCAAGGTCAATATCTAATATCTCTTTTCTTTACATTCCTCCAAGGTTCTTCTATCGGAGTCAACTTCTAAGTCTTTCAAGACGTCCACGATGGACACCCCTTCTAACGAAAACTCGAAAACCATGGACGTATCGGCCAAAGACGAAAAGTCCACTCCCCCGGACATGGAGGCGCCTATCCAACTGGCCGATAAAAGTACCGGAGAATTCGAAGAAGTCAAGGCGTTAAGACAAGGCCTTCATCAGCGACACATTCAGATGATCGCCTTGGCTGGCACGATTGGAACGGGTCTCTTCCTCGGTTCAGGTCGAGCAATTGCTCGCTCTGGTCCGTTGGGAGCGTTCCTAGGATACCTCGTCATGGGCAGCGTTGCTGGTATCGTCACCCTAGCTGTGGGTGAAATGGGTACACTTGTTCCTCTAAATGGTGGAATCGTCCGTTATTCCGAGTTCTTTGTCGATCCGGCGTTAGCTTTTGCTAATGGCTACAATCTGGTTTATTCTTACCTTGTGTCTATTCCCGCCGAGATTGTGGCCGCATCTGTGTTGGTGCAGTTTTGGTCGGATCTAAGTAGTGCAATTTGGATCACCATCTTTGGTCTGCTCATGTTGTGCACTGCTTTGGTTTTTGTACGTGTCTATGGAGAGCTCGAGTTCTTCTTCTCCATGCTAAAGATCTTGCTGATCCTTGGTATCAACATCATGGTAAGTGCTAGTCAAATCTATAGAAACTTGGTTACTCCAAGGTCTGCTGACAAATCTGTATCAGGCTCTTGTTATTACCTGTGGTGGTGGTCCTAATCATGAATCCATCGGATTCCGTTATTGGCACAATCCTGGTCCTTTGGTCCAGTACCTCGGGATTGATGGCTCTCTTGGGCGATTCTTGGGCGTTTGGACATCATTTAACAATGCTATTTACTCCTTTTCAGGGATTGAAACAATTACAGTTGCAGCTGGAGAGACTAGGTCTCCGAGACGGGCTATTCCCCAGGCGACGAAGCGTATCTTTATTCGTATTTTTCTATTCTACAGTATGCTGCCTTCCAAAAAGAGATGCAAAAGAAAATAAACCCTATCTTGTCTGCGAATCTGACATCTTTCATCTAGTCATCTCAATCTTCATGGTTGGCCTTGTCGTGCCGTCTAATGACCCCGGACTCGATCATTCCAGTGGTACAGCATCCACATCACCATTCGTTATTGCAGCCACTCGAGCAGGGATTAAGGTAGTCCCGTCAATCATCAATGCTGTCGTTATCACCTCGGCCTGGTCCTCAGGAAACTCCAACTTACTCGGAGGTTCAAGGGTACTAGTTGGCCTGGCAATGAACGGTCGAGCTCCAAAGTTCTTCACGCGGCTCAACAAATTCTCAGTCCCCTGGATCGCGATTTCCCTCTACGGCTTGTTCATGTGTCTGGGATACATGTCACTGTCCTCAACCGCAAGCACAGTGTTTGACTGGTTGCAAGACCTTGTCTCCATTACCACCCTGACAAACTGGTTGACTATTCTGGTCACGTACCTTCGTTTCTACTACGGTTGCAAGAAACAGGGAATCTCCCGAAAGTCTCTACCGTGGGCGGCTCCGATGCAGCCGTATATCAGTTGGGCTGCGCTGGTTCTGCTCACCATCCTCCTTATCACAGGCGGCTACTCGACCTTTATTAAGGGGCACTGGGACAATGAGACGTTCGTCTCCTCTTATATCAATATCCCTCTTTTTCTGATCCTTTATTTTGGATACAAGTACATTTGCAAGACAAAGATTGTAGCTTTGGAAGATATCCCTATTCAGCCCTTCATTGACGTTGCCAATCGGAATATTGAGCCACCGCCGAAGCCTAAGAAAGGACTTAACAAACTCAACATCTTGTGGGAATAGCAGTAGGCAAGGCTTCGCTGCTGGTTTATTGAGTCTGGTTACTTCTCCCTTGTACCGGCTTTTTCTTTCTTTCTTTTTTTCTTACCTTCTTTTTTTCTTCTTTTTTGCCCTGCAGGTTCTAAGATGTTTTTCTGATAGGAAATCGGCATATGAAACTTGCACGATTAGTATAGGATAGGAATTCTAGTTACTTTGTCGACTAGTTCTTTAGTTTGATGTATAAGTCATTTTTAGAGCATACAGTTCGCTTTCTAGATTACATTCCTCAGAAGGTAGATGCCAGAAGTCCTTCAGAAATGACTACAGTACGCGGGCAACTAGCGTGAAAATACAAGCATACCACGAGACTGACATCTCAAATCACTCTCTCATTTGAGATTGTAACATGATTGATAATAACCCAGAAGTATAAGCTAGAAAAGACTTGAACATCCTCGTTATCTATTTATTGCCTAATTAGGCAATAATTTTCTGACGGAGTTGAGTGGGGACTCCGACTTTGCGGAGTCCTTATGGAGTTGAGAAGACAGATAAGGCATTAGCTTTAGAGCCGTACATCTGTCACCGGATTGACTTGCCGGTCAATGAAACCTATCGAGCAGAACTGAGTCTATTGACTGGAATAGTATTCTCGGAATTTGGGTATCTTCAGGTTGGGGTCTAGTCTTCAAAAACTAAAGGCTAGCAATACACGCGCATATAAGGTCGATTAGCGTTTCCAACAATTGATCTGTAAGAAAAGGTATTCTCACTTTTCACAAACTTTTTTCGTCTATCGTTCAATATAGCTTGTGCTGCAACATGGCCTCCCCGAAGAAACATATCGTCTTCGACGTCGTGGGCACCTGCGTGTCATTTGATGCCTTTTTCGATAGTATTGAACAAGCCATTGGACCGAGACTTCTGGCACATAATGTGACGTCTAAATTCTTCGGATTTGCGTGGATGCAAACTGCCGAACTAGAACATACGATGCTCCGCATGTCCCAGCGAGAGAAGCCGTATGCGGAAATGTTCAAGGCACTCTTCTACCGCGTTCTATATATGGCTGGCATCGACAACCCGAGATCGTTCGCAACCGATGAAGAAAGAGATATGTGTCACGCTGGTTATTCCAGATTAGAACTGCGCCCGGACTGCAAAGAGATGATTGAGAAGCTAAGAGACAATGGCTTCACTGTCTGGTGCTTGACTACGGGTGATGCACAAAGGGTCGGTGGCTACTTCAAACGTGCGGGCTTTGACATGCCCGCCGAAAATCTTGTCTCATGTCACGATTTCCTCAAGCATGGAGCCCCGGATTCGTATCCTCTAGAATTTTTTAAGCCATCCATGAGCTCTTATAAGCACATGCTAGAGAAATTTGCTCCCACGGATCAAAAATGGTTCGCTGCAGCGCATATGTGGGATGTCAGCGCTGCTGTCAAGGCCGGGTAAGCTGCATTCTTGTGACAGAGGATATATATGGAAGTTAACTTTACATGTCCCGTACAGCTTCCGAGGCGCCTACTGTTCGATCTATGAGAAAGAGTCCTGCATTGAGGTATACGATACCAAGATGGATGCTATGGCTGATAGTCTGTCCAAAATGGCGGACAAGATCATTGCTGTATCTTCTCATACTTGAGTCGTGACTGGAATAGGGGAGAATCAGACAGGATTATAATTTATAAGACCATCGCACAGCAATGACAACCAATTATCTAAGTAGTAGAATCCAAGAAGATCTCCGTTACACTTCCAAATGTTCAAAAGCTGCTAGCTGCTATAGGGATATTCTGCTACACTTGGATATGCAACCACCTAAGCATCAACTTCTAGCATACCGCCATAGATCCATATACTTTGTTGAATCCTTCTTCCTGAGCCTGAGGAAACTCAAAGAATTACTGTACTTTTTAATATTGCTCGGCCCGGCGTTGTAAACTAACCTCATATTCCAGGTGGTCGGGCTAGAGCCCTCACCGAGTTCGACAAGCGGCACTTGAAGCTATTCACAAGTTCCGAAGTCCACGGTTGCTATAGCCACGGATACTCTGCCCCAAGTTAAGCCGAACATGAGAATTCTCCTTTTTCATAAAAACTTGTATCGGTTTGTACGTGGAGAACGTTGGGCACCCTTTTCGACTAGTATGTTGGAAATTTATGCAATCCAATCCCAGCATGGACGTCAAGCATGATTAATAATGGAAGTAGTAGCTTGTACTAGTTACCTAGGTACAAGTTGATTCAGCTAGATAAGTATATGATTTTCTCGTTTCAAATACAATCATCCTTCTCTCCGAGTATACAGTCTGCCCTACCTGCAAAGCATTGACAACCTTATTCTCCTAGAAGCTGTTCTTTCGGATCTTTGGTTTGGGCTATTTACTTTATCCTCTTGGATACGTTGACTTGCCTACTTGTACCAGTGATTGTGTGCTATCCTAGTTCAAATATCCTGGATCTGTCAACACATCATGTTTGAAAAACCTCTTGTGCTTGTAACAGGTGGGACAGGTTTTCTGGCAACATGTGTGATTGCTTTTCTCTTCTGGCGGGGATATCGCGTACGTACTACTGTGCGTTCGCTCCAACACGGCGAAGAGATCAAGAAACGCCTGCACGAAGCAGAAATTAGCAAGGAGCAGATATCTTCGCTAGAAGTAGTTGAGGCAAATCTTCTGAGCGACGACGGCTGGATTGATGCCATGAAAGATGTGCAATACGTCCAACATGTCGCATCACCTTTTCCAGGTGGTCTTCCGAAGCACGAGGATGAATTGATTAGACCTGTTCGTGAAGGTACATTTCGAGTCCTTCGTCATGCTGATGATGCAGGATCAGTCATTCGTGTTGTATTAACAAGTAGTGCCGCAGCAAATGGGCTCAGCCGGTCATCCACATAGCACTACGGAATTGCAAAGCTTTACTGAACAGGATTGGGGCAATCCTGATTCTAGCGATATTGTGGTATACCCTAAATCAAAAATATTAGCCAAGCAAGCAGCATGAGTGTTTATAGAGGACACCAACCCTGAATTAACCACAATGAACCCGGTTCTGTTACTAGGTCCAACCCTGAATGCACATACAGGTACGAGTTTACGAGCTGTGGAGAGTTGTTAGACGGCAATATCTTGGGCCTCCCTCGTATTGGTTTCAGTGTTGTCGCCGTACGTGACTGCTAATATGCATGCTATGGCTATGGCACATTCAATCGCAAACAAACAACGATTCCTATGCGTTAGCGAAGTCGCGTCTCAATGCTAGATATCGCCAAAATATTGAAGAAGAACCTAGGATCCGAGGCCTACAAAGTCCCAACACTTGCGTTACCAAACGTCCTTATTCGAATTGGTGTAATTTTCCTTCCGATTTCTCATCTTATTGTCCCGAATTAGGGGATTCTGACAGCCTTCAGCAACACCAAAGCCAAAGAAGTCTTGAATGGGTGAGCCTATATACCACCGAACAAACGATTGCGGCGTCAGCGGAGAGTCTTCTCAGGTACAAAGCTGTCAGAATATGAAGAGGTCAAGGCTGCAAGCGCATATTCTTCCCAAACTTTAACTTTCCGTGTTAAGGTCAATGGATGATTTGAATCAGATGAAAGAAAGATTGCGACGTCGCATATCTCATCGCACTGGAGATTATGGGACTGAGCAGTTGCCCCTTTTTCCTTCTACCCTATACTGTATTACAGACTGTGTTCTTCAATCAAGTAATTCAAGTCTCTTTTTTTTTTTTTTGTTTTTTTTTTTTCGCGTACTTCGACGACTAGACTGTGAAGGGATTCTGAGGGAAAGAAAAGAAATAGATTCTTTGTGAATTCAACGTATCAAGCAATTTCAATTCCAATCTTGCCTTGATAGTTCCCTATGAGCATATATCTATAGGCCTCCTTAGCCTGTTCTAATGGAAACACACGATCCACCACAGGTCGTAATTGATCCAAATTCGCCTCAATTGCCCTGCACATCTCTTCCATCTGCGTGCGACTCCCAACCCACAGTCCCCTTGCCGTGAAGAGTCTCATCCATGTATCCAGCAGGGACGGCATTCCATCCCCTTCACCTCCAACAAAGCCAACCACGCTGATTAAGCCATCCAGTTTAACACTCTCAACACTCTGTCGCATGGTACTGGGTCCAGCAACCTCCACCACCATGTCCACTCCATCCCCGCCGGTCAACTCTCGCGCCTTGGTGCCCCAATCCACCACTTCCCGGTAATTGATGATGTGATCTGCCCCAAGCCTTTTCAGTAACTTCGCTTTCTCCGGGGAACTAGTGGTGGCAATAACTCTAGCACCGACTGCCTTTGCAAACTGTACGGCAAAGATACTCACACCACCTGTTCCCTGCGTCAGAACCCACTGTCCGGCCGTCAGTAACTTCCCAGGTAGTCCGAACAGGGCATTCCATGCAGTGAGTCCCGCGCAGCTCAAGGTTGCCGCCTCTACAAAGCTTAGTCCTTCGGGCATCCGCACGAGCCCTTGTTCATCAAAGGCACCGATCGAGCGTAGGGTTCCGTCGACTGAAGCACCAATCCCATACTTCATGGTTTCACGGGTAATGGAGCCCGCTATATGTTGCTGAATGAGCATTGTGATTACTTTATCGCCGGGTTGGAAGCGGGTGACGTGCTTCCCGGTTGCCAGGACGGTGCCGGCTCCGTCAGAACCCGGTATGACATTCGGTTTGACGGACCAGGGGTATTTACCTTGGGCGATGGTAATATCGCGAAACTGATGGTGTTCGTTAGTCATCGGTTGGATCAGACATTGCTGTGATACGCACGTTTAAAGACGCTCCTTGGACTAGGAGACAGATTAGTGTCATCCCCAGAGTTGAGGCTCTGTATACGATGATGCTTACTTTTAACGAGCACTTGATTATCTCCCAGTGTGGACACGAGCTCCTCTTCACTGAATTTTAGGGAATCTAAACCAACCTGGCCAATGACTGTCCATTGTTTCACAGTTTGGGAGATTGCCTGAGACATGCTTATATGTGTTTGCTGCACTGAGGGTTGATAAAGGGGGCCTTCGTGGTACACTCTTTTGATCTTGATCTATACTATCCAGGAAAGGGCAAGAAGGAAAAGAAGCAAATAGGATACTGTAGATGTTTCCAATATTAATAAATATGTTCACAGAAATCTGAACCTGAGCCAAGTTATGTAATTTGTAAATAGTCTCCGAAGGCTGGGAGTTATTTCTCCACGGTGGAACAATGATCCCAGTCTTTATGGAGAGGATAGAGAAATCGGATAGACTCTAAAGGCTTGATTTATAAGCACCTGCAACGATCAAATGTTATAAAGTGGAAGGTACAACTTCAAAATCCCTCTTCCATAGCCTACAAATTTGTCTTTCCTCACGAAATTCCTTTAGGTACTTTATGCGAACGGATTTTAAAGCGAAGATGCTAGTGATCAGTGGGCGATCTGTTGGAGTCTACGCCAGTCGAATAATCTTACTGGGTGAAAATGAGTACATCTTCTTGGCCCAACAGAGATTGCACCACGATCGCTGAACTGGACTGAGTATAGAGTCGTGGCATGTTGAGCCGATTTAGCGTTGCCCATATGCCGTTCGTTTACCTAGGTAATACTAAAAAATCACCTTACCAATACATATTGCATATAGAACGCCTGATAATTGCCATGGTTGTCTCCTTTCTCTACCTGTATTCAAATTGTGCCTCTTGAGCTATACGGTTCCTCTTCTCTTTGACTGACAGCAAGCGATCAAAAACCTTTTCTAGCCTGACTATAGCCCCCTTGGCAATTTGATAGTGGACGACTATCCTTCCACTCATCAATTTAACTCCTTCCTCCTTGCCCACACGGATGAGCTCGTCCGCTGTGATACCGCTATACGACAAATCTAACCAGACCATGTTTGTTTCAACTGGTCGACTGACCGTGCCGCCGCGACTGAGCCACATATCCTCAATGGTCTTGGCCTTCTTGTGCGTTTCTCGCAACCGGCCGCCTTCGCCATTGGGGCCCTTGCCGAAATTCTCTTCCACCGCAACGCGGGCAGCCGCGCAAATGATCCCGGCTTGTCGGATGCCTCCGCCGATGCTCTTCCTCACCCATCTACAGTGATCGAGTATCTCTTTCGGACCAACGATAATGCTCCCTATGGGAGCGGCCAGGCCCTTGGAGAAGCATATTTGCGCGGTATCGAAGCATTCTAAAAAGTCGGTCAAGGAACCAGCTCCAGCGGCTACTACCTCCCAAAGTCTTGCACCGTCTAGGTGCATCTTGATACCGTTGGAGCGAGCAAACGCGGATATCCGGCAGATCTCCTCCAGCGGAGTTATGACACCACCCAGGGTATTCTCCAGCGAGATGACGCGGGTCGGAGAGACATGTATATTGTTACTGATGACTGCAGTTTGCTTGATATCCTCTAAGGTCAGGTACTGTCCTTTGGCCGGAATACACGGTTGCATGTGCGCCTGAGATAAAGATGAGCAGCCACCAGCCTCCGAAGTGAGGATGTGAGATCGATGATGGCAGAGAATTGCGTGAGGTGGTTGCGTCAAAAGCGAGCGGAGAGCGATCTGATTTCCCATCGTTCCCGACATGACCAGGAGGCTGTCCTCCTTGCCTGTTAACTCAGCCATGAACTTCTCAAATTCCGTCGTTGTTGGATCTTCTTGGTAGCAATCATCCATCAACGTTGTTTGCGCGATCGCTTGCAGCATGGAAAAAGTTGGTGTCGTGATGGTGTCTGTCCGGAAGTCATAAGCTGCAGGCCCAGGACCAGACCAGACGCTCGACACTCTAATCTGCTCAGCCATTTGATCATTTTCATCTTTGATGAGGGACATGTCCACGCTACCCATGATGAAAGAATAATCAGTTGTATCGTAGTTGGTTTCAAACTTTCTGGGTCAAGCTGGTTATCAGAAAAGGGGAGCAGAGAACGGAAACGGAGCGAAACACAGATATGTTCCAAGACCCTGAAGAGCCATTCCTGAGCCATTCGGAATTGGATAGATAATTAATCTTCATCTCTTTGTTCTGTATCTCCCCTACTCCGCTCTAGTTATCAATCCGGGATGAGTTCTCGGAGTTGATGTTCCATAATGAGCATAGTTACATAGTACGCCGTCGGACTTGCCGGTCACTACCGGTTCAAACCCGGTCTGGTTATTGTATGGAACATCAGTTAACATGATATGAACTCAACTTTATTTTGCCTGGCTGTATATCGTTGACACACGGACGGAAAAGAAACTTCTCATTTAAAATATCGTGATACCTAGTTAATTTGAAGCTTGATTACCAATGCCACACAAAAAGGAATTTATATTTTAAAAGCAGTTCCTGCGATTAGGACATGAAGTACGTGTATGACCAATTACATGACAATCACAACATGTTGGATGCCGTCTGCGAAGTCTCTCACTTTCCTGTACAGAAGGCTACCATTCGTGCCATTGTCTGTGGGATAAAGAGGCTCTGAAGCCAGTCAAGTCCTATCTCATCTGTAGTCTGCCTATTAGGACTGCAATTGATACGCTAATCTGGTTTTCTGGCATTCTCATCGAACTAACTCTTCTGCTTGTGTTGTGCTTCAAGATGATATAAGGAGGTAAGACTTCACCAGTTGTTCGGACTGCTGTTTCAATGCCAGTGACCTATTCTCGCTGGCTAGGTTGAATAAGTTTAGGATCCCCGGTGGTTTGAGCGCCAGTAATAACTTCAGCTGTTGCTATAGTCTACCACTGCACAGCCTATTTCATCGAAATTATAGATATCATCTTGGACAATTCCGTATTCAGCAATTGTAACCCGAACTCGTTCTAACCACTCGCTCAGTATCGTGGGATCTTCGCATAAAGCTCGTTGATGATGATATTTTCGAGTATATCGAGTTTTAACCTCAGGATGTCGATTAATGAATGTGTGAACCCAGTTTACAGCAACTCGTTACTTTCTCGGATTCGAATTTCGATTTACAAGCAGAAGATTAGCGAAATCAGTGACCATTGCAGGCCGAGGGGGATATCCGCGCTTGTCTAAAGAAAGTATCCGTTTTATAAGTGTCTTTTGTTCATTGTCGGTCAGTCTCTTCTTCATAGCATTAGCAACAGCTTGTGGTTTAACACCATGAAGTCTTCCATGCAATGTATATTTTGGTACCCCAAAAACATTTGCAGCTGGTCCTTTTATTTTTCTGTTTTTGAGGTCAGATATTCCTTGTTCAATCATTCACTCTTGAAAAACGTGCTTCCGGGCATTTTTATGGTGATTTGAGGCCATTGTTGTGTGTTCAAATTTGCAATCGCTATGTAGTAGGCGAGAATTTTGGGCGGTGTCTGGATGACCCGTGGAGTACCGTAACGTAATCGGCAAGCGAGTTGGCCACTTCTTCTCAAAAACGCGCTCTATATTGATTCTACATAATTCAACACGTCAATATGTCACCAATTCGCAATAGAAATTCAAAAAATTCAGCTGAACAAGAGGGACAAATCTTGTAGCTATTTCCGATTTTAAAAATGGAAAAATACGTTGTGTATGACAAGCAGCAGAGATCTATAATATCTCGCGGTCAACTCTTCAAAACAGACTAAATGGCATCGCATATCGAGCTGAAACACGCGCCAACGGTCATAAGTTGACTCAATTTGAGGAGGAATCGTTTGTCAAATGGATACTCGATCTAGATAAACGTGGATTACCTCCTCGACACTCTTGTATGAGAGATGGCTGATTATCTTCTTTCACAACGCGCGAGCCAACAGGTTGGAGAGAAATGGGTATATAATCTCATTCAACGTCGCCCAGAGATCGAATCAAAATTTTCACGGAAATATAACTACGAGCGTGCTAAATGCGAAGATCCGAAGATAATCCAAGAATATTTTGATCGCGTACGAAAGGTATATTAGAATGTGGAATCTTGCCGGAGGATATCTACAATTTTGATGAGACTGGCTTTGCTATGGGATTCTGTGTGACTGCAAAGGTTATCACTGGAAGTGATCGATATGCTCGGCCGAAGCTATTACAGCCTGGTAATCGAGGATGGGTAACTGCAATTGAAGCAGTTGGTTCGATTGAATGGGCCTTGCCTTCGTACGCCATTTTCAAGGCAAAGAAATACACTCGATTAGGCTGGTTGAGGATCTCAATGTTAGCGATAATGGATGGACAACAGATAAGATTGGATTAGAATGGCTTAAAACTCATTTTATTCCTCTTACCGATGGCCGTACATTGGGGAAATATCGGATGTTGATTCTTGATGGTCATGGAAGCCATTTAACTCCTGAATTTGATCGGATATGCACTGAGAATAATATTATTCCAGTCTGTATGCCTCCTCATTCCTCACATCGTTTACAGCCTCTTGATGTTGGCTGTTTTGCTGTTTTAAAGCGACATTATGGACAGCTTGTTGCGCAGCGGATGAGGCTTGGATTCAATCATATCGATAAAATCGACTTTC